AAGTAGAAAGTAAGACCACTTAACTAAATACTAAAAGTAGAATTATAGTAATACTAGCTAAATACTAGCTTACTATTATAATAATAGTAAAGTTAAATAATTATTAAATTTATTAAAGCAAAATATATTAAGCTTATAGTATAAGCAACTATTATTATAGCTAAATATAGCTTAAGCTTAAGCTGCTCTCTTTTTATTCTCTCTCTCTCTTAATTCTACTACTAAGTAGACTTATAACTTACTTAAGCCTACTTCTATAAGCTAGAGTTACTACTATGCCTGCTTATAGCTGCTCTAGATCTACTTATAAACTTCTCTCTATACTTCTCCTAGAGTTCTACTAAATAAGTATACTTATTTATACTTATAAGTAAAGTCTTTATTTTAGCTATATAGCTAGTATACTTATTTAGAATTTAAACTAACTCTACTATAAATATAGCTATAGTAGTAATTAATACTATAATTTTTTTTAACTAACTTAAAATCTTCTTATAGTAGTTTATACTATTATTTAATTCTCTAGCTAGTATTAAGCTAAATTAAGCTTATCTCTTCTCTTTCTAATTATTAGCTTTCTTTAAAGCCTTAAGATTCTTAAAAAATTAAGAAGTAAATATTATAGTCTAAGCTATAGCTCGACCTTAAAGATGCGATGCAAAGCAATAGATGCACTGCACTGCGATGCGCGATAGAGGGACAAGCCCGTGGACCTATATAGTGCCCAGATTGAGCAAGCTGTAGACAGCTTGTTTAATACGTACCCTTTTGACTCAACGGTCAAGGGCTCCAGCATTGCTGGGATAACTGCGGCTGGCACCTGCTATGGCCCAATAGGGCTGGTCTATTACATTTGAACAAGCTTCCTGAGGTCGCAGGTTCGAGCCGCACGAAAAGTGCGAGGGATACTCAACCTGGGCTCACAAGGGCTACCGCCGCCACCCTTGGGGGGTGCATCTCTCTCTAAGTTTATAGTCAGAAGGGGGCTATGTCATGGTCTGAGCTATGCTCGACCTTAATGGAATGGATGCGCTGCAATGGATGCACTGCACTGCAATGCGCGATAGAGGGCAAGCCCGACCTATATAGTGCCAGATTGGCAAGCTGTAGACAGCTTGTTCAATACGTACCCTTTTGACTCAACGGTCAAGGGCTCCAGCATCGCTGGGATGACTGCGGCTGGCACCCGCTATGGCCCAATAGGGCTGGTCCATCACACTATATCTCTAGAGAGAAAAAACAACTAGAAGTTAGAAGATAAAGTAAGTAAGTGTCAGCCGAAAAATAGAGGTGCATACGCTGTATATAATTGCGCAGTAATATAAGGTCAATTTGCGTCTCTAATTGCTAGAGCGCGTTCTACTTTTGTGTAGTGCAGTTGACCTTGCGATTTTCCGCTAACAGTAAGTAAGCAGAAGCAAGATAGCCTTAGCATAAAGCTAGAAGCAAGCTTAATTTATAAGAGCTATTTACCTCTCTAAAATATAGCTAGTAAAGCTAGTAATACTTATATATATATAGAAGATAGATAGATTCTAGCTAGTATAAAGCTAGAGCTAGCTTAGAAAGTATAAATAAAAGCAGGCAGAGTTTTTCTTTTTATTAAAGAGTTTTCTAGGTTTAATATAAAATAAAGAAGTACTAGTTATATAGCTCTATAGCTATCTAGAGTATTTAATATATAAAAGTCTCTTAATTAGCTAATAGTTATAAGCCTAGTTACTATAAGCTTTATACTATAAACTATACTTTATTAAAAAAACTTCTTAGCCTTTAGTTTATAGCACTACTATACTAGCTTAAGACTATCTCTAAAAAATATAAACTAATATAAAAACCTTCTTTTTTATATTTAATTACTTTTACTTATATTACTATATATATATTAATTACTCTAGATAGCTAGAAGGCTATATAACTAGTATATTAACTTTTTATATTAAACTTAGAAAACTCTTTAATAAAAAGAAAAACTCTACTTACTACTATTTTTTACTTTCTAAGCTAGCTCTAGCTTTATACTAGCTAGAGTTTATTTATCTTTTATATATATATAGTTATTACTAGCTTTACTAGCTTTATTTTAAAGAAGTAAATAATCTCTATAAATCTAGCCTACCTCTAGCTTTATACTAAAGCTATTTTACCTCTACTTAGTTATTTATTACCTTCTTTATTTTCTAATTATTTTCTCTCTTTAAAGATACTATTTATCTTAGTATAATATATTATTTATTACTTTCTTAAAGGTAAGTTAGCTTAGCTCTAAACTATTATATAACTACTAATATAAATATTAAGTATTTAGCTATAATAGCTTATATATTTAAATTTACCTTACTTTTATTTTATATATAAGTCTTTACTATTATACTATAAGAGTCTCTTAATTAGCCGACAGTATATAATAAACAAGCTGCTCTAAGCTAGCTTAATTTAGCACTATATTAATTACAGGCTATATCTCTATTTTATTATATCTATTGCATCTATTGCATCTATTGCATTACATTACATCTTTAAAGTCAAGCATAGCTTAGACTATAATATAGCCTTCTTCTGTGCCTCTATATCTTACACCCTCTAAGAGTGTTCCTTATAAGCCTAGGTTAAGTATGCTCTTGCACTCTCTTTTTATATAGCTTAAACTTATAACTCTAAGTAGCTTATTTGTATATAATAAACTAGCTCTATTAAGCTATAGCAAGTACTAGCTGTAGTTATCTTAGTAATACTAGACTTCTTGTCAGCCAGAAAAACAACAATCTAGGGGGGTGCATGCGCTGTAGTAATTGCGCAGTAATATAAGGTCAATTTGCGTCTCTAATTGCTAGAGCGCGTTCTACTTTTGCGTAGTGCAGTTAACCTTGCGATTTTCCGCTAACACTTCTTAACTATTAAGCTAAAAGAGTATATAATAAAAAAGCTGCTCTTAGCTTGCTTAATCTAGCACTATATAGGTCACAGGCTATGTCTCTATCTTATTACATCTATTTTATCTATTGCATTTATTGCATTGCATTGCACCTTTAAGGTCGAGCATAGCTCAGACTATAATACTAGCGCAGTAGTGCTATAGACTAGAGGCTAAAAAGTTTACTCTATTAACTTAATATAATAATATACTAATAGTATAGTAGCTATTAAATTAGCTATAAGCGAGCCTCTAGTAAGTATATATATAAAGAAGAGAATTTCCTGCTAAGATAGAGAGAGGTTTAGAGATTAATATAGTAATTACTACTAAATTAACTAGCTATAAAGTTACTATAAGTTTTCTATATAACTTACTATTTACTCTACTTAGAATACTTATCTTAATACTTCTACTTTATATTAAGAATCTCTATTATTTCTTGCTTAGTAATTAATTAATTATATAAGCTTAATTATATAATTACTAGGAGTTACTTAAATTAGCTGCTAACACTATAAACTTAGAGAGAAAAGAGGGAAAAGGAGAAGTTCTCTATTCTCCTTTTTTTATACTATTATATATTTAAATATAGGTCCTAATGCATATCTAAAAAGTATCCGATAAGGCACTAACATAGTGCTTTAATGTATACTCAAGCTATAAGCTCGATTCTATTACATATAGCTTAATTAAGGCTTTTTTGTATTATCTACGTAATTTCTAGCTTTAGTGCCCCTGCTATCGTGTGACAGACTAAATATACGAAGATATGAGGAACCACGAAGTCAGCGGAGCGACTGAGGTAGTGTCTCTCGACAGAGCCCCCAGGGGCGACAGAGGTATTCCAAGGAACTGGCGACGCGGCAGCTGCCAACGCAGGGAGCCCTAGGCGACCGTAGAGTCATTCACCGCGGGCGTGAAGGAACGAGTGCAGCGTAGCGGAACAGAGTGATGAACGCACCGGTCTTCTTCTCAGAGTTTCATTCTCATCAAGATATATAGATCTACATCAACACATCACGATATACCAATCTTATTCATATAGCGGAAGTGAAGGAGCAAGAGTAGCGCAGCGGATCGTCGCGATGAAAGTACCCTTCTCTACATTGCATTTCCAATCTATATTCTTGAACATATTTCTCTATTTAACTTCATCTGTACCTGGTACGGAGCTTCTCTGCCCTCGGTCGCCCAAGGGCTGGACCTCACCGCAGCCCCTCCCGTCTTCTTGACAACTCCATCTGTAGTCTCGGAGGAATTCATCTTCATCTCGAAAGTCCCGGGACATCCTTCCTGCTGCCCGGCGCGCGCACATTTGGCTTGGCGGCAGTCACGTGACGAGGTACCGCCAGGCTAGCCCCGTCACTGCAGGGCCCAACAAGGTCTGGCCCAGCTGGGGCTTTGGGTACTCCGTACAAAGACGGCTGGGCGAGTGCCTCTCCAACTCTTTCCCGACTCTCTCTCCACTGGTGCTTTTTTTATAACTGATATTCCCACCGTCAGTCCCCTTCCAACACCAAGTGACCCCAGTCTACGGTCTGCTACTCGGCACAACCCGGGCTTCTCTACAGGAATCCGGCATTCATCTCTGATGCTGTTGACTACATGACCGCCATTCCATCCATGAATGACTTGTAAGTCGTCCTTGCCTCGTCCCCTGGCCGCCCGTGCCACTCTCTGTTTCCCAGCCGCATGTTAGCCATTCGCCATCATCTTCAACGTCGCTGCGTCGGTATCAACGCGCTCCGGGCTCGGATACGCCATGTCCAATGCTCCAAAGTGATGAGCACGATGTTTATCGATGATCCGGATGCAGTTGAGCCCTCGACGTTGCCTCCACTGGCCACCTCACTTTGCAATCGCCTCATCCGTGTCCGCCAGCCTGGCCATCACCAACCCACGTGTGAATGCGATTACATCCATTGTTCCATCAATTTCAGTCGTAAACGACTTTGAAGGGCGTTACTTCGTGTCGCGAGCCCCCCTAAACCGACCCAGTGCATTCCTCTGGCAGATGAGGCTTCACAGAACGTCTGCTAACATTTGCTTCTCCCAGCAAGCTGTACGCGCGAAAGCAGCTACCATGAGCTCCCCGGTTGTGATGGGTCCTGTCAACGGACACATGTCGCCGGACGATGCCATCACCCCCCCAGTTGACGTCGAGGTCGGCCAGAGCGATACCGATATCTCCAATGCCCGGGAAAGCCCAATGGACCGCTCATCGCCGTCGACCTCGGAAGCCCAACCCCAAGAAACGCCAAACCACGTCGACCAAGATGGGGCGTCGTCGGATGATGATGGATCTAGGCCAGACAATGCTTCCGATGATGGTGACTTTGACATGCAGGAGAGCGTGGCTACCCCCCATGGTGACGCTGAGGTAGACCGCGAGAGCTCGCCAGCCTCCAGTCGCCCTCCAAAACGTAAAGCAGCGGTAGCCGAAGAAGACTATATGCGGGAAAACCCAGAGCTCTATGGGCTCCGAAGAAGCGTATGTTTCAAAGAGCGGTCAATATGCGGCATTAATTGCAGTTGCTGACAATCATCCAGACACGCGCTAGAGAGACGAAAAAATTGGTATGGCTCGCTGACGAGACTCTCTCGACCGTGTCGCATTTGACTAACGCAACCCCAGGTGGATTCTGATAACTCCGACTCGGAAGATGATGAGCCTGTGAATCGACGCCAAGCAAAGAGACGGCGCGTCAACACATCTCAGACTTGTGAGTTTTTCCTCTTGCCACCAGGGCTTCCTCCGCAGCACACTGACCGTCATCCTACCGTCACCAGCGTCCAAGAGAGGCACACCTATTTTACAACCCTCTAACGAGTCCGATTCTGATTCCGACACGTACGGCGGAGCTCGAGCAAAGAGCCAGCTAAAAAAGGCGAGACTGCAGAGAGAGTCGCAACCTGCCGTTGCGCTTGCCGAGAAAAGATGGTCTAGCCGCAGGGCTGCTCAGCAGGTCCAGCAGGGCATGTATGAGGAAAGCGACTTTGAATACGATGAAGACGAGGCGGACGTCGCATCAGCATATTATGTTGCCGACTACGTTGACGATTCACCATATGTCGAAAAGGTGGTGCGTCACCGCCTCAAAGACGGGCTCGATCTGCAGTATGACTCCAGCCGTCACGACTTTGAATATTTCATCAAGTGGCAGGGAAAGTCTCATTTGCATGACACTTGGGAATCCATTGAGTCGTTGCGTAACATGCGTGGTTTTCGCAAGGTTGAAAACTATTTCCGAAAAGTTGTCGAACAGGAGCTCGACATACGATTTGGAGATGACATCCCTCCCGAGACAAAGGAGCAGTTTTTCCTTGACAGGGAACGAGATGAGGATGCCTTCGAGGACTACACCAAAGTTGAGCGAGTGGTCAATGTTCGCGACGGGGAAGATGACCCCGAGTACTACATCAAGTGGAAGGGCCTCACATACGAGGAGTGTACTTGGGAACTGGCATCAGAAATCAGCCCCGAATTTCAAGACAAAATTGATCAGTACCTTGATCGATCATCGCGGTCATGGCAATCTGATCGACGCGAAACGAATCCAGATACCCGAGGCAGGATGATCAAGTTGGACAGCCAGCCGTCCTATATTCAAGGTGGTGAGCTCCGCTCATTTCAGCTGAAGGGCCTCAACTTTTTGTGCCTCAACTGGACAAGAGGTAACAATGTCATTTTGGCTGATGAAATGGGCCTCGGCAAGACTGTACAGACTGTTTCATTTCTCAGTTGGCTTCGAAATGATCGTCAACAAGAGGGCCCGTCACTTGTTGTGGCCCCTCTCAGTGTTATTCCCGCCTGGTGTGATACATTTAATCACTGGGCTCCCGACATCAATTATGTCGTTTACCTCGGCCCTGAAGACGCCCGCAACATCATACGTGAGAATGAGCTGCTCGTTGATGGTAATTCGAAGAAACCAAAATTCAATGTTCTTGTCACATCATATGAATTTATCCTGCAAGACTGGCAGTTTCTACAGACCATCAAGTGGCAGACGCTTGCCGTTGATGAGGCTCATCGTTTGAAAAATCGAGAATCACAGCTATATGCGAGACTTGTAGGTTTCGGGGTTCCTTGCAAGATTCTCATCACCGGCACACCGATCCAGAACAACTTGGCGGAGTTGTCGGCCTTGTTGGATTTCTTGAATCCCGGAAAGGTCAATATCGACGAAGATCTGGACTCCTTGTCCGCAGTTGACGCCCAAGAGAAGCTGGAGGAACTGCACAAATCAATTGCGCCGTATATTCTGCGACGAACAAAAGAAACGGTAGAGTCTGATTTGCCGCCAAAGACGGAAAAGATTATCCGTGTCGAATTGTCTGATGTCCAGCTGGAGTACTACAAAAACATCTTGACGAGAAATTATTCTGCCTTGTGCGATGCCACTGGTGGCCACAAAAACTCACTGCTGAACATTATGATGGAGCTCAAGAAGATCAGCAACCACCCTTATATGTTCCCCGGGGCCGAAGAACGTGTCTTGGCCGGTAGTGTCCGTCGCGAGGACCAGATCAAAGGCCTGATTACCAGCAGTGGAAAGATGATGCTCCTCGATCAGCTTCTGTCAAAGCTGAAGAAGGATGGCCACCGAGTTCTCATTTTCAGTCAAATGGTCAAAATGCTTGATATCCTGGGCGATTATCTGTCCTTGCGAGGCTACAAATTCCAGCGACTTGACGGTACCATTGCTGCTGGTCCACGTCGCATGGCCATCAATCATTTCAATGCCGATGACAGTGATGATTTCTGCTTCTTGTTGTCGACTCGTGCCGGTGGGCTGGGGATCAATCTTATGACTGCTGACACCGTCATTATATTTGACTCTGATTGGAACCCCCAGGCTGATTTGCAAGCCATGGCTCGAGCTCATCGTATCGGCCAGAAACGACCTGTCAACATCTACCGGCTCGTTTCCAAAGAGACGGTAGAGGAGGAAGTGCTGGAACGCGCTAGGAATAAACTTTTGCTGGAATACTTGACCATCCAGGCAGGCGTCACTGACGACGGCAAAGCAGCATTCAAGGAGAAGTTGAATAAGAAGGGACTCAAGACTGACGGCCCTTCATCATCTGAAGATATCCAAATGGTTTTGAAGATGAGGTCCTCAAAGATGTTCGAACAAAGTGGCAACCAAGAACGCCTCGAGCAACTCGACATCGACTCGATCCTAGAAAATGCAGAAGTTACCAAGACCAAAGTTGACGACAAGATGAACCTCAGCAGCGGTGGCATTGACTGGGACAACTTCATGCAAATCACCGACGTGAAAGTGGATGAAATCAACTTGGACTGGGATCAGATCATCCCTGCTGATAAACTGGCAGAGATCAAAGCGGACGAGGAGAAACGCCAGAACGACGAATATGTTGCCAAGTTGGCAGAGGAAAACGCACCTCGCAGAGCTACAATTAAGAACCGCAACAAGGAAAACGATCGTGCCGATCGCCTCAAGAAGCGCCAGCGCGAGCAACAGCAAGAGGAGGAAGAACAGCGAGCTCTCTTGGCAGACCCCAAGCGACCATTGACCGACAAGGAGCAGCGAAATCTTATCAAAGCGTACTTTCGGTTCGGATCCATGGATTATCGCAAGGCCGATATTATCCAGGAAGCCAAACTCGTGGAGAGAGATCATGAATTTGTCAAGTCTGTGCTAGACGACTTCATTAAAGCCGCTCAACAAGCTGTGGATGACAACGTCTTGAAGCTTGTGGAAGAAGAGAAGAAGACGGGAAAGAGTCTGACAAAGAAGGACCGGAAAGCTGTTCTGATTGACTTTGGCGAATTGAAAAAGGTCAATGCTGAGACTGCAATTGAGCGGCCCAAGCAACTGCAGCTTCTGCGAAAGGCGATCCGCAGCCAGTCAGACTGGAAAGCCTATCGTCTTCCAGATGCCACCAAAGGTGCCAACTACACATGTTCGTGGGGGGCCAAAGAGGACGCCATGCTTCTAGTTGGTATTGATAGACACGGATTTGGAGCGTGGGTGCAAATCCGGGACGATCCTGAACTGGACATGCAGGACAAACTGTTCTTGGAGGAACATAGAGTAGGCAAGAAGGAGGAGCGAAACAAGGCAAACGACAAGCTCAAGGCACCTGGTGCAGTGCACCTCGTTCGTCGATCTGAATATCTGCTCTCTGTTCTTCAATCCAAGTACTCTGGCGATCGGGCGGCACAGCGAATCGTGGAAAATCACCACCGGAACAACAAGAAGAATAGCGTGCCCAACGGCCATCGTGGAAGTGGAACTTCCTCACCCGCTCCTCATGCTGTTAGGAAGCATCGTGACCGAGACCGCGATGATCAGCGGGCTCGAAGCAATACGGATGATCGCGGTTCAGCTAAACCAGATTTCAAGCGGAAGCACGGATCATATGAGGATGATCGCAGCCCGAAACACCAAGATGGGCGTCGGCTAAGCAAACACGGCGTTGACCGTGACCGTGATCGTGATAGACCCGATCACCATCGTCATTATCGAGAGGATGATGATCGACGCCATGACAAACATCGACATCGACATGACGATGAACGACGCCGTGATGAACGACGTCGGGAAGACGATAGATATCGTGATCGCGAGCGCGAGCGAGACAGAGAGAGAGACAGAGACCATCACCGGGACTACCACAGGGAAAAGGACAGAGAGCAGGCCCGAGACTCCTACAGAGATAGAGACAGGGACCGCGATCGTGACCACTATTCACGCCCTCAAGATGAGCGAAGAACCAAAGCTCTGCGCCGTTTAGACGAGCTCCGCCGCATCGGCGACAACAAGGACGAGCGCAACAGGGACAACGACGCCATGATTTGGTACCTCCTGAAGCCCGTACGCGAAAATTTTGAACGGATCTTGTCTACGACCAAAGACAATGTAAAGTCGAGCAAAGAGCGTGCGGCAATTTTCGGAGTAGAGCTAGTTGCTATAGGCACATTTCTAGACGAAAAGCTCCCCGTCACGGCAGCGGATGAAAGCCTCAAGAACAATTTTTGGTACGTACGCAGTAGTGAAATGAAGGTATGAGATGTACGAAGCTAAATTCTGGGAACGTTAGGGATTTTCTGGCTGCGCTCTGGCCGGTCGACGATACTAGCAAGAGCGTCACAGGCAAACGATTGAGCAACATGTATCGTACACTTCATGCCCGCAATAAAGATTCAGGATCCAGCTCTACACGGATGAATGGAGCAGAGAGGATGCGCAAAGACGAGCCGAGCTCAGACGTATGAGAGGGAGCATCGACGTACCACATCCGGACCACACAAGACGGGGGACCCTTGACCAACTGCAAAATTTTTGACACTTTTTTTTCCTTTTGGCATTTGCATTGACCGGCGTTGTGGTACAAGGGACAGCATTGAAGATTATGGCGCGGAAAAGACTTGAAGCGACTACATACCCGGATTTGCATGGCAAGAGCAGGTGGTGCGGAGGAGTTTGTAATGGTCTGTGGCTTGTGAAAACTTTTTGTTCGGTTGTCTTTGAAGCAAGAAATGAGTCAAGGGACACGGGCTGTCTGAGCACCTGGAAACGTGAGCGTCCTTTTCCTCGCTGTTGGAAAAAGCAGCATTGGGCCAGATTGAGTCGGTGACCAAAAAACACAACAAAACACCGCAACTCGTCAGGCGGCAGCAGCGTGGGCAGTGGGCACCAGGGAGAGTAACTGAAGGAAAAGGGATGCGTCCCACTTGTTATACAGTATTACCATAGAATACCCCTTGATGTCAGGCTTCGGGTGAGGAAGGATGTCAAGCATGGACGGGCGGCGGCCCATGTCTGTCGTCTTTAGATTATGTGCAATACAAGCCATTTTGTTTTCGGCGGGGATGCCATGTATGAGAGCGACACTGTGCGGCATGAATGTGTTTTGTGGAGGCGGAAGAGGGTTCACTTGTTCATGTCGGCGACGCAGGGAGAGTTGCGTGGCGGAGATGAAAGGAGTGAGTGAGCGAGCGAGTGAGTGTGTCATCACCGAGGTGCAAATGCCGCCCCCGTGGGACAGGGAGCTGCGCGTCGCCCAGTCCGCCGTCGTCAGGGCCGCCAGACTCACCAAGGGAGTCGAGTCCTCTCGTCGGCCGCGGCCGTCTCCAAGGCGGCCTCGTCGCCCGTCACCGTCGCCGACTTTGCCGCCCAGGCGCTCCTCACCGGCATCCTGCGCGCCGAGGGTCCGGACAACTCGTTCGTCGGCGAGGTGGACTCGGGGCCGCTGCGCGGAGACGCGGGCCTCAGGGACGCCGTGTACGCGGTCTACTCCTCGGCGGCGGCGGCGGCGGCGAGCGTGGACGAGATGCTCGCGCTCATCGACGCGGGGGGCCGCGAGGGCGCTTCTGGGCCATGGACCCGGTGGACGGGACGGCGACGTTCCTCGCGGGCGGGCAGCACGCCGTCTCGCTGGCGCTGCCGGAGGACGGGCGCGAGGTGCTGGGGGCGGCGGCGTATCCCAACCTCGGGCTCGAGGGCGGCCAGGACGGCGGTTGGAGATGGGTGGATAGGACGAGGATGACTCCGCGTCACGGACCATGGTGATGGATTTGTCTGGTCTGGTCGTGAAGCCGCGTGCCCCCGACGCAAAGGTTGTTTATTGTACATGCTCTCTACATCAGACTACTGCGTCCGCCAATTTCCATGCTGCCCTGTCCGTCTCTCATCCGGCCGCTTCTGCCGACGACAAACTCGTGGTAGATTCTCCGTAGACGAGCCTTTTCGTCATCGCTAATACTTGCTCTCGTCTTGTCGAGGGCCTTGACCAAGTGCTCCCACCCGATGACGACTTCTCGATGCTCCTCGGCGGTCCACGGCGACTCCTTGCTCTCGGACGATTCCGGCGCATAGTGGCCCTTCCTTGCTTGCTTGGCCTTTTTGCGGGCGAGCTTGATCTGCTCCAGTCTGGACATGATGGATGCGTCTTCGATAAGGGAGGCAGATTTACTCGGCGAAGCGTCGTCCCCGCCGGGGGCCGGGTCGGCGCCGTAGCGGAACTGGACAAAGCTGGGCGTCGTGGAGGAGCTGCTGCCGCCGGCAGAGTTGCTTTTGTTGCCGCTTCTGCTGCGGGAGCTGGCCGCGGGGGCGTCGGCGTCGAGAACGTCGTGGATGGCCTCTAGCTGGGCGTTGGAGACGAGAGCCTGCAAGTCGGCGCCCGAGAAACCGTGGGTGCGACGGGCCATTTCCGCCAAGCCATCGTCCGAGTCGGTGAGTCCACTCGACAGCCTGACTCTCTGCAAGAGGGCCTTGATGATGTCGAGGCGATCCTCCGCCGAGGGAAGGTCGCAGAGAAGGGACTTGTCGAGACGCCCGGGGCGAAGGAGAGCAGGGTCAATGAGGTCGGGACGCGACGTGGCCGCAAGGACGTAGACGCCCGACAGGCCCTCTGCGCCATCCATCTGCGTGAGCAGCTGGTTGACGACCCGATCCGTGACGCCGGTCGAGTCGTGTCCCCTCTTGGGGGCGATGGAGTCGAACTCGTCAAAGAAGAGCACGCACGGCTTGGCCGCTTGGGCGCGATCAAACAGGTCGCGGACGCTCTTCTCCGAGGCACCGATGTACTTGTTCAGGATCTCCGGACCCTTGACGCTGATGAAGTTGAGCCCGCACTCGCCGGCCACGGCACTTGCCAGCAGAGTCTTGCCGCAGCCAGGATAGCCATACAACAAGAGACCGGACCGCAGACGGAGAGGGCACTGGGCAAAGATGGGGGCGTATCTCGTGGGGTATTCGAGCGTTTCCAACAAGACACGGCGTGTCTCGTGCAGGCCTCCGATGGACTCGAACGTCGTCTTGGAGCTCTGCAGCGCAACGTTGCGAAGGGGAGCTGGGGTGAATCCCTTCAACGCACGGTCAAAGTCGACGCGGCTCAGGCGAACGGCGCCATCAGTGGCATCGGGTGGTGATTCGGCAATGCAACGGATAACGGCTTCGTTCCGGGCTCGAGCCACGAGGACGCTCAAATCGCCCGGCATGTATCCGTCGGTCAAGCCCGCCACGTCGAGAAAGTCGAGGTCCGAGTCGATGACGAAGCCGGCGGATTTGGGCTTTGGCCTCTTCTCCGCGTCTGAGCCGTGCAACCACGCTTCAGTGTCGTCGCCCATTGTGCCGCCATCAGACGTTGGTGGACGGCTGAGGTTGCTGTCCGAGCCGTCTGGGTCCTTGTCTGCCATGGAGCCTTGTCGCGCAATGTATTCCATTACCCTCCTTCTCGCCTCCCTGTCAGGCGCCTTGAGCTCGACGATTTCTCGAATCACGTGGCCGCTTACAACGACGTTGTTGAGAGAGTCTTTGCCTGCGGCTGTGGCGAGCAAGACGATTCCACCATCTCTGGTGCAAAACTGCCTGACAATGGAGCGAATGGTCTCGCTGACCTGTCTGCTCCGGCCATTGTCGTTGCCCACTTGGAGTTCTGTCTCCACGGGACACAACTTGTCCAGGTCATCCAGAACTACGACAGCCCTGCCCCCTAGCCTTGCCCCCCAGCTTGCCGACATGAAGATGCGGGTGAGGGTCTCCTTGATGGTTGAAATTCTCGTTTCGTCGTTTACCAGTTTCCGGCATGAGAAATAAATGCTGTGAAACAACAGTTCCTGGCGCAACTTCTCGGCCATGTGCTTTGCCACTGATGTCTTGCCAGAACCCATGCCACCCGTCAGTAGGACCGATGAGAGGTGGGATAGTTGCTTTTGCACATTCTCAAGCAGTGAGTCTATTCCAACCAAGAGAGAGCCGTTCTTTGGCAGCAAGTCAAAGACGTCTGTGTGGGCAATCCAAGGCGGTCGGGCCTGCGGCTGGTGGAATTCGATTTGCGTCTTCTCGTCCAAGCCGGCAGCCCAATACGTTGCGTCCTTGCCAGGTTCTTGGGCGGCATATTCGGCGGCGTACTCAAACCTGATGAAGCCGCCTTGCCAACCTTGAGGCGCCTCCAATTCGCTGTAGACTCCGACAACCATGCCGTCGGTGATGGGTCCTTGTAGCAAGCCCTCGGCATTACTCGCGCCGGAATACATGTGTCTGAAACGCTTGGCTGATTCCTCCTTCTCCGCCTTGGAGTCACTGCCGAACTTGAGACCTTCATTCGTCTTTGACCCAGTCGCAAAGGGGAACACCTTGACGCTCTGCACAGCCCCTTTAGGAAGAGGTGGTGGTGCGGCCTGTATCTTGACCACGCCGCCAACAATGCCCGGGCAACCCAGAACGGCACACAGAGGAGACGAGAGAGCTGCCGTTTGACCATCAGGCGGGTCATCCCAGGGTTTTAAGCGTGCCACAACCTTTGACGAGACTATTGAGACCGGCAGCGCGGTGCCATCCTCAGCCTGGGGTTTCTGCAGACCTGCTGGCTTGATAACGTCGACAACGACGTATGCAACGCCTCTGAACGAGCTCGAGAGTAGGTGATCGCGGTCAACCCAAATGCTAATGTCGGGACTCAGCAGCCCATCATCGAACCATTCCTGGCAGGCGGACCGTTCAACGGCTCGAAAAAACGCGGCAGGCTTCGACTCCTCCCTCGCGCTTCTTCTTCGCATCGTGCTTCCCCCGCTGCGTCTGGACTTGGAGGTGCTGGCGACGCTGCGGTGGTCGCCGCTGGCCTGAGAGGTCTTGGCTCTCACTTTTGGAGCGACGATGACCTCGGCGTTGGGTGACAGCTTGACAAAGGCCAAGTCGACCGGGGGCGCAGGATCCAAGGACACCACCTTGATGCTGGCGGTAGATGTGGGTGACAGATGCAATGTTAGCGGATGTGTTGTTCTGCCACTGTTGTATTCAGGATTTGGAAGGGCTCGGATTTGCGATTGGAGGTTGAGTTCGAGGAACGTAGCATGCAGCTCAATCATCTCCCAATCCTCAGGAGTCAGTGGCTCAATGCTGATGGTGTGTGCGACGGGCGGATCGACGTGAACCGTGGCGGTGACCTTTTGACCGTCGTGGAGGTCCAAGGTGTTTGCCAGCGTCGCATCGATTTCGACGACCTGGATCTCCTGGTCTCGGGAACCTCGACTGCCGCTGATTCCATCGCGGGTCACGAGCGGCGCCGCCCGTCTCCTGCTGGGCATGCCCGTCCAACCCACGAAAATGGACTGTGGCGATGGCGGTTGGCCGCCCGAGGAGGAAGAGGAGGAAGCAGGCTTGTAAGCAAGCTCGACGATGACATTTTGGACGGGCTGTGGGGAAGGGCAAGGTGGTCAGCAGATGCTGATTTGTCCAATCGAGCAGGACCAACGATATGGCGACATACAGTGTTCAGATCGAGGAGCAGGGACACCAGCGACGGCGGAAGGTTGACCAAGCAGTTCTTCAGGTGGACGAGCGAGAGCTCTGCAGTGGTGGACTGCGCATTCTTCCTGGGGGCCATGGTGGACGACTGGGAACCATGGACAAAGGAGCAGAGTCGCAGCCCGTCACCCGGCGGAGCAGCCAGGCACGGGGAAGAAAAAGCTGGTGTCGATTCTGATTTGGGCCAAGCAAGGCTCGAGAGTGGTTGGGGGAAAAAAGCCCTCGAGACGATGTCATGCCGGCGTGCCGGTGACCCGCCCGCCGCCCAAACCCCAGACCGAGGCAGGTCCACGTGCCGACGGCAGCCGGCAGTTTCCCTACCCCGGAGTACAGAGTAACTACAGAGTACGTACTCTTCCGTACAATGAGGCAAATAAATAGATGGTGCACGTGTGCAGGCTATCATGTAACGTACGATGAAAAATTGTCGTGGTTCTTGCTCGCAACTTGTCGTTTCTCTGCATTTTTGGTTCTTCAATTTGAAACTAGAACGACATGCGGTGGTAGGCATGGATCTACCGAGTCTCCAACTTCAGACACGCAACGGACTCGCGAGTAGACCTCCGCCTGCCATTTAATATATTGATATTGTAATGAAAAGATGTTGTAGTGAAATCCAGCACCGGCTGAACAGACTCTGGTTTGCTCACACCTTCCTCAATATACTCATAAACGATTGCCATTTATTTCTTTCCTCGCTCAAACCAGCGCTCAACCACCCGGGCCATCAAAGCACCACTTCTCTTAGGAAGCATCTCCCTCCGGAACGTCAATGTGTGGCCGTACGTTTGTTCTTGACCTGCCTAGCATCCAAGGCTATGCTCTGCTGAAGTCTCCATGGGCGATCAGAGGCATACGCAGCCCTCTGAGAGGTGTCCTTTCAGTACTACACTGAAGCATCCTGGAAAGCTCTGCCATGAAGCAAAACCAGACAAAGCATCTTCTTCGAGACACTTGCATGCATTTCGAGGGTTTTCGGCTAGGCAAATAGCAGCAAGAATTTGCTCATCGTCTCGACCTGCCATCAGCAACATGGATGTACACAAAGTAGCCCGCAACCTTCGAGAGAGCAACATCTCAAAGGATACAATCTTTCTAAACTAGAGATTTGGAAAGCATGATCTAGTAATTCTTCGAAACTTCCTTGCCACTGGAGGCTATCAGGATACTTTTCCAAGCGATGAGAACGGTGCGCCACTTATTCCGCTTTACCAGCAACAGAGGATCCAGCAGCCGCCTGGATACACAGGATTCCCTCTTATATTAGAGGTTCTTTTCCCAGTTCTTTACCCTGGGCATAACCTCTGTGGTCGCAACCATCTCGCACTGATTGATTGCTGGCAAACCAGGCTTGTGCTCGATGCTTTTAACTACCTCTGTCAACCTCTCGAGAGCCGAGAGCCAGGACAGCAGCCAGGGAAGCTGGCGAAGATCTCGCAGACAACGATCACTGGCTACTTCCAGTCCACAAAGAGTAAGCAGCCCTATGCTATGTGAAGAATTCTGTGCTGACTGAGATATCAGGAACTGCCTCTAAGCGAAAGCGAAGCGAGATTAAAAGCGATGATGATTACGACGAGGGGCAGAAGGACTGGCTTAGCAATAACTTGGACGATTCGATCGAGACCGACTTTGCTAACGTCCGACTATAAGTGGGATCAAGATATATTCATGGAGCACAAGGGAGCTGGAAGACGGGGCGCTCGGGTCCACGATTCGTGTGCGCATTATCTAAATTCCGCCCGCTTACGGAGTACGCGGCCAATTGCCCAATCCAGCTTAATCTTGCTGTGCCGTGCGACAGATCGACGCTACTTTATGCGAATGCGTAACGGGCGGGATTGGCCAATTGGACTCAATCTGTAGGGTTCTTGTGCCCCCACTTACTAGTTACGCAAAAACCTACTCCGTAGCCGACAGCGGAATCGCGTCTGACTCACGTCACGGACGTCCAGCTTTTTAAATCTCCAGCATCACTGACTTATCCTGCCCCAAGCTGCATCTTTCGACGCGGACCGAAAGACACCCTTTCCAACAATAACACCATCAACTTAGACCCGCGTGCGCTCTCCAGCACAGTCGATATCATGTGCGGTACCTGCAACGGAGACGCTGCTGGCGCTGTCCCGCCCGCCGCGAACTCGACGACGGACAATGCTGCTCCCTCGGCATCGACAAGCAACGGCGTCTATCCTGCCCAGGGCAAGCCGGCGTCTTCTCCCTACCAGGCTGTTCAGGACTACATCTCGAATGTTGGCAGGTTCAAGATCATTGGTACAGCACTTTCCCCTCCTCCTCGCGTGCATCACAGCGACTGACACTGTATCTCAGAGAGCACTTTGAGAGAAGGAGAGCAGGTACGAATCCTCAATTCCTACGTCGACCCGACGTCTATTTCTTTTTCACGATATTCACATCGGCTATCAGTTTGCGAACGCCTTCTTCGATATCGACACTAAGATCAAGATCGCCAAAGCACTGTAAGTAAACAGCATCACAATATACGGTGAACCACATACTAACACAGTTGGCAAAGCGATAACTTCGGTGTAGACTACATCGAGCTGACCAGCCCTGTAGCTAGTCAAGGTTCTTATGATGACTGCAAGGCCATCTGTCAGCTTGGTCTCAAGGTTCGTTGTCAACTGCAGTGTCATCGGCGCGCGGCATGGCTACAGTTTGATAGCGAGACAGTCGTCGCTTTCAATAAGTGGGACACATAACTAAGCACTATGCATCTCTAGGCCAAGATCCTTACGCACGTCCGCTGTAACATGGAAGATGCGAGGAAGGCAGTCGAGTGCGGCGTGGATGGTGTCGACCTGGTAGCCTCCTCCAATTCTCTTTCGATTGCTCAACTACTTATGCCATGTTAGGTTATTGGAACATCAAGCTTCCTCCGGGAATATTCCCACGGCAAGAGCATGGACATGATAAAATCCACTGCCCTGGAGGTCATTGCCTATGTCAAGAGGTTTGCTAGCCACCGAGAAGTCAACCCGTGCCGCCGTGATGAGAGCTAAGTTCAAGTTCAGCAAGGGTATTGAAGTGCGCTTTTCAAGTGAGGACTCCTTTAGGAGCAACCTCGTCGATATCCTACACCTCTACCAAGCTTGTGACAAGGCTGGTGTCGACCGAGTGTACGGACATCATTTTCCACCGTGTCGCATGCGTTCGGTTAGCTAACGGATCCCAGGGGTGTCGCTGATACCGTTGGCGGAGCCACGCCGAGGATGGTCTACGACTTGATCAGGACACTGAGAGGTCAGTTCCCGCGTCTTCCGATATCACCTGCAGACTCCTATAACTAACTCACATGTAAAGGCTGTGTGGGCTGCGACATAGGTAACCTTGGCCATCATCTAGCTCCCAACTCATGGAAACCCTTGGCTAACCCTAACCCTAGAGACCCATTTCCACGACGATACTGGCTGCGCAGTTGCAAATGCACACTCCGCGCTCGAAGCTGGGGCCACGCACGTCGACACCAGCGTGTTGGGAATCGGCGAACGCAATGGCATCACTCCGCTGTAAGTACGATAACCGTCCGTCTTGAGGAACAGCAAAACCGCTGACCCTAAGAGAAGTGGTGCTTTGATGGCCAGGATGGTTGTAACAGCACCGGACTATGTCAAGTCGAAGTATAATCTCAAGTCGTTGAAGAGCTTGGAAACCCTGGTTGCCGATGCTGTCCAGGTCAATATCCCAGTAAGGACAAGGAGAGCATTCTGATTCTGAACTCTGATGCGTTGAGCTAATCTACTTCCCAGTTCAACAATCCTGTGACGGGCTTCTGCGTACGTTCCGCCCCTCCACCAGCCGACACTCATGCACATTGCCACCTCCTCTGCCCATCTTCCCTTGCATCGCTGACCTCACCCTATCTTTTTGCCCCTGTGTCCAAGCATACTTATCTGTTCCCGCTAACCTTGAGATAGGCATTGTAAGCTATTCATTGATCAATGACGATTACCTGACTCTGTTCCAACTAACTCGCACACAGCACTCACAAGGCTGGCATCCATGCTAAGGGTACGATGAGGAAGTTGCAGTCACTTCTATTCCAGCGCTGACTGTGTTACAGCTATTCTTGCTAACCCATCAACCTACGAGATCATCGATCCGCACGACTTCGGAAGTGCGTCCACGCCCGCCACCTTCCTATTCTATCGAGTCCTCTGTGCTAACGTCTACTTTTAGTGACACGCTATGTCTCCATTAATTCAAGAATTACGGGCTGGAATGCTGTCAAAGCCCGCATCGAGCAGCTAGGCCTGGGCTCGGAGTTCTCCGATGATCAAATCAAAGAAGTGTACGGACCTCCCCTCTTCTCCGCGGTGTTTCACTGCACGGGCGATATTGACACTATGCGCAGGACTGCCAAGATCAAGCAAATGGCGGACATTCGCCCCCTGGCTATTGACGACACCGACTCAATCATTAGGTCTTACCATCTACATCTGCAAACATAAGCCGGAGATGAACGAGTTTGTCTACTACATGAAGGCGTGTGCAGAAGAGGAAGCAAAAGTTTGGGTACTTCGATTAGATGATGATAGATCAATGAAAAAACAAGGATCTAGGCATTCATTGCCACAACGCTAGCATGCTATGCTCGGCACTATTTAAAGTCCTATGCACGCTGCGTGGAATACCTTTCTCCGTTGCGTATCGGGTTGTGGTTAGGCTAGCTAGGCCTTGGCTAGGATTCGAGGTCGTTGGGCTGGCCGTGCGGGACGGCTCTACATCATGAACGAAAATGGATTCAAGTTGTTAATTACGTTAGGTACTTAGTCAACAGACCAATCGGGTGCAGGCTGTTACAAATGTCACTTAAGGTTACGATCTTAAGTGGGTCCACGTCACCTGACTAGAGCCTTCGCACAAAGATGGGAGACATTATGGCTAGTTGCAGCAAGCTTAATTGATAGTGGCGGTGCAAAACGCGACCTTTTGTGGCTGAACGCGTACAGTCGCGTGTTGCCTCCACGCTATCCATCATGATTCACTCCAGCGGTCGCGATTGAGTCTTGCATCTCACATCTCGCATCCATGTACGAACCTCCAGCCCATTATCCCATTTGCATCCGTCTTTCTGCATCGCAGCTCTTCTGCATCGTCACCACCTTCTGCGGCTGCGCTTGCATTTCCCGTTCGACACCGGCAGCGGCGGCGACGCCAAGATGGCGCTTCTAGAATTAAAGGCTCCTGTCGACTATGTCGCGCAGCAAGGTTGGTATTTCTGAGTATTTTCAGAGGGCTGCACCGGGCGCTAACGACACGTAGGTGCCTTCGAGGAGTTCCTCAGCGGTTTCAAAACGTCGCCTGAGCACACAATCACCACCGCCATGGGCGACATTACCATCGAGGAGGATGATTTGAGTGACGAGTACGACTTTATGGATGAAGACGACGAGTTGCGTGAGCGCCGCCACCAGGAGAGGGGGAGGGAAAATAAAAGGGCTCCCCAGTACAAGTACAAGCAGCTGTTGCAACAGCTAGCGGACAGAACTATTGACGAAATCACCATTGATCTCGACGACGTGTATGCTGTGAGTATGCTGTGCTGCGGCCCAATTTGATTGCGTGGGCAAGAAGCTGATGCTCTCTCCAGTGGGAAGGTCAAGGCGAAGAGGATTTACACCTGGTCGACTCAATTGAGCTGAATGCAAAGCACTACGTCGATATTCTGTCCAAGGCAGTGGACAATGTCATGCCATCACCCAGCACGGATGTCAAGTAAGGAGGATCAATACATGCGGACAATGCTCCCGTCACCGCTAACAGGGGGCCAGCTTCAAGGACGACGTTCTCGATGTTTTGATGGCTCGTCGCCAGGCCCGTAATCGTGAACTCCAGGAGGCCGCGGAGCGTGACCCTACTGCCGAGGACGACAAGTTTCCTGCGGAGCTCACTCGACGGTACACTTTGGTCTTCAAACCCAGATCGGGCACCGCTGAAGAACCCGCCAAGGCTCTGGCTGTTCGCCAAGTTAGAGGCGATCACCTAGGCCACCTGATCACGGTCCGAGCCATCGCCACACGCGTGTCTGATGTGAAGCCGATTGTGCAAGTCAGTGCTTATACCTGCGACCGCTGTGGATGCGAGATCTTTCAGCCCATTACCGATAGGCAGTATGGACCGCTGACGATGTGCCCGTCCAAAGATTGTGAAGCGAATCAGTCCAAGGGTCAGCTTAACCCCTCCACCCGAGCATCCAAATTCTTGCCCTTCCAAGAAGTCAAGGTTCAAGAAATGGCCGAGCAGGTCCCCATTGGTCAGATTCCTCGCTCCCTGACCGTCCTGTGCTACGGCAGTCTGGTGCGAAAGATCAACCCTGGCGATGTCGTTGACATCTCCGGCATCTTCTTGCCCACCCCTTACACAGGCTTCAAGGCCATGAGGGCTGGTCTCTTGACCGACACCTATCTCGAGGCCCACTACATCCACCAGCACAAGAAGGCCTACAGTGAGATGATTGTCGACCCTCGACTTGTGCGACGCATCGACAAGTATCGACAGACTGGCCAGGTCTACGAGCTGCTCGCCAAATCTATTGCCCCGGAAATCTACGGACACCTGGATGTGAAGAAGGCTCTGCTGCTCTTGCTCATCGGTGGTGTTTCCAAAGAGATGGGTGATGGCATGAAGATTCGCGGCGACATCAATATTTGCTTGATGGGCGACCCTGGTGTCGCCAAGTCTCAGCTTCTCAAGTACATTTCCAAAGTTGCCCCCCGCGGCGTATATACCTCGGGTCGTGGAAGCAGCGGTGTCGGTCTGACGGCCGCGGTCATGCGAGACCCCGTGACGGACGAGATGGTTCTTGAGGGTGGTGCTCTTGTTCTTGCCGACAATGGCATCTGCTGTATTGACGAGTTTGACAAGATGGACGACACCGACAGAACTGCCATTCACGAAGTCATGGAACAGCAGACCATTTCTATTTCTAAAGCCGGCATCTCGACATCTCTCAATGCCCGTACGTCCATCCTGGCGGCCGCCAACCCTGTCTATGGGCGATACAACCCTCGCATCTCTCCCGTTGAGAACATCAACCTTCCCGCCGCGCTTCTGTCTCGATTTGATGTTCTTTTCCTTCTCCTCGATACCCCATCCCGTGAATCAGACGAGCAGCTCGCAAAGCACGTCGCTTTTGTTCACATGAACAACCGTCACCCCGACATTGGCACCGACAATGTCGTCTTCACACCTCACGAAGTGCGCTCGTACGTTGCCCAAGCGCGGACGTACCGCCCTGTGGTCCCCGAGTCCGTCTCAGACTACATGATCAAGACATACGTCCGCCTCCGGGACCAGCAGCAGCGAGCCGAGAAGAAGGGCAGGCAATTCACCCACACCACCCCGAGAACTTTGCTCGGTGTCGTCCGTCTCGCTCAAGCCCTAGCCCGTCTCCGCTTCAGCAGCCAAGTCTCCCAGGACGATGTCGACGAGGCACTGCGCCTTGTCGAAGCCAGCAAGGAGAGCCTCAACGCCGAAGCCAACACCGGTCGCCGCGGCCTGAATGCCAGCAGCAGAATCTACAACCTCATCAAGGCCCTAGCCGATTCCGGCGCCTGTCGCGCCGACGATGCCGATGACGACGACCTCGGGGTTGAGCTGAGCATGCGGAAGGTGAAGGAGCGCGTGATTGCCAAGGGCTTCACCGAGGACCAGTGGCTCAATGCCCTGGACGAGTACACAACGCTTGACGTGAGTATAGCAAAACTATCCGGGAGTCAAGGCTCAAGGCTAACGAGGATGTCCCAGGTATGGCAAACCACTGGCAATGGTGCCAGACTGGTGTTCGTTACTGCTGGCAATGACGACGAGGACGGCATGGACGACTAAGCACTGGGACACTCGAGAATGTTTGTCGATTTCTGACTTGGTACGGCGTTCTGGGAGAATTTTGGCGGCGGTAAATGGAGTGGCGACACTGCCATGTGTTGGACACGATACACGCCGCACGTCACGCGGGACGCTTGACTCTGGTTCTTGCATCTCCATGTCCTTTTCATGTCCGCCGTGTCTCCGGAGGGGGGGGGGGCGTCTTTCTACACCATAGGACATATCTTGACCTTGACCTTGGCAGGGTGTCATAATGCATGATGAGTTAGCTTGGAAAACTACAGGCTTACTTTATCCCTTTGCTCCATCCACACCATCGTGTCCACTCGGGTATCTGCCTCTGCCTCTGTGCGGGCAAATCCCCAATCTACAAAGAGACGGACGGCAAGGACAGCAAGGAGCAACAGCACACCACGCATAGTGGGGAACCTAGAGGCGTGGTGGTGGTGTTGACCAAATGACCAAATGGTTTCATCCGAAACACATGTGTGATCCGAGTCACGGGGGCGGCTTTCCAAAAAGCGCACCGCAGACGGCATCATGTTTACGCTGGCGGTTGTGTGTTCTGTCAACGCCGGTCCTCTCGTCCCCCCACCCGCAGCGACATCAATAGGTAGCTTCTCCAACGTGCAATACGCCAGTCTTTAATTCACGTCAAAACCGCCACTTGGTCATCCGCAATGCCAGGGCTCACGTCTCAGTAGAGTGTATTGGCGTTGTGTGGTTGTATGGTACAGGCTACAAGTACGTCGTCTCACATCCTCATGGTCATAAGTGACGCCCTCTCCATCTCGCCGACAATCCCATGCCCGCCGAGAGCCCACTTCTCTGCCACGGTCCTCGTGTTCAAGACGCTGCGCAGCATACCGCTTGCACCCCAGTACTCCATCAACACCCTGCCCTCGTCCTTGGACACGCCTCCAATCCGAAGGACGAAACTGTTCTTGAGCGACTCGTACACACGCTCGTCGTACCTTCGCTCATATGGATCGGGCTTGGGGATTTCGCGGCCAGCCTGACCGGCTTCCAGTTGGGAGAGGACAAGCTCCTGGGAGGGATGGTAGTGCGTATTGTTGTCGGATGTGGCGGCGATGACGGCACCGCCGTTGGGCAACGTCGTCTTGCCCGAAATGGCGTCGACAAAGAGCCGCACCAGGGCCAACTCGTGGGCATGCACCTGGTTGAATGACGGGTCGCGGTAGTCGCTCATCCTGTTGATGTGCGCGAGGCCGTCGAGGGCGAAGAGCACCGGCGGCCGCCCTGGCAGCGTGAGTTCCGTCCACAGGGCCTCGAGGGTCGGCCAGGCGGTTTCGCTTTCCTTGGCGCTGAGAACCAGGTCCGCCACGGTGGCACCCGGGTCGAGGTGGGCGAAGCGAGACCAGTCCCTCTGGACGTCGAGTTTCTCCAGGGCGGCCCTGTTGGCCTTGTAAATGTTCTGGAGGAGCTTGAGGGTGTAGACGGGCTGGGCGAACCGCACGGGCTCGGTGCCTTCGACGGGGGAGTACTCGGTGTTTCCGTTGGAGAGGTCCTGGCCTGTTTTTCCCGCATTCGTTAGCAAGCTGAGACGGGTCCAAACCGCGCAAGAGGCCGCCCTACCTTCGGGAATGTGCACGACAACCCAGCCATTGAGCAAGGCATGCGACATGGACTGCAGAAGTGCCACGCTCTTCCCGGACAGTTTGCTTCCCGTCAGCACACACTTCAATGCTTCCTTCTTCTCGACGGCCTCTTCCATCTTGCTCATCAGCCGGACTGTCTCCTCTCTCACCAGGAAATGCGGCCGTCTAAACAAGTTCCACGTCTGCGTCGTCTTGAATGCCTCCAGAGCCCTCAGCTGATCGACCACCGCATCTGGGAGGGCAAACATCTTGCCCTTGCTGTCCAACTTGGCCATGGTATCGGGTGACAGGTCTTGCATGTTCTCGACCGGTAAGGCGCTGTTGTTGCTTAGTTGGATGCGCTTGCGGAAGGCCTTGCGCTCTCCGGGGTTAGGTTTCTTGACAGCCACCACGTTGGTCTTCCTTTTGAACGTCCGCTTGGTTTTCTTCGGAAGATCTCTTCGGGATTTTATCGTCGGGGGAGGAGCAGCGGCCAGAGCAGTCGTAGTTGACAAGGGTGCAGCTCGCGAGAGGACGACAGGACGGATACGCGGCGCAAGGGGGATGGAGGACCTGACGAGGCCGCGGAGGGAGCAAGCCGTCGACGAGGCCATGACGGCCAGGCTGGACATGATCTCGGCTAGGACAGTTGCAAGATGCGGCACGACTACCACAGCCACAAGGGGGCCAATTGGGCCTTGCAGTGTCGTGGTCCGTGGAGAAGTGCGAGATGCGGAGGGTTTATTTTGTTTGCAACTCGGGTACAACCAGCCAGCCTGCTGCCCATGCGGGCTGGCGGCAGGGTGCGCAAAAGCCCGGAAAATGAAAATTCCACGCCGTTGATCCGGCGCCCAACAACCGCGCTTATCAATCTCCGAATTCCTCCCAAGTCCCACAAAAAAGTCGGCAGTTCGAATCCGACCGTTGACGACGTCTGCGACTTCGCACCTACCTACCTACTCCCCCGCCAGCAAATCTCGCCGCTCATCAACAATGGCCCTCCCCGGCTCCAGGCCCAAACTCCCCGTGTCCGTGGACAAGCCCACGCCGTACACGTTCGACCTCGGCCTCCTGCTCGCCGAGGACCCCAACACCGTGACCCTCGACCGCTCCTCGCTCGAGCAGTCCCTCGCCCAGGTGGCCCGCGACGGCGCCCAGTCCCTCATCAACCAGCTCCTCACCACCTGCCCCGTCAGCTCGACCAGCGACGGCGTGCTCCTCTCGCTGCCCGCCCCGTCGACCGCCCTGCCCCGCGAGAAGCCCCTGCCCGAAGCCAGGGCCAGGACGAAGTGGGAGCGCTTCGCCGAGAAGAAGGGCCTCAAGGCCAAGACGAGAGAGCAGCGCAGGAACCTGGCCTACGACGAGGAGACCGGCGAGTGGAAGCGCAAGTGGGGATACAAGGGTCTGAACAAGAAGGGCGAGGACTATCCCATCGTCGAGGTGGACATGAAGAAGGAGAGGGAGCGGAAGGAAGGAACCAGCATCAGAGGGGACGGCAGGCGGGAAAGAAGAGAGCGGGTAAAGCGCAACGAGAGGAAGATGAGGAAGAACCAGAGAGATGCATCGGGGCGCTAGGAAGGATTAATGGACGGCAGCGTGAGAGAAACGCCCACGTCTCAACGAATTGTCCATTCGCAGCAGCAGGCAGGACTCGGAACTTGGGTGGAATGGAATACCCCCCACCCAAAACTCATCGGTTTGTTTATCGCCACGGCGTCCCGTCGCAAACTTGGAGCCTGGAGTTGCATCGTGCTTTATATAGTCCTACTCAAGTAGTCGCAAAATTCAAATTTTGTGTGTGGAACGATTTTCAATACATCAAGGTACAATCCTGCATCTGCATAATTTTTTTCTCCCGTTCCTGGAATCTCTACCATCTAGGCCAACGTCTCTGTTCTTTCTTCAGGTCCTTTAGCCCTCCCCTGTATTTATTTGCTTCTTCAACCATGAGACATACTCCAAACGACTCGCCCTTGCTTATTACTATACACAGAAACTCGAAGTGTCTCTCTTTGTGCTCTCCGCCATCGTTGCCTCTCGCGAGGAAGATAAAGAAAAAGAAAAAAGAAAAAAAACTTATATGTTAGGGGCATGAATGCAAAAACCCTGGCTTCATGATTATCGGCCCTTGATACTTCAATTTCTGCTGCACCCGCCGTCACTCTCCATCAAGCTGCAAACCGCCCACGAAAAATGCATCCTGTCTGCATTCTTTGTGTGTCCATTAAAACTAGTAATTTAACAAAGCACGGCTAAACACGATGATTTAATCCAGTATCGAGAAGCATAAAACAAAAATTTTGCAAATGGCATGGTATATGAAGACTGGAGCCGGCACCCACATCCACTTCGCCGTTATAATGTGATGATTCGATCATGGGTATACCAAACAGCCAAATGGTTTGACTAGGCTGTGTCAAGAGTCAAGATAGGGGGGAGGGATCGACACGCTGTAGAACGACTTGATTTGCCGCAGTAGTGACAGGCAGAAAAGCAAATCATGTACGAAACCAAACGACAAGAAAATAAACAGGGGGCAGACAAGGCGAAATCAACAGTGAACCCCGTCGTAAAGGCGTAAAGTGACAAAGAGACGGCGCAGGCAGTACACGAGTACACGAGTGGGAGCGTGCGCTGCGCGGATATTGCTGCGTCGGAGAGGAATTTTCAACAGCCGGCTCGCCCGGTGCGCAGTTGCACCTCCGTGGCGGTCGCTGCACGGCTAAAAGCCGATGGGAGACAGCGGCTTGATTGGAGACAGCGGGCGAAGCTGTCTTGTCGTCTCTTGCGGTTCGCGCTCACTGTTGGTGGTGAAATTAGTCGAGATCGACGAGATTCTGGAACCAATACTTGCATTGGAGCCAGAGAATTGACGTTGAAGCGCCCTGCTGCTGTGGCCGTAATCGGACGGTTTGTTGCTGTCAGTTGACGACGGCTGACGGTCATTGTGTTCGACTCCATGTGAAGGACCATTGGGCTTGGTTATGCCCCTGGGCGGCGGTTGGTCGAACAGCCTGTACTCTTCTTCAATGAACTTGGCCTCGTTCTTGCAACCTATCCAACAATCTCTCCAATCACACACCAGGAACTTGAAGCAAAAGGCATCAATCTTCATGCACGGTTGGAAACAGATGCACAAGTTCCTGAAGTCCATCTTGTTCTTGTCGGAATGGGACAAGAGAAGACTTAGGTGACACGTGATGGCAAACAGGAGGTAGTAGTTAAAAGGCGACAGGTTGGACAGTTCCTCGATGAGTAACTGCGGCACTTCAGTGGCCCCGGCGCACTCGCGGGCGATGCGGTCTTGCGCTGCTTTGGGAAATAGTTCGTCTGGGAGTTCACGTAGCCACGCCTTGAGCATAGAGCCAATAATGTTGATGTCGTAGAGGTCGTCGTCCTCGAACAAATTGACGTCGTATTCTAGGCGAAATGTTAAAATCACGTCAAACCAGTCTTGGCCGGGGGGTTCGAGACAAGGGATAGCCTACTCTCGTCAAACTTTCTCTGCCACTTTTTTATTTGTGCGCCACTTCCAGGAACTCGGTATAAGCCTTCGACATCGCAGCCGTTGTAGTTCAAGTAGTCAATGGCTCGCCACGGAAAAGCCGGCATCCAGAACTCCGTCTTATCTCTCGAGCTCTCGAGCCGTTTGGAAATGCGAGTTATTCGAGTCTGCTCCACTAGGGGAAGGTTGAGAACTTTTAGGACGTAGTGTTCATCGTCCACGGCATGCTCGCGCTCCGCAGTGCTTCCACTCCTTGAGCCCTTGCCAAAAAGCCCTTTACTGATGATATCAGCGGCCCTTGTCGAAGAACTCCGCAGTCCGCTAAAAAAACCGGAATTGTTCTCTTTAAGCGAGGAGGGAAGAGCTCCTCTCTCTTTATCTCTCGACGAGTCACGGCGGGCGGCCCTATCCTCTGATCGATTCCGTGCGCCAGAGTTCATCATGTCTCTGAATGCTCGGTCCTGAGCCACGGGCGCGGTGCGGGGAGGTACAGCGTCGTCGTGATACTCGTCTCGGCTCGGCGTAGCAGGAACGAGGACTGGGCCGTTGCTCGAATGGTTCCGGTCTTTGTCCCTATGGGACTTGCTTCTGCTCAACAAGCCGAACGACTTGGTCTTGGTCCTCTTCCCGCCTGGCGAGAGGGCAGATGTGCCGTCGCAGTCTCCAGCGGACGACAGCGACAGCTCGGATCGGGACGGTAGTGGCGGCTTCTGCAGGTACTCTTGAGCATACGGAAAATCTATCAGTGGCAAATCAAGTTAGCGATCCCATCCGTCAGAGTGCCGAGTCGCTGGGCGTTGAAAGGACAGCAGGCGGCCCGAGACGGGCCCAAACGGTGGGAAATCCGGCGGACGTCCTCATCTCCGCAGCCACTGGGCTCGTGTCTCTTGCAAAGACTCGAGAGCATCAAACTTTGCGGTTGCAGGAACACCATACTTGCAGACTTTGGAGCACGTGGCTCTTGGGGCCCCCTGGCGGCCAAGTGTTCCCGCGAATGCGAGAACTGGGGGCGGGAATCGTGCACGACTTGGTTCGAGCTGTTGAAGGACTTGTCGGAGTGGAAAAAGCCACTCCTGGTCGACGGCCGCTTCCCTCCGTCGGCGTGGCGGACGGCTAGGGACGGCGATGCTGGGTTCTGGTCGTGGTATTGGGCAGATTGGCCGGGCTGTAGTTGAAGTTGGGGTGGGCGACGGAGACGGTTCGATTCGCAGGCTGGCGTCTGCAGATGTCCCCTGGCAGTCGGCGTCTGCGAAGTCTGGCGTCGTTTGGCGGCGGCAAAGCGGCTGGTCAAGGAGACGGAGGGTTGGGAGCGAGAGTGGGATTGCGAGTGAGAAGGCTCCGGCTGAGGCGATTGCAGCGACGGCTGTGACTGCAGCGACGGCAGCGAGAGCGACAGCGAGGACTGCGTCGAGACGGGCGACGACGCTGGGTGGCCGGGCAGGGCCTTGGCAGCTTGCACGGCCGTTTCAGCAGTCGAGTCGTTGCATGTGGCAGTGCCAGACCCCGTCGCCTGCACCGTTGCCTGCAGGCCGAAGCCGGTGGCCGCTGCTGCTGCTGCTGCTGATGCGGCGGCGGCGGCGGCGGGTGCAGTTGCGGTTGCGGTTGCGACTGCGCCAGTTGCCCCCAGACGGAGGCTGCGACTGTGCGTGTTGTCCGGGTTAGCGTTTGCGCTCGTGTTGGCCTTTGTGCTGGCCAGGCCCAGAGGCAGTGGCTGCGGCGTGGGCCGGCGTCCCATGTTGAAGGTCAACGGCTGGTGGCTGGTGGCTGGTAGCTGGTAGCTGGGGACTGGTAGGCTCAGATGCCCGTGGTGGCCGGCGGCCAGCAAGGCAAATGGCGCCTGGCTGAGCCTCGTGCTAGTCTCTCAGTCAACCCTTGCAGCTTGCAGCCGGTCTGGTGGCCAATGGCCGCGGCAGAACGACGGAGCGGCGTTGGGTGTTGTTGCTTTATTCCTAGGACTCTGCAAGGAAAAAGACGAGGACGAGAGGGAGAGAAAAGGGAGCCGTCTGCCGTTTTGCTGCATAGGACAAATACAATCTCAGCGAGCCAACTTGGTCGTTGCCGTTAGCCCCTTTGCCTCCGTATGTCAGATGTCACGTACATACAATAGGGAGCACCACTCCGTACGGAGGCAGCAACTTGGCTCAGACGAGCGCTAGTTGATGTGGCCCGAGGGATGATGATGGATGGATCAGCATGGATCAACTGTGCAAAGTTGATCAATGCGCGTCTGGTTAATTGTCCGTCAATGCCTGGGCCGAAGGGGTGGGGTCCAAATTCAGTTCAGGCGTCGATACGGGGGTTACAAATCCTGTCAATGTGCCTCCCTGGGCCTCCCTGGGCCTCCTGGTGCCTCCCTGTGCCGTGGCCGCTCGTGCTGAATCGATCTGCTCCGCAAGGTCAAGGTTGGCGTCGTCTCGTCTCGTGTGCTGCAGCCCCGGCCCGGCCACAGCGTACCCAAGTACTTAGTTAGTCTGTCTGGCGAGCTCTGGTCGAAGGGGGTCGGCCGGCTGGTCTTGCCGCGGCGTGGTTCGCGCGTCTGAGAGGCTGGCCGTGTCGGGTCGTGCTGTGCTGTGTTGCGTGTTGTGCAACGGATTATTGAGGTGTGTGGGAGTGAAGAGGGAAAACGTCTGGTGATAAATAACGAACACCTAAGTACTTGGTAAAGTAGGAAGTAGGGAACTAAAAACTACCTACCTTCAAGCACAGTACTGGACTCCTTGCCAGACGGCCCTCCGGTAATTATTGTTGTTACTCGCAGGCGGGACGGGTGCGATGTAGCGCCTGCTGCTGCCTGGTCCGCCGCTTGTCCAAGTACTTAACGCAAGTACCAAGTAAGGTGGTCTGTCGGCTTCCAAGCTGTGAATGGTTTTGTCTTGTCGGGCCTGGTCAGACCCTTGTCTTGCCCTAGGCAATTATACTACAGTAAAGCAGGTTTATAACGATCCCCTGCTATAGCGATTCGGCACACACGCCTAGGCGTGAAGTACCTTTCCTATATGTTATATATATAAAAGTGACTTCTTACTTATAGCAATTTTTCTTATGAATTTTGCTTATTAATATATATAAGTTTATAATTACACACCACCTTACCCCCCCTAAAATCCCTTATCAAGCCTTATCAGCCTTATCAGCCTTATCGTACTAACAAAAGTGGGATTATATGGGGCTCCTTCCTAAAAGGGTAGTCGCATCTTAGCGATATAATCCCTGTAGTCGGGTTATAACGATGGAAAATTGCTCACGAAGGTTATCGTTATAGACCTGGTTTACTGTAGTAGCAGTTGTAAATTACTACTACGCACTTAAGTTTTGCGCCTTCAATGTTCCCTGTTTTATCGGTGCCTGGCTGGGTGCTTACTTGGTAGACAGCACTCGGACAGTCGGCGCACCTTGGAAGCATGGCCAGCCTGCAATCTTCACTCATTCCACGTACTTGGACGCAGCCCGATTGATACTCCAGGTGTCGAAACGATTTCCAATGCCAGCACTCGTCGAGCCAGCAAGGGGCCGTCAGGGACTCAGGGTCCCGGCCAAGACAAAAGCACCAGGCCAAGACCGCGGCCGAGCCTTGACAGGAGCCAGGCGCTTTGAGCCGGCGGAGGGGAGGTGACCGGGGCTGTCTGTACTGGGTAGTGGGTACTCGGTAGTTGGTACCCGGAAGTACTTACTAGCAGGTACTCGGTACGGAGCGCTACTCCGTCCCAGGAGATGAGAGCCTGAGAGCAAGTGGGTGGGGGAGTTCCCGGGTTGGGTCGCCTCTAATATTTGTTGTCAAAGGGGGCTCGCCAACAAAGGGTCGAATTTCACTCTCTTGTTCCTCAGAGGATCGTGTGCCATCAATTCATGCAATGCGGACAAGAGGAGAGGTCAGCCAAGCCAGTTGCCTCGTTGAGGCCTCGGAAGCCACTGGCATCTCAAACATGGTCCTTTTCCCCTTCCTTCACCCATTGCCGTCCAACATGATGAATGAATAATGCGCGGCTCGTTGATCGGAGTGCTTCCCGAACCAAAGTCTACGAAGTATCCATCCACCATGCGTCAACAGGTCCTTGTCTCGTGATTTATTTGCCTTGCCACCCCCCGCCGAAACGAGGCACACTGGCCATCTGAAACAAATCGACGTGGACAGCAGCTGACAGGGGTTACGTATCATCTCCACCGGGTACGGAGTGGCTAGGCGGCACTCACATGAGGTGGGCGTCAAACGTTGTTGAGCATCGACATTGTAAGGTCAAGTACTCCGTAGTAGCTGGAGATGCCGCGGCATTAGGCAAAAAAAATAATAATAATAATAAATTAATTAAATTGACATGAAAAATTCAAGGATTTCACGCGGATCACTGAAATGTCTTTCTACATGTATTGGTCCACAAATATGCACATTGTGCAACAGAATATAAGGGACATCGAGCATCTCAAAGCTGAACCCCTTGATCAAGGGGCGCTGCGCTCGGCTCCACGCGGTTGGCCCAATGCGTCTGCCGAAGGCCTTGCTGAAGTATATTGGCACGTTTCCGAATTTCTCTTCTCCCGTCAAGTCCGTCGATAAACGTGAGCGAGAAAGCAAAAATGGCCTGGATCTGACTGTGCGAGGTAGCCTTGGACAGATCTACGCCGGGTCCGTTTCTCGATACCCAACCTTTGCCGTGGCCTGGGGATGTAGGCCCGCGTTATCCAAGGTGATGAGAAACGTCAAGGACCCAAAGTTCGTGGCCGTAGAATTCTTCCTGGAGCTTCCAAGGACAAACTCAACGTCCCTAGCATCGTCAGCCTTTGCGGCCCAATGCTGTGTCACCCAAGCCAAAGCGTCAACGTCAATGCCAAGGCCTCGGTCTGGTCTAGGTGAAGGGTTAAAAGTTCTGGTCCCTTGGGAAAGGTTTAGAGCACAACAACGCATGGCAAAGATTTGTGCAAGACTACATTCTGCGGCATAACATCGTCGCCTACTTACAGTGGTTTATGCACTAATATCTCTGCAGCATAATAAATGGCCGTATTCTAAAATGTCTTGACCGAAAGTTTGAAGGCTGAGTAAATGAAGAGAATTCACACAATCACCTTACTTACTACCTGAACACCCATGTGGCGTGCCCGTGATTGTGTAAATACGACTTTGTCACCATACGTACGACCATGGACGTGTTACGGAGTGCCGTGTCCGTGATACTAAAAATAGAGATTTCTCTCGTGTAAAGTTTTAAGTAGCTTCACATCTTCCTGGTGTCGTCGTCCACTGACCCCGATTTGGTGTGACTCGATTACCTAAGCTGGACGCAGCGCAGTTTCTTCACCTTGTCCTGCTGCCTCGATCTTCTCCTCCGGTCCACAACAAGCCCTCGTCTTCCCTTCTTACCAAGCACCATGGTCAAAGGAGGCGCAACCACGGACAGTCCGGCACTTGCCGTGCACGCACATGTGAAATATGTCCAGAGTCTCGATACCAAGAAGGACGAGCTTGACTATTGGCTGACGGAGCATTTGCGGCTCAATGGCGTCTACTGGGGCCTTACTGCCCTTCACTTGCTTGGACGGCCGGACGCTCTCTCTCGGCAAGAAACAGTTGATTTTGTTTTCTCATGCCAACACGAGAATGGCGGATTCGGCGCCGCCCCGGGGCACGATGCTCACATGCTGTCCACAGTGAGTGCTGTGCAGATTTTGGCAATGGTGGACGCCTTGGATGAGCTTGATGCGCGGGGACATGGCAGAGTCAAAGTTGAACAGTGTAGGTCACCTCAAAGCCCCGAGTGTCCAGGAATTACTCTAACCCGTAGGGGAGGGGGGCGACAGACATTGCAGACCTGCAGGATCCTAATACCGGCAGCTTCTATGGCGACGAGTGGGGTGAGGATGACACCCGATTTCTCTACGGTGCACTGAACGCGCTGTCGCTTCTCGGTGCCCTATCTCGCATCAACCTAGACAAGGCAGTCTCACACGTCCAGAGCTGTGCGAATTTTGATGGCGGTTACGGCGCGAAACCCGGGGCGGAGTCGCATTCGGGCCAAATATTGACCTGCCTGGCTGCTCTGAGCATCGCCAACAGGCTGGACGTGGTAGATGAGGAAAAGCTCGGAGGCTGGCTTAGCGAACGACAGACCCCCAGCGGCGGCTTCAACGGCCGCCCTGAAAAGAAGGAGGATGTCTGTTACAGCTGGTGGGTCCTGGCCAGTCTGGCTATACTCAAGCGGACACACTGGATCGACCGTGACGCTCTCATTGCCTTCATCCTGAGCAGCCAGGATTCCGAGAACGGTGGCCTCTCGGATCGCCCTGGCGACATGGTGGATGTATGGCACACGTGCTTCGGCCTTGCCGGCCTCAGTCTCATGCAATATCCTGGGATGGTGCCGGTCAACCCGGTCTACTGCATGCCCGAAGCCATTGTTGCAAAATGCGTCGGGTCTAACAGATGAGGTGACTTATTCAAGCGCCGTTCCACCTTCCAAAAACCAGTAGCGACAGCCGGTCGTGATCCTCAGCTATTGGCACATCTTACCCTCTTGCCATCTAATAACCTGCTAAAGGCACTGCTCCGTGATAGCCAGGATACAAGGCGAGAGAAGAATGAATGAAAACATGCAGGTTTTTCAGGGGCATGTCCTCCCCTCATGGAGATTGCCCTGTGAAGTCCTCCAGACATGCACTGCGCCGCCCGGGAAACAAGGGAGCACCGTGAACTGGTGCAAATGGCCACGACTACAAGGCAGAAGAGAAATAAAGCTTCAGTTGCATCTTGATGCTCAGTTGAGTCTGTTTTTCATTTACTGCATGCCCCATGCCACTTGGGAAAAGAGCTAGAAACCTCCCTTGTCACAGCTATGGCACGAACCAAGCCTCCAAGTCAAATATCGACGATGTGAATCCTATCAGTAATTACATCAAAGTTTTGAAAAGCCATTCGCTTTCCAATGTGGCCGCGTCTCCTCTCACTTGAGACCGAGTCCTGCCCATCCCACATGGCGATGCCTCGCTCGAGTGTGCCTCCCACGATACACTTGTACCGGCCACATGTCCTGCCAGCTGGCAGATCATGCCATCGAACTGCTCAACACTCATGGCCACCAAAAGGGAAGGAGCAGGTCGTCCAACGTGGACCCTAGGGCATGAGCCTCGATACAGTTCTACCACCACCAGACCCAGACGCTTACGCTTCGACACCAGACCCTTCTTGACTTTGCCTCGAGTTGCTCACCCCGATGTCCGCGGCTAGCACCTAGCACTGTCTCGCTCCTTGACATTGTGGAATTCGCCTCCGTCAGACTTGGTCCCATATATAGTCTTTTACTTGACATGATTGGTATCAACTCCCGACGAATTGGAACTCCCAATCCCCAATTGTAGGGGTCACCTCGCCCTGTTGGATCGCGGCTTCCTCCTGTGGCTCACCATGGATCGAAAACCAAGAACACCGATTACGGCAATCATGCAAACGGTAGGCGCGTACCATGATATTTCCTTCCAAAAAACCATCTTCGCTTCGGCTGCGGACTGGTCGTCATGCTTTGGCGGTTGTTTACTTTACCCTTCCCTGCCTGCATCCGATCATCTCTGTACCTCAGTTCCCTCCACTTGCTCTTTTCTCAATTCCGCCATCACCTATTGCTTCTTTGCTCCTGTAGTCCGGATTGGGCCGCACATCCTTTTTGCTGCTGCTGCTGCTTTCTTGTCGTCGAACCACACCTGACTTGGGTACTGGACACTCCTGTCAAAGGCCGAAGCCGGGGATTACGTCGTTCGTGCCGACCTCGGGCCCGGCATGTCCATGTTTCTCCTGCCAGCTCGGTCTTTTCAAAGGCTAACTTTTCGCACCTAGGATATGGAGTCGTCTCTCGAATCCACCAGAGATTGTACACCAGCTTCAATCAACAAGAACATCCCGCTCCTTTGCACAGTTTGCCCAGAGGCACCCCGCTTCTCAGACGTATCGCATTTACTCACACACATCGCCTCCAAGGGGCATCTACACCATGAGACACAAACTAAACTCAAGTCCCACCAGGATATCGCGGCATCTGTGACCTTGCAGCAGTATGAGAGTTGGTACACAGCTAATGGAATCGAGGCGCTTCTTGTGGAGAGAATGAAGGCAAAGCAGAAGAAGGAGGCAGCAAAGTCCAGCCGCACTCGAGACTCAACCCCATCGGCGACATCAAAGGTGAACACTATTTGTGCCCGTGTGTGTATTGAGCTGATCCACTGACCCAATCAATAGTCGAGACGAAGGTCCAAGCGAAGCTCAAATAAGACGACGGTGAAAGCTGAGCAAGACGACTTGGCCCAAGAGCTCCCTCTATTTCCGGGACTTTTTACATCTGAAGTTGATGCGGAGATGGATGAGGAGTTTGCCAGCGGTGACATGCTGTCGCTCAAGGGCCAAGTTTGGCCCGGCATGGGCAAAATGGACCTTGCCAACGATGACATGAAGCGTACTCGGAATCAACGCAAACCCAATTCCGTAATTGAGAAGATGAAACATACCTCCGAGGGAATTGAACCTAATCAGGTTGTCATGACGCCGGATCTAGAGGTCGAGCGAGTCAAGGGAGTTTATGACAGCTCCTCGCCTATTCCTGGTCAGGAGGAAGAGGTCAGCCTTGTAGTCACCCAACAGACACAACGTCATGGCCGAGCCCAGTGCTAACAGTCAAAGACTCCCAAAAAGACGACCAGGTCCAAACGAAAGCGGCCACAAGCACTCGCCGAATTATCAGTCAACGTGCCTCGCCGTGCTGGCAGACGACCTGGCCGCCGAAATGGCCAATCCAAAGTCAAGGCATCTCCGGACGAATGCAATGGCGACGGCATCCTGCAGATTGCTGTGCACGCGACCTCTTCGAGACATGGAAATGATGTGTTCCGCGACGACGACAATGACGGAGTCTCAGGTAAGGCTTTCTCAAAGCCGGGACCTTTTCAGCTGCTGAGTATTTCAGGAATTTATGGCGATCGCATGTTCACAACTCCATCCCGTCAGGACCAAAGGTATGTACTATCAATATTCTGTTTGTTGATTTACGCTTACAACTAGTAGACCTGACGTGCTAAATCGCATGGGCCTGTATCCCTATGACCGCGTATCGCACTCGCCGCTCATGTCCCCTACGCCTTCGTCTAGAGACGTGTCGTCTCGCCTTTTCCCGTCGAGAAATTCACAGCGACCGAGGGTACAAGGTAGTGCCTATGAGAACTATGGTGGACATGCAAACTTTGGTGAGTTTTGTTCTCTCTCTGTCGTCCAGTAACTCGTCGTCCATTAACCTTCTCTAGTCTCGGTTGGCCAACCCGAAACCACGTCTTTTGGTGTCAACGACCAGTCGATTTACAACTATTCCTCCAGGTTGCCATTCGTGCCTTGCAACAATGCCGGTGCTTCAAGTAACTACATTTTCCGCTTCAACTCCAACAGTCTCCTGCAACCGAAACCAGAACGACACCTGAGCCCCGGACATAGCGAGCTGATTAATGGGACCGGTAACCCACAATACCTGCAGATTTCTGAATCGAATCCCCTTTTTTCTCAAGATCGACCCATTTTTGGTTCGTACAGTACGATAGGGCCATCTCAGACGCTCTCTTCCTTCAGCATGCAATCAATGAACCGCGGCAGCGACCACAATCAAGAGGCTGCTAACAACCAAGATGACCACGCCACCACGGGTTGCAGCATCAAAATGGAGAACCATTTCAGCGACATGATGACCAACGTGGCGACGGGGGACTGCAAGCAAACTAGCTTCACGGAAACCGAGGTATGGACGAGTACTGAAACATTGGACTTGTGAGCAACGTGCCAATATACTTCAGCAAGGCCTTCGGCACCGTTATCTCATGGATCAAACTGGGACGACTATCAATTCTACGGTATCATGGACATAAGTTTTGGTTCTTGGGTTTTTTATTCGTCTTTTCCTCCAAAGAGATGTACCGTTATATAAAAGGGCCGAGGATTAATCCATGGAACGCTCATCGCCCGCTTTTGGGGGTTATCCATCCCTATCTACAGCAACATTCATACCATCTTACCAGCTTACACGCTGTCTCCGCACTGAATCAAGTCTGAAATCGTCTTGTGTCGTCGCACTTTTCGTATCCTTATTCAATCTCGATACCACGTCAATTTCTGGGTTACTGCATGAGGTTAATACGCGTCAAATCGCATCATTATGTCGAGGGGTGGACGGCGGAAATAAAGTATGAGCGCAGTCTACGTGGGCGCGCCTCTTGAAAGGGGAGATGAATAGTAATGTCTGCACTCGAGCGAGCTATCACACGTCTTTCATAAGGAGAAGTTCTGTGGTCTCAACACTATTATCAATGTACCCGTTCCAGGGGTTCATGTGAGTCAAAAAGAGGGAATAGCTCAAGATTATATACAGAAACCGCCTTGAGAATTCCAACATGTGCACGCGCAGTGATGGCTCATAATTGCTCAATACTCGCAATCAAATGCTCCAGCTGCTCTGGTCCATGAGTCATTACTTGACCCAGCGTTCGACTGGCCCCTTTGAGACGCCGTACCGTCATATCCAATTCCATCTTGCCAGATTTATTGGCCGCCACATCGATGACCTTTTTGGGAATCCGGGCAAGACGCGCTACATTCAGCCCATACGATCGATGTGCAACTCCTTCGCCCACTTCATAGAGAAAGGTAATCTCCTCGTCGCCATCTGGCCCCTTGTCAGCCTTGAACTTCATATGAAGGTTCCTGACCCCGGGGAGGCCGTCGACGACTCTAGCAAGGTTCTGGTAGTGGGTGATGAACAGCGTGAGGCAGCGTGTCTCAGTGGCTACATGCTCCAAGACTGCCTGGGCAATGGCAGCACCATCGTGTGTGCTGGTGCCGCGGCCAAGCTCGTCGAGGATAACTAGGCTACGTGGTGTGGCGGAGCGGAGTATCCTTGCAGTCTCGGATACCTCCACCATGAATGTAGATTCCCCGGCAAAGAGGTTGTCCCTGGCGCCGGTGCGGGTGTGAATCGCATCACAGAGCGTGAGGGAGATGGCGTCGGCGGGGACGAAGGACCCGATCTGTGCCAGGAGCACGATGAGGGCGAGGGCGCGGACGTAGGACGACTTTCCGCCCATGTTGGGGCCCGTGATGAGGTGTGCCAGGGGCGAGGGGTGGGCGAGAGTTGTGCTGAACGGGATGTAGCCTGTTTCGATGGTGTGTTCTGCAATGGGGTGCCGGCCCTGCGTGATGGCGACCGTGGGTTCGGACGAGGGCGGCAAGAAGGTCGGTCTGCTGTAGCCTGGCTGGGCGGCGACCTTGGACAGGGAGAGGAGGCAGTCGAGTGAGGCGAGTGATGAGACGGCATCGCGAAGCGGCTGGTAGTCGGACGATATCGCGGCGAGCAGATCCTTGAATGCCTTGTCGCAGGCGGCGGCGAGAGCTTCGCGGTGTTGGTCTCGCTCGCCAATCATGCGCACCACTTCGGGGGTGTGGAAGCGGGATACTTTCTTGGTGCCCGAGATTTTGCTCCACGAAGCGGGAACGTTTCGGATGTCGCTGTTGGGGACCTCGATGAGGAACTCTATGCCTGCCACGGTCACGTAGTCGGCCTTTTTCTTCTTCAGCTTCGCGGCGGCCACTTTGAGGTGGTCGTCTAGCTCATGCTCTACGTGTGCAATGCACATTTGCTGGTCTTGGACGTCCTCTGTCTGGTACTCCTCTCGGAAGAAGGCATACTTGTCGTCCTTTCGTGCGGCTTCCAGGTTTATTCTCTCGAGGTATGACACGACCGTGTTGAGGATGCGGGGCAGTGCATTGATGGACGTGGCGAGGAGGGCAGCTGAAAAGGGGTTGTCGGAGGGGAACTGGACGGAGGAGTAGTGCGTGGCAATCTTTTGGAGGGTTTGGAGGACTGAGAGGAGCTCGGGACGGGTGCATTTGCCGTAGTAGATGCGAATGAGACTGCGCTCGAGGTCCGTCTTTGTGGTGGCCAGGAGTTTCTCGAGGTCGTCGACCGGCGCCGTGGACTGCTTGTCGACAAGTTCCTCGACGGCAGCGAGTCTTTCTTGGAGACGGTCTTGGTCTAGCAGGGGCCGGCCGACCCATTTCCGGAGAAGACGCTGACCGAAGCGGGTGAGTGTCTTGTCCAGAGCCCAGAAGAGGCTGCCCCGTTCTGCGTGGTCTGTGGAGTTGCGGTAGACTTCGAGGCTCTCGAGGGTGGTGCCGCTGAGGAGCATGTGCGACTGGGTGGTGAAGCTCTGGAAGTACTTTGTCAGATCGAAGACGTGTTGGAGCCCGTACTCCTCGAGGTGGTTGATCATGGCTGACAGGCAAATTGTGACGGGCTCCGGAAGCTTGAGCACTCTGTCGAGCAACGCACTGGCCGTCTCGCTTTGCGATGCGTCCTTGAGCTTGTCGGCATAGAACTGCGTGACGTGAGAGTAGGCTTCTGCTGCCATTGTCCGGGGTCGAGGCACCCGCTCTACTCGGCTTCGGTCACCAAAGACATTGGTACTGCTTCCTGACAGGTGCTGGACCAACTTGTCGGTTCCCTTTGTAAGATCACCCACTATGAGAAACTCGCATGGCGATATATGCAGCAGTCTCGTTTCGATCTCGCTTCTCATGAATCCATCTTGGAAAGTGTCGTAGACGATGTCGCCAGTTGCGGGTTGAACTGCCAGTATGCCGACGTCTACTTTTTCATCAGTCCCGGTTCCTTTGGATATTGTCTCTGTTATACACAGCAAGTAGCCGCCTGCAGGCGCTCCTTCAGCTTGTTGATCCAGCTCGCCGACTTCATCGACGTACGTCCCTTTCGTGTAGACATTGGTGAGCTTTCGGACGAACGGGGCGTTGCGGTTGTCGCCTGCCTTTTTCAGGGCAGCTGTCTCTATTTGTCGAACCACGCCGACCTTGTGTCCTGCTGCTACGAGCCGCTTCGCATGAACAGAGAGTCTGTGGACAGGAATGCTTGCTGAGGCAAACCGATCAAGGTGTGCCTCGGAAGGATCTGCGAAAACCGTTAGCAAAAAGGTCATGGGAGAGGGGGGCTTTCAAATTCACGGCACATACGCTCGTCATATCGCATCTTCCCAGGTATGCAGACGATGCCGAGCTCCTTTGCCGCGATTCTGGCGTCCTCCCCGAAGAAGCGGAACTTGTAGCCGACTTCGACTATGAGGATGGTATCCAGGTGCTTTCTCTTGATGTCCAAAAACTGAAGCTCCATGGGGGTAAGTCTGCCGCTCTTGGCACCCTTCTTCTTGGTCTTTGCAGGTGTCGGCAATTCGTCCTCGTCGGCATCCAAGTCTGCATCACCTTCTTCGTCTCCTGCGGCTCCATGGTCTCGAGCTATCCTTGACCTCCAAACCAGGGCATCGGGATGACCCAGTTTCTTTACAAATCGTTTGTGCAGCTGTTGGTTCATGTGTCTTCTGTCGTCGTCGTCGTCGTCGTCGTCGTCGTCTTGCGTCGACTGGGTCGCAGGCTTGGTATCTGATGCGTCGTAGAGATAGCGGCGAGCCCGGGACACTGCACCCGATGCATTCGTCGGTTTGCCCTTGACCGTCAATGTGCTTTCTTCTCCGTTGGGATTGTTATTCTCGTCGCCTCTGGGACGTTTCGACGACCTTTCGGGCCCTTCGTTTCCGTTGTCCGTGTTTTCTTCGAGCGGTCGCTTGCGAGGAGGCGAACACGAGGGAGACTGCGCCTTGTCGTCGTCCTTCACGGCGGCGTCTGCTGGTCGAGCTTCGGTCTGCCGGCGCTTGGAGGAAACGGCCGGTCCATTGACCGCCTTTGGAGTGAAGAAAGACGTCAATGACTGCTGCTTCCTCTCTGCGGGTTTTGCTTTCGGAGCCATGGCTGGCCACAGATGGCCTTGTGGGCAATGGTATTGCCCTGAGCAAATGCAAATCACGCTGGACGTTGATTGAACTTTATGAGCCGTCGCGTCTGCCATCAGAGTTGCACGCGTTGAGTGCCGCGGGCCCGCTTTTATCCGTTTGGGCCTCCAGCTTCGTGAAAAGACGCCTACCCGGGAGACCAGCTCAGGGTAGAAATCGGCTGCTCTATTGACTTTCCAGGCTGGTCAACTTCCAAGGCGAAGCCGGACACACAAGCCAGCAGTTGTCTCGAGTCGTGATACTAGTGTCATGGCCCGTGACAATATGTCTACGGACAAACGGAGCGGAACGGGGCGAAATACTCCGTATCAATTTCTGAAATGTATGTGCCGGTACAAGCTTGGTGTTTAGGTAATTGGCATATGTCGACCACAACACGATGCTCGGTGACAGATAATCGGCTCTAATCTTGACATTCCCAGGTAGCGACGCAAGCCTACATCGGTATTGTGCTGATTTCTGTGACAAAATCTATGAGAGGAGGGAAGTGAAGTGACCCGATTCGTATCCACTCCTTGACCGGCGTCGCGTTCGCCACTTGACCTGGCTTGGGTAATATAATTCATAATAGTGGGCACAGGCTGCAACGAGTCAAAAGCAATTTGGCGCAGTGGAAGCGCGCCGGGCTCATAACCCGGAGGTCGTACGATCGAAACGTACAATTGCTATTGTTTTTGCTTGTCTCACGACAAGCTCACTTGGAACAAGGTTTCATTTTCTATTTTTTATTTAGTTTTGTTTTTAATGCCGGCCACTTCCCCCCGCTTCATCTTTCCCCCCGCCCTTTTTTCTTTCATCTTGTAGAGATGAGGTATCATCAACAAGTTCGCCGTAGCACAAGCAGATGTGATATTTGTCACTGCAGAAACATGCGTCCTATCGGTACCATCCATATCTGATCGCCGTTGCCGTTACCCAGCTGCTGTCGTCTACAAAGGCCAAGGGACGCCCGACTGTGCTGGATGCAACATCTCAGTCTGCATGGAAAGACTTTCACGTCACTCGGCAACTCACTCAAGCGATGGTATCCAGCCCATGCCCTGCTTCGAAGTGCCTCGGCCCCCTTTCCAAGTCCTGCCACTTTTGACTCCATCTTCTCGTCACCATGATGCCGCCATCGGCCAAGCTCCTGTCACCTGTTGTATCAGACAACTGATGTCGTTGATGGTCATTCCGAGAACGCCTGCTGCTACCGGTTTCCTCAGTTGATCCGGCAGTTGAGTGATACCCAAGGGGGTCTGAGCCAGAGTCGTGGTGAAGCTCAGGGGCCATGACACGACGGCGGACAAAAACGGCAAAGGACGGGAGGCACCCAGTGATTATTGCTAGACATTCTTAGTACATCCCATGTTGACGACTCGTGTGCAAGAAAGACATCGCTTCAAGCATGCACATACCGACGACTCCCTCGATACAAGCCCACTATGGGGGGAAATATTAGTTTGTGCAGGTCAACCTTTGAAAATAAGCAAGACGACGTACCAGCATGAGCCATGTTGTGCTGACTTGACCTTGGTACACGCCGACTTGACCTTGGTACACGCTAGAGTCTAATGAAACACTTCGGATAATGGCCGTAATCATGGTCAAGACGCCAACGAGGAAGATGACGCCGACGCTGAGCTTCTCAACAAGCGATATTTTCAAATCCCACAGGACACGGACAGGCACAGCCATGACTGTTTCACGTCAGCTCCTCACGGCCCGTTTCGAGACTATCGAGTCAGACTTACTCAGAAGGTCGGTCGTCAGGTCTGCGCCGAGGCCGAACCACAGACTGATCTGCTTTGCCCTCGAATCCCGAGCGGTGGTGCATAGCCCTGGTGTAAACCAAGCACGCATAGACGAGCAACTGGTGAAGTTGCTGATGCAGCACCCGATAAAGGTCAAGACGGAGAATATAAGAACCCCCCACCAAACCCTGTTGTACCAAGGCAACCCGTCTGTGAGTCTCTTGAACATGGCCAACAGGCTCCACTTGACAGACCAAAGGGTCAGCCAGAAGAAGAACTGGACGGTGAAGAATTCGTGGAGCATGACGAGCAAGTCATGCTCCAGACTGGCATAGGGCTCCATTTCCCCCGCAATGATGGCCATGGCGTTGAAGAAGGTATTAGTCGTGGCATAGTAGAGCGCGCAAGTAATGGCGAATGACACTAAGGCGAGATACATGAATAAGTCTTCCATCTCAGTTGGGATTCTACGACACTTGAACCATCGTGCTGCAGTTCGCATCATGACGAAGACGATGCCTACGCACAGTGACGCGAGTAGTCCTCTCTGTAAAATAATCAGGAGCCGATCATCAGTCAGATATCAATGTTGGTGAGAGGGAACTTTACCTCGTCAGCTTCTCGAGAGACGTTTTGCGACGCCATCGCGGCATTCTGTGCGCGGCAGATCCGCGAATCAAAGGATAGATCTACAAGACTGCAAGAATTCAGATCTCTATTCGCTCATGATTTTTCTCGGCAAAGGGTCAGAAACGTCAAATGCCAATACAGTTGGTCCATGTAGTAAATGTCATTTAGCTCTCCTTGTCAAAGACATTTTCTGCCAGCTAGTCGGCACAGGGTGTGCTGCAAGCTAAACAAGCTCCAACAAACTCCCGTCGATTGCTACTTCTGCATCGACAACCTTCCAAGACATGAAATTTCTATGCTCATTTCAAGTTCACTAGGGCGGTAGAATGAGGTGGGTTGGCTGGTAGGAAAGACACATCGCTCTGCACTGCCATAGTCCGAGGCAAACGCGAGACGCCCCCCCCCACCTTGTCGAGAGCTTGAATGGCCAGGTGCTCATCGGAATGGAGGGAGGTCCACCGATGGAACCAAAGAATTGATATTTGGCGTTTTGACCTGACGGAGCGGTAGTTATGGTGGACGGGCGGGGAGAATGATGAAGGGCAAAGATGGTTTCGAGACTTCCACATCGAAATTTGCGACTTTGAATACCCCGACACGCACTCTGGAACCACTTGCGTGAGCCCCCGAGCAGGTATCGACACGCTTTCTTTGTTTGTCATTGGCAAGGGACAAAGCCAGCAGTCTGACGGGCTCGGCGGGCTCGACGGTCAGTCCAGGTACGAAGGGCGGACACGCCTCGGGTACAACGGACGCCACGGCGAGTAGCTTTGAAGGAGTCGAGGGTTAAGCATTCAAGACCGAACCGTCAGTTCGGCACCGTCGGGCTGGCCCCTTCAATGCTAGGGCGCTGGATAACCTTGACGAGGCTTGCACGCCACGACGAGCAGCCATGATGGGCAGTGCAGAGAGGGAGTGGCCGGGATGAGCCCAAGGTCGATTTCATGGTCCGAGAGGGCTTTTGCGACGGGACAGACGGACGACGGCGATGCGGCGGATTTGGACACACTGAGGCGTTTGTGGATGCTGAAGGCTCTTGGCATCTCAGTTGTGTTGTCGTTCAATTTGATACTGTCGAGCATATAAATTACTGGCACTGTGCGGAGTAGTGCTGAAGCTCAACGTGGAAGGACCCGCCCACGCCGGTCAAATCCAGCCAATTACGCCGAGGAAAACATTCCGCATCAGTACGTAACGTAACTACCTAGGTACGTATTCCCATGTCCCCACGGAGTACTTCAACTTACCATCACGCAGATATGTGATGGAAGGAGGCTGCACTATGAGAGGCCGGCGGCCAACTATCTATCCGATCTGCACAACGCAAATCATGACACAATACACATGGTAAAGCAGCAGAATCCCCGTCCAAGTGTCCACGCCATTCGATCAGAATCTGCTTCCCTTCCATGTCGTCCATCCCGGATCCCGCAGGCCAAACAAGGCGTCTCCTAGTAAGACTGCACAGTATCGTCATCTTGTTCCCCCCAGCTTGTCCTGATCCAGCTCAGTATGCATGTTTCGAGTCTCAATGCCGTGCTTCTGGCCCAGGCCCATCGGGTTGTTGGTGCCTCGGCCTTGATTGATCTTGAGCTAGGTTCATGCCCAGGTCAAGGCTTATCGAGCACGGAAAGGAACCCATGTTGCGAGGTCCGCTCCCTAATTCGGCTGTACCCCAGCCGTAGGGAACCTGCCCGAGTCCGTCTTTTAGAAAAGAAAAAGAGTCGCTCCGAAGCCATGGCTGGCTACTAGTTGACACTGCAGTGGCCCTTCTTAGCCTTCAGCCAGCCCAGGAAGCTTTCATATCCCAATAGCCTTGTGTCCATGAATTTGAAAATAGTCACAGCAACAGGCGCTAACCCGTCCCGCCAGTCGATTTACACCAGAAGCAGCGGTCGGCGTTGACATGTCGTGTGGCCCAGTACAAATTTGCTGTCAAGAGCGGTGATGATGCCGCATTTGCTGGTGCTTCCAATACTGATTGACCACGGCTTGACGTTGGATCCGAGAAACCTGAACCAGGTCGTGGTCTCCGACAAGAACCAGACATCAGTCGGCGCTGGAACTGTCTGGTATGACGTATACACCAAGCTTCAGCCCATGTGTTTGACCGTCATCGGAGGCAGGGTGTCTGCTATTGGCGTCGGCGGCTAATTCAGGGCGGAGGCATTCCATACTTCTCTAACCGATTTGCTGGGCCTGTGACAATGTCAATAACTTCCACGTACGTTGCGATTTGACAGGCGCAACAGGACAGGTCGCGTTTGCTGACGGTTCTCTCCGTGACGTTAAACCCAAATAATTTTGGCATTGTCGCTCGCTTTGATCTCGCGACATTCAGAGTGATACCTGGGCTGGTTTCCGAACTTTCTTCCCACTAACAACACAGCGACTTGTATCAACAGTACCTTTCTTTAACCATTTTGCCATCGACTCACCACAAGATCCCTACGCTCAGATCACACGTCCTACTCGTTCAATGGACGCAACTGGAATGCCTACCTTTCCCGCACTCCATGCCATCGGGTACAATAGTAGTCCTAGGCAGATTCGCCGTCGCCGTACTTCCCACCAACAGAGATGGCCTACATACCACCAGCACCCATTCACTGGAAGAGACGTCTGAATAGTGTCTAGGCTGCTGTGGTATGAAGAGCATTTCGACCTTGAAGATTTAATTTAGCTTCTGGGATCGCGAAGTGTTCATTCCTCAAACTCACCCGTATGTATCTCGAGCGGATGATAGTTACATTTTGTTCGTGACAGATATGGCCATGGTCAACAGGAGGAGTATCCATACCATGCATATGCAGTCCACACACAAACTACAGTCCGATATACAGTAACATTGCTGCGGCCAAGGCAGTATAGCGCGCGATTGCCTAGCACATACTCTGTCAAAATTCGGCTTGCTTCTTATTGCATCTGTTGTGTTTGGCTATTAGATGATTAGATGCAACGCATCTGTCACTGGATGCGAGAGAATAGCGGTTGATGGTTGCAAGATATTCGATTCTCATTATTCCTGATACACATAAGTCTCGCACGGACGGATAATGGCGTCCGTCTGAAGCCCCAGGACCCTGCGATTGCTGACAGCCACCATCAACGCAACCTGTTGACGGGATGATCCAGATTGATGGCGGCGCCAGTATCCAGGAACGCCGAGGAACGGCCCCAGACTCCATCCTTCGTCATTCGACGATGAGAGTGAGGCGGATGTGTCCGTGTTGCCTTTTTCAGAGAGAGTTATCAAAGTAGGTAACTACCTGGTAGGACAAAGTACGGAGAGTAATCGTCGTTGTGGTTGAACTTGTGCGCCTACCAGCCACTCGATTTTATTTTGTCGATTGACGGCAGGCACGAGCAACCCGCAGCCCGCACCCCCACCATCGTTCCTTCCCTCGTCCAAGCGCCGTCTCTTTCCCTTTCTCTCTTCCTCTCTGTCTTGCAGATTGCAGCTGCAACCTGCACAAACCCGCATCGTCAGCGGTCTGGGCATCCAATATTTCGTCTGAGCGCACATCGCTTCAGCTCTCCCGCCGCTCCAGCTTGCATCGTCCCGAGGAAAAAAAAAACTAAAAAAAACTTCCCGAGTACGTGTCTACTACCAACATCCGCAGTCCAGAGCAACTGCTCTCGTCGGCCGCATTCGTTGCGCATCCAGCAGAATCACCGCAATGGGCTTTCTCGATCCCTTCACCGACGGCCTCTCCATCGGCCCTGGCGGCATGTCCCGCCCGTCCAAACATCGTAGGGACGCCTCTCGATCGCGCAGAAAGCACCGTTCCCGCTCGCGATCAAGCTCTCGCGCCCGCGGCGGCGCCAACTCCATCACCGGCGCCTTGTTGGGCGGCCTCACCGGCGACAGCCACTACTCCAGGCACAATTCGTCACGGGGATCCTTTTTCGGCACCGCCAACAACAGCCGCTCGAGCTTCTTCAACTTTGGTGAGTGGTGGTGGTTGTTGTTGTTGGACCAAGCGTCGGCCTCTCTCCCACGAGGGCGGCCTCGAAACTTGCAGCCAACTGCCACCGGTGCCGCTAACACTCGACCAACCATTCAGGAAACCGCTCTTCGTACTACAAACGGTCCCCTCGACAAGGCTTTATGCAGCGAGCGTACAGGCGGCTCCGGCGCCTCATCCGAGACCTCATCCACTATGCCAAGCGCCACCCGTGGAAGGTGTTTTTCCTCGTCGTCATGCCCCTCGTCACCACGGGCGCATTGGCCGGCCTGCTCGCCCGCTTCGGGTTGCGCATTCCACCGTCACTGGAGCGCATGATGGGCGTGGCCTCCCGCGCCGCTTCGGGCGACTCCCTTGGACTCGTCAGCGATGCCGTCCGCATGGCCGGCGATCTTGGCCGCAACACCCGCGGCGCCAGCATCTCCCGTGGCCGTGATGGCGCCCTGCAGTGGGAGAGACGGTCTAGCTACGGCAGCTACGGCGGATATGATGACTACGGCTACGGCAATTCCAGGGCCCGTGGTGGGAGCGGCGACACGTGGAGCAATACCATTGCTGACGTGGCGAGACGATTCCTTTGAGCCCTGCGTTGGAGGAGGGCTCTGTCTTGGTGGTACGCGAGGGAAAGCACTTGATGACCCTAGATTTGGCTCAGCGCATATGACGGACGGACGGACGGCTCTGAGCCTTTTTTTTTTTTGTCCCTTCCTTCCTTCATTCACTGGCGCATAGGGCGTTTCGGGTTTGTGGACATCTGGCATATAGCATCTGCAAGGCCGCTTGCGGGTTGGCTGGCTGGTTTCATTGGGGCTGTGTCCCTTGGTTCGCGTAGGAATATTTATGTCTTATACGTACGTACATATTATCTGTATGTAGTTGTCAGTAGGCAATGATACGACCATGACGATGCTGCGGAGAGACTTGGGTACCAGTAGTTTGCCTCGCTCAACCGGACCTATTCAGGCTCACAATCACTCGACAAGCATTCACTCAGCACTGCGAACAAGTCGTATAAAAAAAGTCATTCATAGCCATTGTGCATAATTTGTATCATTCACTTACACCTGTAGGTTCGCAAATTCCTCTGAAATCTACTTCTTATATCCCATAGTCGCCTGCCAGGAGCCATCTTCCTCTTCGCGCCCAATGCATAATATGTCCAATGGAAAATAAATAAGTAGTAGACACCACACCTCCCCCCTTGGACACAAGACTGGACACTACAACCCTCTCCACGTCGTCGCACCTGAACCCTCGGCTCCTCGCCCACTTCCACCCCGTAAGATATGCACACGAGGGGTCAAGGAGCTGGGGATGAAGACATGCTATGTATCCGTGCTTGAAGAAAAAAAATGTTCATGCAAAAGTCATCCGACGCCGCATGCCTTTCATCTTTCTTGAGTGAGGGAGGCTGCTTCGATTTTCAATCTGACGATTGCACGACCCCTCTTCATCTTCTCATGTGCTGGCTGAGAAGAGTCTGACGAGAAACACAATGTGCCCATCTTGGTGCGCGTTTGCTTTCGACAGTGACTTCTGTATTGTCTTGATCGCATGGTAAGGCTTCTTGCTCCCAAGATAGAACCCGTCAACAACTGGATAGATGTCGTTCTTCGCAACACATTAGACAATGATTGCTGAATGTGCAGATACGTGAGTAATCCATATTCATTCGTAATGATATTCGATGGTTTTTTTTGGCGACTTGTTTCCCATCATGCTTTCTCTTCTGGTTCGCTGTTGCAGAGTAATGAAAAACGAAGGAAATCAATATCCTCTACTCATTTCGTGGCCAATGCGATTCAGGTTGGGCTTGGCTCCTTGCTCGGCTTCCAGAATTGCATCATGCGACCAAGCCTTCTTGTCTTGCTGCCCTTTGACCGACTTCTATTGCCTTCTGCTTCATTATCCAAGGTTACTTCCATGGAAAGTTTGCTCCTCTCGCCGTGCGAGCTACTGATGAGTCGACTCAGTGACACAAGACTTGACCGCCTGCGTCCAAAAGCTGCTGAAGAAACCGACGACGGGCGTTGCTCCCGAAGGCTTGGTTGTGACATGCGCGCGCTAGGTACGAAGGTGCTGTCCCGAGTCATTGTCGAGTTGCTGGAGGTCAATGACGGAATGTCGTAGTCAACCGAAATCCGCACTTCAGGACCAGGTTCACCCATGAGCAACGAATGGAAGCTGTTCTCATCTGTGACGGACGAGGGGGCAGTAGAGATTCGCTGGGCGTCCATGGACATTGGCGATCTTGGTGAGGGATACGATGAGGCATGGCTTGTCGAGTATGGACTGGTAGGCGTTGCTTGATTTAGATCAACTATCGACAAATCTCGATGTCCAGGTGGGATTCTTGGAGAAGATGCAGGGGAACCATGTTGATCAGCTGTTAAGCTCGAAAAGACCGCACCACAACGGCAAGTGCTGAACGTAGGCTCTTCATTGATGACTTCTTCGTGCAGTGAAGTTCTAGAACACTCCGTGCGGACAGCATGAACAGAAGCCGAGTGGTCGGTATTGCAAGTCCCGCAGTTTGCTTTACGGAGAGTTGCAGCAGCGGCCATCTCACCTGGAATCAAAGGCTCTGGAATAAGCTCTGTTGCGGGTGGCGTCATCGCCCCGTCTGACTCGTCACTCTTCCGGTTTCTGGCATCGTTCGAGGCAGCTTCGGCATGCCCTGAACTATCCTCACCCGCTTCCTCTTCCTCTTCCTCATCCTCCTCTTCTTCAAATACATCTGCCATTGTTGAGCTGCTGCCAAACCGATGGATACCAGCGCGGCCAGGATCAAATGGCGGCAGATCCGGTGCTGATTCTGTTCGACGATGATAGTGCATACCAGGTCCACTAAACCCTTTTAAACCTTGTGCGCTGTGTAGTCGTCGCTTGTTGACATTGCCAGCGGCTCGCTGTGCTGCGTCCCACTCCGGATTGCGAGGCAACGGCGTATTGAAAGGACCAAGAGCTGCATCCAGATCAATCATAGGGTACAAACTCTCTTCCTCAGACTGTCGTGTAGGGCCAGTTGGTTCTTCAAGAGGTGGTGATTCGGTAACTGTGACTATAGGAGGTGCCAGTGCGGATGCTATTTCGTTTTGTTCGGGGTCGCAGTCCTCACGCCCGTCCTTATCATCCGCAACTGGACCTACCGAAGCCGGAGGCGTTGGCGGGCGCATTACGTGTATCTTTGATCGTTTTCTATTGTTCCGAAGAGGAAGTATTGATCCAGCCCAGCCCTTAACTCTCCTCTTCTTGCTGGCTTTTTTGTGGTCCTGTTTTGAAGGACTAGTAGAGCTGTCCCTAGCAGTACCTTCATCACCCGAAGAGCAAGATTCATAATCGGATGACAGCCCTCCAGGCACAGCCCTTGATACAGACTCTGAGGAGCTAGAGCTGGATGACCGATATTTGGACGATGATGTGGATCCCATGAAAGGTTCTAAGCCGAAAAAAGACCACCTCTTGGACGTCTTTGTTGGACTTGGGGGCGTTGCGCTGACGGGCTGCGAGTTGGCCACATTTGACAGTGTCGGAATAGAGTTTCGCCGTCTAGGAGAGGTACTGGCTGCTCCAGTTGCAGCCTTGAAATCGGTAGTGCCTTCCAAAACGGCACCGGCCGTGCTTGGCCTAGAGTCGACAATTTCACGGGTGGGAATTCGAGCGAGAGATGCGGGACTCTCGCGTCCCCCGGGAGACGCAGCAGAAACGAGAGAAGATATGCTGCCTGACACGGAATGTCCCGGGCGAGCTGTCATAGTACTTGATGTGTCGCTTGAGACCAGTGACAGGGGCCGGGGAATAAATTCCAGAGTGTCCGAGAATCCGACTCGAGCCCTCCCAGGCCGCGACTGCGTCGGGGTGGCATCCGGTCTTAACGGGGAAGCCAATAAGGTTACGGAGTGGTTGCTCATTGTGTTCTCCTTGGTCGTGTTGAAGTGCTGGGCTGCAATGGGATTGGCAGGCTCAGGCAGTGGAGGTTGGTGGTCTATAGACACAAGAGGACCTTCATTTAGATTGAATGCAGTCGGGCTATTCGGTGCACTGCTTCCCTTTGGTCTCAAAAATTCGGCCTGCGGACGGAGAACAGGAAGCTCGTTTGTAGAAATGGTGCCAGAGACGCCACGTCGATGGCCTCTTCGTGGCGGATGAAGTCCGGGTGAAGGGAAACCACTCTCCGACTTGGTTGGGCTGGTGCTCACGATAGCAATAGAACTACCATCTCGGATACTACCTCCCACAAACTCACTTCCTCCACGTCGGTGTCCATGCCCGGGCGGTCGTAACGGTGAAGGGAAGGCCCTGCCTGAGTTTGGTGTGACTGGGGGGCTGAGGACTGTCATGGATTCAGGATCAGTAGGCAAGGTTGCGCCAGGGTTGAAACGAAACTGTGGGAGCGCTGCTGGCCGATGAGCAATGCCTGGCGACTCCCGAGTCGGAGACGCTGCAGGCCTGTTTTGAAGATCTACCATGGAGACTGGTCGTCGACGTTGCCTAGACGTGGATGGCGATGAAGCAGAAGCTGGGCTGGCCGGGAACACAAAGGGCGGATTGGCAGGACGTGAGTCGGGAGGACTCGACACCTCCTGATCAAGTGCACTCGAGGCGGGATTCGAGGCAACGAGATGACCAAATGGCTGTTGGATGGCAGGCATGCCTCTAGGCGAAGCACTGGCAATAGGCGCCATACACGCTACGTCGTGAGAAGTTGCCATCTATGCTGGGCCGCGCTGCGGCGGGAGAAGCGATGGACAACTCAAGAAGTCGTCGAGGTCATAGGAGGAGCGGAGTTGTTTGGGGTGAGCACCCAAGGGCCTCGTAATTGTCGCGATTGAAACCGAAACCGTAAACGAAGGGGACGAAGAATACTGCGGCCAAGGTAAATAACAGATGCGGTGAATATGCACTAAGTCTACAAGCCGAGACTATACGATCAGCACGCCTCGGGTCGAATTGCGGAAACAAGTGATGCGTTGCCGCGGACTGTGATGGCAAAGGGTCTGTTGAAGTCATGCGATGGCCTGCGGAACGGTACCAACCTGGTGAGAGGAATGCAAAGACGAAAAGCATTAAAACCGGGCGCCAAAGCCGACGTGTCGGAGGCAGGGCAAAATCAAGACAACAAATGAGTGGACGGCCAAAGCCAGCGCCTGCTCTCGACGAGAAGTGCAGCTGGAATTGCACCAAGTTGACGATGGTAAGTCGTGCAAGGAGCGCGGTGAAGCGGCTACCTGGAGGTGAGAAGTTGCGAAGTTGGAGGGAAGATGTGGGCGATTGAGAAGAGGCCAGGCAGTAGGATGGCCGGGCGGCGATGACAATGTTAGGTCGACGGCCTGAGTGGGTGAATAAGGCGACGGGCCCTGCCAGCCAGTGCCAGTGGCCAGTTGACGAGAGAGTGGGGGAGAGGAGAAGGAAGGGCAGGGAGGTTGGGGGGTGCCAGGTGAGAGGGCAAGAGCGCCGCTAGACAAGGAAAGTGTGCGACATTCGCCGGACTCGAGTTAGTACTGCTAGTACTAAGAAGTACCTACTTAGGAACCCAGGTAGAGCCATTTGTGAGATGGGACAAGGGGCAGCCCATGAATTGTCATCTTGGCTGCTTTGCTGCTGCGAGAGCGGGAAAACGTCAATGATGGAAATGGCAACATGGCCGTCTGGCGTGGTCTGGCGCAACTGCTGCCACTTTTACGGAGCGGTGCTACTCAGTGCCTACCGAAGTACTATAAAGTAAGGCACCCAAGTACTTAACTACCTACTTAAGGTAGCTACTTAAGGAAGTACCTATATACTTACTTCCGAATTTACTACAAAACTTACACCCCTGTACGTTTTTTTTGGGGGGGGGGGGGTTATGCATAGGGACCTTATTGTTAACAGTAATTTCAGCTCATTTCTAGCAGTAATTGTTAGTAAGTACTTAGTACCTAGGTAGGCCACATAACAGGGAAGTAATGGGCAACTTGTCTTAATATGAGAATTTATTGGAAAATTAGGTACTTCCCTGCCCTACATGCTCTCTGGAAACATCATATCTTATTGGCTTCGACCCCTGGCTAAACTTTCAGTGTCTGTCCGAGTTGTGTTAAGTAAGTACTTACAAGTAGGTGAAGTAGTACGTAAGACCATTCGACGAGACGAGCAGGCGGAGAGAAGCGAATGCGATAAGCACGCACGCCACACGCGCAGATGCCGACGCAAAAAAATCCAAGACTTACTGACAATCTGCAGGTCGCAGACGCGCGCTCCAGTGCTCCGTACGCCGGGCCTGACAAATACGGAGTGCTCGTACAGTCACAGTCCATTGCAAAATGTCGTCGTCGGCGCTGCGACGCTGATGATCAAGGTTTCGTTCCTGGTTGGACTTGGACTTGGACCAGAACCAGGACCGCCGTTGCCCGGTGGGTCATGGCCTCCATCTCCATCCTCTCATGTCTCGTCGTTTCTCACATACTCCATTCGGCCTCCATTCGGCCTCCATTCGGCCTCCATTCTCCTCCTCCACCTCTCTCTAATAAAAGCCCACCACCCTGTATGTAACTCGCCGCCTCCATCTTGGCACCATGTCGCCATCCAGCTTCCATCCGGCTTCAGTCTACTGGGGAGTAGTACTGCCACGGTCACGGCCCCTCACCGTCACCAGTCACTCCCTTCAGGCCTCAGAAAAGGCTCCGTGCGATTCTCGGCGGCCGATTGCCCTGTTCTATTACTACATCATTATATTCTATTTGGGCTCACGGCGCACCGAAGGTAGCGGCCTTGCGGAAAGCAGTTTGTCCAGGGTCGACAGCGCATATCTGGCCCTCCTTCAAGAGAGTTCCCCCGGCAGACAAAGGACCAAGGCGCTGGCTGCGACGCGGACTCAGAGATCTGCGACAGCAACCAAGGCAGGCTGTCAACTCAACGTGATCAAACTCATCAACCTTCACAAAACCTCAAAACGGTTCTGGGAATCAGCTGGTCCGTCCAAGTTGGGTATTCCTCCTTGTTCCATTACCCTGGACCCCTGGACCACGACTGACGGATTTGTCCTGGATGAAGGTGGGCAGTGCATTCAACCAGGGTCAACGGTGCCGCTGACAGCTCCGATTCGTCGGGCGTTGCTTTTGGCGGACGCAAGTCCCTGGGCTTCACGTCGATACAACCGGCCGTGCGTGCATTTTGCGCACTGCCTGAGCCAACGAAGCCTCCAGGAGGGCAGAGTGCAGGGCGTGCTGGTAGCACCGGCGGGAGTCTGCTTGTCGCAGTCGTAGCGTTACCTAGGTATCCAGGTAAGTAGGCAGTCTTGTCGTGGTTGATGGCCAGGCAACACTGTTCATGGAGGCTCTAATGTCGACACTTCGAGTTGAAACGCCTCATGACTAACGGCGCAGGACAAGGAGCAATCTCAACTCTAGCTGTCGTTGCCTGAAAAGCCTGACATGCAAGGCAGCCAGAGTGCGGGCTGCTCACATGACCGTCCTCGTCATGTTCCGTCGCCGTACCAAGTCTCCTCCATCATCACCTTGATCACCACCATCAACACCACCATCGCCACCATCATTACAGTTGTAGATATCCTTGTTTGTCTTTGCACGGTGACTGAGCTACTGGGCAACTGCTCCTGTCCAGACTGTCTCTCGCCCTAGCCTCGATGCGCTGGCTTCTTTATCTATTAGCCGATCCTGATCTATATGCTGCTATTGTATGAACCAATTGGCTGGCTTTCACAATTATCGCGCCGGGGAATGACCTAGGATGGGGATTGGTCAGGGAAATTCACGAGTCACCATTGTGTGTTTCAACAGTAGATGGCGGGGTCATCGAAAAGCAAAAACACCTTGAAGCACTCGGCACTCAAATAGCGCCCGGCGACGACCACTCCGAACGAACTTCTCCCCATGAGAGACTGATCGGCCGAGACTGCTACCTCAGACTGACTCTTACCGGGCTGTGATGGCCGGATCCAGCGAGACCTGGATCAATCAGGACCAGCTGTCTTGCATCTGACACCTCTTGCGGCAAGATTCGAGACAGTATTCGCAATTGAGAGCCCGACAACTCGGACAGTCAGCCACCGTGCAAGTGACTGAAGGACTCGCCATGTGCTGCTGAATGCCTCTTCATCTTACTCTTATCTCTATCCCCTGCTTCAGCCAGATACCGTTTCCTGGTGTGGTAGTGCGGTCGAGAGCTGTAGCATAGCATGGTGGCGTCAAGCGAAGACCGACGCAGCGAACCCTCTGATGTGGAAATCCTTCGTTTGGATATGTTAGAGCGAGCTGGGTTGTCGATTGAAGATTCTCTACTCTATGCTCAGCAATCTCGTGGCACACTTGGGCACGCCGCACGATACAGGCAGCTATGCTAATACGATGACTGCCAAAATCCACGAGAGTTTGGTGTTCCGAAGTCGCTGTCAAGAACCTGGGTTCGGTTTCAATCTTGTTGTTCACACCAATGAACATCAGTCGCGGCGGGAACGGGGTGCGGTTCGGCACTCTTTGCCGTCGAGCGGCACGTCACACACGCCAGGGCAACCTTGGAAGTCCGGGAAATATGGTGACTGGTGACAGTGACGTCTCACCTCTCAACTTCACGAAACACATCAAGAGAGTCAGAGATCCGCCGGACATTGCACAAGCCGCCCTTGGACAACACCGGCTATCTGATCCTGGAAGCATGTCGCGGCCGGATAATCACGCCACGACGATGAAATCCTCACCCTGTCCACCTTATGTTATCGAAATGGGGAGCACGCCCTTGCCCTGCGTTTGCGTCCCTCGTGTGACGTAGAGAAATACGTACGTACCATTGTCGATCTCGGCCACGATGGAGTCGTGGTCAATAAGGAACGCACAGACTTGATGCGATTGTACGTATATGTTGATTTGCGCCGCGCGAGTTTGAGGTACGTACTCTGGACTCGTGTGAATGAATAACGCTTGCTATTGTGAGCTCGGGCTCGAGGAGCACGGTTCAATTTGTATCGAGCAACACGACACGGCGCGCGTTGCCATTGGCGATCTAATAAAGTGTAATAACCGCAACTTTGCACCCCCGTATTCCAATTTTTCGACACACACCTGTCAAGTCATGCCTTGTTGTTCAGGATGGAAATACGTACTACTAGTACGACCAGCAGCGGCACAACCTTGCTTTTCCACAAGGAAGCGGAGTACTTATTGGATGACGTCGTCATGCGCCTCACACTGAAGCCCGCCGTTTGTTCATGCTCAGTTGAGGACTGCTTAAGTTCGAGGGGCCACTTGGCTTCGTCCAGAGTCTGTCCCTGGAGGTCAAGGCCTGTGCGACCATACCCAACTCTATGCATACGCGAATCGCAGCGGCGTAGCCGCGCTTAGGAAGAAGAGACGCTCATTGCCACGTTGCTTTTACGTTTCCACGGGCTGGGGTGCTGGGGTGCTGGGGTGTCTGGTCTGAATACTCGGAGCTGTACGGCGTAGATTCAAGACAATCGCAAGGTGATTGACATTTGGTCTTCCGCATACGGAGTACTCCGTACTGGACACGGTCATTTCCCACAGCAGATTGCGGAGAATATCCCGAGTCAGCCCTCTGATCCCTTGCGTGACTCCTTAATAGGGATTCTTCCCTGCACACGGCGTCGCTCCGGGATCATAGGTGGTGGCCCCTGTGTAAACGCATCAAACAAACGCTGCGGATATGAATGCATTTCAGGGTCCGACATGTTGATGTTTTGCTTTCCTCGCGCCCAATGTTTACTACTACTACGTACTAGTCGCGGCGGGACATCAACACGAAAAAGCGCCTTGGAATTAGGTCGGTCCCTGGTCCCAACATCGAGCCTTGTTCATAATTGTCAAGTTGCCAGGGATGTCCAGGTACCTGGGACAGCCTCTAGACAAAATTTCTCTTCTGAACCGTGCGTCATGCAAGATAAATTTGATGTCTGCACGGGCGTTCATGTTGATATGTACGTACTCCGTACGGAGTACTCCGTACATGCACCATAGAGGTGTCCAATCGTCACCTGTGCCTTGTCGGCAAGCGACAGAGACCGCACTGCATTACCGATAATTGAGCTCAGCTTGACCTGTCGTGACAAGCGAATGCGCGCCAAAGCCACAAACAAGCCTTTGGTGGTCAGCAGGCACCGTCCGCCACGGTTGCGCCACAGACGGCGCAGGGGTTGGCGGGTCCTTAAAAGACCCTGAATTGCTGCGCCACCCTCTAATTTGGTTTTAGTGCGTACTTTAATAAATACTAATAGTAGTACGTACTACGTACTCCGTAATTACATGCCAGCCAGTCAACTTTTGTGCCGATTGAAAGATCGGTCTGGCGGCAATTGGGGACCAGGCCGACGACACACACCGCCTTTTCCCTTTGTGGTTGTCGCTGACGGCAGAAAAAATGAGGTGATACTTTTTGCCTTGACAGTGGTGTTTGGTGCATTCTCTCGCTGTCACAGAAACATCCGGCGACTCGCACATCGGCAATGTCTGACAACGAGGCGCCAAGTCTTGTACCTGCTGGGCCAACAAAGACTCTCGGGATGCGAAAAAATGGTATGCTCTCCTGTCTTCTACGTGCCATGCGACATGGTTCCGGACTCTGATGCCCGCGCGCACAGGCAAGCAGTGGCATGAACAAAAAAAGGCTTTTCGCCCAACCAAGGGCTTGACCACCTTCGAGAAACGAGCAAAGGAGAGAGCTGTCATGGCCCAAATGAAGGAAAAAGAGAAGGAGATGAAGGAAGAAAAGGAAGCAACGAGGAAGGTACGTCCCACGGCGCGGACCACGGGACGCAGCCTTTCTACAGTCCGTGTGCAGTCCTGTCGGGCGGCTGGTTGACTCGTAAAAATTGCAGGAGAAAATCGATAAAATCCGAGAAAAGCGTGCCAAGAAGGAGGAAAAGGCGCGATACGAGAAAATGGCAGAGACGATGCACCGCAAACGAGTTGAGCGATTGAAGAGAAAAGAAAAGCGCAACAAGCTTATCAACTCATGATCCTGTTCACCGAGGAATCATTGGCATGGAAAACTCTGTACGAGACGCCACCTGCAATCGGCAGCCAGGTCCGAAACGCCCTCACGGCGCAAATATGAAATCCATGACCCTAGCCACCGAGAAAGCCGATGCGGCAACGAGACATCGCATCGCGCTATCGGTTCGAATATAGCAGGTGTTTTGGAGTAGTATGATAACGTGCCCCAGGTCACCGTGGCCGAAGAACAGCACGACTGAGCATGAAAACAAAAAAACGCCTGCTCACGGTGCAGACGGATCATTTTAGGGTTTGCTAGCATCGGGGCAAATAAAATAGCACGTGGAAACACTGAGGCATGGGCAAGCTTTTGGCGTTTGGGCTTGTAAGCACATGCGTACCATTTTTGTTGGCAAGGGACGTCGGGGCTGCACAAAGCTCGAATTTTCCTATAGTAACGTTAATGAATATCTATGCGAATCAGTCGGTGCCCATGTGAAGTCGTGGGTTTCGTTGGGTGGCGGTTGGCCGCTCCACTCTTTTTCTTGAAACTGGCCGTCGGTCCATCGCTTTGCCTTTTGTCGGAGCTGCTTGCGTCACCCGCGGACGGTCACTCGGCACGGACTACGGAGTACGGCACAAGAGTAACTGGGCAGTGCAAATATACGTACTTGAGACGGAGCATGACGTCTACCGTTGACCATGGGTTAGATGCCCCTAACCGACCGTCGACCCCTCAACGTAGCGGTCGCCACCAGATCAAGCGGTCAATGACGGAGCTCCCGTCGCCCAGGAAGCTTCATCTTCACCGTCACCCATACCTGTACCGTCGACAAGGCAGCCAATACGAAGAAGAAGACCAACCTCCACTACCGTCGACTATACTTGCGGCGCAGGTTCGACACTCTGTTGATCTACCACTCCCACTCTCGGCGGCAACGAAGCCGTATATGAGCCTGAACCCGAGCCGACGCGCGAGTATGTTGGCGCCGAGGGAAACTGGGGAGGGAGACGCCGAGGGGAAGAGGCAGCCGAGGGGACCAAAGACGCAGCTGGAGCACGACAAGGCCTCGATACGAACCGAGTGAGTGCACCCTGGGCCAGTGGTATTCGCGGGGGTTGGGCAAATGCTAATAACATGCAGAAGTTTAAAGCAGTCGCTGATGGACCTGAACTCGTTGTCGACCACCATGACAAAACGGCTAGACGATACATACTACTCGGTTCTAGAAAAAATGAGCACCCTCCAACACACGGTCTTGGCATTGAAAGATCTGGCCGAGAGCTCTCGCGACCTGTGCGAATCATTCGACAAGGACGCGCGAGAATTAGAAAACGACATCATCTGTCAACTTGGTGCCGCTGGCCATTTTGAGGAACAGCAACGGAGAATTTCGACGCTCCAGAATCGCATACAAGAGGGCCGTGATAAGATACAAGCCCTCGCCTCGAGGGTTGAAGTAGTCCAGGCCAGGGTTGAAAGCTGGGAGCAGGCTGACAGGCGGTGGCAGGAAAAGACCCGCAAGAGACTAAAGATTATATGGTCCGTCACTACAGTTCTGGCTCTGATCATCATTGCTTTCATGGTAGGCATGAATTACGCGAATGTCGGAGGGCAAAGCGGACGGTGGGGGAATTCCAGCATGAGCCCAAACATACCGCCTTGGTTGACCACATTGAGCTCGCACCATGGCGAGAGCACACAAGAGTCGGGGAGGAGGTTGCTTTGGAAAGCCCCGGTGAGGGATCAGGAGGGGTTACGGGCGTTTGATGATTTGTGAGTGCCTGGCAGCGGCAGAGCAGCTTGGTTGGGCCTCGTGCGACGCGGATGGTTTGGCGGTTTAGCTTGCATTGCTTGGAGCATGAAACTACATCCGAGCAGCGTTTCTACGATATTGAACAAACCAACAATGCCTGACGACTGGACATGCCCGCCTGCAGGAGCACATTACATGTCTAGCACGCGAACTTGTACAATCGTCGCAACTGGCTTCAAGCGCCAAGCTCGGCATGCATGTCGTCCAAGGTGCTCAGCCACAAGCAAGTTGCCGCGTCACGTTCTGGGCCTCTGCCGTGGGAGCGGTCCTGATGATGTTTTTTCTTTTCGGGTGGACCCTGCTCGACTCATGATTCCGGAAAACTTCCGTGAGGCTGGCGAGCTTTGAGAGATGGTGAATGTCCCTAGTCGAGGACGGAGGATGTCGCAAGGTATTGATGCATAAGCATAAATGGATATTTACACACAGAGGTGCCAGCGTTGCGCAAGCAATATTTTGTCGTTCTTGACACGCCTCTTCTGAAATTGTCACCACGACCGAGAGCTCTGTCGGACGCAACAGGCGACGGCGCATTGTTGAGTGTCGGCCAGCTGGCATCGATTGGTCAGTCATCTGGACATCTGGTCTGTGCTGGAACCACACGTACACGGCCCAGCCTGGACAGCCTGGACATGGACTGCCCACGTACTCCGTACTTACCTAGGTAGTTACTAACTACTACTTACTTGGCCACCAGCTGACAGTTGACGTCAGGCCGCCCGCCGGGCGCTCGGGCGCTGTGCCCCGCCCCCAGTTGACAGTTGACATTCATCGCTTGACCTTCTCTGGATCCTGATTTCCTGATTCCTGGAGCCGTCAACCAGTCCATGTCTTCCCAAGAAGCTGTCCAGAAGCAGACATTGAACCGGATCCATCTCCTCAACGCCCGTCCCCGAGGCCACCACGCGCGGCGCGGCACAGCAAACACCGACGGCATCAACGTCGCTACGCTTGCTCGTCATGGTTCAAGACAGCGGCTTCAGCTCGTCGGCCGGGGCTCCCGCATCTGCTGGCACCACCGCCGACACCGTGGAAACGAAACAACTCCCCGTCCGCCAGTCCTGCTTTGGAACAGCTGCTCCTAGTCAGACCCTGACAGGAAAGCAGGAGCATTGTGCGTTGGGTCTCCCCCAGTCACATGCATACTCTTGAGGCCGCGTGCCTTGTGCCGCCGCCCGACGACTGCACGTGCAATAATGCTGACATGCCGGTTTCACAACAGATCTGAAGCGCGAGCTTATATCCAAGCAGGTAAAATGGGAAATCAACGAACTCAACTCCCCTACTGCTCTTCAGCGATTCGGTTCGCCATTTCGTTCCGAGCACGGAGAGGTCTCGCCCCAGGAGTCGGAGCTACCCATCCTTCGCTACATCTTTGTTCACCATGTTCGAGACTTCCCCTTCCTTGATAAGGCCAAGGAGAAGGAGTTTTGGCAGGACAAGCTCCAAGTCGTACGTCATCACCATCCCGCTGTGGCTCACCCGTTTCCGTGTTTCTTCTTTTCTCCTTCTCCCCCAGAGCGCACACGCGTTCTAATCCAGAGCAAACCGTCTAGTTCTTGGAGTCATTTGCAATGAAACGAGTTTCGTCTTCCGAGGACCGGCTGGAGGAAACCAAGCGTAGAAAGCTTGCCATCAAGGCGCAGAAGCTCGTTGAGCTGATGATGGTGTCCGGCATACCTACATCCTCTGGATTTGAAGAGCGCATTCGGTTCTCGGAGATTGAGATTGTGGATAGCAACGCCATTGAGACTGGAGTTATGCATACCATACCCGAGGGCAACTACATCCATGGCTGGGATGTCAACGTCGCTGGTGTGCGCGTCATGACTGTCAAGGGGAGGATTCGGCAGCATAAACATGCCGAGTTTATGCTTCGCATCAAGCGAAAGGGCGAGCTGGAGCATTTTGTCGGACGGAGATATGGAGACTTCAGTAGACTTCACAAACGGTTAAAGACGGAGCTGCCGGGCCGCATTCTGCCCCCTCTGCCCAAGAAGAACAAGTCTAGCACTACCGCATCTGGGCTGTGGACCGGATGGAGCAATGCCAATGACTCCGATGCGTCGTCTGTGTCGTCTGTTTCCACACGAGTTCAGTCTGGTGCAGCCTCGTCGCTGTTGGCGCCCGCGGGACCTGGTAAGTCAATTCTAGTACTTGCGATTGCTCAATATGGCTGAAGCTGACATGCACCTAGGCCAACGGAAACCTGGGTCCATCCGTTCCATCCGCTCCGCAAGAGGTTCTCCTCGACCCTCCGTTGATGGGAAGCAGAGTCCTGAGAAGCAGGATGCTGACGATGTGCGTATCTAACCAAGAAAAACACCGGGGATTTTGAGGCTAACAAAGCGTCTCAGAGTGTGGTGCTGTGGCGAGAATCCTCGCGCGTCTCTCTTCGTGCTTTTTTGAGGTCTCTCTTGCACAACCCCCAGATTGCCAACACCAAAGCCATGCAAGAGTTCCTCAGCGGTGAGCCTATTACCCCCACCGACGAAGATGTTGAGGACATAGCGAGGCGCAAGACTATCGACGAGAAGCGAATCGAAGAGCAGAAGCAGTTTTACGAGATTGCGAGAAAGAGAGCTGCGGAACTTGACGAGTACATGGAGCAGTGAGTGCGAGCGCCTGCTCTATCCACAAACGCTGAGATGCTAAAGCAAGGATTAGGTTTCGACGAGATATTGTCGAGCGAAACGGTCTTACGATGCTTTTCAAGGAAATCAAGGAAAAGGAGACGATCCAAGACCTCAGTCTCCAGTACCAAAAGTTCGCAGAGTGGCTGCGGATTGAAATTGCCGCTGTGATTTATCATTTGTTCCTCGCAGAAGACAACTCTCCCGAGCTCTTTGCCCAAGCGAAGCGCATTCACTCTTTGATCCCCTACTCGCTCCTCAAGAACGCCATCCGCATTGCCAATCCAGCGGCAGTCATGTCAGGCGTGCTGGATATCTTTCTTGCCCAGCCGTTTGGTGCCAGATCACTGATGCAGCGAATATTTTCTCTCACTTTGAACGACGGCATCAAGAGTTTTCAAAAGTCCATTGACGCTCTGACAAATAAGATTGCGGATCCCATTTTTACCGACAAGCTAAAGACATACACAGACGCCGAGGAAGATCTGAAGGCCGCTATCCGCTCAGAGGCCGAAGAGGAGCAAATTGACCTTGTTGTTGCCATTATGCGATCCGACCGCATTGAGCCTGAACTGACTGGAGAACAAATTCAGCGTCTGTTCAATGCATACGTTGCGTTCAACAATGCAGTTGAGAATGTCGATGAGGAACTGAAACAAGGTGCACAACTCTTCTCGTATCTGAAGCAGCTTCTCAAGCTATGCACACGGCAGCGAGACAAGGCCATGATGCTTCAACTCATCGAGGAGCCCGTGACGCTGCAACTATTCCGAGACCTGTTTACGATCTTTTACGAGCCTCTTGTCAGAGTATACAAGTCTGCCAATGTTTATAATAGCGTCACAGACTTTGCAGTCTTTGTAGATGACATGATTCAGGTGAGACCAACCGATCCGGTCCGGGCGATTTTGTTGCAAAACTGTCTTGCTAACAAGGCAAACGATCAGGTTGTGGACAAATGTAGAGAGCAGGATGCCTCGGCAGATCCCAATCAGACAGTGCAAGCCTTTATCGATCTATGCCAGAGACACGAGCACAACTTTTACAAATTTGTCCACGAGGTGCACACACACGACAATGGCCTATTCACGCAGCTCATGGGCTGGATCGAAGGAATCCTCGAGTTCCTTCGTCACGGACCCAAGAACGGAACACTGAATGTTAATGCATTGTTCGAAGGCGGCGTCAGTGCAGGGACTTTGGACAAGGAAAAGGCTATCCAGGAAATCAACGCGCTCATTTCGTGGCAGGAGGCAAGGAAGAAGTGGCATCACGACAAGACGAGACAGAAGATGGCAGCAGAGGGCCTAAGCTCTGCAGGCGCTGTTGGGGTTGGCTTCGATTCAGCCGATTTCGGCCTAGACGGTCAAGACCTGCAGGAAATGGCGTATGATATCGATTCCGAGTCCGAAAAGGAAGCGGAGGATGAGGATGAGCTGGATCCAATCTCGGCCGAGAGACGCAGAAGAGCCAAGAAGCAAGATCGACTTCGCCGTAGTGCGGGAGAGCCGGAGAAGCCGGTGATATCTGAGGTCCACAAGCTGCATGATAACTTCTTGGTTATGCTGAGGGATGTGCTGGCAGGCTAATTGATGTGTTTGCGAGGTTATTTTGCACGTGGGAATGGTCATCTTTATGCGTGCCGTATGGAGGCGTAGAAGCGGTCTCATGTTTCGGAGGCAAAGTTTGTTGGCCAATTACCGTGTTAGTTAAGGCGATTAGGTATTATAGAGTAAAAGGAAGAAAAAATGGCATCTATCTGAGATGACGATGGTCTGTGTCCAAGGCCTGGCTGTCAAGGCTCTGCCGAAGAAGCCGTGAGCGTCTTCGCCGATTTACCGCGTTGTGGGGCAAGTACGGCGGCATGGAGCAGCTTACCGGACGGACAGGAGAAACGAGGTTGGAAGCGCTTTTCCCATGTGACGGCTACGGGCTTCAAGGCTAAAAGGAGCGAAAATTATCCGCCCATGTCCACGTCCACGTCTGGTCCGCACATGAAACAAGATGCAGGCAGCTTCAAAAGGTGTCGGTGGGCGGCCGTGATCAATGGGAGGCGTTGAGGTCAAAAAGTCAATGAGTTGCCATGTTTTTGAGTCGCCATGCAAAAGAGGATGAGGAAGGAGCAGCCAGGCGAACGGTTTATGGTTTATTAGGCTATTGGACCAGAAAGGACTCGAGGGCTGCTAATGGCTGTGCGCTGATTGGTCGAATGAACCGAGGAACCGAGCACGCTCCTTCCATGACTCTCATCCAATCCAATTGCCAGCCGAGCAAGCAGAAGAAGCATCGTGAAGAAACATCAACCACCGTGCTTCGTGGCCCATACCTTCCCTCCGTCCGCCGAGCTTCGATCGCCGTCGCGTCTGCATCATCTGCGCATGCAGCTTAGGTGAACGCCAAGTCCCTTCACTATGGCTTCTTCCATGGCCCTGAGGAAATTGGCCTCTGGCTCTGCTGTGCGTGCTCAATCAATCCCGTCGCCTCGTTGCGAGCCACGCAATTGTTTGTGACTGATTGCGCTTCTGGTGTCTGTGCTGATGCGTCTTGATCTTCTTACATGTAGTTCTCGCGATTGGCGACCAGCCAGGCCAGAGCATTTTCTACAACGCGGCCTGTGGGTAAGTTTGACTCTCGGAATACCAACGACACGATTGCGGGCATGAGCTGATCTTTCGTACTCCCATTGCAGCCCGAGTTATCGCCCATAATCCCCTAAGAGCTAAAGAGGCCTCCCCTCATGTCAGCACAAAGTACAACGTTATTGTACGTGTCTCTACAAGGCTGCGGAGCAGTTCCGGCTCAAACTGTTCCCCTCAGGAGAAGACATCGACACAGGGATTAACGCGTCATTGATACTTAGGACCACGAGTACGATGCCCTCGTCGTCGGTGCGGGCGGTGCTGGCCTCCGTGCTGCCTTTGGTCTCGCTGAGGCTGGCTTCAACACGGCCTGTATCTCCAAGCTTTTCCCCACTCGAAGTCACACTGTCGCCGCTCAGGGCGGCATCAACGCTGCCCTCGGCAACATGCACGAGGATGACTGGAGATGGCACATGTACGATACCGTCAAGGGCTCTGACTGGCTCGGTGACCAGGATGCTATTCACTACATGACCCGTGAAGCTCCCGCCTCCATCATCGAGCTCGAGCACTATGGCTGCCCCTTCTCCCGAACGGAGGACGGCAAGATGTGAGCCACCAAACCCGCTCCGTGTTGACATCTTTGGCAAGGTTCCAATACCCGGTGTGCTGACTCCCCCATCCCCATCATAGCTACCAGCGAGCTTTCGGTGGACAGTCCCAGAAGTACGGCAAAGGTGGTCAGGCCTACCGGTGCTGCGCTGCCGCCGATCGAACCGGCCATGCTCTTCTGCACACTCTCTACGGCCAGTCTCTCGCCCACAACACCAACTACTTCATCGAATACTTTGCTCTGGATCTGATTATGCAGGACGGCGAATGTCGTGGTGTCCTCGCCTACAACCAGGAGGATGGTACTCTTCACCGGTTCCTGGCCAACAACACTGTCCTGGCCACTGGCGGTTATGGCCGTGCGTACTTTAGCTGCACATCTGCCCACACCTGCACTGGTGATGGCATGGCCATGGTTGCTCGTGCTGGTCTCCCCAACCAGGATCTCGAGTTCGTCCAGTTCCATCCTACTGGTATCTACGGCGCCGGCTGTTTGATCACCGAGGGTGCCCGTGGTGAAGGTGGCTACCTGCTCAATTCTGAGGGCGAACGTTTTATGGAGCGATACGCGCCCACCGCCAAGGATCTGGCCTCTCGTGATGTCGTTTCTCGATCCATGACCATGGAAATCCGCGACGGCCGTGGCGTCGGTGCTGACAAGGACCACATCTTTCTCCAGCTCAGCCACTTGCCCGCTGAGATTCTCGCTGAGCGTCTGCCCGGCATCTCTGAGACTGCTGGTATCTTTGCTGGTGTCGATGTCCGAAAGCAACCTATCCCCGTCTTGCCTACTGTCCACTACAACATGGGTGGCATCCCCACCCGCTACACCGGCGAGGTGCTCACCGTCGACGAGCAGGGCAAAGACAAGGTCGTTCCTGGCCTGTTCGCCTGTGGTGAGGCTGCCTGCGTGTCTGTCCACGGTGCTAACCGTCTCGGTGCCAATTCTCTGCTGGACCTTGTCGTCTTTGGCCGTGCCGTCTCACATACTATCCGTGACAACTTCAAGCCTGGCGAGAAGCTCAAGCCTCTCGCGGCTGATGCTGGTTCTGAGCACATTGAGGTTTTGGACCAGGTCCGAACCTCTGACGGCCCCAAGAGCACTGCTGAGATCCGTCTGGCCATGCAAAAGGCCATGCAGACTGACGTCTCTGTGTTCCGAACCCAGGAGAGTTTGGACGAGGGCGTCCGAAAGATGAACGCGATTGACCCCATGTTCAAGGAAGTCGGCATCAAGGACCGCAGCATGATCTGGAACTCTGACCTCGTTGAAACGCTGGAACTGCGAAACCTCTTAACTTGCGCGTAAGTTGCGATCATCTACTCTCACAATCTCACCAGTGACTCTCTGGCCAGAGGCTGACCCTGTTTGCGATTCAAAGTACCCAAACTGCGACGGCTGCCGCCGCCCGAAAGGAGTCCCGCGGTGCGCACGCTCGCGAGGACTACCCCGACCGAGACGACAAGAAATGGATGAAGCACACTCTATCCTTCCAGAAGACGCCCCACGGCAAGGTCGACCTGACATACCGTGGCGTCATCTCCACCACCTTGGATGAGAGCGAGTGCAAGCCTGTACCCCCCTTCAAGCGTGTATACTAATCAAAGTGTGACACGAGTGTTGTGGGAAGGGCGTGTCGGAATTACGGGCTAATGGGATGGCTAATTGAAGAAAAAAAATTCGTACAAGAAGATTCAAACACGGAACCGAGGCGTCTCCTTTGTTGCAAGGCATGCCATATATCCGGGATTAGAGGTTGCGGGCCGTGCAGCTTGGTGGTGCAGCCCAAGGAAGCTGGATGTATATGCATGTGTATTGGGTCCCCGGAGCAGGGTAGCTATGTAGAAGTCGGGTTTGCAGCAATTTCTTTCTCCCCGTTCCCCTGTTTCCCCGTTCGGGGCCCCTTGTCCTCATCGCACAAAACAGCCTGTTGCACTAGGTCCTGTCTCACGCCCGTCAGCGCTTCGGACCTCTCCGATATCAGCGGACAAATGGTAAGTAGTTGCGTCTACCAATGGTGGTGGCGTCTGCTTCTCTTCTGGATAATGAGGCTGGCCTCGATGCAGGTCCACGGGCGAGGGATTGTGTCGTCGGCCTGGCGCCGGTATTACCATGAGCCATGTCTCGTTGCACGGGGTTGAGTACAGACGTGTCACCGGAGCGATGCTCGCGTCTCGGAATACCCACATCTGCTGTCTGCAGATTAGGACGTGCCTTTGTTTCGAGACTCCTATCAGGTACGGGCAGGGTGGCTTGTGAGGCCGCTGGTTCGACTGACGTGATGTGATCCTTCCTGGTGGCCAAGCGGCTGTGTCGCCTGTGACTTCGTGAAACACGGGTCCGATTGCCAAATGTACGCTGTGGCTTGAGGTGTTCTTCGGCAAGGCTCGGCTGCGCTTCAGTAATGTTTCTACGTATGAACATGTCCATGAATACGCCGGTGAATCCAGTCACAAACTCCTGCTCGAGGCCCCATCAGCTAGCAATCGTTGCTCTCCAATGCCGCACTAGCCTTCTTCATACACTCGCATTATCTGTGCCTTGAGTTTGGTCACGCGCTCGTGCTTGTATGCGACTTGACTTTCCAGGTCCCGTATCTTCTCTTGGAGCTGAGAAATCCTCTTGTCCTTTTCCTTCAGTGCCGCTCGCACTGAATCTCTGCCCATGGCAATACCCTTGGTTTTCCGGTCCGACGTCAACAGCAGCTGGCGCACAGATTGAAGAACAGCCGGGTCAATTTTCTGGCTACTCAACAGCGTCATGACTTGCTCCGTCATGTTCTCGGTGGTGGCGCCGGAACCGCTACTTGGTGGACAGCCGACATCGAAGCTCGAGTGTGACGATGGCGTTTTAGACGGGGTTGGCAGAGTATCGCAAGGTGGCGGGCCCTCAAATGACGCCGTCTTGGAACGTTTTACCTCTGACGCAGGGAACAGAACTCTGGACACAGATGGTGTAGGCAAGCCGCCCACAATGTCAGTAGTACGACGGCTTGTGGAAGGTGTGGTGAAGAGATCGTCTGAGGGGCGATGCGGAGCGGCTGTTTGCACGCTTGTGTCTGTCATCTCTGCCAGTTGGAGCTCCTCTTCCGAGTCCGGGTCGGTGAAAAATTCCTCGCCCTGATCCGAAGAAGCGTTCGGCCTTCTCTTCCTCTTAGACGGCGTAGATTGAATGCCAAAGGACTCCAGAGACTTCTGAGTGATAGTTGACGGCTTGGCCCAGCCGGAGGTCTTGGGGCTCGGTGGCGCAGCTTGGTTGTCCGCTGGGTCAAGGCCAGATTCTCGAACAAGGGCGTCATCTCTCCATAGAAAGAATTTGCAAGGCAGTGGCGTTGCACAGGTCCAGAAAAACCTGCCCTTGTTAGGGCCGTCCTTCTTCACCTGGCGCAGTGCGGCATTCTTGCGAGGTTCACAATTACCTGGTCATACAGCATGATATGTTAGTCTGGCTGAGCTCCTGTCTACAGTACATTGGCCTCGCGCAAAGAAACACGGTGCCGCTCAACATGAAAAGCTGACCAAAATGCAACATCGCGATATCGTTTGATGCCACATGGGTGAAGTGATGCCTTGAAAACGCGGCTTAGAGAGAAACATGTATCACGGGAAAGACGAGAGCCCGACTTACACCACCACTGGCCGTCCTGCCAGGCACCATAAAGCCGTTTCTTCTCCGAGGCGGGGGCTTCCTGCGCCTTGGAACGCGACACCGGCGTAGGAGGCATGGCTATGTAGTGTCGTCTGCGTGGAGCCGTAGACATTTGGGCCGTGTACAATGCCTCAGTCAGACTCAGATGAGCCTATGATAGTTACCTCGGAATCTCCACTGCCGCTCGGTCCTGGAGATATCTCAGCTGCGTTGCTGGGCAGTGTCGAGGGGAAAGCGATAAACGGCATCGAGGTAGTCGGCAGTTGGAGGCCGGAGGTTGGAGGTTGGAAAGCGGGGGAGTGGAGAAATCAGACCGCGCGAGGGAGAGAACAAGTTCAGCTCAATGTTTTGCCGTTTATTGGTCAAAGAGAATATTGAATTTTTTGCGGAGTGACGTTCCGACCTGTACGGAGTATCGTAGGCGTAAAATGTCTGATGTCCATCAGACCTAGGTTGGACAGGGCTTCGTTTTTACTTGTTGCAATTGGGCGTGAGCTGCTAGAGGCACTCTGGGCCTTGGGACTTGAGACTTGCGGCTTGCGACTCGAGGTTTGAGACTTGGGATATTGGACCTGGTAGCTGCGAATGGCGGCTTCTCGGTTCAGAGTCTGGTTGTTTTACAAAAAAGCTGCAGCGGCCGTCTGAGACCCTGATAACTAAGTGCCTAAATAGCCTCAGACCCGTTTGGGCAGGCGCGACTTGGCGATGCGGGGCGGTTTCCTGTTTGGCCAGTCAGCCTCAAGGTCCTCAACCACTCACTTCTTACGACGACGAAACGAAATCAACCCGCATCGTTATATCTTCCTCTCTCGACGTTGGTATGCTCTCTGTTGTCATCTCCAGGCTCGCCAGGACCGTGACCGCCCCTGTGACTGTGCCTGTGAGTGCGGCCGAGACCGAGGCCGAGACCGACACCCCCTACTAGTTTTGACTACACGCTGCCTCCGCGCGCTACTTCCGATAAGTAAGTTGTTAAACTTTGGCCTTTTGCTTGCTATTATTTTTGCCCGCCAAAATCAAACCTCACAGGTTGCCCAGGCCACCATGGGATCATTATCATTGACTGGAGGTCAGGATATTTAGGGTAACAACGCACGAAGTGCCCTCAACATCTGTCGATCCATCCCTTCCGTCTTCCCAGACCAGGCAATCGCAAGCAGCAACATACACACACACACACATGCCAAGATGGCTGGACCACCTGGACGGATCGCGTCATTGCATCCTCTGATATTTCGTATCTGTGCAACACCACATGACGCTGCTTGAACCCTCTCACCTTCTTGGTTTGTCATGCTCGCCTTTCAGAGAGGCCGCCACAATGAACGTTACTAGGCTAACGGCACTAGGTAGTCCACAACGTCTGTGTGTACTGGAAATTGCAAGCGGCGTGTTCGTCACAATAGGAACGAACCCTTGGTGGGGATGGCGACAATGCAGCGATATGCCAGCGTCGTTGACTGAAAATGCGACCTTGACGTACCCCTTGAATCGAGGCGCAACGTCATCTGTACCTGTACCGTTTTATTTCAACAGTACTGCTGAGCTGAGATGTGTTTGTTTTGGAGACTACACCTGCCCAATCAGTCACATAGTTACCAAACGTGACGTCTCAATTCATCACTAGTCGAGAACGTACCTACCTACCGAGGGTATTCAGACTGTCCAAAATAAGTTACCTGCCGCCAATGATGGTGTGTTACAGCAAAAGTGACGAAGCACTTGGGTTTCGCACTTGTTCCCGCTTCGCTCATCAAGACCTTTCTATCGCGGATTCGGGGCTGTGGCTGTTGCCTCTGCTCCTCGCGAAAGGTTATGAATGAGGCTACTCACTTGCCATCGGCTTGTCTGTACTTCGTTCGTATTCATGTCCAGCATGGCTGTTGACTCAACATTTCTTTTGCAACGCGCAAGCTCACCTCTTGCCTATTTTGTCGAAACTTCAACAACTGTCCGACTTCTTCTCCCCAGGTTTTCCCCAAGTTGGTGTGTGAGTGGGCGCACCATGGTCATCACCTGCCGCTCTAAACCCGGGACTACGTGCGCCATTGCAGAACCCTATCATCTCAGCTTCATCTAGAAGTCAAGGGATCCAAACCATGTGAGCCCGACCAATGAGACGTTGTTTCTCACCACCAAACTCGTTTCGCCGCTGACGCCCTGTGGAACAGCTGTTGCATGGCGTTCTGAGCGTGAGCAAGACGGCCCGGGCCACGGTCACGGTCATGGCCCCCGTCTCGGTCGGCCTCGGTCACGGTCATGGTCCATCACGGATCCATGCTCAGGCAGATGAGCCGTCATTGCAACGGCAATGTTATACGCGCGCAAAATAATACTTGGCCATGGCGTTCCCGCAACCACAACTCTGCTTCGTGCCCGACTCTATAAGAGTTTGCATACAGTTTCCAAATTTATGGCTGTCGCGTAGCCCGACACTGGCTGCATTTCATTGCCCCAAGTACGAAGTAGTACCACCGAATTTTGGACGAAAGTGAACTGAAGAGTTGGGCTAGCTCTACCGCAGGGCCCCGCAGCCACCCCGTGTACAGAATACAAACTCTCAAGATGCTTATTATTAGAATACGCCACATGGGGCAGCAGGATTGCTGCACAAGCTCGACTCCGGACATTGCAGCCTCTCTCATTGCCGAGTTGATCCGAGGGCGACGTTGGGTTGTTCCCCCACAATATCAATGAAATAGGAAGGCACACAAATGCAGCACTTGAAGGTTACATCGCACCGTCAGCACCGCGTTAACCAGTCATTCTTATCTTACGCGCTCTCGGCAAAAAGCAATGTTCGTCGCAACGGGCGCGAGCACGACTGCAACCTGCAACACTGTCATCCATCACGGTACACGTGATGCGATAATGAGTTGTCCAGCGTTGGGCACTACTGGCTCAGCAGTCACCTGCAGGTTGGCGAACCTCCGGATGATCATTGATAAGCCGGTAGCCACTCATTTCTTCATATGGTTTCCAACCTCAATTGGTCCATACTGGGAAACTCACATTCTTGTCAAACCTGTCGCAACGACACCATTTTCCTGGACCGAGGTCCAGATTGGACCAGGAGCTGGCCGACGAAACCATTCACAACGCGAGGAGAGAGATGAGCTTTCCCAAAAGCGATGTACGATACCTTGAAAGAAAAAAAAACGATGCTTTATCTGCTGACAAACAAGGTAAAAATGTAACTTGACGCCGCTAAAGAGGTCGACATCCTGCTTAGTTTCGCAATTGCCAAGTCAAGGAGGCGTATACACGGTCTAACCCCCCCCCCTTCCCAAGAAAAAAGAGGTCAGTGCCTTCAATGTACCTTGATGCAGTGGAACATGTCCCCTGACAGTATTCAAGTCTCATGGTATTGGAAGATGTTCACTATGGGGCTTCTCTTAGCCCATCAAAGCAATCAACGAAGTACCTGATGCCTTGGCATCGCCATCTCAAGGTTACACCGTGTTTCAAACTCCAGATACCCGACAACGTCCTGCCCTCCGCGCTAGATTACAACAAGAAGCTGTTGACTACACCGTCACCAAAAGGCTCACTTCTGGTGTGATACCCTCGGCGCCAAATATCGGACGCCATGTTCCGTAGACTCGGTGTCTTGAGGCTTTGTTCCACAGCATGGCTAGCTTCAATGTCATGACTTTGTACGCCTGCAAAGAACCCAACAGCTTCCAGTTCTGGAAGGTGACGGTTGGACGAAGGCTTCTTTCTACTCTTGAATCAAGGTCAACACTGACCTTGATTGAGACAACGAGATGGCACTCTTTGACTATAAAATAAGGCATCCTCGCCGTCCTGAAGTCGGATTGATCCTGGACTCATCCCTCTCACGCAAGCTTCATTTTATTGAATCGTCTTTAATTCCTGCCCAATATCTCTGATCTCTAGGCGGGTACTCGAAGTTGTGAAGTCATGCATCTGTCTGCTCTTTTCACTCTTCTCCCGGCCGTTCTGGCTGCCCCTGCCACTATTGGCCGACGCGCTGGGCCAGCTCCTCTCCTCACTCCCCAGGCAGAGAACATCATTTCCGGCAAGTACATCGTCAAGTTCAAGGATGGTGTTGCTCGCATCGCCACCGACGATGTGGTGAGCGTTCTCAGCTCCAAGGCCGACTTCGTTTACGAGCACACCATGAACGGGTTTGCAGGCTCTCTAACTAAGGAGGAGCTCAAGTCTCTTCGCGACCACCCCGATGTAAGTGCCCCTTGCACATAGTCAAGAGATGCGTGTGGCGTGCTTGATCCTGACGTGGTGCTTGACAGGTTGATTTCATTGAGAAGGACGCCGTGATGCGCATCAACAGCATCACTGAGCAGAGCGGCGCTCCGTGGGGCCTCGGCCGCATCTCCCACCGGGAGAAGGGAAGCACCGCGTACCGCTACGATGATAGCGCTGGCGAGGGCACTTGTGTATATGTCATTGACACGGGTATTGAGACCAGCCACCCGGTAAGGCTTGCCACGAAACTTATTGGCTTTGCATGCAAAATTAACAGTCTCCTTTAGCAATTCGAGGGCCGCGCCACTTGGCTCAAGAGCTTCATCGACGGTGAGGACGAGGACGGCCACGGCCACGGCACTCACTGCGCCGGCACTATTGGTAGCCGAGACTATGGTGTTTCCAAAAAGACCAAGCTCTTTGCTGTCAAGGTGCTCGACGACCAGGGCAGTGGTTCCTACTCTGGCATCCTCAGTGGCATGGACTATGTTGCGCAGGACTCCAAGACGCGCGACTGCCCCAATGGCCACTTTGCTTCGATGAGTCTGGGAGGCGGCTACTCGGCTTCCGTCAACAAGGGCGCTGCTGGGCTGGTCAGCTCTGGTGTCTTCCTTGCCGTGGCGGCTGGCAATGATAACAGGGATGCCAAGAACACATCTCCGGCGTCGGAGCCGACGGTCTGCACTGTGGGTGCGACGGCTTCAGATGACAACCGATCTACCTTCTCCAACTACGGCAAAGTTGTCGACATCTTTGCCCCTGGCACTGGGATTCTCTCGACCTGGATCGGTGGCCAAACGGTAAGTATTGTACCTCGAGATTCCCATTCCCATTGGAGAGACGCAATTTTGCTTCAGAAGGCGGTCTGACAAAGATGTAGAACACCATCTCGGGTACCTCAATGGCCACTCCGCACATTGCTGGTCTCGCTGCCTACATCAGCGGTCTCAAAGGCCGAAGTAACCCTGAGGACCTTTGCAAGACAATCCAGGACACTTCCACCAAGAAGGCGATCCGCAACGTGCCCTCTGGCACGGTCAACTATCTTGCCTACAACGGCAACGGTGCCTAAAGCTCCTGTTTCTCTGCGGCGGGTTGGTTGGCAGGGATTCTTGAGCGAAGAGACGGCGATTGGCGGGTTGTATATTTGAGGTGATTTAGGTACACACACACACACACACACACACACACACATATATATATATATTATATTTCTGTATCTTGTTCACGCAGTACGACCACGATGACGGCAGGGGCGTTTACATGGGCCTGGGCACCTTGAAACTGACCATCGTCACATTGCTGGGTCGTATCCGGCCGCGCAGTCTCACATTGCACGTGTACGTGTCACCTGCGCCTCTGCTGCTGTCCATGTGCGGGACGGTTCAACGAGTTGTCGGGTGGGATGAGCACATGTCAGGCAAGTAGGCTTGATGAAGGGGATGCATGATATCACGGTGCTGCTGGCCGCGTCCGTGTCCGTGGTTGTGATGCAGGCAGGCCGCCGAGCTCGACGAGGGTGCAGAGTCCAGAGGTGCAGAGTGCAGACGAGCGCCCACGTGACGAGACGGACTGACTGACTTGACAAGTTGACAACACCATGCCCACGGAAAAGGTCCAAATCGGCCAACGCTCCGTGTCGTGTCGTGTCGTGTCGTGTCTGGCCAGCACATCACGGCCAATTGGTGACAACCACGTCCGTCCGTCCCTCCGTCCGTCCCTCCGTCCGTCATTGTGCTCCGCGGCCACGTAACCTCCACCTGCAGGTCCAGTCACGCCCACGCCCACGCCCACGCCCACGCCAACGCAGACTTCGAGTCCCGGCCCCTTGTCGTCGATACATCAGCCTGCATTTGTCCCAATGGCCCCTCGCATGCCCATCTCGTGCTGCCTGTCAAGCAGACCCGTTGCCGCCGCCTTTCGCGCTCGCTCGGCCACGCCTCCTTTATCCTGCTCCTGCCTCCTGCGCACTGCCCTTGGCCGTGGCACACGACAGCAGCGACTCTACTCGTCCGAGGGCGGCCCGACTGGCAACAGGGACAAGGTCAAGTTTTGGCCCTTTATCGCCGTCATTGCCATCGGTACGGCCGGGTACGTTGGGCTGGTGAACCGCCGCAAAGGTATGACAACATGTGCCCGTCCTGCTGGCTCGCATTCCTGACGTGCCGCGCCCATCACAGACATGACGCGAACCGGCGGCGACCCCAAAGACCGGGACCAGCCTTCCCCTCACCCTCCGCCTCACCCGCCCGCCAGCTCCTCGTCGTCCTCGTCGTCCTCGTCGTCCTCGTCGTCCTCGTCGTCCGCGCCCGCCTTCTCCCCCTCCGACGTCACGGTGCTCTTCGTCCTCGGCGGCCCCGGCGCCGGCAAGGGCACCCAGTGCGCCAACCTCGTCAACAAGTACGGCTTCACCCACCTCTCCGCCGGCGACCTGCTCCGCGCCGAGCAGGAACGCCCTGGCTCCCAGTTCGGCGACCTCATCCGGGACCACATCAAGAACGGGCTCATCGTCCCCATGGAAGTCACCGTCCAGCTCCTCGAGAACGCCATGGCCGAGGCCCTGCGGAGCAACACCAACGCCAGAAAGGGCCGCTTCCTCATCGACGGCTTCCCGCGCAAGCTGGACCAGGCGCACAAGTTTGAAGAGTCCGTCTGCCCCGCCCGCGTCGTCCTCTTCTTCGACTGTCCCGAGACAGTCATGGAGGAGCGCCTCCTCGAGCGCGGCAAGACCAGCGGCCGCGCCGACGACAACGCCGACAGCATCCGCAAGCGCTTCCGGACCTTTGTCGAGACGAGCATGCCCGTCGTCGATTACTACGAGAAGCAGGGCAAGGTGATCAGGATCGACGCCACGCCTACGCCTGATCAGGTCTTTGCCAGGACCCAGACGCGTTTGACCGAGGAGTTTGGCGACGAGTTTTGAAAATGGGCTTCCTCCCGCCGTCTCTCAGGAACTGCGCTTTTTCTTCCTTGCATCCATCGTGTCCAGCCAAGTGTTTCCCTCCTCTGAGGAAAGCCTAAAAGTACAGTCTTCCTCGTCGCAACGACTGTTTCGTTCCGACGGTGTCATTGTCGTCATTCCTCTGGTTTGTTTCTTTCCTCCCTAGAGCAGACCCTCGACACTCCTCCTGCTGTACCTTGTACTTGTTCTTTTCAGTGTCAAACTACTGGGATAGAGAGAGCAACTTCATTATAGATTTTCAGCCAGCACCGCCCGCACTCGGCACGGGCGCAGCGTGTCCGTCAATCCTTGGGGAGTCCGAAGAGGCGCTTTTCATCCTTTGATCAGCCCTTCACACACCTACATCCGACTGATTCACATGATGGCGCCGGCTTTGGCAGAGCAGCCCAAGTCAAGTCACGACCAGTCACAGTCACGGTAACCAAGCGAGCCGAAAGCCGTGACCATGAGCTGTTATTCTATACCTTTTTTTTTCCTTCTGTTTGCTTGTAGAATAATAGTCTTGACAGATTCTACTTTTGGAATAGATACATTTTTGATGCTGGACCGGCTGCGCCATTCGCGTCCCCCCCACTAGCGTTTTGCACATATCGTCAAGGCCACGGCACGGCCGTCTTGCTTTCCCAAACGACGGTGTAAACACGGTGATTTCATCGGTATACAGAATACCGCGTCCAGTCCCCTTGGCGCCTCTGCTTTTTTTGGCCCGAGGCGTAGGCCCCCGCCTCCCTCCCCTCCCTTCTTCCGTGAGATGCATGTCCGGGCCGGGTCCGCCGTTGCGTCCCGTGTGCTGTTGTTTCTCCGCGCTCAGGGTGACACGGCCCTCTTTCACCCCCCTTTTTGTGACCGTCCCTTTGTCGGCCGGACTTTGTAACTCTTCCGGGTCGTCACGTCAATTATTTGCCTCCTCCTGATGGCGAAAGGAGAGAAGAAGGAGGAAAAAAGTAAACAGAAAAACAAAAAAAAAAACGTCTAGTCGTCGTTGTCGGTCCTCTCGCGCTGCTGTGATTGCGGGTTCTGTTGTCGCCGGTTACCGCCGCCCTGGCCGCCGCCGCCGCCGTTGACGCCGGCATTGTTGAGCTTGCGCTCGAGCTCTTGAGTCTCGCGCTCCTTGTGGGCCTTGGCGTTGGCCTGCTCCTGGCGCAGGACGCCGAGGACGTTCTGGAGGGTGGCGCGCCAGTGGTCCACGCGCGTCGACAGTTCCTGGTACTGCTTCTGCCCGAAGACGCGGTAGGTGACCTTGTGCACGAGGAACCTGCTGCGCTGCTGCGAGAGCTTGCCCTCGACGAGGCCCGCGCGGATCACGTCGATGGCCCACATCTCGATGTGCTCCGGGGGGATCTGGAGGGCCTTGGCGATCTTGGCGTACTCGATCTCGCGGCTGGGCGTGGCGGCGGCGAGGCTCGCAAACGTCAGGAGGCGCATCTTGCGGTGGAGCCTGTCGTGGTCGAGCTTCTGCTGCTCGACCCAGCCCTCGTGCTCCTCGGTGAAGTCGTTGTAGTCCTCGAGGTCCTGCTCGGCAAAGATGTCGAGGAGCTGCGAGTACACGGGGTGGGAGTCGCCGAGGGCCCGGACGCTGGGGACGCCGCGGAGGTCCTGGAAGAGGAAGTGCGTGCTGGACAGGACGGCCGTCCGGACGGCGCGCAGGGACAGTCTCTGCGCGTCCTCGGACGTGATGTCGTCCTTGTCGTCGGCGTCAAAGGTCCGCAGGGCCTTGAGGATGAAGTCGTAGCTGATGGACTCCTCGCCGGCCTCGAGGGCCGCCTCGGCGACGTTCTCGTAGACCATGCGCTCAATTTCCTCGCTGGCGTCCCATGACTCGAGCCACTCGCCCAGCTTGTCCAGGTACAGCCGCAGGCTGTCGAACATGCTGTGCGCCCTCAGGAGCTTGACGATCTCGAGGAAGATGCGTGCCCGGATGACGTCCTCGGGGGGCAGCAGGTTGAAGACCGTCGTTAGGGCATTCAGCGAGAGGCCGGGGCCGTGGACGGACGAATTGACGGGAACCTTGGCGAGGTTGGCGCACAGAGTCTGCAAGTACCTCTTGGGGTCGCCGGACTGCAGAACGAGGTGGATCATGAGGTTGGAGGCAGCGGTGTATTCCTTTTCGGGGACCGTGTTGAGACCGGCTGAGGCGGCGACCAACTTGGCCAGGACATCCTCCTTGGACACCTTGTCCTTGCTCAGCAGCTTGGTTGCTTCCTCTGCCTTGAGGTACTCGGACATCTCCTTGGCAAGCTCCTCAAACGTTCCGTCGACGAACAGCAGCTGGGGCTGCCCATGATGCTTGGAGGCGGGCATCGTGAAATTCTTCGCTTTCGCCTCTCGCGAGGAGGGACGGGTCTCGGTCGGCTCGTCGTCGATTCGCTTCAGCGGCGGGTGTTTGAGGAGAGTTTGCGGCGACGGGAAGCGGCGGTCTCGCGATCGCTTGAACGACGTCTGCAAAGTAGAGAAAGGATGACGGAACTCGAGAGCGGAAAATATCATGAACGTCCGTTCAGCAGCGTCAACGCACACCCCGCCGATTTTTCTGCCGCTATCGATGTGTGGGAGCTAGGCGTCACCGCCCTCGCTTAGTTCCACATGTGACGCGGCACGTGCGGCTACCGAAATGTTGTTCTTCCCCGCCGATTCGGCCCGGAAAAAGGTGCATTCCGCCGACCCTTTACCATAACAGCCATGAACATTACTCGGCTTTTCAACTTATGACCTCACATATTGCAAGATGAGTATTTGTTATTCTTAAGCATCGTCATGTCTAGACGTCTCGTCCCATCTCGGCAAATCCATACAGCCCATGCCTCATAGACCTTATAATACTATGATTATCCGATGAAACAGGCTTTGCTCTGTGCCCAACAGAAACATGTGTTGTCATGCCATGACCCATCGCTCGCATCAAACCATTACGCCCAAAATCTATGTACATGCTTAGTGGTGAAAAAGGCGGAAAAACAAAAACCAACCACCGCATCATCAGTACGGAGTATATCGCACAATGTCCATAAGACACGATCCAAACAATTCTGCTTTCAAATTCCAAATCGCAAAATCCAACTTGCCGTTTCAGTTAAACCAAGGGCCACGTGAAGATGCGATTAATTGTCGTGAGCCTTGCCCCTCTGACCTGTCTTCGTCGCTGCCTGTCCCGTCACGTAAATGCGTCCAGGGTCGTCATCAAATAACTGCTGATCGCCCTTACCTCCCATCTCCATGAATTCTCCGGTAGCTCGATCATGATCTGGTGCCTTCTCTTTTGCAGCGTTTATTATTCGCTGCTGGTTCTTGGAAGATGTCTTTACCGGTGCCGTTTCATCGCCCACCGCAACACGATTGGTGGCTTGAGCAGAGTTAAGCGTTGCCAGCAAAGTTCTTTGTCGGGCTGGCGCACGACGGTTAACCTCCAGCCCAGCGATTCCTCCAACAAGGCCGCCTGTGCTGTCATTAACGCCCGGGCTACTCTGGGTCATCCAGGGGTGGGCAAGACACTGATCCACAGTGAATCTGCGTGCTGGATCTACGATCAACATAGAGTCAATCAGGTCAACTGTCGTTCGTTAGTATACGCTTCGGCAGAAACAAACGTGAGCGCAATAGGGTGGCTTTGGCTTACGAGCAGGGTCACCGACAGAGTCCCAGTATGGGGATGGGTAGTCAAACCGACCACTTCGAATCTGTTGTGAGAGGGTGAAGGGGAAATCACGGGAGTAAAGCTCTTCCGAGAAGGGAGGGAAACCACAAAGGCAAATGTACAGCACGACGCCAAGCGACCAAATGTCGACAGCTTTCGTGTATTTGCGTTGCTTAGAGTCTGCAATGATTTCGGGGGCGACGTAGCTGGGAGTTCCACAAAGAGTCGTTGTAAATGATTCTTCGCCGATAATTTTAGCGAGGCCAAAGTCGGCCAACTTGACATGCAGGTTCCTGTCGGCAAGCAAAATATTTTCCGGCTTGATGTCTCTGTGCACGATATTTCGCTCATGCTATTTGGTTGTTAGCATAGCCACATTCGTGGTAAGCGGAGCCCATGGGTATACATACGAGATACTTGATGCCCTGGAAGAGTTGGAGGAACAGTTTTCTCGTCTCATCCTCGGTGAGCTTTTTCTTATCTATAATGAATTGAAAAAGATCGCCCTCCGAGGCCAGCTCCAAGACGAGGTACACTTGATCAGACTCTTTGAACGTATCTTTCAGACACAATACATTTGGATGGCTGACACCCATCAAGACACCAATTTCTTGCTGGAGACCCTCGGTTTTAGATTTGTCCTCCATGCCAGGAGGCTTAGTGAAAATTTTGACGGCGTAGCGTTGACCTGTAGACTTTTCGATACAGAGGTAGACCTCAGCAAAATGGCCCTTACCGAGGTACTTCACTATTTTATACTGTTGCAAGAAAGCGCTCGTATGTCGGCTCTGAGGGTATCTGAAAATGAATCTGGCCTTGCCATGCACTGCAATCTCATCCTGATCCTCGAGTTCCCGGCGTTGATTACGGCCAACAATGGCCTCGTTGACATAGGTGCCATTGCTGGAAAGATCCTCGACGATAGCGACGGTGTCTGTCCCTTTGTTCTCCGTGAACAAGAGACAGTGGCGGTTTGAAACGACGCCTTCGTTAACTACGACATCTGTATATTTTGATGAAAAGAAACAAAGAAAGAAAAAGTTAATCACTTGTGAGGGTCTCAGTAGACAAGAAAACGGGATTGAGCACATACCGCATTCGGGATGTCGGCCAATCAAATAGCCACCCGAAGCTGCTCCCTTTGCATTTTTGCGTTCAAAAGCTTCTTCAGCTCTGATGGCGGCAGGTTTTTTGGTGTCCACAGGTGTTTTTTCACCATTCACAGCTGCGTCGACAGTATCAGACTGTGGGCATGCGTTTCGTCTCTTCAGTACCAATGGCCTATCTCCGTATTTTGAGTCTAGAGGCACCAAGTATCCCCAGACGCCTTCCTTGACCTCATCCTCAACGTCATCGGAAAGCGCAGGGTGTCGGTCGACAAATTGGCTCAATGGCTGGGTGTCTTGGGGCGGTGATGACAAGGCCTGGCTCTGGGGGAAGGCTTCGTCCGTCTTCCGCGGAGTGACGTCGTGGTGCTTGCCTGCAGATGGGCTAGGAGTAGCCTCCTTGTAGGCATCGTTTGATTCCTCGGCGGCGGCGTAGGTAACGGGAGACGGCAGATGCTGCTTGTTAATCACAGGCGTCTTGTCGGCGCCGACGGCCCCAGCAGTTTGCGAAGATAGACGGTCCGATCTCCGAGGCTTCTTAGACTCTGTTGCGTCCTCAGGCAGTGACCCCTGGGATGGATGATTTTTAGTTACGAAAACGGAGTGGTAAAACGGGAGGACGTGAAAACCGGACGAAACAAGCAGCATGACGAAGCGTGCGTAACGAGGTGCAAGACGGGCTGAGGAACTCACGCGCGGGCGCTTCAATTGGCTCTTTTCGCCGCGAGGTGCCATGTCCTCGGTGGCCGATTAAACAGCAAGAGGGGGAGAAAGGAATTGCTTTCGGCTGCAGCTGGGCCAAGGCTATGATATCAGCAAGATGCACGGGGACGGTTCGAGGGACCATAAAACGAGGGAGTCGGTGGTCAATTAAAAAAAAGGGACATTGGAAAGTGGCGACGGAGGGGAAGGAAGGAAGGAATGAGGAACAGGGACGGGACGAGAGCTGAGAGTCAGCCCCAGGTTGCCAGGTGCCAGGTGCCAGGTGCCAGGTCCAGCGTGCGCCAAGTCTGTGCAGCACGGACCAAGGTACTTACTTGGATAGACAGCACTTGGACCTCGAGCAGCTGACCTACCTAAGTAAGTGGGTAGGCACGCGTGTGTGACCCCATGTTCCATATTCCTCTCGTCTTGGTTTCATTTCACCCCATGCTTCAACCCGTTGCACGTTCTTTGAGAGGCATCAAGTCCTTTGGCCCCAAGCTTGCGTTTTTCTTGCAGATCTACAATTATACAGAGAACTGTTCTGTTTCTAAAGTGTTTCGAAGCTTCTCTGATCAGTTACCGACGTGCCGAGTCGATCAGCCCCCGACTCCACGGAAAGCATCTCGTCCGGGGCGCGCAGCAGAGATCCAATCCGCTGATCAAACGAGTACATACGAGGTTGATTGCCCGCCCATGATACAGGGAAAAGCTATCAATAACAATGGTGAAAATCGACGGCAGCGTCGACTGTCACGTTCTCAATGCTCATGACCCTGGGAGCTCACGGAGAGGGAGGTAGCATCAGACATGTCCGAATTACGGGGTGCCCGGCAAGGAATACCCGTCTTTCAATTTCCAACATTCCCGTCGCTCCCTCGCCTTCTTTTCAACCGAGCACTCCCTCAAATCTCCATGTTGTACCGTTCAATCTTGCGCAACGTGCACGCAAATCCCGAACCTACCAACCGCCACCAGGCCAGGGACGAGAAACTGGATGGGTGCCACAAACGGCCACACCACACCCAGCCGATGACGGCAACGACATTGTATTCGTCGTCGAAATGTATTTTATTTTCCCGACAAGTGATTTCTCTGGTCCATGGTTGTCCGCGATGGCAGGTTTGGGCAACCAAGCGTGGAAAACCACCTCGAGCGTTAGAGCCTAGAGCGAGTTGGTGTAAAATCCGCCCAAGTCCGGCCACCTTGACGAGTTATTGTCAGAGGGTCGAGCCAGGACAGCTACAAATTCCAAAAGCGGCCGTAAACGTTTTGCCCGGCGACATGCTAGCCATCGGGGCCGGAGCCCTCAATTTCTTGCATGGCCATGGTCAACATAAGAGGTCGGTTCCCGGCTTTGGTTTATGCAGGACGACTACTCTGTACGCAGTAGAACATCGTCAAACGGCAGTTTCTTTAGGCATTTTTGCCTTGGGGAATCCATACCATTGACCTCGGCTACCTGTACACTATACCCACCGACACGACATTCAGTCTTGTGGTTACACATCTCGCAACCTTTTGTTTGTATACTTCGATTGACTTCCCTGTGGCCTGTGTCTCCGATTCCAACTCGGTGGCTCGTCTTCTGTTGGCCTGGATAGCGGAGTCACGACTGAGAGACAACGCCGACTTGATTGAACAGGTATGCTCGCCAGCCAAGGAGTCCACGCTACCATGCACGCGATATTGAATCGTCTTCGCCCTCAGATGGCAGGAGTCGTGCTACTGAGTTAGATCCAAGAAGTGCGCCACCTCAAACTTGCACTCTAGTTCCGTTTCAATCATCAGTGAATAAGTTGAGCCGTCGCCCGCCGTCACCTGTCTGGAGCCCGCTCCATCCATCCAACAGCCAGATGACCAGATCTTTTACCCACACCCTGGCGCCGATCCTCCAAGGGTCGAATACTGGGATATGGCTTTTATTCCTGAATCCCTCTCATCAATCTCGGCCAGCTAGTGGATTGTTTGTATCAACTTCACTGCGGGATCAAGCAGCATAGGGCGCGAGTTGACTCAACATCCTCTCCACCCAGGCAGCCGACTTGACTCCTCTAGCCCATTATTATTAGGAACTACTTATCCATCGTACACGTCTGTTCAAAACGTCTGCTGTTTCCAATATTTTCCAGACCCCTTTGCCTGGTTTAAACTGTACTCTCGTCCATTGGCCATCTGGTCGATGCGTACAGGCCGCTTCCCATCTGTCTTGCCTCCCCGCGTGCGTGTCATCCGTCGTCTCGCCAAATGCAAAAGCCGCTCACGGCGACACGACTACCACCCAAACGCCAATGCCCGTAATTCATTCCCCAAAAACTTTCATGCAAAGCTTAAACCTGTATCAGCCACTCTGGCTCCGCCACGTGGTGGACAGCAAAGAACATTTCCCTCTTCCGTGACGTAACAAGTATAAAAAAACAAAGGCACCCTCGTTCACACATAATAGCATATCCCATTATTACTGACCTCCCAGAGCTTGCGCAGCCGGGGCAACTCATGTACGCGGTAGCACAAAGCAAAGCTTGCCCATCGGTCCCAAAATCTGTGTTCCTATTTTTCGGGTATTGGGGACTTTGCCAGTCGCCCTCCAGCGCTGACACGTTTCTGTAGCCTGGCTTCCCTCTCTCGCTGCGGCCTATCGCTTGAGCTCAGGTGAAGGGGTAGTGAGCCCAGAACATCATGTCCTGTACTACTGCCTCTGCCCATCTTCTGTTCGTAGTACTGTTGAGCACACCGCCCAAGTGGGAAAGCAGGCAGGGATGCTGGGATCTCTGCCCCATTCTGAATGAGGAGTTCGGCAACGGGGAAGGGCACGGCCTTGACATCGGCGTCGGAAGCGTTTATGCCCGGTGTTGGCGATGGCTGTGCTGGATCTGCCGCTGCAAGTGCCAGCCAGATTGCATGCGTTCCCCTCATCTTGTCAACTACATTGGGATTTGCCTTGAGTGCCAAGGCGTACAAGACTTGCTGGATCTCGTTCTTTTTGACAGCCGCCAGCAACGTTTCGTCCGGGGTCGCATATCTCGACAGAGTTGCCGAGATCGGCTCAACATACGCCCGGTCCACATACTTGGCAGTGATGAACCTCAACCGTTGTTCTCGTGTCGCTTGTGGGCTTGGTTTCTGAGACACATCCAACTTGGCCTCCCAAATCATGTTTGATACCCTGTTTCCGATGAGCAAGAGGACTTCGACAATATCGATGGTGAACGACTTGATATCCAGCGTCAGCGACCGGACTTTGCTGATATGTGTTCCAAGGGAGCGGTGGATGCCGCTGCATTCAATGCACAGGATGATGCCCAGGTTGATGGAGACCCATTCCACCTTTGACCCCGAGCCACAGTCTGCACACCAACAGTTGCCTTGGTCCGCGTTTCGAACCATTTGCAGCAGCTTATCTGGATTCTCATCGTAACCTGAGCTTGTCGTGCGAACCGCACCAGGCCGAGCGCCGACCGTTATTCGGCGCTGGGGCACTCCCGCGTTTGTGGTTGACTGGTGATGTGAGTGGGCGGGATGACCCGAGTGCTGTGTTTTGCCCGTCAAGATAGAGCCAATATCCCTTTTGAGAGACGAATCCACGGGTGACCTAGTCGACGATGATCGGTCCGGGACGCCTCGACCCTCCATCGCACTTTGCAATGCATTGTTAATCGACATAATCCAGCTGTTCATGTCCTCTTCAGATGTTGCTTGATAAACCCGCTTGTAGTTGGGCGTTATGACTTCAAAACAGAATCGGCGTTCCGCATTGCGTGCCTCGCGAACAGAGGCCATTCGCAAGTCGATCGGATCCATGTGGAGGTCCAGCCTCTGCTTCCAATTACTGTACTCGGATAGCTTCCCTTGATCCAAAACAATCCAAAATCTAGATGTCGTTAGTTTCACATTCAATCACATGCATCTGAAGTTCTCCATTTGAGATGGAGTACCTGCCAAATGGGTGAGTCACTTACTTGTGCCATCCTTGCTTGTTCAGGTTTCGTGGATCGACATGACCACCCGGTCGGTTGAGCGCCCACAATAGACCTTCCTTCCGTTGGCTCCCTACGGACTGCGCTGCATCTCGCTCCTCGAGATCTCGAAAGCCTTTGAACTTGGCCCCCTGTGTAGAGCTAGTCATGAACGACTGGCCTTGGCTACCAGGAGATCTCGACAGCTCGGCTCCTTGGGTAGCGGATCCTTGACCGCCAACTCCGATAGCAATTGAGTTCTTGATTTGCGAGCCTGTGCTGTCGGCACGACCAAGTTCGCTGTCAGAAGTATTCCCGGCAACACCGTTCAAGCTCGAGGTCAATAGAGCAGAACTACTTAGGCTTGCTTGTTCTGGTTCCGAATAGGGGGGATTTGACTTCTCCAGCTGTCTTCGTTTCTCCTCCCGCTCTCGTCGTCGATACTGATACTCCTTGTCCGCCTCTTGAACTTCGGAAGAGAGCGCTGCCAACTGTGGAAGGAAGTCCTCAATTTTCTTCGCCGTGGCCAGATAGCCTCTTGTTTGTGCATCTGCGTATTTTGTCAGGTGGGACAGAACTTCTTGTTCTTTACGACCACCGTGGAGATCCTGGACGAAGCTAGAGTAATCGAATCGCTTCAGCTCGAAATTTCGTCGCTTGTTTTGATATTTCGAGTCGCTGTCGGCAAGTTTCTTCGCCTTTCCCGAATCTTGCCGCTGGCCCAGATACCGCGATACATATGCGTAATAGTCTTTGCTTTCTTCCTCGAAATCGCGCTTCTTGTATTCGGCTTGTTTGATGTCAAGTTGATATAGCTTGTTGAGGGGCTCTATAATAATCTTCTGCAAGTTTGCCGTGTTTTGTCGTTCATAGGCGACGACTTCACGAGCGATTTTATCAAAGTAGTGCTCCAACGCGGGTTGGAAGGCGTTGGCATTGGTGCAAGACGCCTCGCGCAGAGCTTCCATGAACGCAACAAAGGCGTCGTTGGCCTCGGTTTGCTGCAAATGGGCGTGCTCTGCTCGTTTAAGAACCTTCTTCATCTGGACTCGCATGTTTCCCGTTTTTTGCTCCAGTGCTTTGAGAGTTGCCCGGAACACAGGGCCATCATCACTGGCAGTAACATCGTCGTCATACTTGGGACATGGAACGTCAACCTTGACGGGCTCTTGCATCTGATTCGTGTTCGTTTGCGACAGGCTTTCATTCGGCCCAAGGAGAGGGGAGACGGGCTCGTCAACATCAACACCAGTTAATCGAGACTCGACCGACTGTGTGGAGGCGACTCGAATCTTTGGGGGCGGACTCAAGAGGAAATGCGGCGGGGGTGAGATGGGGTTGCTCAGTGGTGAACTTGGACCTAGGAAAGGCATTAGCATCCCATTGCCTGCGGTTGCTGCTGTTTTCACCGGCAGGGTGAGCCACGTACTTGACACAAAGTAGGAGAAGCTCGCCAGAGTGTTTAGACGATGGGCTCGAGGGTCATATTCGACAAACTTGGGGATCCGAGACAAAGATCAGCTGCTGTGACGAGCAGAGAGGGGGCCTTGATAATAAGAGCATCGCATTCTTACGCTGCAGCAGTTCCTCCAACCGCCCCCTTTGTCCTCGACAGGCTTCGGCGGCTTCCACTTCCAGGTCCATTCAAATGTCACAGATGGACTGCCTGCGGTGCTGTAGTCGCCCACTAGCTCTACATTTGCGTTCTTGTGAAGGTTTGGATCGGCATGGAATTCTCGCGTGACAAGATTCGAAACTTCTCGAGGGGTAGAAGCATGGACATATGTCAGGCCAGAGATATTCGTGTCTGGGCTAGCTGGCTTGCCATCTGCGGCACCAGATGGCTGTGACTGACGAATCACAAAGGTGAATGTGAATATAAGCTCGTCATCGCCGCTTAGTTTAAGCAGAAAGTTGGGTGCGGCGGTGAGATTATTCGATGCTTCAGGATCCTGGCAGCTTGGTGGTCAGAGAGAATGAAGCAAGCACCCAGAGGGCAGCGGCAAGCAAAGTCGGTTCCCTGCTGAAAGCTCCTGGAGATGACCAACGCACCTGTACATATTCTATTGGGGATGTTTCGCCAGACAATCGACTAATGGCTATTCGGCTCGCTGGGAATGCATTTGGAACAATGTTGACGGAACTGCGCTTCCGCGGGTTGGTAACGACAAGCGAGGATATGCTCACTGAGAGGAACGAAGAGTGAGTACTGGTGTCAACAGAGACAGAAGTGGAAGGATGCGTGCAAATCAAAAAAAGGTTGAGACAGCATACGTCTGTTTTGGTCTCTAAGATATAGCGCCGCCCCTTCGTCGGGCCTGCTGGTGATGTTGCCCATGCCGAGGATAGCTTGGCTGCATTCGAGGAGAAGAGAACTGCCTGGTGGTGCACACGTGGAAGCTGCATCAAGCAGCTGAAATGGGCCAGGCGGGTTGGTGGGATGGAGAGCGGTCGACACTGGAAATGGTGAAAGCAAGCACCACTTGAAGCATTTGATGCAGTCGAGGCAGGCCGGGTCAGCGCAGGGTGAAAGGCTCTTGAGGGAGCTCAGCCGGTGGTCGTCATTTGGTGGCGGATACGGAGTGCAGAAGAAAAGCCAGGTCTGAGCCCCAGGACGGCCCAGGATGCTGTCGCCTGGCTTGGCCCAGGTCTGAGGTGAGGACGACTAGACTCCTGGACGTCGGAAGGGCGCGGGCTCGAATTGGAGATGGCGATGAGTCGCAGCGAACACGGACCACGGTATACGTTGCGGGAGGCGGGTTTCTAGAGATGTCGCGGCAGCCAGCACCAAACGGCCAAAGGAGTTGTGTCTGGAGCAGAAAAGAACGGGAAGAAGACGACGGGCACCTGGGACTTGTTGATGGAGGAGCTTGGAGCCTGGCGAATGAATAAAGGAGGGCGAAGGCAACAAGCGCAGGCGCCAGCCATCAAACACCGGACTGCGGCGCCGCAGATGTGGTGGCTGGCTGTGTGGACACGGTCGTTCAGGCGCCGGCCTGGTGAAGGACAATGAAAGGCAATGGGGGGGTGGATGGGGGATGGGGAACGGCGGCAAAACGGGTGGCGGCACGGGGCATCAATTGATGGTTTGATGGTTTGGTGGTTAATGGTTGATGGTTGATGGCTGATCAATGGTTGATGCGGATGGCGGATGGCAGATGACGGACGGCGGACGGTGGCCGCATGCGCAAGCGGACCAGGTCAGAGGCTGGAGCCACTCGTGTGGGTTCTAACTTCTATGGTTCTACGGATGGTAACTATATGGTTCAGTGGTTGTACGTACGTACTACGTAGCACTAGTGGTTGGGGTTGGGGGGCTCCAATCTCCAGTCGGTCCCAGGTTTAGGGATTTGATGGGGAACAAGTCAGGGCCTGCCAGGGGGTCGGCCTGGCTGGCGGCACTTGAGACTGGTCAGACTGGGTCCCGAAGTTGACCTGTGCATGCAGGCGTGGCTTATGCGTTATGGATTATGGATTATGGCGGCATCTCGAGAGAGCCTCATGTCAACGACAAGTCGAGCACGTACCTAGGTATACTACTGTCAAGTTTGCGGCCAGCTACGGTGTGTCGTCGCTGTGCCTACTTTTCTACGTCTGTCCTGTTTGAGCCAGCTCGATTTTTTTCCAGCTTTGCCGTTGCCGATGGCACCGAATCCTCTCACAGCCGCAGTCGCGTTGTCACGTCGACAACTGCGCCTGCCTGCTCACGCGCGTCTCAGGCGTTGCTGGGCCCAAACATGCTCTGCGCCTCTCTTTGCCGTCTCGGTGGGTTGATTCATCGTGCGGCACTTGAGGTCACGTAACATCAGGTGCTCAAGTACGTAGGAATATCCGGCGCATTTTGGCGAGGGCCGGGTCCATCCGGGAGTGTCAACTTTGATTCATAGTTCATAGATACATCGCCATTAAGTCGCATCGCCGGTACAGTGCAATGGTGGTAGTAGTACGAGGTATGATGCCGTCCAATGCTGTCACTCTTGGCGGGCAATTTTAGAACACACGAAACAAACCCTGCCATTGCAACGCGAGTGGGTGGGGGATTAAAGTTGAATACGAACAAGGTATTTGTCCTACCTGCTCAACGTAGTAACTACGTAGTAGTAGTTCTTTCCCAGTCCTGCAATGGTGACGACCTTTTTTTTTTCCTTCGTCTTGAGCTACGCACCTCTCTGGTCGCGCCTCTTGCGACGATTATCGAGGTATTTATTTTCTTGTTGCACAGGAATGATTTTGAGGTTGCTATTTTTAGTGCTGGCCTGGGAGTGGCCCTGCTATGCAAAACAAAAATGAATGGCTGGTTTGACGTCTGACGGCACTGGCGACCGACCAGCTCTACGGAGTACTACTGTCTACCAGCGCTAACTCGAGTTGGTACTTGCGGGTTCTTGGAGCGTTCAAGCGCGGAGGTTCACGCTGATGGACGGTCCCCCTTACAGAGGGAGTCTGCGTGGGAGAGTTTGTCTGGGCCCTGGGGGCATCATCTAGCGCACGGAGGCGGCGCATGGACCTAGACAATCTATTGTGATCAACCTTGACTTCTCTCGAGGGAGCACGGAAGCTGTTGGATGCCGCGCACTTGAGCCGGCCCGCACGCATTTTCTTCTGTTTGCGTGTGCGTTCATTCGGCATTGTGCTTTTTACTCTGGACGAAAGGCACCACCGGCCCAGACCCTAGACGCGCTGAGCCGCGGATGACGTCGGCGTTGGGTGTTGGGTCGCCCTTGGAAACATTCGATCCCGGGCCTGCCTGCCTCCTGCCTGCGTCTGCACGGACCAGCCAGACTCGCCAATCAACGTCAAGGCCCGAGACCGGCCTGCTGAAACACCACCAACGTTCAATGTTCTGGGTCTCGCTGGCATCGTTGATGCAAACCCTACGTACACTCTGTCCTCCTCGTCCGTTTGCCTTTGGCCCCTGCGATCCCGATTTCTTCCTTTCGCTCTGTCTTCCCTCTCCTCCGGCTGTCTTTCCAGCCCGCGTTTGCTGCCCTCGCATGCGATTTTCGCTGGCCATGATTTTGTGCATCACGCATTGCATTGGGCAGCAACTCGCTCTCTCATTCGGACTACCAACGACGTGCAACCACTTCCACCACCACCAACATCAACATGTCCACCTCCTCGCGACGATCCTTCACACCCAATCGTCGCGTCAAAAGTAGCAGCAGGGACATAGCCAGAAGTAGAGCTTCCTCTCGCGCTGCCGCACGCCCCCAGCACTTCGTCGTCGAGCATGAAGAGGCCAGGAGCTTCGCCCTTCGCACCGCCTACCTTCACTACCTCTTGCAGCCTCGAGCCAAACGCAAGCAGTATGTTCCCGCACCAAAGCCGCCCTCCCGATCTCACTCGAGCGTTGGCCAGCTCGTCCAGGAACATATTTCGGGAAGCTCAACAAGCTTGAAGCTGCCAAGCAGCTTCCCAACCCAACTTCTCGATCGTGTTGGCGGCGTCATACGGGGCAGCGAACCCCTCCCTGGCTTCAGCGATGCTGCTGTCAAACGAAGCTTCGCCGAGGCGTACACGGCCTTCTCCGAGAAGAACTTTCGCAGAACCATTGAAAAGGAGAGGAAGTTTGAGCCTCTGGTTCTCATGTTTTACTCCTCTGCTACCAAGGCGGCCCAAAAGGGCAAAGCCTCCGACGATGATTCGTGGAAGTTGCTTCCGGACCGTCACCTGGCAATGTTTGTGAGGCTTACCACGCATATCTTGCGAGAACAGGGACATGACCGAGACCGTGCCGACTTGCTATCAAGGCTGGCGTCTTTGGAAAAGAAGCTGTTGACCAATGACCAAAACTTGGTCGACAGTGCCCAGGACGGCAAGGGCAAAACCATTGAAGTTGTCGTGCCCCTGACCTACGACGTCAAGGACATGCCAATGGTGCAAGTCGTTGCGGGCATCTTTGGCATGAGTCTGTCCGAGGTTCAGTCGGAAATCAATCAACATCGCCAAACTTGGACAGAAGAAGCCGCGCTGAAGGATCTCAAGTCGTATCAACACAGGCTCAACACTGACATGCCTGGCGCACTGAGAAGTCAAGACTTTGACCTTGATGATGCTTTTGTTGAGTGGAAAAAGTCAGAGTCACCTCATTTGTCGCAAATGATGCTCGACATCTTGACAGCCAGGCCGGAACTGGCCAAGACTTCGTCAGGTAACTACGAAAAGCAGCCACACAGTCGGCCACAGTCTGTGATTGGTAATGACCAGGCCTACGCCGACGTCAGTCGCGCCATATCTGCACAAGATGGCGGAGCAAACGCCTCCGATGCAGCCGCCAGCCTAGCAAATCTGTCAATTGGTAGTGAGACAAGCAGCATCCGGACCGTTGAAGAGACTATATTCACATTTATTCCCCCTGAGCCCAGGGAATTTTACAAATACATCCTACAACACGCCGTCACGTTTGATCAGCTGCATGCAGATCCAGCATTGGAGTACAAACCGCTTTCCAAGCAGTCCGTGGAGCTTTTGACCGAACTCTGTGTCCGTTGGCGCATCCCACAGTTTTCACGCTTGATTGCTTTACTGGAAGTGGCCGCTCGCAAGTTCTTGGACCAAGAAATTGTTCCTGAGGAGCTGGATGCCATCTTTGACTTTGTCAAGTCCCCGATGCCAGAGGTCAGAAAGCCGCCTCACATCACACATTACGCTACTCCATTGAGTGAAATCGACACTAGTCGGTGGACCATGCACGATTTTGCAGTCTACAAACAAACATTTCACAGCTTACACGATGCGCTGTTGCGAGAACTGTATGATCTCATGGAGCAGTGTTACGACTCCAAGCCTCCGAACATTGCAGCCGTCATGTTCCTACTTGAGAATCATATTGGTAGCGACCCGACCTTCTCTCCGCGGCCCGACGCCTTGGCTGAATTTTCAGACCATCTCGCCCAGGGACTGTGCCAAAGAGCAGCTGACGTCTATCGAGACTACATGCAAAAGGATATACCGGCCCACAAAGAGGAATGGGACTTTGCCCACGTGATCCAGTTGGGCAAGTCGGTGACCAAACTCTGCGACCGGATCCGCAAGCGATACAAGAACAACATGGAGATTATGGGGGTGAGTCCTCTGTCGATTCTTGTCCAAGAAGTGTTACCTAGCTTTGAGAAGGACGCTGGGGCTATTATCGAGACGATTATGAGAGGCGCAGACGAAGCGAGCGAAGAGCTTCCTATCCGAGATGGCTTTGACTTGTACAAGGAATTGGTCGCCATCCGTCGAATCCACCTCGAGTCGCTTGGTGATGTGCCCTTCGAGTTTGACCTCGAAGATCTTCTTGTAAATTTTGTATGGCGCTTCATCCGCGCGGCAGAGGAGAAAGTCAACGGCTACGTTGACGAGGCCATCAAGAAAGACGACTTTCGGGTCCGGAGTCAGGGCACAGAGCACATTCCGCTCGACTCAGAGCGACATAGTGTGTCCGTGATTGATCTTTTCAGAATCCTGAACCAGACGGTGGACCAAGTGGTCAGCTTGGGATGGAATAATGATGAACACAATGCAAGATTCATGACATCTCTGGCGCGGACCGTTGCTACGGCTGTCGGACGATACTGCGAGGTTGTTGAGCAAAAGTTTGCCAAAGAAATGGATCGTCCATCGGCGGAGGAAATTGCCGCCCAGAGCAGAACAACGCAGGAGAAGTGGATGCAATACGCGAAAGATGCTTGGAGCAACAAGGAGAAGATCGAACCTTTTCAATTTTACCCCGAGGTATGCAGCTTTCCCCCGCCAAGACGCCACATCCCTCACTTCGATGCTAAGAAACTACGCAGTCCTTTGTGAAGCTAAATAATGTGGAATTTGCCATGCAAGAACTGGACAAGCTGGAGAAGAGCATGAACTCGGAAGCTTGTGCTACTCTCCTTGAGAAAATAGACGGCCCTAGGAAGAAGGCTCGCAAACCGAGCAAGTACACCTTTACGGTCAAGGTTGTGGAGGCGGAGGATCTCAAGGCCTGTGATCCGAATGGATTCAGTGATCCCTATGTCGTCTTTGGCGACGAATATCAGAAGCGACTACACAAAACGCGCATCATTTATAGGAATCTCAACCCCCGTTGGGACGAGTCGTTCGATGTCACGGTTCAGGGACCAGTCAATGTTATTGCCACCATCTGGGACTACGATACTTTCGGTGATCACGACTACGTTGGGCGCACGTCACTTAAGCTGGATCCAGTGCACTTTGGCGACTACCTTCCCCGGGAGTTCTGGCTGGACCTGGATTCTCAGGGCCGGCTTCTAATTCGGGTCAGCATGGAAGGGGAGCGAGATGACATTGAGTTCCATTTTGGCAAGGCCTTTCGCCATCTCAAAAGAACGGAAAGGGACATGGTGCGAAAAATTACGGACAAGGCAAGTTGCGACCCCTTTTCTCTCGCCCCTTCGTCGTCGCATCTACCCACTAACACATAAACTGCAGCTCACGCAACAAATTAATGATACGTTGTCTCTAGAGACGCTACGAAATCTTCTGGGTATGGGTGGAATTGGCGCTTCTGTGACTAGTCTGTGGAAGAAGCGAGCCTCGATTGCGGTCACGGTCACACCAAGCCAGATTGAGGGTGCACTCGCTCGTCTCTTTACGTACTTTGACGAGAACTTCGCCATCATGAAGCAGACTTTGACCGACGCAACCATGATAGCAGTCATGACCAGGTTGTGGAAGGAAGTTCTCATGACCATCGAAAACCTGCTGGTTCCCCCCTTGTCGGATAAGCCATCGACCAAGAAGTCCCTGACGAGGAAGGAGTTGGATGTTGTGTATTACTGGCTGGAAATGCTTTTCAACTTCTTCAACGCCAAGGACGAGCATTCCGGTGAACAGCTGGGTGTGCCTGCCGAGGTGCTCAAATCGCCTAAGTGGCACGAGCTTGCGTCTCTGAACTTCTTTTACTTTGAGGACAGCAGCAACTTGATACGGGAGTCAGAACGGATGGCCTCAGCCACGGCACAGCGAGCACAACAAGCCCTGCTGCAGCAGACACCGCAGCAGAATCGCATGTCCGCTCCAGCTAGTTTCGGCGCATCGTTTGGCGGTGCTGGAGCGTTTGCAAGTATGGGCACTATCAGGCGCGGGAAGAGCATCATGATGAATCGCAACTTGGGCACGATGCGCAAAGCTAAGGAGGCCAAACGACGCGAGGCTCAGGCCGATCCCAGCGACGACATGATCTTGCGTATTCTCAGAATGCGACCCGAAGCGGCGCAGTATCTGAAGGAGCGGCATCGCCAACGGGAACGCCAAGCGGCAACGGTTGCAGCGGCGCTAATTGTCAAGAATAGTGTCAGCCAGACCTGGCAGACGGGAGGAGCGTTTGGAGCAGGACATTTTGGAAGATCCAACCTACCCAGGAGGTAGGGCATTTCTTTGACGGGGATGACGTGATGTTGTAGGCTTTTTTTTTATATATATATTTACAAGCCCTTTTCGTCAACCTTTCTTTCCTTGTCTTATTCTATTTTTATTTTATTTTTTCCTTCTTGTTTGGTACATGTTCTTTTTCTTTTTTCACGGCTAATATTAGGGGATTACAAAGTTGACTGAGGCAAGAGAGCATCGGATACCCCATATGCATGAGCGGGAGACTATGAGCAAGAAGATATGATTACACGGGCTGTGTCAACGAAGGCATGCAATACTTGGTACTCAAATAGCGGCAGCGCCTATGGAGAGTTTTATTAACTGTACGCACGCGATTATGGAGGGATTGCCAGCTGAAGTTTGGGTTGTAGAATGGTGAATGGTATTTCGCTGACGGGAATCCGTGATGCATGCCATGACAGTAGGCAGTAGGTCAGTAGGCAAGCATGACTTGAGGCCGTCTTCCATCCATCCATCCATCCGTCGGCCTGTCAGTGCAAAGACGGTGCCGGACAGACGACTTCACCGCCCAGAAGGAGCCGTTCCCCATTCCATCACGCGCCGAGGACGCATTCCCCGCATTCGAGGATCGCCAGCTAACCTCGCCTTCCCTGCCGGCACCGGCTCCCTGCAACGTCCTGCCGGCGTCTCATGACGAAAGGACCAACGTGCGCCCTGGCGGACCTGCACCAGGACAATGGAATGATTATGCAGATGCTGCGTCTTGATTAGCCAGGGGCGGGCGGCGCGATCGGCAGTGGGACGGGGGTTGAGCGTGGATGTGGTGGTTTCTGTTTGAAACGGACGGGCTGACGGGCTGACGGCTGGGTGTGATGCTCCACTGAAGTTCGGACGGAATGATGTCGTCTTGAAAGTTTGTGCCGAGGGTCGACAGGTTGATGGCGGTATTGGCTCCCAGGCCAAGGGAGAAGGGATGCTGGATGCTGCCACGTGCTGTGACCGGATTATATACATATACATGTATGTATATATGGATGGATGGATGGATGGCAACGGCTCAGGTCTGGTGCTTATCATCGTGAGCTATATCTTTCTTTTGAAATCCGTCGCCGGGGGATCCAACAGCGCTGGATGTACAATGCATGATGAGCTGGACCCATTTCCCAGGCATCATCAAAGTAGGATAATGACTGTGGCTCTTGCAAAAAAAAAAGAAAAGAAAAGAAAAGGAAAGGAAAGGAAAGAAAAGGAAAAAGAAAAGAGATACAGAGAAGAGAGTCGAGGTCAGGGAGTTACACGAGTAGTGTAGGACAAGGTCCAAGATACGCTCAGGATGGAAATTCGCCCCAGGGCCTCTCGGCAGGAGCCGCTGCATCCAGTGCTATACCTAATCTCTCAAGCTGCTCGAGGGATGGCTCTTGATATGCCATACGATGGGTGGTGCGCGAGGCACAAACTAATAAACCTCCTACCACATGCTCATGTTCATCATGCCATCTGAGAAGAGAAAGCGCTGCCTCCGCCAAGGTAAGCTCACGCATTGGAGCACAGAGCAACGTTGCCATCGAAACAACCCATTCATGAGCGGCCGCGGGCTAGTATGGTGCGCCACCGCACGGCTTGCCAGGCAGACTGAGGGCCCCTTCGTCCTCTATGTTCTTCACATCGGCTCAGTGCGCTCGCGGTAGTTTTCTGCGGTCAATGTGGTGGCGGTGGCGGTGGCGGCGGCGTAGAACAACAGCAGCAGCAGCAGCACAACTAAATCAGGCCGGCAACTGCCCTAGAGGACGCGAGGAGGAGACGAGGAGATGAGTAAAGCCGGTGCCGCTTTTGGGACCAGTTGTCAGTCCGAGTTCACCATGACCTGCAGTGCTAGCTTCAGGGGCAAACGTACTGCCGGTCCGAGATCGGCTTCTCCCGGGCTCCGTCATCGTCAGCGTGCAACAGGTACTCTCATGGCTTTTGGGAGCCAGTGGTGCTCTGGAGAAACCCCGTACGGAGTGAGAGTAGTACTCTGTTCTGGACTGGAGACAGGCGCTGCTTTTGGTCAGCCCCTGAAAAGCCACCACATCACGCCAAAGGTACTAGCGCACCTTGGCGCCGGGGCAGAGACCATGCCTCAAGAATCGCGCGACTCAGACTCGATTGCCTCATCCAAGCATCAAGCAGAGTCAGAGGCATTGCTGTTGGCGTGGGGGCGCTTGGTCATTCCGGCGCCAGAAAAGGGACCCGACACGGGGTGAAGTCAGCTCATTCCGCCATCTGGCGAATCAAACAGCTGGACAGGGCTTGGCGGAAGGTGACGTAGGCGGCTGCCAAACGGATCTTTTTTTTTTTTTTCGGGGGGAGGGGGGCTTTGCAATGCACCTTCCCACATCGGATGGATGAGTTGCGAATTTTCAGACTGGTACTCCGTAGTACTCCGTACTTGCGGCTGTGCAAGCGACAACCTTGTCCTGAGAACTGGAGCAGTGTCGAAAGAAAGACCCAGGAACTAAATTTGTCCTGGACCCTTTTTTGGTGTTGAAACGTGGTCTAGTGCCGAGTGATCTGACGAGCAAGACATGTCCGGGGTACCGCTCCGTAGTCGTCACATCAGGGCCAGCCAAATGCCGGCATCACCAGGGGCAGGGAAGGGAGAGGCTTCCTGTCGCAGCAAGCAAGGCGCGCTTATTATAGGTAGGTAGGCTCAGCTCAGGATCAATACGCAGCCTTTCTGGATGTGTGGTGGCGTGCTCCGTACCAGAAGGCTTGTTGATGCTGGTGTCGGCCAAAGCCATTACCAAACCCAACACAGGCTACAACGAGTCCTCTGCTAGTCAGCACCTCTGATTGCTGAAGCAATATTCTCCGTACCGCCCGATTTATTCTGCATATGTGGATGCAGAACACTCCGTCCTCCGTAGTCACGTCGACGTTGGAAGCACAAGTGTGCTCCATGTGCCCCGTTCTTTCGTTCGTGAGACTTCATCTTGTAGTTGCACCAAACTAAACTTCCATCCATCGGCGTAATTCAGTGGCCACGCATTGACGGCCCGCACTGACAAGGGTGCCCACCTAGTACATGGTATGGCTGCTAGTCAAGACCGTTCAGAAAAGTCGTGGATTCTGTTGACAGAATAATGACAGCAACTTGTCTTGGCCGGATAGTGGTACGTACTCCAGGCGGGCGGTGGACACGTTGGTGGACAGTAAATCAGGTCTCCCTGTCGGCCCATGTTCCTATCGTCGGAACAGGGTCGTCCGTCCTGGATCATAATTATGCATACAGAGTGAACGCAGTTGTCACTGAATAGCTGAGAAACACCATTGTGGCCACGGCTGGATGTTTGTTCCAACTGTCAAGCCACATGTTTTGTTTACCTGACACCCCTTGTTTCCTACACGCAAGGAGTCAAATGGTCCTGGAACTCGTGGCCTGGTCCGATGGTACAAGAGCTAATATGGTAAATAGCCTTGTGGACTGGACCCCTTTGCTTTTTCATGCGGTGCGGCTTCGCGTCCCCATCAACTCCACACTTCAAAGCCCACCACTAGGCGGCTGCGGCGCTAGTTGGGTAAAATCGACAGCCCGATACTCCGTACGGAGACTTGCTTTGTCTCTGTATTCCGGCGTGCTTCGTTGGTGATACCTGTCCCAACAGATGAGCACGACGCAAGTAAGCACCAACGTCAAGGTGGCAGGCTGAGATGGGGTGGCAGTATGAGAGGCGGCGCTACCACCTTTTCAAAGGACAGCCACTGCAGCGCCGAATGACGGGATTCGCGTGAAGCTTTCTTGGACCGGATTCATCCTGAATGATATGGCCCTCGTCGGCATAGGAAAGGACCAGGCCTCCAAGACAGTGAGGTGAGTCTTCAGGGAGGGCATGTGATGTGACGGCAACTGGCCTCTCGGGTGGGCTCAAGGGTCTCAAGCGGCCCTGGAGAGCATTTGAGGCTTCGGTGGGCTTCGAATGGGACGGAAGAGGGCCTCTTGGCGAGTTGCCCTCTCACAGCCCACTCCGCATCGAGTACTTCGTACGGAGAATGGAGGATGGAGAATGGAGTCCGTCATACTTGGCGACGTACTGTACCGACCTTGGGCCCTGCTGCGAGGAGTAAAAAAAGGAACTTTGGTCTCTATTAGATGGAGTATCGGCTGAGTCTCAAGTTGTCTCTCTCGGACAGAGAGACAGAGACGATTTTTGTCTGGCAGAAAGGGAAGTCCTGGCCCCAGCTGTTTGGTCATCTACGATCCTTCAAATGTTCACCACCAGCTGACCGTCTTGGCCATTCAACCACGCCAACGTCGACACTGAACATGGACAGGTGAGATGATGGATTTGGCATCTTTTTCTCTGGCACGGCCGCAGAGTAGAATGTGCTACTCCATAATACAAGGGCGCACGTCCTCCGTACAACGCAAGACCTTCCGCACATGTTGGCCCTCACGGGGTCTTGCCCGGACCACAAATCCACGAGTCCACCCACAACGTCCACCAGCGACCACAAGGCCACCAGGGGCATCAGCTCGTATTTGGCACTTTCACACGGAGTAGTCTGGTCTGGTGGTCTGGCCAGTCGCCGGCAGAGAGTGTTGGGTGTTTATTGCATGGTTCATTCCGTCTCCACGCCGTGGCTTTTCGAGGCTTCCTACTCCGTACAAGGCAGCCCCTGTCCGTCTGCCAAATTGGCCGTTTTTGCGCTTCTGCTGTGACCCAGAACTGCCTGGCCTTGGGCTACGGCATACGGAGTGGACGCTTCAGTGTTTGGTCAGTCAGTCCCCAATCCGTCACAAGTCGGTGCGGTACGGAGTACACCTCACACCGTACGACTGGATGATGGACGGCCCAAGCACTGGGAGTTTTCGGCATGGTTGAACTGAACTGTGTTGTGCTTGCTGGTGAAGGGCTCCGTACCGACGATGATACACGGGTCTATCTGTCTGTCTGGCGGTGTCAAGGAGCCAAGGACCGTATTCCACACAGTAAAAAGTCGGGAAGAAACGAACACACGAGAGCGTCAAATGCAAGGCCCGACGCAAGTCTGGCCCTCATGGAGCCCGGTGTCGCCGCTGGCGATGTAGGGACTAGGGAGACGGGAGACGGCGCACGGAGTTGGCTGTGTCAAGCAAACCGTTTTACCTGAACCACGCACCCAGCCAAGAGTGAGCACCCAGCGCCGCAGCGGAGAATGCAACCAAGATGCGCGTGGGAGCAACAGCCGACGGCGGAGCACAGCACAGCGAAGCACAGCACAGCACAGCGCAGCGCAGCACGTCGACGTCAGGGCCAAGAAAACGATGGCCAAGCATACATGCAGGTTGACAATCGGGTTGCCGCGGGAAAATGCACCGTGACTAGAGGTGATGATTGTGTTTGTCGTCGGTGGACGGCAGTCTTGCAAAGACCGAAGACGAGTGGCCAATAGGCCGTCCAATGTTCGGCATCGTCAACTGCACCCTTGCCTCCCCCGTGTACTCTGTACAGAGAGAGCATCCAAGTGACACTACTTGAGTACCAGTTAGGTACTTAACCCACAAGTAGTTTGCTGCGCAACTCAACCTCAACCCCCTAGCTGACACTCATCATGCTCCCGTCAAGGTCATCAAGGTCAGGGTCGAAATTTGTGTCAACAGTTACTCGCGTAGGGCGGGAACCTGTCACCTGTGTCTGCTGTCCTGGCCACCGCACCGCCCACTTGTTGATCAGTACGGAGTAGCACTCACATGGCACCCCCCCCCCCCCCCCCCGGGTCAGTGGTCACTCACTGGCCAGCCTGGTCGACTGGTCCCTTCCTTCACCGGCGCCTCCACTGACCCGGGGCCACCACTTGATGTCCAACGTTTCCTTCTCTCTCCTGTTCCTTGGAACATGCCCGTGTGCAATCAATTCCACACCTACACCTCTTCTGACCGATTTTCATCCCTCCTGTCGCTTTGTTCGCGTCCTTGGTGGCCGCTAATCGAGCGCGGGATCAGGCCAGATCCGATTTGTTTGCCTTCTGTGGCCTTGTGGCCTTCCTTTTGCTTCTTCTGCCTTTGCCTTTTGCATTTGCATCTTCGACGTCGGTCCTCGCTCTCCTGCGCCTCGCCGCCCGACAACCTTGGTATCGACTTGGGTAGCGGAGTGGGAAAAGGAGCCCCTCCTCCTCGACTGATCAAACAAGCAAAAGCCCTCTTTCGGCCGTTGTGAATGATGCTGGCCTGCCAGTGGATAATCTGATAACCAGCCATTGGGACCTTTTTGTCGAGCCGAGTCGAGCTGCTAAACGAACAGCCCTCTCTGCGATTTTTGTTTTCCCTCTCTTTCTTGCGTCTTCTTTCTCGGCCAGCCATCTGCTGTTGTTCCAACAACCAAACCCAGACGGCTCTGTGCCTCGCTTTGACGCTACTGTCGCCGCTTCTCTTTGAATAAACCCGCCTCCATCATCGGTGCCCATTTCATCGTCCGACTGCACGCATCGCAGTCACATCAAACTGGCCGACATGGTCGACGACTCCATGTTGGTGGCGGTAGCCAAGGCCGTGTCCTCTCTCGCCGCCGACCCCAAGCCGTCCTCCCCCTCTATATCTACCAGTATTGGGTCCCGAATCACCCTTCCTGGCCCTGAGACGGCTGCCAAACGAGCTCTGGAGATTGAGCTTCAGAAACTCTCTCTGCGAGTGGGACAGCTCGAAAACAGAGCAAGTGCATCGGCCACGGCTGTATTTCCCGAAACGCCAAATGAAGTCAACGACTCCCTCTTTGGCGATGACACTGGCTCATCGCCCGCGGGCCACCGAGGGGCAATTTCGAGCAAGTCGAAATTGGCCCACGCGCATCAAGGTAGCTTGGATTGTCCGAAACTTTTACCTCGCCAGCTGACCAAGGAAGCCCTGGAAGGACTGCGAGACCATGTGGACGACCAGTCCAAGCTCCTCGATAGCCAACGACAGGAGCTGGCCGGCGTCAACGCCCAACTTCTCGAACAAAAGGAGCTGCAAGAACGAGCTCTCGCCATGCTTGAGCAAGAGCGTGTGGCTACCCTGGAAAGAGAGCTGTGGAAACATCAAAAAGCCAACGAGGCCTTCCAAAAGGCCTTGCGAGAAATTGGTGAAATCGTCACCGCCGTCGCTCGTGGTGACTTGACCATGAAGGTCCGCATGAATACAGTCGAAATGGATCCCGAAATCACAACCTTCAAGCGAACCATCAATGCAATGATGGATCAGCTGCAGATCTTCGCTAGCGAAGTATCTCGGGTCGCCCGTGAAGTCGGTACTGAGGGTTTACTTGGAGGTCAGGCCCGCATAGGTGGTGTCGACGGAACATGGAAGGAACTAACAGATAATGGTATATTCCTCGTTCTCCTCCTCACCCCCGTTTTACATCTTTTCCTTTCGGGTCAGCATTTTTTCTTGCTTCCCCGTCCTGGGCTAACGCAGTCTTTCTCCGGGGACTAGTAAACGTCATGGCTCAAAACCTCACCGATCAGGGTAAGAAATGTCTCATGTGCCGGTTGCAACAGAATCGAAAATTAACACCAGGACCATGCAGTGCGCGAAATTGCTTCCGTCACAACAGCCGTCGCACACGGCGACTTGACCAAGAAGATTGAACGACCAGCCAGAGGTGAAATTCTTCAACTTCAGCAAACCATCAATACCATGGTGGACCAGCTGCGAACTTTTGCTTCTGAAGTCACCCGAGTCGCCAGAGATGTGGGAACTGAAGGTATTCTGGGTGGTCAGGCTGACGTTGGGGGGGTGCAGGGCATGTGGAATGACTTGACTGTCAATGTCAACGCCATGGCCAACAACTTGACGACTCAAGTGCGAGACATTATTAAGGTCACCACAGCTGTCGCGAAGGGAGACCTCACCCAGAAGGTGCAGGCAGACTGCAGAGGGGAAATCTTTGAACTGAAGTCTACAATCAACTCCATGGTTGACCAACTCTCCCAATTCGCCAGGGAAGTCACCAAAATTGCTCGGGAAGTCGGTACTGAGGGCCGCCTCGGTGGTCAAGCCACTGTACATGATGTTGAAGGAACCTGGAGAGATTTGACGGAGAATGTAAATGGCATGGCCATGAACCTGACTACACAAGTGCGAGAGATTGCAAAGGTCACCACCGCCGTCGCCAAGGGCGATCTGACCAAGAAAATTGGCGTCGAAGTCAAGGGAGAAATCTTGGAACTGAAGAATACTATCAACCAGATGGTGGACCGCCTGGGGACGTTTGCTGTCGAGGTGAGCAAGGTGGCGCGAGAGGTCGGCACGGATGGCACGCTGGGTGGCCAGGCACAGGTCGCCAATGTCGAGGGTAAATGGAAAGACCTCACCGAAAACGTCAACACCATGGCTTCAAACCTGACCGTTCAGGTGAGAAGCATCTCTGCCGTCACACAGGCTATTGCGAACGGTGACATGAGTCAAACTATTGACGTGGAAGCCAACGGAGAAATACAAGTATTAAAAGAAACCATCAACAACATGGTGTCGCGACTGTCGAGTTTCTGTTACGAGGTGCAACGAGTCGCAAAGGATGTCGGTGTCGATGGAAAGATGGGTGCTCAAGCTGACGTAGCTGGCCTGAACGGACGGTGGAAGGAAATTACCACTGACGTGAACACAATGGCTAGTAACTTGACGACCCAAGTGCGGGCTTTTTCCGATATCACGAATTTAGCTACGGACGGAGATTTTACCAAGCTTGTCGACGTGGAGGCGTCTGGTGAAATGGACGAGCTGAAACGAAAGATCAACCAAATGATTTCAAACCTGCGAGACAGTATCCAGAGAAACACACAGGCAAGAGAAGCTGCCGAGTTGGCCAACAAAACCAAATCCGAATTTTTGGCAAATATGTCTCACGAAATTCGAACGCCGATGAACGGCATCATCGGCATGACTCAACTGACGCTGGACACCGACTTGACTCAGTACCAACGCGAGATGCTCAATATCGTCAACAACCTTGCCAACAGTCTACTGACGATTATCGACGACATCTTGGATCTTTCCAAGATCGAGGCTAGGAGAATGGTGGTTGAAGAGATCCCGTATACGTTGCGAGGAACTGTTTTCAATGCCCTCAAAACCCTGGCTGTCAAGGCAAATGAGAAGTTCCTGGACCTCACCTACAAGGTGGACAGTTCCGTTCCTGACCATGTGATCGGAGACTCGTTCCGTCTTAGGCAGATTATTCTCAACCTTGTGGGCAACGCCATTAAGTTTACAGAGCATGGCGAAGTTAGTCTCACCATCAAAGAGAGGGCAAATCAGCACGAGGTGGGTATGGGAGAGTATGCCATTGAGTTTGTCGTCGAAGACACTGGTATCGGCATAGCCAAGGACAAACTGAACCTCATTTTCGATACATTCCAGCAAGCCGATGGCTCTATGACTCGCAAGTTTGGTGGTACAGGACTCGGTCTATCCATCTCCAAACGTCTTGTTAATCTCATGGGAGGCGATCTTTGGGTGCTCAGCGAGGCTGGCAAGGGCAGCCAATTTCATTTTACGTGCCGAGTCAGGCTTGCCGCTGACGACACTGAAGGCACCCTGAAACAGCTCAAGCCTTATCGTGGTCACCAGGTCCTGTTTGTGGACAAGGCGCAGTCAAGCTCTGGTGCAGACATCAAGGACATGCTGGAGCAAATTGGCCTGCACCCTGTTGTGGTTGATTCCGAGAAGAGCTCTGCTCTCACTAGGCTCAAGGCAGGCGGCGCATTGCCGTACGATGCCATACTAGTCGATTCTATCGACACAGCGAGAAGACTGAGGGCAGTAGATGACTTCAAATACTTGCCGATCGTCCTCTTGGCACCTGTTGTCCATGTCAGCCTCAAATCTTGTCTGGATCTAGGTATCACATCGTACATGACAACACCATGCACGTTGGTAGATCTCGGCAATGGCATGGTACCGGCGCTGGAGAACCGAGCAACCCCGTCATTGGCCGATAACACCAAGTCACTGGAGATTTTGCTCGCAGAAGACAACACGGTGAATCAACGATTAGCCGTCAAGATTCTGGAGAAATACCATCATGTGGTTACCGTTGTGGGCAATGGATGGGAGGCCGTCGAAGCTGTCAAGGAGAAGAAGTTTGATGTAATCCTGATGGATGTTCAAATGCCCATCATGGTATGTTGACTTGCCTCTGTTCCCCTATCTTCCTTTTCCTTTTTCTTTTCCCTTTCTTTTTTTTTCCCCAACATTTCGCTTGTCATCTTGTATCACGCTTTGCTAACATACTCGTAGGGGGGTTTTGAAGCTACTGGGAAGATCCGAGACTACGAACGTGGTATGGGCACACACAGGACTCCAATCATCGCCTTGACGGCACACGCGATGATGGGTGATCGTGAGAAGTGTATCCAAGCTCAAATGGATGAGTATCTGTCTAAACCACTGCAACAAAATCACCTCATTCAAACAATTCTCAAGTGCGCCACGCTAGGCGGACCATTATTGGAGAAGAATAGGGAGAGAGAGCTGGCAATTCAGGCCGATGCAAAGTCGAGGAACAGTAAAGCAGGAGAACAAGGGTTACTCCGCCCAGGCCTAGAAAACCGATCCATGACCAGCCGAGAACCAGTGACAAGCAAAGATGGAGAGAGTCCATCAATCATTCCGGCGGAAGAGGACGACCCGTGGGCTCGGCAGCGACGCGACATTTCTGACATGCGTAGCATCTCTGGTTAAAGGTGTGTTTTGGTCGCGGTTACCATTTTGTACCACGCTAATGCTGCCAAAAGACTATGGACTTTTGATGTGCGCGTTAATTATCAACTACGGCGCCTCGGTGACGTCCCTCCGGGCCAATCTATTATGACTTGACTCCTTTCATTGTCTGTTATTAGCGTCCACGCTCAATGCGCCCGGTTTTTTCGCCATACATCAGCACGAAAAAAAAGCAACAGAAGCCGCTGCATGATTTTGCTTGGACTGGAAAAGATGAAAAGAATACCTGCTAATGCTTCTCATACTATTTTATTACCTGTATTTTATATCATGGTGTTTCGGGGCCGGGAACCTCTACCAATGGTCTGATCTGGTTTCTCTTTTTTTTTCCATCTTGTTTGCTTCTTGACTCATTCCAAGGTTTACTACGACTGTCTCGGATGTGGCCTTGTTTTTGAATTACTCATATGGTCGGCCGTGAGTATGCCTGGCTGCCCCGTTACCTTGATGTTTTTATGGAAACGCTTCACTGCTGAGGGCCATCAAATAAAGGAGACAGAGGCTTTATATCAAGGTGCCCCTTCATTTTCTACGTCATGTATTCTCATTGCGGACGGATAATTGAGGGCGGGGGAGGGATGGCATACCTAGCGAAACATGGGGTTTTGTCATATCGTTTTGTACCTATTGGTCGATATGTGGGTGGATATCGAGTGAGCAGGTCGAGTTTCGTTTATTTCTTTTTTTTTTTTCGTCTTTCCTCTAGCAGAGAGGCGATGGTTTTTTTTTTTTCTTTTCTTCCATCATATTACATGGCGATGAGTGAGGGATATGGGATGAGGTGAGGGATTCAGATATATTTCGCGGATATCGAAAATGGCACGTGAAGCGCCCTGTCCGCGTTCACATTTCCCATGAGAAAACTTGACGAGTATATAAGGCCAGCCAAGCGTCGTAACCGAAGGGCCTTTGAAAAATGGATATTACTGATTGTGGTTCATCAAGAGCTCTATGTCACTTGTAGGCAAACAAATGTAATGTATCAAGGACGCCAAACGCCAGCAAGAAATGAACTAGATCGCCGCCTCGGTCTTGTTCTTCTTCTTTTTCTTTTCTCTCTCATAGCTTCCCAGCATCAGGGTCAGTACTAGGAGCCATTGTCCTGGCACGCCCGTGCCTCCTTGCATTCTTCACCACCACCGCCGGCCTTGTCTTCCAAGGCCAAGAGCATGGCATCGAGCTTGGACTCGAGATTGGTCAGGTTCGCCTCCAGCGCTGTGGCGGCCTGCTCGCCCCTGCGGCAGCGGTCAGTACAGTACAGGAGGGACATGCAACCGGGACCAGACGCGAGGCCTACTTTGCCAGTTCGCGGTATGCCTGGTCCGGGTTAGCATCTAGCTCGGTCCGCTGGGGGTGACTGGGCATGTTGGAGGGGGGGGAGGGGAGAGAGAGAGGCGTTGACGATACCTGAGCCAAGTCTGGGGATTCGCCGTTGCTCCCTTCGTTGGGGGCCGGCTCCTTTGCTGGGGACATGGGGAGGTGCTTCTTCTTAGGGGTGGGGGGCGTCGACGAGGGCGTGTTTGCACTTGACTTGGTCGCCCTTGTTTGCCTTGCCAGGTTTGGTGTGTGTTCTCTTTTTATTTTTTTTATTTTTTTTTTGGCGTTGAGACCCTTCTTGCCTTGGCCGTGGTTATGGTTTTACGGGTGGGATTGGAATGGTCTCACGTGACTGGTGGGCGGGGGGACGGGTATTGTGTCCGTCTCTGTCGTGTCAGGGAAGTGAGGCGTGCCTGCGGAGTACCTTCCTTGCGAGGAGCATCTTCTGGAGTTATTTTTGGGGGTAGTTTTTCCAACAGCGCTGGCTTTTTCATCATTCTAGGGTGAATTGTATTGAGGGAGACCGTACTTGTTTAGGAACTGGCGCTTCTTGATGCGCAACGACAACTAGTTGGTGAAGGTGTGTTGTGGTATAGGGTAAGCCACGGCAACGACGGGGACGGACGTCGAACATGTTATCCGTGTAGGAACTCGCAACTCGTCTCAAAACCACACCGCACGGCTCATCGTCTTGCCTGCAGTTTCGGGGCCGTGGTGCCCTAGGCGCAACTGACAAGCCCGCGTCCCTCGCAGGACGAGTCCTCTCTCCTCTCTCTCCTCTTCTCTCGACGCACCACCTCGTCGGCCAGTTTCACGGGATGGCTTCGCCGCCGCTCCGGAGTAAGCTCCGCATCTACATACTTGGTTCTGGGTGTCGTCGAATGCGTGCCGCGCCTCTGGGCCAGACAGGATAATCGTCGGCGCCACGCTGATAGTTGGCGACATGAAAAACCGAGCCCTGATCTACGTACTGTCATTTCCCGTCCCGAAGCCAGGCCAAGCCCATCCGTCGTCCTCCCTCGCCGCACAGGGGACTCGCGTCGGCTGGATAGAGTCCAACCGGCAGACATACGGTCCACGGATGCCGATTATGTTGTTTATGACTCGTCGTCTACATCTATCTACATGGCTTAGGGTTCCCTCTACGGCGCTTCGTACGGTGACTGCCTACCCTGCACACGCACGAGGCACAAGCATTCCAACTGGTCCCGAGACCAAAGACGGCGAGTATAGACTTGTTCAGTGACCGGGCCGCATGGACATTTTGGACAATAATCACCATCGCCACGTCCAGCCACGCGTTGCCCGTCGCCGCCACCGTACAAACACGCTCAGAATACGACGGCACCATCAAGAACAAGAACAAGAACAAGAACAAGAACAAGAACGGCAACAATGCCCAAGCCCCGGGTTTCAGGGGTTCTTCGAGCACAAGAAAAACCTACGTGCGCATGTAGGTATGAATACTGCGCACACACGCCGCTGCGTATGATTCCATCGCGCGCCAGCATGGGCGCACACACGCACGCTCCATGCGGGCAGATCCAGTAGCCGCAAAAAGAAACCAAAATCAGGCCATCCCCCTCTCTCGGGAACCAACGAAAACCCAGCACCCATGCAAGACGTTGAGACCTGTCGGCGGCCGGAGTAATGGTCTGTGTGGTACGGAGTACGGAGTACTAGCAAGCAGTCTGACTGACTCTGAGTCTGCCTGGTAGAATAGGAGAGGATAGGATACCCTTGGCCGAGCACGAGCGAGAGCGTACGTACGTACGGGGTACATGGATGGGCATTTGGGGTGCCGCCCGAGTCACCGAGGCGTACATGTCTAACGCAACGCCCCTGGCAGCCCCCGTCCCTACGGGTCTGGAATCCTCCTCGTTGCCGGGATTGCTTGGCCAGCGTCTTGTGCGATGTTATTTAGTGGCCCCGACAGCTTTCTTTTGCTTCACCTGGGACACACGTACGGAGAATTCGAGGAAGAAGTCTCCTTGGAGTCTAGCCCTGCGACCCTGGAAAAGCTTGAGAGCACCAGCCCAGCCAAGCCCAGCCCGGCCCAGGAGGAGGAGGAGGGAGGTGCGGGAAAAGGAAAAGGTCCAACGCCAACATGACACGGGGAAAGCGGCTGCCAAGTCTCGAATCTGGATTCCTTACGGGGGGAGGGGACGACAACGCCCAAAAGTTGCTCGTGGGAAATTAAGAATCGCAAGAACACAGCTGCTACGTACTCTGCTCTCTGACGGCGGCGGCGCGACGAGGACTCGAGGAATGCCAATGCCAGATGCCTGCTTACGCTTGGATGGAGAGCAGCCACACCGTCACCGTTTTGTCCCTGCTTGCTTGCCACCGGTCATCCCATCAACACATCCATCGTCGTCGTTGGCTTGCAGTTGCGCAGGAATACCGACTGGACTGGTGATACTTCCTACCGAGCAACTACGGCCCTAGACCATTCAGAACCCCAGCAGCACCCATGCGCACTTGTCATGGCAAGAGCATCATGAAACTCCATACTTCACCTCTGTACCAGTGTCAAGTTGGGTGATCATCCAAGCTATACTACTATACTGTACTGTAGGGCCGGCAAAAGTGCGCTGATCCAACGGTGATGTTTTGGGCCACCGTTTCTTTCTTTGTGGCTACTGCGACTAGTGCGGTCTCGTTGAGATCTCCGTTTCGCGCGAGCATCTGGGCTCAGATGATGGCCATCGAGATCCCGCGGCGGCCAACATCAGCTTTCTCTCTGGTCCTTGGATCGTTACAATACCCATTCACATCCCCTCGTGAGAATGTGGTCTGAGAGGGAACGAGGGAAAGGCGCCCCCCTTTCCCTTTTCCCCTTTCCCCTTCCCATGCCTCCCTCTCATCCATCCACAATGCCATAACGTTATCTCGTCGATCAGTTCACGCGGGAAGTCCATGCCTGTTGAGGTCTGCGCCCAGCCTGTCGCCCGGACTTTTATAGAGCGCCTCCCGGACGGAGTGCTGCTCCGGCTCACTGAGACATGCCCAGCAGTAGCTTGTAAGTGGCAACACGGAGCATTGTAGGTGCTTCCGTCTCCGTCGAGACCAACCAGAGAGTGTCGGCATGTTTCCCAAAGTCCTCTGTCGCAACAGATATCGGTACGAGTATCACTCTGAGAAGCTCGGGCTCGGGCTCCTCCCCCTACTGCACGTATACTGTATACTGTATACTGCACGTAGATTGCACAGTCGCGGCTGCTTGATCGATATCGATGAAGCAAGCCCGAGATGGAAAATAGTCGACACGCGCAAAGATGCAAATTGCACGCCTTACAAACCAATGCGTCACGAGCTGCAGCCTGCCCGGTTGGTGATGGATTCCACTCACTCGCGCTCCCTCGGTGCGCCCGCCGTACTCCAGAGGAGTTATTCTCGTTTCTCGTCATGGCAAACGTCAAGCGCCATGACGATTTGCCCATCATATTCCATCGTTCCATGGCAGCCGGGGCCCCTTCCCGATGCCCGACTTTCCACACGATGGCTGCGCAAGGGGGGTGTGTGTGTGTGTGTGGGTGGGTTGGCCATTCGGACATGGGCTTGTCTGTCTATCTGGCGATGCGACTTTTTTTTTTCTTTCCTTCCTTTTTTGCGATCTTCAATAAAAACATCGATTCGTGGGTGTCGCGCCTTGGCCAATCCGCGAAGGAGGCGCAGAAGCATCCACGCCCGGGGCGTGCGGGAATAAAATATGTTTTGACAAGCCCCGTTTGTTGCGTTGACATCATTGGATCTCATGGCGCACAGGACCGTGCCGGAGGGTGCGGGTGAATATTTGGCCGTAGCCGAACCAATCCGAGGCCATGGCCCTGTGCTTTGTGGGATGCGGGATCGAGATTTGGCCCAAATCTCAACGCATGGGATTCCAATGCTTCAAGGTGGATGACCCGTCACTTGGGACCTTGCAGGACCGACCGAACGACCGAGCGACCGAACGACCGACCCGTTCGGCTTGAGACGTCAGGTCAGTCAGTTACCTGGCACGTTGCGCCTCGAGTCTCGAGTCTTTGACGGCACGGCCACGGGGGGCGAGGCGAGCCCAAGAGCCGAATGACACTCTGAGCAAAGGCTACTCTGTAACTCCGGTTTGGTACGGTACGGAGCCCAGCGAGACTCTGCCTACTGCCATCTTTATCCACCTTGATATCGCCCCGAAGACCAAGCAGTAGCACATCATGTCGACCCGATCGCGATTCCTGGCAAAGTGAATGATCGGATACTTGACTGGCAATCGCCAGATTTGTGCTTCGCATTGGCCATGGTTCAAAGCATCAACGTTGTGTGCCATGCCGGTCTGAACTCAACCATGCACCTCCAGCAGTCCACGTTCGACGTGCCTGGTTGACAATGCCCGCTCCGCTCGCACCGGTTGCTGCTTGCGCCTCGCTCAACTAATTCGAACAAGGAAACCGTGATTCGGGTTTCCCTTGCTCTCCACAGAAAGCCCGCGGCAACTCGCGAGTCGCAGCAACGACTTGTTCGCCGCCAACACCAGCGTTTACTATCCCGATGCGACTCAAGGTCCCCCTGATATGCCAATTTGCATGCTGCCTACTTGCGAGACAGGTCCACATCAACTACGGAGTGGTCGGCATGTCCTTTCGCGGGCAAAGGGCATGGCATGTCCCCTCCGGCAACCAAATGAACGGGGATGATGACTTGATACTCGCGCTGGGCGCACTCGGCACTAGCAGCAGGAGGAAGCTGGTGAGCCTTCTCCTCTGAAAGTGTGTCGTGGGCCATGGCCCGGGTGAGCGAAGCTCCAGCCCGGGAGGCTTGCGAGGCTTGGCAAGGCTTGTGGAAGTGGCGTGTCGCAATGTAGGATTGCTGGCCCGGGGAGACGACTTGCAGCGGCATGATGGCCCTCGTGCGCCCCAGTGACTTGTATCTGAGGTCTTGAACAGCCGGAGACCAACGACAGCATGGCCGGGAGTGCGCCGGACGGGGCAACGGATACTGGTCCACGGCCCGCGGGATGGACTCAGAGAGTTCCAACTTCCCCCTACTCTGTCTGTACCTGAGGCCGGGGGGGTAGCTAGTTGTTCTGCGGTGCCGCCGATCATGGCCGTGGTGGTGAGTCCCATGGCGGGATGAACCATGGCCCCAAGCCTGATTTCGAAAGAGCATTTCCTTGTCCCTGCGATTCTTGGTTTCCGATGCTCGATGAGCGAAGCCAAAAAGCCGCGACATTGACGTGAAACCCCCGAAGTCTTGTGCGTCATCGGGCACTAGGGAGTGGAAAACCGGGGAACAAATCTCAAGTTAATTACATCATTCGCCAACGGTCGCCATTTAGCTGCACATGGTGTGACAGGTTGACGGCCGCAGGTGAGTGAGCAGCAGGAACGTCGAGCACCGCGATACGGAGCGAGTACACGAGGACTGACTACGGTAGATGCGTCGTTGGCATACGGACGGAGTGTGATGTACGGAGTAGCGAACATGGCTCTCCGTCCTTGTCATCTATCCGTGCTTCCCGCAGCCACTCAGTTGCCAGAGAAGCGAAACGGAGAAATGAGCCGCTCAAAGTTGCGTACATGTACGTCTGTATGTGTCGGGAGTCGGGAGTCGGGAGTCGGGGTCGGGGAGTCGGGATGGCCTCTGTCAACCAGTCACTCACTCGCTACCTACCTCGCAGGTACTTGGTGTGCACGAGAGCACGAACGAGTACCGTACGTACCTTTGGCGTTGCAAACGCTTGGCTTTGGCACAATTCAAAATGTCATGATGAATGCGCAGGTACTTTTTGCGATTGCCATTGCGATTGAGATTGCCGCTTGCCACGAGTTGCAAGGGTCAGAACTGTCCAACCCGACCCAACCCACCACCTCTTGCTTTCATGATGCCGAGCGAGCAAGGTACGTGGCTTGAACATTGGCATATCCTGAGTCCTGGCCCCTGGGGTCCTGGTCCGGCTTCGTAGGTGCTGGCTGGCAGCGCATCACTCGATGGCGACTCCGTGCTCGGTGAGTTGCTAGTGTAACGAGGGAGTCCTCGTCTGCGCTGTGTATTGGGTGAATGTGTGATGCCGAATGCCAAATGTCTTGTCGACGTCAACCCGCCAAAGTACAGCGAATGTACCTTGTATAGCCGCACGCCCTATCCGAAAGGGGGGGGGGTGCTTCGCCAGCCCATCCCCATCCTCATCCTCGCTCACTCCCCTGCACTCCGTATGTGAGCATTCGTTCCTCCGTTCCTGATCTCTCCACCGTCGTCAGCTTTGCCCACTGAAGTGGCCTAGAACTTTGTGTGCCTTAGCTGTCATGGCACCGTTTTGTTGACCACAGATCCCGTTGTCGGCCTTGCTGGGAGCCATTTCGCTGGCGCTCAACCGTCCGCTTCTCTCGACAAACCTCCCCTCCTCCCGTCCACTTCCAACAAACCGTTCGACTGCATTCACTCCTTCAGTGGCAACCGACGCCGGCAGCTCGGGATTGCGCGCGCACATATATATACTCCGTCTCCAAAAACGACAATTCGGCAGACCGTCTCGAGACCGTCATGTCCAACAACGGCCACTAGGCGGGAAATAAAAGACCACCACAGACAGACACCACTCGCAAAAAAGCAACGAGCGCCCCGGTGTGAGCTCCGTCCGTATCTGAGCGCCTGGCCTCTCCCCGAGTACTTGCTTACTACCGAGTAACGTACCCGTCGTCATCCACAGTACGGAGTACTGCCAGCCTCCCCCGGCTCGTCCTGACCCAGCAAAGCAATTATCCAGGAGCACCACGCAACAGCGCACACACTGAATCCTCCTGCAACCTATCTCTCGTCGTCATTGTTTGCATCATTGCCCACCTGGTCTGCACACTAGCATGCCGCATCTGGTCCAACCTGCTGTGTCTGCGACCTTCATCTAGCCTGCCCATCCTCCACACAACGTCCGTCTTGTCCTCGTACTCTGTCTGCCCTTGTCATCTCGCCTCTCCGCAACCGTGCCAGTTTCGACATTGTCGAACCCGTCCCTGCCGCCGACCTGCTGTTAACATTCGATCGCCGCTCATATCACCGGTCTGGGAGTCGAGCTTAGAGTCGTCATTGACTTCGACCGCCCTTCGTGCTGCGTCAACTTTTCTGTCTGACGATAACTATCTACGCCCTCACTCATGATCGGCATTCGCTGAATCTCGACGCACCCACCGCGCATTTCGACACATTTTTACCTTGGTCGAGGTGTCGTAGCCAGTGTTTCAACTTGACGTATCTGCTCTGGGATCTTACGAACCTGTTGTGTCGCCACATTCCACCTTGGATTGGTATATCGTTTGATAAAATCGGAGCTTCTCGGACAACCTGCAACTACCCAACCCATGTTTAGATGATGACCACTTGGCCATATCCAAACATAAACTCGAACTCTTCATCTCTTGGGCAACACAGCATTTTGGCTTTGGTCGGAAATCAGGCTGTATGACTCAAGAACTGGAGCGAATTTTCGCAGACTTGGGCCTGTCCCAATATCTCGACGCATTTATTGACCAAGGTTTCGATGCCTGGGAAATCATTCTTGATATCCAAGAGTCCGATCTGTAAGGAACAATGACTACCATCTCGTGGGACAACCAAACGCCAAATGGTCGTTTGCTGACAGCTGCCAATAGAGATGCTTTGGGTGTAAAATTAGGCCATCGAAGAGTAAGTGCATGCCTCACTTGCGGTACTGAATCCATGACGGATGACTAATAACTTTGCGCAGAAGTTGCAGAGGCGTATCGCAAATGCCAGGGGCATTGCGCCTAGTGTGTCGTTAAGCTCGCCTGTTAGGCCGGGATCTGATGAATCAAAGCAAGATGGGGTGAAGCGAGATTCGTCCCGGCCGGATGGGACTGCTGCCGAGTCCAACGGTGTCACAAAGAGGAAATACCGGCGGCATCCCAAGGTGAGAAATACAGTGGAATCTCTGCATCTTCTGCTATGTGTACGCTGATGTCGTCATTTTAGCCAGATCCAAATTCCCCCGAGCGGCCGCCGTCGGCATATGTCTTGTTCTCGAACAGTAGGATCTCCTCTGATGTCAAATCTGTAACCGTATGCCAAGGACTGACCGTGTACTTTCTTCCAGAAATGAGAGAAGATCTCAAAAGCCATAATCTCACGTTTACGGAGATTGCCAAGTTGGTGGGAGAGAATTGGCAGAGCCTTCAACCCGCCGAAAAGGACACTTATGAGAGTCAAGCCAACGCTGCAAAAGAAAAGTATAACCGAGAGTTGGGGGAATACAAGAAGACGCCAGAATACCGCAAGTACTCGCAATATCTCCATGACTTTAAAGAGAAACAGGCCAAGCAGTACAAAGGTAAGTTGAATTCTCACTTAGAGGATGTAAGCCACCGTCGTGTGTGCTGTCTTTACACTTTTGAGAAGCAAAGGTGAGCCAGAAGCTAACTTCGCCCAGGGCAAGATGGCTCCAAGAGAGCCAAGGTTGAGCCTGCCAGACTGCGTCATGGTAGTACGAGTAGCAGTGCAACACCGAACACGACAAATTCAAGCGCCAGTGGCAGCAGCAGCAGTGAACGACTTCAGGGAAGTGAACCACCACCAACCCGACGAGATCGCGTGGACTCCACCACGTCGCTTGCCGAATCGCCTCATTCTTCGGCTGCACCGACGCCAGTATCGGCTCACAATTCGTATGATGACGCTGGAGCATCTCCGCAGGCGCTGCAATTCGATAACGGGAGCCCAGCAGACCCTCATCATCCGTCTCGGCACCAGCCCGCCATGCGTGGGAGAGGTCGGGCTGATTCAATGCACCAGCACCTGCCATCCGTTTCCGACATGTTAGACGGCAGGCAACAGGCGATTGTTCATCCAGTCCCAGACGGTCTTTCATACCCCAGTCGACGAGGAAATGGCTCCGCACGCACGTCTCTTGATGGCGCATCTTTCCTTCCTGGAGGGCGACCCCCTACTTTAAGGCACGAGTCCTCGTCGAACAGCACCAACGTATCTGGTAGTTCAGTGGGTAGCTTTGGTCGGCTAATGGGGGAAGGTCCGTTGCCGATTCATGCTCTGCTCTCGGATCGCAACTCAGTCGGACCTTCGTTCCATGAGAAACTGCACAACCCAATTCTTAGCGGCGCTACTGGTACAATGAGTACGCATCAGCCTCTCGTTGGTCTTGCCCATGGCCCTAGCGGTTATGGTACATACTTCTCTTGAGTTCTTTAAATGGTCAGATATGTCGACTAACTGTGGTCTGTAAGGCTTTCAATCCGACTCGTCACCGTTCCATCACATGAAGGTCGAACAGTCAAGTGAAGGAGACGTGGTCATGACAACCGATGAGACGCCGCCACCCCCCAGGCAATCCCGCAGAGCAAAGGATAATCTCGATGGCATGGATGCCCTTTTGCGAGCTGGTGAGATTGTCGGACGTGGGGGGCGGCGGTAACGTCGGGCCCAATTTGCGAGGCCGAGACAAGGCTTGTTTCGACCTTGCATGCCTCTTACGAATGCTGAAGCGATGAATTTGACACAACAAACTTGATTTTAATGTTTTAGAAATGGCCAACGGAATACCGGATATTTCGTCTTTTCTCAGATGGAGTGTTTTTGCTTGACAGGTTGACGGGAGAACAGTGGCGATACCCTCGAATCTTCAACGGCTGCGGCTATGTCATAATATGAATGACTGGGATCTCATGTTATTTCTTTATTTTCGTTTTGATATGACGCATTTTACCTGCTGGTGGGTGACGGCGTTGGGGCGAAGGCAGCAATCGTGGAATTCGCGGCTCTTGTCTGGCGATGCATGCGCACCGAACAGAGTATGGGGTTGAAGGACCCAGAGGCGAGGGCTTCGCTGGAGAATTTCGACAGGCAAAAGGGATATATCAAGGAGGTATACAAAAGCCTGAGGCTCAGGATGTGTTGTGAAAGGTTTTCGAGCCAAGACCAAAACTGTAACAGTTAGCCAGAACAACAATTGTTGGTAAAAATTCGACGCACATGAAAGATTTCGAGATGCTGCGGTGATGGGAAAGGATGCCGACGTCGGCCGTGAATGATGAGTGACTGCTGCAGGTCGTGGAGACTGGCGGTCACAGATGCGAGAGGAGGGCATATCACATGTTACGGGTATATTCCATCCCTGGAGTGGAGTGACGAGAGAACCCAGGGGGAAAGAAGTGAGTGACGAAGATGAAAGTTTGCGGGAGCAATGATGATCAAGAGACCAAAGGCCAGGCAGAGAGGCAGCAGAGCAGGCCTGCCGATTTCCAAGTGCAGGAAGAGGGGAACGAATGTGGCCAATCAAGGGCGAGGACCACGGCTACCGGAGACTTTAGTCCGAGGGTGGGGTTCTGGGCCCTGGCCGTGCATGCACGACAACAATCAACTTGTCCATGGGGTTTCGACATGGCATTTTGACAGTTTCCCATGTTTTCTCCCCTGACCCCGGACACAGGTGCTGCCGGCGAGGCGAGGGGTGGGACAGCGGCACGCAACCGACACGCGATGGGAGATTGCGAGAGCCGCCTTGTTTTCGGGCCGGGCCTCAGGGAGGAGGGGTCTGACGGAGACTGACGAGCGCGCCAGCTTGTTGCGTGCGCGTCTGGGTGGTGATGCAACGGATGGCCGGTGCCCTTGCATGTAGCGGGCGGCATGTGCGAGCCCCATCTAACTATCTGGTCAAGCATATGGGCCGAACCGCGCGCAGCCCGCAGACACGTTTCGGAGCAACGGCCTGCTGGAACCTTGTCATTCATGTCCCGGATTCTATTCGACCGTTGCATGCAGAAGAGATTCTCAGACTGCGCGCTCAAGTCGAACCTCATCCGGCCAACGGGCCGCCCGCCATACCGTCACCGCACGTTGACAACCGGTGTCGAGTTCCGTATGCGAGCTGTATCTGCACTATCGTACTTGCAACATGTATAAAGAGCCCCCCGTGCCTGCTTGTCCCGTCCAGTTCATACACGTTTCGTCATTCGTCATCAGAGACACACCTTGAAGAAGCGATGCTTTACTCGCCGCCCTCAGTTACCTTTGCTGTCCAGTCCTTTCGAATTTTCAGCTCCTCCAGGCTTTCGGACTTGTCAATCACGAGGCCCTTTTCGTTTGCCAGGTGCAGCAGGGAGATGAAACAGTACGAAGTTGATATGTCGTTCATGGCAGTCTTGGGGTATACTGATTTCAAACCATTCATGACCTCGGTGAAGTTGAGGGTCGCGTCGTCCGCCCAAGGCGGCGGCGTCTCTTCTGGTTCCGAGGCAGCTGTCATCGACGCTCTTTTCCCGGATGGAGCCTGTAGGCTTGTCAGAACCAAGAAACACGCGACTTTCCACCCCCCCGACATCCATCCGCCAGGGTCAATGTGAGCGCTCACCTCCATCTGGTCAAAGGCCATGCCTTTCCATATTTCCTTCATCAACCGCCGCACATCGACCTTTGTCGCTTTACGTGCGTAGTTGACATATTCTGGTCTTATCCTTCTCGTTGACGTCACGAGGGTGTGGCCAAACGCCGCATTTGTGAATGTCTCTCCTCCCAGCATGGCAGTGATACCCCCAGCTTCCGTCATGCCTGGATCCCCGTCGGGTGACAGATGTTCACGAGCATCTGCAAACTCCAGATCGTCGTCATCGGCATCATCGCCACCTGGGAAGGGCAAGCCGTCGTCTTGAAAGAAATTGGCATCGTAGTCGCCCTCGGGGAGAACCGTATCCTCAGGTCCCTTTTGCTTGGCCCAGAAAGCCTCGTCCATTTCAATCTGCTGGCTGTCATCTTTCTGCTCTTGACTGTGACCTGTCCGTGGGCCAAACCCGCCAACAATCCGGCGGGTAGACAATCGCGCCTTTGGCTTTAGGAAGAGACTTAAAAGTGACTTGGAGTTGAAATGTTTGTCATCAGGAAGCAGATTTCTCGACTTGGACTTCCAGTCCTTCTTTGGCATGCTGATGACGGCGTTGCTGGAAGCCGGGGTGTGAATCATGTCCGCCGTGGTTGACTCGAGCGGTGCGGCAAAGTCTATCTCAAACGGCTCCTTCTCTTTGCGTTTCTTCGCCTCGCCGACAGGCTTACTGGCGTCCTTGATCTTACGGATTCGCCAATGTTCTGCGCTGCTCCAGTTCTTCTGCAAAGCCTGATCGAAAAATCCGAGAATGTCCTCGTGCATCTGATCAGCGTTTTCAGGCTTGACCATGGTCACCATGTATTCGCCATTGTCGTCGAAGCCGTCGCCGTCGGCACTATCATCGCCCATTCCTGCATCGTATATGCGCATTTGCGGTGCGAGAGCTGCGTCACGGGCCCAAGCCTCGCCGCCTTCACCGAATGCAACATCGCCGCCGATATCGAAGCTGCCAAGGCCCAAGTCGTCATCGTCAAATCCGATGGGAGCGTCGTCGTCAATAAGCATCCCAGAATGGTCGCCCGCTGCTTGATTCTTGTCCGCATCTCTCCAGTCCTCCGGCGCCTTCAAGAATGGGATATCCATGGAGCCTGATGAATCTCCGATATCAAAGTTCTTGAGAGACGGGCATACATCCAGCCCGTCAAGTTGGCTTAGACTGGGCAAGAACCTCTGGCCCAAGGATGCAAGGTCAATCTCCACCGCCGGCGCCTCGGCCTCCTCTGGAGTTCCTTCTACTGGCCGCTCTTCGAGTTGGACGGTGATGTCGGCCTCGTCAGCATCTGGGTCTGCGCCTTCGACTTCGCCATGTTCATCCTTCTCCATGGGGGCAACATCGCCGAAATCATCACTGCTGTCAAAAACAATTCGCCCTTGAGCGTCGATCATTAGATGGTTAAGCAGCAAGCCCTTGGCACCACCCTCGTCAAAGTCCGCCGATGCCTTTTTGAAAAGAGGGTCGACAGTAAACTCAAGTTCAAACTTCTTCAGCTGCAGCGCACTGAACGAGGGAGCAAGTGTCGCCTCCGATGATCTTTGAGTCTGAGTGACGCGCGCATTAGCGACGGGGCCATCGTAATTCAATGGATTTGAGATAGAGGGAGGACAGCGAGAAGTACCTTCTTCTTCGACTTCTTCTTAGGGTTGCCATCCTCATCCAGTTCATCCTCGCTTTCGTCTCCATCAGCGTCCTCACCATCGCGTCCCTTCTTCTTGCTGCTGCTGTCAGCCAGACCGCTCAGCAGCTTGCCCGTCTCGGTCGCGACACTGTCGACTCGATTGGTGTAAATCTTGACACACCCATCCAAAGTGCAGCTGGCTTTTTGGAAATTGACACCATCGCCTTCTTTCAACAGAGACATGTCGTGGAAGTAGTCGATCAGGGCAAAGTTCCATGAGTTGGTTGCATTGATTTTGTTGTCTGTTGCCATCTTCATCCATTCCTCGAAGTTGGCGAGGATCGGAACTCGTTTGATAGGCGTCACCGACACACCTCCCACCATGACTTCTTCTGTGATTTCGCCTATGCGCCCGCCGCGAGGCGTGCCGAGTGCCGAGCCTGGCGACGCATTTTCAATGTCATCCAGCCTTGAACTGGATTTGCGGGGCGTCGCCGCTGCCTTGATCTCATTGATCTGCTTTTCGTGTAGAGCTTTTCGTGAATGCATTCGCTGGCCCCTCTCATGCGCATCGTCGTTCAAAGGAATCCTAAGCAACACATTGATGAGAAAACACGGCCTGTCCACATATGCGCCAACGGGGAGTTGTATCACGGGGGGGTTCTGTGATGAGGGGGCAACTCGGGGCTTCGCAGGACGCGAGGCGAGGAGCGCTTACTTTACGGGAGATTTGAAGGGCGACGCTGACAGGGAACTGGACGTCGATTTGACGCCTCTGGCGCGTGGGACTTGGGCAACCCGAGGCATTTCCTGATGTTGTTGTATGGCGAAATGCAGAGGTTATGCTTGATTATATGGCCTGCGTCGCGTCTTGGTTCGCGCAGCTGCAGCCAAAGTAAACAAGATGCCTAATTGGCTTGGCCTAGACTCCATGCCTGATCTTCTGTGTTTTGGCCTGTGGACCCAGGCAGTCAGAAAGACCCCACTGCGAGATGGACTACAGTACTACGCCTGGCACGTGATATGGCAGGGGCACGTCGTGTATGTCTGTACGGACCAGGCGGTAAACGTTCGCCGGTTGTACGGAGTACGAAGTACGTAATACCAAGTGAGCGGACATGGCATCGCAACGGCTCCTATGCAGGTACACGGGACGAGGCGAGCTAGAAGACCGGTGTGCACGGGAGCCCTCACATGTAGCACGTGAACCGTCACATGCCAAGTAGTAGGCCCGAGCCAAAATCCTGCGGACTGACGCGAAATATTGACGATGGAGTGCTCCAAACGGAGTACAAACGGACACTGGAATACATACCTACCACGACATGACCACACAACGCCGGGCAGCAATATCCGTTCGTACAGTACTTGCATTTAGTACGGAGTAGCTAGTCGGCAAATTGGACGGCGTGCGACGGTGGATGGGGCCGACTTAGCTACCTACCTACATAGGTAGGTGGCACGGTGGCAAGACGGACGGACATCTAGGCCGACGGTTTGAGCAACGTGTCAGTCGGGCTTGACTTTGGACGATTGACGCTGGCTTCCTGCCAATACTTTCAGCTACATCGACATCGCTCCCAACCGAGGTCGTGCAAAACTCCATGGCCTTGATGTGGTTTCGAAACGGACCGGGAATGCTTGCACATGACGCTATTCTTGCTCCATGCTCAGCCTGGTGCGCAGTGGACAGCGTCGTGTGTATTCGTCAAGTATTCTGTTGTCTGTTCCGTTCTTTGCTCCGGAAAAAAGGCTGAAAAAAAAATCCATTCAAGAGCTGTACTTTTCGGTTCTCTTCAAGGGCTCTTGATGCTCCCTCCCCTCGGATGGCGTTGTCGACCATTTTCGTGGATGATATCAAAGCCAAAGGACCGATGATGCCGACGCAGCACAAAGGGCCCCCAAGACAGCAGGTGAAAAGGTCGGTGGTCGGTGGCCGGCGGAGAGGAGGGGAAGGGGGGAGATGGTCCATTGGTGGTGGTGGTCGGGTTCGCAAGTTGGCGAGAGCCTTGTTCAACAAACAAATGCACATGTACAGGTAAAGTCAGTAAGTAGATGGAGATCGGCCATCCTACATCCTGGCTCATTGCGGTGGGTGGGTGCAGATTGGTGGTGGTGGCGGCTTGCACAAAAGACCAGACCAGACTAAGTACTGAAGTACCTACCCAGGTAGCTACCCACCTATTTACCTAGGTAGTTACCTTACGTAGGTAGTTGGTACGGAGTACTCCGTGGTCGAGTCGGCCTTGCCTGCCTGCCTGCTGCCTGCCCAAGCGGAGAGGTCAAGTGGCCATCCAATCACGCCGGGCGGCCTCCCCGAGTCCCGGATTGTCCTGCACTGCAACCTTGGCGTCCGAGGCCAATTGCATCCCAACTTCTGCATGGAGTACCGCTCCAAGCTGCCGGATCTTCTCACTTCACGTTTCACGTCGTCATCCGTTGCCAATGTCTCTGTAGATCCCCTCTTCCCATATCTCCCTCTCTCCCCCATCCTTACTCCTTTTCGTGTCCAGCTAGCCACTCGGTCCGCCGCATCGGCAGCACGTCCGGGCCCAGCGATATGAAGACGATTCCACGATGCAGCCAGCCACAGCCAGAGGGAGCCGACTGCGCTCTCGCCCCTTCGTCGCCACGGTTCTTCTTCTGAGTGTGCTGACGGCATACTCGCTTCTGCTCCAGGCCCATCGCCATGGAAGCCCCGAGCTGCGACAGCATCACCGGCCGGCTCTTTTCCGACGGGCCAAGGAACCCGCCTGCAGCGAGGTACACTCTGCCACGGATCAGTGCGCTTTCGTCAAGAAGTATTGCGTGGATGAGGATGCTGGCCTATTGCCATACCTCGAGTGGTACTTCTGTACCTTTCGCGGCGTCAAACCCATCGCCTTCTCGCTACTCGTCATCTGGCTCGGGTTACTCTTCACCACGATTGGCATTGCCGCCAGCGACTTCTTCAGCATCAATTTGAGCACCATTGCTGCCATTCTTGGGCTCAGCGAAAGTCTCGCCGGTGTGACTTTTCTTGCCTTTGGCAATGGCTCTCCCGACGTGTTCAGCACTTTTGCCGCCATGAGCTCCAACAGCCCTAGCATGGCCCTTGGTGAGCTCATCGGCGCTGCCTGTTTTATTACTGGTGTCGTTGCTGGTTCCATGGCCCTCGTGCGCGAATTCCGTGTGGACAGAAGGACCTATGCCAGAGATATCTGCTTCTTCATCGTCGCAGTCGCATTCGCAATGGCCTTTCTCGCCGATGGTCAGTTACGTTTCTGGGAATGTTGGGCCATGGTGGGTTACTACGCCGTGTACGTCGTGACCGTGGTGAGTTGGCATTGGTACTCGACGACGAGGAAGCGGCGGCTGCGCCGTGAAGGCGAGGCGCGCAGCCATTACTACAGCGTAGTGGGCCGCGCTGGCGATGAACTTTTCGGAGAGCCATACCGCGATGAACCGGAAAACCCCCAGGACGACGTTGGGGATGACTCCCGCAGCGGCTCGGTGAGGGCTGACATTTCGGCCCCGGAGCGAAGTCCAAGGGGCGACATGGACCACCGACATCAGGACAGCGACGTGGAAGGGCCCATTGACGACGGCAGCGACGAGGATCATGAGAGAATGGTGGCCGCCGAAGTGTCAAGGAGCATGCGGGTCTTGCGAACAGGAAGGACCAAGTCAATCAACTTGACCCCGATCCGTCCAAGTTTGGTTGGCGCCTTGGAATTCCGATCCGCCCTGGCCCAACTACAGCGAGAGAGTAATCTGCAGCTCTCAGACATCCCCGGACGGAGCTACTCGGATCACCCGGCAGGCCGAGAGAGGAGGGGCACCACCAGTGTGGTGCCGGATTCGGGGCTTTGGGAAACGTTGTCGACTCCTGGCGCTTCCCATCGTGGGCGAGCTTTCTCATATGTTGGGACAGCACCGCTGTCCGCTCCCGTTCCTATTTCAGAAGTTGAGGAGGAGACTTCCAGCGAATCGAGCACGACGAATTTGAGTCCAGGACATGCTACTCCAGCCCGCGGTGCAGCAACCCCTTCTGTGGCATATGTCGTTGGTGGTAACCTGGCACCACCCCCTCTTGGACCTACTGGCTCTATCGAAACCAGAGGAGCAGGCTCAGGCGCCCACGAGCATAGCAAACAACCTAGTGGCCTGCGTTTGATCATACCTGGGGGACGCAGCAACCACAGCGAAGGATCGTCGCCATCCTCTCCTTTTCCGCGCTTTACTGATTCGCCCTCAGCCATCACACCTGGCCAACCCCCAGAGAGGACAGAAGGCACGATGCCGCCATCTACGGTACCGCACCGAGAGAGTTACTTTCCGGACATGTCAGGGTCTATGACAGCACGTCGACGGCCGATACGATGGTGGCCATATGCGCTTCTGCCGCCACCCGACGTTGTTCTCGCCACCCTGTTTCCGACTTTGCAGGCATGGGGTGAGAAGTCCATCTGGGACAAGTTTTTGAGCATCATATCGGTACCAAGCATCTTTTTACTGGTAATTACATTGCCGGTCGTGGAGTCTGAGGCAAACGAAAGCTCACTGGATGACCTCAGCATCATGGACAGTTCTGGTAGACGGGAACTGCGCCACGAGACGCAATCGGTTGCGGTTGCTGTCGAACCGCAGCTCATGGAACCGGAAGGCGAATGGGAGCGGTACAGAAGGCGCTCGCTGAGCCGCAGCCGTAGAAACAGCGCCACAACTGCTGATGCTCGCTCACCGCCGTTGGTTATCACCCTGGAAAACGCGGATGGCGAGGTTTCCTCAGAAGGCGGAGCAAGGAATGGGCGGAAGGTCGCGAAGCCACTGTCCGACATGCCGTCTGTTTGCAACGAGAATGGCGAACTCTCGACGTGGAACCGGTGGCTCGTGTGTGTGCAACTTTTTACCGGGCCGCTTTTTGCCGTGATCATGCTGTGGGCGAATATGGCGGAAGACTGGTCCAACCCCGGGCGAGTACTCGTGAAGATGATTTTGTATACTCTGCTCGGGTCACTCATTCTCCTGGCGCTTCTATTTCTGTTCACGTCGGACGATAAACGGCCGAAGTATCACTTCCTGCTCTGTTTCCTCGGGTTCATCATTAGCATTGCATGGATTTCGACGATTGCCGGGGAGGTGGTTGGAGTTTTGAAGACATTTGGCGTCGCGTTGAACATCTCGGAGGCGTTGCTTGGGCTGACCATTTTCGCGGCTGGCAACAGTGTGGGTGATTTGGTCGCTGATATAACGGTAGCGCGACTGGGCTACCCGGTCATGGCATTGTACGTTGCATCCGAGACTCTGTTGTGCACCTGCTGACAAGGCTTTTTCCAGGTCGGCATGTTTCGGAGGGCCCATGCTGAACATATTGCTCGGCATCGGCATCGGCGGTGTCCTCATGATGGTCCAAAACGCCAACAAGAAACATGCCAAGCATCCAGACCGACCCATCCGGTACGGACCCTACAGTGTGAAGGTCGGACCGACGCTCATGATCTCGGCCGTCACACTTCTCATAATACTGGCGCTGCTGTTGATCATCGTGCCGTTGAATAAATGGATCTTGAGCCGCAAGATTGGATTTGGACTGATTGGACTTTGGACGCTGAGCACAATTGCCAACGTCGTGGTGGAAGTGACGGGGGTGTGGCAGGAGTCATGAATCGCACGCGACGGAAGGCTAGTTTGCACGGCGTTGAAGGTGGTCAAACACTGGTTCTTTCATCCTCTTTTCTTACTCCTATGGACTTTGTAGCATGGAGGACTGGACTGTTATGGACACTCGAGATTGGGGGCTGCTGGATGGGCTGGCGGGCGGGAAACCTTGGACAGACAGCATTCGTTCGGCGCATGTTACGTACGCATCATGATTAAATGCCCGCAAACAGCATCAAGAGTAGAGGTAACAAAAGAGCACCGCCCGTCTTGGGCACGCGGAATCCCTGGCGTCTACTAGTCGGCCAAGGCAGAGAGGCAGGGGAGTTTTGCTCTCGGCAGCCAGCCAAGCCACGTTGTCGTCGATGGGTCAAGGATGCGCGCCCCTCATCTTGACGGCTGTCAGTCGGTCGCTCGGCAGCTTCGCCCCTCCCCCTCCCGACTCCGACTCCGACTCCCGAAGATTCCCCCTCCCTCCCTTTCCACAACTCACCTTTGCAACCTCCTTCTCCCGCTCTCCCACCGCCGCCGCCGCCCTTTCCTGGGCCCTCGGAAACAAGAGAGCCTCGATGGCCGCACCACAGCCCAGCTACCCTCCTCTGGAGGAGCGTCCGCTCAGGGACACAATCTGTCTGTTCGACGTGGACGGGACCCTGACGCCCGCCCGCCTGGTACGCCGCTCCCCCCCCCGAAGCACCCAGCACCAAGCTGTGCAAACAAACACAGCGCGCTGAGAATTTGAAAACCACATCAGGACGCGTCGCCCGAAATGCTCGCCACCCTCGCGGCCCTCCGGCAGAAATGCGCCATCGGCTTCGTCGGCGGGTCCGACCTCGCCAAGCAGCAAGAGCAGATCGGCCGCCCGGCAGGCAACGTGCCCGTCACCGCCCTCTTCGACTTCTGCTTCGCCGAGAACGGCCTGACGGCCTACAAGCTCGGCCAGGAGCTGCCGTCCAACAGCTTCATCCGCTGGATCGGCGAGGACCAGTACAAGCAGCTCGTCAACTTCATCCTGCACTACCTGGCCGACCTCGACGTCCCCGTCAAGCGCGGCACCTTTGTCGAGTTCCGCAACGGCATGATCAACGTGTCGCCCGTGGGCAGGAACGCCAGCACCCAGGAGAGGAACGACTTCGAGGCCTTTGACCGCTCCGCCGGCGTCCGGAGGGCCTTTGTCCAGGCCCTGCGCGACCGGTTCCCCGACCTCGGCCTGACCTACTCCATCGGCGGGCAGATCTCCTTTGACGTCTTCCCCGCCGGCTGGGACAAGACCTACTGCCTCAAGCACCTCGAGGACGAGGCCAGGAAGCCCGGCGGCGTCGAGTACAAGAGCATCCACTTCTTTGGCGACAAGGCCTTTGAGGGCGGCAATGACTGGGAGATCTACTCGGATCCCAGGACCATTGGCCACGCCGTCAAGTCGCCCGACGATACTGTCCGCATCCTGAAGGACTTGTTCCACCTGTGAGACCCTGCCTTGCGCAACATGGCGCGCGCCCAGAATTTGGAATTTCGAGCTCTAGCCAAGTCCACTGTGCGACAAGGATTCTGTTCTTTCTTTCTTTTTTTTAAAAGAAAGAAAGAGAGAGAGAGAGAGAGAGAGAGAAGAGATAGAAAAGGGAAAGGGAAAAGCAGAGGAAAAGCAGAGGAAAAGAAAAGGAAACGGCAAAAGAAAAGAAAAAGACAATCACTCATGGCCACCTACTGTGCTTCATATACAAATACAGTAATACTGCAAGCTCGACAACATCAGTCAGGTAAAATTCAAACGCTAAATGACGCCATGCTGGCATAAATAACTAAGGAATGTCAAATATCCAAGTCATCCAACAGAAGCAGGCTGAAACAACAAGACGTGTACCCCGAAATCTTCAAACTTCACTCCAACAACTTGTCACCTCTCCACCCTCTCCCGCCAGAGAAGTAATTACCTCCCATACTCAAGATGAGGAATAACTACTGGTCCGTACTTTGTAGTTGCCGTGTACGCCCCGTCGCCTTGGACAACGAAATCCACCGCTAGAGTGAGTTTCGACAAGCCCTGCTGGCTGCTACCGATGCTGGGATTGGGACTGAATGGAACTTGGTTGGCCATTTCTTGGTCATACGCCAGGAAGGTCACGTAGTTTCTGCGGCCCATCAGCTTCTTCAACTCGCGAGAGACACCGCTGGCGTCTGTGTGAAAAATCTCCATCATGTCTTCTTTGGTATCAGAAACTTGGTGCGTTGATTTTTGTCCATTCTTTGGAACGTAGAGCGTCTTTTGATTGTGTAGAAGCTTTAGGATATAGCCACCCTGTGGTGCTGAGACAATGGGAGAGGAGATGATCTGGTACATGGTCTTGTGATCACTAGGGTGAGTTGGATCGTGAACGAGGCCTGCACCTGAAGCTGCGACATCTGCTTTTTGTGAGTCCCTCTTCACCCACTGCGAGTTGGATCAGGTCGTCAAGGAAGAAAAGTACGTACCGCCTGACAAAAAAGTCATTCGGATGCCCTTTTGCTGAGCAATGCCTTGCAGAGTGCGAATAAAATACGTTCGCTCCAAGTCTTTTGTGTCATGGGTCCACAAGTCCTTCAACACTTCTTGAATGTCCAATTCGCCAAACTGGTTCAATACGTTGCCCATGAGGCCCGTCTTGCCGACCGCCTTTTTGACTTGCGAGAAGCCCTGTGACACGACTTCCTTGCCACCAACAACGCCTGCGACAGAGCTGGTCACTTTTCCGAGGATATTATACGTGGTGTTTACAGCCTTCTTGCCGGCTGCAACAGTATTGGCTAAACTCTCGACGGCGTCCAATCTTGGGTATATAATGGGAACCGAAACCATCCATATCACATGCTGGACGCTTGGGGGCAGAGTTGCGACTTTGGGAAATATACCCTGGTAGGTTGGACCGGCCATGACGCGAGCCTGTGTCCGTTCAGATCGACAATCCGGTCCGACCGCCGCAATTGCCGGACCAAGGTACTTGACGAAGTGCCAACCATTGCCGGTAATTGTGAAGATGTCATTATCTGCTCTGATGTTTCGCATCATCTCTGTCGTCGTGTGGTGCTGGAATACGAGGTACATTTCGGTAGCGATGCGGCCAATGTTCTTGAATATGGGCGACGACTGCATGTACTCGGGGTATGAACCATATCCATCGAAGCTGAATGCAGTTAGTTGGTCGAATGCTGGCATCGCTCTTACTTTGGCTCTACTTACATGTCGTGGTCGTTGATTTGTAAAACGTGCGGGATCTGGGCAAACGCCTCCCTCATAAATGGTTGATCAAAATGACTTGTATAAAAGTGAAAATATGCATGGGCAACATCCTCCTCGTGTTGAGCGGTCCATTGCACATTTTTCTTGTTATCTCTGCCGCTCATTGCCAGCCACTGTTTCAGCAGCGGAACCTCTTTCCACAGTCTGTCACCGTAGATTTGATCCCCAAGCCCGAGCTGCACATGGAATCCTCCGCAGTCTACATTTCTCTGCAGAACATCTTTCCACATGAAGCCAACACCGCCAAGACGTGACCTTTCATTTTGAGAGGTACTGGCGGCGAAGTCATTTCCAGAGTGGGCAATAAAGCGCCAGCCAGTTTCGTATCGACCTGCAACGACGAATTCGTATCGTGTGCAGCCCAAGTGAGAAGTCACAGCATAAGTCCAACGCTCTGTACCAGATTCACTCATTTGTAACTCGATATCGTACTTGTGAAATGTCCATCGCTGATGAGTGTAGATGTTGCGCGATTCAAGTTGTTTCGGGTTCGGGGATAGGTCCACACTCAGATGTATATGAATTGTTGGTGGCTGAGGAGCATCTGTGACGATGAGAATGCTTCCGCGCCACACTCCGTTCTCAATATCCATGTTGACATAGCGCAAATAGGGCCCGAAATATACACCGTTGGTAGGTTGAATTCTGTACATTTCCACACCCGAACCAGGTGGAGGGCCCGAGAACCCAACAGCAGTAGGAGTTTGCGAAGCGACGCTCATGATGCTCTCGGCATAACCTGGAGTATGCGGAGGAAACATGGGCGAGGCCATGGATTGCTTGCCAAACATGGGCGATGTTAAAGGATTTCCATATGTCGAGGCCGTCGGCGAGAGTGGAGTCTGTTCATGCGAGATAGGATTCGGACCTTTGGGAAACTCCCATTGAGTTGCCTGTGTTGCGAGGTGGATGTAGTAGTACTGCCCAGAGTTCTGATCCAGATGAGCGATCCAACCTTCTGGCAATGGCGGAGGAGAGGCTGGTGTCTGTGTTTGGAGAGGAATGCTGGCAGCCGGGGACCAGAGCGTCTGTCCGTTTTGCTCGGGTCTTGGATCGTTTGCGAAAGCAGGATGTCCAGGATGTTGAAGCGCTGGCGAAATCATTCCAGGAGCTGCCGCCGCCGCTGCCGCCGCCGCTGCCGCCTGTTTACTCGGAGGTGATGCAGAAGCGGTTGCTGTAGGAGGAGATGTGTTCGGTCGTGAGGTTGTGGCAGCAGCGGCCCCGGGGCCGCCTTGCTGAGGTTGCTGCTTCTCCTTGGGATAAGCTGAAGTGCCGTTGGGGTTGACACTAGAATAGGCGGGAGGCGGCGTCTTGGTGCCTAGACGTTGGAAGTCCTGTTCCAGGACGCTTATCTGTACGGGTGCGTTCTGTTGGTTCTGGCTGGAATTCGGCGCCTGCATTGCGTGCGGAGGGGCTGAGGAGGCTCCCAGTCGCGGTTGGGGACTAGAGATAGGATTCGAGCCCTGATATACCGTCGGAGGGCCCGACGGCGCTTGATCCGGGGTTTCGGTGGGTGTCCAGGGACGCTGGGGAGGAGGTTGATTTCCGTACTGTGCTAGCCTCTGCGCTGCAGCAGCACTCTGTGCTTGATGGGCCTGCAAGCTTGTGAGCGTGGCCGTGCCAGAAATACCAGAGGCAGCATATCGAGCCTCGATACCACCGCCGGGAATGGTTCCCGGTTCAGCAATAGGAGTTTCGGGCGGCGGCGGTGAGCCCCGGTTAGCTCGAGTGGTGGAGGTTGAAGCCGTAGATGCGAAGCGGTTTACACCTTGGTCTCCAGGATGAACTTGCGAAGAGGAAGCGGCATGGCTAGACGAGGAGCTAGTCGTTGTGGCGCCTGGAGGCGGATAGCATGTCTTTTGATAAGTCGGGTAGCTTGTAACAGCCGGGTTTGGGCGAGGCTGCTCCTTCAAAGGCTGGGAAAATAGTCCACGATCTGCATCGGGAGTCGTGGGTGAATGAATGACCTTGGGTGAGGCGCCTCGCCTCTCGGCCAGGCCAGGTCTCTTTTCGACGGGACTCGTGTCCAGACGAGGCGTCGTGTCGTTATATGCCGAGCCGTATGGCCTGGGGGCGGTCGGCCTGCGCACCTCGTCATCATCTGGGAAGGGAAGCGGTGCGGCAGAACTTGATGCGCCGGGTGGCAGAGGGAACGGATGTTTGTTCGCAGGAGAAGCTGAGGTGCGGCCGGCGGGCTCAGGGCTCTTTGGCTTGAAAATGCGCAGAGGCTGGACAGTGGGACTATCACAGTCTTCGGGAGCCGGCTTGCCGAGGAACATCTCCTGGTCGGGTATTCCACGACCTCTCTCCATCTTGCAGACTGACGTGGGCAAGATGCCTGACAGATGCCTGACAAGATGTGCCGCTCAGACGACACGAGTCAATGAGCTTGCGCACCAACAACGCGCAGGTGTTCGAAGAATGCGTACTCGGTAGGCGTATTCGAAACCGGCGTCCGTATGGGCCGTGGCTTGCAGCGGCCAGGAAGGAAAAACACGCTGCAGGGTGCTAAGAGGACAACAAGATCGAGGCTGCCAAGTTGCCGAGCTTGAGCTCAAGCTATCCGATGTTTGGGAGCTGTCGACGGGAGCAGTCCGGTCAGGCACCTCGACGGCGGGGTTGTCTGGACCAGTTGACTTGTTTCCCCAACCAGACGGGAGTTGCTCCGTAATACTTGCTCGGCGAGGGACGGGGTCGACTCGCTTGCAGCACTGGCCGCCTCGGATGCGGCCGCCTGCAGGGGAAGGAACCGTTTCAAAGGAAATCGGAAACAGAGTCTGAAAGGAGGACGAGGGCCAGGGACAAGAGGAAGGCGTATAATTGGAAAAGAAGTGCAGGATACAAAAGTAAAACGGAGGTCAACTGGTCACGGCCCTTGCTCTTGCTGCGTCTCTCTTGCCCTCACACCCGCTCTTTCCCTCTTTCCCTCTTTCCCTCTCTCTCTCCCTCTCTCTTTCCCTCTCTCCATCTCCATCTCCATGCATTTTCGTGATCGTCCTCCCGCCATTGAAATATCGGCCCCGAGCCAAGCCTTCAGCAGGCGTACCAAGCACAGAGGGGCTCCGGCCCCATCAAAGGGCAGGGGACTGGGCGGCAACGGGCTATGCAGGGGAGGCCATTGGCGATGATGGCGCAGACTGATTGATGATGGACGGGCGACGTGCAACAGTCTACGTGGTACGTACTAGCTACTAACGTTACGGAGTAGCGCCAGAGGCTTTCCAGGGTCCAATCGACTCATGTCGCTTGCCTTTCCTGGGCGCCTCGTTGCGGCCTCTGAGTGGCTGCATCAAGGTACAATGTTGCCAAACTGCCCACTACTGGCTCTGATTGGCCACATGCTTGCCTCTATCCGCCGTGGAAGCCCCCGCTTTCCACGGACGTGGCACCGCCATCTGCTATGCCAGGCTGCGGCTGGGGCTTGCGAACCACGACATTCGGCGTCTTTCAGTGTTCCCATGTTCCCTTCACTTCCATGACCAGGCGTGCCTGAAATATCTAAATCAATCTCACCATGCAAACCTCCGTCTATATGCCAAAGCCAAAGCACCTCGGCACCTGGCTCCCTCCTCTCTCTACACATGCAACGCGCACCTTCTGTTCCCATACTCACAGTCGTAACCCGACATGATGCCCCCGAAATGACTCAACGTACCCAGGACGACAAAACAATGAAAGATTTGATGCGACGAGCCGACATAATCAAACGTCCCTGGAAGCCAGCGCTCCGGAATTCTGGTCTACAGACAAACAAGTCAGCTCACGCAAACCGTCACCAGCACACACACACGTCTTGGACCAAAAACACCCACCGCAGGGAAAAAAAACCCAATCAGCATAAACACGCCCTCCAAGTAACTAATAGAAATGCAGGCCGGATTGCTTCTGCAGCTGGTCGTATGGAAAAAGGATGGCCGCATGAACAATCGGTATAAACGCCGAGAACCCCATGCCCAGAAACGGCACGAGTCGAGACGGGAGCCAGTTTTTCGACCCGTACCGGCCATTCATGGATAGATGCGCGTTGAGCAGGCCCATCGAAAAGATCTAAACCACTCCGATCAGCTGCCGCCCCGGCTTTCCGGACAAAGGCGCAGACAATGACGGCACCACTGCTCAACTCGCCATCCCAAGATAGACACCTAGTAAAACGGTCTCGCAGTAAAAACCCCATATACAGCCCCGGCAGAAATGAGCCCAGTATCATTACGAAATGGAGACGTAGTCCAATCGCACCCACAGGTCCGCAAGCTCTCTGGAATGACACAGCGGCGTATGATATGCCGCCGACACGCCAAAACAGACAGACACAGCGGTCAGATATACGTGGAACACGAGTCTGTCCAGCGCCGTCTGGGTACCACACGGAAAAGTATCGGGAGAGCCCTGCATTTACGACGAGCGCACCTATTGCCGGGATCAGGTGCGTGTAGATGTTGAAGCTCTGGTTGTGGAGGTAGCACCAGCTCCCGACGCACGGCGCGATTGCTGCACAGACGGGCGGAGAGCCGCCGTGAATATACGGGTTTTCGCTGTGCCACTCGGGGATTTGGGAGATGGAGAGGAGGCCGGGCTGGCCGGGAGAGGGTGTGGCTTTGATCGCCGAGGAGGGTTGTTGCTTCATAGCCAGCGGGATGGGTGCCCTGGATGCATCGTCGGCACTTGCGATGGCTCTGTTTCTGAGCATGACGACATGGGCTGGCAGATGACTATGCGGCGTACTGACAATCGAAGATGGTGAAGCGAAGCAATTGAGAGCCAGGAATTCGAGGGGAAAAGCTTCGTCAAAATGCGCACACGCCAAACACAGCCAACAAAGGGACGTGCCGGCATGTGACGGCAGTTAGCTTATCAGCTCCTACGCCCAATTGACCAATACCAAAGCACCGACGAACCGCGACGTTGCGCACTTCGGCGTCAACCACAATTTTGTCTGTTCACGTCCTAGATCATCTACAGGCCATAGAAACAGGCCGCCGGGGGAACAAAAGCCCGCATCAACTCTTCTCATCCTCCAAACTCCGTTGCTTTTATGTTCATGTCCAAGAAAACCGCCCTGGGGCACCGAATACACCTTCTTGCCAATGCAGTGGTGACACGATATACTCATCGCTTCTTGTTCCTGCGCTTTGAAGACTTGCCGCTCTTGTCCATTCCAGAGGATTTCGCCTTGCCGAGAGAGTCTGTGCTCTTGTCTAGGAGCTCAAAGTCGTCGCCCGCAGACTCGCTGCCGGACGTTTGCTGAGATGCATCAACCACTTCCTCAGCTCCGGCAGTTTGGGTGTCGGGAATCGCGTCATTGTTACCAATGAAACGGCCGACAGTCAAGTCGAAGATGTGCATGGGGAGACGCACAACAGCGGTGTCCTTGAAGGAGGGCTGCACAAGCTCATTAGGCTGCGTTCGTTGTTAGTGTGCGTGCTTTTAGGACGTGCATAGGCAACGAAGCCAGTGGCCACACTCACGTCGAGGAGATACTCATTGACATTGCCTTCATCGTCTTCCTCCTCCAAGTAGACGTCTCCCAAAGAGTCGACTAGGAGGATTTTGCCGTTTTGCGCAACGACCCTCCTGCGAACACCAGTAGGGCCGGCCGAATCATCACGAGAGGCGTTGGGAGTCTTCTTAGTAGTCTTCTTTGCACGGCCGCGGCAACCCTCCCTTTTGGCCTCCTTTTCCTGCATACGGCGTTCCTTTCGATTTTGGGGAACTGGCGGAGGCGTCTCATCGTCCGACGCCGTAGCCGAGGGGGGAACGCGAGGCTCAAGGTTCGGAATGCCCAGACTTCCGCCCCAAGCTGTGTCCCTGGCAAACTTGACGTAGCGCTCGACAAACTCGCGCTGCCGCTTCCAGCTCATGTACAGGATCAGGTAGTGAATGGCGCCACCACCAATGACGAAAAGGCCAACCATGACAGTTCCCAAGCCGGGCCGGTACCTGTTGTAGTAGTAATCGGTGCCTTTCCAGAGAGGGAATCCATTGGAGAGGAAGTGGTCGTAGCGGTCTTTAGACGGACCCTTCAAGATGTTGCCAATCAGGCTGAGCCGGGCCTGGCGCTCCGAAGCTTGCTTCACAGCAGCCTTGATCTCGGCCGCAGTCGGAGGCTTGACACTGCTCTTCTTTCCCTTGCCACCGGCCTTCTTTAGATGTTTGGCCTTCAAGCGCTGCACGACCTTGTCGGGGTGCAGGGCTACAGTCTTCTTTCGAAGGGCTTTGTTGATGTCATCTGCAGAGGCAGTGGGAGGCACGCCAAGTATGTCGTAAAAGGTCGAATCAGGGTTGGGCTCGTATGCGGATATTTCATGGCGGAGTCGGAAGATCTCACGATCTGGGAAACGCGTTAGTTGGCAGCTGCTAGGAGAGGGAGACGCTTAGCACCCGGCGACATTATGGCCAGAGGATGCACATGTGGCCTTGCCTTCTTTGCTCCACGCGGCCGTGAGCGGCGTGAGAAGGGACAGCAGCCCGAGGGAGAGATGCGCGATCTTCATGGCGACGAGAAACGGCACGTACGGCCGACGACTGTGGCATCCAGGGTCGCGACGGCAAGGGCTCGAGCGTTGAGCGTCGCGTTGATGCACAACCCGACGAGATGCAAAAAAGAGTCGGCGCCGAGGCGGAGGTCTGGTTTTGCCGTCGGCACAAGGCCAGGTGGCTTGACGCCCCGGGGCTGCTGACAGTGGGGTCTTCAGGCGGGGCAGCCGCTCCAGGGTTGCTCCTGCCCGCTTCAATGTTGTTTCAAGTGCCGCTGGGCCTGCAGCAGGTTCGTGCAACGCCAACACTCAAATGTTTGAAGATGCCCGGCAAATGTGTCGTGAACCCGGCTCCAGGGTTTCTCCAGTCCCATGGCACGGATTCAGCGGCCTGTCTGGATCATCATCATCATCATCATCATCATCATCATCATCATCAAGCACAAGCAAGCCATTGGGTCAGTGTTGAGCTCACACCCACGAGCCGTCCCCCGCCTGGATGAGGAGACGGGCGCAAACGGTAGACATGGCGAGGGTGTCAGCCGCGGCCTAGGTCGTGAATACTCCGTCCTCCGCATCCTCGGCAATTTCAACACGTCGAGATAGTTTCGAGTGATGGGATGATAGGTTTGCACTCCAGCTACGAGGGACCTGTCTCGTCTGAAATCGATCAACATTGAAACCACACGAGACCGGTCGTCTCAATTCCAAACCGCCATCACCACTGGTCAGCACTTGTCTGACCTTCACTCGAACAGTCCATCGCCAAAGAATCGCTCACGTTGTGTGCCGCAACAAGCTTGTTCTCAGTCTCATAAAAGGCTTGAAAGTCTTGTGAGACGCCTTGTGTAACCATCTCTATCATGTAGGGCAGTTCGTAGAATATTTGACCTTGGTCGTTAATTTTTTCTGGCAGAGCTGTAACCCTTGGGACATACGACTACTGCAAGCGACAGAGAGACCGAACAGTTTCATCAAACCTGTTTGGTGGACTTTCAGCCAAGGAGTAAACCATCTCGTCGACAATGTCAACAGGTTGCTCTGTCAGAGTCTGGGAAAACTCAAAAACAGCAGGCTCATTGCCGTTGACAACTTCACCCTATACTTCAATATCAGACCATGTCAACCTGCTCTCGGCCTCGGAGAATGGAGCGTTACCCTTACCCTGCAGATGAACCAATGAATTTGGTCTGATGCCTGGAACTGTCGCCGCAACGGACCGGACACCACTCCTTGTCTCGTATGTCGTGAATGTCCTCGTCAAAGGGGAGAGCATTGTAAGTAGTACCGATGCTGGCCCGGGCAAATCTAGAGTCAACTAGGCTCCGCTGTGCCGAGTCCCGTGACATCTGTTTCTTGATGCCGTTCAATACGGCTCCCTGGCAAATGGCCGTCCATCTGTGAACAGACATCAGATGTCGGGTTTAATTATTACACGCCCTCTATGTTACTGTCACTGGATAAACGTACGGGTCGGTCCCTTGGTCTTGAAAGGACGGTGACATTACGAAAGCGTGATTTAATCTCCTTCTGGAGATAGTCGTACAGGACACGGGATCTTCCAAAACCGCCCACAAGCAGTACATACTGCCGAGAGTTACTACTATTAGATGAAACGTTTAGAGAGCGATCACGATGTAGCATTGCACACACCTTGGGAGGATTCCCGTGCTTCCGCTTTGCCTCGTGGACCTGGCCCAAGACTAGGGATGCAACCTCGCCCAAGACGACCTTGAAGACAGACCAAATATCCTCTCTTCTTCAAGTAAGCCTCCAATATTTCCAAAAGTACGAATAGTTAGAATGGCAAGGCCTTCCCTTTTGAGGATTATATCCTTGGGATGTCGGACATCCAACACCGGAGTATCTAGAACGGGTTCGCGAAGCCGCCATGATTCGCTGTGTATATCTCGTACGGAACAGACGTTGTGCCAAAGCCGATTCCTACTCTGATGGAATGTGAGCGTTTAATTGTGCTGGCTGTTGGTGTTCATAGAAAGACTGGAGTAGAGCTGTCGATTGTTGTTTTGCCATCAAGGGGAGGGTGAGTATGTGTAGGCAAAGCATTTTGTACGATGAAAAGATAAAGATGATGACTATAGACGTGTTTTGAAGTTCTATTAAGAGGGATGTAAACAGAAAGAGGAAGAAAATTACAGCACAAGCTAAGTTGATTGACTGACCGCTCACTTGCTTCTTACTTCCTTCTTACTTGCTTCTCACCTTCATCTTACTTTCATCTTAGTTCAATCTCACTTTTAATCTTAGTTCCTTAGTTCCTTGTTGGTTCCCTTGGAGTGAATGAATCCGTCAAAGGGCGACATCTAGAGGACTGGAGCAAATGTCTCGAACCTTTCAGTGAGAATCCAACCGACACCGAGTTTCGTGAAGGCCCAGTCCGCATCGTTGACTCTGCCTCTGAGATGAGGAAAACGTTCATCAAGTCTCAGGATATTTACAGTTTTGCGAACTTTTTGGACAGAGGGCCTTGTCTTCAAGAGCGTAGGGCGATGAAGTATGACGAGAAGATGATGAAGGTTTCATCATGTATCGTGGGATCTGACGACGGGAACACGACTAAACCAGAGAGATACGTCGTTCGGGTGGTCTATTGCCCAGCGCTTTTCGTCACCAGCACGACTGATGACGAGCACTTTGGAAGAAGGCAATTGCTGAGCCAAGCAACTGTGACGGTTTCCAAGGAGAAATCTGGAAAGAATAATGCAGCGCCGGAGCAAGGTGTGGTAAATGATGGGGATCCCAAGGTCAACTTGGAGATTGCTAGACGGTATTCGGCCGCAGTACCTGAAAATAGTCATCACCAAACGGCTTTGTTTTTTTTGTTCTGTGCGCCTCGGCTTGTTTTCAAACACGAGTTGCGTACAAGACCTCACACAAGGTCGTCGTTGAGCTTTGAGCTACTGTTGACGAGAATACTCGTGGTTCAGTACTGAACCTGTAGAACTCCTGCCACTCGGTCAGAACTGGCGCCACAAAGATCAACCTGTCATTTTGACGGAGAGCAAGAAATCAAGTCGAATCGCCATGGGAGGCAGCAGGTATTCAACACTCGTGGCCTCGTTTCGAGACGTCGCCACTCCGAACGCCGCCATCAATCATGATCTTCCTCCGTAACGCCCGGACACCCGTCCATCTCGCCGCCGTCATACTTCATCTTGCACCAAAAACAATACCAGTGCCTCTCCCGCAAGTACAGCACCAATCTCCCCAGCCTCTCCGCCGGCTCGAGCGCATCAAACGAATCCAGCTCCTCGTCCTCCTCATCCAAGTCCTCCGACACCACGTACGCCGTCGCCTTCTTCCCCAGCGCCCTCCTGTCGTCCTCATCCTCCTCGGCGTCATCATACGTAGGCAAGCGCGAGAGCGACTGCTCCAGGTCATACCTCATCCGCCTATCGCGCTCCTTTTGCTCCCTGTGGCGCACAAGGCCGCGGTACAGCGCCGGTATCGACTTGAGCGGTCGTCGCGAGGGGGCTTTCGGCCGCGCCGTAGATTCTGATTCCTCACCAGACGCGCTTCCGCCCTCGTCGTGCTCCTCGTCCATGCGCTCCGCTACGCGCTGCGCCGCATAAACCTGCTTCTCGAGCCTCTCGTCTTCGCGCCCCCTCCTCACGCGCTCCCTGTACTCGTCGGGATCCATCTTGGCAGCCTTGGTGCCGTGCTCCTCCATGGCCTCGTCAAGCTTCCTCTTCTTCTCGCTGTCCAGGCCGATGCCACCGCGGTCCTCCTTGACGCTGACCTTGATCGGTTCCGTTCTGGTGCTGCTCTCGCCGTCGTCTCCCTTTCTGCCCAGCGCGCCTCCGGAGAAACCCATCTTGGCCATCATGGCCAGGCCCTTGCTCTTCTTTGCCCCGGGCGTCTCGAGCATGGACGTCGACAGGGCCTTTTCTCTCGCCGCCGCAGCTTCTTCCGCAAGCTGCGCCTTGGACTTGATTGTGCCCCTGGCCAGGGACTCCTTTTTCAAGCGCTGCGTGCGTTGCAAAGACGTCTCTTTCTTTGGGGCAGGCTCGTCAAACGTCATGTTCATGTAGTCGTCCTCGTCGTCGCCGTCGCCAGGCGCTGTACCCGCGCCACCCTGGGGGGGGCGGCATGGTGCAGACAGCCTGCGTCGATGACGGGTCGGGCCGGTGTCGCAAAGGTGACGGATATGCTCCACGTTGTTGCGCTTGCTGAAAATGCCCATGAGATTGCGATTGCCGTTGGTGGTGTGCGAGGCGCGTGAGACTGCACTGTCGTCTTGTTGGATTGGATGAATGAAGATGGTTAGTTTCCGCCGTCGGTTCCACTCCGCACGTCGTCCGACGACAAAACTTCCCATCTGGCCACGGGCCATGGCCGCCTCACACATGCAACTCTCCGAGGCTGGAAAGGAATGCGCCCACCCTCAGCCAGTGGTTCTACAGTTCCTGCGCGTTGGCAAGCATCCAATTCACATTCAGGGTGTGCATCGCTTGCAGCGCCAAAAAAACGTCGACAAATAGTTCCACGATATACATGTATATATACGGCTGATCATTCCAATACATCCATCTACCTGTTCCTGGCCCGCTTCCTTGCCGACTTCTCTCTTTCATACGCATTCGCCTCTCTCCCTTCCTCGCTTTGGATCTCCGACACAATCCTCTTAAACTTCTTCTCGTAAGCCTCGTCCTTGGCCTTCTTGATCCGGAGCTTCTCCCTTGCCATGAAGTTGGCGTCCTTCCTCAGCTCTCTCATCGCTCCCTTGCGCTCCTTCTTGTGCTCGGCCTTGAGCTTGGCCAGCTCGGCACGCTCCCGGTCAGGGTCGTAGTGCTTGTCGGGATCGAATGTCTCCTCAAATTTGGGTATATATGTCTTGATGGCGAGCGGTCGATGGTGGTGCAGCTCCAAGGGTCGTCGTGATATTTGAGCAAGGCTGAGCATGCGTCCGAGTTTGGCTATCAGTTTGTCCGCCCTGCCCACTACTTGGGCCGGCAGTTGTGGCCGGCACGTCTTGCCGCTGACGTGCTTGAGCACCTTGGCTACCTGGCCGAATGTCTCCAAGAAGGCCTCCTTTCCGGCCCACAGGTCAGCGCCGGCGTCGAGGATATCTAACATGGTGGCAATGATTGCAGCCTTGGCAGAGTCACTTGTTGAGTCGACAGCTGCACAATCGGCCAGAGTCAACTTCCTAACAGTGACAGCGTCGATTTTTTGACTTCGGATACCGGCTGGCGGTCCGTGCCGGGGAAAGTTGCCAAGCTGTTTCGACGGTGCGGACGGTGACAGAGCACACAGCGTATTCAGACAAAAGCCAGGCACTTCTGGAATGAATCTCTTTGATAGTTGCTGATACTTCAGACATAAAATGGCGAGGTATGCACCCGTCGCGTAGTCGCATAGGTTTTGAGGGACCTTCTGGCCCAAAAAACGACCCATAGTGAGCAAAGACGGTGTCACGACTTGATGGAAGTGATCCGAGGTGGGAAATATGGTGCTGATGGCTGTCAATACCACTAGGTCTGACGGCCGCAGAGCCAAAGGTCGATCTTGCCCAATGTCTGAGATGTGATGACGAAACCTTCTGCCCACCTCTGTCGGGAACATCTTGGAAAGAGAGTGAATATGACGAATCAAACTCTCCAACACGGCGAACGGTGGAGATGTCTCTTCGTCCCAGGGCAGAGCCACAAAGTCGACAAGAGCCATGGCAAAATTGCCCAGTTTCTCTTTGTTTTGACTATCCAGCTTGGGATGATGCAAAGCTCGGATTCGTTGGACGATGACTGGCAAAAATTCATGAGAGTAGCCGGCGATTATGGCTTGAAGCTCGTTACAAGACTGGGGACAGGGAAAGGTATAGGGCAGTCCCTGTTCATCCGACTGTCGGGCCGCCGCCGCTCGCGTGTCCGAGTCGATGACTCGGAACATGGGATTCCTGGCTTCCTCCTCGTTCAGCAAGCCCTTGGTAAACTCGTCTTCCTCATCCACCTCATTTTGTTGCGACGTATCGTCATCTTCTTCCTCCAACTCTTCGTCGCTGTCCACGGGCTCTAGATTGGAGCCGCTTGCGACGAGATCATCGTCAATTATAAAGTCATCCTCGTCGTCGAAACCCAGCTCCGTAGCCGTCCGACGAGCGCGAATACCGCTGCCCAAGCCAAAATCATCGTCGTCATCATCGACTTCCATCCCGCCCGTGTCAGCTGCCTTGCCCTTCTCTTCCTCTTCTTCTTCACTGTCGGTCACCTCTTCTCCCCTCATGCGTCTCTGGCGCCTGTCCTCAAGTTCCTTTAATCTCCTAGACTCCTCCTCCGCCTTTTCTTCTTCAGTTTTGGTTCGCTCAGTAGGCTGAGCACGCTTGTCCTGAGCCAATTTCTTAACTTCAAAATCAAAGTTGCGGTCGAAAGCGGCTCTTTCAACACCGGCAATCGAAGACATTTGAGGGTTTTCGGACCGGCTCTCGCGTTGTGAACCCTTGGTTGATCTGAGAAGCATTTGAATACTCTGGAGTTCCTTGTCCAGCTCGACACGCATATCCTCGTCGACATCCTTGGCGGCTTGTCTTTCGTATTTGTGCATCTTCGATTTGGCGATAATTTCTTCCATGACCTCCTTCTTGCTTTTCTTCCTCTCCGGCTCATCCTGTTCACCTTCATCTTTATCTGCCGATGCCAAGGATCGAAGTCGTTTCAGGCGCTGTACTTCCCTCATGGAGCCATCACTGTCGTAGGAAATGTCCAAGTCATGTTCCTGGAAGTCGTCCACCAGTTCGTCGTCGTCGAATTCCAGAGCTTTGCCCCCGTGAGTGAGACCGCCTTCCATAGGAACATCATCTTCTAGATCAAATATTGAGCTCTTCTTGTGGCTTCGCTGTTTTTCTCGGGCGAATCGCTCGAGCATTTTGTCTTCTGGCGCCATTGTGGGGTCGTATTCGCCGAACCGTCTGTCAAGAATGCCTCCAATTTTGTTGCGCCGCTGCATATCAACTAGGAGTGTCTCTCGTCTCTACAAACAATATTCTGGTTAGACTAGGTACCCGGAACAATGTGCAGCGGCCTAACCCACCCTTTCTTCACCAGCAGCTCTGGCGACGCCGGGCCGTCCTCGAATCCCCTTGGCCGCATCTCCCGTAGCGACTCGGTTGGTTGTCACATCAAACTTGGGGCCTCGGGCAGCGTGCTTCAGATCAAACGGGTTAAATTGCTCTCGGATTCCCTCCAAAACCACACCTCGCTGGAGTCTCTTATCGCTGCGTGCCTTGCCTTGCTCAGCGTTCTTACGGCGCTGTTTCTTAGACTGCTGAGGTCCAGTTATGCCCTGCTCTCTCAATGACGCCTTGAGACGCTTGAGTTGTGACCCTGCCATTTTGGGAGACGTATTTCGCCAGCACCGACTCACCTCGGGTGCTGTTGGGGAAGATCAATCGACGTTTGTCGCACATGGATGGGAAATTTTCCGACTTTTAGATTTGTTATCGATAAGGCATGGGGCCAGCCCATGTTCCGCATTACAAGTGCGGAACCTTCTTTGCTTGCCAGACACTAAGCCAAAACCGGATCAAGGTTTTGGTGGTGGCTCGAGGCAGAATTATCCAGTTTATGTGATAACCTTCCAGTCGCCACGGCAGCTTCAAACGGCATATCAATAGCATTGCTGTACCGTGTCAACAAGCGCATCCGGCATGCATGGGACAGCATCTATGCTTCCAAATATATCGCCGCCATGAGGTGGACAGAAGCTTTTTGGTCATTCTGTCGCGATGAACGGGTGCATCTGGCCACCATTGGCCTCGCAACGTTTGGCCTTGTCCGCACGATAACTGCCGTCTTGACCATCGTTCGCGATGGCAACGAAATTCCACCAAAAGAACCCAAAACTCAATACATCACTCAGGAAACGGAAGATGCTCTCAAGCTCGATACTTTGGAAAAGCTGTTGATGCATCCAAACTTTTCCGTCAGGGAAGTCGCTACCAAGATATTGTGCGATAGAGCCATCAACGACGATGAAACTCTCTTTATGCTTCTTTATGGAATAACTCGGCCAGACTACGAAGAGCGTATGAGATGCCTTCGAGCTCTTGCTCTGCTGACTGGACAGACCATGGGTGCGTACAGGTCGACCTTGTGTCAATATTTGTAGTATCAAGCTAATTCTTGTAGGTCTTGATGGTCTAAGACAGCTGAATAACAGCAAGGCGTACTCGGCATTGGTGAGGTCGCTGGAACTGAGTCTTGAAGATGTAGAACTTCCAGACTTGACTAATAATCACTGGGACGAATATTATCTCCGTGACATGGCCGAGAGATTTTGCCTCATGTTCGTCCACGAGCTCATCAGCAAATATGGGAGCAATGCACTTATCAAGGCCAAGTTTGTGGAAAAGTGGCTTGCAAAACAGAAATGGGGGGACGATCCGGCTGTGCGCCGCCACAATTTCAAGGCATATATGGACCTTAAAGACAATAGGCTCGTGGAAATTGTTGACCGAATAAAACATTCCAAGAGAGGTTTGAAGGCTTTGGAAGAGGCTGGTTTGATCGAAGTTTCCAGGAGGCGGATTGGAACGCCGGATATCATTATGGAGATTGAAGAGGAAATTCACGGGCAAACCCACGCTTCCACGAACCGAATTCGAAGACCCATGCGAGAGACTTCTGTGGAGGAGCAGCGGCTTCGACGCCAACACCGCGAAGCGATGGTCCTCAATGATGGTACGAGACCTCTCGGAAGAGAAGACATCATAGAAAGGGACCATGAATCGACAACATGAAATGAGTGGTACAGCGGCTTGAATCTAAGCATTTCACCACCTGATGATGACCTTGAGCATTGGCAAATCATCTTTCAACCTGACGTATCAGGCATACTCCCTCCGAGACATCTACCGGACCATCAATATGGAGGCTTCGCAGGACAGCATTGAAGCGTCCAGCGCCGTATGATTGCTTGAGTGGCACGGTCCTCGAGCTGCAGCGGATTCCTGCGCCAGAATACGGGCAATATGCGGGGTTTCCATGCGGTGATGGCGAATGAAGCGCAAACACATGCTTGTCTCGTGGTCACCAAAGCCTTGGCTTCTGTTGGAGTCCCGATCGGTGGCTTGGCTTCTCTTGTACGAGTCTCGATCCGTGGATTCGGGACCTGAATCGCTGGGTAAACACTAGATGGAGTGACACGGTAGTACTGGGAAATGCCCAAGGTTTGTCGCTGGATGTGAACATGTTGTTGGAACAGCGAAAAAAAAAGGGCTATTCGGGCACCAACCAAGCGTATCAAGTTTGGTATTTGCCAGTGCAGTTGCATGGCAGCGCAGATCATTGTCAGCATAATACTAGTAGTAGTAGTATTGGTATCTTTTCCTTCTTTACATTCGAAGTGTCTCGCAGTACTTTGAATGTAGGAGACCTCCGATCACGCCTTGCGCGAGAGCCTCCCTGCACGTTGAAAGCACCTGCCTGCAACGGACAACTCCCGTTTGTTGGTACCACATATCAATTGCCAGGTTCCCTGGGAGTTAAGGTCAATGGCCCCTTGAAACGTGATTATTCGTGCACTTCTTCCCATGTCGTCTCAAGTCTATCCGTTTGAATTTTGTCGGCGGATGACGGTCCCGTGGAAAAACAGCATTTTTTATTGCGTGAAGCACTCAATTGAATTTGTACGAAGAGACCAAATGATGGGGTGGAAAGTGCGTTGGCACGTCGACATGCAAGCAACAAAAGTTTTTGCTTGTTGTCGTGACTGACACGTTGATTGGACGGCGGGTTGGACTCGGCTGGCCCACTCACGGACCCATGGGCGTTGGGGTCCGCAGGACGTGCCAACACCGGCAAACACCGAGTACGGACATGAGTACTGTGTACTTGGGCACGTAAGTACTTGAGGACGGAGTACGTGCTCTGAAGTAGTTCGCTAACCACTTCCTGAGTGGTCCAAGCGGTGGCGTCATCCCTCTGCTGAGCCTGAGTGCTCATTGCTCAACGTCGTTGCTGCGTATTACTCGGCTGGTCCTCCACGGGGCAACAAGCTGGCCACGACGACGTCTTGGACCCTATCAATTAGCTCCATCCCATGTCGTTGCAGCTGGTGCCAGTCTGGAGCCATCAATAAATGGAGGAGTGGCGGCTAAAAAGTGCCTAGGTGCTCTGCTCCGCAGTGCTAGTATCAATTGATTGGTGCTTGCAGTACGGAGTGCTCCGAACCTCCACTAATAAATCACACCGTACGTACTGAAGGACCTACCTAGGTACCTAGGTACTTATACGTACTTACATGGGTTGACGACCAGCACCAGCACTGGACAACTGGAGACCACATGTCAGTCAACTGGCGCCATTGACCAGCCATAATCGACGAGCTTCACAGCCTCACAGCCTCCAGTGGCACCCCTCGCCAGCAGTCAACCAGGTATATTCACGGACCTGGCTTGTTTCATCTGTTAGTTACGTATTCATCAGTCTTGCCTGGTGTTTTGTTTCCATGTTGGCGTATGCATCTGTGCTTTTCTGCGCCTTCGTGTCGTCGTCTCCCTGCCCTTATCGCCAACTTTTTTTCTTCCTGCACATGGCAGCATCGCCGTATTCAGTGTTCTCAGTCTTCCCCTCTTCGCCCGCCTTTTAATTAGCAGCCGACCATTTGGATTTTGGCCTGCAGTGCGTGTTCAGTGTTTCCATCACTTCATATCCTCGCTCTTTTTTTCGGTCAACGCGGTCCCTTCTCCCGCTCCGCCATCTGCGCTACCGAGTCCAAAAAAAAATTACCTTACTTTGTTTGCCGGTCTATACTGGCCGCGGGAGGGGCCAGGGGCGATATACGGCTCAGGTGTGCTCAGCAAATTTCATTATGCTTACGAGACAGACTATTTTGGCTTATTTTGTTCCCCGTCCCGCGTCCCGGCTCTAACTGGGGAATAGTGAACTTGAGACCTAGGTTTGTGCCCGGTGTACAGAAGCCAAGCGTCGACGGCGTTTTCGAGCAAACAAGCCAGACGACGACATCTCCCAGCGTATTCAGTTGTTCCAGAATACGGCGTGGAGCATTCGGGCCTAATAGGGCCGACAAAAAGCGGGCACCGGCTCACTTCGTGTTGTTGTAGAACCAACACGGCAGGCGCAACTTCCTGTTGGGAGCATCGAGTAGGGGGCTTGGCAGAACCGGCAGCCAATCTTGGCCCGATTCGGCCGTCTGCTTTCGCGATGGCTTCTACCACCACCACCACCACCACCTTCTCCTCCACGTCGACCAGAGCATTGCGCTCGAGACCATCATCATCACGACTACGTGGTCCCGCCTCGTTTGTCTCGACCCCCAATTTGAATACTTTATTTGTTGCCCAGTCCAAATTGCTGCCTCCAGGCCTGGGCTTATCGCGCAGGACGTCTCTCGCTGCTCTTACCCCCTCTTCGTTGGCCAGCATACCCGATGTCAGCGAGAGTTACGCCCTCGATACTGTACTGAGCGATTCCTCGTCAATCATGGCGCCCGCGACCCCTGGCCGTCAATTGGCCGAAGATCTCGTCGTTGGAGATGCTGTAGACGTCCCCGGTGGCATGCACGGTACTGTTCGCTTCGTTGGTGCCGTTCAGGGGAAAAAAGGCACCTTTGCCGGTGTCGAACTTCATCAAGACTTTGTCGCGAGAGGCAAGAATAATGGCGACGTGGATGGGTATGCTTGCTTTCTTAGACCTCCCATCAAGCTCAATGTTTCTTCCCCTCCCCCTTTTTCACAAGAAGAGCATCCAAGGTGACGTCGCTAACTTGTCGCTACTCTCAACAGTGTCTCGTATTTCACCACCTCAACCCCAGGCGCTGGCATCTTTGTTCCGGTCGTAAAAGCGTCCCGTCGGGGATCTCCCACCGGCTCGTTCCCCATGACCCCAACTGCAAGCACTAACGGACGAACCAACGGGACACACTATACGCCGCCAGGCTTACCCAAGTTCAGCGCCTCTATCGGACCTGGCGCCAGGGCACCCAGTCCCGGGCCCAAAAGACCACCCAGAACATCCCTTCCAAGGCCTGATTCCCCGGTACGGCGGACTCAAATGACCCCTGTCCCTCGTCCTTCGATCGGTACGCCGGCCCCCCGGCCACCCGCAAGATATGGAAGTCCCACGAACAATGGCCGGTTCACTCAAAGCGTCCGGGGCACGGCGGGCGACCCAAACAAGAAACCATCTCGACTTGATCGCAAGCCAAGTATTAGTGGCCCGCGCAGTTCTTCGGCCCTAGGATCCATCTCAGGCTTTGAAGAAGAGTCAACGCCGTCGCTTCCTGGAAGCCCGCAACGTTTGAGGCCAAATGGGCTTGGTAATGCCGGGTCCATCATTAACTTGAGGCGCCCGGCGTCCCGAGCTAATGCCGCCAAGGAGGAAGAGATGGAACGCCTTCGATCCCAGCTTGAGGACCGTGACCGGCAGCTGAAAGATCAAGCTGCAACGTTGGCAGACATGGAGAGCAGCCTCGTTGAACTCCAAGGCCTGATCGAAAGCACCGATATGCCTGGGATGAAAAGGAACAGCCTTGACGACAAGGATTCTACTCAACTGCGAGTCATGCTGCGGGAGAAGAATGACAAGATCGCCATGCTCACGGCGGAATTTGACGCTCACCGGGCAGACCTCCGCAGCACCATTGACACGTTAGAAATGGCCAGCACAGAAACTGAACGAGTGTATGAGAAGCGTATCGAAGAGCTCATGGGAGATATTCGGGAGCTTGAGGCCAGGAATCTTGACGTTGATTCCGTCGCAAGCCAACTGAGACAGCTTGAAGAGCTTGTCCAAGAGCTCGAAGAAGGCTTGGAGGATGCTCGCCGTGGTGAGGCTGAAGCGAGAGGTGAGGCCGAGTTCTTGAGAGGTGAAGTAGAAAGAACCAAGACAGAGTTGCGACGAGCGCGTGAACAAAGCGCCTCTGGTGGCGGCGCTCCTCACGACGATAAGGGGGCGATGCTAAAAGAACTGGAGCAGAAAGAAGACGAGATCAGAGGACTAAAGGCCATCATTCACTCCCTCAGCAGAGACTCCATCGGGGACACCGAGGATCGAACGCCGACACAACGTCGCGGGTCTTTCATGAATGGTGCTGAAGACGGCGAGACGGCTCGTGCAAGTCTGGCGAGCCAGGTTGCGGAGCTCCAGTCGCTACTTGACAAGAAGAATGGCAGGGAGGAAGAGCTTGTACAGGAGCTAGAGGCTCTTCGCGGGGGCAACCTGGCAACGCAGACAAACTCGGGGCATCGCTCATCCCTGAGAGACTCGCGCGACACGGTCATTCCTGTCCGATCATATGAGCCCGTGTCCTCCGAGGTGAACCACAAGAGGGAGCCTAATCACAAGCGAGGTACTACTCTGGACTCGATGCATGAGAGCGACGCTTACTCAACAGCCACTGAGAATAGCACTCTCTGGTGCGAGATTTGCGAGACTAGCGGGCATGACATTCTAGCGTGCACAAACATGTTTGGTCCAGAGGGTGGCAAAGCTGCCAGCGACACGAAGACGGCCAAGGATGTCGTCCGCGAGGGCATGAAGCATCAAAACGCCCTTGGCATGAAGGACGCGCACCCGGCTCCGCTTTCGCCTGCAAAGCCCAGGGCAGCATTTCCTGCAGCACCTGCTATTAATATCCTCCCGAACCCGATGGAATCAGGGCCGCTGGCGGGCAAGGAAAGCGGGGTTGTCGATACGGAGAAGTGGTGTGCGGTGTGCGAGCGAGATGGCCATGATAGTGTTGACTGTCCGTTTGAGGATGCCTTTTAGGCCTCCGGCACGGTGTATGATGACTACTTTGACGAACAAGATGTGCATGCCTTTTGGAGTACAGTGGCGTAATGTCATCGCCCTACGAAGTGAGTGTGCATCGCTTCATGGAACGTTGCCTGGACAGTGCATCCGTTATCGAATGCCACCATGGCACCAGATGATTCTTTGTTGATGATGGAGCGCCCTTCCTGTGGCTTGGGCATAGAAACATAGTTTTGTAATCATGTACTTTTGTATAATATTTTTTTTTCTAAATGAGCGACGACGCTCAAGAATCCCGATTTTCTTGGTGATTTGTTGATCGGGCGAGCCGAACATTTGGTGTGCGCACTCGTGTTCCGACGGTGGCTCATGGAGGTCCGGTTAGCGCAAAGCCCGAAGTCAGCTGGATCACGGACGGAGGTCAATGAGATGCCGTGCGAAATTTTGACCCCTCAAGATATTGGTGTGTAGTCGTGTGTTGACTAGCAAAATCCCAAGACTGAAGATGGGCAGCCTGGCTCATTGATCGCGGGCGGCACATCAATCGCGGCTGCGAATTGCGATTCCGACCCGTCGGGGCCGCGAACGCAGAGAGAGGCCAGGGGATTCTCGAAGCGGACGGAACAAGGCAGAGCGCACTAAGAATAGCCCGAGCCGCGGGCGTCATGACCACGATTCAGCTGCTTCTTAGTCCAGGGGGTCACCAAACCCCGGGGCGCCAGTTGTTGATTACTTAAGTACTTAAGTAGGTACCTCCCTACTCATCAGTGTCATCACTTACTTCAAGTACTAAAGTACCTACCCAAGTACAGAGTCGGGTTGCATTGAATGGCCCTCCGAGCCTCGCGGTGTCGACGCAGGCGGGGGTGACGAGGCTGCAACTGTTAGTGCGTGACATCCGCGCATGTTTGTCAGAAGGCAGATAGCAAAGCCCAAATCGCGCCAAAAAAGATGTCCAAATGTGCAAAAAGGCCCTGAATACACTTCTATTACGACTTCAATGCACATAATCTTCATCCGGGACCACTTCATCGATGCCGCGTAGCTCTTGGCCGGGGTCTGTAGACTCTGGGCACACGTCTTGCATTATCAGCACCGCCACAGGCTCTACTTTCTTCGATAGATTTCCATGAGGCGCACAGCCTCCAGGGCGGACCCCTGCAGTGTCTTCCGGTCTCAGCGGTTGCTTGATTTTTTGAACTCCCAGTTTCGCATACTACTTTAGACCTGGTTTCTTTGTTGTTGTAGTCTCAGCTCGCTTCTCCCTTTATGCTCGAGTCCTCTTCTTAAACAGGCTGGAACAGGTCAGCGACTCTTCATCTTCAGGCACCACTTTGGCTCCTCCGTATTTCCGTCAGAGCAACACTGTTTGTTGCATAGCATTTCTCAAACGCCGTCCGCCTCTGGCAAATTTCTCAGAAAGGCGCCCCCCACCGACGACTATCAACACTTGGAACTCCCCGTCCTTCCTTATCTTGATTGATCACAGGGTACGTGTGCACAGTCAGTCACTACTTTCGCTGTCGCCTTTCTTCCCCTGTTTCCTCTCTCCTCTCATTTCTTGTCGGATATTTGCAGCACGAGACGACCCCTTGTTCAACAACTTGCCGTTGCGCCTGGTAATCCAACGAGATCTCCCGTCTTGCCTCTGTACATGTTGACTAATATTGATTGCCCTCTCTTCCAGCCAGGCTCGAAATAACTGCCATCGACTCCGAGTTGAACATTTCCCTTTGCGCCGCGACGAATCTCGACATATTTATTTGCCTTTTTCAAACGCCACTACGCGCTAGCTCCTCGAGCCGGTCACCATGTCAAGCGACGAATACTACGACGTCCTTGGGGTATGCCACCATGCATTTTGTGTCCGCTAAATGACTTTGAAAAGAAACCAATATCTAACCATTCCCTACAGATCAATCGTACCGCATCCGAGGCGGAAATCAAGAAGGCCTACAGACAGACGGCCTTGCGAAACCATCCCGGTATGTGACAACAATACTTCTTTGTGTCGTCCTCAATCCTTCCGTCTGTCTAATTAGCAACTCAGATAAAAACCCTGGCAACGCCGCAGCCGAAGCAAAATTCAAGCTTGCCACAGAGGCATATGAGGTACTTACCGACCCGCAGAAGCGATCCGTCTATGACCAGTATGGTAAAGAAGGCCTCAATGGCGCTGGTGGTGGCAGCGGCATGCCTGCCGAGGATCTCTTCGCTCAATTCTTCGGAGGCGGTGGTTTCGGTGGTATGGGAAACATGTTCGGCGGTGGCGGCAGTCGAGGTCCTCCCAAAGCTCGAACCATCCACCATACTCACAAGGTCTCACTCGAAGACATCTACCGAGGAAAGGTTTCCAAGCTCGCTCTGCAGAGATCCATCATCTGCCCCAAGTGCGATGGCCTTGGTGGCAAGAAGGGCGCCGTCAGCAAGTGTGCTGGCTGCGACGGCCACGGTATGAAGACCATGATGCGCCAGATGGGCCCCATGATTCAGCGCTTCCAGACTGTCTGCCCGGACTGTAACGGTGAAGGCGAGATCATCAGGGAGAAAGACCGTTGCAAGCAGTGCAACGGCAAAAAGACTGTTGTCGACAGAAAAGTCTTGCATGTCCACGTCGATAAGGGAGTACGTAGTGGCACCAAGGTCGAGTTCCGCGGGGAAGGTGATCAGGCCCCCGGCGTTCAGGCTGGCGACGTTGTTTTCGAGATTGAGCAGAAGCCTCATGCCCGATTCACGCGCAAGGATGATGATTTGCTTTACAAGTGCGAAATTGAGCTCGTCACCGCCTTGGCTGGTGGTACCATCTACATCGAGCATCTTGACGATCGCTGGCTTTCTATTGATATACTGCCTGGCGAGGCTATCGCTCCTGGTGTGTATTTCTTTTCCATGCGCAAGTTTTCAAGGCTGTGTGTATACTGACCTCTTTTTTAGATTCCATCAAGATGGTTCGGGGCCAGGGAATGCCATCGCACCGCCACCATGACTTCGGTAATCTGTACATCCACTTCAACGTCAAGTTCCCCGAGAAGAATTGGACTCAGGATGAGTCTGCTTTCGCTGCTCTCCAAAAGATTCTCCCGCAGCCGTCTGTCCAGAACATTCCTCCCGCAGAGGCCATGACCGAACCTGCCGATTTGGAAGATATGGATGGCCACTCGCAGAACCGAGTCTTTGGCAGCCCCGGCATGGATGAGGAAGATGAGGACGGTCACCCCGGCTCAGAGCGTGTCCAATGTGCTTCACAGTAACTTGCCGAGGAGATGAATCCTCGCACAGTTTTTGATTACATAAAAGTTGTTTACAGCAACCCGGGGACTATCTGACTTGCCATACCTGCGCTAAGAATAGGGAGGCCAAGATCACGGGCATTGCCGACATCGTAAACAAGGTATTATGAACACGGCGGTGTGTGTCGCTGTCGATTTGAATCACGCAGCACATGGTTTCCCACAATCTCTTCGATACCACACCGGGGAAAGAGCATAATCAGCAGTCGCGCGACCCGCTCACGCCTTCATGGGAGATGCAAAGCATGATTGGGAGGTGTCTGAAGCAAAGGCTGCGCTCTCAGTCGCCATTATTGTCGCAGAAGCCGTGAGCGTTTGGTCTGGTTGGTTGGCGTTTAGAGGATATAGATGATTCGACGAGTTTTGGTAGTTGCAGACTTAGACCATGCGTCACGTTGAACTCTGACTTTTCTTTTTTCTTTATCCAGTTGTATCGTGTAGAACTTACACAGTTTCATAGTATACGCACATATACACATCATCTACACCTCGGCAGGGGTAGCCTTCACCTCTGCACGGACTTCTGCAACAGAATCACTTCCCGCATCTTCACCATCGTCGCCGCCCCCTTCTCCTCCCTGTTTGCGCAAGTTTTCAACCACAAAAAACATGTTGCGAATTTCGGCTTCAGAAACTTGCGTCTCCGGGCCATCGAAACTCTGTCCGTGAATAGGTATTTCCACATCGGACGATAGCCGGTTTTCAGTCCGCGTGAGAGTGTAGGCGTGTAGACTCTTGGCCTGTACACCTTGACCTGGGTCCATGGCCACGACGAGCTTGGGGGCTGTCTCGTCTGAAGCAGGGGCGACGGCGATGTGGAGTGGATTGCAGGGAAGTTGGATGATGCCCGGGTTTTTGAGTTGGTTGTCCGGAGTAAGCTGCCATGTGAAAATAGCTTGCACGCTGATGGTCCTTGTCAGCGCACTGTGTCATGACAACAGAGCGGCATCTGGCTCGTCAAAGAGCGAGGACTTACTCTTGGCAGGTGGCGAGTACGTACGTGACGCCGCCTTGTTCGGGGTACACGAGCGACGTTAGGCCCGACACGGCGACTCGTGTCGTTTGCGGCGCAATCTCCCGCGCCAGGGCTAGCAGGTTTGTCTTGGAGAGGAGGCGGCCTGCTTTCCAGTCCCAGATGAAGAGCTCCTCGTCTCCGCCGCCGGAGACGAGGATGTCCTCTCTGCGCTGGGGGATCGTCATCTCGCTGACGAACTGTTTGTGTCCGAGGCAGAAGCCCTCGATGACGTGGGCCTGTGGGATGTACCGCGATACGCGGATGTGTTCGTCTCTGTCGGCTGTGAGGAGGTATTTCCTTCCTTGGGCCTCTGTGACGGCCAGCGACGTGAGCATGGACACGTGCCCTAGTAGGAGGGTTGATTCGAAGCTTGGTCCCTGGGGTTTCGGCGTTCCTTTGGCCCTCTCGAGCTCGAGCTGCTTGCGCTGGTGCTTGAGGGCTTCGAGGTTGCGCTTGGAGTGTACCGTGAACGTGTTGGCTGCGGGTTCGGCTGCTGGCGGCTCGGGGACGGGCGCGGTGTGAGGGGCGAGGCTGGATGGCGATGGGGGCGCCATGATGAGCGGGAGGGAGTAGACGTCGCCGAATTTGTCGGCGACGATGATTCGAGAGCCGGGCCCGGTGGCGATGGCGCTGGGCCGTTTGGGCATTGTTCTGGAGACGGGGTCAGTGTTTGTGTGTGTGTGCGTGTGTGTGTGAGGCGTCTCTTTTCTGGAATACAGACGTACCTTTGACTGAGCTGAGTTATTTGGCCCTCTCCGTCGTGCTGAAACACCCAGACGGACTTGTCGTGTCCTGACACGGCAATCAGATGTTTGCCGTCGTCTGTACACGTCATGAGCGTGATGAGAGGGCGGTCTACGACTCTTCCCATTCGCGACTTGTCGCCGTGGTTGTCACTCTTGTCTCTTGCTTTGCCCTTTTTGCCTCGATGGAGGGTAGTTTCTGCTTTGGTTGGGGCAGCGTCTCCCGCGGAACCGTTCACATCGCCGCCAACGACTTTCTGTCTCTTGGCTGGCGGCTCACTTTCTTCCTTGTCGGGGACATTTTCGGGTTCTGTGGTTGTTTTGGCCTCAATATTTGGCTCGGGCCTTGAGTCTCTTGCGCTGCTTGGCTTTTCTAAATCAGGGTGTTGCCATGTTGATATGTGTTTATGGTCTGAGACGTTGAATGAGTGAATCTTGCCGCCTCGTGTGGCGAAGAGGATGTTGCCTATCGTTTGAACTCGATTATACGGTATTGCCCTGAGACTCATTTCCAAGTACATACAATGAGACCGAAAATTGGCCCCATGAGTCTTGTTGCAGTTTTGTTCGGTTTTCCTCGACTTCAAGGTCTCAGATATAAAAGTGGTTAGTTATGCTGAAAGCTGACATGCAGAGAGAAAAAAAGGTACATTCTGAATGTCACTTTTTCCTTCGTCTCGACTCTCGGCCTCGCACTTGGTTGGTCGTTGGGTTGCTCGAAAACGGGGACCTCGGGCTCACCATTCGAGCACGTGATGATTCGTCAGAGATGGGTGCAAGAGCCCACTTGTTCTCGATCCGGCTTAGCCCCAATCTCGCTTGCCCTAAGCAGCAAGGGGCGGGGGTGCGGCTCGCATCACACATTTTGGCGACTGGCGAAACAAAATCCGAAATTTCGTCCGCCCTCACGGCTTTGGCTTTGCGACAACACCATCACGCAACCTTTTGCACCAAATCCCTCTTTCCAAATATACCCCTTGCCCTAAAAAATCCTGCCTTCACAAATAAGAAGATATGGGGGGCAAGTCTGCTAACAAGGCCGGCTACTTCGACAAGCTCAAGGGCTTACTCGAGGAGTACCGTTCCGTCTTCGTCGTCGCGATTGACAATGTCAGCTCCCAGCAGATGCACGAGGTCCGCCACTCCCTCCGTGGAGATGGTGTTGTCCTGATGGGCAAGAACACCATGGTACGTGCAAGCTCACCAATGATAGAACCATGCCATTGGAACAATTAGACCGGTTTCTGTGTGCAAAATTGTCGAATGGATCCAATGACTAACCAAGCTTGCTGCCAATAGGTTCGCCGTGCTCTCAAGACCTTCATCAACGACACCCCCGAGTACGAGCGCCTCCTGCCCTTCGTCAAGGGCAATGTCGGCTTCGTCTTCACCAATGGCGAACTTAAGGAGATCCGCGACAAGCTTCTGGCCAACCGTGTCGCCGCGCCCGCTCGTGCTGGCGCCGTCGCCCCCATCGATGTCTGGATTCCCGCCGGCAACACAGGCATGGAGCCCGGCAAGACGTCCTTCTTCCAGGCCCTCGGTGTCCCCACCAAGATTGCCCGTGGTACCATTGAAATCACGACGGACCTGAAGCTCGTCGAGGCCGGCAACAAGGTCGGCCCCTCCGAGGCCACCCTGCTCAACATGATGAACATCTCCCCCTTCACCTACGGTCTGGGCATCGAGCAGGTCTACGACCAGGGCCAGGTCTTCTCCGCCGAGATTCTCGACATCGGCCAGGAGCAGCTCCTCGGCAGCCTGGCCAAGGCCATCACGACCATTGCCACCATCTCCCTGGCCATCAACTTCCCCACCGTGCCCTCGGTCATGCACTCCATCATCAACTCGTACAAGAACCTCCTTGCCGTTGCCGTCGAGACTGCCATCACATGGCCCGAGGTTGAGGAACTCAAGGACCGCATTGCCAACCCTGAGGCTTACGCTGCAGCCGCTCCTGCAGCCGCAGCCGCTGGTGGTGCCGCCGCCGCCCCTGCCCAGGAGGAGAAGAAGGACGAGTCTGAGTCTGAGGATGACGAGGGTTTCGGTGGTCTCTTGTACGTGGACTTTTTCTAATCCCCCAAGTGCTTCTGTAATCTCCAACAAACTAACCGGCTTCCCATGTAGTGACTAAGCGGCATCCTGAGATACTGGCGTTGGGGCTGGCTTTTGATCTCTGGCTGGTTTTACGATACATGCATCTCAGAAAAGGTTACATAGGTCGCTTGATGGTTGTCCAGGATACCTGGGAAATGCCCTCTTGACACCATGCGTAATGAAAGCTATGCCTCACGATGATTTTCAGAAATGATGACGTGAAACGTGAATGAAAGCCGCTCTGATATTTGGCTGCACACTACACTCAAAAAGGTTAGTACCATGTTCTATTTGTTTTTTTTTCCAACTCGGATATCAAACTTTGGGGATGATTATGAAAACAACTTCAAGAGCTTTTTAACCCTGAACATCTCCTGATGACACAAGTATCACCACCCTATGACCTCTCATCGTTGCCCACACAAAACTTGTTATGAATGCTCCATTTCTTCTGGAGTGACGGCTGACATGAAAACAAAGCGTTATAGTGATACACTGGTAGTACATGGATGTCCTAGATGCGCTATGGTACAGCGTGTTTTGTACATGATTCATCAGTTAAACAATCAACCCCCAATCGCAGCACATGTAGAAAACGTGCCGGTAACGCCCTCTCCCTCGAGGACCTGCTTGGCAGTGCCCACGGCTCGCTCGGGCAAACCCGCCAGCCTGGCTACCTTCAGAGCATGGCTCCGTCGATTGATGCCCTTGCGTAGCTTGTGGACGTACACAAACCCTCCCTGCTCATCCTCCTCCACGTCGGTGCAGTAAAGCTGCACTGGACCTCCCTCGGCCTTGCATAGGCCATCTGATGCCGCCAGATCAGCGACCCGGTGGAAGTGCGTCGCGAACAGCGTTCGGCACCGGTTCACCGTGACCAGGTGGTGCAGACAGGCGTACGAGACGGCGGCGCCGTCCTCAGGCGTAGTCCCTCGGCCAATTTCGTCCATGATGACAAAAGACCGCGGCGTCGCTTGTTTCAGAATCTGGGCCGTCTCCAACATCTCGACCATAAAGGTGCTTTGGTCGCGGTACAGGTTGTCCGCGGAGCCGACACGACTGAATATGGCGTCTACGATGCCCAGCTCCGCGTATGAAGCGGGCACGTAGCATCCGACCTGGGCGAGGATCGTAATGAGCGCGTTTTGCCGCAGAAACGTACTCTTGCCTGCCATGTTGGGGCCCGTGATGAGCCAGAGCAAGCCGTCCAGCTGACTTCCTACGAGACAGTCGTTCCGGACAAAGCTTCTGCCTTGCTCTAGCAGGCCGCCCTCGACGGTGGGATGTCGCCCGCCAATGACGGTATGTGTTGTAGAGTTGTTGAGCCTGGGGCGGACGAGGTTCTGCTCAATGGCGAGCCGGGCGAAGGACGTCGCGATGTCGAGCTCGTCGAGCACCTCGGCGTTGCGGCGCAGCTTGACGAGGTTGTGGACCACCTGTTTGCGAAGGAGTTGGAACACCTGCTGCTCTTCTCGGCGGATGTGGAAGCGCGCTTGGTCGAGACGCTGGCCCAGCGCCGTCCACTCGGGCACGTGAAAGGACGTGGTCGAACGGCTGGACGAGAGGGCTCGGACGTCGGTGACGTTCTTGGTGTCCTTCCCTTTGACGTGGGCAATGTGGCCCAGTCCTGGACTCCACCGCAGCGTAAGACTAGGAGCACCGAATTTCACGCGCAGAAGGTTGCTCAGTTGTACCATCTCGTCTGCGAGGGAGGAAAGTTGCGCATGGAGCTTTTCCAGGTCGGTACTCGCACCGGGTTTCATGATCCAGGCCTCGCTGTCCTCTGCGTAGTGCTCCCTGATGGACGTTGGTCGTTTCTTCTTGCCCTTGGGCAGAGACGATGCGTCGTCTCGAGATCCCTCGCTTGCCACGATGTCCTGGGCGAGAGAGAGCATCTGACTTGCTTCAGAGTCTTCTATCTCGTGCTGGTGGACGATCCCTTCTTCGTCTATGGCGTCTTTGATTCTGCGGGCCAGTTTGAGTGGCTGGGTGAGATGGATTCTTGACAGAAGCCCCGACAGGCCGTCGTTCTGCGCGGCATCGGAGCCTGATGCTGCTGCTTCGTCGAGTAAAGAGACGATGTCTTCGGTGGCCTGTATGGTGTTTGCCAATGCCAGAAGATCGTCGGCGTCGCCTCTTCCCAGAGAAAATTTCTGGGCCAGCCGTTGCGAGTCATGGCTCCGTCGGAGAAGCATGACGATGGAGTCACGAAGATCCCCGGCAGAGATGAATTTCGCAACCAAGTTTTGTCGCGTGTTGATGACCTCGAGAGATGTGGATGGGGAGCCGAGCCATTCGTTCAACAGTCTTGCTCCGCTCTTTGTGACAGTTCGTCGAATGGCGTGCAAAAGACTCCCACGAAACAAGCCGTCCCGAATCGTCTGCTTGATTTCCAGAGCCCGCAGGCTGTTTTTGTCAATGTTCATGATCTGCATTGACTCGCGTCGCAGAGGCGGCAGGAGCCTCATCGTCATTCCCTGGAGTCGTTCCCTGACATAGTTCAGCACAAGGCTGCCGGCGAGGACTTCCTCACTCGTGAAGGTTTTCCGGGCGCTCTCTGGCACTTGTGATTCCAGCAGGGGTGTCCAGTCTCCCATGTCTGTCAGGCCACCATTGGGGGAGTAAGTAATGAGGTGTCTGTCCTCGGCCAGAATGGAAAAGATGTCATGATCCTTGCGGGACTCGATCTCCTGGTCCAGGACGACTTCCCGCGGGCCGATACGGGACAGTATCGACGGGAGAGAAGCCAGGTCTGAGGACTGTGTGAAGAAGTGGCCCGTCGACAAGTCCAGCCAGGCCAGGCCAAGCGGCAGCGGGCTTGCTGGGGCTGAAAGGCAAATGCCATGCTCTTGGACCATGACAGATGTAGATTCTGCTGCCCCTTTGCTTTCGGCAACATGTATTGCCAGGACATAGTTGTTCGCATACGGGTCGATAAAGTTTTCGTCAATCAGAGTGCCGGGGGTGATAATTCGAGCCACCCTCCTGTCATGCATCAACCCCCCAGACTTGACCTTGTCAGCAGCGTCATTGGGAAACTCCTCTGCTATGGCCACGTAGCGATTCAGATCCTGAACCAGAACCTTCAGAAAGCGGTCCAGTTGGAAGAAGGGGAAGCCAGCCTATGGTCGGAAATGTGAGCTGCAAGACTGCAAGATACGTGGGGGATTAGGCTCGTCTTACCATGGGGACAGGCCCAGCGTTGGTCTTTTTAGATGCCAGTTTGAGGTTCAGCAGAGAGGCATACTCCTCGGCGTGCTCAAAATACAGTTCGTAGAAGCCGCCAACACGGGTGAGAAGCACGCAATTTTCAAACTTGCGCATGTTGCGGCGTGCCTGAAGCACAACGGTTGGATAGCTGGGCTCATTTTCCTCGTCTTCAAGGGGCCTGGATCCGGATTTTATTGGGCCTTGGGGCAAGTCGGACAGCTTGATGGTAGTTTTAGTCCTCGCGCCGCGACATTGCAGTCGACCAGGGGCGCTGTCGCTTGAGGCCAAGATGGACAAGACGGACGGTTGTGCGAATAGAGGACGCAGCACACGGCGGCTCACGACGATTCGGGCTCCACGGGGACGGCATGGCGGGAACATGGGAGCTCGGGACCCCTGGCCGCTCCGTGCAGCTAGCGATGCTGAGGTGGCGACTCGTGGAGGATGAAGGAGATGGCGACGACGACGCAGTTCCGTCGCTCTGATGTCTGGACTCTGCCGTGGTTTTTTGGTGTGGAGCCTGAGCCGTGATTTGGCATCAGGGATCAAGACAAAACCCAGCTTCGGCAGCATGAACAAATACTGGCCTACGAGAGGTGAAAAATTGCAATCCCATTGCGTATTTATACTAGATTACGAAGTTTTCCTCAGTCTACGACTTGGTCTTTTTTTCTTTTGTTTGGTTCTGGCTGTTTGTTGCCTGGTACCGGCGTTGGCCAGCAGCATTGGAGCAAGGACAAGATGGCGGCCATCACAGCATCCAGCACAGGCCCTTGAAAGGGAGAAGAGAACGATGGCGGTTGGCAAGTTTGGGAATGCTGGCACAAAATGCTCCTTTAAAAGTACTTGATGGCACGTCAAAACGGGCTGGCCAGGCCATGCTGCCGGCACTCGGCACTCGGCACTCGGCACTCGGCACTCGGCACTCCATGCTGGAGACATGACACGCCGCGACTTGCTGTTGATGGCACCTGATCCAAGTACATCACACGACGGCAAAGGGGGGGGGGAGGAACAGAAACAGAAACAGAATAAATGCAAGCCTCGAGCCGAGCATGATGGCATCTCGTGGTTGCACGTCGCAGCGGCAGGTCCGGCGCAAGTCGCGCAGCCGAGATTCTCCCGACGGCAAACTTGAGGACCAACCACGAAACCACCACCATCAGGCGTGTGTGGTGATGGCTGTTCTAAAAACAACACACCGACGCTGCCGCTCGGTGGCACGTGTGTGTGCATTGCATGTGCGGAGAGCCTCCCAGGCCAGCACGAATGCGCTTGCCTTGTGACGCGCCGATTTTGCGACAAAAGGCCATGGCTGTCGCTTACACGGCCTGGCTGTTGCTGTTGCTGTTGCTGGGGCCAACATGGAACGACAGCAGGCGAGCTGCTTCAAGCGTGCGTCTGCACCGCCCCTAGCATCACAGCATCATCATCATCCTTCTTGGCACCGCAGCGTCGACACTCTGCCGGGATCCTTTGTGCTCTGCCTCCCTATTGCTACAGGCCGTCTTCTGCCCTCTTGACTCGTCGTTTCTGCCATCTGTTGACCTTTGCTTGTCTCGCGACAGACCAACCTCACGCATATCCGCCGGCCGCATGATCTGATCCCCAGGGTCCCCTCGCCTGGTCGTGTGTCGTCGGTGCCTCGCTTCCCCGAAACCTGTGCCTGTGCCCAGCCCTCGAAAGGCTTCGCTTTGCCTTGGCCACCTACCTAGTACTGCACATCAGAGCCAGGCTCGCCCGAAACGATACGGAATAACAAAAAAAAGAGATACTTAGCAGCTATATCCTCACCTTTGTCACCATGAGGTTTGTCTTGTCCATCCGTCCATGTTTGCTTCTTTTCGTTTGTCCGAGACACCACTGGGACAGGCCGTGAGGTCGGCGCGCGAACGGGTCGGGTGCTGGTGGCGCTGCTGCAGGTGCAGGTGCAGCATCCACATCAACGGGCCCCACTGGAATGGATGCCGCTACCCCGGCAAAGCCATGCGGTCCATGCCTACGCCTGGCCCCTCCCCCTCAAACCTCCCTCAAGTCACCCCCTCCTCCGCCTGGAGCTCCCCCGAGCTTCCCCATCCGCCCTCGACTTGCATCCAACATCAATCATCAAGCCTCTTGATGACTTTTCGTGGTGACCTGTACTGGGTCACTTGCTCGAGTCAGCCGCTGATCTAGATACTCCAGTTCCTACAAGGGCCTCGTCCATCATATCTTCCCGCCATCTGCCGACTGTCCTCGGCATATCCCTGGGCCGGATTCCTTGCAGCCTGTCCCTCTACCTGGAAAGCTACGACGGCTTTCCAATCGCTCAGCTCCGCCAGCCCCGGGACTCAGCATCGAAGCTCGTAACATGGGCGGTGGTGGTGATATGAGGAGCAAGGCCTCCTACCCCGTGCTTGCTCACAAACCCGTCGGCGTTGCCAAGACCAGCATCCTGAAGGACCGAATTGAACCCTTCTACAAGTCTAGTCAGTATGAGAAGGTGAATTTGTTGGCGTAAGTACTGCATTCGTTCATTTTGACACCCGGACCAACTGCATCCGCCTGGCTCACAAAAATCATTTGCTTTAGCAATCTATACAAGGCAAGGTTTTCCGGCAGCCCCCACGTCAAGATCTATGTTTGGAGTGCCCCTGGCCAGGATCGACCTACATTCAAGGAGGCAACATCACACGACTTCAAGGAAACTCACATTGGTGCATCCTTTGGTCCGTCATGGACTACCCACTGGTTCCGGATTCACTTGACCGTCCCAAAGGAAATTCTCGACGAAGAGCTTTTGATTCTGGAATGGGACGCCAACAACGAGGGTCTCGTCTGGACCGAGGATGGTGTGCCTCTCCAGGGCCTCACGGGCGGGGGTGAGCGCATCGAGTGGAATCTTCCCGACTCCTTCAGAGATGGCAAGGAACACGTCATCTACATTGAAATGGCTTGCAATGGCATGTTCGGAAATGCCCCCGGCGGGAAGAGCAGCATTGCACCTCCAGACGAGAACAGATACTATGGGTTGAACAAAGCCAATATCGCTGCGGTCAATGTGCAAGCTCGCATGCTGCACTTTGATATGTGGGAGCTTGGGGACGCTGCCCGAGAGCTTCCAGAAGACTCTGCCGAACAGAACCACGCCCTCTCCGTTGCCATGAGGATCATCGACACGTTCCAGGTCAACAATCAAGATTCCATCTTGAAGTGCAGGGAAATTGCGAAAGAGATCATCGGACCGGATGTTGACTCCCACAAAGTCTACGAGCACGGCAAGGAACCTGTCGTTTTCGGTATTGGTCATTGCCACATTGATAGCTGCTGGCTGTGGCCCTTTGCGGAAACAAAACGCAAAGTTGTCAGGTCCTGGTCCAGTCAATGCGATTTGATGGACCGGTATCCAGAGGCGCGGTTTGCCTGTTCCTCGGCTCAGCAGTTCAAGTGGTTGAAGCAACTCTACCCAAGTGCATTTGAGCGTGTCAAACGCAAGGTCAACCAAGGACAGTTCCATCCCATTGGTGGGAGCTGGGTTGAGCATGACACAAACATGCCCAGTGGAGAGTCCCTTGTCAGACAATTCTTGTACGGTCAGCGATTCTTTGAGGCCGAGTTTGGCTCTCGCTGCCGCACCTTCTGGCTGCCAGACACTTTTGGATATTCCAGTCAAATACCCCAATTGTGTCGCCTGGCTGGCATGGACCGTTTCATGACCCAGAAACTGAGCTGGAACAATATCAATACCTTTCCTCACACCACCTTTATGTGGGTGAGCCCGGACGGAAGTCAGGTCATGTGTCACATGCCCCCATCCGAAACATACACCGCGGAAGCCGACTTTGGTGACTTGCGCCGCAGTATCAGCAGGCACAAGACTATGCGGGTCGACAGCTCATCGTTGTTGGTGTTTGGCAAAGGCGACGGCGGCGGTGGTCCAACGTGGCAGCACTTTGAGAAGTTGCGTCGATGCGCAGGCATCAGCAACACAATAGGGTCCATTCCCAAACTCAAGCTCGGCCTGAGCGTTGACGACTTCTTTGAACGCCTGGCACCAAAGGCCAAGGATTTTCCCACATGGTACGGAGAGCTCTACTTTGAGCTCCACCGGGGAACATATACCACGCAGGCCAACAACAAGATGTTCAATCGCAGGGCCGAGGTTCTGCTGAGAGACGTCGAACAACTGGCAACGATTGCTTCTGTCCAAGACTCGTCCTACAAGTACCCGAACAAGGAGATTGACGGCATGTGGGAGAACGTTTTGCTTTGCCAGTTCCATGACTGTCTTCCCGGCAGCTCCATTGAGATGTGTTATGACGAATCCGACAAGGTAAGGGTTTGCATCAGCCCACTCCTGTTTCCGTACCCAACATGTCCAATCCCATACTAACTGGAGGCGCAGTTCTACGCAGAGGTATTCAAGACGGGGGAAAAGCTTCTCGGGGACCTGTACAACTCTTTTGGCGTGTCGTCTGCGTTGCCAAATTCTGTCCACGAGTCCGTCGTTGTCAATACCCTGCCTTGGCATCGTAAAGAAATTGTCGAGCTATCTGATTCTGAAGTCGGTGTGGCTTGTGGAGATGGCCAAATGCTGCCGATTCGACGCTTTAAGATGGAGGAGGACAAACCTGCAGTGACGGTGACCTCGAATGGGGAGGTCTATGTTTTGCAGAACGAACAACTCCGTGTGGTGGTCGAAAACGGCTGTATCACGTCGTTGTACGATCTCGCCAATGATCGCGAAGTCATCGAGCAAGGTGGCCGGGCAAACAAGTTTGTCATTTTTGATGACATTCCTCTGTTCTGGGAAGCCTGGGACGTGGAGGTCTATCACCTCGATACTCGCAAAGAGCTTCGGTATGGCAAGACAAAGATCCACGAAAATAAGCCGCACCGCGTCACTCTGGTCACCGACATCAAGATCAGCGACCGGAGCTCCATGAAATCCTACATCTCACTTGGGGCGGCCTTGAAGGGACAACAGTCTCAAGTTGATTGCTCGGCCGAAGTTGATTGGCATGAAAACTCCAAGTTTCTCAAGGTTGAGTTCCCTGTCAATATAGTTAACACCGAGGCTTCGTACGAGACTGCATACAGCATCACCAAGCGACCTACGCACTACAACACCAGCTGGGACATGGCCAAGTTCGAAGTCTGCTGTCACAAGTTTGCCGATCTCTCGGAGCACAACTATGGCGTCTCGATTCTCAACGACAGCAAGTACGGTTTCGCCACAGCGGGCAAGATGATGCGTCTGTCACTTCTTCGCGCCCCCAAGGCCCCCGACGAGCACGCTGATATGGGGCAGCACAGCATCCGTTGGGCCATCTTTCCTCACAGCGGCGCCTTGTCTTCTGTTACTGTCAAGGCAGCTTATGCTTTCAACAACCCGCTGAAGGCGCTGTCTGCTCCCCAGACGGTCATTCAGTCCCTGTCAGAGGCACCGGTCAAGCTCGTTAACCGAGATGAGTCTTCGTCGCTGATTCTCGACACCATCAAGCGAGGCCATGACGACGACGACGTGAGTCTTCGTGAAGGCCTGCGGGTGAACAAGGGACAAAGCATCATCCTGCGTGTGTACGAGTCTCTGGGCGGCCATAGCAGGGGCACCATCAAGACGTCTTACAATGTCAAGCGAGTGAACAAGGCAAGCCTCCTGGAGGACGAGTTGGAAGAGGTGGAAGTGAGTGATGGCAAATTTGATATCAAGCTGAGACCGTTTGAGGTGGCGACGTTCAAGCTCCAGCTGTAGGACACCAATGAGCTTGAACGCATATGCCCCGATGCCAGCATTCAAGTGACGCTAGGTATGCGGTAGAGAAGACCACAAGGGACGTGTGAGGCAAATGATGGAGGATCAAAGCGATGACGATGATGGGCAGTCTTGATTGTGCGACGTCGATGCAAATTCAATTCACTCGTGGAGAAACTTGGCGCGCCCTGCCGTGTATGCAATTGGATGTAGATTCCGGTTCGGATCGCGCCACGGAAAAGTTGATTTGCTCAGGGAGATGTGTCTATTGACTCGAGCTCTGCCAGTTGTGTACATCTGATGAAGCCACAACGCCTATGCCCAAAACGAAAGGGAAAAATTGCCACATGATGTCAAACGCACCCGAGTCCATCCATGTGACAGGATTGGATAGATAGATGTACAAGGGCATTGCCGAGTGTCACGACAATGCCAGTCAGTAATAGCAGGCAGGACAGGAAGCAGCAGTAGCAGCAGCAGCGCAATACGGCGTCGACAATGGAGGGGAAAGACGGCGCTACACTACAAAGCGCCGTCATCCGGAAGACTCTCAACGACACGCTCGACCAAGGCAATCAGTTGGCCTATGTCGGGCCTCTCGGCCGGGTCCACCCTCAAGCAGCGCCTGACAATGTCGCGGACGGGCTCGCTGATGGAGGGACCGGGACCGGGACCGGGACCGGGACAGGCGGGCTCGGGGCCGGCTGCGGAGGCGGAGGCGGAGGCGGAGGCGGAGGCGGCGCGGGCCTTGGCCTGGCCGATGGTGTTGACGCGCCTGGCGGCGGCGGGGGTCTCGTCGGGGAAGCGCCAGTCGCCGCCGAGGACGCAGAGGCTCAGGGTGCCGCCCGTCTCGTCGGAGCGCATCTCAAAGGGGGACTTGCCGACGAGGCAGGCGTAGAGGGTGCAGCCCAGCGACCAGATGTCCGTCTTGGTGTCGACGACGGAGCCCGTGTGCACGTCGAAGAGCTCGGGGGCGCGGTAGGGCATCGTCGAGTGCTCGGCGGCCGTGTCCTGGACCTGCAGCGCCACCGACTGCGACGTGATGGGCGTGGGGGACGCGGCCACGGACCCGAGGTCCATGAGGATCGGGGCCGAGCCCGAGTCGTCAATCATGATGTTGCCGGGCTTGACGTCGCGGTGGGCGTAGGACCGCGTCGCGCCTCCGCCGCCGGAGACGCGGTCCTCGGCCCCCATGAGCGGCCGCTCCTGGTCCTCCTCGTCGTCGGCCTCGCTGCGTCTGCTCCGCCCGCCGAGCTTGCTGCCTGCGCGGCGGCGACGGCCGGCGGCGGCGGCGTCGCCCTCGCCCTCGTCCTCGTCGCCCATCTCCATGCGCTCCGCCGGCGGCGGCCGGTACTCGTGCATGGAGCGGACGGCCCTGCACACGCCCAGGAAGAGCGTCATGAGGTGGCGCTCGGGGAAGCTGCCCCCGTTGACGAGGTTCGCGTTGATCATGTCCTGCAGGTTGCCGCGGCGGTAGTACGGCAGCAGCACGTAGACCGTCTTGGTGGCCTCGTCGGCCCCCCGTTCCGTCGCCACGGCGTGGTCCACGGCCGATATGACGCCGGGGACGTGCGCGAAGAGCCGGTAGGCGTCGACCTCGCGCATCGCCTGCTGCACCGACTCGGCGCCGAACGGACACCGGATCTTCTTGAGGGCCAAGAGCTCGTGCGTGGCGGTATCTTGGACGAGGTACACGTAGGAGAAGCCGCCCTGGGGAGGGGGGGAGAGTCAGCATCACGATCAACCTGGTCGAGCGACATGACGGGGTCCTGGACGGGGCGTGGCACCTCGCCCAGCAGGCGGAGGATCTTGAAGCTCCGGCTGTTGATCTTTAGCGTAGGCGAGCCGGGGAAACAGTTGAGACAGTTCCCCAGGGAGTAGAGCAGATCCGTGACGAATCGCGCCATGGCGGAGGCGGAAGGGACGACAAATCCCTGGTGGTCTTCGGCCCTCGAGGCGCTGCGCTGCGAATGCGGCTTGGTGTTGGGCGAGTATCGGCCGTCGTCTCGTTCCCGACGCAGGACGATGGGATTTCAGCAGCGGTGGCCGGGTCGGGTGCAGTGTTTGGTCGTGTCGCGAACGAGAACAAGCAAGCACTTGCTTGGATCGACGACGACGACGACGACGTTGTCGGTGGAGACCAGAGCTGACTGACCAAGGATCCGGTGGGTCCGTGACCCTACCCTAACCCTGCTGCCTGGACTGCACATGCACGCATACGCATAGCAAGAGAAACTAACTCAAGACCATGGAATGGAATTCTTTCCTCATTGCTTGATTCCGCGGCACCTCTTCCGTCGCCCAGTCGGTAGACGCGTCCATGTCCGCAAGCATGTAATGGTAATCAACGGCCAGTCAATCATGCTAAACCTCCCAGCCTCGTTACACGTAGTAATATACAATCAGCGCACCATCTTGCCTCCGTCTTTGCCCGTTGCTCATCCGACTTGATCCAAAAGCACTCCATCATGACTCCCACATCAAAGCAGATACAACTCGCAACTCCTTTGCCGGAACTTCCTGGTTCCCCATCCCTATAACGATGAATGACGAGAGACAAGGAAAGAAGAGCAACAAAAGAAAAAAAGTCGTGGAAAAGGACGAAAAAAAAAAAAACGCCGGCTGGGTCATCCGTATTCCCTTTTTGTTCTTCCCTATCGCTTTGCTCTACAACACACAAACAAACAAACATGGCGAAAAAGACAATACATCAACATCGGCATAGCCATGCAACGTCTCTCTTCTCCCCTTGTTTCCCTTCTAGATACTTGTCAGTCACTTTACGAGAGCAGATTCCGCAGCGAGGGGCTTGCGCTTGCCCCGCTAGCAGGTCTGTTTTCCGGCGGCCGATGTCCAAGCCCGCCGGTCGAGTGTGTTGGTTCATGGCCGGCCGGCGTTGGTCCGCCTGACGGGGGCAGACCGCTTCGAGCCATGGGGGGACTCCCGTGCGCGCCGCCGGCATACGACGACCGCTGCGGGTGCAGTCCGTGTGAGAATCCGTCCGAACGCGAGGGTAAGACGCCGTTGCTGGGGCCCGGAGAAGCGCTATGTCGGGGCCCCGACGCTCGCGCCGGCCCGGGGGCACCCCCGTACGCAGGGGCATAGGCAGAGGGCGCCGTGCTTCCGTTCTGTCGTCGCGGTGAAGCGGGCAGCGCGCTTCCGTACATCGGAGAGCCATGAGGGTGCTGGTGTGGTGCAGACACTGGGCCTACGGCCGGCGGTCCCGACAAGGACGGTGGTCGCAGCGCCGTGAGACCCGATGCTGGGGGCGGTCCGGTGCTGTGCAGCGGCGGTGGTGGCGGCGGCGCTCCCCCATTCATGTGTCGCGTCGGCGAGCCGTGCTGGCCTCCCCAGTCGCCGTACGACGTCCTTGGCGGCGGTACCTGGGGATAGCCGTGAGATACGGGCCCGGGCCGGGGGCCGAGAGAATGCGCCTGCGAGTGCGCGGCCACATGCCCGACGGCCGCCGGTCCATGGGCCGCCGCCGGGCCGGGGCCAGGTGGTGGTGGCGGCGGAGCATGGGATGGCGCATGGTGCATCAGCGAATGGATTTCCGGACGCAGAGGAGCCGTTCGGTAATCCGCCGGGGCCACTCGTGAAGGGCTTCGTTGCGATGGCGGTGCAGGGGCCTGGCCGTGCGGTCCGCCCAAATGCTGTCGCGGAGGTTCAGCGACTGGCGGAGGAGGCGATGGACGCGCAGCAGCGGCAAACGCCTTGGGCGTTCTGGGATTCTTCTTGCACTTGTGGCATTGAAACTTGCGCTGCTCGACAAACTTCTGTGCCTCGAACCCAATCGCCCCATGGTGTCCGTTCGTCAGCTGTCGTTCTTGTCGTTTTTCGATTGGCCACCATCTCGGCGTGACGTCGATGCCACAGGTGATGCACACCTTCTCCCCGGGCTGCTGGGCGTTCGTCGCTGCGTCCATCGGCTCCCTGTTGCGCAAATGATTCGACGCGCCATTTGGGGCGGCCGCCGTCGTCGTGATACCTGTCGATGTCCGTCGAGCGCCCGGCACGACGGGAAGGCCCGACATCTTGGCAGCAGCCATCATGAGGTTGGCCTTGCGCACCGTGCCCGTCAGCGTCAAATCTGCCTGCTTGTAATTCTGAGCGTAGAGCTGCAGTGCGTTGAGTCCCGACTCGTCGACGACATCGTACATCTTGTGAGCGACAGTCTTGGTAGGAATGTGATCCTGACACCACAGCACGGCCGACATGATTCCGCTTTCCCCCTTCAGCGTCACAATGTTGAACTGGTCGCGGCGGCTACTCTTCACAGGTGTGATGTCGAATGCAAGAAGGTGGCCTGCCTGCCGAGCGCACTCCACGTGGTCTGCAAATTCCCGTTAGTTAGTCTCCTGGTCATTCTCTCGCTCAGGTTGCATTGGCCTGCTACTCACAAGGTACCCGACATTGATGGCAAGACACACAGGCACCTCCTTGTTGGTTGCAGACCTGGCACGTCTCGTCATATCTGGCGCGGGGGATCGACGGGATACCCTCCGACGGTTCCAACGCCTTGGCGTTGCCAAACTTCACCTCGGGAGTCCACACTGCACAAGTGACATGGACCCAGTTGTTATCAGCAGTACGCTTGAGAGGTTCTCGGGGGTTGACGGGGCGGTTCAGATCTTCCTGTCTCTTGCGGTAGAACTCGGCAGCGTTCCGCGCCTGCTGCACCTCCAACCTCTCACGCTCACGATCCTTGTCGGACATCTTCTTCTTGTGATGCGTGAGCTTGGGCTGCTCGATGAAGTCCTGTTCAGTGAATTCGACAGGACACAGGACGCACTTGTATTGCTACACATTCGGGCAGTTAGTCACCGTACTGTACTGTTCAACTTGGCAGAAGCAGATGAGACTCGGCACTCACGATGGAGACTTGCGGGCTCTTGTCATTTGAGCACATGTCGCAAATCCACTTGCCTTGGATGCGATTGTCCACGACACCATAGCAGTGGCGATGCACCGTCAAGCGACACTCTCTGCAGGAGATGTGTTGATCGCCAAGCGGCTCCATCTGGTCGCAGATAGCACAGGGAAGGGTTCGCGGCTTTGGCAGGTCGGGAACAGGTGTAGTGTCCGCGGTTTTGTCCTTCTTCCTTGACGCAGTGGTGTTGCTTCCGGCATCCGAGACTGCGGCATCCGTGTCCTTCTCAGGCGCCCCTTTCAACTTCTTTCTGGGAGGCTCCAACCCGTTGACTGAAGCAGCTGGCGTGGAGCTACGATGAGGAGTCATCAAGCCCATGTCTTCCGCAATCTGAATCTCTTTGAGCAACTCCTCTTCCTGCTTCTTCTTCCAAATCTTGGCTCCAGATTGACCAGCTTTCTTGATCAAATCTTCCGGGGGCTCGTATCGAACAGCGTATCGGCGCCACAGCTCAGCGCAACGTCGGCACAGGGCCACCACAGACTCCTTGCCCTTGTCCTTGCTGGTCGCCCTGCCTCCGTTTTCGCTAAGGGGGCCCTGACTGGCGGGTGCTCGGCGCCATTGTCGGCAATCTTGCGACTCACAGAACAGACAAATGAAGCTGCGCTTCTGGACAAGGGCCTTTTCGGTGTCGAAAGCTGAATCGTCGTCGGCGTCAGCCACATCATCGGCCGCCTTGGAAGCCGCAGTCTCTTCCTTCTTGGCCAGTTTCTTGCCCTTGCGGCCAGAGTAAGACCCCCAGACCTGCCTGCCCCGCTCGGTCTTTTTCCAGGTGTAGTACCACCGTACCACCGCACCCGGTGTCATGGTTTTCACATGTTTCATTACCAGGTGCAACTCTGAGCCATGCTTGGCAACTCCCTCCTCGAACTTCCTACTCTCAGCTGGTGTCAAGGTCGGCTCCTTGAATAAGTCCCGTTTGGTGTCTGGAAGTGCCTTTAACGCGCCAGCAGAATCATAGTCGTGGCGAAATAATGTCTCCAGCGCAACATCTTGAAGATTTGTGGATCGTTCCGGGACATTGAGCCTCTTGGCCATACCTTGAGCCTTGGCCATATAGCTGACAACGTCCTCACGGCTGACGGTATCGGACGGTGGCGGCACCCAAAGGCGCGTAGACGTGGCGGCTGGGTCGTCCTCGTCCAAGTCTTCTCCACGAACCTGATAACCAGGGGGTTCATCCTGCACCCACTTGGGTCGCTTGGTCCTGAGCACCTTCTCGGCTTCCTGAGCGACTTGAGCTTCTTTTGATAATTTGGGCGCCCCCCGTCCCTTTCTCGTCTCCAGTGGCTTGACATATTCCACCGGGCGGCCGGGCCAAATACCCACGTTTGCTTGGTGTCGGGGTCCAATTCTTGTGCTCGCACGAGGGTGTATGCGGTCATCGTAGTCAAGAGTATCCTCCGGTTTGCAGTGCATGCCCAGGTAGCGCCATGGCCAAAGGCTCGCTTGATAAATCTGCTCCGCTGTGCCGTGGTGATGCTCGTCGTTATCAGCCGGAGTGGTGCGGTCGGTGATTATGCCGGGAATTTCGTCGTCATCATCGTCCATGGCATCATCGTCGCCAACATCGCCATTGGTATCAGTGCCATTGGGGGTGTTTCGCGCCTCAAGCTTGCGCTCCTGTGCTCGGCTACATGCTGCACACGACCATGCGAAGCCTCGGGATGGCTTCTTGAGCAGGGGTGGCTTGACGCAATTCATGTGGTACGTGTTCTGACACACTGCACAATCCACCGAGTCATTGCTAGAGGTGAAACAGAGTTAATATAAAACAGAAACACACGGGAGGTTGGGGAAAAAAGTTAAAGAATTGAAAACGGTATCATCAAATCCAGTGTGCTTGCTTGCATTTTGAATCGGGTTTTTTTCGCAGCTTGCACACAAAACAACCGACGTGCAGAGGTGGCGTGGTAGTTCGAATGGTAGATGCCACAGCCACGGACGAGTATTCCACGTCGGTGGGCATGTCGTTGCCAGTGGCGTCATGAATGGGATGGAGCACAGGAAGCATGTGGGGGGGGGGGGGCGCCAGTCAGGTCCAGAGGTTTCTGGACACAAAAGGATGGCAGGAGAGGGAAAGAACAACGCAGGGAGAAGGCCCGACGGAGAAAGCAGTGCAAATGCAGCCGCAAATAGGCAAGCAAGTGACAAAAAAAAAAAAAAAAAAAAAAAAAAAAAAAAAAAGACAAAACAGAGGCCATAAAGAAAGAAACAGTAACAGTAACCGGGGGGGAAAAAATCGCCCGTGTCCAGCTCGAGGCTCCCGAGCTACAACGGGAGGGCGCCTCTCGACTACAACACAGTCGAGCACGACATGGCACGTCAGCCGGTACGTACCTCGCACAATAGCCACTGCATCTCTTGCAGAGCTTCACGGCGCTAGTCAGCTCCTTGCCACGCCCCTGCTCCACCAGGACAAACTTCCAGCGCTCATCCAGGACCTTCTTGACCTTGTCGGGCACGTTCACAATAGTCGACGTCGGGATGAGGTCGTAGTTCTTCTGAATGTATCGGTCATACAGTTTTTCGTACCAGAAGCAGTCGGGCGTTCTGCGGTAACTCTCCAGGTTGTCGATTTCCACGCGATGCCGGATCTGGCATTTTCCGCGCAGTGCCGTCAAAGGGCTGATGTCGGAATGCATCGTGGCAAAGAGCAAGCGTGTGTCGGTGTTCTTGCGCCCAATGTCCTTTGGTCTGTAGAACCAGTTGATGCGCACCGAGTCGACGCGTTTCAACGACTCGCCCTTTGCATGCGCATGTAAAAATTCCATGATGCGACCCAAGTAATAAGGTTCCCCCGGCGGTTCGCACACGAGGTACACATGATCTGCGACCCTTGGTTAGCTGGCATGCTGGCGAAATTGCCTTGTCTGCTCTGCCCTCTTGGCCCTGTCCTCCCGAAATGGGTGGATCCCGGCCGCGCCGCTTGGTGCAACTGGTGGCAGGTTGGAACGCAACAACCCACTCCGTCACGCACTCGCACTCGCACTCTCACTCTCACTCTCGCTCTCACTCTCACTCTCACTCTCACTCTCATCCGACTCTCACCCTCACCCTCACCCTCACCCTCGCCCTCGCCCTCACTCGAGAGCGCCGTGCGTCCTTGGCGTGCGCCCGTGTCCCTGTCCGTGTCTTCCGTGTCTCTCTTGTCCGTCAAGCACTCACCATTTGGTTCCAACACGGTCCCGTCGTCGGCCACCATGCGCCCGTTCGCGTCCGCGCGGTGGTTGCAGTTCTCAAACGTCAGCATGTTGGTCTCTGGGAAGGGCGTGCCTTCTGACTGTCCCATCTGTCCTGCTTTTTTCGTAGAGACTGCCGTCGTCGCAGCCGCTTTTCGTTTCCGGGAGCCCTGCGCCGCGCCAGACGTCGGCGCGCCTTGAGATGCTCCGCCGCCAACGCCAACACCACTTGGTGTCGAGCTCTTGGAGCCATTTTGATTAGGTGCACCAACTGCTTTGGCCTCTTCTGCTGCAACTCGTCGCGAACCAACAGCACGTGCCGCGCTGTCGCCATTTGCAGCGACGTCTGATTTTCGCGACGACTTTTTGGGCGCATCTTGGTCCTTCTTTTCATAGTAGTCGTAGACATCCATGTCGATGTCTCTATCTTCTGCATAGTTAATGCGGGCATTTCCCCCTCTGTTGCGGGAGCGCGTGCCGTAGCCTGCAGCCATATCAGCCCCCGGGTCCTTGGATGAAGGATCCGGGTTTGATGAGGCGTTCACGGGGTCGGACGCTGACTGCGCGTCCGCACTGGTGACTTTAGAGTCCTGGTCGCATAAATTGGGTGGTTAGCAATGTATGGAATAGATGGGGTGAATGAGCAACGTAATATGAGGCACGGGAACCAGAACCACGATGTAAGAGTAGGGCAGGCAGGGGACGCCGGCCAAAATCAAGGATACGCAAAGCAAGGGGAGGGGGGGAGAGGGAAATAACAGGTGTCCGAGCAGACCTCGGAAACTCACATTTTGTTGTGCCATGGTATCAACGGGTCATTTGCGCGGCTGTGAGGTGAGGCGAATTTCGTGTGAAGGCATGCCCTCGCGAGGTCTATGGGGATGATGAGGGACGATGTATTATGCCAAAGTTGGACGGAGGCGACTAGGTAAAGAACAAGTGGTGATTTTTTAAATCGGCAAACTTTTCACATGCACTGCCCGGGTTTCTAGAAATCAGAGACGGAAAGAAATAGCCTCGACGAGACAAAACCACCTCGAAACTGCGGCGCATGGAGTGGGAGGCAAGGTTGAAAGAGAAGAGAGGTCTGCTTCCCAGGCGCCGGGAGAGAGAGAGAAGAAACGTCCTGGGCACCCCCGAGGCGGCGGCCCTGGTTTTGCTCGATACGTCCGCGCTCTGGATAACATGCTGAACTTGAAGTGCTCCGTACTAGAGCATGGGTGGGACAGCGCTAGCGCCTGGGTACACCCAAGGTGCCTGCTAGCGCCCGACAGCCGCACCGCGCGCCTGGAGCGATACGGTATACTTTATATATACATCATAGCACCCCGGCCATCAAGTGTGACCTTGGTCTCCACGCAGGCCCGCCGAGTCTCACACCATTGATGAGTGGACGGATCTCAACCCAGGTTTTTTTTTTGTGAGGCGTTCATCAGCGCCCACCTTGGGTCGCCCATCTTCTGAATTAAACGTCCTCTGGTGCATTGCAAAGCACCATGGCAAGGGAGAAGGGGGAGAGAGGGAGGTGGATGGTCTAGGGACTCGTGCACTGCAGACGGGTCTTGGGAGGACGACGAATATGTGAAGAAGAGCATTTGGAATTTTGCTGTTTGGCACGCCGAATTCCGTCCAAGTGCCGCTCTCTGCTCTCCTCTCTGTTGCGAGAGAGAGTCACCTTTGTCAACGAATGGGTAAGAGGCCCGGGGGTCCTTGCACGCCAGACTCGTGTCGAAGCGGATAAGTAATACGGACCATGCGGCAAGCATTCATGATAACAGGAACTGTCTGCCAGGCCCTCTGCAGACGGCGGCATCAACTGGGGCGCTTTGGACGTGGACACTTTGCGGCGCAGCAACAACATCAACGCTGTGCTGGTCCAAATATAGCCATAGTGTTCGCCGTGTCGGTGTCGACTCGTAGTCTCGGGAAATCAACTTGGCGACAACCTCGCAACTTGGCCAAGAAGCCCGCGGAGGGCAGGCGCACAGGCGCAGGCTGGCACATCCGCCCCAGCGTCGGCGCGCAGGGGAAGGTGAAGATGAATGTACGTGTCACAATCCTGATTCCTGACGCTTGTGTAGTAAGTAAGTAGGCCAGTTTGAGGAGTCAGGACCGAGCAATGAGCAATTGGAGTTGGGAGGGACGGCGTGGCTGCCGGTGCCTCGCCACACAATCACAATCAAATAACTAGCAATGTGATTCTGCGCTGGAGTCTCGGGCTTCGTTGTCCGTGCCTCTCTCCTTGTCGCCTTCTCTGCTTCTCGTGCATCTCCCTCCGACTTGACAAGTTGACATGTCGAGATGCCCATCCATGCCCGCAAAACCAAGCGCATCAAGGCAGCGACCAGGAGCATCAGCCGCATCGGACAGACGCATTGAAAAGTCAGTCTGTCAATACATTGCATACCAGCGCTGGAGCAGAGCACTCCGTCGGTACTCCGTACCTGGGTAGACGCAGTCGCCATGCAGGCAATCAACCAAGCGGGCTTTCGAGGCACGTCGGACATTCTCTGCCAACTCTAATCAGCCACGGATGCCCGCCGCCCCATGGCAGTTGGTCTGACGGTGTGTGTGTCAATGTACAAGTCGGCTTGGAGAGTCGAGACGGACCGGACCATGGAGCCATCAGTCGCCTCGCTGGCGTCGCCACCGCCAACGTATCAAGTCAAGTCGCCTCGGAGAGATCAAGGCAAGCAAACACCGGCTCGCCAAGAGCTGTTTGACGGAGTCGGCCTACGCCAACTGGGCAAACTCTGAACCAGACATCTGTCCGTGTCTTGCATGCCAAAGTCGGCCAAGAATGGCGCAGTCTACAATGGGAAAAACGATGGCATCGCCGAGTCCTGCTGTCTGCGCTGCGGCCTGCATGCTTGCTTGCTGTCTGTCTGTCTTTCTGTTTGCCGCTCTAGGCCAGAAGGATGGCGCTGGCCGTGGTGAGAGGGGGACGGGGGGAGGGAAAAAAAAAAAGAGGTCAAATAATACAGTGAAAAAGTCCACGGATGGTTCCGCCCGCTTTAGAGTCAAGTTCCGTGCCTGGGCGTCCATGTTTTTGATGTCATTGTCACCAGACCGTACTCCGTACAGACAGGAAGGACTGCAAACATTGTCCGCGGGGACACGGCGGGACAGGTCAACTTGTGTGCTCCAATTCCAAACCAGACTGCCTCCTCAAATCAGTCATGACGGGAGGCAAACTTGGATGGCACACGCACTGTGGCGCAATGCTGTTTTCCTGGCGCCGGATCGTCTGCGGAACAATCGTCTGTGCTGCCGGAGTTGCCATTGCGAGATGACTGGCCTGCAGCTGAGACACGGTAGATTGAGTCAACAAGTCCGGACTGACTTGAGACGTTGACAGTACGTAGTACGTACTACTGCTGCTCGGCAGAACTGGCGGGATCGATTGATTGATGTGACGCGCAAGCCAAGCCAGGCTGGGAGGGCACTCGAACCAGACTCGAGCGCACATCCGCCAGTCAGGCACGGATGCCGTGTACCGAAGGGCTGGGCCATGGAAGAAGATGCACCAGACTCCGGAGGCCAGGGCAGGAGCAATCACGACCACCGAGTTGGCTGGGCGCTCATGCGTACTTGAGTACCAGACATGATCCAAAACAAGATCCGTAGACTCGTTGGTGCTAGAACTGGGAATACAAAGGAAGGCCCTCAATGTTGGGACAGCCGAGTCCAACCGGACGGACCGTACGCATTACTGCCGGGCTCGTGGCGCATGGGTCGACATGTGGCTCGCATACTAAGTACAGCGGACTCGAGGTATCGATGATAATACTGAAGTACGTACGCCGTACTCCGTACCGAGGAACCTACTCAAGTAGGTACCTACTTGAGTTGAGTACCTACCTAGGTACTTAAGTAAGGTACTTGGGTACTTGGTAGCTACTTAAGTACCTAGGTAGTCGGTGCTATTACCATGTACTCGGTAGTAACATGGCTCGATGAATGGCTCGAGGCACGCCGCCGCCCAACAACAGACTTGGGTCGGCCAGGTCGATTGTTCATAATAAGTAAGTACGTACCAAGTTGGTGCTAGTAGCAGTGGCAGTGGCAGGAGCAGCAGGCGCAGCAGCGTTGCTTCATCACGATTGCATCTCGCCGACATGCCGAGGATTTCTCAGCCGACTGTGCCGGCAGGCTGACTACTAGCAGCTGAATGAGAGTCGGGCCGTGCAGGACACAGAAAACACCAGAGACATTCACACTCTTTGCGCATCGCGACATGCTGGCCAGGCGGGGATGACAGATACTAGTTCTGCAGCGTCCTTGAAATCCATATGCTGCCTGTCCCGTCAGGGGCAAAAAAAATACGTTATGATACTACTAGTAGTATTATACACACGTATACGTGCATAGACACACTCGCGCGACGACCAGCCAGGGTTGTCCCGTCAAGGTTTCCCTGTCCAGGGCTCCAACGTTTGGGCGCACTTCATCGCAAACCCTGTAATACACCAGTCTCGTCGACCACATACATTAAGTACCTCTTAAGTAGGTACTAAGAACGGGGAGACTAGCGCCTCCTTGGATCAGGTACCTAAAATGCTCAGGTACTTTCGTGTACGTGCAGTAGTTGCGGCATCTGGGGACGATAACAACGTCCTCCTAGGTCCCAGATCCCAAGTCCCAGGTAGCAGGACGGAAGACATCAGGCGTTATTCTAGGTCAAGCCCGTGGTCGCGTGGTTGGGGACAACGCAAGATACCCGAGTCTGGAACCAGTTGCACTTGAAAGCATGTACCCAAGTACTGGAGAGAGTCTCTGGTGCGCCGTTCTCCGTTCTCCGTAGAGCCCTCAAACACGGCAGTCGTCCCCGGACCACATCTCTCCGGCATGGGCGTGCAGGGTGTCCAGACCTGCAGGACTGCAGGCGTACAGGCGTGCCGGCGTGGACGAGGTCGACTGGTCCGTCAACGGGCCAGACAGAGCCCGCGAGCGTGGTTGAGTACTTAAGTACCCGGCCTGTCGTTACTATACTAACTACGTACTTCTTAGTACGAGTACAACAAAACTCAAAAGGACTGACGGATTATGGATGGATGTGGTGCATCTTGCACATGTGGTCGGTCTCGCCAATCACCGGCAGCCTTGACGTCAAAGGGGAATGGCGCAGGGTTTGCCATGCCGACCAATGGCGGGACGCGGGGCAGCCCTTGAAGAGACCTGTAAATCGGGATCAATCATTGCAGCCTGCGCCAGACGCCGCAGACCCGGAAGGGAGGGGCGTGCGTGTCGTAATGCACAGGTGGGCTTGCTTCTGGGACAATCCGGAGGGAGGCGTGCGCGGTGGGCGGCACAGAGTACACTCTGTCAGCAGGTGTCAGGAACGCCCCGCGTTTTAGTGGTCCTGTGTCTTCCCGCTCCTTCCCCGTTCGGCCTGCGCATGCTCACGTCAGTCACACTCTGCACGTGACGACGCGTTAGAAATTAGAATTCAGGAACACGACGCACGCTTCAAGCAGCAACCACCACCCCTCGTGAGTCGCGGCAAGTTGGCAACCTTCAAAGACGTGACGGCACTTGAACAATGGCCGCCTCCTCAGCGCAGGCAGTTTTGTATACATGAGCTTTTTTCGATCACCCGGCTCCTTTCAAAGTGTTCCTCATTTGCACTCAATATGCAACAAGATTTCTTTTCTCAAGGCTTGCAGTTCGCGTGTCAAATCTCCAGGCTGTCACGTCCTCTGCATACCGGCCCAGACCATGCCCATATGGACTTGGCCCTCGCAAATTTCTACTCACACCGACCATGAAGAGCATGCACGGTCTTTTACACAAGACCACCATTCAAGCCGCTGAAGAAAAGCAACAACAGTCCTTTGCTTCGCAATCTCGTGCTGGACAAAAAAGGCCGTGGTCCGAAGACGACGGCTTCGTGAAGCCCTGTCAACAAACTACCGCTGCTTCCAACTCTGGACCACATTGCGCCGTTCGTTTCCAGAGTGCCGTCAGTCTTCCGTCGGCTCCCAAGCGACTCTCAGCGAGTAAGATAACGCAACTGGCAGGTCACCATTCAACGACCGAATACTCACAACGAAGGCTTATTGCCGCAACACCGCTGTCGTCCATAGATCCCGAACTAAATCTTGCTCATCAGACATATGGCCTGCCGAGTCAAATCGTGTCCAATTTTTCTTCATTGGGTATAAATCATATTTACCCTTGGCAAAAAAACTGCTTAAAAGGCCCTGGCCTATTAACCGGGGAGAGAAACCTTGTATATTGTGCACCCACCGGTGGCGGTAAATCCTTGGTGGCAGATTGTGAGCCTGATTAGGTCTCTTGTCTCAAAAATGTCCCTCGTGGCTGATTATGACCCAGTGCTTATGCTGAAACGATTGATTGAGGAAGCCGGCACGAAAGCGCTTCTTGTTCTCCCATACGTTGCGCTTGTGCAAGAAAAGGTAGGCTGGCTGCGCAAGGTCGTTCAGCACGTCAAGATTCTCGACAGATCGCTGCTGCCCCAAGGTGCACAAAATGGTCCCTGGCGTCGGCGAGCAGACTATGGTCGCATTCGAGTCATTGGCTTTTATGGAGGTGGAAAAGTACGAGCAACTTGGGACGATTTTGACATTGGTGTTTGCACATTGGAAAAGGTCGGCAGCCTGATGGAAAGGGTACTTGGATGACGCTGACTCGTCATCCAGGCAAACGCCCTAATCAACACCGCTATTGACGATGGCTCAATATCAAATCTTCGATCTGTAGTCTTGGACGAACTGCACATGATCGATGACGATCACCGAGGGTACATCTTCGAATTAATTGCTGCCAAGCTGCTTTGTCTTGGGCAGCAAGTCCAACTCATTGGTATGAGTGCAACACTTCCGGTGAGCGGATGTATGGCCATCACTTGTCGAATTCGCTCGGTGCTGACTACCATAGAATTTAAATTTACTCGCTGCATGGCTGAACGGTCATACTTATGAAACAAGGTATAGGCCGGTTCCCATAGAAGAACATCTGGTGTACGACGGCAAGGTCTTTCTGGCCGGTCCCAATGATGGACTGGGGCATACCCCATCGCAATTGGGTAGCCAGGATGTGACAGAAGGAAAAACAACGCCTATCCGGCGAATAGAGAAGTCGGCGCACAAGGAATAATTCACAGACTCGGTACTAAATGCCGTTGTGTCTCTCGCTCATGAAACTGCACGCATGGGTTATGGTGTCCTGGTCTTTGCCGGCAGCCGCGGAGTTTGCGAGTCTGATGCTCGCTGGATCAGCCGGGTCATGCCCGGAATACATGAGCTTGCGTCTGACGTCCTCAAAGAGCGCATGGATCTCTTGGGGGACCTGCGTAGTTTGAGCACAGGTGCAGACCCGATACTGGAAGAAACAGTGCTTCATGGGGTAGCATTTCATCGTAAGTCTGATTTATCGTCTGATTTACGTCTCCGTACCTGCTAATCTCCTTTTCGTCAGATGTAAGTTTGTATTCACAGTGCTATGAATGCCTCAACCAGCTAAAAAACAAAACAAAAAGGCGGGTTTGACTAGCGAGGAGAGAGATCTCGTTGCCGCTGCTTATGATGCCGGGACACTTCTGGTATGCGTGGCAACCTGCAGCCTGGCTGCTGGTATCAATCTGTGAGCTGTCAGATCTTTCTTGTTTCTTTTCCTGGATTACTCTAATGGCGATTAGGCCTGCTCGCAGGGTAATTTTGCACAATGTCAAAATGGGTCGGGAGTATATTGGCCCTGCCATGTTGAGACAAATGCGAGGCAGAGCCGGCAGACAAGGCAAAACACAACTGGGAGAGACGTATCTGTGTTGTCGGCAAACAGATTTGGAACATGTTCTGGAACTCATGCATGCAGAGATACCCAAAGTTTCAAGTTGTCTTAGCACCGAGAATCGACGCATTCAGCGGTGAGATACTGTCACCGATAACCGCTGCCGCTTGACCTTGTCACTAACTCGGATAGAAGAGCACTGTTGGAAGTGATTTCCATTCGTCTAGCTACCAGCCGCGAATCCATATCTGACTACTTTTCCAATTCCCTTCTACAATGGTCGCAGCCGCCAGACTTTGTCCGCAAAGGGATCGAAACCGGCCTCGAAGAGCTTCAAAACTTGAGCCTCATCATCTCCGACTCCTCAACAGGCTACGCACCCACACAACTGGGAAAGGCTGTCGTTGCATCAGCCATCGATCCAGACGACGGCGTTTTTGTTCACAAAGAGCTTGTCAAAGCGCTGCGAGCATTTGTCATGGACGGTGAGATGCACATACTCTACGTGTTCACCCCAGTTCAAGATTTCGGCTCCCCTGTGAACTGGCAGGTATTCCGGAATGAAATGCAGTGTCTGGACGAAAGCTGCATGCGAGTACTTCAGTTCCTAGGGATCAAGCCCACTTCGATTCTTCGTCTGTAGGCCAGCCCAAACCAGCGTAGACGTTTTTGCACCCTGCTGATTGTGAACAGTGCTCAGGGTGCCATCTTGAAGGAGACGACACCTGAAGAAAAACAAATGGCTCGTGTCTATCGCCGTTTCTACCTGGCCATGCAACTACGTGACCTTTGCAACGAGGTTCCTATCCAGACCGTCGCTCGCAAGTACGACATGCCCAGGGGCTCGGTGCAGACACTATCACAGACGTGTCAGGGATTCGCAGCAGGCATGGTCAAGTTCTGCGAGCACATGGGTTGGGGGTACGGCCTCACCTTGTCCCCGCTCCCGAGCTCGACAACTTCGTCCCTGGATGCTGATGTGTCAACACAGCCCCGTGGCTGCAGCGTTAGATCACTTCTCGGACCGTTTAATGGCGGGGGCGAGAGCCGAGCTCCTCGCACTCTCCAAGGTGCCCTTCATCAAGAGTCGCACAGCGTACGTGTTTCCGACTGCAAAGTCTCGAATTTTATAATAGACATGCTGAGTTCCCGCATCAGGAGGGTGTTTTTCGAAAACGGATACCGCAGTGTGGCAGCTCTGGCCAACGCCGATCCCAAAGACTTGGTCCCCATATTAATGCAGGCATGTTGGACCAAAACATGATGTAACAGGACGCACGGCGACTAACGGCGATTAGGCACAACCGAATAAGTTGCGGATCAAGGGCCAGAATGATGAAATGATGGAAGAGAAGATGCTTGCCAAGGCAAAGGTAATTTCGTCGGCGGCTAATAGGCTTTGGGGTACGTTCCGTGTTCTTGATGGGACTAATGGCATGCTGACTGGCTGGCTGCAGGCATACAAATGCAGGCTGAAATGGAAGAAGAGTAGCAGAACATGAGCAGACGATGTGGAAGCACAAGGAACGGAGTCGCATCAGACACGGATATGCAACAGGCAGCGGGTACATTTGACGGGATTTCTAGAATACCCATTCGAGTTTTGCAATCTTGCGCGTCAGATGTGATGTGTTTCATCTGCTCCGTGGTCCTTTCAAGCCGCTTAATCCAAGACATCATCCCTCAGGCTGAATAGCTGGTGCATCACCTCATCAGCCTTGGCTCTCACGGCATTGTGGTACATGACGTTGGTCTCAAACACCTTGCTCCCCTTGACCAAGTCGGACGTGTCCCTCGCCAAACGGTAGTCGACATACATGTCCTCCACATACGAGGCGGCGTAAAATGGAACCTTGTTGCTGCGCAGGCGCGCCTCATCGTACAGTGCGGGCCAGTCGGTGTAAGTTGCCAGCTTTTCAGCGACGTCGCGAAGGGGTATCAACTCGGGGTACGTTTCAAAATGGAAGGGGAAAATCATCTCGCCGCTGAAGTAGAGCGGCTCAGGGGACCGGGCGAGAGTGTAGTCCGGGGCGAGCCATGAATAGGGCCCGCCGAGGTCTCTGCCAAGACGGTTCGCGGCCCAGTTGGACGATGCCTGGGGCCCGTCGCAGTAGATGGCTTCGTGGAGAATAGCGTAAATGATGTTAGTGTCGAAGGGGGTAAACGACTCCATGGGCGCTAGGGCGGCACGTGTAAGGAAACCGAACTGGTCAAGGGATGTTTTGAGCACGGTGAGGGTGTTGTGGACCGTGTCGAAGCCGCCGTGGCCGCCAAAGGCAATGCCGATTGTCAAGAGACGCGGGAGGGTCAGGAATCCGCCAGCCGGGAGGGGCACCTTGCCGCCTTGGCTCTCGATGTAAGCGGCAATTTGGCGGATGACAAGAGCGTCCTCGGGGAACTTGGCGAAATACTGTTCGTTGCGTTGCGTCGTCTTGCGGAAGGTCGCTTCGTAGACCTGGTTGACCGTCTTTCCGACGGGGGCCAGGCCGCCCGTCAGGAAGCACTCTCGAAGACCTTCGGGGTGCATGGACAGATACGACAGGGTGATGAATCCGCCGTATGACTGGCCAAAGGTTGACCACTGCGTCTTTTGTTCCGGCCAGCCTGCCGTCAGGAGCTTTCGGACGGCCTCACAGTCCCGCACGGTGTTGTCCTGGCGCATCAGACGCAGGTACTTGGCCTGGGCATCTGCGTCGCCGACGCTGGCGAGCATGGCTGTCGACACGGGGGTGCTGAGGCCTGTTCCACGGTGGTCGATGAAGAGGACTTGGTATCCGCGAGGAAGCGCGGCCCTCGTGACGGGGTGATCGGCTGGTGCCCGGTTGCCGAAGCCAGGGCCGCCCTCGAGATAAACCATGTAGGGCTTGTGGCTGTCTTTCTGGGCATCCTGGTCGTCGGGTGGGAAGATGGGCGACTGACGCTTCGCCAGGCGCCTGGCGTAGAGCTGGATGGAGCCGGCTGAGGGATTCTCGTAGTCGAGCGGTACTTGGAAGAAGAAGGTGGTGATTTCGAGCTGGCCGGGGAGAAGATGGCCCTTGCTGCTGAGCAGCTTGGCCGGGGGAATGTCCAGGATTGCTGGTGCCATGGTCTCGGCCGGTTGGCTGATGCGTGGTGGGTGCGGTGGTGGCGGAAGTGTTGATGACGATGCTCACGAGAGGAATAAGCAAGACGGCGACACGACCACCTTGGTCGACTCAACACTGCCTCGTATAGGTTCCGTATAGGTTCCGGTCGTTGAGCAGCTGGGATCTGGGGTGCTGAGATCCGGAGTGCCGGTATGCATATATGCGAAAGCACGGAGTACCCAGGCAGGGATGGATGGACGGCAAGTAACCCGCGGACTAGACTGACTGGGGGGGGTTGAGTGATGAGTGACGTGGGCACGTGCCGAGTCCTTCTCTGTGTGGTATGTAGCGACGGTTCGGGGACGAGCCGTGGGACAGGGTGTGGTGATCAAGTCTGCTTGGAGTTGGGATGACGGTGACAGTGAGTGGCTGTCGTTGGGTGGGTGACCAGGCCTTGGACGGCATCGTACCTTGGACGAGAGTCTGGTGAGTCGTGACGGGGGTGACGGCTTTCCAGGCCAAATGCACACTGAGTGATGGCCATAAACGAGGCCAAGCACGGCTTGTGTGCTACAGCCTTGGATTTCGATGACGAGAAGAATAAAAAAAAAAGATGGGAGATGACTGAAGTAGGCGCGTAGATATGACGGAGGGGGCAAGTGAAGGTTGAGGGGTTCAGGGTAGGCTACGAGACCGCCAAAGTAGTAAGTTACGTACTTGGGTTGGGTTAGGTCAAGTAAGTACTCCGTACGTTAAGTACCTAGGTACTTAGCAACTGCCAGGCCGACGAATCAGCTCCAAACAGCCCTGGAACCCACCGCCCCTCCCTGGGCCACTCACAACGCCTCCTGCAGACGCCCCGCTGGCACGCCGCCGGCTGGCACGCCCGGGGTCTTCTAATAGCTTCGCTAGCTCATTTCACTCCTCCCTGCCCTTCCTTTCTCTTTCTTCTCCTCTCCTTCACACTCAATCTTCGCGCCGTGGGCATGGACCAGCTTCATCTTACTCACTCCTTGGCCGACGCTTTCAACGCTCTCGCTGACGAGGTCCAGATCCTGGCTGATAGGAAGACTGTCCTAGAGCACAAGTTACGCTTTGCCCATGAACAGGTAAGCCTGCCTGGCGCCTTTGATCCATCCGTTCATTCCCTTCCCTTCCCTCGCCCCAACACTGGAACCGCTGGTTGCGCAAACGGCTTTGAATCAACATGATGAGATATTATTAGCTCTAGATCAAGAGCAGCAGGTTAAGAGACCCGCTGCCGAGACCGACATCATTTATCACTCTGACCATGACTCTCTTTGCCCACTCTCGACGTTATCAATGTCCTCTCATCTACCACTGAACAAGTTCAACAAGTCGCCGTAATCGTGACTGACATTCCGTACGTCCAGTTTCAGTATTTGGCGGACAGATATGCCGCTGGAACGCCAGAGATAGCGGAAACGCTGGCCAAACTGCAGCTTCCACCACACACTTCTGTCGACGACACCTCTCCTGTTCCTCTTCCACAGCGACGTTCTACCCCCCAACCCCTGCACCAGATTGCTGTCATCATCCGCGACGGACGCCGAATGGCCAGCAAACTCGTTTCACTGAGTTCCTCGAGCAAGACGACTGGCTCGAGCAGAGGTACACTCTCCCACACTTCAGAAGACGAGACCTCCATGTCCACCGCCCTGGAGCAGGACTTCACGGTCGAAGGGAAAAAGGGCAACCTGCAATGCCCCTTTTCCAAACGGGTGTCGTCGGCCAGCGGCACAAATGATGGCGAGAGCCGGCTGAGCGTCGCCCATACGCCTCACACTTCTGCCGACCCCATCTGTGCCGCCATGCTCGAGGAGGCCACCTCACAGCCTGCCCCGAATGGCGCCACCTCGTCCAAATGCCCGATACGATTTATGGACAAGCATTCTCCCGAAGAAATCGCACGCTATGTGGAGACTCACAAGCATGAGCTACCGCGCAGTCACGAGGTCTGCTTGCGTCGATATCAACGCAACGAAACGCAGATCAAAAAGCTGGACTCCAAGTATGGCAGCATTGTGAGCATGATTGAGGGTCTTAGCCAGCTACATCAACCGATGCTCCCCGAGTCGGAGGAGCAGTTGCAACCACAAGGCGCCGGAGATGGAGATTCCAACGTCCGGGTCGAGACCTGGGCGCAGGCTGTGAGCGGTACTGCCGAGTCCGATGCCAACGAGAAACTGCCCCCACCCGATGAAGATCGTCAGAGCCACTTTGATCGGCCCCTAAAAGAAGTTCGCGTTGGAGAGTCTCCCAGCCGGCCATGGGGCATCTCGGTGCCTGTCTATGAGCTCTCGTGCCACGAGGATAAACATCCTCTTTCGCCGCCGCCAGCACCTGTGAGGATGTCAACCACTGTTCATGGCCATGTGCCGGCTGCTGCGAATGGAGCGGGCAAATGTCCCTTTGATCATGCAAAATTTTCTACCGGTTTTGCTGGACCACCGCCGTCTACCCCAAAGCCCGAAAAAAACTCTGTCGAACCGGGCCAAGGTCTCGGGCTTGGGGACACCCCGTTCACCAACTTGAAAGAGGTGCCGCCCACCACCGCAGAGCCTCCACCTCAACCAGCCTTTATAAACCCAGCATCTGCGCATGCTGAGGGCGGTGGGGGACCGCAGATGGTCTTCACCGGGCCAGTTTTCATTGGATATCCCATGGAACAGGCCATCGAATTTATGACTCGCTATCGAGGACCTCAGTAAGGGTATCTCAGTCTTTTAACGCTGCGTTTTGATTTTCCACTAGCGACAATATATCACCTCTTGCCTGTTACTTTTTTTTTCTTTCTTTTGCAAGCGTCGGCGTTTTGATTTCTTTTTTTTCTTTTTTTTTTTTTTTAGAGGGAAACGGGTATGAACATGAGGAATCATCTGGGGGATGGGGGAGTTGCAGGGTATTTTACGAGTTTGCTCCAAGGCCAGGACTCGACAAGGGTGACTGGCGCATTTGTGATTTTGATGATGAAACATTGTCTATATTTTGAAGAACCTACACGCTTCTCCCCACTGGAGCCCGTCTATGATGGTGATGAATGCGAAAGGAAAGAATGCAGATGCAATACGAGAAGTATGATGATGTGATGATACAACATGGCAAATATATGATGGTGCTGCAAAATTTGACACCTTTAAAAAGGCCTCGGTAGACCTTGCCCGACCCAAAAGAAAACGGTTTTCCCGGTGAAGAATGGATTGCTCGACCGTCCACTTTGCATAAGAGACGTAACGTCCCTGCCTACCCGAGAACAAGAGAGAGAAAAAGGAAAAAAAGAGAGAACGTACTCTGGAATGCTCCTTTGATCCCCGCGGCAGTTTCTATTTCGTCTCCTGTTTCACTTCCCGTTCCGACTGGCGCCGTCGTCGCCACCGCCGCCACGGGTGTCCCGCTGCGTCTCCCAGAGCGACAGGTCGTCGTCGTCGGGCGGCATGATGGCGGCGTCATCGTCGTCGGCGCCCAGCAGCGTGGCATCGGAGTCGTCGTAGGGGCGGCTGGCGCCGAGCTCGGCGTGGCCAATGTCGTGGCCGTCGTCGCGGGCGAGCTGGGCGGCGCGGGCCATGGTGCGGCGGTAGATTGCGAGGCCGACGGCGAGGCCGACGACGCCGCCGACGGCCATGGCAATGTAGTTGATGGCCTTGTCGGCGGCGGTCATTTGGTCGCCCCGTTCGGCGAGCACGGCGAGGCGGCTGCCGACGAAGACGTGGATGAGGAGTTTGGGACTGCACGGTCATGTGGTCAGTTTGCGCGTCTGCGTCGGGGACATGTGTCACATGTATGCATGCACGGGGGACGGGGGACGGCGGCTACTCGCGTTGACAGGGCCGTGGAGACGGCAAAGGACAGCGGCGTTATGCTCGGGATCGTGGCCAGGAAGGCGTTGCTCAGGCTGAAGGGCAGCGGGCAGAAGCGGATGGCGGTCAGGTAGAGGATGCCGTCGCGGCGGAGGACGTGGCCGAGGGCGACGAAGCGGTGGTCGGCGCCGACGAGGCGGTCGACGTACCTGCTGAGGACGGTGCGGCTGGCGAGGAAGGCGGCGAGGCTGCCGAGGGTGCAGGCCAGGGCGGCGAGGGGCCAGCCGTGGGGGAAGCCGTAGACGAGGCCGGCGATGGTGTTGGCGGTCGAGTAGCCGACGAGGGGGGGGAAGGCGGTGACGAAGACGAGGGCGAAGACGACGAGCCAGCCGCCGGGGAGGTGGCGCCACGACTTGGCCACGGGGGTCAGCCAGCCGAAGAAGCGGTGCGAGTAGACGATGGTGAGGGCGGCGAGGGCGCAGGCGGCGAGGCAGGCGGCGAGGGCGAGGACGCGGCTGGTCGGCGACAGGGCGAGGTAGGACTGGGCGAGCCACTGGGTCCAGCCGTGGAGTTTGCTCGACGCTCGCCGGAGGAGGGTCCGGGGCGTGCCGGACGGGCGGGTGCGCAGCACGGCGGCGGAGGAGAGGCGGCGCGGCCGGCGGACCGGAGGGGGGGAGTCGGACGAGGATGAGGATGACGACGATGACGACGACGACGGCGGCGGCTGCGGCGGCGACGGGGTGCGCGGCGGCTCGTCGGCCGCTGAGTAGCCCGTGGGCATGGTGGGATTCGTGCTCGGGGCGGGATGACGGAGGTGAGAGGCTACCGAGAGGCTACCGCGTCATGACGTGGTGGTTTTGGCGAGGCGGTTCGGACGTTGGGCGATTGCAGTTGAGTTGTCGTTGGTGGTTGCAACCTGCAAGCGAGTTTTCACATGCGTGTGCGTGCGTGGGCGCATGTGGCCGTGCATGTGGCCGTGCAGCACGGCCCGCCCCACTGTTTCGCCGGTACCTGTGTACCTGTGAGCCGCGAGGCTGTGATTGTGCTGCAGGCGACCTCGGCTGCTGCCGGCCAACAGACGTGAGACATGGGCATTTACGCAACAAGAGCAGCCATCCCATCCATGGACCGTGGCCATGCCGCCGCCGCCGCCGTTTCCTTCTTCTTTCTGCACGCGCATCACGCCTCGTGCGTCATGCGCGCTGGTGCCAGTGCCTCAAGCCCCGGCGTACCGTCTCTTGTCCAGCAACGCCGATGACACGGCGCTTACGCAGTCTTAGTAAACACGACCGCACCAGCCGCTACTTGGTCCGCCTGCCGAAATACGAGGCGAGCCAGGTACCCCGAATCCCAGGCTAAATCACGCCGCAAACATCAGTCAGTCCTCTGGGCTCTGGAGCAACAAGGCAAACTAGCATACTTACCTGAGTAAGTTTATAGGTATATAGTACGTGGACAAGCTCGTCCGACTGCGCGGCAAACAGTCCGCCTCACTTGTTCACCCGAAGCCGCCGGCAAGATAAACACCAAGCCGCCTCATCACCCGCACCCGCCGCACCCGCCCGACGCCGCGCTCCAAGACGCCAAGCCGCTCCTCGCACGCGACATGAGCGTCGCCGCCTTCGACGGCTCCTTTGCGCCGCTCGTGCGCCCAACCACCCGCCGCGACGGGCCGTGGTACAAAGACCGCGATTACCTCCTCGCCGGCTGGCTGAGCCCGGCCATCTGGAGAGCCGCCGTACGTGAGACCGCACCGCCCCCCAACCCGGCAATGGCTAACGCAAAAGCAACACCAAACAAAACGACGGCAAACCCCCGCCAAAGATCGTCGAAGCCGTCGCCACCTCGTGCCTCGTGTACCTGTCCCTGCTCTGCGCCGACACGCTGTCCAGCTACAACACCCCCCGCGTGGGCGGCTACGTCGGCGTCTTCAACACGGCCCTGCTCGCCATCTTCATCTACGCCACCAGCCCCGCGTCCGGCGGCCACATGAATCCCCTCATCACCTTTTCCGCCATCCTGGCAGGCCTGTGCCCGGTCCCACGAGGTGCGCCCCCAAGCTGCCCCCCCCCCTTTCCGCAGTGCCCATGTTGCCCAGACCGCCGTGCGCGCTCAAAAGGGAGAGAGGAGAGAACGGAAGCCAACCGCCCCCCTTGCTCCAGGCGTCCTGTACCTCGGCGGCCAGCTGCTCGGCGCCGCGCTGGCAGGCGCCGTCCTGACCGGTGTCTGGGGCCCCGACAAGGCCGCAAGGTAAGCAAGCACCCGGGCGACGACCGTCCTCGTCTTCACGACCGACCGACCGACCGACCGGCTGATCTCCTCCGCCCGGGCACAGGATCCGCGGCGGCGGCTGCTTCTTCGCGCCGTCCGTCACGTCCGCCGGCCAGGTCGTCCTCAACGACGTCTTCTGCTGCTTCGTCACGCTCTACCTCTCCTACGGCGTCGGCCTCGACCCCCGCCAGGCCGCCCTCTTCGGGCCCCGGCTGGGCCCCTTGCTCGTCGGCGCCTCCCTCGGCCTCGTCTCCTTTGCGAGCAGCGGCATCGCCCAGGGCTCCGATGGCGCCCAGGCCAACCCCGCCCGGTGCTTTGCCGCCGCCGTCGCGAGAAGGGACATGTCTTGTGAGTTGCTTGCTTGTCTGCCTGCCCTGCTCCCCTCCTCTGTGCCTCCGTGCCGCATGAGAGAGGGAGAGAGAGAGAGAGAGAGAGAGAGAGAGAGAGAGACCTTTCTGCCTTTGCACCAAACCCCCGAGTCCTCGTCCGTCTGTATACATACAGGCTCACCGCAGTGGCACGTCCTGGCTCGTCCGTGAATCGCTAATCCGTCTCTCGTCTCCAGACCAGTGGCTGTGGTGGTTTGGTCCTGCTGCCGCCGCCGTCTTGTTTGCCGTCTTCTATAATCTCATCCCGCCCCATCACCATCAGCCGCGAGAGCCCATCAAGTCAGACGGGCATGACCGCCGACTCAATGTATAATATCCTCACCATGATTCATCATACTGGCCAGTCGGCTCACTCGACCTTGTTGTCCTCGGGCCATGGCATCTACGCAAAATTCCACCTCGACCCCGAGCACCCCCACACACCGCACCGCAATTGTGAATAATTTGCCTTGAAACGTTTTGTCTTTTTACTTGTTTTGGCTCTATCTCGTCACCGTCGGCCACTGGGGCCCTTCGGAGGGTCCCTCACCAACAGCCTCACCTTGCCGTCGCCAATCTCAACACCTTGACTCAGGATGTCAACCTCTTCTTGCTCTTCCCCTGCCATCGCCGCCTCTCTTGACAGGGACTTGTCCCAGCTGCGAGCGTCGATGCCAAGAATACCTCCCATGTTGTTCCTATCACCAGGTACGGAGAATTCGCGATACGCATACCGCCATTCGTTGAGAAAGCTGCGGATCGCCCTGCCCACTTTATCTTTACCGTTTTTGCTGTGATGCCCCGTGCCAGTGATGGCGTAGACCGGCCTGGCGTCTTGACTGTTATCCATGAGACTCTTCTCCAAGTACTCCACTGCTTCCTCCGGGTGAAGTCCGTGAAGATCTACGTAGATCTCGCCGGCACTGCTCAAATTCTTGTTGCGATGCTGGTAAAGTTCTCGTGCGGCCTCTCGATGCGCTTTTCGCATCAAGTCATTTTCGCTTTGTCCGCGTAGACTGAGAGCCTTGGCAGCTCTGGCATCATTTCGGTTCCAGGCTTGAGCCGCACTAGAATTTTGATGTTAAAAGAAATAGAAAAAAACCATGCCGCTGGGAAGGAATATACCTCTGCAAAAACTTATTACGGAGGCCCCCGTGTTTGATGGCCTCTTGGCGAGCCTTGAGGTACGCCTTGTTCGCTCGATCACCGGTTTCCAGCCAAGGAATATGTTTCGGGCTTTTAATCGCCTGGACTGCCGCGCTATTCTCACCATTCCTGTTGGACCCGGGATTGCCATTTCCTAATCTCGTCGACTCGAGTCTGGGCGAACCGGGAGTAGGTGACGGAGACATCTTGACAATGTCCGCCAGGGAGCTTGGAACAGCATTTTCCTTGTGATGTCCATGCCCACCGCGCTTGCCATGGTGCTTTTTGCCCTGTTTGGCTGGAGCAGAACTGAGGGACGGAAATGCCTCGTTGTCATCAATTGTGGGAGCAGCAGCAGTAGCAGCCACGTCCTTGACTTGGTGGCGGCTACCAGGCCGGGAGCGTAGCCGTGGACTCTCCGCACCATGGTAGCTCCTTGGGCCTTGGGGAGGATTCAGTCCAGCAGCTATGAGACTGGCGCCGGCACCACCCAAAGTGTTGTTGAGATTCGCCACCCCATGCTGCAAGGCGGGGAAAGACGCCGTATCCTGTAGCGAAATGCTTCCCTGACTCTTGCCCGTGCTTGGCTCATCTAGAGAAAGCTTCGTCATGAATCTTGACGGGTCATGAGAAAATACACAAGTGTCGCCGGCAAGACAGTTGCCCATGATCCAGTATCTATAAACACAATTAGAGTATGAAAGGACATACATAGCCTTGATTTGACTCACTTGCAAAGATGGTTGCTCAGATCGTGGCTGAACCGACAGTCGGCCCGTAAACACTGGCCGGTGGACATGTAGAACTTGCAAATGACACTGCCTTTGGATTGACTATTGGGCGTGACAGGGCGTCCGTCGGAAGAAATCGACTTTCCAATCAGTACACTCCTTGGTTCATCTAAGCTCTTGGCAGGTGGCCCGCCATCTTGACTTTGGCTTTCCATGATGGATGAAATGGTAGCACTCAAATCGTAGCCGTGAGAGGCCAGCGCAGCCTCGATCTCCTCATCTGTTCGGGTTTGGCCCAGAATTGATCGAAGCATGTCGTAGGGGGACATGTCAACCTGTTGCGAGGACATGGACGAGAACTCCGGAGCGGCAGCATTCAAAAGGCTAGGCGTGCCGACGGATGATGACGCGCTGGCAGCGTCGTCGTTGACTAGCCATTCCACGTTCTCGGATTGATAGTCGCCGAGAATCTCAGTCGCCGGGCTCGCATCACCGGCAAATTCGTAGGCGTTGAGGCTCGGACTGTGAGGAATAACCGGTGTGGCTAGGGCTAGCCGGGGGGATGCGCGCGGCGAAGAGAAGGGAGAGGCGGTAGACGACTTGGCCCTCTGGAAGGTTGAAGGGATGAAGCCTGGAGGAGCGAGCGGGCTCACGGCGAGTCTTGGAGAGCCAGATAGCGGCGTCGGAGATCCACGCCAAGAAGCCGGAGACGGTCGTCGCAGGATGGACGATCGTATTGGAGGGGGAGAAGCTGATGAGCCCCCCCCTTCTCGGAACCTCCACATTGCATCGAGAATCGCATTGTCTAACGAGGAGCCGGCCAGCCGTGTCTCCTTCTTGAGCAGCGCCTCCAACAAGTCTGTCTTGTCCTCGTCTTCCAAAGTTGTGTCCTGCAGAATGGGCAGGCACAAATCGTAGTGTTCGTCCGAGACCATGATGGTTGTAGATTCTCCACCACGAGGGGAAAAGTGATGACAGGACTGCTTACAACGCCACGGCGACGGGTTGTTCCGAGAGGAGGCGGTTCAAAATAAAAGGGCAGAGAGTGTGTTTCGAACAGGCGTTTCAATCCGTTGAACTTGAAAAGCAAGGAAAGTACGACCCAGCTATGACGCGACAAATCGAGGATGTACGGCCGCCGATGGCCAAGCGCCCAAGTCGAAACCAAGGGAGGGATAAGCAGCAGCGTAAATGTCAAGGTGCTCGGCGTTTCGTGCCTCGCACTCGGGCATGAGAGGGATGAGAGAGACGAGGTGTTTAGAGCCTGCGAGCTCGAAGTTAGGAACGACCATCGACGCGTCCCAAAGGGGAGGGGGGGATGGATGCAGCGGTGCGAGTGGCGGAATGCGAGCTGACTTACGGGACAAAAAGTAAGCTTTTGAGCCGAAGCACTTTGCATTAAAAAGAAAGAAGACTGCTAAGTGGCAGCCCGGGCCCTAGGGGGTGGAGCGGAAGACAGGACAAAAAAGGTACGAGGCGATGAAGAATCAAAGGTGCCAAGGTTGCCTAGAGGTCGACCGCGGGGACGGTTTGATTGATGGTGGAGGTGACCGCTGACGACGACTAATGAGGATGCGGCTACTCCGTACTGCGTACTTACCTACTTCTTAGGAGGTACTTAGGCGGTAGCTGCGCGGTACTCACATTGCGCCGAGGCAACACGAGGCGCGACAGGGCACACGGACAAGCCGTCAAAAGGGCCCGGCAGATACGGAGTAGGTCGGTGGACAGAGAGGACAGACGGCAGGGTCACGAGCGGCGACGAGGGGAGCTGCGAACTTCTCAAGTACTCGGTATGTGCATGGGTACCTACCAAGTAGGTACTCCGTCCAAGTACTCAAGTACTTGTTTATTATAAAGTCAACTGGCCAATCTGCAGGCTGGCCTCTCCGAAATAATACGCCCGGTGCTCGACTCAGCAACTAGTAACTTAGTACTTAGTTACGTCCTCGACTACTTAAGCTGAGGCGAGTCGACCACTCTCGTTTGTCGTCCCGCTGTGGGGACGCTCTATTTGCCTGTGCCGAACCCCCAACATGAGCGTTGCGTCCACTGGAGTTGATGCTACTACCACCACCAACCACCACTGACGACTGACCAGCAGCCACTGACCAAGTCGACACTCCCTCAGTGCTCGCTGGCCCTCGACCCCCCGAATGCTTGGTTAGTGCCAAGGGTTCCCCAGCTCCCCCCTTGTGTGTGGTGGTACAAAGCAGCCACATGCAGCTCGCAGTTCCCAAGTCTTAAGATTCTACAAGCATTCGATGCCGGCTATTCTTACCTCCTGCCAACCGCGGACCAAGACCAGGTCATGGATACCTGCCTCGGTCGTTGGTGCAAAAAGCCAGTGCCATTCTCAGTCATACCTGAGGCCCGTGTTGAATAAAACTCCATGCTACATGGCGGCCACCGCTCAGTTTGTACCTGATACCGCTGGTATATCAATTCCGACCTCAGCTCCCCGTTTACGGAATCTCGTCATCGTCATCACCTCCGAACCCAAAACTGAAGCCTCTTCCCGATCTACCCTCTTCCGTCTCCTTGCCAATGGCGGCATCCCACTTGCGCTTTTTCCCGCTCTTCTGGTCTGCTAGCTCAAGGGCCTTGTCCAGAATATCTGGATATTGCTGTCCCAATCTTTCCGTGAACAACTCAAACGGCTTTTCCACATTGCCGTCGAACCCTGAAACTTGATCGGCCTTGTCACGCATGAATAACAATACTTCGGACAGGAGATTAAGGCTGGGGGACTGAGGAACAAAGTTTTGCGTCAAGGCAATGCCGCTTTCGAGGTTGACAACTAGGTGCCACCAGCCGCCCGGAACGTGCACAATCTCCCCTGGGCCACATATTGCCTCCACGCATCCAGGCAGCCGTCTGGCTTCTTCGTGAAAGGTCAGAAGCCATTCGGCAATGCTGAGAGGGCTTGTGACCTCGCTGCTGTCCTCCGACACGTACACACCGGGGGGCCGAGCTGTCGGGGGAAACATGATCCAGTACTTGGATCCTTGGATGACGGCATTCCAAGCACTCGTGCCATTGGGGTCCTTGTGGAACGTCGAGCCACTTCGCTCTGGTCCAATGATGAGCCATCGGTGCGCCGGGCGTTCGTCCCCGAGAACTTCGAACAGGTCAGGGCCGAAACAGTCTGGCTTCCAGTAAGCCGTGCCATGTTGGTGGCCGACAGTGATGCCCATTTTTTCTGCGAACCTGCGGTCGAAAAGATACAACGGACTCTCATCCTTGTGGCCCTTCATATAGTTGCAGTATCGCTCCAGGGTCCAGTCGACTGCTTCTGCCCGGAATTCAACGCTGGAGTATGCCTTGAGCAGCTCCTCTATGGTCCACTTGGAACACACTGGCCAGTCCTGAACGCATTTGGTGAGGATAAAAGGCTGCTCAGTCCACCGGTCTGCATACTGTTCATATGTCAAATTGTCCCTTCGGCAAATCTGGTTCGCCTTGGGTATGTTTTCCACAAAGTTCGACAAGACGATGTTGCTACAGGCGAATGGCCTGTGCAAGACATCGGAAAAGACATTTCCGCAGTCTACTGCGGCTTCCCAGCCGCGAGGCAAGGCCAACAAGGTCGACCTCCATGAGCCAAGCCAGTCAAGGGAACGACTTGCCTCTGCTGATAACCTGGTTCCAGCTCTCAGGTTAGTAACCCAAGTTTTCCGCAGCAAAATGGGCTACTCATGGACAGCACGACCACGGCAAGGGAAGAGACATGGAATTTCTAGGCAGAGCTTACTTCAAAAATAGGGCCTTCCAAAGCTCATCCGCGTGGCAAAAGGCAAACAAGAACTTGCAGGTTGAACCGAGACTCAGCAACGATTTTGCATCCAATTGTTCCAGGACTAACATGAGTATCTCATCGGGCAAGAAACCCCATGTGCCACAGTTTGCCTTTGCATTTGATCCATTGGACAGATAGCGGTTGCCTAGTGGCTTTACTCCAAGCGGATGGGTAGGAATAGCGTCAGCCTGCGTGACAGTACTAGCGTCATTAAAGCCTTTCGACTCAGCAGCTTCGGGTTCATGCGATCGATGGATGATGCCGTTGGCTTGGTGGTGCAAGGCTGCGGACGGCATGGCTGGAAGGCAGGGCTGATAACGAGAAGCTGCCACCACGACGTCGTCACCGGCTGCCTCTTTGCCAGACGACAGATGTCAAGTTGACGCTTTCCTTGGACAGTGAGTCGTGTAATAATGATTATCAAGAGCGAGGTCGACAGGAAATGCTGTAGACTAGCTGACAGCAGATGGCGCCGATGCAACTCTTGGTGCTGCTCGGCTCGACCCAATTTGGCGTAATAAATAAACTAGACAATTGATCAAGATCGACGGCAGGGCAAAAGGCTAGTCACAGGCGACGGCGCAAGGTACGAGGCAATGTGGAACAGCTCTAGATGACGCCAAAGGAGCCCAACACCTTAAAATATAAATGAATGAGTGTGGTATGTCGGCAAGGCTGGGCTCGCCCGGCCAAGTGACGGACAGGAAGAGGGAAAAGTCAACTTGTGGCGTCGTGTCTCTGGCCTGCGTGGTGTCGAGTCCGAGTCAGAGCCACTGGGCGAGCAGCGGCCAAAAAAATAAATAAATAAATAAATAAATAAATAAAATTGAAAATTCACAACGCCACCTGAAGCCCCCCCAAGATTGCGGGAAGAAAAAATATCATCTAGAGGTCGTCATAAGTGTGGGCGAACCGCCTTCGACGCACGCTGGCAGCCGTGGAACGCCCGAAAGGAACCCCAAGCGTGGGTCCGCAGCCCTCCGCCAGCGCGTGATTGGGCCGCGCACATTTCCCTGGTGAAAATTAAACAAGAGCCTGCGCCCCTCCGCAAACGAATTTTTTTTTCCCTCTCTCAACCCTTTTCTCCAAGGATCATCACAACGAGATACCACGAACTTTCCTAGATTCTGTTTCAGCTCTCGTATTTTTCGAGAGCGTGCGAATCTAGTCGACTTTAATTCCTCTTCACGACCGTCGCAGCCTTCCCAGCGAGGAGCCCGCGACTTTTTTTCCACACTCGTCGCCACGCGTCATTGACATTGTCTAGATCGAGCTGCGCTTGATCTAGATTTCCGCCAAACTCTCTCTCAATCATGGCTATCGATGTTTCAGCCGAGGGACTCAACACTTCGGCCGAGGAACTCAACGATGGTGAGTTGTCGACTGATGTATTCTTGCCTGCGTGCGCACTCCGGCAGGCAGTGACGGTATTGCGGATATTCGTGGACTGGGTTCGCACCTTGGAAAGATCAAGCGACTCGTGCGCTTCTTCTCCCTCCCTCGTGTTGGGTCAGCGGCCAAAAAATAAAAACCAAAAAAAATACTTCACGATGTCGCTTGATTCTGTCACACCCTCCAAATACTCCACACAGAAACTACGAACATGTTGTCCGCGCAAGAGACTGATCTGTTGTGATTTTCCTGAGAATAGTTGAGATTCAAAGTAACTGGGATGAAGTCGTCGACAAGTTCGACGACATGAATCTCAAGGAAGACCTTCTCCGAGGTGGTGAGTGAAAAGTCCTTCCGGGCGCTGGCTATCCTACAACCTTCGTAAACGCACACCAAAAAAAAAAAAGGACGATGCACATGCAAAGTAGCCTCGCCGCAAGAGATGAAAGAATCACAAGAATTGACACCCATGCCTCTAGTCTACGCCTACGGTTTCGAGCGGCCTTCTGCTATTCAGCAGCGCGCCATCATGCCTGTCATCAAGGGCAAGGATGTCATTGCCCAGGCCCAGTCTGGTACTGGCAAGACGGCTACTTTTTCCATTTCCATTCTTGAGAAGATAGAGCCGATAAAGCAGTGCCAAGCGCTGATTCTGGTTCCCACCCGTGAGCTGGCCCAGCAGATCCAAAAGGTCATGGTCGCTCTTGGCGACTACATGCAGGTCTCTTGCCACGCCTGCATTGGTGGCACCAACATGGGAGTGGACTCCCGTCTCCTTCAGCAGGGCCCTGAGACCGTCGTCGGTACCCCCGGCCGTGTCCTCGACATGATCCAGCGCCGCATCCTCAAGACCGACGCCATGAAGATGTTTATCCTTGACGAGGCTGATGAAATGCTGTCTCGTGGCTTCACCGACCAGATTTACGACATCTTCCAGCTGCTGCCCCAATCTACCCAGGTCGTCCTCATGTCTGCCACGATGCCCCAAGACGTGCTCGAGGTCACCACCCGATTTATGCGCGACCCCGTTCGTATTCTGGTCAAGAAGGACGAGCTTACCCTAGAAGGTATCAAGCAGTTCTACATTGCTGTGGAGAAGGAGGAGTGGAAGCTTGACACCCTCTCCGATCTGTACGAGACTGTCACCATCACCCAGGCTGTCATCTTCTGCAACACCCGCAGAAAGGTCGACTGGCTCACCGAAAAGCTCACTGCCCGTGACTTCACCGTCTCAGCCATGCACGGTGACATGGAGCAGTCCCAGCGTGAACTGATCATGAAGGAGTTCCGATCCGGCTCCTCCCGTGTCCTGATCACCACTGACTTGCTGGCCCGTGGTATCGACGTCCAGCAGGTGTCCTTGGTCATCAACTACGATCTTCCCCTGGGCCGCGAGACCTACATCCATCGTATCGGTCGTGGTGGTCGATTTGGCCGAAAGGGTGTCGCCATCAACTTTGTCACTGCTGAGGATGTCCGCATGATGCGTGAGATTGAGCAGTTCTACAGCACCCAGATTGAGGAAATGCCCATGAACGTTGCCGATCTCATCTAAACGTTTGCGTTTGTCTTTCCCAGCAAGACCAAAAAACGTTGGCCGTCTCAAATTATCCTCTCAAGTCTTAACCTTTGTCGGGCTGCTCCGTTCAGTACGCCCCTTCTGCCCGCCAGCAGTTAACGGCGGTTTGGAATCTTTGGGGAGGGAGAAGGGGGGGGCAAGAAAGTGTTCTTCAACGAGGTTGTTTCCTTTGTTACCGCCCTCATGATGCTTTTGCGCGTTTTCTAGAGATGACATTTCGAGGACGAAGACCGCCTTCCCTCGTGCCTTGTATCCCACGACCATGAACCAGGTTATGGGGGGAGGCACCCACCTCGTATGGCGACTTAATGAGGGAGAAAATGGATTAGCTGCGTGACAAAGGCTCCGAGAGTGTCCTTTGCACCTTGGTAGTAAATCGAAGTTGTGGGTGGGCTTGTCAAAAAGTAAGGCAATAGTTTCTTCTTTCTTCACCTTGTTTTGTCGCCTTTGGTGTCTGTATCTAGGAGTCGCTCTTCATGATGATTGTTTGTTCTACCGATACGTGCCTCGTTGCGTCGTTTGCCCAACGTGAAATTTACGCGCGCAGTGCACCCCGCAGATATGTGCCTATGCTACTGCCACCCACGATATTGCGACTGCTTGCTCGTCCGGCTCATGTTTGTCCAGTGCGATGTAAAATAAACGGCCCATGACGGACACGCCTCCATCATCAGTGGGGGCCACGGTCCGCGACGGAGCCACCGTGTTTTCTCTTCGTTTGCCGACACTGGTGGCCAACAAGTTGCAACTAATTGTCTGCCTACAGGGTTGATGCGGGCGGATTTGCCACCAGAGGCGCGTTGGCACGGGACCCGAGCGACTGATGATGACTCCTGCGGAGATGAAGGAACGTTGAGTTACAACGCAGTCACAGGCGGCACGTAATTAAGAAACACTGTACAATGAAGAATTATAGCCACATAATGCCCCTGCTGTTCAAGTCCATGCTCACAAGACATGTAATTAGGCTCGCTCCCAGAAACGCCTGAATGGTATAACCCAGACAAAAGAACACCAATCATCCAACATAGGCAGATTAAACGACTGACAGTGCATTCGATAATCGAATTTTTTTTATCTTTATTTTTACACAAGCCATGTACTACGTCGCGCTCACTCGTCACCTTGCTCACCTGGCAGCCCCAAACGTCGTTTGGCCAGGGGGCGGGCTCTTGATGGCCTGGCCTGCGTACGCTCCAGGAATAGGAACAGCTTCGTACGTAGGCTCGCCGGGAGGAGCTGGCCCGTGTTGAGGCTGGGCGGGTGCATCGGGGGTTCTCGTCGCAGGAGGCTCAAAGGCAGCCCTGGCGGTACTGGGAGTGGCACAGGGGGCCTTTGTTGGAGGAGCCTGCAGCTTAAAGTCCGGACTGGGAGAGCCGAACTGGGACCGAGGTACGGCGACCCTGCCACCGGGAGTGAAGGGGCTAGTCTCGTCAATGTCGGAGATGTTTCGGTACGCAGCGGGCGGGTGGCGAGGAGACATGGCATAGCTGCTGAGAGCAGGGGACTTGGGCCCGAAGCCGGGAGTGTTGGGGGCAGACTGTGTCCGCAGCTGGGCAAGGTAAAGGTCGGATCGGGCGCGGTCTCGCATGTCCATGGACTTCATGAGGCGGCGCTTGGAGTAGAATCGGTAGAAGACGATGCTGTACAGTGCGATGCTGATGACCTCGACGACTACTTCGATGATGATGCAGATGAGGGTCCAGTTCTGCAGGCGACAAACGAGTGCGTAGTCTACCTTCTCATGGTAAATTTCTGCTCGTTGGTTGTTGGCGCATGCCCATCCCCACATGTCTTTGTTGTTGCTGTTGTTTTTGCTGTGCTGGAAAATGACGGCTGTGATGATCCACAGGAGCATACTGAGAATGAACTGGATATAGACTGTTAGCGGAACAAGACTTGTCAACGTGGTTGATGGGTGGGTTGGATGTCGGAACGCACCCAGCCGATTGCGAACATGGTGTAGTAGGTGTTGACCTTGGTCGCTCGCTTGTGGCCTCCTCGGCAGTATGCGACGAAGACGAGGATACAGGCGAATAGTGAGACGCAGGCCATGGCCAGAGTTAGCTTTTGTGGCCAGGCCGTCTGCTGAGTGTTTGGAGCCCACGGCGTAAACTTGCTGGCGGCGGCGAGAGACTTTGTAGAGTTGAAGATGGCAAAGGAAGCCGACAGCATGGACAGGATGATCAGGGAACAGCTAAAGTTGACACCGCGGAGGGCAAACTTGGCCATTCGGACACGAGTCTTGATTTTCTGTTGTCATGGGGTTAGATATTTTCACCACAAACCAAGGTAGACGCCAGCATGAACTCACAATGTCCTTGACTTGCTCCTTGTCGGTCGACGCCTCTCGTTTTTCGAGCATTTCCTCCTCCCGGAAGGTTGGGCTGAGGGGGTCCGACAGTTGTCTGGCAGGTGTTCCTGGCACCTTCATGGCGCTTTTGAGAGAAGACTTGGGACCAGCCGTGGACTCATGGTTGTCGCTGATGTAGCCGAAGCCAACATCGCCAGGTTGCGAGGTGGCCTCTGGACGGTACTCGGGGTCGGCAAAGGGCGACCTCTTCATATCGGCAGGCGAGTGTACAGAAGTTGCTTCAGAAAAACGGGGCGTTCGAGGGATTCTGACCGAGCTAGTACTTGTGGACGATGAATATGAAGAGCTGGACCGCTTGGGCGTTAGATTCAACGCGGCTGGCCTCTTCTTTTCGTCAGAGCCTGCGCGTACACGAGAACCATGTTAGTCGAGCTTCCGGGAGGTATTATGCGGTATTTGAGCAGTCACATCACTAGACAATGAACGGACCTTTCCCGGGCATTGTGCAGTCTTATTGTATGGAAAAGGCGAGGAAAACGATGGGCCAGTGCGAGACACAAGAGACAGAACAGAAGTGCTTGGTACGGGATTCACGTATACAACGAGGACAGCGCTTCCAAACCAGTTGCAAGCAGAGCCCAGATGAAGGAAGAATGCGAAAGAATCACGAGTGAGCGAGGAAGTGTTGAATGGCGATGGAGAGACCAGCTGGCGAGGACCAGAGGAGGACCGGCGGCGTGCCGCCGGCGAGGGAGCACATCAGGTTTTTTAGAGCGGCGGCTAGAGGCCTAGAATGCAACCTGGTCAATTCGTTGTGATGGGTGGAGGTAAGGAACAAGTGAGGTGTGAATGAGACCGGCAGACAGACACATTGGGCCAGACCTCTGACAAGGTAGATGGATGGCCTGGGATCGATAGGCGCCGACACTTGACCAAACGGAGGTGGCGTGGCGTCCAACGGTGACGTGCTCCGTAATTGCTTTTGCCTTGGGTCGTAGTTTGCGGGTTTCAAACTCGATGGACAAGGGCCGGAATCAAGATGCGAGGGAGGAGGCGTCGCATGCGAAACAACAAGAGACTCGACTTACACTATCCGACAGATGGCTGGAGGGCGAGTGACGGGAGCAAGCTGCGGCCACGGGCAAATTGGAGAAGGCCAGGCGCGAGATGCTGCTTACCAGAGAGGGCCAAGTGCGCATTTGTAACTTGTCGGAAATATTAAAGTGGTGTTTGTGTCTGTGTTGCCGCCATCCATCTGCTCCGGACACGCCGCATCGGAGCAGAAGCAGGAGCAAGAGCAGGACACCAGGGCACCCGGCCACATCAACTGCCGCATCATTTTTGGATGGGTAAGCCTTGACCAGCAAGTTGCCTAATATAAAAGAGTCGATGGGGGAGGACGAGGACGAGGACGAGGACGAGGACGAGGCCGCCCGCGACGAGGGTGAGTGATGGAGGGTTGGTCCAACCCGCGAGATCCCTGCCGGCGGCTAAGCTTGACTCTTCTTGCCTGCAGGGCTCCCAGCGGCCGTCCAAGGCCCATTGAGCCGTTGGCCTGTGTGCGAATCGGCGTCGTGATTGGCTGAGTTCTTCCCTGGCCTGCTCGACTGGGTCGCGGAAAGCGGCCGGCTTTGTGGACCATGGGGCAGCTGGGTGCACAGCTCGGCCAATCAGATGACGAGCGGCCGCGACCAGCTGGCTTGATGTCGGCTTCCGTGCTCCAGCTTGCAGGGCCTCGGCGGCAACGTGCGCATCGTGATTGGCTGCGGATTGAACTAATAAGGGGACCTGTCACCCTGTTAGAAGTCAACCTGTCACTTCCTACGTACTTTGCTATGCTGCACAACGGAATGGAGATGGATGGCATGGTCGATCCTTTTTCTTTTTTTCTCTCTCGTGCTGGTGTGCTCCCTTGGTCGACATTGCGACTTGCCAAAGTGTTTATTCAGTTGACCTCCTCCGTACTACGTTTCATGATACTGAGGTACTCCATACGTCGGCGTCGGAATACGATGCCTGACTGTGCACTCCGTACGGAGCACGGAGTACTCCGTATTGACTTCAAAAATTCCATCCCCTCCAAGGTTGGCAGAGTGGTCGAGTACTCGTGACTCCCCACTGTATTTTCGATCCAAGTAGTTACGAGGTATCATGCCCCGTGTGCCGAGTCTTTCTGTCAACTACGGACAAGATGGACCAAGTTTCTGATTACCTCGCCAGGTCCATTCACAGACCCATGCCGTCCGTATCCTCGACCTTTGGCCCCCATACAGACTTGTTAGAGTTTATCCGCTGCATGCTGTTTTCCCCCGTTGCAATCCCCCTCGAGGGCATCGTTCCCGCCCACCTGGTTTCTTATTAGTCACAGACGCTACTATCTATCTGGTTCAACACCAGCGTCTGGAGTGTTGCTTCTTGATTTGGCTTGCCATCTCTGTGTCATTGGTCAAGGAAAAAGTCTGCTTCAATATGCCAACCTGTTGCGGTTTCTCAAAAGTGACGGTGTAACTCTCACGTGAATCGGACTGATGTAGTGCTGCCAGGCACTCCGTTCTGCCCGCACGTTGTGCATCCTTCTGCGAAGAGCTCCGCATTCAGAACTTTTGTGCTAGTCTTGGTGACGTGATATTATATTTGTCACCCCATACTGTGAAGGTGAGGCTGATCTTGAACGTGGTGGTGGCTGGCATATGTAGAAATCCATTGCAACTCAAACATCCATTATATTTCGCAAAGTATGTTACTCCGTACGGTATCTCCAAATAGGCTACTACGGTCTACAGTACGTAGCCACTCTCCAAGCTCCTCTGACCCCTTCTTTCATTTAGTTTCAGCAGTGATGATTTCTAGGGCAAGAACCCCACCCGCCAACTATGGCATCTCACTCATTACAAGTGGCACGCCCACCGCGTTGGCCAAAAGTATCCTATAGCAGGGCTTAAAAGCCAGTAGGTTTTTTTATTTTTTTTATTCGCTTTCTTTGCTAGAAGGCCAGGCTAAGCTTCTAGCGTGGATACCAGTTTCAACATTTGCTGCTCTGTCAGCGTTATTGATGCAGTTGGTACGTAAAGTCCGCGATTCTACTTGCCATGAGTTAGGAAAAGAAACCAAAGGGGACCTGTCACGATTCAAGCTGTCATGTGTTCGCACTAGTAACAAGCAAGACGCGAGCGACATGCTTGCTTGCTGATGTAGACGCTCTTCCATACCAAGTAGCCACTGGGCAAGAAAATTTCTTCCCAGAGAAGGGTTAAAAAAAATGATGGCATTGGCCCTATCAGTGCATCACCTACCAAAGGGTGAACCGGTGGCACGGCAGCTAGCCTCGATCGGGAATTTCAGATGCTTGTAAATAACAATAGAGTCAGTCTTCCCGTAGCCCAAAGCCCCGAAACGTTCGAACCTGGACACGAGAGTTCTGGGCAAGTTTTTGACCTCATCTCTTGGGAAATGACATAATGGTGGCCTGTAAACACCGCCCTTGTCAGAGACGCCAAGGTCGAGGGGCAGCAGCCAACCGACCTTCAGCCGAGGAGGGGCATCGGGTCGTTATCATTATCAGTATATCGGGCCCTAAAGGGACTAGCGTAGGTAGAGTCATCTCCCTCATGACTGCACAAAAGGAATTTTGACACTGCTTCAAGACCAAAATCCGCAGATTTTGTGAGCTTCGCGCAGCAACGAAGACTGGCGATTCTTGTGCGTGAGTTTGTCGAGGCATTCGGTAATTCGCATCTTCGAATCCAGACACGACGCTATACCCACCGACACCAATCTACCCCGTGGCCGAGACCGAACGAAACCTGCAAGAGCATTTGTTTCTGCCCCGCCAAAATCCTGTCCACCATCACCATGTCGAACGGGGACCCCAAGTACGGCGACATTGACTCCGAGTCTGACTCTGGCGACTCCGTCGACCAGCATCACGAGGTTGGCGACGGCTTCGAGGAGAAGCCCCTCAAGTCTGCGCTCAAGAAGCCCGCACTCGCCGCCGAGCCCGCCGTGCAGAGACCCCCGCTGCCGCCGCAGACCGATCCCAAAGACCTCGACGTTTCCAGCCTCTCGCCTCTGACTCCTGAGATTATTGCGCGTCAAGCCACCATCAACATCGGTACTATCGGTCATGTCGCCCACGGAAAGTCCACCGTGGTCAAGGCCATCTCCGGCGTCCAAACCGTTCGTTTCAAGAACGAGCTGATTCGAAATATTACCATCAAGCTGGGCTACGCCAATGCCAAGATTTACAAGTGTGACAACCTCGAGTGCTCTCGGCCAGGATGTTACCGAAGCTACAAGAGCGAAAAGGAGGTCGATCCTCCTTGCGAGCGGGATGGATGCAGTGGTACCTACAGATTGCTGAGACACGTCTCGTATGTGCTGCCTTGCTCCTCATATATGCCAAGCCACATGTCAATGCAGACGTAACAGTGAAGCTAATCAAGCATGTTGTGATCAACCAGATTCGTCGACTGCCCGGGTCACGATATTCTGATGAGCACCATGTTGTCAGGCGCCGCCGTCATGGACGCGGCCCTTCTTCTGATTGCGGGCAACGAATCTTGTCCCCAGCCACAGACCTCGGAGCACTTGGCTGCCATTGAGATTATGAAACTCGACAAGATCATTATCCTGCAAAACAAGGTCGATCTGATGAGAGAAGAAGCCGCCCAGCAGCAGTACGAATCCATCCTCAAATTCATCCGAGGAACTGTTGCTGGCAAGTCACCCGTCATCCCCATCTCCGCCCAGCTCAAGTTCAACATCGATGCCGTCAACGAGGCTATTGTCAACACCATCCCCGTTCCTCCTAGAGACTTCACCATGGACCCCCACATGATTGTCATTCGATCATTCGACGTCAACAAGCCTGGTGCCGAGATTGACGACCTCAAGGGTGGTGTCGCCGGGGGTTCCATCCTGCACGGTGTCATCAAGCTGGGCGACGAGATCGAAATACGACCGGGTATCGTGTCCCGCGATGATGGCGGTGCCCTCAAGTGCACGCCCATCTTCTCCCGAGTCGTCTCACTCAACTCCGAGGCCAACGACCTCAAGTACGCCGTTCCCGGCGGTCTCATTGGTGTCGGCACCCGCATCGACCCTACCCTCTGCCGAGCTGACCGTCTCGTCGGTTTCGTCCTCGGCCTCAAAGGCAGACTCCCCGAGATCTACAGTGAAATCGAGGTCAACTTCTACCTACTCCGCCGTCTGCTCGGTGTTCGGACCGCCGACGGCAAGCAGGCCAAGGTCGCCAAACTGACCCAAAACGAGTTCATCATGGTCAACATTGGCTCCACCTCCACAGGTGCCAAGGTCGCTGCCATCAAGAACGACGCCGCCAAGCTTGTCCTCGTCAGCCCTGCTTGCACCAACATTGGCGAAAAGGTCGCGCTCAGCCGACGTATCGAGAAGCACTGGCGTCTCATCGGATGGGCTACTATTACTGCGTAAGTCTTGGTTGCTCTTCGTTTTTACATGACATCCCGTACTTTTTTTTTTTTTTTTTGGCAAGACTGAACCTAACGTCGTCAATAGTGGTGTCACTCTGGAACCTAGCACATCCTAATTTACAGACGTACGGTGATGACGGGACGAGGAGCGTGTTATGCCACAGAGGCCGGTACTAAAAAGTGTTCACGGTGACAAGCGCCTTAGTGGCCTGTATCTCCGGTTGTTGTTGTTGTTAGTATACCAGAGGTGGCTGGCGCAAAAATGGCACTAGGCATAAAATGGTTTGTTGGGAAATCAAAAAAGACGACGACGGCGCAGGAGGAGAGTCAATCGCGGCAAGCAGTAGTACATGACCTATTCTCGGCATCTGCTGGAGTAGTGCGCCCGCCCCTTGGTGTCACTCACGTGCCAGCCGTGGACTGTACGCTGTAGGTAGGGTTGCCCATCACGGGATCCAAATATCCTAATTTGCGACATTCATATAAGACGGGTAGATACACCGGACAGTTAGACCAAAATCGAACGAAGATTTTTGGACATCATTTCTGCTGGTCTTGTCTCGAGTTATTTTCTCACTTTCCGGGCATGCTTGACCAGGTTTTCTATCACCCCTTCAAACGCCTCCCTGTCGCCTATCTTCTCGTCTGTTCGTTTTTTCCAATACTCCAAGATTTCCTTGGCTGAGCCCTCCATCGCCTCTAGTTTCGACACGTGCGCCTTCAATTCTTCATCAGTCATGCCGTCTAGCGCCTCGTCCGTAGTCATGCAGAGGTATCGGGCAGAAACCAGGTCCAGTTCAGGCTGAGGCGGTGGCCCTTTACTCCTTTTGGAGCCTCTAGGCTTTCCCTGCGTGTCTACCGATGTTGACGACGCATTTCCTTCGCCCTGCTGTAGCCTTGATAAGGTCCTCGAATCGCTTGACCTCGTAGGTGACGTGGCCCGGAGATTGAGAGAAGGAAGAACCAGCTTCTTCTGCTTGGATGCTGGAAGGATTTCGTCCAGATCTACAGGCACACCTAGTGAAACGAGGAAGAGACGGCGGGTGCGAGACCGAATCCAGTCAGGTGGTGCAAGAGGGGGAGGGGCAACCAGCTGTGACCACAGCGAGGCCGATCTTGGTGTTAAGAACATTGATGGCTCCTGGGGGAGTGTTGGGACAGGGGGCAAGCCGAGCCCCTCGAGGGGGAACAGGCTGTCCAAGCATGGCTCGGTCGTCGACATTACTTCATCGGGTCCCAGGCCGTCGAAATCGGGTATCGACTATGTACAATTGTTAGAAGGCGGTTGATGACGAGCCAAGTGGTGTTATACTTACGAATGGAAGTAGAGATGGCTGGACCGTGGGTAGAGGTCGTGCAGCCGTCGCGGTTAGTTGCGGCCGTTGGAAGCTTTCCTCAAAATCATCAAAATCATTACCGTGTCCTCCTTCTTCAAAGTCATCGAAGTCGTCGCCGAAGCCGTCTCCATCCCCTTCGGCTGCAATCTCGTTGTCGCTATGCCCTACATGCTTATTGTCCGCTACTGGCTCTAATATGACGTCTGGCTTGACATCAGCTTTTGAAAAGCGCACTGAGGCGTTGACTGAGTCAACTGGCTCTAGGACAGTAATTGGAACCTCCGATTTGGAGGTCTCGGTCGGAGTTTTGGCTTCAAGCTCTTCCGAGCGGACAATTTCTTCGGATTGTACATCACCATCCTTCTTCTGATACATGTCCGCTGCTGAAACTTGGGCGTGAGAAGAAGTTGGATCTTCATTTACTGGTCGTGTTTTTGGAATCGGAGAATTCGCTTGTGGCGTCGCGGCCCCGGACCGAGCATCGGTGAACTGGTCATCTGAATCTGATGACTCTGGCTCGGCTAAATGGCAGTTAGCATGTATTTTTGCATATGTGGACAGTCATATAGAAGTGCAAGGTGCATACATAGCTGGTGCGCTCCAGGGTCAGCCTTGCCCATCTCCGGCGGGGGCTCCAAGCTCGCTGATGTCGCCATTCTTATAGTAGTGGGTGTTCAAGAATTCCTGCTTGAAATGAATATCGAGGCATCAATCCAACGGACAATTGCTATCGTGTCGGTCCGTGGAGAAAATCTCGGCCAGTTATGGTATAAAGACGGCCTCTTGGTCGTGACGTTCAGTAATTGCGAATCTAGCCTCAAATCATGCTGGAAAGCAATGAGAGATGGACCTAGTCAGCAAAGTTCCGCGTACAGAAGTCGGCCCCTATGTTCCAGTCTTTGACCTGGCCACGCTTGATATGAAGAGCCGACAGGATGGCGGGATGACTTTTGAATGGTTTGGATATTCGAGGAGTCGAGATCGCTCCATCACGTGGGCTCGTCAAGGCGTGCATTGTCGAAGGGTGGGTTCCAGTACTTTAGGTCTTTGGGTACTAACGTTAGTACTTAAGTAGGCCCAGTAGGGGCTCCGTACTTTCTTCAAGGCTGCGCCAGTTTCAGTCCAACCACAGCAGGCAGTGCGTGGAGCTAGACATCGCCAAAAAAGAAAAAAAAAGAAAAAAAAAAGAGGACGAAGGCGCTTGCCATCCCTCCATTCTCCCACGCGCAAGCTCTTGGTCCCTCGACGATTGCATCCCAACTACATCGCAACCCGCGTTGGGCAAGCCGTATCAACATTAGACATCAGCCCGCTTTCAAAACAGGACACGGCGTGGTGCTGTTTGAGACTTTGGGATACCTTCTGCCGTCGTCCACGCCGCCCTCGTTCCCAGGTCAGCCCGCATCGCCCGACGCGGATCCCAGGACACGACCCGTCCTCCAGATAGCCAAAAACACCATGTCGTTCACCTTCGGAACCCCGAGCTCATCAAGCGCACCGTCTAATAATGCTACGACTACCGCGCCAGCCTCTGGTGGTCTCTTTGGGGGTGCATCGTCTGGAGGCACTCCTTCCTTTTCGTTTGGCTCATTAGGTGGCACTGCCGGCAGCAACAACGCGACATCAACAAACAGTGGTGGCTCCATATTCGCCCAGAAACCAGCTGGCGACGCGCAGAAGCCCGCCGGTGGTCTGTTTGGGGCACCGGCTTCGTCTTCAAACGCAGCATCAACGCCGACAACTGGCGGTTTGTTTGGAGCAACTTCCACGACCCCATCCGCTGGCAGTCCCTTTGGCGGAACAAACAATGTATCTTCTGCCCCTGCATCGGCAGCCCCTGTCTCTACTGGCTTGCTTGGAGGAGGTAGCGGTGCTTCCGGCTTGACCCTCGGCGGTGCGGTTGGAGGCGCCAGCACTTCCCCTTCTAAGCCAGCCTCTGGCACTTTGTTTGGTGGCGGTGGTATGTCGTCAGGCGGTGGTCTTTTCGGTGCTCAGACTACCACCGGACAGTCTCAAAGTACAGCTTCGACGGTCGCGGCGCCTTCATCTGGTCTGTTCGCCTCGTCCGGAAGTTCATTGTTTGAAAACAAGACCAGCACAACCCCTGGTTCGAACACGCTGAACACGACTACCCCGACGACTGCCACTGCGGCAACACCAGCCAAGCCTTTGTTTTCGCTCCCTTCGACTACCCCGGCAGGAGCCCCCCCGACTGATTCATCCAAGCCTGCGTCCACGACAGGTACGGCGGCTGGCGGACTCTTTAGCAGTGCTGCACAGCCATCCACATCGTCAGCTTCGACATCCGCGGCCCCGGCTGCTTCAGGACTTTTCGCGGGTACACAATCTGCAGGAGGATCTTCTGCAGGGAATCTTTTCGGCAATAAATCAGCAGCGGCGACCGGAGCTACTGGTGGAGGTTTGTTTGGCGGCCCTGCCAACAGTACGCCATCTACTACTGCACCATCTGGATCGGCCGCAGCAAGCTCAATCTTCACTTTGAAAGCTGCTGATGCCACGGGACCAACCGCTCCAACCTCAACAAATACCGGCAGCAGCTTGTTCAGCGGCACTGCAAGCTCTGCCGCCACACCCTCGTCTGCCACGCCTGCAACCGCCAGCGGTATTGCTGGAAGTACCTTGTTTGGAAACAAGTCTGCGACCACTACGACCTCATCAACAACCCCATCTGCTACCTCGGCTGCAGGCGGTATGTTTGGAGGCGTCCAGGCCGGTTCTACTGCTTCTGCAGCTAAACCTTCTTCTTCTCTGTTTGGTTCAACTGCTCCCGCATCAACAACTGCGCAGCCTGCAGCCGCAACGCCTGCATCAACTGGAGCAGCGACGGCAGCATCCACTTCAACGGCAGGAAGCTTGTTTGGCACCAAACCTACGACGGATGCGACCAACAAAGACAACGCCAGCAAAGATGAGCCCAAAATCACGGCCCAGAATGGCACCACCAGTGCCCTCGGTGCTTCCACAGCTGGCCCAATCTCACAGCTTGCCAGACTTAAGAACAAGACCATGGAAGATATCGTCACTCGATGGGCGTCAGATCTAACCAAGCATCAAAAAGAGTTCAAGGAGCAAGCTGCCACAGTGTCCAACTGGGACCGCAGCTTGGTTGATAATGGCGAAAAAATTCAGAAGCTTTACCTGAACACTTTTGAAGCCGAGCGCGCCAGCCATGAAATTGAACGCCAGCTCGCCGCTGTGGAAAGCCAGCAAGAGGAGCTGGAAGCATGGCTGAGTCGTTACGAACCAGAGGTGCAGGACATGTTTGCCAAGCAAATTGGTCCTGGCGAGCAGCCTGCGGGACCTGATCAGGAGCGTGAGCGTACATACAAGTTGGCCGAAAAGCTAACGCAACAGTTGGATGAGAAGTCTCGCGACCTCTCAAAGATGGTCAAGGAAATCAACGACATCTCTGGGTCCTTGAGCAAAGGAGCCAAGACCGAAGATCCCGTAAGTGTCTGTTTGATTCTACATCTTGTTTCCCACTGCTAAGACGACCATGACAGCTGAGCCAGATCGTACGGGTTCTCAATGGCCATCTCACTCAGTTGCAGTGGATTGATGCAAATGCATCAGAATTGCAGGCCAAGATTTCCGCTGCGCAAAAGTCCAGCGGCTCCCTTAACAATCACTACACTGGACCAGAAAGCGATGCCGCCGAGGGTTTCTACCGCTCCTACTACGGGCGCCGATGAAGAAGAAAAGCGACGGGCATATACTTGACTTGGCCTTGTGGGATATGCTACGGAGTACTGGACGGCAACCGGCCAATGACATTTTCTTTTGGGGAATCACATATTTTTTTGATGGAGTAATGGAGATTCAGAGCTGAAATATTCTCGCGATACTCGAAGAGCACACCGAGTAGCAGGTATTTGTACACTAGCTTAGACTGCGACATAATCACACAGGATTTGATGATGGAGAAAAGAAAATTTGCTGCCACAGTTCTTCCTATCCATCCAAAGACGCAGCTGCAATCTTGGGGCAGGAATCGTGACTAGTGTATCTGAGGATGCTGCAGCCGCAGCGGAGGCGTTGCCAGGCGGCGTCCGAGATGGTATTTTTAGTTCTTCTCGCCGCCCTGATCGCGGGTGATCTCCTCACTGGGAAGATGTACCGTCAGCACCAACTCGTAGCATTTCCCAGAGGCACGAAGCGTTTGTCCACATGATGAGTGTAAGGGCGCCGGGCTCACATGTGGTCAGAGAGGCGTTGGAGATGCTGCTGCTGTTCAGCGAGCTTCTTCTTGAGCTCGAGGAGACGCTCCTTTTCTCGCTGGCGGATAGCCCAGTCCTCGCTGGCGCGCTCACGGCGCTGGAAGGCGTCACTATAAAATGGAGGATCAAAACATCCGCCTCTGTTAGCCAATGACTCGGTTTCGCATGGAACACTCTGCTGCCCCTTTCCCGAGCGGTCCTCCGCGAGAGACGAAGCTGGATTGCGGCGGCGGGACACTCACCCAGGGCCGCCGGTCTTGGGAGGCGCGCCGGTATCGCCCTCGCCCATGGCTCGGACAGTGGTGGTAAAGGTAGCCCGGAGGGGGCGAAATGCGGCCGTCTTGAAGGTTGTGCGGAGCATGATTACGCGGTCGGGATGCGGTGGTGGTGGTGTTGTTGTTGTTGAAGTATGACGTGCGAGCAGTCGAGATTCTTGCTCGAGGCAGCTCGGAGAATGGCCTGATGCTACGCGCCACATGAGTGGCCGGAGCTGGGCGATAGCAGGGTACGCGGTGCGTGTGCCGCAGCCCGCGGGGCTGGTGTGTATTCTTCCAACACGTTGACTGCCTTCCTGCCTGCCTTTTGTGGATTCGAAAATTTCGGCTGCCGTCGACTGACCGACTACGATGGATGAATTCGGACCCGACTTGGTGGTGGACCATCGAATTCGTAACCTCCCAAGGCCATGAGACTAATTCTCGAGCATTATTCAGGCGGCCGATATTTCGTGGCTGCCACCCATCTCCTTTTGCCTGCCATCCCGTCCTACCTTTGTCTACGGAGGAGTAACCATGCGCCGTCCTGGCTGGACACGGCACAACGAGTGCCTACTCAAGTACGGAGTAGGTACCTAGGTAAACTACCTACTTACGTAATGTACTATAAATAATGATTGTTTCCCGATCAGGTACTCCGTGCTGCTCGATCATTCGCATTCGCATCAACAGAACTGCATAAAAGAGACGGGCATTGAAGACGTGGAGCCCGTTTGGGCGTTGAAACGATGGCGGATTGTGATGGACATTGTGCCAGCTCTTCCTGATACGTCGCGGCACCATTCGTTCGTCCCGGGGCGAAGGACGGGCTGCGACTCGCGAGCAGCTTGGCGGCCCGCCCTGCTGGCGGACCTGCTGTCTGTCTGTCTGCTGTGTTGTAGGGCGTCGAGGCCAGAGAACTCGCCCGCCTTCGAGCAAAGTATTCGTGCATTTGAGCAATCTGTGAGATCTGGAGCGCCACTCAGCACCAAGGTGAGGTCATCAGGCGCGTACCTGCTACGCGGCATCCCAGCTTGCCTCACGGACCACGCCGTCAGGTATGCTCCACGTTCGAGGTATCCGATACTTGACCACTGTTCAAGTGCTGGAGCTAGCTGTTGGATCTAATGCCTTGTGGGTACTTGATTAAGTTCCCAGGTACTTACTCACCAGGCTACCGCCCAATGGCGACTCCAAACCCAGGTACCTAGGTACTTACTTACTTTGAGTACTGTTTGCCTTGCGTACATGTTTACCTTAGTACTTGAGTAAGTATCAGTACACTACTTACCCAAGTGCCTTCTTAACTGTAAGTACGGAGTACTGGGTAAGTTCTTGGTAGGTCCTGGCGCTGGCCCTTCTGACTGGCTGCTGTCAAGTCGCATAAGTAACTAATTCAGTTGCCTGCACGCATGCGCCGCCGCCGCCGCCGCCGCTGCTGCCTTCCGGCCTCAGTCCCGAGCCCCTTCTCGATTTCCATCCCGTCCCACGCTTTTCGCTCATCAAACATCAAATCCAAATTCACCCAACAAACTGCACCACCACCACCACATCCACCACCACATCCACCACCATTACCATTACCATTCGCGCTCGCGCTGTCGCCCCGAGCCTGGCTTCATCCTCCTGACCCCGCCCCTTGCCCGCCGAATATCTTCCCGTAAACCGTCTATTTTTTTCTCCGTTCGGTACGTGCCTCGCCAGTCGATTCTGAAAAATGTGTTGTCCCTGTGCGCCTCTGCGTCTTCATTAATTTGGCACGCCCCTCCCTCCCCTCTGTCGTCATGGCGCCTCCTCCCACGCCCGCTGCCTCGCGTGAGGAAGTCTTGTGATGCACTGCTCCTTTAGCTTCATCACTACCACGGCCGAGCACGATTGCTGTGCTGCACGACTCGTCGAATTCTGCCGGCTGCTCCCTGGGAACAAGGCACACATGTTCCATTGGAGATCCCAGTGCGCCATCTCGACTCCAACCAACCTTGCTGTCGTCTCGTCTCGGCCAACCCCGCCAGGGGCGAGAATGGCGTACGCTGGGCAGATGCGAATGCGTGCGTGGCTGCCTGCGGCTGCGAGACATTGAGTCCTCACTGCCTCCGGCTGAAGGTGCAAATCGGCCGTGGTCTTGACGTTGTGGACGACACGACGACATTTCGAGCCTGCGGCGTCCTGACTGTCGATGGCCTCTGATCAGAAATCTCAAGAGTCGGCCGGCCGGCCTGGGCTGACTGGGCTGCGCTGCATCAACATGCGACTTCACCTAATACCAGTTGCTGCTTGGACGAATTTTCGCTAACTTGTAGTTTGCCCGCGCACTAGTCTAAACAACCGCCAAAATGGGTCACGAAGATGCAGTCTATCTGGCCAAGCTCGCCGAGCAGGCTGAGCGGTACGAAGGTTCGTCGCTCCATCTTGCCGTCCCAGAGTCGATCCCCTTGTCCACGGCGAGGCCGTTTGCGCTGACTTGTTCGTCATCTCCATCTAGAGATGGTCGACAACATGAAGATTGTCGCCTCTGAAGACCGCGACCTGACCGTCGAGGAGCGCAACCTTCTGTCCGTTGCCTACAAGAATGTCATTGGCGCCCGCCGTGCCTCTTGGAGGATAGTCACTTCTATTGAGCAGAAGGAGGAGTCTAAGGGCAACTCGTCCCAGGTCACCCTCATCAAGGAGTACCGACAGAAGGTGGAGGCCGAGCTTGCCAAGATCTGCGACGATATCCTTGACGTGCTTGACAAGCACCTGATCCCCTCTGCCAAATCCGGCGAGTCCAAGGTCTTCTATCACAAGATGTATGTGGAAAGCGTCTCTCCAATATCGGCCAAGCTGCCCATGGTGCGCTGTTTCATTTGCATTTGCCTAATCTTGTCTTTCAAATCTGTACAGGAAGGGTGACTACCACCGTTACCTCGCCGAGTTTGCCATCGGAGACCGCCGCAAGGACTCTGCCGACAAGTCCCTCGAGGCTTACAAGGCTGCCACTGAGGTTGCCCAGACCGAACTGCCTCCAACTCACCCCATCCGCCTGGGTCTTGCCCTCAACTTCTCCGTTTTCTATTACGAGATCTTGAATGCCCCCGACCAGGCTTGCCATCTTGCCAAGCAGGCCTTTGATGATGCCATTGCAGGTATGTCAACCGTCTTTCCCTCGATTTTGCTGTGACGTTTTCCACGGAAAATATATCTGATGGTTGATACAGAGCTCGACACTTTGAGCGAGGAGAGCTACAAGGACTCTACGCTCATCATGCAGCTCCTGCGTGACAATTTGGTACGAATCAAGAGTGCGTTGATTGTTGGGAGTCGCCAGCTAACGTGTATGGCAGACCTTGTGGACTTCATCCGAGGCCGAGACCTCGGCTGCCGCTGGTCAGGCTGAAGCTCCCGCCAAAGAGGAGTCTGCTGCTCCTGCTGCTGAGGCAACTGCCGCCGCCGACCAGACCAAGGCCACTGAATAAATGGATGATTCTGTTGCCAATTTAAATGCTTCAATCGCTATGGTATCCGGCCGGTTGGTGTCTACGGAGTGGACGGAAGACTCGTTTTTTTTTTGTTTTCGTGTGTGTTTGATCAAGAGCTTCGGCATCTTTTAGGTAAACGTGCGTATACAATGGACGAAGACGTCGAATGTGCCCCTACGGACCACCCTCCGGGCTGGCACTGAGGCCTAAAGGAGAGCATCTCTCGGAGGTTCTGCTTTTAGACTCTTAATGCTCGCGATCGTCTGGACAAATAAAAATAACCAAAATTGCTTTCAATACACGGGAACAATGGGTCCATGTTTTGCAGGCTAAATACATTTGCAAGAAATGCCCTGTGCTACTACTGATTGTTGCGTTACGCGGTAGCTGTCCCATGACGGGGAACTTGAAGCAGTCCGCTTGGCATGGCTACGATGGGCTTCTCTACAAGGCGGGCTTACTAAACGGCCATGATGTACTGGTCAGCTTTGATCTATTTTGTCTTTTCCTCATGGCGCGTCATCGCCCACCACGGCAAAATGAACCCGCAGCCACAAACTACAATCCTGGCAGCCCACCATCAACTCACCCTCGTCCTCCGCCTCTGCCAAATCCTCCTCCCCAAACAAATAACCCCTCGCATTCCCGCACCGACAGGGCCTGTGCCACCGCTCCTTGGTCTCGTCGTAGGGCAAGTCGTCCAAGTCTACGCTCTCGACGCCCGTCTGAAATCCGTGTCCCGAATCCGGCCCAGCGGAGCCAGACAAGGCCCGAGCCTGACGGAGTTTGGTGTCGTATTCTGCGCGTCGCACGGGGCAGCTGAGGACTGCGAATGCCGCGGTGACTTGGTCTACGGAGACCGTGGGCGCCCTGGGTGCCCTGGGCGAGGTGTTGGTGTGAGAGCCGCGTTTGTCGGGGTGGTTGCGGAGCAGGGCCCTGTGGTAGGCCTTCTTTACGAGTTTGGCGGCGTCTGGCGAGTCGTCGACGATGGAGGGCGTGAGGTTGAGAACGTCGTAGTGCGTTGGGGGCTGTGGTGGGCTCATCCTGGGTGAGTATGTGTGGTGTGTGGTCTTCCTCGAGGAGGTTCCGTTGGCTTGGTTTTTTTTTTCCCTCTTTTTCCTCTTCTCTTGCCTTGTAGTTACTCTGGGGTTAACGATGGTGAGTCGAGAGTCGTGAGTCGCGACGGCGGTTTGGGGCTGAGTCACGTGATTTGGTGATGGGGACGGTTGCTCGGTTGCTTGGTTGCTCGGGATGGGCACGTCATGTGCATACATGAGATGGGTGGTGTTTTCTGGGTGTGTCTTGGTGCGTGGATTTGTTTTTCTACGGAATGCCCGGCTTTGTGCGGAGGAGCGCTGCCTGGGATCGGATTACACCTTGGCTGGCTGGGGATGGCGTTTTCATTCTTTTACACACGGAGTACCATACATTCGGGGCCTCTCTGGAACGGCATGTGGTTTTGACCGTCTCCCCGGGCTGTCTGATCTACTTGGGCCATTTGGTCCAGTTCCTCTTTCCCACCTGGTCGACCGGTTAGCGCATGGGACTTGGGGCGGCGGGCTTGTTTTCCCTTGTTCTTCACGTACCCTCTTCCAGGCCTTGATCAGCTTGGGCATCTCCAGCATGGCCTTCCTTCGCTGCTCCATCCTGGACGCCATTGTTAGCACAGCTGCTGCGGGAGGTCTGCAGACATGGGGGCCTGGGGGCGGGGGTTTCGCGGGCTCGACGTACTTTGCAATCATGTGTCGTTCGTGGATGTGACCCTTGACCTTTTGTCCCACGCCTGTGCCCTTCACTCTCAGGCCGTGCTCGACGCGGTGCGCGAGTCGGTACTCGTACCCCTTGGTCGTCTCGGGCAGGAGGTCCTCGATGCCGTGCTCGCGTGCCATCTGCACGAGCTGCGCTTGTCGGCGGTACGAGTACACTGGGTCCTGCCATTTCCCCGTGACGGGGTGGTTGTAGAACCGGAACGGATCAGGTCTCTGCTCCTGGTACGGGGTCGGTGCAGCCCCCGGGGACTGAATAGACGCCGGCGGCCATCGGGCAAAGACTCGCTGTAGGGGTTTGGGGAGCGTCCTGGCTAGCTGGACGTATTTCGTTGCCGAGGCCATTGCGTCCGGTGACGATGTGATCCTGCTCGCTCGTCGGGAGCGGGAGCACTTTTCGAGTCGGACACGAGCTGCTGGACAGACCGGACGAGCCTGGGCGGTCGGGATGAGGTGGTTGGTTCGGATCGGCTGTCGTCGATGGAAGCTTGGAAAGTCTGTCGAGAAAAGGTCAAGTGATTCCGAGGCTGGGCTGCCGGCACTGGAGTCCACGCAAACCGCGCCTTGTGATTGGACAGATGTGAGCCTTCCGCATTCATCTGTGGGCCTCTGAAAGTCTGGCATGGCAGCCTTGCCCAAGGACTTGGGACTTCATGTCGGCTCCTCCGAGGAACGTGGCGTTTGCTACCCACGCACCTTCGCCCTTGCTGCGATAATTCATCTCGACCGTTTTAAACTCTCCGCGGGCTACTTTCTGCAGCAGGGAGCGATGCCTCTCGATGTAGAGGAAATCATTCGGCAGAAGAAGGCCGCAGACGCTGCCGCCGCAAAGCCGCGCTTCATCCCCAAGGCCCAGCGCGAGCGCATGGCGGCAGAGCTGGCCAAGAGAGAGGAGGACGACAGGAAGCGCAAAGCTGCGGACGAGGCACGAAAACGCAGAGAGGAAGAGAGGAAGTGGGCGTCACGGTCCAACGGAGTGTCGTCCAGTGCAAATAGGATTCCCAATGGCCCAACCGAGGCCCCCACGGGTCCTCGAGCCATGAACCCTAGAAGGGCCGACGCCAAGAAGAGCGACAAAGTAAACGGCGACAAGAAGTCCGCCGAGGACATTGAGGCCACCCTGTTCAGGTCACGATATCTGGGTCCAGAAGTGAACCAGCAGTCTAGCTTCTCTGCCAAGAAGAAGCGCATGCGCACGACGGAGAAAAAGTTCAACTTCGAGTGGGATCTGGAGGATGACACATCCAGAGACAACGACCCTATATACAGGAACCAGGTTGTGAACAGAGGCGGCTCCCTCGCCGGCTTGGGGGGTGAATTCGACGACGAGGCCGAGAGAAGGGCCCGCAAACGCGCGCGGTTAATCGAGGAGCGGGACGTCGACAATGGCAGGGAGCGCGCCAAGGGCTTCATGGAGGACTTCTACCGTGCGCGGGCCAAGGCCAAGGAGAGGGCGGAGAGGACAGGCCTCGGGCGCCACTGGTCGGAGAAGAAACTAGGAGAGATGAGGGAGCGGGACTGGAGGATATTCAAGGAGGACTTTGGCATCTCTACAAAGGGCGGCGCCATACCCGACCCCATGCGCAGCTGGGAAGAGTCCGGCCTGCCGAGGCGACTGCTCGACATCGTGGCCAGGGTGGGCTACAAGGAGCCCACGCCTATCCAGAGGGCAGCCATCCCCATCGCCTTGCACGCCCGCGATCTGATCGGCGTGGCCGTCACCGGTTCCGGCAAAACAGCAGCCTTCCTCCTCCCCCTCCTCGTGTACATCTCCGACCTCCCCCCCCTCACCGAGGTCAACAAGAACGACGGCCCGTACGCCCTCATCCTCGCGCCGACCCGTGAGCTGGTGCAGCAAATCGAGACGGAAGCCAAAAAGTTCGCCGAGCCCCTGGGTTTCCGCTGCGTCAGCATCGTCGGCGGCCACTCCCTCGAGGAGCAGGCCTTTGCCCTGCGGAACGGTGCGGAAATCATCGTCGCCACGCCCGGCCGTCTGGTCGACTGTATCGAGAGGCGGCTGCTCGTCCTCTCACAGTGCTGCTACATCATCATGGACGAGGCCGACCGCATGATCGACCTCGGGTTCGAGGATTCCGTCAACAAGATCCTCGACGCCCTCCCCGTCAGCAACGAGAAGCCCGACACGGACGACGCCGAAAACGCGCAGCTCATGAAGTCCTACCTCGGCGGCAGGGACAAGTACCGCCAGACGATGATGTACACGGCCACCATGCCGCCGCTCGTCGAGCGCATCGCCAAGAAGTACCTCCGCCGCCCTGCCACCGCAACCATAGGCAACGCCGGCGAGGCCGTCGACACTGTCGAGCAGCGCGTCGAGTTCGTCTCCGGCGAGGACCGCCGCAAGAAGAGGCTGCAGGAGATCCTGTCCAAGAACGACTTTGCGCCGCCCATCATCGTCTTCGTCAACATCAAGAGGAACTGCGACGCCGTTGCGCGAGACATCAAGTCCATGGGCTGGTCCACCGTCACTCTGCACGGTTCCAAGACGCAGGAGCAGCGAGAGGCGGCGCTGGCCTCCGTGCGCTCGGGCGCGACCCAAGTCCTCGTCGCCACGGATCTTGCCGGCCGCGGTATCGATGTGCCGGATGTATCGCTCGTTGTCAACTTTAACATGGCTACGAGCATCGAGAGTTACACCCATCGTATTGGTCGTACTGGTCGTGCGGGCAAGAGCGGTGTTGCCATTACCTTCTTGGGCAACGAGGACAACGATGTCCTGTATGACTTGAGGCAGATGCTTAGCAAGAGCTCCATCTCCAAGGTGCCGGACGAGCTGAAGAGGCACGAGGCCGCGCAGTCGAAGCCCGTCCGCGGTGGTGCGAGAAGGGAGAGAGATGATGCCGCCGCCGGAGGTGGTGGAGGAGAGGGAGCAGGAGGAGGAGGCGGCGGTAGGGGCGGCGGCAGAGGCGGCTGGTGAAGAAAAGACGCATTCATAGCGAAGCAGAGTGTTGAAATGTAATACTACGGATCGTGTTGGCTGACTTGCCCGTCTTCGAGTAACGACCGCGCAAGATTGAAATACTTGTCCTTGCTCTCTCGGTGAAGGTGAATAAAAATATCAGTGCTCAACACACTAAGAAATTGCCTACTCTATATATCTTTGCTGCATTTACTCTAGTTTGAGCTGTTCAAATTGCTTGATAGTCGCCTCGAAACTGACGGCCTCATGCTTGGCATCCGCGAGTCTTTGCTCGTCTCCCTCACGCACAGCCGCAGAGACCTTCTCTTTGTAGCCAGGGTCCAACAGAATCTTCTCCTGTTTCTGAATGTTCATCTTGGCCTTTTCTAGCTTCTTCTGGGCCTTGATGATCTCTGCATCCATGTCAACACGACCCTTTACGTGCAAGAAGACGGCAACATTGGTGGAAACCGGGTAGGCCACACATCCAGCAGGGCGAGGAGCATCGGGGCCAATTACGTGCATGGTCCGCACACTCTTGCCGCTGAGGGACTTGATTGATGCAACTTCGGTCTTGCACGTCTTCAGCGCGGCCTCGTTGTACGCTTGGACAAAGACTATATTGTCAAATTGTGATTAGCAATTTGTGAACGAGGAGTCGCGTCACTTCATCCAAGCGCAACTTGCCTTCGGCATTCTCCTTGAGAGAATACTCAGACATGAGTGATCTGGTTGCCTTTGTAGCGGCCAGAACGAGCTCATAGGCAGCTTCAGACTCGGGGTCATCCAGTGCAGGGCTGTACTGAGGATACTTGGCGATCATGATGGACTTCGTGTTGTCGCCAGGACGTCGAGGCATTCTCTGCCACATTTCTTCAGTGATGTAAGGCATGAACGGGTGGATGAGCGTCAAGGCCCACTCCAAAGACGTGTACAGAGTCTGGAGAGCAGACTGGCGCTCTTCCTCAGTGCCATCTCGGATGATGGCTTTTGAGTTCTCAATGTAGACATCGCAGAGCTCTGCATACCAGTACCTGTAGATGATGTTGGTAGATTTTTGGAACTCTCTGTCAGCAATTGCGACGTTCAAATCTCTCGCAGCGCTGTTCATCTTGTGAAGAATCCATCGCTCTGCCAAGGTCTTGCCTCGGGTGATGCCGTCTGCTGAAGGAGTAAAGTCCTTAGGGAGGCTGCCCAAGACATACTTGGTGGCTTGGAACTTTTGGAAAGTGAGTAAACATCCGAGATGCATCGCCAATTTCATTACTCACAATTTTGTTACAGAACTTGCGGTATCCGTGAATACTACACAACAAATAAGTTTCAGAGTACAAGGTCTGGGATCAAGGGCTCACTTACACCTTGATATCCAAATTGATATCACCACCACCGGTGCTGGCATTTATCATGGTGAAACGAAGAGCATCAGCACCACACTGTGGAATGCCATCAGGAAAGGCGGTTTTCTGGTACTTAGTTGCTCTCTCAACTTCGCTAGGATGAAGATTTCCCTGGTAGAGCTTCTGGTGTAAATCCTCCAGCTTGATACCGGAGATAACATCGAGGGGATCAATCACATTGCCCAGGCTCTTGCTCATTTTTCTACCCTCAGAGTCACGGACGAGGCTGTGGCAGTAGACCTCGCTGAATGGAATCTGTCCGGTCATCTTCAAACCCAAAGTGATCATGCGGGCAATCCAGAAGAACAAAATATCCCAACCTGTCTCGAGGACGGAGGTAGGATAGAGGGTGTCCAAATCGTGGGTCTTGTTGGGCCAGCCTAGGGTGCTGAAGGGCCAGAGTCCAGAAGAAAACCAGGCTACGATATGCGTTAGTAACGGAATACGAAATAAGCCATTGATGTGGTTTCTTACTGTCAAGAACATCCTCATCCTGTTCAAGGGTGAATTTCTTGCCCGGCAGGGCCGCCGCCGCCTTCTCTTCCGCCTCCTCGCGAGTTCGCCCAGAGAACCAAAGCTTGTCATCTGCAGTATCCTGGGCAACACCTTCAATACTGGCAAAATAGACGGGACATCGGTGACCCCACCACAGTTGTCTGCTAATACACCAATCCTGGATATCCTCAAGCCACCTGAAATAGCTTCTCTCCGCAGTGTCTGGTCTGATCTTGATCTTGCCCTCTCTGACAACGTCCAAAGCTGGCCCAGTGAGCTCCTTCATGCGGACCCACCATTGGGGCTTCATACGAGGCTCAATGATATCCTTCGACTTTTCACACAGTGGCACCTTCATTGCGTTGTCCTTCTTGTCGACATACAGACCCTTCTCCTTCAGGGCATCTTGGATAGAGTAACGGACATCGAAGCGTTTCTGGCCCTTGTATGGACCGGTATTCTCATTCATCAAACCATCGTCGGTGAGAATGTTGATAAACTCAAGCTGGTGCTTTTGTCCCAAATTGAAATCGTTCGGGTCATGAGCGGGGGTCAGTTTGACAGCACCGGTTCCAAACTCCATGTCGACATACTCATCAGCGACGATGGGCAATTTTCGGCCCGGAATAAAAGGATGAGTAGCATTCTTGCCCACAAGGTGCTTGTAACGGGCATCATTTGGGTGGACAGCAATTCCTGTATCACCAAGCATGGTCTCGATACGAGTTGTGGCTACCTCAACCGTCTCGTCTGAGCCCTCAATGGGGTACTTGAAATGAACGATGACGCCAAACTCAACTTTCTTATCATAACCTGGTACATCAAGGAGGGTCCGGCCGGTGAGTTCCTTATTGTCGACTTCTAGGTTGGAGAGTGCCGTGTTCAGATGCGTGCACCAGTTGACGAGTCGATTGGCTCTGTAGATGATGCCTTCCTCATGCAGCCGAACGAAAGTCTCGACAACGGCAGCAGAAAGATTCGCATCCATGGTAAAGGCTGTGGAATGTCAACATAACAGCTGCAAAAAGCCAGGCGCCGATATTACATACCCTCACGACTCCAATCAAACGAGCCACCCATATGTGTCAAGGCCTTGTTGATACGTTTGTGATACTCTTCCTTCCATTCCCAGACAGTCTCAACGAACTTGGCCCTGCCAAGATCGTGTCTGGTCTTTCCCTCTTTCCTCCAGAGCATCTTTTCGACAACGCTCTGCGTTGAAATGCCCGCGTGGTCGCATCCCGGAAGCCACAGAGTCGTTTTCCCATTCATGCGGTTCCATCGAATCATGAGATCTTGCAAGGAGTCACCCAGTGCGTGACCCATGTGCAATGATCCAGTAACGTTAGGAGGAGGATGAACAATAACGAAGCTGCCGGCTTCCTTGACCTTGCCATCAGGCGTGAACTCTGGCCTGAAAAAACCCTCCTTCTCCCACCAGTCGTACCACGCTGACTCGACAGCCACAGGGTCGTAAGCCTTGAAATTGGGGTCTTCAAACGGTCGAATACGCTTCTTCTCGCCGGCGGGAGTGTCCTCTATATAAGGCGGAATGATTTCCTCTGCCTTCTTCTCCTTAGATTTCTTCTCTTTGTTGGCAGCGTTGGCGGCCATTTGAGCGGCCTTTGCCTTCTTGGCCTCTAGTTTAGCAGCTTTTTCTGCCTTCTTGCGCTCCTTTTCCACTACAGACAGTTGCCATCAGCAACAACGGGCCACCACGGCAAAAATTAGGCCAATAAGGACTTACAATCCTTTTCCGACTTCTCTTTGGGAGCTCCATCAGCAGCTGTATCAACACCAGCAATCTGTGTCGATGCTCTGGCGGCCTATGTTGCATTAGTTCCGACTGCTTCTCTTCTGATCGATTCGATGGTGGGGTGAACTATTCGTACTTCGGCTCCCTCGTTTCGCCCAACTACATAATGAATGAGTTAATGTTCTTCAAAAAGAAATGTGCAAGCTTCTTCTTACCAGGGGCTTCTCGAGTGCTATTGCTTGTCATGGCGGCTCGTGCGGTTGTAGTCAAGGGTCGTCTTGGGGAAACAGAACGCACACGAAGTGCTCGAACTGCAAGTCGGAACGTCGTACTGAAAGAGTTTTCCAGAAGCCCTATAGACTGGGCTTCTACGTGCACAATACAAAGAATTGATTCCCAAGCGATATACACGGGCACTGATGACTCAATCCCGAGTCTCGGCGCAAGCACAGATATTTCCTGAAATTTTGAGTCACTCGACGACACCACCCAACTTAAGAAGGTGGGATGAGAGGGGTCTGAATGTGGCGGTGTGACTTGGGTTGTTCCTGGGGCAGCTTCAGCCACAACTTCGAAGCCACACGTTTCGGTCGTTTTGAGTCTTTACTCTTAACACCAACCCGAAGGCGCAATGGAATTACTCCGTATATTTCATGATATTTCCACCTCCCCTCTCGATATTTAAGTGTCACTGCAGTGGAGAGTCACTCATGATGCCGCTTTGTGCGCAACGCTATATGCTGAGAGGCTTTGCATCGGGATGCTATGTTGCATCCCGGCGACAACTCTGTACCCTCAAGACGCCTGACCAAACGCGCTTCTCTTATTTCTTGTCGCCAAAGGTGTGTGCGTCAGAAATAAAAGCTCGAGGAGCTCTGGGATCGTTACTTAAGTTTATAGGATGAGCCTCGTGATCTCCTGACGAAGCTAAGTGGCCATGCCGTATTAGACAATTCACTTGGGCACGACGCAGCTGTTGTCCTCGCGACTCCCAATCTAACGAAACATCTTGATGACCAAGACTTCGTATCGGGCCTCGTCAAACTGCTATCAAAGCCTACAAACAGGAGTGATTTCCATCTCTTGTGCGCTGTTGTTGACAACATTGCGCCAGCCTTGGGTGACTTTGCCCCTTTGGAGGGCATCTCCGTCCTGCGAGGCAATATTGACAGCTTATTGCCCGAACTATGGCATCCAGGTTCAACAAGGGAGACAGAAGACATGGGCTCTGTTGCGGCGCTCACATTCAGCATCGGAAATTCGACTGTCACACTGCCGCTTGCACGAACAACATTTCATAATAACAGGGCCTCTACCCTCTTGATCAGCCGTTACACCCTTGCACGAGGCCAGCCAGAGCTCAAAGATAGAAACAAGGAACAGTGGCAGAACATCCGCATTACGCTAAATCAGCCTGTGCGGTCGGTTACTGAACTTGAGCTTTGGGCACCCCTGTCACCGGTCACCCGAGCTCGAAAAATAACAGAAAGCTTCGGCAACATCGTACGAGGTATTGAGATTAGTGGCAAATCAATGCCGGCCTCAACAGAGTTGGAGGACGCGGTAAATACCATTCTAGGAAATGGAAAAGCAACCGAAAGCTATCAAGCGCCAAGAGGGCTATGGGCTGTGGTGTCCCCCGAAGCATCGGAGGCGGAGGCACTCGTCCTGGCAGATGCTCCCAATCCAGCAGTTTCTCTTGAGGATACAATGGCGCAACAGAAAGCTTTGGAGACAACAGCAAGGTACCTCCAACAACAACACCAACTGGGCAGCCGAATCTACCAAGTTTGTGAGTACATGTTGTATTTCATCTGCAAGGTATGTCGTCTGACACTGAATCTAGTGAGCGGTGGCGGTGGTTGGGGTCCCAAGAAAGGTCTCCTGTCTCTTGATCCTCAACAGACACATTTTGCCCTCTCAGAAGAAGAGGAGATGGAACGGTTCATGAGAACCATGGACCATTCAGGATTCGCGCCTCCAGGTGCTCATATACAATTCTTCATCCCCGCGATGGCTCCTCCAAAAATAACCGCCTCCACTGCAACAGGTATCGTATTTGGAGTTCCATTGGACATAGAAACATCAGGAGAGGCTGGGGCTGCACCAAAAGGGTACTTGGTTGCCAACCACTTTGGGGCTTTATCGAGTCAGGGAATCTACCTTTCTGGCCGGGCAGGCGCCGACTCACCTTCTTGCTACAAGTCCAAGATTAGTGTTCCAGGCTGTAGAGCATTCGTCGGGAATCCCGAGGCCAAGCCCGGCGGCTTCTTCAAGTTCTTTGGTGCTGGAGGTCTTGCTGATGCTGGAACAATAGCGTTGATGTAACGACTTGCAAGCACGTCATTGTACTACATGATGCTGGGTATAATTGTAACGTGTCCATCTCGGGGTACCGGGTCACATCTAGATGAAATAGGTGCTGCTCAGTCAGTGAACCAGTTCAATTGCTTCACAACGACGGGCAGGGCTGGCAGACTGATATACGTCCATCTCTTGTGCGGTCCGCGCGGTTTAACCCTCCTCCATCTTGTTTCTTTCTCACTCCAAGCCCTCCCCCATCGCAGCCGCAACGTCCTCTATACTTATCCCTCTCACCCTCTTGCTAATCTTCTCTTTCCCAAGGACGTCTCCCTCCGCCACTGCCCTGTGCGCCAGCTATGCCCTGAAACAAACTCTTCCATCCCCCCTCCTTCTCCATGCATCGTATCTGAAAGTTCTTCCATTCCCTTGAACCTTATAAACTGGGGGAAAAAGCCTTGTTTCGGACTTGTAAAGTACCGCAGAATAGAGCTATGGATGACTGCTCCCATATGCGACCTACATCAAGTCTAGAGTACAGAACGTTGAACGGTACCGGCCGCACCCCAGCAGTCGTGAGGCACAACAAACCACATGCCAAAGGCTCGGAAAGTCACTCCGGCGTGCGTTGATCCGAGCCCGACAATGACTTCTTTAGGGGACTATCAAAAATGACTACTGCACGACTCAGAACTGAAACGTTGTGGTGGGTGGAACGTAGTGCATTACCCGTCACGGTGGGGGGGCAGGTTGGTAAGGAGTAGGATGTAGGACAACGCCAAAGACAGGACATCACTGGCATAGGCAGGATCAGCATTATCATCTACTAAGGGAGTATATTTAAGGATTTGATACACTGCGGAAGCCCTCCAGCAGATGTGCGGGCAGCCCTCTAGCTTTGTTACAAAGGGAATATATGGTCTTTTGACTCTGGCGATGCAATTCTCCTTTCTCAACCAAAAATTTTACATGTCCTCTGAGGCGGTCGCGCCAGTAATAATTTCGACCAGCTCCCCAGTAATAACGGCCTGTCGGGTACGGTTATAGAGAATCTGGTACTTTCCAATCATCTCACCGGCGTTCTTGGAGGCGTTCTATGTGAATTATTAGAGTCGAAACGAAGTCAACACCCATGTCATGTTGTACTGTGTCACTTACATCCATGGCGTTTCGTCGCGCAGAGATCTCACAAGCGTGGCCTTCAGCCAAAGCCCAGTACAGGTTGTTGGCAAGACTGTACTCACGGAGGTTGTCAAGAGCATCCTCATCAACCTCAAAGGCAGAGATGTTGGCTATGATCAGACATGTTAGCTTGCCTGGCAACCTTTTTTTCTCTCTTCCTCGCTAGCGTTGCATTCTGAACATACGGGACTGGGAGATAGCTTCCTCGGAAAATGCCTCAACAAAGGTGGGTTCGTAGCTCTGGGCGTTCAGGAATTTGTTGTAAAGAATCTTGACATCAGTGTACTCGGTGGGCAGCATGATAATCTGGTCGGCAATAGACTGAGCCTCGGCAAAAGTGGGAATGTCCTTGCCAACACCAGCAAATGTGAGCTGAATGCTGGCGGCGTTGGTTCGCTGCAACTGAGCCTTGCACTTCTCACCAATGATGACGAGGTCAAAGGGTTCGGCGGCCTCGTTGACGTAGGCACGGATGCGTCGGCTAAGGCCAGAGTGAATACCACCGCAGAGACCCTTGTCGGAAGAGCAGACGATGACGAGGGACTTCTTTTGCTCGACTTCGGGAGTAGCCGTTTCGGCGGCCTCAAAGACTTCGTTGGCAGTCTCACCGTACTTGCGAGACTCGGTCATGTTACGCTGGGCACGGGTAAGCTTGGTCGAGGCAACAATCTTCATTGTGCTGGTAATCTTCTGGATGTTGCGAATAGACTTGAGACGGCCTTCGATTTCACGAAGGGTCGCGTAGGCGGCAGCTCCATTGTGGCCAGCAGCCGCAGCTCTAAATAGAAGAGTCTCGTCAGCAAAACGAGCCCCGATCACAAAAATCGTTGCGACAGCGTCTTCTCCCATGCAAAGCGGTGCATTTTTTTTCGGTTGCGAATCGTCCGTCCGGCTATTCGGTACAAATCTCAGGCCTGTGCAATCTCCTAAACTTACCGCGTAGGAGCTGTAACCGCAGCACGGAGAGTCGGACGAGCCGCCCTTGACAACATCATGACAAGTGTGAGAAGACAAAAGTAGCCTCTGGCTAACGATGACTCAATTGATCGCGATGTACCGTCAATTGATTTCGGGTCAGTGGTTCGTAGCTGATCGGGTGAGGTGATGGCGGTGGCTCGTTTTGCTCCAACGCTCTTCCCGGCAAATTCGCGGCTGAGATATATCACGTGACTGTGCCTTGCCTGCTCGGGCTACCCTCCGGGCATGCTGAGAAAACACGATGCCCTCGATTTCATCCTTGGCCCTGCCGTGACTTAAGCTTCCTGCCCAGGCGGTGAACTTTTCTCCCCCTTCTTCTTCACTAGGCGTTGAGGGGCAGCCCACGTTTGCGTTTCTGCATTCCCTTCACTTTCCGCTCGCTTTCTGCGCTGCCTCGAATTCTTGCGTCGTGGTATGCTGACGCTGAGATCCATCCATCAGCGCCATCTTTTTGTCAAGCCCAAACCGCGACCCATCAAGCACCGAGATGAGTTCTGACAGCTCTGACGACGACAGACCTCTTGCTAGGCCTAATGGACACCGTAAGTGGTTTCTTCACAACTTCAAAGACTTTTTTTTTCCTGTAGCCATCTTTCCACGTGCGTCCTTGCGTTGTCAGCAGTTTCGAGCCCGTCTTGCTACTGCCTGTTGGGTCCCGTGGCTATCTGCCTGTAGGAGGCTCAAAGCTGACAGTCTTCTCCAATAGTTTCATCTGCTAAGGTATCACGCGCCGAGGACGAGGCCTTGGATCGTTCACAGCCCCGAAAGTCGAGTGGTATGGCCGGCATTGCGGTTCGCAATGGTCCAGTCGATAACGCCATGGATCTGGACGCTCCGAACGGTGTCAACAAGCGCAAGTCACGATCATCTATCTCTCAAGTCAATTACAGAGATGTATCCGATAGCGACGGTGAGCCCCTGGTAGGTTGAGAGCCTCCTTTTCTTCTCGCATTCCCATCTAGGTGGGATGAAAAATTTTAACGTTCGCATTCCTAGGCCAAACGTCCAAGACCTACTGCCAGACCAGTCAACTCCGACTCCGACGATGAGCCAATCAGCAAAATCAAAGCAAAGAAGAAATCATCGTCCTTACTGGCTGATTCGTCTGATGATGAGAAGCCACTAGGCGTCCAGTTGGCGAAGAAAAAGGCTGCCATTGAAAAGAAGGCAGCGAATGAAGCACAGGCCATTCGCTCAAACGACTCAAATTTGGCCAAGTCGACTCCTAAGAAGAACGTCAAGGACGAATCTGATGATGAACCTTTGAACAAATCGTCCATTAAAAAGCGCCAGTCGAATGGTGCGTCGGTCAAACGCAAAAAATCCAATGGCATCAAAAAAGAAGAGTCTGACTCGGACGCCCCTATTTCGAAGAAGGCCAAAGCTACAGGCAAGACCAAGACGCTTGCCAAGGGCAAAGGCGCCGCTACGGCCAAGGACTCTAAGAAGGCCAATTCCAAGGAGACGAGTGACGACGAAGAAGAATATCAATGGTGGAATGCACCAAAGCCCGAGGATGACAGTATCAAGTGGCAGACTCTCGAGCATAATGGGGTTCTCTTTGCCCCAGAATTCGAACCTCTTCCAAAGAATGTCAAGCTCCTTTATGACGGCAAGCCAGTTACTCTGAATAAGGAGGCTGAGGAGGTGGCGACTTTCTGGGTTGCCATGATGACACCTGCCTCCTCACATCACTTGGAAAATCCAGTCTTCCGTAACAATTTTTTTACCGATTTTTCGGACATCGTGAAGAAGAATGGCGGTGCTACAGATCGAGAGGGAAACAAAGTTCATATCAAGAGTCTGGACAAGTGTGACTTCTCCAAAATTTACGATTACTGGCTCGCTAAGACAGAGGCGAATAAAACAAAGAACTTGTCAAAAGAGGAGAAAGAAGCTGCCAAGGCAAAGAAAGATGCTCTTGAAGCGCCGTATCTCTACTGTGTGTGGGATGGCAGAAAGCAAAAAGTTGGCAACTTCCGAGTTGAACCGCCAAGTCTTTTTCGGGGTCGTGGCGAGCACCCCAAGACTGGTCGTGTCAAGACTCGAGTTTTCCCCGAGCAAATTACCATCAACATTGGCAAGGACGCCAAAGTCCCGGAACCTCCTGCCGGACATAAATGGAAGGCCGTTCAGCACGATCAGAAGGCCACTTGGCTTGCCATGTGGCAAGAAAACATTAACGGCGCTTACAAGTATGTGATGCTTGGTGCTGCCAGTGATGTTAAGGGCCAAAGTGATTACAAGAAGTTCGAGAAAGCCCGTGAGCTGAAGAAATACATTGGCAAGATTCGCAAGGACTATACCAGGGAACTAAAGAGTGAAATCATGGCTGATCGCCAGCGAGCCACAGCAATGTATTTGATTGACAAACTTGCCCTCCGAGCCGGAAACGAGAAAGATACTGAAAACGAGGCTGATACTGTGGGTTGCTGTTCCCTGAAGTATGAGCACATTACACTTGAGCCACCTGACAAGGTCACGTTTGATTTCTTGGGTAAGGACAGCATTAGATACAACGAAACTGCCTTCGTTGAACCTCAAGTCTTCAAGAATTTGAAACTCTTCAAGAAGGCACCAAAAACTGATGGAGATGATCTTTTCGACCGTCTGACTGTGAGTCTAGAATCCCCAAAGCTGCTATCAGTCCTCTATCCTCCGCTCCCGTGGCTAACTCGAGGTTTCTAGACCTCTCAACTCAACAAGCATCTCAACAGTTACATGACGGGTTTAACGGCGAAAGTATTTCGTACTTACAATGCTTCTTACACCATGTCAACATTGTTGAAGGAGCTGTCGCAAGATCCTCGATCGAGAGGCAGCATTGCTGAGAAGGTGAAACTGTATAATGACTGCAATCGCAAGGTTGCCATTCTCTGTAACCACAAGCGCACTGTCGGTGCAAGTCATGAGCAACAAATGCAGAAAATGGGTGACAGAGTAAGTAAAACTTAACATCCCATTTTATTTAAGGATGGATGCTGATCGCACCTTTTAGATTAAAGGATTGCGATACCAAAAATGGCGAACTAAGAAGATGATACTTGATCTCGAACCTTCTTATAAGAAAAAGAAAGGGGCTAGTTGGTTTGAGCTCGACGATGATCTTGACCAGGCCTGGATCCAGGAGCATCAGCAATTTCTCATCGAGGAGCAACGCACCAAGATCACCAAGAAGTTCGAGAAAGACAATGAAAAACGCAAGGCCAACAAGGAGAAGCCCATGCCTGAAAAGGAACTCAAGGAGCGCCTCCAAGCAGTCAAGGAACTTGAAGCCAAGTTCAAAAAGGAGAACAAAACTGGCAAGGTTGAAGCAGAAGGCAGAGGGGCATCCGTTGACAAGTGCCTTAAGGCTATCGAGAAGCTCGATGAGCGAGTCAAAGTTCTCGAAACCCAAGCCGAAGATCGTGACGGAAACAAGGAAGTCGCGCTGGGCACTTCGAAGATTGTAAGTTTTCGCAGATTCAGAAGAGGATTCGCTCGGCATGCTGATGTGTGTAGAACTACATTGATCCTCGTTTGACTGTTGTATTTTCGAAGAAATTTGACGTGCCGATTGAGAAGTTCTTCTCCAAGACCCTTCGGGACAAATTTCGATGGGCCATTAAATCAGTCGAAGATGCTGATGACTGGGAATTTTGAACGCACTTACAACGCCACTCACTAGATTGTGTGCAGTGTGTTGCACTACTATGAAATAAAACTCAAAACTCAAAACTCAAAAAAAAAAAAAAAAAGACCAGATGCTCTCTACATCGACAGACAGCTTCGATTATACATATACGTGGGTTCGGTCATACATTTCGCGAAATGATGACTTGTACTATGGAGCATTGGGACGGCGAACCGGAACAAGTGGCGCAATGACGAGTGGGAGGCCTGCGTTGATGCGGTGATTCAATTGGGGTTTGACACGCGTGGACACGCTTTGGAAACTTGGTATATATATATGCCTTTTTGGTTCATCTAGAATATCTGTGTATGCAGGATTCTTCAAAAGCACAGCGTGAATGGGACGCAATCCCAGGCTCCACTGGCAAAGGTTCAAGATGGCGAGGGTGTTTTACGGGGATGACTTGAGAATTCTAGATGAGGCACTTCGTTGTATGGAGTACACAGCAGAATCAACTACTTGCTTTGCTTAGCACAACGACAGCTTTGTCTAAAAAAATGCCGTCTAGTACATGAGTTCGGCATCAGCGACCTTGCGACGCCTTGGACCCTGCGAAACTCAAACTCTTGACGTGCAAAGCGCTGTCAGCGTTCCAAGTCCGTCCATGTCAGCGGCGTGTGGGATGGGATATATTCCTGTTGCGGAGTAATGTGTATTCGCGTCATTTTCCGGAACAATATCTTGCGGTGTTCTAAACTATACATTATCTAACTCGGTCAATTCAGAGGTCTCTGAAGATTCCAGCCTACCCATCATTCGCCAACACAACACGTGCTCCTAGCTGGTACTCTAAACAAACTTCAGGGCCGCATGGGCAAAAAATGGTCCGTCTCTCTGCATCTCCCAAGTCGCCAAGATGGGAGGTCAAGTCATAACATCGTGCCGGTTGCCAAAACACCATTCTATACGTGCGAATGCGCCGAGTCCCGCAGGAATAAACAAATATCAAACGCCAGGCTAGTATCATGAATACATCATCCAAAGGTATGCCACAGTAATAAACGGGAAAGGGTAAACAAAAGGCAAAAAATAAATAAACAATAAACCCCCTGTAGGGGCAAATGGGCGGGTGCAACTACCAAAGACGGGACAACACCGCCCAGGCCAGCATCACAGGTCCCAGAATGACCGTGGCAAGGGAGGTCGACTTTTGCAACGCTGAGGCGTTGCTGCGCATGATCTTGCCGTTGGGAGTCATATGCCAGCCGCCGGGGAGGGGGCCACCACTGGGACTCGCGCCGGCCACCCACGGCCACTCAGTCCGCGTGGCGGTCGCGGGGCTCCCGTCCTTGGCCATGCCCCCGACGGGAATGGGCACGATGCCCGTGGTAGCGGCTCCAGGGGGGGTGGCCGTGACGGTTAGGGAGTTGGCCTTGTTGAAGTTGCCGTTGACAGAGCCGTCTATGGCCTCGATGGACTGCCAGGTCCCGGATGTGTCCTTGTACTTGTACTGCTTGCCTGTGGAGTAGTCTGTTACAACGACCTTTTGCACGAGCATGCTGAAGGGGCCCTTGGAGAAGTCGGTCGGTCCGCGGGCCCAGTCCACCGTGCCCGGGGCGTTGGCGCTGGCGTCACCGCCGGCCCAGGCGCCGAACTTGACCTGCATCGGCGTCTGCGGGTACTGGTTGGCTTCGGCGTCGGAGGCCTTGAGTTCGCGGAGGACCTTGTCACCGGCCATCCACACGATGCGGTCCTGAGTCCAGTCGATGGTGTAAGTGATGAAATTGGCTTGCGTGCCGCTGACAGCGTGAAATTGGCCGCGGTTGTAGGTGGTGGTTTGGCCCTTTCCAAAGTAATTGGACTGTATCTCGTCCGGATTGGAGCCAAGCCACTCGATATCGATCTCGTCGAGGCTGTCGGCTTGCAGGACCAGGGAGGACACGATTCCGGCACCAGGCGCGGCCTTCATGGTGATTTCGACGCGGCCAAACATGATGTAGAAGACAGACGCGAGCTGCGGTGCGTCGCGGCTTCGGGAGACGGCAAAGGACACGCCGTTGCTGCTGTAACTCGGGGAGCCGGATGCTGCGAAGGAGTTTACGGCACCTTGGCGGAAGTCGACACTTATCGTCATCCCAAGAGCCAAGTTGGGAGCACATTGTGCTGAGAGGAGGGGGGGAGATGTCAGTCGAGGTTGGTTTTGGTGTAATAGAAGGGGGGGATCAATCTTTTCGCGGACGTACTGCTTTGCAACGCATTGCATGTGCTCCAAGTCTGCGCCCACGCTGGCAGGGAGAAGCTTGCTGCTGCCACTGCCACTGCTGCCGTTGCAGCTTTGACTATGCTCCTCATGGTGGTTGTGATGTTGCACGGGCCGTGTCTCGATGTCGGTCAAGGTGTATGATGCTCCCTCTCTCTCTCTCTCGCTCTGTGTATATATATGTATAGATGTATATATCCTTGCGGTCCTTACGTCACACTGCACCGGGCATGCTCTGAACTGGCCCAGCTTGATGTAGATGACGCAGACGGTACGGCGTATGGAAGGAATAACAGATGATGAAGAGAGGAAACGGTCGGTGCTCAGTCGATTCTCAACGCGGGTACTCCGTATAGTTACCAAGCCGAGCAGGCTGGGCACCGCCCTGGCCAGCCATCAACAACCTGTCGTCATAACAGCAGAGCAGGCATCAAGCATCCCCAGTTTTCAATCCATCTTGGGTCCAATTTCGTACAGCTACGTGTGTCGAGTCAGTCTAGGGGCATGTGATTGGCTAGGAAGGAACCAACTGTTGCATCCAATGGAGGAGAATGAAGGGGACCAAGGAAAATGAAAAATAAAAAATTGCGCGGTGCATCATAACAAACACCACGGGCTAATAATATAGGAAGGCTGGGCTGCATGGATTTGTTTGTTTGGAGGCGGGAGGCGGAGGTTGGGCGGGAAGTGGCTGGGGCGGGGTCCAAGCTTGCCTTGGCCCGTTTCGGAAGGCAGGCTACCCTGTATCTGCTCCCAATGTTCTTGACGTTGATTTCCATCCATCGTCAATTCTCCTCTCGCTTCGTATTCCATAATCTATCAACCTAGGTGACTCTGTGGCTTCACGCCCGACGCAGTTCAGATCCGCAAGGACGGATGCCTTATCGAGGCTGTTCAGCGTGGGGTATACGGTCACCTGGTGCAAACTAGTTTCAACGCCATGATTCAATACCGTCTCCACGCGGAGCACGATGACGATAGTACGGAGCGTCAAAGCGACGCAAACTTAACCAACACCAGTTTCTTGACCGCAGGCCCGGAAAGACCGCGCAATCCATCTGCCCAGGCACAGACAAAAAGGCTGAATCCGCGTGACGCCATTCGTGACCACTACGCACGCGTTGCCACTCACACTGCGCATGCCTCATGAGAATCGCACACACCGACCGCACTGCGCGCGTGATACGAAACAGCTCGCCATATCGAGACATAGCAAGAGCCTTCGAACACGGCCGTGTCGTCCCAGGCTCAAGCATCCTGCGATACTTTGCAAGCCCACTCTCCCCGCACAATTGAGACGGTGACGCTGCGAGATATCAGATCTGGTTGGACATGGAGGCCGAGAGCCGCAAGCGCCGCATACTTCAGATCGAGGCTAGCCCACACCCAACCGACTCTGATAGAGAGACCTGACCAGCTGGCAGGCAGGACTTCTCTCCGTCCAAGGCGCGGTCTCATCACACCCGCATTCTTTTGTTCGTCTGCAGGGAAGGTAAAAAAAGACGCATTTTTGGCACAGATGAATGTCGTTGAGAACTCGCCCAAGACGTTCTAAATAAAAAAAAAGTAAGCAAAGCGAAAGGGAAAAGCAGGATATTCACCCACGCTCAGCATCAGACATCAACCCGTCTAATTCCATCAACCACAGAGTACTCCGTACCTTTCGACGCCTTTGTATGGAGTACGAAGTACTTAATTGGGCAACATAACTCGTGACCCTAAAGGTGAATGCTCTGCCACCCACCAGTCTCACTCGCGTCACGCCCCTCATTCTGGGCGGAGGGGTCAACTGGACGACAAATGTTGCGCGCGTCGGCGCCAGGCGAGAACATGACGAAGCCAAAACCATGGCGACCTTGGATATACACGGCCATGACGGTGTCTTGAGGGGATGTACATACTCGGTGCAGGTGTGGCCGGCTCCCAAGCTGATGATGGCTCGTGGCCATTCCGTCCCGCTTGCCGTCTTGATGTCGACACTCCTCGTCAAAGTGATTAGATGACTACAGCATCCAAAATCGAGATACCGTGTATGTATGTCACCTGAGAAAGAAGAACACCTCAAGATGGATAAATCATAAGCCCAGCAGATTTGCGACAACATGCTCTGCCCTCATCCCCGTTCCCCCTACTGAACACACAAAAAAAAAAAAAGAGATCGCGATGCCAAGAAACAGACTGTCACCAGCTTTCTTTTTTTTCCTTCTCCCATTGTCTCAGAATCTCAACCATCCCTTGCTGAGCGTTTCCTTTTTCCTCTTCGGCGGCAAGGCCCAGCCCCGACGCACGAGTGCAAATGCGTCAACAAGCTGTGGCTATTCTTCCACACCGACGCTTCGTCTACGGCTTAGACGCGCGTACTGGAAAGCCGCAAGAAGAAGCAAAACAATTTGGGCTATAAATGCACCCCTCAACCAGTAGTTGTTCAGCTGGCCGGAGCCAGCGCCAGGAACTACAAAAGAAACAAGAAAATGGAAGAAAGAGGGACTGCGGGGAAAATGAGAAGTGAATTTTTTTTTTAAAAAAAGGACGCATACAAGGAGAGAAAGCCACCTACCCGCGCGGAAAGAGACGAGAGCAGAAGACATGAGATGTGAGTGATCAGAATCGGCATATCTTTTTGAATGCAGCACCGTGATAATATGCCTGCTCCGTACTGAGTACCGGTTTCCGCGTCCGCGTCCCGCCTCACGGAGAGTTTAGACTGAGATTCAGTACCGGATGAATGGCAGGTCGGGAGGAGCTGACCTGACACCTCGGAGAAGTGCGGAGCATGTCGTTGGTATTATAATTTATGATGATGTATAGTTATTTGCAGCGCGTGATACCAGGGAAACCCTGGCGCCACCTCTACCTCTACCAACTTTGGCTCGAAAACACAAGCCCAATAAATAAACTGATGTGCTTCCGACTGGGGAATGGATATCCATTGTTTGCTTCCTTGCTGATTTGCAGTCGATGCTGACCGCTCAAATGACATGCCGGACCCTGAGCCCAGCAACCGCTCAATGCTTGCAATGCGGCCCGGAGTGCCAATGGACTTGGGACGAAAAGTCGACAACCTTCCGGGTGGTAGGCTGTAACAAACTTCAGGGAACGCGACAATACAAAGCAACGGATGAGACAAAAGGTCTGCCGCTGTCACAGGCGTACTCCGTACACACAACCGTTTTCCGTGGGTCCGCGAATGACGTTTTGTCCCTGTCCGACACGATGGCACGAGTCTCGCCGGGCCAGCGGAGGTAAATCGGCCGCAGGTTGTTGCAAAAGATGCGGCAGTCCTCGTCCACTTGTGCCGCGTATGCGCCGCAGTGCCTGATTCTGCGAGGAGTACCAAGTAATCGACCCTGGCGACTGAGATTTTCTAACGATAGTACGGAGCGCATATCCAGAAACCTACTCCGTAGTGGATTCCAGATACACCTGAAGCCGTTTCGTGCTACGTGTTCGGGTGGTTCGTTTCATTCCCACAGCGTTACACGGCGTGGGTTCCGGTCTGGGATGAGAACATGCCGGCCCATCAGGGCCCAGGGGTCCAGATATACCCTCAAGTACCGGTAGCAGTTTTCTCTGCCGCAGCCAACGTGACATGGGAATCTACAACAGGATGGTGGTATAATTAGCTTTGCCCTTGATCCAGTCTACTGAAATGGTTCGGACAAGAACGTGGTGGATCCGCTGGCCTTCTCGAAGGTTTGCTAGCCACGCCTCTCTCGCAAGTGCCTTGCTTGGTGAGTGCTAGTGCGAGCCTGGCTTGCCGTCCGGAAAGATACGAGTGCCTCGCAAAGGAGCGCGTGGTGCAAAACAGCTGGGGCTGCTGCCGTTTCTTAACCCGTTTCTGCACCACGACGCATTGGCATTGTCTCGAGCTCTTCTCCATGGGCGTATACTCGGTATAACCGTTTCGTAGCTTGGTTCTGGTCTGGATATGTCAGAGCATTGTCTTGAAGTAGACCGACGAGATACGGAGCGCCTACGGAGTACCCTGCCCCCGGGCCATGGCCCAACTCGGACCATCAGTTCTCTCGGGTATTATCCTCTCGTTCATCTCGCCCAAGACATGAATGACATGACGGCCGAGACTGCCGGCCAAATTGTGCGGACAACCGAGGACTAGTGCGCACACCTAACTACCGATAACGTGGTGAACATTTACATTAGCCCAAATTGCCATGTTACCATATTTGGGATCTTCCAGAATCATACCACGGCATTTTCATGTCCCCACCGTAATTAGCCACCTGCTATTACGGAGTGGTTTGGCAACGAACCTGGATATCAACTAAACCTGAGCGACCAGGGCCGCTATTGCCACTGGCCAGACCAGTTTGCCAGTCCAGCGCCCAACTGGCCGATGAGGGTGTGTCTTGGATGATGATATTGGCCTGGCGATATTACAGCTGGCGTCCGGGCCATTTGCCTGGCCCATCCACGCCTGCCGACTACCTGGGTGCCTAGGTAGTTCATCGTTGTAACGACTCGTTCAACACTCTGCCGTCGTTATCCAAGCGTCTGACTATGGCCATCAAGTGCTGTGACGGGACGGTTGTGGCCGCGTCACAAACCCCATAGCCATCGTGGGAGGTCTCGGAGTGGCGTCGTCGCATGACACTGCCCACTAAGTTAGTGGTTTGCATCTACTCGGAGCAGCGCTGCAACTATCCACCAGTGTCTTGCAAAGAACTCGACAACAACTGACGTGACTCCTCACAATTCAAGGTCCCATTGATCCGACACACCAGGTAACCAGGGCTGCGAATTGGGGGTTGGAGAGAGAAAGACCGTGTCGGCCCAACCGCACCGTCGGTGGCAAATGCTCACAAGTTCAGGCCAGCCAGCACAGCACGGTGGACCGTGGAGCTGTGGACTGTCGTCGAGGGCTTGGACACCAAAGCAAGCGTGGAGCACCTCCGGGTTGAACGTTGGCTCGCTTCAATGGCAGGGTTGTGCTCGATCCGGTTCCGAGAGTCCAACAGATACGTACTCCGTAGCAACTTCGCCTTGGCTCGTCGATGGTACTCCGTACGTAGTACAGGCTACCCCATCCAACTTACTACGTACTTACGTACTACTACTCCGGTGGCCCGGGCTTTAGGCTGGCGCAATGGTCGATGTGGTCTCTCCATGTCTCAGAACATTGACAGTTGTACATTGTACTTTGGATGCAGAACCCGCAGCTGGGCCGGTCACCTGGCCGCCCCCTCCTTGTGGGATGTGTCTGCTGGCGATGGTCATGGGTGAGGTTATTCGAGAGATCAACGAGACCGACATTGTCGGGGTCACTCGCCATGACCTGATTGACGGGGGCGTACTCCGTAGGCTTTGCGGTGGCGATGGGACGGAGGAGCAATTAAGTATGCCAGCTTCCTGGTGGCGGGCGGGGATCCAAACCGTCGCCCACAGAACGGTTCAGTTCAGCTAGCTGTCAAGGCCAATCATCAGCAATTCTTGCCTGTTCCTGCATCCGTGAACGGGGTCCGTCTGCACCAAGGTGCGTCTTCTCATCGGTACCTGCAGGAAGGCGGCGTGACTGCAGATGGCTCCCTGTCACGTTGGCCGGTACGGAGTAAAGAATATTGATTGCTTGTGATGATGCAGTAAGCGACATGATTGATTCCGTTTTCGCTGCCCGCTCCGTACAAAACATGGTAACAGGGTGGTCTGATGAAGACTTGCGCATGTCCGCCGCTTCATTCATGCCTTGCTCTTACACGAGGCCACGGAAACCGCGCATCACGGCCCGCCTTGGACGTGCCCTTTTTTTTTGTGCCCTTTTGCCTGAAAGGCCTTGAGGATTCTCGACGCCAGGGTGGAAACGTCTGCTGACAGGCCAGCCACCTACCTAATAGCAGATCTGACAATCTCGGGAAGAGCTGCGGGTTGCATTGCGCATGTTGCACAAAGTTCAGTGTACGGAGTACGGAGTACACCGAAGAGAAATACCAGTAGTAATACTGGCACAACAAAAAAAAAAAAAAAAGGCCAGGATCGGTGCGGAGTGCCCACGGAGTACAGTAAACCAGGTCTATAACGATAACCTTCGTGAGCAATTTTCCATCGTTATAACCCGACTACAGGGATTATATCGCTAAGATGCGACTACCCTTTTAGGAAGGAGCCCCATATAATCCCACTTTTGTTAGTACGATAAGGCTGATAAGGCCTGATAAGGGATTTTAGGGGGGGTAAGGTGGTGTATAATTATAAACTTACATATATTAATAAGCAAAATTTATGAGAAAAATCGCTACAAGTAAGAAGTCACTTTTATATACATAACATATAGGAAAGGTACTTCACGCCTAGGCGTGTGTGCCGAATCGCTATAGCAGGGGATCGTTATAAACCTGCTTTACTGTACAACAACCATGGTTCCTCGGCAAGGTCTTGGTGCTTCACCGCAACCAACGGGAAAGACTGCTCGATTTTTTTCGCCCAACTGTTAACTTCAGTAGCAGCAGTGCGTGGCATTCGCATTCGCCCGTGTGCTCGAGTACACTGACAAGAAATACCCCGTCGGGCATTTATTACTAGTCAGTTCTGCAGTTCTGTCCACCGCACACCCCAGCATTCGGCTGGAACTACTAGTACGTACGTTGTGGACGTAGTGGCTAGGTGTTGGTACCAACTCGTGGACCTGCATTGACACGAGGTGGTTGATCTCTGGCAACGTTGCCGCCAGTGTAGCTGCGAGAAGAAGCATCTCGATCTCGACGGCCTTTGCAATGTTTGCGCCAAAATTCGGGCTCGGCTGTCTGCTCGGCGGGTAGAAGGACATGTGAATGCGAAAGCTTGCTGGATGTGCCCTCTGATCTGACGGCCATGAACGCTGTGCTATGGCTCTGGATGCCTGGGGCCTTGTCAGGCAGACACACTCGCAGTATTAGGTGCCCGCCCAGTAGTAGTTAGTTGTGCAAGCCATGGCTGCATTACGACGACACGACGACACGGCGTGACGACCCACGTCGCAACGCCCGCATGCACGCTTTGCCCATTCACAAAGGTCACTGCATCTCAATTGGTGCTTGTGCACCTTCTCTCCGCTGGTTCAGGCACAGGCGCAGGCACAGGCACATGGTTTTTTCCTTTGAGCCTATGGCCCGTACTCAGGTGTGTAGCCAGCCACGCGACGGGTTTTATGCAACGCTAGGGTTTCAGGTTGATCAGCCCCGACCGTGGCCAATGGGACTGCATCCGCAGTCTCTAGCTCGGAGCACAATTCAGTTCTCGCCGTTGGATAACTTTTAGGCACATTTCGTCTGGTGTTGCTTGCCATGCTTTGAGCCCGCCGAGCTCCATTCCCGTGATTAGCCTCCGCTTTGACTTGATGCGATTCGTCTAGCGCTCCAACGGTTCTGAAGATCGGGCCGCTTACGACACTACCAACCCATGTGCAGACTAAAGAAAGGGTCGTTGAGCGATGCATCTACGGCTTAAATTTTTTGCACTGGATACTTTTGTCATGTTGAACAATACAAGTTCACTTTTTTTTTTTCCCGCCTCCAAGTTGTGGTCCGATGTCAAAACCGTCGGTGCCACCATCGACAACACGGAACGCAATGCAATCCTTCCGCGGCTGACCGCTCGTCGTTCACTCCAAAACTGCCCTCATTGCGCCATCGCCGACAATTCTACAGTAATAAATAGGTCCGCGTCCCATTCCCGGCTTTGTTTCACATTGCCTGAGCTAGCATCTCTTTGCCCACTCACCCCACCCGCTCAGCGGCTTGACAGACGGGTACTCATCGGCGGCCCGTGGCTTCAGACTTCAGACTGTGTGGTTCTGGCCTGGATGTTGTCTAGTCCTCCGTGCGCCGTCCGTCCCCGGTATGCCGTTTCGGTTGACGGCAGTTTGGCCTTCCGTCCCTTTGTTCGCCAACGTCTGCGGGGAAATGCTTCGTCAACGTTCCCTTGGGCCCAAGACAGCTGGACCGGCGGCCTCTACGAGGGCACGCGATGTGACGTAAAAAACATGGAAAGGCCGTCTGAGCGCACTCGGGCGAGACGACTGACTACTGGCTCCGTGTCCAAATCCCGAGCGGTATTTGCATGTCGAAAACGGCGTACGGACGGACCACGCGTTTATAGTCATGTATGTGTTGTCGGCTCCAAGGAATACTATCCCCTCCAAGCAGAGTATATAGTCCAAGTCACGTAGCATCTGGATCCGGGGGCATTGACCATGATTATCCCATATACGGATCCTTGAGATCTTGTGTTCATCAGCAGGGGTGTCGTGGGCCGTACGTAGTAGCAATTTGCCTGTACTGACCGACCGACCTGTTGCTACAAGTAACTTCCGATACGGGCTGGAAGGGAAAAAAAAAAGGAAGAAGCTGTTGGTGGTGCAATCGCAATGGAGAATCGAGTTGCTGCATCCAGGCAAACATGCAGCCATATGCAAGGACGAAACACGAACTGGAGAGGGACTTCTTTTTCCAACAGACTAGGCAGCTAAGCCAACAAGGTCCCAAGTCCTGGCATAAGTCTTTGTTTCTTGGGTTGGTCCCTTGTGGTAGAATCCCCTGCCTTGCCTCATCCTGTGTTTGTTATTATAATTAGTATTATTACGTTTCCTTTTAAATTTGTTTCTTCGACGCTAGCAGATTCTGTACATATGCATGACAACTTGCTTGCATCTTGGGGGCTGGACTGGACGCGTGCGAGCTGATTCATGACTCGTGAGGTCATGGCAATAGTCCTAGGCTGGCTCAGCGCTCGCTCCCATGTTGGCGAGGTCCAGGTGCGAAACCAAAGTTTTTTCTGCTCATGTCACGACCAAGCCCAAGCCCAGGAGCAAGTGGCTCCCAGTGGATAAGGAATGACGGACCAGCGAGTATCAAGCGACCGTGACCGCTGACGAGCGACAAGCAGAAGCAAGCAAGTCAACCGGGGACGATGCAAGGTTTGGCGTCATGACGACAAAAGCGGCCCGTTGGCAGGGCGGACAAGTCCTTTTGTTGGAGCGTCCAAAGCCAAGCGGGAAAGCAAGGCCGCGTTGATTACTCCGTACCAAGATGGTGGTGGATAAGTAAGCTGAGCTTGGAGAAGAAAAAGGCTGACAAGATCAGTTGAGATTTCGTGCAAGCGTGGGCAATCAATCTCAGCAGCCAAATTAGCCGCATCCGCAGGGGTGAACCGTATGTATGGTGACACTGGGACGGGTGCATGGGCAATATATTAGTATTAGCACTCCGTACTAACCACGGCGTCTTGATAACATTGTAGGAAATGAATGACCGCTGTCACTACGGAGGGCGTACTACTACCACGGGTGACGGGCAGGTAGAGAGAGAGAGAGAGAGGCCTTCGCGGGTACGTTTGGCACGGTAATACCGAGCAGCAGGATTTGCCGGCCCGTGGCGGCGATCAATTTAGCACGAGCAGCAGCCGCTCACTTTCGTTCGCCGCTTCATCGATGCAATGCTGCAGGCGCCTTGCTTTGCTGAAAATTTTCCATTGGTAGCGTTTGTTGCACACGACGTTTGTTCTTTTTTTTTTTTTTTTCATTTTTCATTTTTCATCCATTTTTTTAGTGGTGTGCGCGTCTTTCTAGCATTCTAATGGCAGTGACGTGAAATGGCGTGGTGAGGCAGCGCAAAGGCTGCGTTCCTCCAAGTACCTAGGTACGTGCCCAGGCAGGTACAATTCGTTCCTGGACGGCTGGATGGCTGGATGGATACCTTGGTACCTGCACCCTGCGCCGCCGCCGCCGCCGCCGCCGCGTCGGTCCACCGTCCACCGAGGTCCAGCAAGTTTGCCCAGCTCGATGCACGCCGCGGCGCTAGCCCATGCTGGGCTGGGCTGGGGTTGGGCTTACCACTCGCACATGTGCGCAAAGTACCAAGAACCCAACCAAGTGCCTTGCACAGGCACCAAAGCACGGTGAAACGACACCACGACGACGAGCCTGCGCGCATAAAACTTAACATAGCTCCACTAAGGGAAGGCATGATCGCCAACCTGCGTCATTTGATGCATTGCACTGTTGACTGCACATTTGGGCAGGCGGGCACAGGCTAATGCAACGAGCAGCCCACACCTTCCCTTTCCTGGTTGCTGTTGCCAATCCGGACGTAGAGAGCAACAAGCGCCATGATGCTCGATGATATTATCGGCCACACGGTGCACCACACCAGACTGTCGACGAGATTACCCCAGATGCAAGGCATGATGGGAATACTAGTACTGTAGATCTCCAGTATGACACGGAGCACGAGAACTCGTTAACACGAAATAGCAGGCAACCGATATCACGCTCTTTGGCGTCACTCTACAATCCTTTTTTTCCCCCATGACCTGTGAGTCTCATTAGCCGGGGACGAAGCGCCGGCAAGTCGTCAGCTGGCGCCAGTCATGGCTCTTGATGGGTCGTCGTGAAGCCGCCCGGATGGAGAGGCGTAACAAAGCAAAGCACAGCCGAGACGATCATGTCGTGTTTTGTTTCTCGAGCCTAGAAGCCGGACTGGTATTTGCTGGTGCCTTGCATTTGCTGAGCCAATGGACACGGTTTCATTCCCAACCGCGACGCGCACACGCCACCACTCACAGCTGAGAAACAGCGAATTATTGTCGAGACCAGCCAAAGAGCGCGCTGACGACATCTGCCCTGCTCACGGTTCGCTGCAACGCCGCAGCCGCAGGACAGACTCGGCGGCTTTGTGCACGTTGGATGGCTCAATGTTGCTTGGACGCACCTATCAGAGGGCAAGACGGGCCTTTGTGCAAAATGGACGCATCGCACCGACGCGGCGGCGTCATAAAACCGGAACAAGAAACGCAAATGGCAAATGGCAAATGCGCGCAGCCAGACAGATGCAGAGAGGCCACCTGCATTTGGTTGCGTGTGGTTGTGCGCGCTGGTGAGTGGTGGACGAGGGGGCCAAGCGAGTGCACAAGTACGGAGCACTACATGCACGAGCCTGGATAAAGAGGGTGGCGACCGAGGTGGCTGACGGCCATTTGCATTCACAGGTTTGGAACACATGCCCACCGCGGTTCTGTTCTGGGTCTGGGCGGCGCCGGACATTGATGCGAGGTTGATGAACATTTGACATGAGAGTTGGCGATGTGTCCTCTCCGACCTTGGGGAACTACCGGCATGGAAAAAGTGGCGGCCTCGACACATGTGTCCAGGCCCTTGACCTTGGGCAGCCGGGTTCTATCATGCTCGGGGCATCAGGGTCTTTTTTCTAAGTACCTTATCCTTGGTAGCCGGCAAACGTCCGAAGGACAAGGAGAAGGAGAAGGAGAAGAACAAGAAGAAAAAGGCGCAAGCAGCAGACAGATGCGTTCGTGTCCACGGCCCAGCGCCCGACAGCTCGAGCTGCCCTCATTGCTTTGTTCTCGGTACGGGAGTATTGTGCATCGTACAGATAGATATGCCCCGTACTCGGAACGGTAGGTTCGAGTCAAAGTTTGGCGCGCGGAACACGTCTTGAACACCCGAGCATGGCTGGCTCTGGCTGATGAGCCTGCCCTGCCAGGATCAGGCACGCATCAGGTACGGACGGCTTGGTCACGGCTTGGTCCAGAATTAGAAATGAAAACCCGTGTCGCTGGCTGCGCCACGCCTGTCCCGTCCCTCTCGCCACCGCCACTGCCACTGCCACTGCCACTGCGCAGACCTTCCCCGTCAGCGACCGAGTGGCGAGCAACCTCACCACGGGTACGGGGTACGTGGTACTCCGTACTCAGTACGTGGTACGGGTACGGAGTACAGAGCACAGAGTACTCCGTACTCCGTAGGGGGACCAGGACCAGCCAAAGTATCTTGATGGATGGTGGCCATCATGAGCCAAGCGATTGGGGTTGAATGTTGATGCCCTCGACTGGCCGCCATGCTATCATGCTCATGCGCCAGGAACCCGGTCGTCGTGTTCAAGGCAGCCTCGGGCAAGCTTTTCTCGTTGGCCACGGGGAGAAATTAGTAGCCCGTCATGATGTGGTGATGAGCCATTGACTCGGCAAATGTCGCCCGCTGGCATCCCATACTGCTGCAAGATGCTACCTAATTAGAGCGGGTTGCGAGGTCCCAGACTCATCATTTTCGAACCTAATACGCTCTGCACTCTGCAGGAGAGACGAGCACTTGGCGGCCGGTCGGCGGGGTGGTCATGGACATAGCTTACATTCTTGGGTGCAGGCACCGAGTAGTCAAGTTGATTGAGCAAGGCTAAAGCAAAAGCAGTACGTACGTGGAAGAAGAGGATGTCTCTCTCACCACGCTCGACGTCTCATCCATTCTGGCTGCAACATGTTTGAAGTCGTCGCCAAGTCCAGGCACTCACTCCTCTCTGCACCTCTCAAGCCAGTGGTCAAACCAAGCCAAGCCAAGGCGCACATCCACACGCCCCAGCGCCCATCCCCATCACATCACATCAAGCACCGAGTAGTACGTACTGTACCGTAGTTAGCATGTACGGGGCACTGGCAGAGGTCTTGTGAGTGCGTGCATGTACCAATCAACCAACCCCTCGACCCTCGGCCACCACCAACCAAACACACATTTTTTCCACCTCGGGTGGCAGAACACAACCACACCACACCACATCACACTCATCATCATCCTCCTCCTCCTGCGCCGCCGCCTCCCTCCACCATCCACACCTCTTCCCTCAAGGGTACCTACGTACCAACCGAGGAGTGTGTGGACGAAACGATACTCGGTCTACACCGTGCCGTGCGCACGGAACCCAGACACAAATCCTCCGTACACGCTCCGGCATCCACATCGTTGGTCCAAGCCCAGTTCCCAGGCACGTTGGCCCTCAGGCCCTCGAGCCTACCCACACACCATCGCTCGACTGCGCGCTGGTACTCGCTCCGTACGAGCTCGGGCTTCCTGCTCTCTGGTCCCTCTTCTGTGTCTTCAATCTACCCACCCCAGACCCCCAGACCACACTCCCGCTGACCAGGGTGTAGCTCTTGGGAAAACCTGTGCCGCCTTGCCCGCGCGACGGACCCAAGGACCCTAGCCAGAGAGGCCCGCACTGTCCACCCCGGTCAACCTCGCGAGTGAGACAGTCCACTTGGACCATGCCTATCGGCGTCGGTGGACTCTTTGCATGGTCTGGCGGCTCTGGTGTTGATCTTGGGCTAGACTTCGTACTTATGCCTCACGGACCCCGTCACCACCTCCGGCTCGGCTTCTCGTTGATCGACAACCTGGTTGGATCTGTTGCTTTTTGATCTTTGCGTCTTCTTTTTCTCAATGCCCTCTCGGTCCTTCCTTTTCCATTCTTGTGAACTCGTGCCACTACTTTAACTTGGATCATCTCACCCACCTTCAACGAGATTCCAGTCCTCTCATTTACAACACCCTTGGTCCCATCTGGATATAACCCTCCGTCCATCTGCTGTCCACCAGACTGGACGAAAGGGTAGCCGTGTACAACATACCCAACCGCGCCGAGTCACTTAATACAAGAGCCAGCTTCTTGATCTGATCAAGTTGTCTGCCGTCCATTCCTTGTCGAAGAAGCTGAGCGTCACCGCACTGCCTGCCATCTTGTCACCAAGACATTCCAGCTTTTGCAACTGTATATTAACACAATCGATTCACGATACGAAAAGACACGAGGTTACAAGCGCCCCATAGTGCGAATTACTTAATATAAAACGACAAAGCAAAAACCTTGTCAGAACACAGCAGCGACCTTGCTTGCGGTAAGCATGGATATCAGAAAGGCGAGCTGGAGTACGTCGATCTGGTGGCTAATCTCTCCCCATGTAGACCACACTTCACAATGGGCTCAACCATGATGCCTCAAGCAGCTCAACAAAATATTGTCTTCAGCAACACCAACTTTGCTCAGCAAAAGTTGGGCTGGTACCAAGCAGTGGCTCCCGCATCTCCTGTCTGCTCTAGACCCGGCTCATCTTGCTCCCAGCCGCCAACCCTCTTCAGCAACGGTCCGGCCGTCTTGACCCCCACGGGATCGCATCCACCAAACGGCGGCTTCAAACCCTCCATCATGTTGGACTCGGAATTTGGTGAAAACTCGTACTTTCCCTCGACACCTCCGCTGTCCACCTCTGGCAGTGCCGTTGGCAGTCCCAAGAGCTGTGATGTTCTCCAGACGCCATTGAACCCAATGTTCTCTGGCCTAGACGGTTTCGTCACTGAAAAGTCTGGATTTGATTCAATCGAGAGCTCAATCCTAGATTGGGCCAGTTGTGACTCACCTCCCATGACACCTGGTGAGTGCTGAACCTGCTTTTTTTTTTGGCATTTTTTTATTTTTATTCCTGGCGTTGGATCTTCCCACGTGCGTCACTGCGCTCAATTTCACGTCAGACGCCGTGGTTGTCAGTTGGACGTTGCGTGTTGGGATTTCGCTCAAAGTCCCAGTGCCTAATTATCATTGGTAGTTTTCGTTCAGTCTCAGCCGTCCAGGGTTCCCTCGCTTAGCAGCACCACAAGCGACCTGTCAAACATTTCATGCCCATCTCTGTCGCCATCACCTGCACCATATGCCAGATCCGTCTCCTCTGAAAACGACGTCGACTTTTGCGATCCTCGCAACCTGACAGTCTCTGCTACTTCCCATTCAAGTCTCATCCCAGAATTCACCCTCAGCTGTCTTGGTGAGGAGGAGGGGAGTTCTCCGGAGCAGAGTGCTTTTAACGCATCTGTCTCCCAACCCGCATTTGACTTTAGCCCCTCCATTACCAGTGGCTTGCCAGCTTTTGGGGAGCTCTCCGACTTCGATTCTGAGGACGATCTGTGCAATTTGGTCAAATCGGGTGAAGTGTCCAGACCCCGCGCATGCACCGGCTCGTCCGTTCTTTCCTTGGGTCACGGCAGCTTCATCGGCGAAGAGGACTTGAGCTTCGACGGGGAAGATAGGTTGCACTTCCCGTCTCCTACCCCACCTTCGAGCGTGGAATCTGTCGACAGCCACAAGGACAAGCGCCAGAAGAAGAACAAAAGCAACAAGAAGGAGCGCCGAGGTGTGCAGGCAGTCATGAACACGGCTGCCTCTGCTGCTGCTGCTGCTGCTGCTGCTGATGACCAGGCTGCTGAAGTTGAGCAGTCAGACCAGACCTCTCCAGTGCCTTCCGAGTCTCATTCCTCAGCAGAAGCCGATACCCCATCTGCTTCACTGCCAGCTCCCACCAACCGACGCGGTCGCAAGCAATCGCTGACGGAGGATCCCTCCAAGACATTCGTCTGTGAGTTGTGCAACCGAAGATTCCGTCGTCAAGAACACTTGAAGCGTCACTATCGATCCCTGCACACGCAGGAGAAGCCATTCGAATGCCATGAATGCGGCAAGAAATTCTCTCGAAGCGACAACCTGGCTCAACACTCCCGCACTCATGCCAGCGGCGGCGCCATTGTCATGAACCTCATCGACAATGCTGAAACCTCCGCATATGATGCCGGCATGGTCGCTCCCCCGTCAGTAGATGACTATGCCAACTACGGCAAGGTCCTCTTTCAGGTCGCTTCTGAGGTTCCTGGGAGCGCAAGTGAGCTATCATCCGAAGAGGCTAGCGACAGTGGCAAGAAGAAGCGAAAGCGTTCGGATTAAATCCTGTTGGGAAGCCCGAAAAAAAGAGGAAAAAAATACACTCTGTCGATGCTGGCTCATTCTTTGGGCCTCGCCAAAGAAAGCCCTCTATCTCGACAGGTTTCCTCTTCGCCCTTCTCCTATCGCTGCCAAAGCACATTTTCATTGTCGTGTGCTTGGTCAGGAAGGGTATGCCTTGGACGGCTGGAAACAACTACATGTGCACAGTAACAAGCGTTTTCATGACATGCATTTACATCTTCGATTCTTGTATCAATTTCAACACTTCCGGTCGACGCTGTTTCTTTCTCGGGAGGACAAAGTGATTCGTTTCGATTTTCGACGCTGTATCATGACCCAAAAAAAGTTTTTTTTTTACACAATGCTTGTAACGGACAAGTCGGGGTGCATCTTGGAGCAAAAAGGAAATGGCGTGCGTGGTGTGGTTTCTGCAACTTGCCGACGATGTTTGCGGAAGACATGCATGCGTGGCCTGGCTCAGCTGGGGCAGCTTCTGTCGCCCTCTTTACACTCGTTATAATCCCTTGCAAGTCGGGAGGAGTCTTGTCTCTTTTTTTTTTTTCCGTTTTTTTTCTTTGCTTTTTGGGACGGCTTGGACACAACCCAGGAGTGGTGGCTATTCTATTTTTTTGCCTTTCGGCTATCTTTACGATTTTTGATTTTTTGATTGTTTATTCCTTCCGCCCCCTCTTCTTTCCGCGTTCTGCCTCTAGTTCCAGTTGAGCGCTGCTCTTTATTCATTTATTATTTTATTTTGCAGTCGTCGGCTAGGTAGTGATTTCAATGTGCTGGTCACAAGTCACGACGAGCTCACAACTCTGTCCTACATTACTGTACAGCACTAGCAATCTTGTCGCAATATTTCAAACAAAACTCTTGACGCTACCGCCCTCAGAAAAGGTCGTGATGTTCTATCTGATGAAACAACTCATGGTGTGTCCCGTGACCATTCCACTCGACTTGTACGGAGGGGTGGCTCGGAAATTACCTCGTTGTGCTGTCTCCTCGGTCTGCATTGTGGCCTGGCCCGTGCCGCGCAACACGCAGACTCAACTTGAGACTGCATCCGCCCAAGTCCCGGACGATGTAGCAAGTCAGACGAGAGGCGGAGAACGAGCCAGTGGTTCGCGGCAACTATTCCTGGGATCGACGCACGACTCGTAACCACTGCCACTCGTTACACCATGGCGACACGGCCACGCTGAACCGAATGAATGAATGAAGGGTCCATCCATCTACTCGGCACGCCGTGCGCACTGCGCTGCGGAGCGTGTCAACAGTAGACTAAACGCTGACATGACCAAAGTCCCAGGGGCCATGCCATGCCAGCTAGCCCCGAGCATGGAACACGCCGGGTCCAGCATGCGAAATGTGATGGGCATTGACAGCATCTCGACAACGGTCCAGCATGCAGAATGTGAGGGTGATGGGCATTGACAGCACCTCCGTTGTCGAGATGAAGATGGCATTTCTGTTCTGGCCTTGCCGCCTCGGAAAGCCGTGACCCCGATGCGGCCCACTACCCGACGCACACCAACCCAGCTTTTTTAGCCCTTGTCAGTCTTCAGTCCGACGCTTTTTTTTTTTTTTTTTTTTCGGCGGGAGCTCGGGCTGCGGATGCGGAGTGTGCCCGGGGGGAGACGCGTCGACATCCCATCGCTCATCCATGCTCGCCATAATGGCGATGATATTGCAAATTTCCCGTTGGGGACCCCCCTCCCCGGGGGCACGGGTGGGCGAATCGGAGAGAGCATATGCGCGCACGACTGGGAATTGCGTCGTCAGTCGTAGTATGGCGTGCCTGTGCCTGACGACAAAACGTGTGGCGTTTGCTCGTACGAAGGCGTCTGTACGTAGTTACCACTACGGAGCACGGGGACGAAGACCACGAGTGAGTAGTGGGCGAGAGGGTGAGTTGGTGAGCGATTCTGGGGCCAGGCTCTTCCTTTGGCCTCGGCGCCAGTGGCGATACCGCCTGGCTTCTCGACGTTGTCGACGCGTCCTTTTGTCCAGGGGCGGGCAGGGCAGCAGGGCGGACAGAGTCTTGTATCGGCCGAGGCTGGCTGGCTGGGCATCATCGTGGTCTACAGACCTGTGTGTGCTACGTGTGCTTTGTACGCCCCGAGCACGGAGCACCGAGAATGTGTAGTTATACGGAGTAACTACGGAGTACTGCGATGGAGTATCCCGTGCGGGACGTAGTCACGGCTGTGGCCGCCATGCTGTGTGACTGAGAGCCAGTGTACGGAGTGCGGAGTATAAAGGAGGGTCTTGGTCGTCAGTGAAGCATATGGAAATGAAAATGGTGTTCTGGAAGGAAGGGAGTGGTCGGTGGTATGATGTCTGCGCACTCCGTGCCATGTACTCGTTAGCATATTCAACAACTACAACTACAACTACAACGGCAACGGCAACGGCAACTACAACAGCAACAGCAACAGCAACAGCAACAGCAACAGCAACGGCAACAGCAACAGCAACAGCAACAGCAACAGCAACAGCAACAGCAACAGCAACAGCAACAGCAACAGCAACAGCAACAGCAACAGCAACAGCAACAGCAACAGCAACAGCAACAGCAACAGCAACAGCAACAGCAACAGCAACAGCAACAGCAACAGCAACAGCAACAGCAACAGCAACAGCAACAGCAACAGCAACAGCAACAGCAACAGCAACAGCAACAGCAACAGCAACAGCAACAGCAACAGCGACAGCAACAGCGACAGCAACAGCAACAGCAACAACACCCCGTTGCGAGCACGTTTCTGTGTAGCCGTCAAACGGTCTTGCCTTGCCCCTGTACACTTGTCTGCACGGAGCAGTACACACAGGGGGAGCACTCCGTACTCCGTAACATCATGGCAATATCAAGCCCTGTTTGGTCTCGGAACCACCCAATTTCCTCGTGGTGTTTTGGCTCTGAACAGCACCCAACGCAACGTCCATCAAGGAGAACTCGTCATTTTCGGGCGGAGCTGGCTTTCCGCTGGTTTCTGTCTCGTTTCTGGACGGAAAAGCCAGGGGGGAGGGGTGCAGGTGTGTGTGAGTGAACGAGTACGAGCACGTAGTGAGAGACAGAGACAGAGGCCATGGTTTCGCCGTCGACCGGCACTCCAACTCCGTCCGGACCTTGCTGGCTTGGTTGGACGCCTCTCCATCGGAGAGACAGACTTGGCCACGACGGGTTGAGCTGATGAAGGCCCTGCCAATCTGCCAACTTGCCGCTGCCACCCTGCCCGTGCATGAGCCCCAGGGACCAGGACCCGGACCAGGACCAGGACCAGGACCAGGTGCGCTGCTGCCTACTGCCTCCGAGGCCCCGTGGTGCCTGCCTGTCCCGTGGGCCGTGGCAAACAAGGTACGGAGTACGGACGGCGGCGGTCGGACGAGGAAGTGGTAACTACCTATGTAAGTACGTACCTACCTAGTTACGGAGTCTTGTGTGTGTGTACGGAGTACTCCGTCATAATCGCAAGTGGACAGATCATTTTGCAGCTTGCTCCGTTTGTGTGCACAGAGAGAAAGGCTTGGCCGAGCCGGGCCATCGCCGCAGCTTCCCCGGTGCTATGACCTTTTCTTATTAGGTGAGTTGGTGATGGGACACTGGTGATGTATATCACATCTTTTTTCATCATCATCATCATTATTACCATCACTGGTCGTTGCCACCCCAATACCAGTCACTACACTAGGCTGACGGCAGTGCTGGCACAAACAGCGGGCTGATGGTGTCGGCGGTCAAGTCGAATTAGCCTTTTGGATGCCATGCGTTATTGCCCAGGCCCGAGGAACCTGTCAGGCAATTAGTCTGTACGTGCTCCAAACGCTGGAGGTTTCTATGTCGGCACAAACGTACGTAGCGCGCGACGGAGGTTGAAACGACGTTCAGGTTGAAGGGAGTGAGAAGTTGTGCATAATAATGACAGGCTTCGCAATGCGGTCCCCGGTACGGAGCACTGGCAGTAGCATTATCAAACCTGTCGTTGCCGTTTGCATGACATTTGTCCCTCGACGACGTCCCTCCTGCTGAACGGCCAGCCACACCGTTCCGGCGCCAACTCGACGCCGTCGAGCCCCAGTGCTAGTAAATACGGAACACGGCTCGCTGGCTTGGCACTGTCCAGCTCTGTTGTTTCAGTTGTTGTACGTCTGCAACGCCCGGCGTGGATAGTTTCGTTAGTCGTGAACCGGCAGTCATGCGACGGCGCGGCGCGGCGGGCAAGGGGGGCGATGAATGATGGGATTTAGGATTCTGCATGGAATTTGCGCATGCCTTGCCTCGAGTCCCATGGCGTTATAATAACAGGAGGTCGTCTGGTGATTCTGGTTTCATGCGACAAGCTTGTCGGTGAGTGGTCCGTCCGTAGGGGGATATAATGTCGGTGCTATCGCCGTGGATGCAGCCCAAGATGATGATTTTATGCCAATCGAATTCGGTCCTCGGTCCTTGGTCCTTGATCCTGAGTCCTGACCCGTGGGCTCGTCGTCGCCGTCGAATACGCTGCGCAAAGTGCACTGTGAGAGCCCGGCGCGCATCTCCCATGCAATACGTGACGCAATGTCCATGTTCTCGTGCTTCTTGGTTGATTCTTGGTCTCCCAGAACGTTGACAACGCCCTCCTTCCTCACCTTTCACGAGGCTGCAGCCAGCCAAGCCAGTCCACTTTGGACTCCGTCCACGTGGGGATCCACCCGCGACCTCGAGGACAACGAGCGATGGCATCTGCAGCCATGCGAAAACGCACCGCACAATGCAACATGCAGCTTGCGACATGCAAAGGGGAAAAAAAAAACCATGCGCCGCGCATCGATAACTCACACGCCTCGGCTGCCAACATCCTGACTCAGGCCCGAGGCCATGTCCGGCGACAAGCTCCATGTAATTGCCCTGATATCAGGCGGCAAAGACAGCTTCTACAGCCTCCTCCACTGCATCCATCACGGGCACCGCATCGTCGCATTGGCGAATCTTTTCCCCTCCAGCGCCGCCGACGGCTCGACCGCGGTTCGCGCCATCGAGCCAGGCTGCCATGGCGACTCGCCGTCAGGGAGGACGGGGCACCATGAGCATGCCCCCTGTGTCCCGGAAAAGGACTTGAACAGTTTCATGTACCAGACCGTCGGGCACGACATCATCCCGTTGTACGCCTCTGCCACGCGTCTCCCGCTCTACCGGCAGGCCATTCTCGGCACTTCCCTTTGCCGTGGACGAGACTACGACTACGCGTCGGTCCACGGGCAAGGACCCGTCGCCGCCGGTGACGAGACCGAGTCCATGCTACCGCTGCTGCGGGCTGTCATGGCCCGTCACCCGGACGCGAATGCGCTTTGTTCCGGCGCCATCCTGTCGACATACCAACGGACCAGAGTCGAGTCGGTGGCGCTCCGGCTCGGACTCGCGCCGTTGTCCTATCTCTGGAAGTACCCCCTCTTGCCGTCCGTACCGGGAGCGCCAGCCGACGAGGCTCAGTTGTTGAGGGACATGGCCGCTGCCGGGGTCGAGGCCAGGATCATCAAGGTTGCGAGCGCCGGTCTGGACGAGCATCACCTGTGGGAGAGAGTCACGAGCGAAACCGGCGTGAGGCGGGTCAAGGCTGCTCTGAGGAAGTTTGGCGCCGCCGAGGGCGCATCGCTCGGCGAGGGCGGCGAGTTCGAGACCATCGTGGTGGACGGGCCCGCCATTTTGTTCAAGAAACGCATCGCCGTCCCCGTCGGTGGCAGAAGCGTTGTTTCCGAAGGTGGAGGCTCCGCCTGGTTGATGCTTCGCGGAGCAAAACTCGAGGATAAACCCGTGCAGGAGCCGGAGCCGCAGCTTTCGGTTCGTGTGCCCGGATTGCTCGGGCCGCTGTTCCAGTCAGTCGCCGATTCTTTGGACCAGCCAGCTCCCGCTCCCGCTCGGCAAGCCGCCGGCTTTACTTCTTCAAAACTCGTCCCAAAGTCCAATGTCCATCTCAGGGCCGACTCGGACACCTCGCACTGGGTTGTCGCTGCAGATCCGTCGGCCGGCGGCGGATCATGCATTCACGCCGAGACCATCAACGTGGTCGACAAGATCAAGCTGCTCCTGTCGACAAACGGACTAGAACCATGCCAAATTACGAGTGTAATCATTCTCCTTCGTAGCATGGCAGATTTCGCAAGCGTCAACACCGAGTATGGAAAGCTATTCACGAGGCCAAACCCGCCGTCGAGAATCACAGTATCCTGCGGAGACCTTCTGCCGCCAGGCAGAAACATCGTCAGTTACATGACAGCACCCGTTGCAAACGCCAGAGTCGCGAGAACTGGGCTTCACGTTCAATCCAGGTCCTACTGGGCACCCGCCAATATTGGGCCATACAGCCAAGCTATTGAGACTGCTGTCTCCGTAGATGGTGAGCCCACAGGCTTGAGATCGGTGCTCATCTCGGGACAAATACCGCTTCTGCCCGCGTCAATGGCTCTGCCACCCGCATCAAAGACATCGGTACAGGAACAGATTGTGCTTTCTCTCCAGCATTTATGGAGAATCGGTGCCGAAATGAAGGTTCAATGCTGGAGCAGCGCCACGGCGTACTTTGCCCGTCAACACGGCGACAGTGCCGCGCAGAAGAGCACCATGATGCTTGCTGGACGGGCTTGGAAGCTCGCGCACGGCTCTCCAGATGATGATGACGACGGTGGCGGTGGTGGTGATGATGATGATGGCGGGCCTGATCTATGGGATTTGAAATACAACAAACAGTTTCGGGCACTGGGGCCCACGGAGACAGAAACGTCTTGTCCATCTATTCCAGACTGGTCGGCGTACACGTTGAGGCAGCAGAACGAGCCCGGCTCATGCATTCCGCCAGTGTTTGCAGCCGAGGTGGAGAGTCTGCCGAGAGGATCCCTCGTCGAGTGGCATGCTCACAACGGCCTCAAAAATATCGAGGCCGGTTCTGTTGAGCTGATTCACTTTACGACTGCGGGTACCGATGGCACCGGTGGCTGGCAAAGCTGGCATATGACTGTCAAGGCTGGCGAAAACCATGTCGTGTTTACCGCGATGGCCTACCCGGGCGCCAGTCACGACGGAGCCGTCGAGTTTGACGTGCTGCAACGCGAGCTTGGCCCGAGGTATCAGGAATCGATGCACAGGCTACAGCCCAACATGAGTAGCCCGGCAAACCTGTTGCCCTACCTTGGCTACGTCGATTTGAACAGGACGGAGGGTTTGTGGAGGCACAAAGGCGGTGCTGGCATCGACATGGCATTTGCAGTCGTGCCCTGCCATTCAATTTGGGGCCCTACCGGCCAGCGCCTCACAGCGGTGGCATTCTACAAGGCAATTCTGACGGCGTCGGACGTGCGCGGAATGGAGCAAGACATGGTTGGGGTTGGGGTGAAGGAGTATTGAGTGCTTCGGTAGACGAGACACCAAAATGGGTGGATGAAGCCAAATGTGGATGGAACAGACAGGGATAAATACAATAAAGCCTATGCATCTACACATGGCATTTCGAGAAGCAGAGAAAAGAGGCAAGACATGCATGCCAGTTCCAGACAAGAGGCAAAAGTCATGCCCCAAGTTGACTGCGCGGTGGCAAGTTGCGGGTCAGCACATGTTGAAATGACGTTGAATATCAATCATGTCAGCCGCGATGCGGCCCCCACCGAGGGCGGACTAGCTCCGTAGCAGCGAGCGTTTGCAGACGACGACTTGCCAAACTTGTTCCTACCGGAGAAACAGCACTTGAGCACGGCCCCAATCTCTCAGACATCAGACATCAGACACCAGACATCAGACACCAGACATCAGACACCAGACATCAGACATCAGACACAATCTATCAGACACCAGACATCAGACACCAGACATCAGACACCAGACACCAGACATCAGACACCAGACATCAGACGCACGCGAATCGGCCCTCGGAGCACGCCATGCCTGCAAGAGCCGGCCTTGCCATCCTGCATCTACCGAAAACCTCTCGCCAATCACAGAAGCAGCCAACCGGCATTGGTACGCTTCCCACGCTTCCCAGGCAGACTTGCAATGGGCGATAGTCCAAGCCCGCAGAGGGCAGACGTAGGCCCTGCCAGCCCACCAGCTCGCTCGCGAAGCGTCTCGTTCCGGCGGCAGTCGACGACTGAGCGCATCAATGAGATTCTCGAGGTGGGTAGGGTGAACTTGCCGAGAAGTCGTTCTTCGTCTCCTTCTTTTTTCTTTTTTTTAAATAACCCTCTTGCTTCATACTTTGCGTCGTCCTGGTATCCGGACGGCCGTCGCCGAGAGTCGTGGCCGTTGGTTGACAGACCGGAAACACGCGATAGGGTGGCCGCGATCGAGCAGATACCATGAGTACGGACCCAGCACAACTCGGCCGACAGCTATCATGGCAGGCTATAGCTACCGAGGACGAGCCCGCGCCCGCGCCCGACGAAACGACGGGCATTGTGTCCCGGGGATCTGGGCAGAGCTACCAGGCGCTCCATACGGCTGGCACGACCCGCCCCAGACCATCTATATACTCCAGACCGTCACGGCCCGTCCCCTCAGACCGTCCCGAGGATGATGCTCCGAACGGGAGTGCCGAGAGGGAATCCAGGTCGTGGCTGAGAGGGAAGCTGGCGGCCTTGCAGTCTGTTGAGCTGGAGAACAAAGGAAGTGTTGCACGGGACCATCTCGCGCTAGGTATGCCGTCTCCCCCTTCCCTGCCCGGGTTTCTGAAGTCCCATCAACCGTACAACACAACCGTACATACAATGCGGGCAGGCTCGTTCATGTCTAACCTTGTGGGCGCTTGCTCGCTTGCTCGCTTGCAGAACGGACATTCCTCTCCTGGTTACGCACGTCCCTGGCGTTCGCATCCATTGGCGTGGCCGTGACGCAACTCTTCCGGCTCAACACGACGATATCCGGCGGCAATGGAAACTCCGACAACGCCACTCTTCGACGCCTGGGCAAGCCGCTGGGCTCGACGTTTCTTGGCATCAGTATCCTTACGCTGCTGCTGGGAGCTAGGAGGTACTTCCACGGACAGGATTGGGTCATCAAGGGGAAGTTTCCGGCCAGTCGCGGCACCATTATATTGATTGCGTCGGTTTCGCTGGCCATCATGCTGGTTTCGCTGGTGGTTGTCATTGTCATTCATCCGCCAGACGAGGATCTGTAAGACTGCACGTGGCCTGGACGCAGGCGCGGCCAGCTAGCTGTTTGATGATGGGACAGGATTCGGTGCGCGTTGGTTTGCATTTACGCCGGGCAGGAATTGGCCGCGAGGCACATGCTGATGTCTGATACTCGTTTGTATATTATTCCACACAAGGAGTTGCCGTTTGCCTTGACTGAAACAACCAGTCTTGGCTGCATAAAACCGTGCGTGAGTGGTGAGGCGTGGGGGTCCATGTCCCCCACGCAATTGACGACACGACGGCACATGAGCTTCCGGCTTCATGGTGGGGTCCCAAACCGTGAAGCTTCAATGCCCGCCCTCATCGTCGTCCTCGTCGTCCTCCGTCACCACCAACCCCGGGGCCGAATAGGCTGCGTACGTACGAGCACCCTTGGTGTCCGGCCTCACCGTCGGGTGCATAGAGCGGCCAGCATGCCGTCCCATGGCGCAATCGACGTCCCGTCCTTTGCGACCACCCAGCTCGCCCTCCTCGACAGAGAGCTCAAGAGCGAAGTCGACGAGACCACCCAGCTCATCTCAAACCACAGCCCTACTGGTCTGCAGCGCGCAGGGCTAGCCGTCACCAACCTGGTCGTTTCTTCTCAGCGAACCGGCCTGGGAGGCAAGACCGTCCTCGAGCTGGGTCCCGACAGCGCCACGTCCCCGACGGGAGAGCTGCCCGAACACGGCATCCGGACAGGCGACATAGTCCTCGTGGCCGAACAGCCCGCCGGTAGCGCCAAGAAAAGAGAGGCGAGGGAGTTGGAAAAGAAGGGCTCGAGGGGCGTTGTGACCAGGGTGCAGAGAGGGCTCGTCAATGTGTCTTTGGACGATGGCAGAGACGAGGTCTCGTTTCCGGGGCGGGTGTGGCTAGTCAAGCTGGCCGACGAGGTGACGTATAGACGGTGAGTCCGTGCCTGGACGGCGTCGGATATTTATGCTCCCCATTGACACGCGGCGGCAGGATGTACCGGACCATGGAGAAGCTGCAAAGCATGGTCGAGGCCGAGTACTCGAGCTTCATCAGAGTCCTGTTTGGCCTCTCCAGCCCGTCGCCTCTTCCGCAGGACTTGTTGACGGCCTCGCGGGCCGGCGGTGTCGAATGGATCGATCCTACACTGAACGATTCGCAAAAAGATGCGATTCGGTTTGCGCTGGCCTCAAGAGAGATTGCTTTGATACATGGGCCACCTGGGGTAAAAGAGATAAAAAAACGCCCCTCGCCATCCCACCGCGCGATGTGCCGTCTTGGACGAGGCAATGCTAACTTGTCCCAGACCGGGAAGACACATACCCTCATAGAGCTCATCCTGCAAATGGTCAAACGCAAGCAGAGAATCCTGGTGTGCGGCCCGTCCAACGTTTCCGTCGACAACATCGTGGAGCGCCTTTCCCCGCATCGAGTTCCCATTGTTCGACTGGGCCACCCCGCGCGTCTGCTCCCCTCTGTCCTCCGCCACTCTTTGGACGTCCTTACGAATACGTCGGAAGCAGGGGCCATAGTCAGAGATGTCAGAGCGGAAATGGACTCGAAACAAGCATCCATCAAAAAGACGAAGAGCGGCAAGGAACGACGGGAAATCTACTCTGATCTCAAGGAACTACGAAAAGAGTACCGCGAGCGGGAGCGCAAATGCGTGGGCAATCTCATCGGTGGTAGCAAGGTTGTTTTGGCCACCCTACACGGCGCCGGGGGCTTCCAACTTCGCAACGAGGAATTTGACGTCGTCATTATCGATGAGGCCAGCCAGGCGCTAGAGGCACAATGCTGGGTGCCTCTGCTGTCTGCCAGGAAGGCTGTTTGTGCGGGTGACCATTTACAATTACCCCCGACGATAAAGTCACTCGGTTCAAAGGCAACCCCAAAGGTCAAGGGTGAAGAAGTCCCGGTCATCAAGGGCATGACTCTTGAGAGGACGCTTTTTGACAGATTACTGGCGCTTCACGGGCCTAGTATCAAGAGGATGCTTACAACGCAGTATCGAATGCATCAGGAGATTATGCGGTTTCCGTCAGAGGAGCTATACGAGTCGAAGCTTGTTGCGGCAGACGCCGTCAAGGCCAGGCTACTGAAGGATCTAGAATACCCAGTCGACGACAACGAAGACACACGTGCGCCTCTCATCTTTATCGACACCCAAGGGGGTGATTTTCCAGAGAAGAACGAAGAAGATGATGGAGACAATCCCAGAAAAGGCAAGGGAAGCCTACATGGCGAAAGTAAGAGCAACGAGATGGAAGCAGCTTTGGTAATGCAGCATGCGGGGCAGTTGGTAGATGCAGGCGTTCGTCCGGAGGACATTGCTGTTGTAACCCCGTACAACGCCCAGGTAAGGTCCTGTTTCAGCTAGCTGGTGTTATTATTATTCATCTTTTCCCCCTTTTACTTTGGAAGAAAAAAGACGCTGACTCCTATGAGCCCAGCTGGGTGTGCTGGCCCCGTTGAAAGAAAAGTTCCCCGGTATAGAACTAGGAAGTGTGGATGGGTTCCAAGGCCGCGAGAAGGAAGCCGTCATTGTCAGTCTTGTCCGGAGCAATTCCGACGGTGAAGTAGGGTTTCTTGGCGAAAAAAGAAGACTGAATGGTGAGTCTTATCCCCCTCCCTTCTCTTGCCAGCCCCCCTTGCAATCATAGTCGTCGTAATATGCGCCAAACAACTAAACGCCTTGCAGTGGCCATGACTCGACCCAGACGATCGCTCACTATAGTTGGGGACTCGGACACCGTGAAGAGGTAAGAAGCCCGACGTCCACACCCATGTGGTCTCCGTCATTCGCCTCCAGACGATGGTCTGCGTTGGGGAGGAAGCAGAAGCAACGCTTTATTAGGCTCCAGCGTCGACAAGGTACTTTATGCGAGAAGCGGACCAGGGTGACTAACAAGTGGCAGGGGCAGCAACTTTCTTAAGAAATGGATAGAATACCTCGAAGACAACGCCGATCTTCGTTATCCTGACGTATCGTCCCTTGGCAAGTAGTAATGGCGGGCGCGAGGCCCTTGGGCGTAGCAGGGGGGCGGTTTGCCTTGAACTGCCGTCGGAATGAGGCAGGACTATATATCCCAATGCGGAAAGCCAAAAGGCTACTCCGTACGGAGTATGACGGCAGGTTGGAAGACAAGCGACGCAATCAATTTGCCGGTCGACCATTTGATCGGATCGGATACTGGCAAATGGACACTCGATTCTGGAAAATCGGCAAGGGGGGGTTCGCGGTGTGAGGCGGCGGGAGGGGATCCCTGGCTTGGTTTCAGGTCGCGCTGGCTGTGGGACGGGACGTGCGGCGGTGCGGGAATCGTGCCATGATGGGCGGGGGGGGGGGGGGGGGGGAGCAATGCCAACGCGGGCCACGCAAGCGTGTCGATGATTTCATGTACAGGCGCAATAACTTATGGGAAAGTAGGAAATGGAATTTTGGACCCGGTACGGAGTAATGCGGAGGGGGTCGTCGGGTCGACATGACTTACTCAGCACCCACCTCCCGCGTACGTACTCCGTACAACACAACCAACCCCCGTAAGCAGAGCCACGAGGGAAGTTGGTCAGGGTTACGGAGTACGGAGTACTGTGACGCACACAAGATCTATGTTGACGGCAATCCTCTCTGTTTCCAGGTGTGATCCGTACTTGTTAACTAACACATGGGTCAATTAACAGGAGAGTAGTGGCCTTTCGGGACACAACGACAGCCTGCCTTGATAGACATTGGGCTTTATCACGTAACTAGGCACTTTCACGCCCCTATGCGGTCTCTGTACGGAGTGAGGAAATATCCAGTTGTCTCTTACTGGCTTTCGTCCCCTTGCCATGTACTCCCTGGCTTGACTTTCAGGGTCTGAAATGTACTACGTATGTGCTTGGCTCAAGTACCAAGGGCCCTCGGTAGTCAGGGATGAGGCAAGTCCTGTCCTCGCAGCCGAGGAAAACCAGTCACCTACAGACGGGCAAAGAGCATGAATCATTCAACTGCCACGGCAGAGGACTTGAAATTTCGCTTTGGACATGAGCGACGGCCCTAGGTCCGCAATTGCAGGGACTGTACGAAGTTGCCATCTCATGCACTTGGTTGCAATCTGGGCCGGCATCACGCTTTCCCCGTCAAGTTTGGTTTTCCCATGTAATCCCAAGCCATGTCCAGTACAACAGAATGCTTGATACAGATGAAAGGCGGGCTGGCTTCCTCTTGGAGCGACGGGCTTGCGGATGGTTCAACAAGGACCTACGGACCCATCAGTTCGGCCATTGAGTTGCCACACATACGTACGTTACCGCGCTGAACTCGCAGAGCCCATTCGACTTTGAACATGCTAACTTACAACTCATCTACATGGCGCCAGCAAGTGACTAGGCACGCACCTCCTACGGCCCTGGCCCTGGACGTGGCGCCAAAACAAATCCACTCGAGGCGCAGCCTGCAAGACAGGAAACAATCTCTGACCACAGGTGCCATTATCTAGTGCAATGGCGCTGACGGGTAATCAATCAATGCACGTGCATGGACCCGCATGTCGGTGTCCGCGATGCTGGTGGCCACAACACGTACGGAGGAGGGAGGAGCGAGTTATGTGGCCGCGGCGGGAGATTTTGCGCCACCGCCGCCCACGGTTCGTCTGTAAAACCCAGAGTTCCTCCTTTTGGTCGGTGCGGTCATGTCATGACATGCTTTTTTGGAACAAGATGCACATGCTTTTGCGGCACCCCTTGTGCTTGTGCCAGGCTTCACGATGTACCATTACCGAGTAAGTACGTTTTGCACGTACGTCCTCGGCTCGACCAAGACCCCTGGAGACTGGAGGCGGAGAGTGCAAGGATGATGCCCGCCCGAGGGGAATTTGGAACATTCGGGACGTAGTGGGCTCCTTTGTGCCATCAAGACACATGCATGGTGCTATGCTACTGCATGTAGCACTCCGTATAGGTGCGTGTGAGATTGTGTCAAGTTTCAGTTAATGGCCCTTGGCCTCGGCGGAAGCATCGAGTGAGGCGTGTGCGATGCGATGGGAGCATCTGCGGTGTCGTGCAACTTCTTGTGCGCGTGTCGACCTTGTTCTTCTCCAGCCACCTGGCACACCGCGGTCTGCGACATTGCGGGATAAATACGGCCATGACGAATGTTTTGGGTAGAGCCTCTCGCCTGCCTGCACCGAGGAGCACGCGCCTGGAATGCACATCCAAGGGGTGCCATCGCCGCGGGACTGGACTGCGCGTCAGACGCAGTGGACTGGACTGTTTGAGGAAGACACACATGTGCCGATTTGCTTCGTGACGTGTGACCAAAGACCTACGGCTACTGGCTGCGGCAGGCCAAGGACTGACGCTGGTGTCGGAATGGAGGGAGAGAAACAGGAAGAGCAAGAGAAAGGGAGACAGAAACAGGGACGACTCTGCACATGCGGAGCCCCGAGGGGAAGGAGCGAGGGAGGGGCTAGCTTTAGCTCGCCAGTTCAACTTCACCTTTCGAGTTGTGCAAGATGCATTTAACGTTCATTTATTTGGCATTTCGTGCCTGGCCGCGTGCAAACGGGGCCGCCATTTCCCTGTCTTTCATCGCCCTCTCGTCTGCAGCCACGACGACGACAGCTTCCAAACTCGTCCATCGTCCGTCTCACCATCAGCATCGAGTCTCGACAGCATTGACGCACGCCAGCCGAGCCCGGCGGCCCCCCTTCCTCCGCTTGGCTGCTCCTGCTCGCTCCCCTTGGCACCTTGCTCCGACCAACCGCCGTCGACAAGCTCCCACGCTCCCATCATCCCCTGTCATCCCAAGACGTGAGAAGCGACCAGGAACCGACGCGCTTGCATTGACCCTCGACCCTCCAATACCCCTTCGTGTGCCCCCCTCGTTCGCTCTCGGCCCATGGTTGCAACCCGCTCGACACGGTTGACGTGACGAGCTATCACGGTTCCATATCTCGGCGCGCCAGTCAATAACTAATTACCACCTTGGTATTTATTTACTAGTCGAGACACTACACACTCCAGTTGTCCTCCGTGTTTTGCCTCTTTTGCCGCCTTTGACCGTCGTCGGCTCGTCCTCGACCCGTCCGTCCGTCCTTGGCTGTCTGGCACGCGCGTCACACTATGCATCAATCACCTTCCAGCCCGACACCTCCTTGGCCCGGCGTCGATTCCATTCACTCGACGAGTCCATGTCGTACGTATGTATTCGTATTAAATGGGCTTAGTCCCCAGATGCGCCTCCTGCAGGCCCACGGGCTTCATGCTTTCTGGTATGGCGCCGGCCCAGCCTGGCGTGTCAACTGGCCCTGGATTGCTTCTCAACATGCCTGTCGTGCCTGGAGACGTGGCGGTCATGTTTCACCTTTTTCCCTTCTTCAACTGGTCTTGTCCAATTGCAATTGCGGCCATCGTTTCTAATTCATCCGGTGAAATAGCAGAGCCCCATTGGCATATCTATCAGGTGCATAAGTGGCCGAGTTGCCTTCTGCACCCCTTGTCCTCTGCTTTTCCTTTCTTTTCTCGCCTCGAAGCTGTAGCCGCCTGTCGTCGATACTCCCGCCTCCTGTTGGTTTCGTTCTGTCTTGGGAGCGTCTGGTTTCGACTTGGGCACCCCAAGAACACGGCCACGACAAACATAACAACAACGACAACGCCGCCGCCGCCGCCGACGACAACGACAAGAAGAACCGGGGTTGCAGCAAAGAGCCAACAGCTCACTCAAGGTGCATCGCCAGACGTCCTGCTGTGTCGTGTCATTCATACCTGGTATTCCATCATGACGCCACGACTCCCTGTTTGCTTGGTGTAGATTCTTCCCTTCTATTTCACAGGCATCCATCGATTTTCCGGCTGGCCTTTTTTGAACGCTTTGTTCTCGAACGCTTTGGTTTTGAGGCACTTGTCGCTTGCTCTCTTTCGTCCCCCCGTCTTGTCCTGTCCTGTCTTGTCTACTCGTGGTGCGCGCTCCACTCGTCAAGGCCCTTGGTATCATTTGTATCATGTTGCATGGTGAGGTAGGAGCTTCCCATTGCTTGTCGGCCGAACATTGAATTACCTCCTCGGTGTTCGTTTTCTCTCGTCAAGAGAATCACCCTCACGTGCTGGACTTCTGTGTTTCATCTACCCCCTGTTCCTGACAGGCAGGAAGGAGACAGGAATTTATCCCTCCAGTCCCTCGCTTTACCTCCAGTCCCTTTGTTCACCGTCGTGTTCACACACCATGCCGTGGAAACCTGCTACTGGCGGCAACTGTCAGAGTCCTCAAGCTCTGCCCAAGTCTATCCGAGGCCAGATTTCTGCACCAATTCCTATACCCGATGCTACGGATGAGGAGTTTCCCATACGAGACCAGACAGCCGTGATAGCTAGCAATGCCGACGAGGCCTCAAGTGACTCCCGTTCGGTACTCCAAGCGCCCAGCAGCAGTGACCAGAGTCAAACAAGGTCTCATTCAAGGGCTGTTTCCGCTGGAAATATAGAACACTCGACTAGACGTCAGCATCGGCTCGACAACCCATCATCAGCTTCTGTACAGGCGTCCGCCCTGCGCAAGTCTTCAGCCAGCCAACACGCCCGATTTGCGCGCATGTCGGACCAAGAAGAAGGCAGAAGGAGCGAGGCCAGCAAGTCTCAGCGAAGGAAGTCGACTGTTAGGTCGGCATTAAGCAAACTATTCGGTCGGAAGAAGAAGACGGAATTCCACGAAAAGCCCGGCTTCTCTTACGGGAAGACGTCAGATGCTTCCGCTCTGTTACCGGACAGGCCGCCCAGAAGTGTACGTTCATTTCCTGTCAAATTTGTTGCCTCTTCGGAAGAAGCTAATATGGAAGCATCAGGATCCAACATGGGACCGATCAAGCCCAAGGAGCGTCGAACCAAAACGGTCCCTCTCTGTGCCCATTACCGAATACGACCGCGCTCTCCGTTCTCACTCGATTGGCCCCGAGGATGTCATGGCCATCACGAGTGTTCGCAACTCCATCAATGCAGAATCAAGAATGTCGGACAAGAATTTGGCCGTCCTTGAGCCTCCGGCGCACCTGGCTAGTCCTCGATGGGCTGGGAGCTCGAGGCCTACAGGACTGTCTCCGCGACCGGCCAGTTCCCAAGACCAAGGGACCCGAATGGCTGGCCTCGTTGATGATCCCAACGAGATTGGACGTGCAATTTCAAGCGAGGCGCATGGCCTGAAACGCCGCTCGAGGAGTCTGTCAGTTATGCCCAGCCTTGAACTTGCCCCCCAAAGTGCAGTCCGACGTCGTAGTGCCGAGATTCGGTACTGGAGGGAGAGCTATACCTCGCCATTGATGTCGCCAACGTCCATGACGGCAGACGAGGAAACCCTGCAGCTGCTTTCGGGTCAAGCTGAAGAGTTCAACTATCCGGCCGAGCAACGCGCCGTAACACCCGAGCAAACCATCTTGATGGAAGCAGTCGAGACAAGGGTACAGACGTCAACTCCTACTAAAACGGCCGAGTATGCTGGAGCTGCTGAGCATCTCTGTCTAGACAGCAGGGTCAGTAGTCTCGAGACGCGCATGAGCCGGCTAGAGGGCATTGTTCTCCAACTCGCACAAAGCATCCCGGCACTACGTCACCCATCCGCCGCGCAGTTACATTCGCCAGGGGGCCGGCAACTGGCGCAACTTCAGACTCCCGACCATGGCATATGCTCGATGCGAACACAGCCGGGCGAATTTTCCCTTGCTGACGAGCGGCGGCAGAGCACGAGCCGACCATCCACTCGAAACTCTGATGCGTCCAAAATGACGTTTGGGGATATTAGTGACTTGACTCCCCGCGCAACAATTTTGTCCCCAGCCGATGGAGAAGCTCGGTCAAACTTTCTGGCTGCACCACGAGGACCAGACGCAACACCGAGGGGTCGTCGTGGATCCGTCAATTTTGAGCACTATGCAAACCTGATGAATCTTTTTGAAACGGAGCGTTCAGCACGAGAGACACTGGGAGCCCAGCTCAAAAGCTTGGCACGTCAGGTCCAGGTCATGAGCAAAAACATGCTGTACACCAACGCGGATCAAAGTGACTTGCCGTCACTAGACAGGTCTGTTGGTGAGGTGTCGGTTTTTGATCATGACGGCGAGGATGATGAGCGGCGGCTTTTCACAGGCCCTAGACTTGGATACCCTAGCCCAGGCATGAAAGACGCCGAAACAACGGCTGAAGATGGATCGGAAGAAGAGTTTACAGATTCCTTTGTCACCCCTGTCGAGACTGTCAAGAGCAGTTTTGACATGTACGGCAACGAGAATGGTCCAACCTTGGCGAATGGGAGGAAGCTGTCTCTTTCACATTTGACCATGAGACAGCCGTTGACAACAATGCAGCAGGTCAATACCAAGGCCATATAAGTTCGATTTGTTGACGGCGATCTTCTTGCCCGCTTGCCTGTTTCATTTCCAACAGCCAAGGATGACGAGGGCGAAGGATAAAGACGGTTGTTAAGACTTAATATACCCTTGTAAGATATTATGGCAAGATGGTAATGAGAATATGAACGATTTCAAAACTCGACGTTTGGTCAAGCTGAATGAGACTCGTGACCGAATAATTTTACCATTGCGAATAGCTAAACGGGACACGACCATCTCCATTTATCATCCGTTACAGCGTATAGGTCAGAACCACAGTGTTGACTGCCAGCTACAAACCGGAGTGAGAAACAATGGCTACCTTCGGAATGCCTCAATGTAGCTGGGCTTCTAAATCATGTTCAATTGCCCACACGTAATGAGTCTTCGTTGCAAATTCCTCAGGCGGTGACAAAACTGTCGTAGTAACTACGACGTCTGCGTCTTCTCCCAAAGACTTGCTTCCCTGCACTAGGCGACTTGAACTTGAATCCAGATCCTCGACTGCTTCGCTGAGGAATGGGCCTACAAATGCGAAAAGCTCTTGCCTTTCAGCTATTTGGGACCTGGACGTGTCTATCATTGAGAGTCTCCTCGCCACACTGTCAGATTTGAAAGCCACAGTCCAAAGGGGCACACATAGGGTCTGTGCTTTGACCCCTCCAGGAACCGATGCATTTTCATCAGGAGATGGAATCACGCACTGTGACACGCACGCCCTGGACGGGATTGGCATTCCTGTAAGAACTGTGACGGTGATCCTCAATGCCCCAGCTACCCACCAAAGCCATCGACTCCTCATCGCCAGCGGCCAGTCTCTCGTCCTTCAACGTGTCTGACAAACATCTCCAGGGATCTCGACCGCCGCCCCATTTCAATAAATTCTGCTTCAGACGCTCGCCGTTGTCCCTGCTTATGGCGGCTTGGTTATCGCCGCCTTTGAAAACCATCCGCCACACACGCTCTGCGAGAACCCGGTCAAAGAGGTAGCTGTAATACGTGCTTCCGTACGAGTGCAAGTGGCCAAAGAAGCCTTGCCAGCTCGTCTCAGGGGGGTCTTTGGGTCCGTGGGCGAAGTTGTGTTGGATTTGGTGGAAGATGCGCGTCGAGTCAAACGCGAGATCAGTCACTTGGGGCGAGTGGTAGGCTTGGTCGAGTATTGCAAGAATGATTTGGTGCTCCGTGTCGATGCCTTCGAAACGTTTTGACAGGGTAATGCGTTCTTGGACAAGGTCGTAAGGGAGGGGGCGGTCCGTCTTCCAGTGGCGGGCGAAGAGAGAGAGGACTGTAGGATCGGCTGCGAAGTGCTCCATGAGTGTGGATGGGAGTTCGGCGAAGTCGGTGGCGCACCGGGTGCCCGAGACGTTTTGGAAGGATGTTCGCGCAAGGATGGAGTGGATGGCGTGGCCCATTTCGTGGAACAGTGTTTCTACAGAGTAGAATGATAGGAAGGCGGGCTCACGGGCCGAATCGCTCTTGGGGAAATCGCAGACGAGGGCAATGGTGGGTAGTTGTTTGAGTTTGCCATCACGCTGGGATGTTTCCATGCCGTCGTTGGCGGCCGACTCGGGGGAGTCAAAGATGGGTGTCGCCGATACCATGTCCTCTGTTGCTTCGTTGAGTTCGTCGGCGAGAATCTCGCGAGAACATCTGACTGTGAAGTGCGCTGGGTTAGGGGACTTTTGAGGACGATAGAACAAATCGCAATATAAAACGGCGAGCTGTTCCCCATCGTCTGACACGACGTCTAGTCGCTTGACGTCTGGATGCCAAACTTCTCCGGGCAGGGCCTCGCGCGGGACGAAGCGCACTCCATAGAGTCGGTCAAAGAGCCGCGACAGGCCTTGCATGACGGTGCCCACAGAGAAGAAGGCTGTTAGTTGGTCTTCGTGACGGACGCGGGTGCGCATTTCAGCCCGTACTTTCTCCATGTAGAAGTCCCTGTCCCAGGCCTGCAAGTCCACTTCAGGCATGGCAAGACGTTCCCGCTTCTTTTCCGTCAGCTCAAGAAGTTCCTGCTGAACAGTGGGGGCGTTGTGGTTGCGCAAAGCGAGGAGAAACTTCATAACGGAGGCCGGCGACTTGGCCATCATTCTGTCCTTGAGGGCCATGTGGCCATGGCTTTCGAACCCTGCGAGCTCTGCCAATTCCGCGCGAAGCTTCAGCATCAATTCCAAGTGCTCAATGGTGCTACGAGATGCCGTCCGTTGCGCCAGGTAAATCTCCTTGCGAGTTTCTTCGTCGTACACGCTCTGTAGAGCAGCGGCGGATTCAGTACCCGTCGTCGCAATGGATATCTGAGACCGAATCTTGAGGGTGGCAGCCAGACCGGGATATAATCCGTAAAACCTATGAGATGGCAGCATGACTTCCTTGATCTCCGGCTCCATGCCCTGTACAAAGGCGCAGCCGATGTCGCTAATGCGAGACGAAAGCTCGACGAAGCGATCCCTCGCCTTTTTGGGCAGGTTGACGGCCGACTTCATAAAGTCCAACTTGAGCAGTTCGGCAACGGTTTTCTCTTCATCTGACCAGACAGAAGTGACTTCGGGACGCGAAAGCGCCTTGGCCAATTGATCACTCAGACCCGTCATAGTATTTAATTGGTTCATGTATTGATACACCATGGACCAGGCGCCCGCCGCCGCCTGTTGAAAGCGGACATCAGGATGTGTCATGCGTACAAAGTCCGACATGTCGAGCACTCGACAAAGCAAGTCACTCAACCTATCTAGGTCTTTGACCACGCCCCGATAGTCCTCCGTGGTTGAGGCACTGAGAACTCTCTGCACAAGACGCGTAGCCTTCTCGAGGTTCTTTTGGGCAAAGACAAAGAATCCATCGGGGCTCGTAAGGTATCGATTTTTGAAAAGTCCCTGGCTCTTCTTGAGACTGAAACTCGGGAACGACAGGCCGCCGGACGGGGCATCGAAAAGATGGCGAAGAACGGCGTCTTCGTGGCGAGAACTGACGTTGTGGTGGGCAGGATTTGAGGGACGCGTAGCCTCTGCGGCAGCTGCCGTCTCCCATCGCCGCTGTTGAAGTATTGAAGTGGCCGCCGTCCTCGGCAAGGTCACGCGGTGAACGCAGCTGGCGCAGATCCATAGACGATGGCCACCGGGGCTGAGCATGTTGGACCAGGAGTGACTTGACTTGGTCCGGGGGAGGAGGGAGCGTCGTTAGCAAACTCGAGTCGAAGGCATGGGAGACGATATCGACACAGACAGAGCTAGTATGTACAGAAAAAGCTTTGGAAGGGGGGGAATAAAGACGAACGGGCATGCGATTGGACTGGAATAAAATACACAAGAGAAAGGTGAAAGGAGAAAAGAAAGAGAAAGCAGAGAGGGGAAAGGGGAAGGGCAAAGGAAAAGCAATCGACAGGCGAATCGACGGCACCGGTGTCCCGGGAAAGTTGGATGGAGTTTTGTGGCAATGACGGCCCCGTCGGTTGCCAACTTGTCGCTCTCTGCAGAGAGGGTTTGGTGCACATTGCGCATGTGGGGGGAGGGTGGGCCGCCTGTAGGCCGTCGACTGTAGGGGGGCATTCAGGTGCGTCGGCGCCCACTTTTTCCTCGCTCAGGTGCTGCTGCGGGAGCTGCTGCGCCGCTGGCTGTGCCGTCCGAGGCGACCGACGACTTATGCACGGCATGCTTGCACAATTGGCGACTCTGCACATCCGCCGCGATCGCTCCCAGCAACGACGTTTTGGGAAATCCATGTGCGCGACATAATCCACCACCAACAAGCCGCTGACCATTCACCGGCGATATCCTCGCCAAGCATGTGGTTAGTATCGTGTAGAATCAGCCTAGTACGTACGCATCATAGAGTACGTGAGGCATGGCCGGCCATTTATCCAGCGCCGACCGAGGCATAAATAATAGATACCAATTGATCATTCTCGACCCAAACCATCTGCTGGAACCTGGAACCCTTATGCGCGACGCAAGCATCTTCATTGCGGGCTCTCCAAGAATGGATGAGGCCCGACTGGGACCGCAAGTGACGTCTTTCAATCACGTGCCAGATCTCGGAGGAACCAGGAAACTGCTCCACCGACAAGCGTGCATCTGGACAAAAGCAGAGCCGGATCTGACGACAACCTCGAACACCGCCTGACGGTTCGCCAATTGAACAGACAATGGCTGCAAGAGTGCTGCTGCAACGGGTGAGACCGCTCCCTCATCCCCTCGGTCATCGGCGCCGACTGCTAACGACTCTTTCCCAGCGCTCCCTGGGGCCATTGGCCGCAATCGCCCTCGGCGGATTGGCTTTCGCCCCTGCGACTGCCCTCGCCGAAGGACCCGTGGACAAGGTCAGTAGAGCATCGACGGACCACGCACACGCTGGGGGAGCACCCGGAGGCCTAATTGGGGAGCAGAAGAAACCCATCTACGATGGCTTCGACGACCCGTCCGCAAACGACGCACCCAGCCCGGCCGCGAGCCCCGTCTCGGCTCTCCAATTCTCACAGCCTCCCGCCACCCAGGAAGAGCCCAAGAAGGAGAAGCGGCCGCGAGGCCCCTCGCCGACGGACCGTCTTGCGACCCAAGTGGGCAAAGTCCGCATGGCCCTGCACCGCGTCGCCGTCCGCGCCGAGAACAAAGTCAACGAGACCATGGACTCTGCGTTCAGCCTCGAACAGTCCTTCACCAACACCATTGCCTCCCTCGCGCCCTCCCGCGAGTCTGGCGAGAAGCTCATGCCCGGCACCATCTATGTGCTGGTTGCGGCCATGGCCGGCAGCATCGTGACGCGCAACCGCAACCTCCTGCTGAGGAGCACCATACCCCTCGCCTTGGGTGTCGGCGCCGGATGGACAGTGCTGCCTGTGACGATGAGAAACATCTCGGATCTGTCGTGGAGGTACGAGCAGCGGTTCCCGGCCGTTGCGGAGGCGCATGTCAACATTCGCGAGGGTATCAAGAAGAGCGTTAGCTTTGCGAAAGCACATGGTCGTGTTGGCGTACAGTACGTGGACGACAAGGTCACGGGCGCCAGGGAAGCGGTGGAGGCTTGGGTGAAGCAGGGAAAATAGACGTGGGTAAATAAAAGCTGCATGAGCGGGGACGGCTGGTCGATTGTACAATCAAATAGAGAAGAGGTGACTCGAGCACAGGATGGATTTTTCTTCCTTTCTAAGAATCCACACACCAATACTCTCATTGATCATCACTAATTACATCTACGACGTGGGGAGTTTTACGTTTTGTGACCTGTACCTCTATATGATAGCTATATCGTATGCCATTTGGTGAATAAAAAGAAAAAAGGAAGAAAAAAAAAGAAAGAAATACTCCCGATATAGCTCGTGTCTTTTAAAAAACAATGACGCTTTTCCGTACGTAAACCAGACCGCTCCTTTGGATTCAAAGCAATCTCCAAATCTCCCGTAATGCTGTACCGCATACCGCGGGGTGATTAGCTCGTGCTCTCATTTAAGCAGTATCAAACTGCGGTTGCGACGGGCGCCGGCTCGGGCGCAGCCTTGGAACCGACATTCCGCTCAGATAATGTTCGGCGATGCTGGCTCTGCGACCTCGCCTCAGCCATTTGCCCACCCGCAGCCAACGCACTGGCATTTTTCCTGGCATTTTTCGTCCCCTTTTCTTTTGGCTTGTTCTGTCCCCGCTGCACATCGCAATCCTGCGCCTTCTCAAGGAGATGCTCAAGGCCTAAAGCGTTGCAAACTTCTGTGTAGGACCTGGACTGCTGGACAGTCTTGTAGGGCTTTGCCTTTCCGGGAATCATTTGCGCCAGGAGATATTTAGTATTGCTGAATCGATTGCTGACATCCATGGCATACTTGATGTACTGCTCCACAACGGGCTCCCAAGCCAGCAGGCCACCATCGGCGTCGCTTTGGAAGCAGCTGGGATTCTTTTCGGCGGCAACAGCAATCATGGCCCCATCGGCGCCATACTCCTCTGCCAGCTTCAATCCCTGATCGCGATTTTCAACATCGCCGTTCATGACGCATGCGATGCCCGCTTCGTGACATATGTCTGCGACCATACGTAGCTGGTCGCGAATAGCGCGCTCCCTGGGCCTCATCGGGGTAGTGCGGCAGTGGACTGTTAGGCCAGTGATGCCGGTGGCGACGAGTCGTCTGACGAGGGCCTCCGTCTCGGCGGGTGTCTCCAAGATACGGATCTTGACGCTGATGCCGATGCCGAATTGGGGGGTGATATTTTTGACCAAGGCCTCGAGGATGGCAACTAGTCTATCTGGCGTCCGCAAAAGGGCTGCGCCCATGCCGCCGCTGGTGCTGAAGGGCTTGGGGCACCCTGCGTTGACATCGATGCCTGCGACGTCGGCGGCGACGAGGCGGGCCGCTTCGACGGCGCGATCGGGGTCGGCAGTGCCAATTTGGAAGATGAGCTTGTTCGCTTCCTTTTCCGGGAAAACCCTGTATATTATGCTCTCTTTGGCATCTGGTGGTGGCTCCTTGTGGCCCTGGGACGACATTCGAGTCCATTCGATCGTCCTGCTCTCCTGGTTGAACCGGCGAGTTGTTCCAATCATGGCACGGTCGATGGTTTCCGGACCTGAAGAAAATACAGGTCAGCTTTTTCCTTCTCTCTCGCCTCGCGTGGAGTGAGTTTGACAACGGCAATCATGCTTACCCCAAACGAGATCCGCTCCATAGTGAAGAGCCAGCAGCCTCGATGGTAGTTCGCCTGAGCGCACCATGGGCGCCAGGACAATCTTTCCCCGATAATTGACTCCCCGACGGGGAATAGGGACTGTCTTCACCTCAGAAGCCATTAGCCTTGTTAGCAACATGGAGATCATGCCATACAGGGCCGGATCTACATGTCTTGTCTGGCCTGGCGGCAGCGGACAGAAGTTGGACTGTCGCAGCGCGAAACGGAGCAAAATGAACGTGCCCTTTGGTTACTAAACACAGGTATCCTATCGATAAGCTTCCTTCTTCGAGTTGTGGGGTCAAATAGACGGCTGCGGTGGGGCCAATTCGCGAGACGTTTTGGTTTTTCCCGGTACCTGCACGCGCGGGCGGCAGAGCTATCACAAGAAAGGTCAAGATGATGATGGGAAAAAAAAAAATTAAATTGGGTCGATTATGTGCTGGTTGAATATTTGAAATTAGCTGTCTTTTTTTATAATTGATAAAGCCGATGACAGTGACCGGAATACGGAGCACCCCCGGCGCTATAGTGCTGGGTTTTTGAGCATACAAAATACGCCTTTTTTGAATGTATTGTTAGGACTGCAGTCTGCAGCCCAACGGCGTGCGCTGAGCGGAGTCTGTATAGTGCTTAGAGCGGCCATTTTATGTAACCTTTTCTCTTGGCTGTGTGCAGCAGCGTTGAATTCTCGTACTGGCCAGGGTTGTTGAACTAATCCCCCGGAAAGGTACATTGATTCTCATAAAGGGGACTTTGTTCTCCATCCAGCAGAATTCGGCGTACGTTGACATGAAGTCCTGAAAAGTACCAGAATACCCAGTTGTCTGCCTCGCAGTTTTTACAAAAGCAAAGGGGGATACAATGCTGATGTTCAACCGCGTGTATGGGTCAAGCTCGAGTCGAGCAATTCTGTCGGCACGATGCATTCGGGATACTTACTTACGAGTCGACGACTCACAGGTCTCTTGTTGTAGCGCTCTTGCCAGGCCGGGGATTCGTGAGTTACAGAATGGTCTCCTGTACTACGTGAGGTAAGAATCCCCTTCCCACAGCGGTAGCGGTCGACGGGGCTCCCAACTTGCCGCCGCCGCCCCTGCTTACGCCTTGTCAGCACCCTCATGCTTCACCGCGAGTACTTCCCCTTCCTGCCGACCCCGGAGTCGGAGCCACGGGGTCCAGTCGACCAGCCCATGCTGGGGGCGCCCGCCCCCGAGGGCTGGTGGGACGACAGCTCCCGACTCCTCTTCGGCGCGGCAGAGCACATCGCCGCCATTCTACACGAGGCCTCCGAGTGTGGCGTGCATCTCATGACGCCCTTTGCCGGGTTCTGCGCATTCTCAGCCGGCTACCTCAACCTCTACGTGGCGAAATACCCCCGAATGAACCTGGGCCGCAGCCCGCGAGCAAGCGACTGTCTCAAAATGTGTCTCGACTACCTGGAAAAGTTTCGACTTGTCTGGAAAATCGCCGACGGATGGGTAAGCCGCCCGCAAGCATGACACGACCGTGGCCACCGTTGCGCTAACATTGAGAGGGCGGCACGCGCAAGATCAAAACGATACACCATGCATCCGTGCTCTACGAGCGAGCAACCGAGGACCGGACACGATACCAGGGGCGCACACGAGCAGACTTTGATACTCTACACCAGTCTGTCCACGAGTTCCGTGTCGTGGATAGATCCGACGCGCATACTCGGGAGATTCGGGGCGCGGAGCGGCCCTCGGCGCAGGCGACTTGGCCGGTTCAAGGGCACGAGCACGAGCACGAGCACGAGCACGAGCTCGACACTAATACCTTGTTGAACCAGCTTTTCGCGGAAGTCAGCAATAACCTCGACGAGCAGGGGGCCTGGTCTCAATGGTGGCCGGCGATTGATCAGGTGGATCTTTAATGAGCTGCGTAATTACATCCGGGGTTTTTTTTTTCGTTGAAGCTTCCAATGAATGAGTGACGACCTTTGATTTTTTTGATTTTTTTTTTAAAAAGGGCTGTAATATCTGGTTTTCTATACATGTCCTATTTTTATTTCCCGGTCTAGAAAAACAGTCAACAGATAATGCACCTCTTCATATGGCTCCCCTCCCGTCACCGCCAACAAATGCATACCTGTCGCGTCAACCATTCGCCGTTTCTCCTTCCAATCACGCCTTTGCAAAGACCTTTCTCGAGTTCATCAGGCGAACAGCAAGCATAAAGAGCATGCCGACAAAAGGCGCCACAACCACGCCAAGAGGACGTTTTTTGAAGCAGCTAAAAAGGCACGTAAATGGCGTCTGGATTCTGTACTAGATCTACTAGAAATTTGGGACGAGAAGGGTGTACATTATAGGCGAAGAGGTTAATAGCGTTATTAGGTTGAAAATTGGCCCGCCTTGGTGTCCGGCCCGCCTTGCTGTCGAGCACCACCTTTGGTGGTGAGGGCTTTTGCTAGCCGAACCACATAAAGTGGGGCGGGCACGATTAGTTGATGCGGTCCGAAACATGAAACCCTTCGTGGTTCGCGTCACGTGCCGCTTGGGCAGAAAAGTCACCACCCGCTCAGGGCCCGCCTGTCCGCAGTGGAGTCGCATGTCTCAGGGGGCCTTCAGTGCTGAATCGAGCCAGTGCCGTCAGGGACCTTGAGGTACCCGCTTACCTGGTTGCAGGCCAACAGACGTGTCACCAGTGAAGTAGTCGATACATTCATCTCCAATCGCTCCATCGAAACGAGCACGGAGCAACTTACTCGCGGTAGATACTTTCTCAAGTACCTAGGTACTTAGACCAATGTACGACTGTGTAACCTCTTGCAACCAGACATCTTCCAACTCTCTGGCTGTCAAGGCGGGTGATGGCGCGAGGTGAAAGGGCCCAGTTGGACGACGACAAACGAATCCCGCACGCCGTCGTCCATCGCACACGTGAATGTCGACCACAGGCGCGAAAATATTTGGGCAATTTATTGTTGCGTACTTACTTGAGTAGTGGTGGCCACTGACGATCTGCCCATTTCCCGTCAACTCTGGCGAGCCCCTTGCTCCTGCCCTGGCGACGTCCTGTCCCAGTATCCCGGCGCCCGGCAGCTGCTGACGACATTTCCTTCCGACAAGCAACAACCCGACTACGGAGTACACGTTTCTGTTTGTGTTTGTCTCTTCTGTTTCCATTTCAACCCTCCTCGCTCTACTGCCTGCCAACGCCGCATGCCTAATTCAAACGACGACTTCCGCACGCCATCAAGTACACAGTCATCCACGTGTCCACTGAGCCGTCTATTTTGGGTGCCGCCGAGAACGACGCTTGCTCACAAAGGTGTTGCACCCCTGGCTTCGCCGCCTGGTGGTCTGGCTGTATTCATTTTCACCTGAGGCATTGACGGGACCAGGCTCGATTACACCAAGACCAAATACACTGGGAGGACAGGACCCCAGTGCTGATCCAGCCCGGCGTCAGGCGGCGGCAAGAAGCTTTCCGCACGGCTCTGTTGTCGCTGGCTGTCCGCACGACACGTCCACGCAGCTCTGTTCCCCCACATGCCAGTACAAAGACGACCTACCACATTGGCATCCCTCCCTCGTCTGGTGCTCGCTCCATCGAGTTGACACGCACGCACACACCCTCTCTCTTTGCCCGGTTTTCCCATTCACGCCTTACACGACACGCTTGCAAAGGCGCAAAGGGCTTGAAGGCCCCCCTCGCCTCCCGGCTCCCGTTGGTGTCGTCAGGATTTGGTGGACGGGACTGTCCTCCAACCAAAGCGAGTCTCCCAACTTTCCATGTCGATGCGACGCTCCCAACGTCCAGCGTCCACACCATGGAGAGCGAGCCACCATTTGTCGATGAGGGACGGCCGTCCAGGAGGGGACGCTTCATGGACAAGCTATTTGGCAAGGACAAGAAATCGCCAGACAATTCTGCCGCCGCCCTGGACGCCTTCCTACACAGCTCTGTTGATAATCTCGACGTCACCCATCCGCCCCCCCCGTCGCCGTCGTCATTGCCCAAGCTTGCCAAACTCGACACCACCATATCACGATATCCGCAGGCCTTGGCCGTCAATCAACAGGCTCAGCAGAACCGTCCCATGGCCCCAGGGAAATTGGAGTCGAGATCGCCCAAGAAAAGTCCCCGGCCGAATAAGAAGGGTATGTCGGTACGTTTTGCCGATTCGTACCCCGATATAATTGGTGAGGGTGGCGATGAGTCCGATGTACCAACCATTGAGATTGGGAGGAGTAGAAGGGCAAGACCGCCACAGCCGCCTGTTCATCGATCTCCAAGACTCGGCTCGGCGGCTCCAGCGGGAGCCCCCCTGGGACCGCCAACAGGGCTGGCGGGTTTCCCTGGAGCAGTGAGCGACGATTTCCAGTCCAAACCTTTACAAAGGACTCAGACAGGATACTCATCCACCTATAAACCAGAAAAGGACGAGCGAAAAACCTCACTTATGCCGCCCGGTGCCAATGACCGAGGGGCCGGCAACACCTTGGTGCCTGGAAGGGCTGCGTCGGCCAGGTATCTGGAAGCGTCCGGGAGGCGCGCCGATCAGAGGAGATCTTTCATCGAAATACACCAAGCCCAGATGCGTGAGGCGGAGGGCAAGGCGTTCGCACTTGCAGCTAGGACAGCGAGTTCAGCGTCTCAAGATGATTGGGAGGACGTCACTCGGCTTCCGCCATCTGACCCCCCCGACTCATCCCGCCAGTATCCATCATCACCCGAAATACAGATGAAGAAGCCTGCCTTGGATTACAGTCCAGCCGGCTCGATAGGTTCCAACGCTTCCAGCATATACCAACAGTCGAACCCGTCCCAAACAAGCCTCCCAGTCCGACAACCTAGCGCAGCGTCACAAAACGGGCCTTTTCCTGGACCATCACCTGGCCCGGCGCTTGGCCATCCGCCGCCAATGGCCGCGAGATCAGCGTCTATTAGGCTACAGGATACGGTTGACTCAGCCGGAGAAGATGCTCTAAACGCTTTTGTTCTGGGCACAAAGCACCTGTTTGAGCTATTCCGGTTACATGCCGAATCGGTGCAACCACTCTCAACATGTACGCCTAAAGATTGCGCACGTGCAGCCCTTTGGTGGTTCTTGAAGGGCAGGATGGGCCTAGAATCGGCCGTCCGAGAGCGCCCAAATACTCCACAGTCCCAGATGCAGAATGAGCTAGACAGGCAACAAGCCTATTCAAACCTCGCCAAGGGCTACTGGCTTTGTCGGAAGGCTATACCCGAAATTATGGATGGACATGGGCTTGCTCAAGATGCGGAGCTTACTGCGGTGTCCCAAGGTCTTGTCTCAGCGCTGAGGAAGCTATCTCAGTCCATGAAGCGAAACGGCTTCCTGCCCCCCGAGGAGCCGTTTCTGCCTCAGACCATTGACAAGTCAATATGGCTCGACTACCCTTGCCTCAGCCAAGATCTAAATGCCCTTTTGTCCGGAAACTGGTCAGCTGGCTTGACTGCGATGCAACAGCCGATGTCTACCTTGCAACTTCTCGAAGCATTTCCTCTGAGTGACACCGTCGAACACTTCAGCTACGGTCGTGTCATGGCAGATGTATTCCTCATGGAGCAAGGGCGAGAATCTCAAAGAATTTTCTTGCCGTGCATTCTTTCCATGGTCCGACCCCAAAAAAGTGCAGGGCTCATGTTCATCATTGCGAGCCAAAATGGATGTGTGCAGCTAGCCATCCAGGAAAACAAGAACATTGGACCAGTCTGGGAAGACCTTCGATGGCAGAATAATAGCTGCGCTGTAGAAGTTCGAATGCCGCGAGGCTTCTTGTTGGTTGTACAGTTAAGTCAGAACGACTACAGAACCCTTTGGAACATGTACGATTTTGGATCAAAACTGCAGGCCTCCCTGCGCCCCCGAAGCGACGAGATTGTTGTTTTCCGAAACAGCCTGCGGTCATTCCAATACCTCGATGCAGACCCTCAATCACGCGTTTTCCCTAAAGAAGCCGTTCCGCAGTGCGACTTGGCATTGTTCGAAAGGATATACAAGGAGAGCGGCCCAGCCGGCCCGCGAAGTTGGCATTGCGGATTTCGAATTGCAGTTGTTGTGGGGCCCCGCACCAGAACCATCAGCGGGATACAGCATAACTTTCCCCCACAGCTACCCGTTCAATTTGGGTTTTTTAGAGCCGAAGGCGACACTCCAGCATTATCAGTCAGGTCTGTTAATGGGCGGCAAAACGGGCGAATGGTGTTTGTGTTTGGCGATGAAAAGGAAAGAGTCAGGTTCCACTCGCTTCTGACAGGCACGGCGCTAAGTCACGGCGAGAGGGTCGTTGCTGACGCGCCTCTCAAAAGCTTCATAATATCGCAAAGTCTACGCGAACCGACTGGTATCGCACCTTTTAGTCGCATGCCTTGGAAGGCCGCCAGAGTGGTCAACGACGAGTTCAGCTCGAATGGGGACCTGCCACCTACCGTTCTGGCTGACAAACTCAAAATTGTCCTGGAGTACCAGAATGGCATGGTTGCAGACAGAGTGAACGTCGCCCCCGGCGAGCTGCGGATGCGGCTTGAGGTTTCAAACGCAAAAATATTGCGTGTTCTCCGGCAACCACAGCAGGATGTCACGATGTCCGTCTCGGAGGCGCAGGTGTCACGGGAACTCCCTTCAAACCTGGCAGATTCTCTGCAACTTCTTAAAGCAAACCAAACTATCCGCTCATATGAGTTCAATAACTTGAAGGATCTTCACGATTTCCAAGCTGCACTGACCGGATTCGAAGTCATATTTGACGCTCTTGCAGCGACGTTTGCCATCTCGCGAAGACGCATGGTCGTTCCCATTCACAAAAAGTGGGAGGCTGGGTGTACAAGAATCCAAGTGGTCAAATTAGAAGATAGGCAACTTCAGTTGCTGGCCTTCTTTGAGGACTTCCAGCATGGGCACTGCATGAACTTTGTGCTCAAGGGCACGGATGTTTACGAAACGTTTCAGAGAGGAAGCAAGGCAGGGCTCAAGTTTGTGGATGCCAAGTTCCCATTGCCACAGATACCCGCGGACAAGGATTCGGATCACGATGACATGGCTTTTATATGTCTCGATCTACCAGATCTCCCAGGTGAACATGATGATATTTCTATCATGTTCGAGAATGAAACAGGTGAGGACGCATCATTTGAGACGTACACATTATGGCATCGGCTTGGGCGCTGACTAGGATGCAGACCGAGACCTGCTTTGTAAATGCCTCCCGGCTACGCCCAAAGGATCATCAAGAATTTCATCTCGATTGAGGTGAAACAAAGTCGTCATAGAGTTGCATCGGCAAGCTCAGCAAAGAAGGTGAAAGAGCATTGTTTGACAAGTGACGAGTATCGCCTCGGAGGAAGCACAGATCAGCGTCGTGTGCGCACAGTCGGCTTTTCTGGCGCAAGGCAGCAGCCACCCAGACAAGAGGGCGCGAGTTGCACAACCAGGTGGTGTCGAGCACGGCTCAAGGATGGACGAATATTGAGATTTGAGAACAAATCAGCATAGGCCCGCTTGACTGCTCGTCGTATTCGAGACAGTGGGGCCAGCATGGCGTTGAAGCGGAGCATTTGAGGAACGACAGCCGTTACATTATTCCAATACACAATACAATTTTTGATTGTTGTACAACGATTGTGACCAATGGGCAAGGGGTTTGTCAACAACGGCACAAGTAAGCTTTTTGGTTGACGCGGCGTCGGGTTCGGGACGTGGGTGTTGATTCCCCTGGCCAGGGTTGAGCCGGAGGTGCACAGGTACGTAAACGGCCGCATGCAGCCTCAAAACAAGTACGTACGTAGTGCCAGGGACTGTCGATCAAGACAAGACGCTTAACGTAGGCTATTCCACGCTCGAAGCCAGGACGTAGAGATTGCAGAAGGGACGACCAGGCTGGCTCGTGGCAAAGGTGTAAAGTCTTGGGTGCTGCCGCTATTCATATTGCGGACGGGATTCACGGAGCACGCATGTCACATGTGGGTGGGAAATTGCCTCATTCCAAAGCAGCATCCTAGACCGGGAGCCAAGGCCGGGCGAAAGTGGCACCTTGGTTCGGTCAGCGGAACTTGGCTGCTTCCCCAACAAAACCACATGCCGATGTTTCGTTTCGTCGAGGAAGCAGTCGAAATGGAGTGGTTGGTTGGATTGCACGGAATGTCAGGACGGAAAGGAAGGCAGGCCAAGAGTGTGTCGCCAGAAGGCTTGGAAGAGGGGTGAATGATGGTGTGTGCGTGGTGGTGGTGGCGGTGGTGGCGGTGGTGATGATGATGATGAAGGCGACGGAGTGCAATACAGTGTTGAGTGAACCATGAAAAGGCGCATTTGGGCTGCATGGCGGAGAAGCACGGGTATGAAAAAGAAAGGGACCGTGGACAGCCGTCAAGGTCGGGCCTGTGGGCCGCAGGCGGGAAGTTGGAAGACAAAGACGGACCGGACCAGGCGAGGCGTAATGTTGACGTCGAGGCAACTGGACTTTGACAACGGCGGGCCCCCACCAAGAGGCGTCGTCCACGGTAGCGTGAGCAGGAGCCGGGTTGTTTTCGAGAGGTGTCTGTACGGACAGGGTCTGGACTCACTCTGGACTGGAACAAGCGGGTGGTGAAAGAGAGCGCGGACGCTCGGTGGTCTTGATGAATTGCCGAGGACGGATGTACCAAGTTGGACACACGGGGTGTCATGATGCATACTTGCGTACAGGCAGAGTGAGTACCTAGGTACCTAGACGTGTGCAAGCGTCTGTCTGTCTCGCATCCCGGTTCAGCACAAGGTCAAGAATTGGGTGACGTGCATACCTCGACTGCTCGCCGTCGTCAAGTCGGTACTCCCTACGGAGTACCGCGGTACTAACTTGAGTACGGAGTAGTGAGGCGGGCACTAAACAACCAGCTCACATGCACCTGCTGTCCAGTCTGTTGGCCACGGCTTTTAATAAAAAGCTAGGCTGTCACGGCCGGGTATCTTTCTGCCTGGCTTTCCTCGCTCCTCTCCCTCTCCCCTCCCCTCGCTTCGCTTCTTCCCCTCCGTTGATATCTGACTCTCTCACTCACTTACTCAAGTACTTCCTCACTTGCACCTTGTATATCCAGCCATCCCACTGACGACGGTAGACTCTGGAAAGAAATTAATCAGCACCTTGTCCGTGCTTGGCCGTTGCCGTTGCCGTTGCCGTTGCCGTTGCCCCGCAGTATTGCCATTGCCATCTCCGTCATCATTGCCCGGTGCCCGTTTGTTCCATCAAGTTGCTCGACAAGCTCATAGACACGCAACAGGAGCGAAACCTATTTCCTGTTGCTCTGTACTCCGTTCCCCTACAACGTACAAGCAGCCTTCGCACGTGACCACGTCGAGACTCATGACGTGCTTGGCTACAGACGCGCACCGTCCACACTCGACCTCGACCTCGCGCCAGCTTGGTCGGGACGCTCAGGAGTCGGGAGTCGGGAGTCGGGAGTCAGGACGTCGGGCTCGTTGACACTTGGTTGCCTTGAGCAAAGGGAACATCGCCAGTCAGTCGGACGGAGTGACGTCTCGAAAAGTATTCGCCACCCACGAACAATACTCCGTACGTCGAGCACACTCGGGGGGGTTGGAGAGGACCTTTGACGCGCAACGCAAACCGCATCCTCGGCCTGCGGCTCTCCCGTTCGTTGTCTGCGCACCACGAGTGTTTTGGAACAGCACAGGGTACATCGACGTGCGAGACACGCAAAATCCGTCGACGTCCAGGTCGCATTCCGTCCCAGTTGGCAGAGGCCAAACACTCGCCGCCTTTAAAACGCCATCTCTGACCTGACCGACTCGAACCGGGACCTGCGGGAGCTGCCACCTCCAGCCTGCGGACGGACTACCGCGTGCTTGGCGCAACATCTGCCGCCAGAGCTCCACGCCTCCTCCACCACCGCCGTCGGCCATCCATCGTCTCCTTGTCGCAGCTTCCTTGTCGTCCGTCCGCCTTCGTCCGCCGTCATGGTCCTGAGTGGCCTGGGAGGCCTGGTTTCGGTGCCAGGCCGCCGCCGTGCCTCGACGGCTGCCAGTGAGTCCCTCGCCCTCCTCTGATTCTGTTGTTGTGTCGCCAATGCTGCACAGCTCGGCCTTGTCGTTTGCATTCATCATTTTGTTTGTTCCCCCCGCGCCACCGCTGCCCCCGTTCACCAGTAGCGTCCGTTGGCCTTTGGTTGCCATCATCCGCCATCCGTCATCCGCCATCCGTCAACCCATCGTCCGTCATCCTCCCCGCCGCCCCCCCTCCAGCTCCATCTGCTCTCCATCCGCCCTCCATCTGCTCCTCCGTACCGTACTGCCTCTACCAAAGGCCCCAGCTCCGACACTCAGGGCCCCCCATCCTTGCCTGGTGGCGCATTCTTGATCCGGACCGTCGCCTGAGCGCCCGCGTCTTCTGACACGCTCACTCGGCGCCCTTGGCATCATCACCACCACCGACGATACCCATTGAATACTCGCGCAACACATTTCCGATAGACTTTCTTTGGTCACTCTGCCCTTGTCCATCTTATCCCGTCGTCCTTTTGCTTTTACTTTGCACCTTGCCGGACCGCCATGTTGTCTAACTGGTTCTCGCAACCCCAAGGTAGCGGCCATTCCTCCGCCGACGAGACGAGGGTCGGCGATAATGACGCAGACACCCAAGTCATGGAGCCTGACCAGGGCAATGGTAAGACGATGCCCGGCTCTGAAGCAAATGTCGAGTTCGGCTGCCAGTCTCCCCACGCCTGGCATCGTGCCTCATCCGTCTGCGGAGCACTCGGCAGCCTGTCTCGCCACAGAGTCTTGGCTGTTGGCTAACCGGGCCCAACCTAGTCCTGTCACACATCATCTCACAATTGCGACCCGGCGCCGATCTGAGTCGAGTCGTCCTGCCTACTTTCATCCTCGAGCCTCGGAGCATGCTGGAAAGAATAACCAAGTGCGTGTTTCTGTCCCCGAGGCGGCCGTCGTGTTTTCTCGGCTCCTGCTTACCAACCTGCGCAGCTTCATGTGCCATCCCGAACTGCTTCTTCAAATACCCGAAACAGATGATCCTGTCGAGCGCTTCGTCTCGGTTGTCAAGTTTTACCTCAGTGGATGGCACATCAGGCCCCCGTCAGTCATATCCTCTCGCATATCCTGCACGGCATCATATAGCTAACAAGACCGCTCATCAGAGGTGCCAAGAAGCCGCTCAATCCTATTCTTGGCGAAATCTTCACTTGTTATTGGGAGCTCGGAAACAACAAACGGGCATACTACATTTCCGAGCAAACATCGCACCATCCTCCGAAGTCGAGCTACTTCTACATGGCTCCAGACTACCACATTCGAATCGACGGCACACTGAAGCCGAGGAGCAGATTTCTAGGCAACTCTGCTGCTAGCCTCATGGAGGGCGTCGCATACTTGAGCTTCTTGAACAGACGGGAGAACAAGGAAATTGGAGAACAATAGTGCGTGATTGCGGAGAGCTGCGTTGTTGGGATCGGACGGCTAACAAAAGCTGACAGCATCTTGACCCAACCAAACATGTACGCTCGCGGTATTTTGTTTGGAAAGATGAAATATGAGCTTGGCGATCACAGTTTTGTACGGTGTCCCGAACTGGGCCTGACTGCGGACATCGAGTTCAAGACCAAGGGCTGGGTCAGCGGCACCTACAACGCCATTGGCGGAGTTATAAAGAGGGAAAGCACCGGCGAGGTTCTTTACGAGCTGTCTGGACTCTGGAGCCACGAGATGTTCATCAAGAATGTGCAGGTAAGGTTTTGCAGAGGCATGGCTCCAATCATTCTTTTTTTCCCCTGCTAATTATGGCGTCTAGACCGGGCATAAAGACATGTTCTTCAACGCGCTCACATCCAGGCCAAGCTCACCAAAAGTTCGACCGCTGGCTGAGCAGGAAGACCGAGAATCACAGAAGCTTTGGGCATTGACCGCCAAGGCTGTCAAGGAGAGAAATCACGAAGAAGCCACGGATGAAAAGACCAAGATCGAGGACAGACAGCGGGAGGAAGCCGCTGCCAGAGCGCAAGACGGCGTCGATTGGCACCCGCGTTTGTTCCGACGGGTGAAGCCCGGCGATGGCGTTGGAGATGATCTGGAATGGATCATCCATACTCATGTGTAAGGAAAACAAGGAAAATTTTGACTTGCAACTAGCACTAACACGGAGCGAACAGAGATCCCACGGCGTCCCCCGCAGAGCAGACTAAACAGTTATTGTCCATCTACCCCGTGATCGATGGGCAAAAGCTGAATGGCGATCTCGCTATTCCGCCTCACAAGGAAGCGAATGGTCACGCGGAGAAGAAAGGCGCGGCAGGTGATCTAATTGATATTGACGGCGATGCCCTGCCGGCGGCACAGTCGACAACAATCATCAACGAGTCCAGTGAGATTGAGAAGCTGTTGAATGCAACGGGAAAGCCGGCAGGAGGGGCATTAATCGATTTCGCCGACGGCATGAAGAAGGACTTGCCAGCCATTGGCGATAAGCCTTAGAGATGCTCATGCCTACGTCCTGATTACTATCGCGGCCATGCACCACATGGATGAAGGCGTTACTTGGTTTTCTTTTCACTTTCTCTTCTCTTCTCCTTTTCCTTTTAGTTTACAGATAAAAAACCATGACTGGGGGGGCGCATTCTGAGCATGTCGAGGACGACGAGGAGTCCTAGAGCAGGCTACACGACGATCAAGGGGGTTACCATACATGATTGCGAGACACTCGACACACGGACGGACAGAGGCGTGAACCGCAACGCGTGCAGTAATCAAGTGCAATGACATAGTGGGCTTCAACAGCAGCCCGACACAAGAAACGCAAATCACTTGGCCTTGTCGGAAACCTCCCTGTTGGATTGATCTTACGGAGGTACATGACAGGAAATCGTCAGCGTGATTTGAATTGAGATGAAAACAGCCGTGAAATAATATACCCCGTCCTTTCGCAACGCCAATTTTGTGATACAGTGTCTGTCCTGATAAAAGCATCATGAAAACCTCCTCGGGCACTCTCAAGTTGCTGTTAAAACCAAAAAAGGAAAAAGAATCGTCATGCCAAGAGTTTCACCGTCTCTTGGACGCCTCTGGTGTGGGCGACCTGCTCATGCTCCGCTCATCCCGACCCCTCAACTTCAACCACTTCTTCGTACTGAGCGTCAGGTCGCGGTCCAGCTCCTCGCTCGGATTCTTGCGGTGAATAAAGTTGCAGAAGCCGCCGCGGACGCAGCCCTCTCCCGAGTTGAGGCGGCAGCAAGCCTCGCGGAAGTCGGTGACGGGACTGAGTTCGCAGTAGATGGGGCGGCCGGCGTACCAGCGGGAGTTGAGTTCGTCGCAGGCTGTTTGTGCAGATTCCTCGTACTTGAAGCGCGCATAGACGTTGCCGATGAGGTCTGTCGTCGCGTGTTAGTTTTTCATTTCCACCTTTGCTCGCAGAGTTTTTTTTCGGAACTTGGAGGGGAGGGGATGGGACTCTGCGTACGGTCATTGTTGTTGTCGCAGACTACTAGCTCCTCTAGCTCGCCATACTTGCAGAGCTCGCACCAAATGTCCTCGTAGAAGGCGTCGAAGTGGTTCTGCAGCTGGGACGGGTTCATCCGGTTCTTGGGGTCGTAGGCCGGGTTCTGGTATAGGTTTGGCATGAGGATCGTCTGCGAGTACGACGGCTTGACGTGCTTGCGGGAGCAGCGGTCGCCGTGGCGGCAGGCGCCGATTTTCTTTTCCGGAAGGGGGGGGGATGTTAGTTTTGTTCCGTCTCTTTTTTTTTCTTGGAGGCGAGTGCTGGCAGAACGTACAAAGTAGAAGGAGCAGTTGACTTTGTCGAGCTCTGTGCCGAAGATTGAAGCTAGAAAGTTGGCCATTTTTGATGTGAAAGTCTCCCGGCGGGTGACGAGACTTTGAGGATTGAGGTTGGTGATGGACAATGAATGGTTCCCTTTCTTCCGGGATTGATGGGCGAGTGCAGCCTTGCGCCACGGAGGCAGGGTCACGTGCGTGGCTGATTTGTAAAAGTCCGGTACGTGCTCCGTAATCTGGTTGGTTCTGTGGCGGTGCGGCCGGCGTCTGAGGCGGCTAACGTGTACTCGTCTTGTCGTGTGGGGTCGTCCGAGTTTGGGGTCGGTGCGGCGGGACCTCATCTGCATCAATGCGATTGCTTCCCCTTATTCGCTGTGGTGAAAGCCACTTCGCTTTGCACTTTGCATGGTTTTATATTCCCGGAACAGGTCGATACAAAACAGCCTGGCTTCGTCCTCACCACCAGCAGCGCCGCTTTTTCCTCCCGCGACGCTGCCGTGCCAGGGTCCTTGGTCCTGTTTCTGGCTCCTCATCGCAGACGATGCTCTGCCGAGGACTGACACCACCATCACATGATAGTTACCGGCTGAGCATTCACATTTACGCGCAACCACAGTCAGCTGTTGACCCTATCGCTCCTGTACGCCGCCTCGATACGCGCGACTCGGCCGGTTTCGATCCCGTTCGCTGCGCCCGATTTGCTCGCAATGGACCAAGCTGACGTCCCCGCCCTTCTGGCGCGGCTGTCCAGCGACGAAGATGCCGCGCGCAAAATGGCCGTCTTCAAACTCCAAACCTCCATCAACGACCCTTCGTTTGCCGACGTCTTCTTGTCGTCTGGCGGTCTCGTCGTCCTGCGCGGCCTGATCATGGAATCCGGAGGAAACACGTTGGCCTACTCGCTGCAGAGCCTCACGCGCCTCCTCGAGGTCGATATGGGCTGGGACATCTTCGAGGGGCCGTCGGCGAGTGCCTTCGTCGAACGCATCGTGGAGCTCATTGTCGTGAACCCGCTGGTTAATATCCTCCGTGGAGCAATGTCAGTTCTTGTAGCTCTCGTCGGCCATTCCCAGTCCAGTCCGCCCGCGAGCCCCAATCCCAGCCCCGTTGGGCCAACACCAGGCTCCTTCGGATTCCGCGCCCTCAAGCCAGCCGTTGCCGTCTACCCGCAGTTCTTCGAATTGGTCATCCAGCAGTTGCAGAGTGCCGATCACGCGCTGTGCGCAAATGCCCTCATGCTCATCAACGCACTTATCCGCGATTCCATCTCCAACAGTTCTGCATACTCCAACGCAAACGACAGCGCAGGGAGCGGTGGCGAGAATTGGGCAAAGCTGGTCAAGTGCTTGCAGGACCTGGGTCTCATAAAGGCCGTCTATCAGCTCATGCAGAGCTCCTCAATACAGGACCTGGCGCATCCCGCGCCGGAATTTCAGTCGCTCACCAAGGTGCTGCTGCGGAAGTGGCGGGAGGTTGCCGTTGACCTGGAACGTCCAGAACATAGACGAGCGTTGAAAGGCATACACTTGGCCAGCGCCCCCGAACGCGCTGTCAATGGACTGTCAAAAGACGACGCGGCAGACGGCGGCAAGAAAGACGGCCGAAAACACAACCCAGAGAAGTGGCGGCGACTTGGCTTCGAAACGGAGAGTCCTGCGCATGAATTCGATACCGCGGGCTACCTAGGCATGATGGACCTTACAGACTATGTGCGGACGCACGAAGACGGCTTCCAGAAGCTGTTGCTTGAACAAGCCACAAGGCCACCTCCGGAACGATGTCCCATGGCAAGAGCGAGCTTGGCTGTAACCATGATCTTGTATCACCACTTCGAAGTCGACGGGGTCGAACTCGAGGACAGCAAGGGATATCAGGGGCTGGAAGGGAAGGATCATGACAGGTTATTCCGGCCGCTGCTGCTGCAGTGGTCTCGCTTACACGCCGCCGGCTTATTGGGTTTCCTGCGCATATGGAAGGCTACTGGTGCCCGGTCGGATGACTTTGAAAAGGTGGCAGAGCTCGTCCGTATTCTCGTCGAACAGGTCGTCGGTCAAGCGTCCCGGACAAGGGACATTTTGGAGGTGGAGGACGATTTCCTCGAGTATGACGTTGCTCGGCTTCGGGAGCTGCAGATGGAACTGTTGGAGCTGTCTTTCGACGAGACATGGGGCCATCACCTGTACCAAGTACGCGAGACGCTGAGGCAGGAGGCTCTGCAGTTCGTCAAGGAGCAGCGGGTGAGGTGCCTGCTGCAAGGCTCGTGGTTCTACAAGCCGGCGTCTCACAAGAGGGACCAACAAGACGCAGGCGATGCCAAGTCCGTCTTGCCGTGGCGTTTCGCCAAGCTATCACACAACCGCCGATATCTGCATTACGCAGATTTCGACGCCCAAGCGGCCCAGGATCCGGGTCTGGACGTGCTGACCAACAAGATTGACTTGGGCACCGTCAGCTCCGTCGGCTCCAACGTGTCGGCAACGGACGACAGGAGAAGTCACGCAAGTGGCTCCACGGTGCAAAACCTGGCCTCGCATTCCAAGGCCACCACCAAGATTACCATCTATGCAGGTGAAATCAACAAGCACGGCGAGGCGGACGAATACCCAATCTTGACGCTGTGGCCGACCAGCCACAGCCTGGCGTCGGAATGGCTGGACGGGCTGCTCATGCTGCTCAACCAGGCTCCAATTACGGCGGAGACGAGCAAGCTGATCAACCTGGTGAGCGAATACGGCCTGAAGATCCGGCTACTCAACGTCCGCATGGACTCGGCGTTTGAGGGACCTCCTCCGGGCGCGGGAGTGGTGCCTAGCCGAGCAGGACTTGACGAGGACTACTTCTTCGAGGTGTAGACGGTGTAGACTAGAGAGCGGCGCGTGCTTGCTTGATGTGTTTCCTTTCTTTTGTTGTTTGTATTAACTTTATTCGTTGGTGGTGGCTATGCCGTTGCGCAGTTCTCATATACCCCTGGAGGACGGGTTGCCGTGCATGGAAGTTTGTTGCCGTCATTTCCAACATTGTAATATGTGGTGTAGGGGCGGCATGTACGAATATTCTGTTTGTCTTGAGTAGTAACACAATATTCCCCAACATTGTCGTACCATATGATGAGCCCCGTGTCCACGGCGGGTGTCTAATACTGTATGTAATATGGATAAGCTCGTAGACGGAGTATCAGCTCAAATAGACCGTTCTTGGGGACCAGCAATGTGGTTACAGCGCCGTTTCAAAGGCAACCAAATTGGTGGTTCATGTTGATCAGCCCTTGGATCGATTTTGGATCCTCGCAGCTGCGCTACAGCTTTGAGCAGACAGAGTAGGAACGCTCGAATCCAACGGCTTTGGTCCCCTGAGATCCCAATGCATCTGCAGTTTGGAGTTGGGCCCCGTGAACTTGTGAGTAAGCCTACAAGTTTCGTCCAACACCGGGGGTGGGAAGGGGACGTGACTGCCAACAAAACCAGGAATTAGGATTCCTCACACGGGAATAGGTTCCTTGATGATTTTGCCGTTCGACAAAGTATCCTGTCTAGGCCTCTCCCCACTTTGGGCATGACTGACGAAACTGATGGCATCGATGTAGCTGAGTCCCTCCTTTTGCGCGACGCCATCTTGGTATGGTTTTATCTTGTACCGTGAGCGAGTCCGCTCGCAGCCGGCAAAGTGCAAGCTGCATATTGACCGCGTCGTCCAAATTGTTGAACGAGTCCTTTGGTCCTGAATCCTGATGGCCCCATGGAGAAGGCCCTTCCGCCGCACCGAGACTACAATACTACAATACTCCGTACATGTCGGCCAGTCTACTACCGCCGCGCCCCATGTCCAAGGAGTCAAGGACGATCGGCTGATGAATAGTTACCAAATCCCCTGTCAAAAAAGACCGGGGGACCTGCGCTGGACAAGGTAGATAGATGCACCAAGGGTCTGCAGGAAGACAATTGGCAGAGGCCTCCTCGCTTGAGAAGCCCACCACGGCCACGGTCAAGCATGCGAAAGCCTGTTGTCGGGCGCAGGCACTGGCTTTCCACGTCTGGTTTGGGCACACATGTACGGAGTAGGATTGGTGCTGTTGCAGTGTTTCTTGGAGTTATAATGCCGCCCAAGGGTGCATGATATTGGGCTGGACACGAGCGCCCAAGTGAATCCAGTAATGATAACCCACGAACGCTTCTTATGCTTTACTTTGCGTCACAGAACTTGGCCAACGTCTATTGGACCGTGGCGGCGGTTGTGGTCGAGCCGATGGCAGCTTGCATGAAGAAGAGGAGGCCGGGTGGATGGATTATGCGTCGAGTTTGTTGACTGGCATGTGTCGGTGTAGGAGCAGCAGGCGGAGAGAAGGCAGAGGGGAAAAAAAAAAAAAACAAGCTTGCAGTCTCTGCCGGTAGTTGTCTTGTCTTTTCCGAGCCGGCAGGAGTTTAAAGTCGCATTCTTCCCCGTCCTCTTCTTCTTCTGCACACGCTCTGACGACAAAAGGATGTCGTCGCCGTCGTACTTAGTGGACGGGAACCAGAACTCGACGCGGAAGGAGTCACCAAGGACGCACTTGAGTATCACCTGCCCTGGCGGGTGCCGGCCAGGCCCCTGAGTACTGGGTACTTGTGCTTGAGCACTATCTGCCTGCCTAGGTCGGTTCCCAGTACTGGACTTTCCCTCTCACTCTCACACACGCAGCATACACACACACACACACTCTCTCTCTCTCTCGTGTCCGGCTAGGCCATTTGAGCTCAAGGTATGTTGCCATTTTGAAGCCCGTGGCACGCGAGAGGCAACCGTCCGAGTTTGAAGCTGTCTCGGCCACCGACTTGCCTTTGCCTTGCGCTGACTTGTTGAGTGCCGAGCGGTCAGAGCCACGGGCTGCTGACCAACCGACGAGGCGCTGCCGTTTTGATTTGCGGGCCCAATCAAGTCGCCTGCCTGCGACCTCTCGGCCCCTGACAGGTACATGATACAGGCAGAAGAGACCATCTCTCGGCATTGCCAATCCCAATCCACCATCCAAAGGTCCCCCGGGGTTGAGAGAAAAACAACCACCTTCCACGTCGACCGCAATCCACAATCAAAACCAAGCTCGTCTACGCTCTCTATCCTCTCGCCAGTCAACCATACATACATACGCATATCCATCCGTGCTTTGCCGCAGCCATCTTTGCTTCTCCAGCCAGGCCGCCTAGCTACTTCCGTGTCGCCCTAAAATCGAATCCTTGCTGCCTCGGGTAAGTTGCAAAATCTAGTCCCCCTTGCCTCGAGACCTGCTCGTCGTCGATCCAGCACCAACCACAACCACCCTCTTCCGGCCTCGTTGGCGTGCCTCCTTTGGGAACCGGGCGCGGTTTTCGCATCATACTTGAGTAGTTACATTGTACACTACAATAGGCGTGGCGCTTTGGCTGACGTCGCCTTTGAGCCCTTAGCATCCAGGCACCCGCGACATACCCTCATTTTTATTCGAGCTCCGGGCCCGTCTGACACAGTCGTTCTTCGCAACTCGCCTCGCAATTCACTGCACTCAACGCTAGCCAAATCCAACGTCGAACCGAACCGCTTCAATCAACTTGTTACAATGGCTCGTATTCAGATCCCCCTCGACGCTCTGACGTCGCGTCTGAGCCTGGGAGACCGCTTCTCAGGCTTCGCCTCTGGGCCTTTGACCGGCCGCTTCTCCAACTTGCGGCCCATCTCCGAGTTCCTTGACTACAAGCGACTCTCCAAGCCTGCCAACTTTGCCGAAATGCAGTCGCGCGTCAATTACAACTTGAGCCACTTCTCCAGCAACTATGCCGTCGTCTTCTGCATGCTGAGCCTGTACGCTCTTCTGACCAACTGGCTCCTGCTGTTCGACATCATCCTCGTGGTAGTCGGTATGTGGTTCATTGGACGCCTGGACGGCCGCGATCTGGAGATTGGCACTTTCCGTGCCACCTCTTCGCAGCTGTACACGGGTCTTCTCATCGTCGCCGTGCCCCTGGGTCTGATTGCCTCGCCCTTCTCGACCCTGCTTTGGCTGATCGGCGCTACCGGCGTGACCATACTTGGTCACGCTTCATTTCTGGACAAGCCCATCGATGAGGCTTTTTCAGGGGAGGCGGTCTAGGTGGTCGGCCGCGAGCTCCCAAATTTGCGCCCCAATGGGGAAGACCATCGAGGCGCGGGCGGAGGAAAACTGATGGGGATGCTGCGCACTATAGCTCCAGGGTGGAAGAGCTGGGGACCGAAGGGGACGAAACAGATACGCCAGGCCTTGGGTTGGCCATGCGGCGAGGCACTCGATTCGTTAGTGATTCTCTTCAATTTACGGGTACAGACTTGGGTGATCGGGACAGCGGCACATTTCGCCGCCGAACGTTTGACGCTTCGGAAGATGACGGCGATGCTACTTCAAATGAAAGTGACGGCGACGGTGACTCGGACGACGGCGAGGACAGCGAGGACAGCGACTATCTTGATTTGTCGGGCTTGAGTCCGCAAGAGAGGGAAGAGGTTTTGGTTCAATCGGCGATGCGACGAATAAGCCTGGCTCAGGCCACTGGCCAGGCCGATGTTCATCTAAAGCCGGAGGAACTCGAGGCTCTGGCCCAGCGACAGAAACGTATAGAAGCGGAGGAACGGGCGGCACGCAGGAAGAAGCGCCACGGGGGGGGCAGAAGTGATCGAAGGAAGAAGTCGGAGCAGCGCATAGCCGTGCCACTTTCACAGCTGGCATCGGCCTCGAGCAAAAAGAAATCCTCACCACCACAACCAGCGAAGGTTCCCTCCGGACTTGATGCCCTCTCGCGGCAAACGACAGGCGGCGGCGACGTACCGGCAGATGGTCGTGACCGCCCAGGATACCCACCCATAGGATACTTCCCACCACCCTCTGCGTCTCGTTCGCGACCTCGCGCCGGGACAAGCCTATCGCAACGGCCGCCCAGTCTTGCGCACAACGAGTACGGATACGGTTCCTCCAGAACACGCTCAGCAGTGGGCTCTCTCCGCGCTACTCAGCTCGATCCGTTCCAATACCAGACAGGGGGGCCGCGCGCGTCAGATGTGCCAGGCACCGCGGCCGCCCCCTCCAGGCGGCACGCATCGGGGCCTTCGGCGGTCATGCGTGAACAGCGCCGGAGCACGTTGACTCCTCCTGGTGCGGCCAGGAGCAGCCACGGGTCGAGGCGGGCCAGCTACGGCGAGGACACGAGCGAAGCCGAGAGCTCAAGGAGCGAGGAGGACAGCAGCAGTGACGGTCGTGTCGAGCCGCCAATTCGGGAGCCAGCCAACAAGCCGACTGGGGGAAGGGGGAGGAGTTCGACGATTGTGGTGGAGAAGTCGCCTGAACGGGTGAGGAGTAAGAAGAAGTCGTCGTCGCCGGTGAAGCGGAAGCAAGTTGCAGGGAAGAAGAAGAAGTGAGCAGACAAGACAGCTGGTGGTGGTTCATGTGCACATGACAGCCAGTCTTGACAATAGTTGTAATTGAAAGCATTAACCCGCAACTCTGGTGGTGCCCCGGCGTGTGCCGTTGGCGATGATTCCGCAAGGCCGGCAGGAGATGACGGGTCGGTCCGGGCAAAACGAGACAGGTGCGGCGGCCACAGGGGATCCGGGGGGGATCCGGGGGGAATCCCTGCCTGTCCACTGTCCACTGTCCACTGTCCACTGTCCACTGTCCTCCGTCCACCGTCCACCGTCCACTCCACTGTCGAGGACACTGTCCAAGCTCCCCAGTCGGCTGCTGCCCGACGAAACGAAGCCCCTCCCCAGAAAACAAAGACCCTTGCTTGGCAAGATGCGCACCCAAAACTCGACTTCGCCAGAAATCCGTACTCGCAGCCGTGTGCACCAGCGACCACCACCCGTCCGCACCCGAACCCGAACCCGAGACGCTCGATTCCAAAACCAAAGCCAAAGCCAGAGCCAGAGCCAGAGCCAGAGCCAGAGCCAAAGCCAGAGCCGCAGCCAGACGACGACACGCCCAGCAATGCCGCGCCCCTACTCGCCCGGCGGCACCGGCACCGGCTCCGGCACCGGCACCGCCAAAACCGCAACCAAGCGCCTCCTCAAGGAGCTCGACACCTGGCGCAAAGAGCAGCGCGGCGACAAGGGCACCGGCATCGAGCGCCTCGGCCCCCTCAGCGACGAGAACCTGCTCGAGTGGGAGGCCGTCATCAACGGCCGCGGCGTGGGCGGCGGCTACGACGGTGAATCCCCAGCTCTCCCCCCCATCCGCCCTCGTTTGTTCGTGCCCGTGCTGACCGACGCCCCCCCCAAAAAGCCGGCCGCTGGCTCGTGTGCATCTCCGTGCCGCCGACGTACCCGCTGCAGGCGCCGAGGATGCGCTTCGCCACGCCCGTCGTGCACCCCAACGTCGCGCTGCACACGGGCGAGATATGCCTCGACCTGCTGGGGGACGCGTGGACGCCCGCGTACAGCCTGCTCGAGTGCGTGCGCGCCGTGCGCATGCTGCTGGGCTGCCCGGAGACGGACAGCCCGCTCAACGTGGACGTCGCCGCGCTGCTGAGGGGCGGCGATGTCGTCGGCGCCAGGAGGCTGGTCGAGTCTTGGTGCGCCGACGAGGGCGGCAGGTACGACGGGCCTTGAGGGCCGCCCTTGGGAAGCGCGACTTCTTCTTCTTCTTCTTCTTGTTTCCCCCTTCCCCCCTCCTCCTGCTGCCTGGTGCCTGGTGCCCGCGCCTCTGGGCTTCCATGGCTGTTTCGTTTTGGAGTTTGCGTGGTCCCCGGCATTGCGGGATTGCGACCCTGCGAGACTGCAAACTACATGTTGAAGCGAGGCCATTCGGGGCCGTCTTTGGGCATGGAGTCATATCGGAGCCGTACCATGTGCTTCGGACTAAACCCACTGGCTTGATATTTGCATGCAAGACGAGCACGTCATCATGGATTCATGACTCGAAAATATACATAGGCACTCTATATTTGCACGCCGACTTCATCTTTGATTCTTGTGTCAGTGTGGATTTATCGCCGTCTATCCCAAAACCAACCCTTTCGCTTCCTAGCCCCCTCCCCCAAATCGTCATGTACATAACAAGAAGCGTGACATGATAGCGAAGCCAATGGTTGGCAAAAGTAAAGAAAAAGTTTCAATGTGAACAAAGATTTCAACAGCGGTCAAGTCCGCCGCACCCATCCTCTTCCCACCTAATCGTGGAACAGGTTTTAAGCAAGGAAAGGCTGTCAACTTCCCTTCTTTTCTTTCGTCCCTCGGCCTGTTTTCCTTTCTTCCTTTTATTCCTGGCCCCTGCTAGTAATAATATACTAACAAAGAGATGCTACATGAACGCCGCCACGCCGCTAATTTAGCCTTCGCCAAGACCATGGTTGCCAGCGGGGATGCAGTTTTTCCTACTCTCCTTCTTCTGTGAGACGCTTCCTGCCATGTCCAAAGACGCAAACCCGCACATGGCCATGAATGGAGCCTTTTGGCATATTGCGATCAATTCTCGGCTGCGCGTCTTTTAGCACCGAAGGGATTCTCTCTTGCTCCGTTTTCCGCCGTCTGCCGTCGTTACTCGTTATAATGGTAGACCTTGTTCGAGTTAGTATCGTTTGTCAAGTAATTGGAACACATGCCGTGGCGTAATACCTTGTAGTTGGGAAGGCCGTAAGGCTGCCATCCTAGTCTCTTGGCCATCTTGGCAAATCCTTCCGTCTCAATGAGGTGGTAAAAGGAAAATGGGGGAAACATGGCACCATCACGGTGGACATCAGCCTTGACCAGCAAAGCAGTGCCTCCAACGCCGTCAAGGGGAATGCTAAGCCCCTCGTCACCACCTTCAGTGGCCAGATGAGCCATCAGAGTGCGATATGTCGCCATCTCGGCGTATCCCTCGAGCAAGATGTCATCAGGGCCCATCTTGGAAGCCATCTGCGTAGCGATATCACTGTCTTGCCAGCTATTATAATCGTAGGGCCGTTGATCCATTTGTTTCTTTTCATCGTTGTAGTAGCGCTGGAAGCAGTTGGGAACAATGACGTCCTTGTTGTGCTGGGCGAGATCTTGGATCAAACTCGGTGGGCTCTCGACAACGTCAGAGTCCAGCCACAGGACCCAAGAAGTTGCAGGACCAAGAGTGGTGAAGAGAAGCGAGTTGCGAGCCTTGGCCATGACAGCCCTCCTGGCCTTCTGGTTGGACATCTTGTGACGCTCGCTCTCATCCTGGGATTCAATGGCTGGGCCGAAATCCTGGCGCAAAATGATGATGCTCTTGAAACGATCCTTTTCGGGGCCGCGCTTTTGCGTCCTCTGGATCTGCTGCTGCAGGGCGGCCGTGGCAACATTGCCTTCCTTGGTCTTGGGGAGAATGAAGCCGAGGGTAATGAGGTGGTGAGGGTAGCTGAGGCGAATCAAATTATCCCAGTACTCCTGGTAGAAACGCGCCATGGGCGTCAAGATGAGGACATGTTCTTTGTTCTCGATGGGATTCGCAGTAACGGTGACGCTATTCAGGTTGTATCGAATGACGGGCGGCGGGCCGGACTGCAAGCCAGACTTGGATGTGGACTTTTTGTAGGGTGAGGTGGGCGGCGAGAGGTGATGCTCGGCAGTGACGGAGGGCAACTTGCTTGGGGAGGTGGCCTTGTTTGAGGGCGAGACGAGGAAGAACAGGATAAAGATGCAAAGGACCAGGCCCAGAAGGAGAGTCAAAGGATTCGCCTTCTTGAGCCGGACTGACCCCATGGGCCGAGCCATGGAGGCTGTTTCGGTGCGTCAATTAAGAAGAGGCCCGATGGAAAGGAAAGATGGAAGAAGAGAAGAAGAAGAAGAGATGAAAAAAAAAAATCAAGTGGCCTCTAGTCGTCTCGATTTGCGTCGGGATACCGTGGAATGCGACAGGGATGGCGTTGATGGACAGTGGTGACGAAAACGACGTCGTCTATGCAAAATGAAACGGGCATCAAGCAGCGGCAGCCAGTGCAAGCGGCCTTGACACAATGATAAATGCAGGCACCGTCAAAAGGGTTGGCGCAATGTGTCGGAAAACGAGGCACAGAGGGACAGAGCGAGAGAGGGCGAGAGAGAGGACGCGCAATGCAGGAAGCTGGAAGCAGGAAGCGGGAAAGATGTGGTCGCTGATGTGAAGAAAACGGAAACATGCAACTTTCAACGGGCACCTGCACGGGCGGCCCTTCCCCTGGCCATGTGCTGTGGTGGCAGTAAATTCCGCAGGTACCAGATGGCCTCTCTACTTCGTTACTTGAGTAGGTACTTATTACTTAAGGTTACATGTATTGGCCCCAGGCTCTGGTCCCTGCGCCTACTTGCTTACTTAAGTCCGAACTTTAAGAAAGTACGGAGTACTTACTTGGAATTGCTCGGTAGTGCCAAGGACTTCCTTCCGCTACGCGCGAGAACTGCAAGTTGCTACTTAGCTGGTACTTGGACACTTGCCTACTTTAAGTAAGTACTGAGTAAGTTACTAAACGGAGTGCTCGACTTAACCACTACTCGCGTGGCCGCTGTTTCTGCAAGACTGGTCAAAAATTGCCACGATCTGGTCAAAAGGGTGCAGTCCCCCTGAGAACAGGCGCCTACTTACTCCGTATTTAGTGCGTACTTACTTAAGTACGTAGGTTACCAGTACTTCGCACCGCCAGCTGGGTACTGTGTGCTGTTGCCCCGGCCAGCCATTACTGCATTACTGCCTCCACCACCGCACTTTAGGCAAAAAGTTGATAGATCAGCCTTTGCCAACACGACAACATCATCAACAAACATCGACAACAACGCCGCCATCGGGAATCTGACACCGACGCCGATCTTGGAGACTCGCCAGACTTCATCCTAGACAAGAGAAAAGTCGGCCCCATATTACCACACCGCACTGTGCTGCACGGCACAGCACGGCACTGCACTGCACTGCCCTCTCTGACCACAATGGCTGAGAAAATGGATCGTGGCCTTGACGACATCATTGCTGAAAAGGTATGCTTTGGTCCCCCAACTCGCCAAGCCTCAACACCTCGTTTCCTCAGACGGCCAGACCCAGCCTGACAGTACCGTCCAGCGAAGCAGTGATCCTCGAAACCGACGCGGCCCCCGAGATAATCGCCGTCGCGATCGTAATGATGATTATCCCCGGGACGGGGTAAGAAAGGCAAGTCTGCCGGTCACCTTCTTCCCTTCCATCACCGATGAATTTCGCTCTCCAGACCCCTTGCGCTTACAATTGCCACCTCACAGGTTGCATAATCCTCCTCTCCTTGCACCTGTCTAATCGCCGGGTCGCCTCGGTTGCCTGGGCCGGCCTTCATTCAGTCGAATCCATCCATACATGCAGCAGCGCCTTGACGATGCAGACAGCAATAACCCTCTCCTAGACCCAACGCTAACCACCTCTCTTTCCTCCCTTCAACAGTCAACCCGCGATGATCGCCGAAACATAGACAGGTTCGCGCCAATAGCTCTTGCGCCGCCTCTTTTCTCTCCATCAAGCTGACCTGCTCTTCCAGCGAATGGGTTCACGACCGATACGACGATAGCGGTAAGAACCCTCGTCATCGTCAGCTTTACCGGCCTTCAGAAACTTATTTGCTTCACAGAATCTCGCCGCGGCCCCGCACTTCGACGCCGACGCGAATTCCCAGCCAAGTACGCCAGCCATGAATCCCAGCGGCTCAGCTTGTTCTGCACGAGACTGACCCCAGCTGCGACAGTGACAATCGAGGATCCAAAATCCGGGTCGAGAATATCCATTACGATCTCACAGAGGAGGATCTAGACGTATGTCGCCCAGTTAGCATGCACCTTGCTACAGTGCAACCTGACACTACCGTAGGAACTCTTTGCTAGAATTGGTCGTGTCTCCAAGCTCAACCTGCGATATGACCGCGCGGGGCGCTCAGAAGGCACCGCATATGTCACATATGCGCAAAGGGAAGATGCTGAGGAAGCTATTAGGCAGTTTGATGGTGCAAACGCCAATGGTAAGCCGGGCTACACGCGCATCGCTGCCAAGCGTGCTTCTAATTTGGTCTTGACAAGGACAACCAATCCGCCTCACGCTACTCCCATCACGGAATCCATTCGATACTGCCGTCATGCCTAGCCGTCCACTGGCGGAGCGAATTTCGGCCCCTGGTGCCAGAGCCCGCTCCACGTCTCCTCGACGCAGACTTGAAGACGAGGACGCCGCCCGCAAGGGAATTGACAGATACATTCCCGGAAGACGCTCCAGGAGCCCCATGTCCCGACGCGGCGGTGGTCGCGGAGGACGTCGTCCCGGCGCTCGACGTGATGGCGGGAACGTTAACGAAGGGGCTCGGGGCGGTCGTGGCAGCACACGCGGAAAGAAGACGCAGCAAGAACTCGATGCTGAGATGGCAGACTACTTTGGAGGAGGTGGTACTGACTCCAACGCGGCAGATGTCCCGGCTAACAGTGCAGCGCCGGCCACTGAGCCTGCGCCGGCTGCCGGCAACGACGATATTGACATGATCGAATAGTGCAATGCCCTTGTATATAACACCCGAAATGCTACTTGTACTTGTTTGGCATCTCTGGCGACAAAGGATTGCTGTATCAGCATGTATGGTGAATTCCGTTTGGCATCTGTCTCTACCCGGCCCGAGTCCTTCCATCTCTTGAACATACCGTCCTCACTCATCATGGTTTTGTTTGTCCTTGACTGTGGACAATTTGGTCGTCGTTTTACCTCGTGTCTCTGGTTTCAATAAATGACCTTGCAAATGCACATATTGTTGCGTTGTTGCGTTGTCGAAGGATATAAAGCAAGTCAGAACCTACCTACCCAAGCCCATGCGATGCGATGCGATGCGATGCGATGCAACATTTTCCAGACACGAGAAGGAAGCTAAAGCTGGATCTCGCCGTCGGCCACCAAGCCCAAAAGGCCCATGTACATCGCAGCCCGGAGAGCAGACGCTCCTCCCAGACCACGGCGCCGCCTGAAAGTAGAAGGTGTATGCATGTCCATGCGATTACAGACAGATTTACATCCCCGTATCCGGGTCACGCCCCTCCGCATAACTAACTTGCTTGGCCCGCCGATACTTGTTGGGCGTGCCTTGGTCTTCACGCAATTCCTCCGGCCCGGGCACGCTGGGATGCGCACTCTCGTACTCGGCCCGGAGGGAGACGGCCTTCTGGTCCCATTCATCGGCCATTGCGTTGAACACCTCGAGAGCCGTGTTGTAGGCTCTCTTCTGCTCGGCAGCCTGTTCCTCGTACGGCTGCCGTTGCTCCGGGGGGGTCTCTTTCCACATCTTGGACGTCATCATGCGGACTTCGTTGGGGAAACTGCGTGCCCTGCCCGGCTTGCGGTTCTCTTCGCAGCGCCTGCGGGCTTCCTCGAGGTGCGCTTTGCCGAAAAGGAGGTACGCGCTTCCCGCGACCTTGTTGGGGCGAAGGGGCCGCTCGCCAATCTTGTCCCGGATGTGGTCCCAGACTTCGAGCTCGTAGGCTTCGAGGCGCGCTTGGCGGGGGTCCTTTGCTGCTTCTTTGCGTTTTTGCAACAGGAGAGAGTCCCTAGGCAGGATGAGCGGCGTAGGGACCTCGATGGGGCCGAGGATACTTTCCAGGACCTCGGAAGCTGCCCGCAGCCCGGATAGGTATGCTCCGTGAACCGTGGCCGGGTGCGTGCCGATGGTGTGCTCCCCGGCGAAAACGAGGTTGCCGACGGGTCGGGCCATGCTGTCGTAGTCATCTGGTTGCATCCCCGGCGCCGCAGACGAGTAACTTCCCCTGGCGAACCGATCGGAGCCCCAGCGAGTGATTACGGACTCGACCGGATAGGGAACCTTGTTTCCAAATACGCCGCGGAGAATCTCGGTGGCCTCCTCGATCAGGCTCTCGTTGCTGGAGCGCTCCGTTTCGAAGCCAGCTTCTCCAGCCATCAGGGCGATGAGGCACGGAAGTCCAGTGGTGTGGGTGACGTTGAACCACTGGAAGAAGCGGCCACGGTTGAGGGCATAGTCTTCCTGCAACGTGCTGTGTCTATCTGGGGGGTCCCTCAGGACTCCGAAGATGTGTCGCTCAGAGTCCCAGAATACCTTGTCGTAGACAAGCACAACCTTGTTCAGGATTCCGAATCCCAAGCGTTCTATGGCACCAGTTTTCCAGGCAGGCAAGGCTGGTTCAAAGTTGATACTCCCTTGCTTGAGGACGCCAAGGGGCACGGAGCAGACGACGTTGTCGGCGCAGACGGTGACGCCGTCCTCAGATTCGATGGTTGCCGGGCCCGCAAAGCCAGTGCTGTCAAACTTGATGGCTTTTACTGCAAACTTTGTAGACAAGTCGAGGGGCGTCGGGCACTGAAGCAGTCCACGGGCAATGCTTTGGTAACCGCCGACGACCATGGTGTGGTTTCCTTCCCATTCATTTCCTGCGTCAATGTCCCATAGCTCGAGACTCAGGTTGTGTAAGTTTGCGGCATTGCTGTATTCGAGGTTGGCAATATGCCAGTTGAGCAAACGGTAGTCTTGTGGAGTCAAATCAACCAGGTCCTTGTAGCGAGTGACTCCATGATCGAGGACAGATCCCAGCGTTGAACCGTTTCGAGACGCCGCATCCCCGAGGTTCAGGTCGAAGTCTTCGCTGGCCCCAGGCTTGAGGCTCCAGCCCATCATCCGTGCCTTCTCTGCTACCTTTTCAGATGCTGGAACGCCAGGTTGGTTGTGAACCCGGCCGGTCAGCTTGTCGGCCGAGACGGGAACAAGGTCGATCTTCTCCGGGACGCTCTGCTCTGAAACTGGCGGTGCATAGGGAAGCGCTGCCGTTGCTTCTTCTGCTTGCATTATGGTTTTGCTGCCATCCCCTGGACTGTCGCGGCCCTCGTAGAGAAGGTCACGGTTGCCTTCGATTACTTTTGACGGCTGTGATTTGAACTTGTACTCACTTACTCGGTCCAAGCAATCGTTGTAAAGCTTTTCCACTAGCTTGTCTCGAATAGGGTCTACAGGTTTACCATTGCTGTCATAAATGGTGGTTTCTGCTGTCAGGGCATGATACGGTAGACCGAGTTGCCCCCGAACTAAGACGTTGATGGGATTGCCACGCTCAAAGCCAGTTATGATCATGCCCCCAATTTCTGCTGTATGTCTTTTACCTTCGAGCTCTGGCCTTTGATCATTGAGCTTTGTCTTGAATTCTCGAGAATACACCCTTCCTCCAACGCGACTTCGTCCCTCAAGTAGAACAACATTCGGAATATCTTCACCCATGTCATGAAATCTTTCCGCGTATTGTTTGAAAAGTCCTTCCAACTGTCTAGCACACGCCAGACCCGACACACCCGCACCGATGACGGCGATTTTCCTTCGCTTTCTACGGCTCAATGTTCTACTTTTCATCATAGAGACATCGGCAAGCTTGACACAGCCGTAGTTGATATATCCTCTTCGGACAAGCCAGTCGTAGCAGACATTGGCCGCATCGAACCATCTTGCGTTGGCACAACCGACTGCTTCTTGCCTTGTTACAATAGCCCAAGGCTTCTGTAGCCAAACACGCAAGATGGCGTTTCTAATGTTGAGGTAGGTCGTGACCTGGTTGTGAGATATGTGGTGCCGCAAAAGATGATATTCCTCAGAATTCAAGGCATACGGATTCAGTCGAGAGGACTCTGCAGCATCAAGGCATTCAGCGGCGTGCTGGTGAGCAGGGATGTCGGTGGGGATCGATGACTTGGGTCGGACGGTAAAACTTAGTCGCTCGTGGCCACGGTGGTAGGTTTTCGGTAGAAGCCGCTGGCTAACTTTGTCATCTCGTTGGAGCTTTGTGAGCTCGATCTCTATTGGGGTTGTGGCTTTGCTGGAACCGAATGACGATGAAGCTTCCGACTGCTCGGTGACAGCAGACATTGACGAGCCAAAAGAATCGGCCGCTGCGTCGTTGTCCCCCACTTGCAAAATCTTGCAGCCATTCGTTTGTGATACTCTGTTGTTTTCGCATTAGAAGCCCAGACGTCGAGTGTGATATAATGCAGAGCGTCACAGCAGGGACTCACCTGGTACTGACATCGACGGAGGGTTGCTCCTCCGCACCGCCTGCATCCATGCATGCATCTATACTAGCACAGTTTCGAATTGAATGCGATTCACCTCTTGGACCAGCTCTCGAAAGCTGATGAAGAGATCCGTCGGTCAGATTTGGCTGAATTTCTTCATGTGTCGATATATTATATGATAAATGAGATACCGGTGGAGCTCTGTGTGGTCTCGAGGCGTATACATTATCGCTATTGATGAGGGCGTCGCCAACAACCCCCTCATCCATTTCTGTGTGAGAGTTTATAGATATGTCCATGGCGATATTGCGTTTAGCCATCTATCACCTGTGAGCGTTTCTCAAGAGACATGAGACTGATGTTGATTGCCAAGGCCAAGGGCCGCCGACCGGAAAACGTCTCGCAGTAAAACTCATAGAGCTGCTGACTCTGAGCTTCGGATCACACGACACTTCAGTTTGTACGTCGCATCCAACATGCCCTGTTGAATAGTGTCAGTATAGGGCGGAGGGTTCTCAGACTTTTGAGATGTAAGCGGATTGAAGGTACTACTAACCTGAAGGCTTGAATGGCAGGACATGAGAATGTTGAAGATGGCAGATGAGTTCAAAGGCGGTTTGAAAATTCGATTGAGTAGTGGCATACGATATATATACCTTGAAACAAGTATGATTGGACGATAAAAACTAATACAAGGAAGGCTCAATGAAGAATTGAAGCTGTCAGTCCATTACGCCCCTCAGCGAACCCCGGGACATCTCAAGGTTAGTTAGTAATCACGTGAGGCCACCGTTCCCTCGAATCGCAATGTTGGAACTTGTGGGCCTTCAGGCCGCCAATCTCAAATTGGCACTCGGATGTCAGCTCACAACTCTGCAGCCCAGCAAAATTCGAGAAAGAAACGGTTCTTCAGTGAGAATGAACGCCAAGAGCATCCTGGTGCGTGCGATTAGACCCGTCTTCGACTATGATGGAGCCGTACAAGTCCAGATGGTTTTAACAAAGGTATCGTATCGTTCGTATGTCGCGAGCTTCAACGATGCTCACTTTGGACGGACGGAGGCGGCTCCCTTGCGTATGAGCCAGTCTCTATCGCAGCATCCATCATTCTGTTGCCGCTAATTATAGATGTCGTACAAATGATGATATTTCGTCGGCCTGTACGATTCGTTAGAGCGCTCAAAAACTATTCGTCAAAAAAGGCCGGCCTACCCTCATCCTGCCTAGCTATGAAGCGCAGCGCCGCAATTTCGGTAAACGTGATCCCACCCACGAAGACGACAAACACAGTCTGCTTCGCACTGGTACCTGAAAGGAGTGCACGAGCCTTCACCGCCTTGTCCTCGCCAGTTTGAAGCTCGTAGAATGTCTGCCCGCGGGCATGCTTGGCTGCTTCGTCAAAGCCATGCCAGCCCTGGCTCGTGGCGCCCGCAGCTGCAACACCAGCGTTCGCCGCACTACCACCCTTGGCGAAAGACAATAGATATTGCTTCTGCAGGACGCATTGGACTAAGCGAATTGATAGAGGAGCGTATCCGCTGTATACGTATGCAATGTCGTTGGGATCATCTTCTTTAACCTCGTCGACAATAAGTCGCAGCTGCTTCCGCAAATAGGTGTAATTCGTTTTGGTGCCCGTTGCCCCTGTACTGCCACCGGTCATGGGGATCATTCCAGCAAGAGGAGAGGATCGAGAAAGGAAGAGCTGCAGCTTTTCCAAGTTGTGAAGCGTCAGGAGATGTTGATATCCGTACCCATGCAAGACAAGCTTTCGAAACTGATCAAACTCTTTTGGTTTAATGCCCCCAGAAATGCAGGAATAAATACACAATAGCCTGAGGGTCTCACGAATAGGCGCGTCGCGCGCTATCAGCTCCTCGATGGCATCGAATTGAGAGGAGGGATCTGCACCGGCAGCAAGATTCTGCTGCACTTCTAGCAAGCCCTTGAACTGATCGGTTCTGGTGCGCTTGATGATTTCCTCGGCGATGCCGGTATGAATTCGGACACTTCGATGCTCTTGCTGATACCCTGGTAATTGACCAACAAACTCCTTGAGTTCAGCCAATGTTTTTGTCTTGTGCTTGGTCTCGTAGTCAGACTGAACTTGCTGCAACCGCCGAGCAACCTTGTTGAGCATTCCGCCAACGATGGCAAAGTTGGCATCTCGTAGCTGATCGTATAGTTTGTCGGTAGAGTCCAGGGAAACCATCTCCTTCCGTCCTTGCGTAGTAGCCGCAGATGACCGAGCGGGAGCGCCGACAATGGTTGTGTCCACCTTGGTTTGGTTATTCTGGATTTCAAATACTTCGTCTATAAGACCTTCGTAGGTCAGCTGGGTGAGAAGAGGAGTAACAAAGTCCACCTCGCGATCGATTATAATAAGGCTCTCGTTTGTCGAACTGGGTGTCAAACCGGGTTTGCGCGAGTCGCTCGAATCTCCCCCCGCGAGTACTTCCTGGCGCATGCGGACCAGAAGGTCAGACACCTTCTTTGCATTATCTCCTTTTCCAATTATCCGAGGAAACAAGCCATGATTCTGCTGAACTTCCATCAAGGCCTTTGCCAAAAGGTAATTTGGTGTGACATCCTTGGAGAGGTACAGGTCCTTGAAGGAATCACATAATTCTAGGGATAAAACGTCCCTCTCTAATGGGAAGAAGGATAAAGGGAGCTCCGATATGCTCACGTCGCCCAATACGCCCGCCTCTTCTAGAAGTTGGTCCGATACCAAGGTGCGACGTGGGACCCAAAAGATATGAAACTCATGGCTTGTAGGGCTTTGGCGTCGGACTCGTTTTATTTGGTCTGGGTAGGATTACGTGTCGGTTAATCAAGGGAAAGGCCAGTGCAGCGACATGAGATGCGCGGTCAAGAGAGGGTAGTCGTACTAGCTATGTCCTCGGCGTGACGTCCACACTCTCCTCTGGCAATGAATACCACGTTGTGCTGGCTGGTATCCACGTTGTCATTTTCCAGGACGAAGAACTTGTCGACTCCGTACTCTTGCAATGTGTTGACTTTGACCACCGTTCCAATGGGACCGACCAAGCTCTTGTCGAAGACGAGATTCTTCTTGCCGCGGACCTGCAGAGATGAGTGTGTGAGATGCAGTGGAAGCTCCCGCAGGCTTTACAGGAGCTGAAGGAGGCGAGGCTATCACTTACGCCCTCGAGTAGGTACAGCAGGTCTTTGCGGGCCTTATTTTGAACTCGCTCCGTACTGAATTCGGTACGAGGAGCCATGGCGGCTCACACGGCAATTTGAGATGGTGAGCTGAGCTCCGTGCCAAGCGGAGGCGTTGGTGACGGAAAAGGTCCGAGACCTCACGAATTCTGCCATGATCCCTCGCGGGTCCCCTCGCCGGGGCAAGGCGGTGAAGACGACCAGACATAAGGGGGGCGCCAGGCACCCACCCCGCGTTAGTGGTCACAGACTCACCACTGACCAGTGGCAGAGCCCCAGCACTCAAAGTCGACGTCATTGCAAGTTTACCGACCGCCTGTTGACCAAACGACCTGTAGCAACCTGATAAACGTGAAGGAATGGTCTCTTTCTACTCTCTCTCTCTCTTTCTCTCTCTCTCTCTCTCTCTCTCTCTCTCTCTCTCTCTCTCTCTCTCTCTCTCTCTCTCTCTCTCTCTCTCTCTCTCTCTCTCTCTCTCTCTCTCTCTCTCTCTCTCTCTCTCTCTCTCTCTCTCTCTCTCTCTCTCTCTCTCTCTCTCTCTCTCTCTCTCTCTCTCTCTCTCTCTCTCTCTCTCTCTCTCTCTCTCTCTCTCTCTCTCTCTCTCTCTCTCTCTCTCTCTCTCTCTCTCTCTCTCTCTCTCTCTCTCTCTCTCTCTCTCTCTCTCTCTCTCTCTCTCTCTCTCTCTCTCTCTCTCTCTCTCTCTCTCTCTCTCTCTCTCTCTCTCTCTCTCTCTCTCTCTCTCTCTCTCTCTCTCTCTCTCTCTCTCTCTCTCTCTCTCTCTCTCTCTCTCTCTCTCTCTCTCTCTCTCTCTCTCTCTCTCTCTCTCTCTCTCTCTCTCTCTCTCTCTCTCTCTCTCTCTCTCTCTCTCTCTCTCTCTCTCTCTCTCTCTCTCTCTCTCTCTGTGTGTGTGTGTTTGTCATAGTTTACTATGTATCAAGTCGAATGCATCAACCTGTTTGTGGAATGGCTGGTGGATTCTATCAAGGCTGCTCGGCCATAGACCTCTTGAGGCTTAGTATGGCTTTCATGGATATGGTATGGGGAGCAAACCACCGAAATCAACGCAGTATTCTAGTAACCGTGCGAGATCCCTCTATTTCACTAGACATGCGCAACGAATGATGACATTATCCTGTACATGACTCCCACCATCTCCCCTAGCCTCGGGGGAAAATAAGAGAAAGATGCAAAGACGGACAGTAGAGGAAAGCAAGACGCTGGTCGCTTATTTTAAACATTGAGCCAAAATGCAATGCTTCAAAGTCAGAACATGACTTGTCACGGGCCAACCACCGAAACAGGTGGCGGCATGAATTCCGTCGGTGGTCATACAGTGTTGTCGTGATATAAGAACTCAATGTCTCGGGGCCGCAACCGATTGCCGCGGACAAACTCCTCATCTCCTGGCGGCCGCTCATTTTTGGAATTACTGGTGAGCATGCTTTGGATGCTCATGCATACACTTTCTGCGCTTTGCACGGGGCTCCACCCTTGTGAATCAAGTAAATCGAGGCATATGAAGCCATTCGAGTAGATGTGAGGGTGAATAGGCACGGGCCGATCTGGCTTTATATCGAACGTGACTTCGGGCGGTTCTTTAAGAAGAGACAGTCAGCAACCCTGCATCGCAAGGAACGCTGAAAGGGACGGAGAATGGGAAAGTAATACCGATGGGATATGACTGTGGAAATGCAAACCTCAGGCGGTAAATCTGATTTTGGTAAAGCGGATTTGTGTCGAGGACACGAATGTCAAACGTCCATTCTTTCAAGCTGTCGCCGTCGACGAGATCGATGCCCGGGGGTAAGCCAGATCTTTCGATCTACGATGTGGTGAGTCGGCGACTCAACGTAATGGCTTCGACAGACGGGCGCGGCTGGGCGCTACATACCTTTTGACGCTCCTTGGCCACGCGCTTCTCCCTCATATGTGTGGCCATGGTTGCGATGCAGAAAGTGTCTGGTGTGGCGGACGGCAGTTGTAGTTGTGCGAAACAGGAGGAGGTCTGGTGGGAGCGGAAGCGCGAGCGGAAGCGCGAGCGGACGCTTCTAAGGGACGGATGAGACTAACCAATAACTATCAATGGGTCTGCGGAGGACCGATACGGACTGTGCCAGCAGCGGGCAGAGGGCAGAGGACAGAGGACAGTCAGCTGTCCAGTCATCAGAGTTGCTGGCAGCGTCAACTCAGGAGCTGGTCAACTGCGCTCATGCAGGCGGTTCAAAAAGTTGACGGCTGGGGGGGCCGGCATGCGCACACTGCACAGCGCTCTTTGGACAGACGCCGCGCTGCAGGCTCCAAACAACTGGAGTGGAGAGTCGCCCGGGAGGTGCTCACACTCAGTCGCTCTCTGCATGGCATAGGGCTGACCTGACCGAGCCTACGGCGTGCTAGTACTACTGTACTGTACTCCGTACAGCCGACCAGTTGCCGGTTGCCGGTTGACGGTTCCGGTTGGCAGGTTGAAAAAATGCACTTGGGCCCAACTGCAATGGGGCTCGCTCAGCCACAAAGGCTCACTCGTCTCCGGAGTACTTCCAGCTCCAGTCTCCCAGTCTCCACCGATGGCATCGACGCCCAAGCATTCGGCCAGTGAGCAGCCGGCCCGCGGAGGCTCTGACGGCGGCTGGGCCTGGCCTGAGCATTGGCCACTTGACCGTAAAGGTGCTATCAAGTCAAGTTGATTGGTATCATAAGTACCTACTTGGTACGTACATTTAAAGTATCGACACGTTCAGCCCAGGCGCCTCGTCAACGTCCGCCGTCACCACATGCACCTACCAAAGAGCGTCGAGGCCCGGCTTCTTCGCTGTGTACCTTGAGTACCTTGTGGTCTGTCTAGCCAGGCCTGGGTTTCACGTTTATTTCTTACTCTTGATTCTCTCGACTCTTCGCCGCAACATCGCTGGACCTGATCCTTCCAAATCCCGACCGCATTCGCGACCAGGTGCCTTCGCGGGGGCTCGCGATACCCCGCTATCCAACAAAGATGAGTTGTAAGTCGCATGGCTTCAAAAGTCAAGCACCAGGCGGCTACTTCTGCTGCCTCCATATCGAACACGTCCAGTACCACAATGTCTAGACTGTCTGACACTGATGCTGCTGCTTCTCTTCAGTCGCGGGCATGCTGAACCGCCTGCACGGCCAGCCCGAGAGCTACGATAAGAAGTAGGTTTTGCCCCCGCAGCCAAATGCTTCCACGACTTGTCGTCGTCGTCATCGTCATCGTCATCGTCAGTCTTCTAACAGCGCTCGTCTTTGCTCCCTCGACAGAGCCAAGTACAGATTTGGTCGAACCCTCGGCGCCGGCACCTATGGAGTTGTTCGTGAAGCCGACGGTCCCTCGGGCAAGGTGGCCATCAAGATCATCTTGAAGAAGAATGTCAAGGGAAATGAGAAGATGGTATACGACGAGCTCGACATGCTCCAGAGGCTGCATCACCCGCACATTGTCAAATTTGTTGATTGGTTCGAGTCGCGTGTAAGCTGCCGAGAACGACAACCAAGCAGGCTATCTGGATTCTGGGCTAGCTTTGCTAATAGCCTACCTATGCTTGATATAATAGGACAAGTTTTACATCGTCACTCAACTGGCTACTGGCGGAGAGCTGTTCGATCGAATTTGCGACCAGGGAAAGTTCACCGAGCTCGACGCTTCCCAGACCATCAAGCAGATCATGACCGCTGTCGACTATCTACATGATAATGACGTTGTCCACAGAGGTGCGTAATCTCGGTGTCGGAGACATGTCTGCTTGGCTTTTTTCTTTTTCTTTTTCTTTTCTTTTTCTTTCGCCTTCATGCTTGCTGACTGGTTTCACGGCAGACCTCAAGCCAGAGAACCTTCTTTATGTCACACGGGAGCCGGATTCCGATCTTGTGCTTGCTGACTTTGGAATCGCAAAGACCTTGGACAGCAAGGAGGAGACTTTGAAGACCATGGCTGGATCTTTCGGTTACGCCGCCCCTGAAGTGATGGAGCAAAAGGGCCATGGCAAGCCTGTAGACATGTGGTCCATGGGTGTCATCACATATACCTTGCTCTGCGGATACTCTCCATTCCGCAGCGAGAATCTTCGTGACCTACTGCGCGAAAGCACTGCCGCACCGGTGCCATTTCACGAGCGCTACTGGAAGGACGTCAGTCAAGATGCCAAAGATTTTATTCTGGGTCTTATCGTCCCGGAACCCGAGAAGCGATGGACTAGCAAGGTACATACTGACATGTCACTCTCCGCCCCCTTTTCGCCGCGCCTTGTTCACATCCAAACAGGAAGCCCTGGGCCATATCTGGTTGAGCGGCAAGAACGCCACCGATCACAACTTGCTGCCCGAGCTCGAAGCCTACCGAAGAAGGGCGCGCCTTCGCCGTGCCATCGAAATCGTCAAGCTGCAGAATCGCATCGCCAAGCTCAAGGAACACGAAGAGGATCCTTCCGAGTCCGACATGGGCGATGTTCAGGGAGGTTCGGGGGATATCAAGGGCGATGGCGCCAGGTTGCATGCCCTGGGACTATTTGCCCTCCGTGAAGCCAAACAGAAGCAAGAAAGTCTTCAGGTTGAAGAGGAATTGGAGAAGGAGAGCAGAAGGCGCAGCTTGAGCAACGCCTAGATCGCTGTGATACCAAGGCAGGCAACGATTTGATGGGGGGAAAATACCACCTGCCGATTCACTTTTTTTCTTCTCATCTTAAATTTGAAAGCTATATGCCATTTGATACTGACATTTGTCGAAAGACGTCGATGCTCGTCAAATCTGACCGTTGTCCTTGCTTTGCTGTGCCTCTGGGGTTCGCCTCGCTCCTTTTTCTTGCTTTTCGTCTTGTTGCTCCTCCTCCTCTTCTTCTCCTCTTCTTCTCCTCTTCTTCTCCTTCTTCTTCTCCTTCTTCTTTTTCTTCCTTTTTTTTTTAAATTACCTTTTTTGTGGGTAGGCCCAGCTCTATTAATTAGCAGCTAGCAAATGAATAACTCACAAGTTACAAAACACAAAAAGGCACGCACCTCTCCAGCACAACAAAATAGATCAAGGTAGCGCTCGGCCACCAACCACACCGCCACAAGCAGCACGACGAACCCGGCACAAGGCGGGAGCGAGCATTGGCCGGCCGGGCCGGCCGTACGCACGTACATCTGTGCAAGTCTGTTCGGAACCCAGCAGCTTCCGGCCTGCTCCGGCGCCGGATTGCTCGTCGTCAAGACGTTGACCCAGGAAGGAAGCACGGGGAGACCAACCAACCAACCAACCAACCAACGACCAGGAGCAGCGACGATTATTCACCGAGCCTGCCCGACGGTCTGTACTCCGAAGGGAGGGAGGAGGGCAAAGCATAAGCCCACCATTGGCCATTGGGTGACCTTGTCGTCACAGGGTACAGGGTACAGCATTGCTTATTAGCAGTCGCCGGCACGTTCCGCGGCGTGAAATAAACGCCCAACGTGCGATGGAGACACTGCACCAGACTCTAATTGGGGCCTGCCGTGCATGCAAACCAACCAATGTGTTGGTTGGCTCGGACCTCCCCCGCGATGCGCTTCTTTGGGATGGGAAGCCCGCCGCAATCGCCGTCAGTCTCACTTGCCATCCCATCCTGATGACGATGATATCGCACGTCATGACACGTTGAGACAGATGTACTATTTTGACAGCAGACTCTACCATCCCGGAGTTTCATGTATTTTACGTACATCTTTATCGTCTTGCCTGGTGTACAACGTTGCGTTGAAAGAAAAAAAAACCCCCCTAACCTGAATGCAACCAAGTCTCCCCTACGCCAGTCAATGCGCCGCGACGCTCCTCAGGAAGCTGTTCGCGAAAATTCAGAATATATACATAGAAAAATAACACAAACCGGCTATATGCACAATGGTTCTACCCATGTTGTCCCCATGTCTGTTACTCCCTACACCAGCGGTGAATATTCAACCCACCATATCAGCGAGCGCATTTTCCGTCAGTCTTTCGTATCGCTGGGCGTCGAAACGCGTACGTTTCCAGCCACATGCTCGCAACCGCTCAATGCGGGCTTTGACGTCCAGTGCCTTCAGTTCGCGGTTAGAGTGAGCCGGGACGGTAGGTATTCGGCACGCGGAAATTTCCAATTCCAGTGTGGTCATGTGGGCAGTGATTTGGCGGCGGATGCTGCTGAGTATAGTACAGAACCGGTGGATGGACCGGGTATAAAAGAAGGGGTCGACGTCTTCGACATCGCCGAGACTTGGACTGGCTGGTGCCAAGGGGGCAGAGACAACTACCGACAGCGAAGGCTTGACGCTTTTTAGGATAGATTCGGGGTAGACGGGCTCTGGTGAGGATCGACCGAGCCATTCGTCGAAACCAAGAGTAGGGGAATCTGGCCGAATAATAGGCTCCACCATGGGTTTGTCACAGAAAGCGACGCGCTTCTTTGGCCTGGGCGTTGGACAAGGCTTCAAGGCGACTTCGTCGACAGAGCAGACGGATGCGGTTGTGGAGGATCTTGTTGTAAAAGCTGTTGATGCAGACGAGTCAGAGCCGGCTGGAGAATGTAAGCCGGGAGAATGTAAGCCGGACAAGGCAGAGGAAAATCGCGACGTGGGCCGACTCATGTCTTCATCAGCATGCTTGGCGAGCTTGGACGCGGTACTGAGGTGGTCGTATGCCTGCTTCAGAAGAGCGGCGCGGGATGGTGAGGAGTGGTGAATTGTGAGCGCCTGCACTTCAAGCGCCGTGGCTGCGTAGAAGTGAAGATAGACGAGATACACTGGATTGGCTTGATCCTGGACGTGTTTGTAAGTACCTGGTGATTCAACATTCATGACGCAGAAAGGTGTGTACTCTGTTGCAAGCAAAGTCTGACTTACAAGCTCGTCTGTGTGGAGGAGGATTTCACGACAGCGCGTAGAACACTCTCTGAACCGTCGGCCCATGTAGTCTCTCTTGATCTCGGCCAAAGCCGCCTTCCACTCCGTACAGGTTCGAGGAACAGAAGTCATTGTGCAGGATGTCTTGTCGCTGGCTGTCGACTTTTGTTGATACTGATACAGCTGCGAGCCGGCTTCAGAGTGCCTTGGCACGTCTCCATGGCCCGGGGAATAACAGAGGGGGTGCCGCCTTGCTTGGCACTCGGCGTTGAGTGAAAGAGGAATTAGGCCAGACATTGTTCGGTACAAGTATCCCGGGAAAAGGCAAGTAATTAAAACGACGACGACAACAACGACAACAACAACAGGCAAACAGTATGTACACAATTGAGTATTTCCCCTCGATCGCCTCGCACAGCCACTCGCAATGCGCGCAGGGACTGCCAAATGAAGACGATCGAAGGTTATTTATGGTGAGCGGGCTTTGCCTTTGATGGACATGTGGCCAATGATGCAATGGGTGTTTCAAGTTCAGGAACGGGAACCAACGATGACGGCGTGGGGAGAACAAGGTTGTACGCTGCAGCTGTGGTGGTGGTGGTGGTGGCGGCGGTGGTGGTGGCGGTGTTGGTAAGCAGTTTTGGGTTACGCCGTACCTACGGAGTACTCCGTGCAGGCCCTGCGAAACGGAAACGGATTCAAGGAACAAGACGTATCATGTGGGGGGATAGAAAGCTTGTTCCCAACCTGCCGCGTCAAGTACCCAAGGTGGTAAGTAGTACGCAGTGTGTGCGGAGTAGTGTGTAATAATTGTTGTAATTTTTCCTTCTTCCCTGGACCCTGGCTCTGTTTCCTGCCGTCTTTGTTTCCGAGCGCGTCTGTGGGTGGTTGACGAAAGGGAGGCTCCTGGTCCGTGGGGAGTGGGTATTTGGGAAGGAGCGTTGCTGAGAAGTGATTGTCTGCTTTGTCCTTTGTTGCTTTGCTGCTTGCTTCGATGCCGACAATGCAAGTGTTGGTTTACGTCCGTGTGTTCATGCAGAACGCAAGGCGAACTGCGGCGTCGTCGACCGCTGGGACGTAACAGCGGAGGCTGAAGAGATGCTGCACTCGACAAAACGAGACGAGACAGGGCAAGACAAACAAACAGGTGAATCGTGAGGCCCGCGGACTGAGCCAGAGCCAGAGCCAGAGCCGGTGAAACCTGCGAGGTGACGGGGCGAATCGAGCAATCAGAGAAGACACAATCTCTGGAGAAAAGAGGGAGTTGCCGGAAAATAAATGAATCCCACTGCCGCACTCCCGTGTGCTGGACCGGGGCCGTATGTTTTCTTTTCCCCTCTGCCACTCCGTATTTGACATCAAGTTGCTCCGTATGTATAGCAGGAGTAAACGTCCTTCCCTCCCTACCCGAGCACCTGAGTCACGAGCGCCCTCCCTTCCACGTAATGTCTCAGCCGTCACCCGCAGCTGCGCAAGACAAGGGGAGGGCGACTGCGAGGGGCGAGGGTCATGGCGTCGTACGTCGTAGGAACATCGCAACTTGTCCCAGCTACCTCCTACCCAGATAGGCATACATATGCGACGAGGAATCTACGTCTTTCGTCCACGATCCCCCGGCATGAAGGAGCGATACCTCAAGGAGACCATGTACTTATGTAATGTACATACCTCAGTGTGCGAACCAGCAGACCAGCAAGCGAGGAGTGACGAAAAAAAAAAAAAAAAAAAAAAAAAAAAAAGAGGCGCAACGTTGTGACGATGCACGCTTAGTCCCGAAAAAAGTGGTTTGCTTTTCCTTGGCATTATCCACTTGCCAGTTGAGGGCCTGTTGGACGGGGCGAGACATGACACCATGTAACTCCGCTACCGTCAGACTCCAAGGGCGCTCGCTGGATCTAAGTACGTACATACTCAACCGCTGGACGTAGGACGTAGTACTCCGCAATAGTAATCTATTTTCGCTTGCTTGAGAAATGTCACTATGCTCGCAGCACTAGTCCGTACTCCGTACTGCTACGTACCACTAGTATCTGAGGCCCTAACTAACCCCTGCATCTGGGGCAGTTGGACCAAAGTACCGGAGCCACCTCCAGCTCGGCACAGTGCGGGCACGATGCTCATTGCTCATATGGACCACGTACGCCTCGCAGAGAAGCAAGAAGAAGGCTGGCAAACTGGGTCTGAGTTTGGCGAACAAACGATGGCAGCTGCTGACAGAGAGATTGCCTGGTCAGCTGATGGACATACTCGGTACCTTATGAAGATCCACGTGCAGCTCGCCTTCTGTGCTTCCATCAGGACTGAACACCAACACACAGCACCTGGTCCGGCAATACTTACCTACCTAGATAGGTATTTAGGTTCCTACTTAAGTAAATACTCTGTATTACAGATCCGTATACTCCATCCCGCCGCCTTGAATTAGATACCTTGAGTACCTTGATTCCTTGGGTGCTTACTCAAGTAAGTTAGATTTAAGTACGTTAGTTGGGCCATGGCACGCTGCTTGAAAACTGTGGTGATTGATATTGCAACCCCAGCGGGCCATGGCATCAACATCAGCGCAGTTTCCAGGCAACAGCAAGCGGTGCCTGTCATTGCATTCACCAGCTGCACTCACCAAAAGCACAGACGACCACAATCGCCGAAGAATTGTCACGGAACTGGCCAAGCATGGGCCCAGGGCCAGACTCCAGAGTACTCAAGTACGTAAGTTAAGTTACTTTATTACTCGGCTGAACCAACTGCTTCGAATGTCGACCGCCAGGGGAGCACTGCAGACTGGAGGAAAGATACTCCACTCCGTGCCTGGCGCATTGACCCCACCTCCTGGCTCAAGGCCGCCTCTCACAACTCCATGCTGCACACGCGCGCACAGCACGCACACACAGACTCTCGCCCATCGTCAAGGACCATCTGGCGCCCGGTGTGACGCCACTTTTGCAGGCCAGGCGTGATGCAGTGCGCGAGCTCGAGCTCGAGCTCGATCGCCTTGGAGCCACCGCTCGTCATCGCCAAAGTTTTCGCCACATAGGGCGTTCAGACATTCGTTTGTCGCGTCTGGGTGGTGGCATGCAAGTGCGTTATCCCGTTCAAGGTGATGACCCTCTGCTGTATGTACTCATCACTACATACGTACCTAGGTACGATTGTGATAGATACATCCTCCTTCCGGTTCGCTTCATATTCTGTCATGCTGCCAATTGGTCGATTCCTGGAATAAGAGTGGCCTTCTACACCCATGTCCCTCCTCTTTTCAATCTTTCCAAGTCCAATTCATATACGGAGTATACGCCAGCCACAATGAGCCGAGCATCGAGCCAAGCGTCTCTCGCGGTCAAAACGTCGGCACATCCATCGTACTGGGATGGGGGGTGTTGCTTCTCACTTCACCGCCAGGGCCGGTATTCCCCGACAAAATGATGAACAAATCGATTCCCTGAGATTCCGCACAAGCAAGATACCATCCAAGCAACCATTTCCAACCTCTCAGAAGGTTAATCTACAAAGCCAGCCACCCTCTCCGATGCAGTAAAGTCCGGCGTCATAGAGTTGACCAGGAATCCAAACGTCTCTCAAACCGTCTGGCTGTTGCGCTTCGCGTGTACAGGTTCTGTATTGGCTAAAATGCGACTTCTGCGGGAATCTCCTTTGTTCTCTTGCTCAAACTCTCTCCCTTTTTGGAAGGTATAAATGCGGAACCAGGATATCTGCATCCGCCACATCGGTATCAACAAAGTCTGTGAGAGGCTGTGCAGGTTGCGTATCGGAGACATTCCGACTTGATGACGGCACGGACGAGTTTGCCTGATGTTGATGCTCTTGGAACTTGGTGCTCTCTTGACTCCCGTTGGTTGATCCATGTTGCTTGTTGGTTGACCAGAACACGCTACGGCCAGGCATGGATATGTATTTGTCGGTGAACAACTCCCGCCTCGCAAAGTTGAGGATGGCCGGGCATCGTACGACTTGGGCCTCGGTATTCGGTGCTCAAGATGCCATCGAGCATCTCCGGGGGTACGGATGCTCGGCTCGCACCTATTGTTTTTCATGGCAGATAGAGTTCTGTGGCGAAGTCGTCAACGTAAACCTTGCAATTGCAAAAAACTCTGGAAAACAACTCGTATGCACGATGGAAGGTTTCTGTCTTCCTGTCGAGCATCACAAATCCCCATGCCCATGAGAGAAGGCCAGGATATCCTGGTGTTGGCCGATGAGAAATGTCTGTGCTCGATAAACATGCCCCCCGATCTACGGCAAGGAAACACGGGATGTAGTGGACCAATCGTGGGATTCGATTTTTTTGATTTTTTTTTTAGTTTTTTTTTTTGTTCGAGTTGCGGTCTGGGATTTGCTCGAGTTACGAGTGGTAGGCCTAGGCGACATTGGAATCCGACATACATACATGCGTAGTATCAGTTGCACAAGAGACGTGCAGCTTGTCCTATTCGTAACCTTTTGACCCCTGGTATTGGAATGGCCAAGGGCCGGGACAACCCGCACCGACTGTCCTGATGCTCACGATGGCCCCTGAGCGGCTGGTTTCGTCACGTATGGCTAAAGTTCCTACGGGTCGTCTGGATATTCGACGGCAGCTTTGTATCTAGGAGCCACGAGTTTACCTATGCAGAAGACTTGCCTGCTCTTGCGCCAAGGCGCTGGCTCATGCTGGAAGTCGCTCGGAAAACATGAGAGGCAGCCGCACATGGTAATTCATCGCCCCCTTGTCAGTTACTCTGTAATCCCACTATTCGCTGACACGTCCATGAATACATTCAGCCTCCGTAGTGCCTGTGCCAGGAACACAGGTCCTTTTGGGGGCACGGCCTGATTACAGGACAAAGGTTTTTTGCAATCCAAGACGCCGACGGTGATGTGCTTCGCGTTTGTTGGTTTCTGCCTCTCCGCGTCATGCGCACATGCTCAGGTGTCGTAATTGCCGTGACCCTACTCTGTACACTGCGCGGCACTCGTGTACACTGTATAGTATATACACTCTAGCTGGTCGGAGTCCCAAGGGTGCAACCGGCCTGGGTTGGAACAGTTTCCCTCGTCGTAAACTGGCAACGCCAACATGTTTTGGGCGAGGTCGCGTTTTCCCGGATGGAAAAGCCGGACCTTGTGCTTCTGGTCTTGGGGAACTGTTTGACGTTTTGGAATGTAGGGGCCACCGTTCACGCATTGTATCCGGCGTTGGTGGACGGGCGTCTGGTTTAAGCTAAGCTGGCAAGTCATCTTTCTTTTGAAGGGGAAGATGGGGAGGCATGTTTGACAACGGTTAATACCTGGCTACCGGGGACGACAGATGACCTCAGTCGGTTGTTGTCTTGGTACATGTCATCTTCTGCAGCGATGGTGTGTGTGGCCGTGACTCCGTGGACGAACGAGGTGCTACTTACTCCAAGAGGTTTCCTTGTATGCGCGTAGATTGCGTTTCAGTGCTACTTGTAGGATGACGGTGTTGCCTTTGTCTCTCTTTTCAGTGGCACATCAATGATGCCTTGCTCCGGCGAAGTGTGGTTGCAGTCGCGAACCCGGAGTGGTGTAGGGTAGGCAGTCTCCTTGTATTTATTTATTTATTTATTATTTTATTTTTATATATTTTGCATCAATTGACTGATTGGTATTGACAGTACACGATACGTAAAGGTCTAGTTCTTGGCAAAACAGGAGGACGGGAAAACCATATAGTGCCTAACTTGGAGGGCGACTGACGGCGATGGTCAAGTCGTCCTCGTCCCGACAAGCGACTTCTGGTATCGGCCGACGATGATACGGGCCGGACGGGCGGGCACTCGGTAGATGCCCGCGTGCATGCACACGCACGCATGCGCACCGGAATGGAATGGCCATGCCACAAACTTGACGACAACGTCAGACTGCGAGGGTTGAATCTTTCTTCATCTTGATATGCTCCGTACAGGCGGCACGGCACAGCAGCCTGCCTGCCTGCCTGCCTGCCTGAGCGGCTCGCGTTGTGGGCGGAGGAAAGTGGGGCGGGCCCCAGCGTCGGATTCTCGGGCTCTTGCAGGGCCCCAAGCCGGCCCAGTGCCCAGGGCCGAGGCCCGTGCCTTCAGGAACTGGCATCATTCGATTGATCCCGCAGGCAATAGTTAATAAGTGCCAGCAGCGTGTCGCCCAGCCCCAGCACCAGCGCGCTCCGTGTCGACGGTCGACGTCCGCTCGTGTACTCGAGTACTCGAGTAGGGTGGCGGGCGTCACGGCCCAGGCAACGTCTGCGCCAAAAACAATGCAACGCGTTCGCATTGTGCTTGTGTTTAGACTTTCAACGGTGTCTGGCGCCAGGTCGGGCCCACGCTCGGATCTGGCCGCGTCCTGAACCGAGCTGCGCGTCAATGCAAGTCATAATGTATTCAATCGAGGCGAAAATCATGTGCCATGTTGACTCCAGACTTGTGTGTGTTGCCAGGAACCAGGCTGTGCTCCGTATTCGGGGGTCCTATGCTCCGGAGTCCGCAGTCTGCACCCGGGTGGTATGGATTTGTTCAACACTCCCCCGGTCAGGCCGTCAAGCCATACGTCTGCCCGTCGAGGCAGTTTTGGAATGGGTGGCAGCATGCATGCGGGGACCGTGGACCCCTCGCCGGCGACACGTCTGGAACCTGGATACGGTAACCGTCGGGCAACATCTGACTCCAAGGTAGGATTCTGCCGCCATCTAGACGTCGTCCGCAGCTAATAAGCCGGGCGTGAAACGGATCCGAATGGCGTTACTAATGCCCGATATTCCATACTCGGTACACGTGTTGCTCGTCCGCGTGTCCCAGCACAATAGTGGCGCCAAAGTCGTGATTCGCAAGCGGACGTGGTGATAACGTATAATCTGTGTCCATCCATCCATCCATCCATCCCGCACTGCACTGCACTGCACTGCCTCTCCGCCGCCATATTCTCGTGCCCGCGATTTGTGCCCTTCCCCCCCCCCCCTCTCTCTCGCGTTTCCTTCACAGATGGCCTCCCATCGTCGAGTGGCGTCAACATGAGTGCCGCTGTCGCGGAAGATGGCCTCGGGGCCGAAAAGCGTCTCTCTTCTTCCGTTACTACTGCAGAGAATGAGAAGAACGAGGAAGGAGCCAGGGACGACGCCCCCCTGGACGAGGCGAGACCCCGCCCCGAGCGAACCGCAACATTCAACGATTACCTGGTTTGTTTGCCACTTTCAAGACGATGACCGTTTGGCATCAGGTATTGATCGGCTCCAACTCCAGAGAGTATTCACGTATGCTTCCAAATGGGACTTCCTCGCCTACGCTGCGGGCGTGTTGGCATCCATCGGTGCCGGCATCACCCTGCCCCTCATGAACGTTGTATTCGGTCAGTTTCGTCGTCCACACATGCAACGAATGACCCAGAGCAACCGGCCCTGAGGATTTTATTCGGCGTCCTGACCATCCCGTTCCCAGGCAACTTCGTTGGCAGCTTTAGCAGTTTTTCAAACTTTTCCGCCGGAGCTGCCGGCATCACCAAGGCCGATTTTGAATCCAGGCTGGACAGGCTGGCGTAGGGAATGCCCGAGAATCTAGCTGGTCTCGGACGAAGCTGACTCTCGGCGTTGCAGATTGTACATGTTTGCATTGTTTATCGGTCGTCTTGGACTCAACTATATCAACAAGGTAACCTTTGACTGTATAAAACCTTCCGCGGCCAACAAACCTTTGCGCCCGTTAACGTGTTTCTGAAGCTGTGTTTTCGGATGATTGGAATAAGGTTATCCTCTGCCATCCGACTACACTACCTCCAGGCCCTTTTTGCCCAAAGCATCCATGTCTTGGACTCGATGCCTCCTGGATACGCTACCACAACCATCACCAGCACGAGCAACACCCTGCAGTTGGGCATCTCGGAGAAGTTGGGCGTCTTTGTGGAATTCTCGGCCACCATCATCGCCGCCATAGTCATCGCCTTCACCTACAATTGGTTGCTGACTCTTGTGACGGCATCCTCGATTCTCTTTATTGCTTCCACAGTCTCGATACTCTTGCCGTTCATTGTCAAAGGCAACACAAGGGTGACAAAGGTGTGATCTTGCCGCATTCCCAGATTGAGACTCGTCAAGCATGTCTAACGCCCGGGAAATGAACAACTGCACACAGGCCGAGGGCAAAGCCGCCGCTGTTGCCAGCGAGGCCATGGCCAGCATCCGCATGATAATGGCCTGTGGTGCCGAATCTCGAATCGCCAGCAAGTATGCGGCCTTTGTTGAAGAGACCAAAAAACATGCCCAGTTCATGTCTCCATTGATTGCTCTTCAGTTCGGACTGATTGTATGCCGCACAATCGTTCTCTACACCTGCCATCGCGGCCTGCTGAAACGTGTTGCAGTTTTTCGGTGCCTTTGCCGCCTTTGCCCTTGCCTTCTGGTTCGGCATCAAGTCGTTTGTCGACGACTCCCGGGGCAATCTCAGTACCATAGTCATGTAGGATGCAACGACAAACACCACGGCTTTTGAAAGTACTGCGAGCTAATTGTCAACACGATAGCGTCTTGTTCTCTGTCATGATGGTCGTCTTCTCCCTCGAGAGAACTTCAACGCCAATGTTGGCTGTTAGCAAAGCTACGGTAGCCGCCTGCCAATTCTTCACCGTCATTGATGCCCCTGCCCCGACCAAGGGCCACCTCGGAGACCCCCAAGTGTCTGCCACGGAGGACATTGTGTTGGACGACGTCACCTTTGCATATCCCAGTCGGCCTCATGTAAAGATACTGGATGCGTTAGATTTGAGGATCGAGGCTGGAAAGATTACGGCAATCGTTGGCCCATCCGGCTCCGGTAAGAGCACCATCGTCGGCCTCATAGAACGGTGGTACAGCCTCAAAGATCAACATGTCGTGGCCAAGGCTGTGGAAAACAAGAAGAAAAAGAGGCGCTCCGAGTCTGACGATGATGAACCCGAGCAAGGACAGTCCGAGCCCGAGGAGACCGGTCCGCCCGTCAAACTCGGCGGCACAATATCCACTTCTGGTCACCAGCTCGATGATATTGACCTGAAATGGTGGCGATCGCAAATCGGACTGGTCCAACAGGAGCCCTTCCTGTTCAACGATACCATCTACACAAACGTCGCCAATGGCCTGGTAGGTTCCCAATGGGAACACGAGCCGGAAGACAAGAAGAGACAACTAGTCGAGGAAGCATGTAAAGAAGCGTTTGCTGACGAGTTCATCGACAAACTCCCCGCGGTAGGAAAATTACAAACATGAATCTGCTTGTAGTAATACTACACCTTGGCTAACGTGCCGACAACAGCGCTACGACACACTTGTGGGAGACAGCGGCGCCAAGCTGTCAGGAGGTCAACGCCAACGGATCGCCATTGCCAGGTCGATTGTTCGAAAGCCCAAAATTCTCATTCTCGACGAAGCCACCAGCGCCATTGACGTCCGCGGCGAACGGATCGTGCAGGCTGCACTGGACCGAGCTGCTCAAAACCGAACCACCATCACCATTGCGCATCGTTTGTCAACGATCAAGAAGGCCGATCGTATCGTCGTCCTCAAGAAGGGCAAAGTGGTGGAGAGTGGAACGCACGAGGGACTCGTCGCAGTGGAAAATGGTGTCTATGCCGGCCTTGTCAACGCACAAACCTTGTCCCTCGGGGCTGAACATGACATCGCGCACGCGACCATTGATACGGACGGCCAAGGGAGCGCTTTGGAGCGCAAGAAAAGCGAAGCAGCTCCTCAACATGATGCCACCACTGAGACCGGGCTCGAAAAGCAACGCAATCTGGTCAGGAGCTTCGGCCGCTTCTTCTACGAATCAAAACAACACTGGTATCTCATGTGCCTGACGGTGTTTTTTGCGGCGTGTGCCGGAGCTGCCATTCCCCTTCAGGCCTACATGTTTGCCAACGTCGTCGTCATCTTCAAGTACGAGGGCGACAAGCCAAAGCTCATGTCTGAAGGCAACTTTTGGTCTCTCATGTGGACGATTCTAGCTATTGGCGTGGGACTTGCTTACTTCTTCTGCTTTCTCTTCTCTACTCGACTGGCCTCTATTATTCGAAACAAGTACCAGCAGATGTACTTTGAGGCCATTCTCTACCAGAAGACGTCATTTTTCGATGAGGAGGATCACTCACAAGGGACTTTGACCTCCCGTGCCTCCGGAGACCCCAAGCAACTCGAAGAGCTGATGGGAGCGAACATGGCCAGTGTTTACGTCGCCATCTTCAGTCTCACAGGATCAATCGCCATCGCCTTCTCGTTCGGATGGAAGCTGGCCTTGGTGGCTAGCTCCGTTGTCTTGCCCGTCCTTCTTGGCTCGTCGTACTGGCGTTTCAGATACGAGATCCAGTTTGAGAAGATGAACAACGAAGTATTTGCAGAAAGCTCCAAGTTTGCATCAGAGTCCATTGGTGCATTCCGGACAGTCACCTCTCTGACTCTGGAGCAGCCGATATGCCAGCGATTCGAGGAGCTCTGCAAGGGGCACGTCGTGACGGCCTTCAGAAAGGCCAGATGGGTCAGCCTCCTCTTTGGCTTCTCGGACAGCGCCACCATGGCATGCCAGGCTCTCGTCTTCTACTACGGCGGCAGACTGCTCCTCAGCGGCGAGTACCAAATCATGAATTTCTTCGTCTGCTTCATGTCCATCATCCAGGCTGCCGAGTCTGCCGGCCAAGGGTTGAGCTTTGGCCCAAACGCCGCCCAGGTGACGGCCGCTTCAAATAGGATCTTGAACATGCGCGACTCGAGGCTGCGAGACGACCACGCTGAAGAGGATGACATTCCGGAGCCCGAGGGCGGCATGAAGATTGAGCTGCAAAATGTCCACTTCAAATATCCTTCCCGGGAAACTCCAGTGTTCCAAGGCCTGAGCTTGACCATCGAGAAGGGTCAGTTTGCCGCCCTGGTTGGCGCATCTGGATGCGGCAAGACGAGCGTCATTTCGCTGTTGGAGAGGTCTGTACCTGATCAAATCCTTGTCGATGGGGCCTATTGAATACAACGTACTAAACATTGCCAGGTTCTACGACGTGGACAAGGGGCGCATTCTCTGCAATGGCAGAGATATCAAGGACGTCAACGTATACGCCTACAGGCGACACCTGTCGCTTGTCGCACAAGAAGCAACGTTATTCCAAGGCAAGTAGCGTCCGGTTGCCAGTCGGTGTCCCTCACCCAGCTGACACAAGACTCAGGCACTCTTCGAGAGAACATCCTCCTGGGGGTCGACGACCAAAGCGTTACGGACGAACAGCTGCACCAGGTCTGTCGCGACGCCTCCATCCACGACTTCATCGTCTCCCTCCCAGAAGGGTACCGCACCAACATTGGTTCCAGGGGGGTTACGCTCTCCGGGGGCCAGAAGCAGCGAGTGGCTATCGCGCGTGCTCTCATCCGCAGCCCGAACATCCTGCTCCTCGACGAGGCCACTAGTTCTCTGGACTCGGAGAGCGAGAAACTCGTGCAAGCTGCTTTTGAGCGCGCTGGCCGAGGGCGCACAATGGTCGTTGTCGCGCACAGGTTGGCTACTGTTCAGAACGCCGATGTGATTTTTGTGCTGGGCGAAGGTGGGATCCTGTTGGAGCAGGGCAATCATGTGGAACTCCTTAGAAAGAAGGGTGTTTACTGGCAAATGGTGAGTTTCGAGCAGCCGTTTGGCCACCAGGTTGTTGGTGATTCTGACGTGTTGCAGTGTCAAAGCCAGGCTCTGGACAGGTAGGTGAGTATCGAGCCACGGTACCGCAGGCAAAACGAGGAGAATTGGGTGGAGGGGAGGTTGATGGGTTTATACACCATGCACCATACTCACATACTTGCGGCGGCGTTTCTTACTTGGGGGTCAACACTACTCATTGCGCGCGCATCTCACTTGGTTGGAGACAAACTCCTCTCGATGATTTCTCGCTAGATTTTCAGAGGCTCTCCCATTGGTAAATACATCGTGGTATACACACACACACAATGCAAGCGCCGCTCTGCCTCTGCTCAGCATCTAGATGTAATGGTAATCCATACGTAGATGAATATCACAAACCACCTTGGCACCGTCTGCCTCGGAAGCAGCAAGCCAAGGTGACGGCGTGAAAGAGGACAGGACCGTGACCATCCATCTAGGCGCTCATGCCCCAAAACTCGTCCAGCTCCCTCATAATGGCCGAAACATGGGTCATGACAAAGTCATGGCTTCCCGGCACCACCCTCCAAAAGACGTGTCCCTCGCCGCCGACAAGCGGCAGGCCGTCGCGCGCGTAGTCGTCGGCGCTAATCAGCTCATCCGTCTCGGCAAAGATGACGGCCGTGGTCCCCCGTTCCCGCCTAGCCAGGCCCCTCCACTCCTCGTGCTGCTCGGTGAGCGGCGCATGGCGGACGCACGACGTGAAGGCGGGCACGAAGCCCTCGTGGTTGAGCACCATCCAACGCACGTAGTCGAGCACCCTCTCCTCGAGCGGCGACCTGTCGCCGCCGAGCTTCTCGGCCTCGGCGACGGCCAGCACGGCAGCAGCGGCCCCGGACGTCGGCGACGCAACAAGGGGCCGCTGCAGCCGCCGCCCGGCGAGGACGGCGAGCACGCGCTCCGGCACGAGCCCGCTCGAGAAGACGAAGCGGCTGACGGCCCCGAAGGCCGCGGCGTCGATGAGGCCCGCGGGCGCGAGCAGCACCAGCGACGACACCATGTGCGGGAAGGCGTTGGAGAAGGGGACCGCGATGGCGCCGCCCAACGAGTACCCGATGAGCCGGAAGCCCCGCGCGCCGGTCCAGCAGAGGCGCGACGACGCCAGCACCAGCAGCATCTGCGTCGTGTACAGCCGCGTGTCGTGCGGGATGTCGCCCACGCCGTCGGTGAAGCCGCGCCCAAAGAGGTCCTAGACGTGCGAGGACTCTCGTCGTCAGTCGCCGGGGGGGAGGGGGGGGGATTGAACTGGACTGTTGGACGGGCGGAGGGGCGGGGGAAGAAAAAAAAACCGTACAAACAGCATGACGCGACACCCCCTCTCGACCAGGGCGTGCGCGATGCGCCCCAGCGTGATGCACGACGTGCTTATCCCGTGGACGAGGAGCACCTTGTCGCCGCGCTCTGGGCCGAACTCGTACACGCGTATGGTGCCGTACTGCGCCGGGGGTGCTCGTTAGCCGGCGCACAGGGACAGAGAGACACGCTTTGCTTGCTCTTCTCCGCCGTCACTCGACGCTCGACGCTCGACGCTCGACGCTCGACGCTCGACGCTCGTCGTCGGAGACGCGGGGCCAGGCGGGCTGGACGTCACGTACGGGCGTCTCGACGTCCCTCGCCCCCGGGAACGCATCCGGCAGATACACCAGGCCGCGGAGCTCCTCCCGCGAGGCCCTCGGCAGCACCGTCTTCAGCGGACTCGGCAGCACGCGCTTCCTCGCGGGCCACAGCGTCGTTTTGGCAACGGCGACCAGGGAGGCGGTAGCAACGGCGGCGGCGGTCGCGACGACGGCCGGGTGAGGAATGTCCGGCCAGCGGAGGAGCGTGTACGCCATGGTCGAGGCGGGTTGGCGGGTTGGCAGTGAATTCGCCGACGGGACGGGAAACGAAAATAGCACGTGGGGTTCAGTGGACGAAGCTGCGGCTGCGCCTTGTTGGCGGCGTCGTTCATCATGATGCAGGTCCGTGTCGAATCTCGATGCGTCGTGGGCGGAAGGCAGCTTGGCGCCGCATCTACTTGTACACGTGCTCGTGCACATGCACATGCACATGCACATGTACGAGCCACGTGTTTGTGGGCCAACGGAGCGAATCCTATTTGCGCGCTTGAATCTCGAATTACCGCCGTTCTCCTACACCCGGGGCACGGCATCCCCAGGGCCAGCAGCCTTGGATTACACTCGCATGTTTTGTACGTGCTCCGTCGCCCTCAACCTGTCTTTGTCTGAGCCCACCTCAACCCAAGCCAACTGCCCACGCCGCATTCCCGAGCTGTTTGATCAGTTGAATCAAGTTCTCAACCATGGGAGGCAGTCCCTCCTGCGCCTGCGTAAAGTTGACGCGCAGAATATCCTGAGCCGTCTCCGTGCAGGCCCGGGGGGCATGCAGCGCTGCCTCCGTTGCTGTTCCGCGAATCGTGGGCCCCCTGATCAAGGGCCGACCTTGCTCGAACCCAATGAATCGCTGGATCGCGATCGAGTCCGCACCGTCCAAGTATATTGGCTCTGCCCCAAGCTGCGAGGCCACGTACTGCCGCCGGTTTGCTCTTGTCACTACCCCATATGTCCACAGCGTGATCGAGGCGTGGTGTACCGCTACCGCGTAAAAGTCCTTGAGGTGACCTGGCGGGAAGAATCTGGCGTAGCGCAGAACCTGCGACGCGCACCAAGCCGCCGAGCGGGCTTCAGAACTGGTGATCCATTGCTGCAGGATTGGGTAGATGCGCCGGGCCTGGTCTTCGCCCTCCTTGCCCAGGAACAATTGCAAGTCGTCCAGGGACACGTGCAGATTCATCATTAGAAGGTAGAGGAGTAGATGCTCCCGTGCCGACATGTCTTGCCAACCAGCCGCAATGAGATGAAAGCTCTGCAGGTCTTTGACTAGCTCTTGGTGACGAGAGCTCAGGAGCAAGTTGGGGTTGCCTCCCAGGCTGTTCGCATACGACCGCGACTTGTGCACCGAACTGAGTTGTCGGTATTCCAGAATCAAGGCCCAGAATCCGTGAAGAAAGATGGAAATCGAAAACTGAACGTCCAGACGCGCGTGATTTGCCGTCAGCAGGTGAACGTCGTGGAATACGTCACCCACAGACGGTGGCCGCTTCAAAAGTCCTGCGTTCCTCTCAAGGTACTGTGCCTTCCATTCCCGTGCCGTTTTTGCCAGCCACAACTCTCTGGCTTCGGGCAGCGGCAAAGTCAACTCTGAATACGACAGACACGGGTTTGTCAGCGTCGTCATCGATGTCTGCGCCTCTCGGAGATAACAGTGAAAGACTAATCTGCGCCCAATATTAGAAGCTGTCTCTTGAGTCGGGCATAGACTGACCGAACCGTTTCCACTGCTCTCTCTCGATCCACAACTTCCACTTTGCCTCGAGAGCTTCGCCTTCTTCCGATGCATCGACATTGATAATGGGATACTTTGCTCTTTGAAACTTGCCTCGATATCGCATCATCTGTTCTCGCTGTCAGGACTACTTTTGTGCTCTCAACCAACTATTCGTGGCCACCGTGTGTTGACACCAACCAAGCACGTACCGTGACAGGAATGACAAGGTGGCATTCTGCGATTTCCATCCTACGGCGGTTGCCACTCCAGAGACCAAGATCCTGGACCAAGATTAGTGATTGAACTAAGCCTAACCGCTGGATCGCCGTATTGTTCTCTTCGAACTACTGATACATTAGCACCATGTTGAAGTTACTCAGGATTTGGATCCGCAAGTCTTCATACCCGAGCCGGAATTGTGATGCCTGTAAGCAACGTCAGCCAGGACCTCGAGCATTTTCGAACGAACATGCCACTACTCACGGACGGCTTCCATCACTGCGAAACCAAACTTGCGCAATGTTGGCACGGGCGTCAAGTAGCCCCCGTGAGCGGCAGCCATGGCGATCCACTCTGGCCACTGATCCTTGAGTTTGAACGTGGGGAAGTGAATCCAAGAGTCTACCTGGCAAGCTTGAGCAGCAAGAAAAATATGCGTGAGGGTATCCAGCACTTCCACGGTGGGGAAAGACGCGGCAACTTGGTTAGCTACCGAGGTCTGGCGGCACTGGGAGAGGAGAATGGCCATGACCCGGTCTCTTCCGGATTGCTCCAATTTCTCGACGACAACTCTTTCCAGACGATCTCGGCTATGTTGAAATTGGGAGCTGGATGTATCTTGGGCCGATACAGCAAAGAAGCTCTGCTCCTTATACCCACTGTCATTAGAATTTGGATCCCAACGCCATGGCGATTCAGTCCAGACTTTGACTAAGCTCTTTCGCATCTGGTTTATCTCGGGTGAATTTTCAGGGCGGCCGACGAAATCCTGAACAGGCATGGTGCCTTCACTCATGCCGTCCATGTTCCATTGGTCCAGCATGCCAAAATCTAGGTCCGTCAGTTCAAGGTTGGCATTGTCGCAGAAATCAAGAACGGGCATTCCTTGCGTGGCCGTCATCTTGTTCGGATCAAATGGCTGCTCGTATAGAACATCGCGAAGGAAATCGAAAAACGGCGAGTTGTTGAAATCCATGACCCCTGTTGGAGGTTCATAGACCGGCGGCGCAAGTGTCTCATTGTTGGCTAAAGGCGGTGTTTGTAAGCACATGCTGCCCGTGAACCACACCTGGCTGATTACTGCTCCATGTACATACCTTGGTCCATGACAGTTTCCGGCGTTGGCAATTGGCTTTCCTCTGGCTTGAATGACGTTGCTTGTGAGCACGGGCTGGTCTTGCTGCTAGCATCAGGGCCGGAGGAAGGACCACTCGGTGCCGAATAAACATGGCTGTGCGAAGCTGGCGAAGAATAATTGCCTGACTCGGCAGCATGTGCGGCTAGAGGTGCTGCCACAGCTGCGGAGGAATGGCCAGAATGCTGGGCAGCTGTAGCACGTGCATTTACTGGCAAATGGTGATGAGGAGTGGAGAAGGGACCGGCTTCTGAAAAGATGCAAGTCAGTTTGCGATTCACGCAACGCCTGCAAGGCTTGCAATCGTCACACTTGACTCTGGCCACGGCGCATGGTCGACACGCCTGAGAGACACGACCAGCTCCCGGGGACGAGTTTGTTCGCCGTCGTTTATGCGGCGTATCATTTTCATGGTTCGCAACGTGACGACGCAGAAGATCCTTTCTAGCAAAGGATTTTTGGCAGATCTCGCAAGAAAAGCGACGACCTAGCGTGTGAGTTTGGACGTGCCTGACGAGGTGTTCCGGCCGAGAGTAGGAGCGTCCACAATCCCGGCATGCATACAAGTTGTTGCCTCCATGGTTCTGACGTGATGGCGTAGCAGAAGCAGAGCCCTCAACTGGCAGCGGTTCCGCGGTCGTGGCCGTGGTCGTGGTCGTGGTCGTGGTCGTGGTCGAGGTCGAGGTCAAGGCAGAGGCCAAGGGGGGAGCGGACTCGGCCGCATTGAGGTACGGCTGCGACGAAAGCGACTCTGGGATTGTGGCCAGCGAGCCGTGACCAATACCAAAGGGTTGGCCTGAAGGTCCGGTACGCAGCGGCGGCGGCACAGCAGCACTGGGTCGAGATTGAGGCTGAGGTTGATATGGTTGAGCAGCATGCAAAACGGACGAAACTGGTCGCGGGGGATCGAGAATCTGCGATAGAGACGGACCGGTCATGGCGCGACCGAGAGAGCGGCCTCAGTCACCGACCCCAAGTGTTGAGAATCTGTGGCAGGTTCTCTGTGTAATGCCGCAATATCACGAGGAGCTCACGGGACTCCTGGAACTCGCGAGGTGCATGGAGGGAGGACGGGGCTGATGGCTGTAGACGGCACTCGAGGGCGTATCGAGCTCGAGTCTGGTGTGCAAGTTCAAGGGCCGGAATGGAATGCCAACCAGTGCCAATAGCCCGGGCAATTGTCCAGAGCTGTCACAGCAAAGGTGAAGGCGAGGAGTTGGCCGCCGGGGTCCGGTGGCGACGGGACACAAAGAACCGACGACTTTTGGACGCGGTCGTCTCAAGACAGCAGCTAGTATGTTCGGGGCAACTGACGCCTTGGGGAACCAACCCAACCAACTGACATCAAGACGCCGCAGGGACTCGGGAGCAGAGGTAAGGTAAGGTACGGTACGGTACGGTACGGTACGGTACGGCGTGGCCAAGTCGTCTTCTGTATGCCGGATGCGCAAGGGTGGATGGAATTGAGGGTGGAATTGAGGGTACGAGGTTCCACGCGTGAAAAAGGTCAATGTATTGCGGGCGGTGCGGGCGCGAGCCCTCGTAGCCCATGTGCACTAGTCTCGAGCGCTGCGTTCTGTAACGACGGCCGGCCGGCGGCGACGACGACGACGATGACGACGATGATGTTGGCGATGCTGACGGTTGATGGTTCTCACGCTCGATGGAGCTCAACTTCAAGCCGGCCCTTGGTCCGTTGTCACCATGATCAGCCACGATCAGTGTCGACTCGACGGCCTGGCATCCGAGTGCTGGGTGGGGGGCTTGGGTGGGGCTCCTGGCGCCCAAGGGACCTCTGTCTGGACGGTTGTTCGCTAAACTACTCGCGGTGTCGACGCCCACTGTAGCCACGGCCCACGGCAAAAGACCAAGGCGCCACCGTCGGTCTTGTCTCTGCGCCATGTCACTTTAACAGAGCGGGAAGCCGCAACGGGACCCAAGGTCGAGGTTTGGGTCGATTCGGAACAGTCTTGAACCCTCTCGGGCATCATTTCAGCGGTTGCAGATCGAGCACGGAGTGCGGTGTGAGGCTTGCAGGACCATGACATTCCTTCTCCACACACCTTGGACCGGTCCTCCAACACGCTGCAGCAAAATGTGTCAAACATGGAGATGCAGCTTCGACCCCCAACTCCCTTCCCAGGTTGGGGGACACTCTCACTGTCAATACACTTCAGACCCTGTATTTTGCTGTCCACACGTGACTACTCGCTTACTCCAACACTGGAAGTGTCTCTGAGAGTTGGGGTCGAGCAATGAAGAACTGTCGGAGCCGTGCCTCTACATATCATAACCCTGCCTGCCCTGGCTCGAAATGCCATCATGTTGGCATCAAGCATTTCTTACCCCAATCGACCGCGTCATTCCGACCAAGGCTCGGATGACGATGCCGGTTAGATGGCCAGATCTCCTCCTGCTCAAGTCAAACCAGTTTCTCACGGCCAACAGAGCTTGTCCATGCCCGTGACTCGAGACGTCGTGCGCGGCACCGTCCCCGTCGAGTCATTGACTGGCGAGGCGAAATATGTCACTTTCTCGACCTGTCGTCTGAGTCTACCGACGAGGATGTTCTACACGCGTTGGAAACGGTGTCTGACCGACTCCAGGAAGCTGCGTCTTCAACTTCCGAGCAAGCATCCCGAAAACCACCCAGGTTTCAAGTCGTCAATCGCATTGAATGCAGGAATCTGGTGGGAAGCAACGCCATGTATCTCGAGACCCCCCGACTTGTTGAGAGCGGACCCCACGGCGCACACTTGACGGGCTCGAATGAGATTCGCAATCTCAAGGCCTACCTTAAGCAGAACAAGGAGGTCGTTTCTTTGGTACATCGGCATTTCGAATGCTGCGGCAAGCTCTCGCTGGAACGCATTCATCGCCACCAGAGGAGGGCCGTCGCCATAGAGCCTTCCACCCTTCTCACGCGGGAATACATGGAAATCATCTCGGATGGTTTGAGAAATGCCCTGACCCAGCTCTCTCAGGTTGCTCTTCAGGGGGTTCTTCACCCAAAATTCGAGGCCGACGGCGACGAAGATGAAGAAATGATCCCACACCCTTATCTGTGGTGGTACCACCGACGTCAAGAGATAGAGACCGCGCGCCGCCGGCTCGGTCATACGGCTCGGCAGATGATTGAGCTCTGCCATGACTACTTTCAAAATCGTCTCCAAGATGTTTGGAGCACAGTAGACGGCTTGCTATCGCGGGGCAGCATCACTGCAGAATATATTGAATATCTCTTTGTAAGCCGTCAATAGGACACAGGCTCCCAGTCATGAATTGACCGACGCTTCAGCTTCCTGGGGAGATTGTCGTATCCAAACTGAAGGGAAGTAGGGTGGCTCAATGGGAGTCTTTCTGTACTAGCGACTGGCTGATGAAAAATTCCGCCAACGAACGGTCCGAGTCTCTGGGATTGATCGATGTTACCTACTGGACGTTCAATGGCAACTTTGAAAAGAATCGCACATCTCTCTCCATCGGACCCGTGCCCTCATTGGACCAAACCTTCGACATCACACAACTGCTTGTTCATCCAGTGAGGTTTGCGCCTGAACAAATAAGGGAGACCCTTCGGCAGCGAGGCAACATGTTTTGGATGTGCCGGCGGCGGAACTACGTTTCGTACACCCGAGTTTTCGACGATGTGACTCAGAACGCCGTAAGTAGGACAAAAGTCTGGCTGGTTGCCCAGGTCGTGGTGTGACACACAATGCAGGATCTTTCGCGTTTCATGATTGATATTGCCATGTACAGGGAGCTGCACAAGTCGATCTCAGATGCCGAGGGCCTGCATCGGGACGACCTGGGACCCGACGTCATGTCTCAAGACAACCCGGATCTCGGGGACAGCTTCTACATGTGCCTGCCGACCAACATTGTGGGATTTCACATGGGGGAAAAGAAATGGCGTGAAGTCCCCTCGAGTCCCGTACCTCAGATGAAGCTACTTACTGATTTTGTTCTCAGATGACCTCGAAGTTGATCATTTTGAAGATGTACATTGGAATGAGCAGATATTTGACTTCTTGGTCCTTCCTACGCATACCAAAGAGCTTATACTGGCCCTGGTAACAAACAAAATCAATAGGGACGAGCACACCGACGTCATTCGCGGCAAGGGCAATGGCCTATTCATCCTGCTGCATGGGTAAAGCAAAGCCGCCCATCAGACATGCCAATTCCTCGTGGCCAAAAGCTGACATGTGTCCAAAAAGGGCCCCGGGTACCGGCAAGACTCTCACGGCCGAGAGGTCCATCTCATCCATCATCTTCATGAGCAACTCCAGAAGCAGGGCTAACTCGGCATTAGCGTGGCGGAGATTGCACGGAAGCCCCTCTACCGGATTACCTGCGGCGATATCGGGACCAAAGCTGAAGAAGTAGAAAAGGTATTCCATACCTGGGTGCGCATATGGCTACTTTCTGGCCCTTTGCTCATGACTGCAGTATCTGGAATCCGCTCTTTACATTGGACAGAGCTGGGATTGCGGTAAGTCGCCCATTCCCACCGCAATACCAGACAAGTGACCTACTCACCCGTGCGACACAAAACCGGTTTCTACAGTGGTCTTGCTTGACGAGGCCGATGTGTTCCTGGAGCAGCGTTCATCTGCTAGTCTGGAGAGAAATGCACTGGTTTCAGGTAAACCAAGTCTCACCGGCTTACAGCCCACTGTAGTCAGTCGCTGATGCGCAACCTCTGCAGTCTTTCTTCGGGTTTTGGAATACTTCGAAGGTAACTCGAGGGAAAATGCAAAAAGAACCCAGCTTGTGCGGCGCGCTGTCGCTGAAACATGCAATAGGCATTCTGATTCTGACAACCAACCGCGTTGGGACCTTTGACGAAGCCTTCAAATCCCGCATACATCTCTCTCTCAGGTATCAGAACCTCGACCAGCGACAGCGGCAGCTGATCTGGGCAAACTTCATCAATCGCCTCGAGTCACTTGGGAAGACAGAAGGCCGCAGTCTTATCGACGCCGAGGGGGTCCGAAGGCACATTGATCTCCTGGCACAAACCCCGTTTAATGGGAGAGAAATCCGCAACGCCATTTCTACCGCACGGCAGTTGGCGTTATTTAGGCGTCAAACCTTGACGTATGAGCATTTGGAAGCAGTGTTGAGGGAGGTCAGGGAATTCGGCGAGTACACCAAGGAGATCAACAGAGGCTTCACGGACGAAGAACTGGCAAGAGACACAAGATTGAGATGATTTCCTTTTTTTTTATTTTTTTTTTTTTATACAATAGTTGCTATCCACAAATTTGACGAATCTCGCTTACATAGTCGGGGAAACTCGTGCTAACACTTCGGAAAGGAATGCCGGCAAAGTCAAGTGAGCCATGATCTTCTCAAAGTCTGTGCCACACGGCACATCGGGAACACTAACACACACGGGAAGTGGCCTCTGGCTACGTCAGGCTTTGTGAAGCAGTTTGTTCGCTGATACTCGAGCGGACATAACCCCTCGTAATTGACGTCTCTCCAGCTTCGTACAACTTGTCGTGCGTGGCCCACTCCTCTAGGAAAGCCTTCAAGCATGCAGCCGCAGTGACAGCTGCATAACGTTGCCATTTCTTGTTCTTGTGACTGTCGGAGTAGTCACATATTCCCTTGATTATCAGACAGGGGAACGTGTCCCAAACGCCGGCGCCCTCCATCTCGAATGCGATGATGCCTTCGCTTTTTGCGATCTTGTCACGATCCTCCGCAGACTTCATCACTCTATCACCAGAGGCAAACAGGCCAAAGTGTACAAGAGACTGTGCGACTTCTTGGCCTCTTGTGACCCGTTGGGAGTTTATTGCTGCATGCCGCTGTCGAACAATCAGCCTGCCAGGGTCACACTTGAGAGTCTCGCAGGTTGAGATCCGGGCAAGCTCACACGCCCTGCTGACATCACCACCGATATCCACGCAGCCGGGGCAAGCCAGTGGCTTTCGGTGTTTGTGGCGATACGTTGGCTCAAAAAGTTGATCTTCGGCAATCCCTGGATACGTTGCCCAGCTCCCGAGTCTGTCTTGGAGGACGCTGATGTGATGTCGTGTCCTGTCCTTGAGTCTCTTGTGGCCCCTCAGGCCCTTGACCTTGGATAGAAGGCTCCTGATTTCCGCTGTCGGCTTGCTGGTAGTATCAAAGGGACCGCTCTTCCTTCTGAATCCATCGGCATATTGCCTCCCAAAATCGTATTGGATGATGCCTTCACTTATAACAACATCCCCAAGGAGAATCTCTGCACCATTCACCAACGGAACGCCGCCGCAAATGCCTACCAGCAAGGCCAGCCTGATCTCTGGGAAAGTAGCTCGGCAATTTGCCGCCACTGTGGCAGCATTGCTTTTCCCCATGCTTGGCATATGGACAAGAACCACGCAGTGACGGCCAATCAGTCCGATTGAATACGCGTTCGTGTCGCCCTCAAGCTTGCCGTAACTACTCGCATCGCAATAATTGTCAAAGACTGCCTCGACAGCATCGGCTTCTAATGTCAAGGCGCAGATGATGGCAGTCTCGATGTCTCGTCGACTCTCCGGTGGAAACTTTGGCAGAGGGTTTGCAAAGAAGGTATAGTCACGGTCTCTGACCATGAAATCCATGGCTGTTCTCGAAGAATAGGTCTCCTTGGCTGCTTTGCCTACAACCCCTCCGGTCCTAGAACTCGGATGTAAGCATTTCATGTAGGGACCAAGGAGTTGGCCTTCTCACGTTCTGGTAGTCTTCTCATCATCACAATGCGCTGTGCTCTTTGGTCTCATGCTGACATTATCTAAATCGTTCATTTCGTGAGCTGTACAAGTGGAATTACAAACGGGAATGGATTCGCAAAGTGTATACTGGTCACTCGAAGGCAGTTGCCGATGGAATGCTGGGGGTGGCTTGACCTGCTCAACGGAAATGATAGTTGTCGTATTTGACCTTAACACGAACGGTCGACATCCAAGAAGCATCACTCGCAAGTTAATCTTTCGTTCTCTTTGGCCAAAGCCGTCGCAAAGGGCCTGGAATTGGGTTGCCCATCGTGCCTCACTTGCAGAAGAGTGGTGAATGGCGCCACAGTCGACTATTATGGACAAATTGGAGAGGAACGAACAGACATGTTTCAGGATAACGAACCAATCTTGCCAACCTGTAGCCGCAGAGAATTGGGAGACAATGCCCACGAGAAAAGGAGCCGGGTCTCGTAAAGAAACATGCTGGAGAATTTGAATGGCAAGTTGCCGCAAGAGATTGGGTTCGTCCAACTCGATGAAACTGCTCAGGATGTAGGCTACGGGGCATTGCCGCTCCAAATGCTTGGTGATCTCGATGCTGAAGCGCTCCAAGCGATCAATTGACTGGGAATTGCCCTGAAGAAGTATCAGCGATGGACCTTCAGCCGACACCCAACGACCCAGCTGCGGATCCCTCCAGATGTCCCCGGTATATTTCCTCGCCCTCGTCCGGGTTGCCTGGAGTGCCACGCATCTGTCTCTTTGCACCGGAGGATCCAAAAAGGGCGAAAAGCGTTGCGCTAGGATAGGACTTGCCCACATGATGGGCCAAACGGGAATGAAAACAGCTTGCTGGCGTCTCTGGCTTTCATTGAGATATGCTGCCTAAGTCTCAACTTCCGTTTGCTGGGCTAGGAAATATGACAGATACCCACATGATAACCATTCGGACAGTTCCTCAGTATCATTGCTGCGAGAGCTAGAAACGACCAGATGGCTCATATTGACAGCCACAGCCCAATCGATCAGCGCCGGCCGGTTGCGAATGAGAGCCGACTCCTCTGAATTGTGGTGACACGGATCTCCTTAACTAACTGGCAAGACCTGCAACAGGTGCGCTATGGGTTGTCCCAAACTGAACTGAGCGACATGGAATTTCTCGGACCCCGAATTTCGGCAGTGGGCCCCGTGGAGCCAGGTCTCGTTGGCTCAATTTGAGAGGGTTCGGTTCGGTTCGGTTGTCGAGCAATAATATCAAGGGCATGCCGGGTTGTGGCCAGCCTTTTCAAAGTTGGGCAAAGTTCGACCGGAAGTGGTTTGCTGGACCCAGACCGACCGCCGCCCAATGTCTGATGTTGTACAAGAATCCACCGTCCTCGGGTCCCAAGGGGTACGTGCCAGGTATTCCGTACGCTAAAAACGCCACTTGGGCCGTGCCGTGCCGGCTCTCGGCCGAATGTTGGCCAGGCTGACGCTGGTGTTTGCCTACCTACCGCATATTACATGCAGTGCTTGAAGCAACACAAGCCATGTATGTTCATGTTGGATGTTGGCGTAACCGAAACGAATGCGGCCGCACGTCTGCAAAAAACGCAAACGCCGATTTAGCTGACTGCCATGTCCGGATTTCCTCCAGTTGGGTGTCATCCATATCTACGTCATGGAATGATAATCGACCCACGCAACGCAACCCTACGTAGCAGGGTTCAAGCAGCACAATTGAGAAATGAGCTCTGGAGATGCCATGTCAGCATCCGTTGGAGTCCCAAGGTGTCTGGATGTGTTCCAGTTGGCTGGCTCGCGAGATATTTGTCACCACTTACGGTATAGTTTGATTGACAGACAATATGTATTTGGAATGGTGCCATTGCCACCCACAGTCATGCCGGCAGATATCAAACGCTGTGACTGGCCACTTGTGCAACAATACGGAGGACGTTGAATGGCCTTGCTGGCCAAGTGGCTCGTTGGGAGTCGTGGAGGAGTCGTGGAGGAGTCGTGGAGTCTAGAGGGGTCGGGACGAGTCGGGGATGGGAAAGTCGCGGAGTCGTGGTGGCCGGCAAGTGCGAGAGAGCGGAGCCGACAAACCAGGCCAGGGGAAACCAAGTCGGACAAGCCTCCAAGCCTCGAAGCCTCCAAGCGTTCTCGATCCCCACAGTCCGTCTGCTCAGTGGGGGTTGGGGTTCTACCGAAGGTGCAGCTGCCAGTCAATCTCCTGTACTACGTGAGGTAAGAATCCCCTTCCCACAGCGGTAGCGGTCGACGGGGCTCCCAACTTGCCGCCGCCGCCCCTGCTTACGCCTTGTCAGCACCCTCATGCTTCACCGCGAGTACTTCCCCTTCCTGCCGACCCCGGAGTCGGAGCCACGGGGTCCAGTCGACCAGCCCATGCTGGGGGCGCCCGCCCCCGAGGGCTGGTGGGACGACAGCTCCCGACTCCTCTTCGGCGCGGCAGAGCACATCGCCGCCATTCTACACGAGGCCTCCGAGTGTGGCGTGCATCTCATGACGCCCTTTGCCGGGTTCTGCGCATTCTCAGCCGGCTACCTCAACCTCTACGTGGCGAAATACCCCCGAATGAACCTGGGCCGCAGCCCGCGAGCAAGCGACTGTCTCAAAATGTGTCTCGACTACCTGGAAAAGTTTCGACTTGTCTGGAAAATCGCCGACGGATGGGTAAGCCGCCCGCAAGCATGACACGACCGTGGCCACCGTTGCGCTAACATTGAGAGGGCGGCACGCGCAAGATCAAAACGATACACCATGCATCCGTGCTCTACGAGCGAGCAACCGAGGACCGGACACGATACCAGGGGCGCACACGAGCAGACTTTGATACTCTACACCAGTCTGTCCACGAGTTCCGTGTCGTGGATAGATCCGACGCGCATACTCGGGAGATTCGGGGCGCGGAGCGGCCCTCGGCGCAGGCGACTTGGCCGGTTCAAGGGCACGAGCACGAGCACGAGCACGAGCACGAGCTCGACACTAATACCTTGTTGAACCAGCTTTTCGCGGAAGTCAGCAATAACCTCGACGAGCAGGGGGCCTGGTCTCAATGGTGGCCGGCGATTGATCAGGTGGATCTTTAATGAGCTGCGTAATTACATCCGGGGTTTTTTTTTTCGTTGAAGCTTCCAATGAATGAGTGACGACCTTTGATTTTTTTGATTTTTTTTTTAAAAAGGGCTGTAATATCTGGTTTTCTATACATGTCCTATTTTTATTTCCCGGTCTAGAAAAACAGTCAACAGATAATGCACCTCTTCATATGGCTCCCCTCCCGTCACCGCCAACAAATGCATACCTGTCGCGTCAACCATTCGCCGTTTCTCCTTCCAATCACGCCTTTGCAAAGACCTTTCTCGAGTTCATCAGGCGAACAGCAAGCATAAAGAGCATGCCGACAAAAGGCGCCACAACCACGCCAAGAGGACGTTTTTTGAAGCAGCTAAAAAGGCACGTAAATGGCGTCTGGATTCTGTACTAGATCTACTAGAAATTTGGGACGAGAAGGGTGTACATTATAGGCGAAGAGGTTAATAGCGTTATTAGGTTGAAAATTGGCCCGCCTTGGTGTCCGGCCCGCCTTGCTGTCGAGCACCACCTTTGGTGGTGAGGGCTTTTGCTAGCCGAACCACATAAAGTGGGGCGGGCACGATTACTGAGGTACGGAGTACCTGGTAAATTACCTATTGTCGGCTGGGCCAAGCTTTGATGACATTCCGAGTAAGTTACTTCCTCGGCGCTGCTCCACGTGCATGCATGCGTTGGTACGACTATGGCTGTTCTCGACGACACGATCCCTTCATTGCCCTGCTTCCCGATTGCCCGACTTCCTACGGTACTTTTCTGCCCCCTAATCTCCCAATGTCCCGACTGCCAAACGCCTTCGATTTCTCCACCCTTGGCTCGACTCGCCGGTGCATCCGTTCTTCGTTTTCGACCCACGTTGCTTGGCGGCGAACCATTTCGGGGCCAATCTTGGCATCATCCATCACCACTCGAGTGCCAGTGTGCCGCCAAGGCCCAAGACCGCAACTACGTTTCGACTCTCAAACCACCACAGCACACGCCACTGCCATCTTGCCTTTGCCAACCAGCATCACCGTCCAAGGACGAACCGCAGCTGCTACCGGCTGCAGATAGCGGGACTGGCTCTGTTTGGTAACGCTAGATACACACAGTCACGCTTGTCCTCTCCGACCGCCTTGGCCTTTGAGAAGTTGAGATGAACCTTGGCCGACTTGGTTGAATGACTTGACTTTTACAGCATTCATGTTCTGAAGCACGCCGTACAGATCACCGCCGGGCCTTGCTGTAGCACCATCCGACATCCATTTCCTCTTGCCTGGCCGAGGATATCTGCTTGCAACAAACGTTTCGCCAACGTCGCCAGAAACTATGGCGGCGGCGGCCTCATCTTCCTCCTCATCAGCGACGGCCGCCCGTCGGGATGTAGAAGCCCAACAGTCAAACAAGTCACAAAAGAACTCGCATTGGAGTATCTTGACCGACCAAGCTGGTGTTGACGATGCCGTTCTCAACCACAAGTATTCCGGCCACGGCACAAACGAGTCGCCATACCTTGTTGAGTTTTTGCCCGTGGACCCTAGAAATCCAATGACCTTCCCTAGCCTTTTCAAGTGGCAAATCATGATCATTTCAGCTGTATCGACCCTGGCGGTTTCCTTCACTAGCTCTGCATACTCGGGCAGCATTCTCGCAGTCAAGGATGAATTTCACGCATCGATCGAGGTAGTCACTCTGGGGGTGTCCATGTTCGTTCTCGGCTTTGCCATTGGGCCCCTGTTCTGGGCACCATTTTCAGAGCTTTATGGCCGACAGAAGCTCTTTTTCTTGACGTACATGGCCCTGACAGCTTTCAACGCGGCCGGCGCTGGTGCACCAAACATGACAGCGCTCATCGTGTTGCGCTTCATGGCTGGTGCTTGGGGCTCTTCGCCGCTGACCAACTCTGGGGGCGTCATTGCAGATCTGTTTACAGCCACTGAACGAGGAATCGCCACTAGTATCTTTGCCATTGCTCCCTTTCTCGGCCCTGCGCTAGGTATGTCGTTGTCTCTCCATTGCTTGCTACTGCCATGGCCGACCGTGGACATGGCTGCAAGACCCCAGAAACACAGCAAGTGGCAAAGAGTGCTGATGCAGGGATAGGCCCCATTGCTGGTGGATTCCTGGCCGAAGCCCAAGGTTGGAGATGGGTGGAGGGCTTGACAGCTATTTTTACCGGCGCACTCTGGATTATCCAGACGCTTGTTGCTCCCGAGACCTATTCCCCGGTCTTATTGCGCAGGCGGGCCGAAGAATTGTCCAGACGAACCGGCAAAGTGTACATATCCAAAGTCGATGCGGCGATGCCTCGCAAGACTTTGCTGGGTCAAATTAAAGTCAACCTCTCACGACCTTGGGTCCTCTTGTTCAAGGAGCCCATTGTATTTCTCACCAGTATTTACATGGCCATTGTTTACGGTACACTGTACCTTTGCTTTGCGGCCTTCCCAATTGTCTTCCAATCCCCTTACCCCGAAGGTTGGGGGTGGAAAGCTGGTGTTGGAGGACTCTCCTTTGTGGGCATTGCGATAGGCATGATTGCGTCGACAGCCGGTTCGATATTGGATAACAGGCGTTATGCGCGCATAGCGGCGAAATGTGGTGGCACGGCACCGCCCGAAGCGCGACTTCCTCCAGCCGTAGCGGGGGGTGTTCTTCTCCCGGTCGGTCTTTTCTGGTTCGCATGGACGAACGGTACGAATGTTCACTGGGTGGTGCCTATTATTGGATCATCAGTGTTTGCTGCCGGCTTGGTTTTGGTCTTCTTGTCTCTTCTCAACTATCTCATTGACTCATGTAAGTTACCTGGCCCGAGAATAGAACGAATTGTCAGGAAAGGAACCAGGTGCTAACGCATAAACCAGATGTGATATACGCCGCCTCCGTTCTCGCGGCTAGTGCTGTGCTTCGATCTCTTTTCGGGTGCGTATTCCCGCTATTTACGAAGAGTATGTATGAAAATCTCGGCGTTCATTGGGCCAGTTCTATCCCAGCATTTTTGGCGCTTGGCTGTATGCCGTTTCCCTTTTTGTTTTACAGGTATGGCGAGAAGATTCGCCTGAAGTGCAAGTACTCCGCAGAGGCATCGCATATTTTTCAGCAAATACTGGCCAAGCAACAGCCAGCGCTGGAAGACGACGGCGCAACCGAGAGCGACGAAGGGATGAGAGGAAAGCGGAACGAAGGTGTCAAAAGCGCGCCGACAGCAGTACTGCCATAGTTGCCGCCCCTTTATTTCTGAACACGGGCAGGTAGAGCAGTATGCAAGCTCACGCCATTGGAATATGTGCACTTGTTGTGTCACGAGCATGGACCGGCGTTATTGATTCTCTCGTTTGGACATGGCTATGGACGCGCTGATTGGCGGCGCCGAGGGTGATGACTTGTATGTTCATGTTTTTTAGTTTTTTTTTTTTATGGCGATGCCGGCGGATATGTCAGATATTCAACATTCGGCCTTGACGACAGAAGAGAGACACCGAATGCCAAGAGTGTGATGGACCAGAGTTCAGTATGAAAGCGTCGGATACAAAAGAAAGAAGAATTGTCGGTGGTGCATCTAGTAGCATTGCATTTTCAGGCCACGTGAGGGAGAAAGTACATGTTCATTTATCGCAACGGACACGACTGTCTAGCATGCCGCTGATGAGTAAATTACTAGTAGAATAGCATTGGGTAAATGAGACCAATGACATGCTATGACGCCTAGATTTTTCCAGCACTCTGACCACTTGTCCCTGGCGAAGCCCGCGGGCCGCAGCTGACATTGAGTATCACGAGGCGTACTTGGGCGTTGGTTGATGTTGCTCGAGTAAAGGGAACTCAAAACGACATCGGACCGCGGGCTGTACAAGTACCCAGCCAGGTACTACAAACTTTAGGTAGGTAAACACTAGAAGTAATTTGTAACATTCAATCCAATCCAGGGGGAAAGGCACCTTTTATGTACAGACGCGGCGGGGCAGTGACGTGACACCACACGGGTACGGATACCCGTGCTGTCACTGCTACGTACCCTGTGCCCCCGTTGTTCTGTTCCATGTGCCCCACCGTCTCATTTCCCAGTTTCATTGGTGCCTCTCCTCTCCACTTTTTAACTTTGAACTTGCTTCGCACCTCCCCAGCGCGTCTTCATCGCCGCGTCCAGGCCGGCCAACTTCCACGACATACCCTTCAACCGACGCAGAGTCTCAACAACAGGAACCACAATGGCGATGAGGCCGCCTACAGGCGGAAGCTCGTCTCCATTATCCTTTTACACGGCGAATAATTCAGATGTTGAGGGATCCACAACTGCGAGCAGTCCTGTACAAGGCTCGCCTTGTCCATATCGTGATGCTCGACAGCTTCCGCGGGAGTTGAAGGCTCATTGCCAAATATTTTTAGAAGAGCAGCTTTGTACGCGCAGCTCCAATCCGATCCCGTTTCTTCACCCGCTCACTTCTTTGTTGTCGTGATAGAGGCTAACATGGAGTAGACACATGTGCGATTAATCTGCTGAATAGCACCCTTGGCTCTGGCACATCTAGAAGATCATTTTCTACCAACGCAGTCCCGGTACCACCACCAAGTCATCTGGCATTGCTCAATACCCTTGTAGTTCATCCAGTCCATACGACTCGCGCAGAGAAACCGGAATACCGACAAGTATCCGCCCTGGCACTCGACTACCTTCGCAACTTGCTGGTAATTGCTGGCCCTGTCAACGCGGGGTTTCGCTCCGCCTTTCAGTTTCATGCATCACCAAGGTGGAAGCGGCACTCACGCTTTGCTAGCCCTGACGTCGACAGCGACATGTCGGATGGAGACTCGGATCGCGATCATGACCGTCTACAGGGGCGCATGGCCAACGAAGGCAGTCTGTGGTCTCGGGGCCAAGATCTCTGGGCTATAATCGGCTGGGCCTTGAACACGAGCACACTGTATCCTCAGCGATGGCGCCACTGGCGTGTTTGGCTCGAATTCATGCTGGAACTTCTCGAGACGGACTGGATTGAGAGAGAGCGACAAGACGAGGCAAGCCACGCGGCCAATGGGGGGGAGGGTGCTGCCCCAGTCGCGGCGCGGAATGAGTCGATGATGGCAATGTATATGGAGCAGAGCATGGACGGACACGTGGCCCTCAGGCGGATGATGAAGGCCCTTTTTGCGGACGGCGGGTCGTTGTCGTCGTCTACCTTTCCCGAGGTGTTTGAGAAGGAACCGCGTGGCCCCAATAAGGCGTCTAGGAAGAGGAAGAGAGAGCAAGTCCTCGACCTTCAGAACGACAAATTCGCAGACTACTTGGACGACGATTATATTTCATCGGGTGTCTCGGAGCCGCCCACCCCTCAGAAACGCCGAGATGGCAGAGACGACGATACAACGGGGGTCTTGAGCCCCGGTATGACGGAGTCGATTGGCATTCGTTTAAAATTCTTCAAGCTCCTGTCTGGTGTGACGGCCGCTCTCCGCAAGCCGCGCGAGCTCGTCACTCTATATGAGGACTATGTGCTTGCGATAAAGAACCTCCCTCTTCCACTCTACTCACTTTACGTCACGCAAAGGGACAACCCGCTCCCGTCCGACATCCACGTCGTCCTCATACAGGAACTATTTCGCCTCCTCCTGCCGCCATTTTCCAAGAATCCAGCAAAGGTCGACCCTCAAGGCGAGGCGGATGGTCGACTTACCACGCTCATGCTAGAATGCTGCTACGTACCAATGTCCGCTAATACCGTGAGCTTGGAGGACAATGCCAAACTTTCGCTGCTGATTGAAAGTGCGATTCAGCTCTTGTGGATATGTGACGAGATGGAGTATACAGACAGTTTCGGCAACGCTTGCGAAGTGGGTATACAGGCGAGAGAAGCAAAGGCCAAGAAGAAACGCACGGGAAAGGCGCATGCTGAATCGGGCGATGTCTCCGCGAGGGATGTGCTGATGCGGTCTGGAGAGAGGATTCGAATATTGGTGCAGGCACTGAAGGAGACAAGTTTCAACGTGTGTGATTAAGACGACGCTGTACGTGGAGACGGAAGGATTAATTGTCGGTGGTCTTGGATGGCATGTCGTATAGACCCATGTTGGAGGGACGCTTTTCGTTTGGGGGGCATTCACGAGGCTCATGACTAAAGGGATGGGATGGTACCCGGCGTTTTGGAAGAATCAGGCGTACAAGTGGTGTAGAGCGACTGCTGGGGGGGTTTACGGCGAGGATGGCCGACGGCATGGTTGGAGCCTTGCTCTTTTTTCGCGCTGTGCTTGCTCTCACGCTGGACCCGTGATTTTGTGACGACACATGCGTGCAGGTACTCGGTAGATGTATATTAATCGGACCACTCGTCTTCTACTGTACAAAGTATACACTGTTCGCGATGGTACAACAGTCTAGCACCCACCAGCCAGGTTTTCAACCAAGGTTGGACGGCTCGGTGATCAATCTCATCTCTTCTTTGGGACGGCGGCCGCTGGGTTCCAAGCCGATGGCTGCCAAGATTCACCCGGGCCCCGGGCCCTGGCCTTTGTCCAAGGGTCCTCCTTGCGTCCCGGGTACCTTTGCGGCGCTCCGTCCTGTTCTGGCTGTGCTCCTGCTCCTGCTCCTGCTCCTGTCCCTGGTGCCGCTGGCGATGATTCCTCAGCCCTGCCTGCGGGCCGTGCTAACTGCTCCTGCGCCTGAGCGGCAGGCCCGACGTCGTCCATGACGCGCGGCTTCGCCTCCCACCTGGCGTCCGCTTCGGCGGCCAGACGCCTCATCCTCGCCTGCCTCGCGACATCGCCGGCCTGCTCCTCCAGGGACGGCGGATCGCGTCGCGTGTGCCGCAGCCACTGGTGCCACAGGGGCGATACCTGCACCTGCGAATAGTGCGTGGACCGGGGGTAGTGCACGATGCGGCGCCAGCGGGAGTCTGACGGTGCGGCGCCGGGCGACGGTCTCGCGAGGCGGAACTCCCAGTACGTGTTGCCTTGTAGGTCGTAGCCTGCGGCTGGTTCAGCGGTCTTGGCTCGAGGGTTGGGAAGCAGGACGGAACTGACCGACAAAGAGGCGCTTTCGCCAGGGGAGGCGCAGGGCTTTCCATCTATACCAGGTCCGGGCCACGGGGCCTATGTGCTTGGGCGACATGGTGGTGTGCGGCGCCGGGTTTACATGGTGAAACTCGGGGTTTGGTGGGAGCGAGCCTGGAGGACGGACCGACGCGACGTCGGAGTTGGAGTTGGAGTTGGAGTTGGCAAGGCCAGGCCACATGGCGCGGGCTTACGTAAGGCGGCCCTCCGCAACGAGGCACTAGCCGTGTTGGCACATGGTGGCTCGTCGTCGTTGCCGGGTTGTGGTGTAATAACAACGACTTATAAATAAACTCGCAACACGCAACTGACCCCGGCTTGAGGGTGCAGCGCAGTGCAGTCTTGGCTGCCCCTCTCTCGGCGACGACAACCCGCGGGATATTTATTTGTTTGTTGTCAAGTACAAGTACGAAGACGAGCTCCGCAGCAAGCAAGCAAGCAAGCAAGCGCGCGTACGTAAGCAACAGGCCTCGATAGTTGCGTCACCTCCCTCGTCCCCGGCCAACCTTTGTCCATGGTCTACGACTCGGCCGCAAACCTCGATCGAGCGAGCCGTTTTCGCAGAGCACCTCTTGGCCCGAAACAAATCAACACACCATGGCGTCCGTCACGTCGCTGGACAAGGACCTGCGCAAGATGCGCCTGGACAAGTACACCCCCGAGGCCGCCAAGGAAGCCCGTTCGTGGGTCGAGGAGGCGCTTGGGGAAAAGCTGCCGTCTTCAGATTTACTGGAGGGCCTGAAGGATGGCGTTGCTCTGTGCAAGTAGGGACATTGCATTCCGCCCGCTCTCGCCCACGACGCTCGAGGCAAAAGCCCCATCCGAGAGTCCTGCTAACGTGCTGCCCAGGCTCGTCAACCTTGCGACCCCTCCGCCGGGCATCAGGTTCAAGAAGTCCTCCATGCCCTTCGTGCAGATGGAGAACATCTCCCACTTCCTGCGCGCGTGCCAGTCCCCGCCGCTCAGCCTGCACCAGCACGACACCTTTCTCACCGTCGACCTCTATGAGCAGAAGGATCCCGCCCAGGTGCTCCAGTGCCTCGGCGCCTTCAGCAGAGCCGCGCACGACGCCAACCCGGGCCGCTTTCCGGACCCCATCGGCCCCAAGCCCCGCGCCGCCGGCCTCATCAGCCCCCAGGTATCCGGCTATGCGCCGCAGACTGGCCTCCGCGGCCGTGGCGCCTCCGTCACCAGCAACTCGTCCTCCGCCTACAGCTCCAAGCCGGTGCTTCCCCGCAGGGCCGATGGCGACACAACTCCCACCGGCAGGCGCAGTCCGACCAAGAGCCCGACCTTTGCGAATCCCGCCGCGTCTCCCGGCCCCGTTAGCAGCTGGAGCAAGCGGGAACACGAGGGATCCACCGCGCCGGCATGGAACATCGCTCAGTACGGGTACATGGGAGGTGCCAGTCAGGGGAATCTGGGCATTTCGTTTGGCGGCCTGCGACAGATCACGAGTGCCGGCCCGCACGTGCCCAGCCTGGCCGACAAGGAGCGACGGCGAAGGGAAGACGCCGAGAGACAGGAGGAAGAGGAGCGCCAGCGAAGGGCACAGCAGGAGGCCCGGGAGGAGGAGGAGGCCCGGCGGGAGGAGGAACGCAGATGGGAGGCCGAGGCGCAAAGGCTCCGTGAGGAAGAGCGTCGCAAAGCCGCAGAGGAGAAGCGCAGGTGGGAGGAACAAGAACGGCAGTGGAGACTGACCGAGGAGAAGCGCCGCAGGGAGGAGGAAGAGGCCGAGGCGAGACTGGAGGAAGAACGGAAACGAGCCAAGAGCCGCGGCGACGCCAGACTGCAGGGCCAGTCTCTGACCCAGCACCAGGCCGAACAGGCCGCGGCCGACGGTGGCAACAGCCGCAGCCAGAAGCTCGAGGAGCAGCTGGCGCGAGCACGCCAGCGCGAAGCAGAGTACGAGCGCGAGCGCCAAACACGCAGCGCCAGCAGACCCGTCGGTGACGTCGTCCCCGACAAAGCCAGGTCCAGGAGCCGGAACCGCGGCACCTCGTCGCCGCCCTCTCCGTCCACGCCGTCCACGCCGTCCGCCGTGGGACCCCAGCGCCCACAGAACCGCTACGAATCATGGACCAAGGACGACGAGCGGGACTACCTGCATAACCAGTGGTCCCAACACCGGCAGGACTCGGGAGGACCAACTGTCGAGGCCCGGCGCGCAGAATCCGTCGGCGCCGAGGCCACCCCTTCCCTCGCCTCAGCCCCCCGGCCCCTCCCCGATCCCAACGTCACTCCCAAACCCAGGCCGCCGCTTGACAAATCCCCCATCTCGAGCCGCAGCGGCAGCAGCAGCCGCCGACCGCTCCCCGACCCCAAGACGTACGCGGCCCCTGCCTCGGCGTCGTCGCCTCGAAACCGAACAGACTTAAGCCCGGCCTCCAATGCCCCTCCGCAGCAGGCGAAACCTCGCCCCACGTATTCCCGCGAGCTGGGTGCCACGGAGGAGCGAGACGGCGAGGACCGCCGCCGCGCGCAGAGCCAGACGCAGACGGGGGCGGCCGGCCGGGCGTCCAAGTCGCTTCTCGAGCGGGAGATGGAACTGGAGCGCCAGCGCCAGCGGGAGTGGGAAGAAGCGCAGAGGGAGACGGCCAGTGCCGTCCGCTCGGGAGACGGCGTAGAGGGCATCGGCGGCGGCATCGGCGGCAGGTGGGATCTGGGTCAATGGAGCGGTTACACGGGGGGCGATTCGCAGAACAGGGGCTCCCAGGGCATCGGCTCAGGGCGGAGGCAGATTGTCGGGCCGCGGCCCCTGCCCGGCCCCGGGAGGTGACGGCTTCTCTCTGTCTCGTGTTCTAGATTCTCCAGCGGCAAGGGGGCAAGGGGGCAAGGACGAAGCAAATCACAATGCCGACTCGGGACGCGCAGGCCCCCAGAGAGCACCAAGCGCGACCGACGACCAGAGTGCAGGTTCGGCCGGCAGGCCGGGGCGTGACGGGGCCGTGTGCGCACACGCGTCTCTGCTGTACGGGTCGACGAGATGGTCAGAGGCGTGCGTGTCTTGGTGGTTGGTGCCCTGCTGGCTGGCTGGCTGGTTCGAGGCTCGGCGCCCAAGGCTTGTCTGTGCCCTGGCGTGGTCCCGGGTCTGCAAACGTGGCGGAAGCTTTTGCGCGGATGACGACTTTTTATTTTGGTGGAGCGACTGCGTCTTCGGTCAAGATGCCGAGCCTTCAACTACACATAGCCGTTTCGAGTTACAATATATCTTACATTTAGATGATTTTCACATCTTGGTCCGCACCATCTTTGGCATCATGACTTTTTTTTCTGTGCAGCCTGGAAAAACAGTCATCTTGTACTTCTGGAGAGGAGGCGCGGGTTAAACTCTTTTTTTTCATTCATGTGCCGTGGTATGTACAGAGATATCCAGATGATACTATAGTATACTGCTGTGCGACCTCATCAAGCTTTCTGACAGCTTGTCTACCGCCTGGGCAAATGGGTAGTCATTCCCGGCGGTGACGTGGTCGTTGCGCTCGTCTCATTAGTCGAAATGAGCATAGCAGAAACGCGAGGCTATCCTTTTCCGGTGGGCGAGTCGTCCGGGCCAAATCTCTCAGGCTTTATTTAATCCACTGATGTGGCAGCTTCCCCTCAAGAAGTCGATGGCTGACCGGAGACGACCCCGAGTCTCGCGGCGTGGCCGTCTCTGTCTTGCCACTGTAAGAATCATTTGGTGCGATTGTGCCGACGTGTCATTCAACGGGTTTGCGACGGTATTCGCAGCTCCCCCGTGTCTCTCTCATCCACAGCCGCGTGTGGCCGTTGCGGGAAGCAAAGACGAACAGCTGAAATTTTTATGCCCCAGTGACCGCGTGATGGGACGGCACACAACTGGATGAACAATGCTTGGTTGGCATGGCAAAAGGCTCTTTCATGAAAGAAGGAGAAGAGAGAAAGACGTCGAATTTTGAGGGCATCCGCTTCGGCATAGGTCTTTCTCCTCAAAGGCTAACACCCAGGCATACATACGTCTGCCAAAGCCTGTGGTTCACCATTGGTTTGACTGGCTTCGTCCCGACAACGTTTGCACATGCACCAACCGCCTAGACTGCCTCGAGCCCATTCTCGTCGTTTTTGTACCGGAAGCGAAACGTCGCAGTAATGGTTCAGGATCTCCTCGCCTTTCTTGATACCGCCTGGTCGGCCACCGACAAGGCGTTCCTTGCGAGCCCACAAGACCATGCGGCCTCCCCAGTCCCAGGTTACATTGGGGTCACAATCGTGATTGGCAAGACACCAGTAAGGATGGACAGCTGCCACATCCGGCCTACCATCTCGAGGATTTTTGCGCGCCGACGCTGTCCCGCGGAACTTTGCGTACAGAGTGTTGAATATCCACAAGTCGTACTGCGAGAGGGATGTATAAATGTCGATATCCATCTTCTCGAGGATGTGAAGCGGCGTCTCGATATTGTATTTGAAAGAGAATGGCAACGTCCACTCTGGAGGCGGTCCAGCATTGGGCGATATGTCAATATCATTCGTGGCCGTTGGCACAAAGTCGCCCCAGATGAATCGAACTTCCTGTACATCAAGAGGATGGAGATTCTGATGGGCAGCCAGCGCCAAGACGCGAGACAGTAAAAGAAGATACAAAGTCTCGTCCGCCTCGGAAGCTTCGGGGTCCTTGGCAATGGCATCGACATCCTTCTCGCATACCGCGGGGTGGTAGCGTTCCTGGGCCGCATCGTGGCAGTACTGGCTGCAGAAGACGGTATCGTAGCACTCGTCGCAGTTGACGGCCTCGTTGTCACTGCCAAGAGGTGGAAGGTCGGCGCTACAAGCGTCGCATACTGGGTCCTTTAAGCGGTTGTTGGCGGTCAGCAGGGAGTATTCGCGCAGCACGTCCTCCCCAGGCGCTATGTCTTGGGCAGCAAACACGCCAAGCTGCTTGCAAGTGGGAATGATGTCGTAGTGGTCTGTGTTGCTTGCGCCTTCGAGCAGAACCGGCAAGGTGGCGACCTGCACTGCACATTTGGGCGCCATGGTCTTGAGATGCGTGTTTAGCGCATCCAACGAATCTTGCGCGAAACGATCTGGCTCATGGTGATTCCATGGATAAACCTCCCGGCGAACCAGGCCGTAGTCGGACAGGTCGTTTGTATTGAAATTGTCGCGGCGCAGTCGACGTCGAGCCACGGTCCTGATGTGGGTTTGCGCGTTGAGGAGTTCCTTGTTCTTGGGAGCAAGCTTCAGGCCACGCTCGCAGAAGTTGGAGGCGCTCTTCAAGCAACCGCAGAGAAGCAGGCTCAATGACAGAATCTGATGGGCCCGGATGGAAGCGAGGCCGGCAAGTCGACGAGCAGCCTCTTCGCCGCCGCCCAGGCTTTCGACGACAGCAGGAGACCAATCTTGAGGAAGGTCCCCGTAGGCCATGACCTCTGGAATAGGGACACCTGTGTGCATCAAGAGGCTCTCCATGGCCTTTTCGTGGTACTCAAAACCCTCATTGCAGACCTCGTCGGTCAACAACAAGGCCTTGTAGGCATCACCGGCAGCAAGGTCTGGATAGCCCAAGTCAGAGTGAATGACGGCGCGTTGAAGGTAGAGTATCAGGTCATAGGGCAAGCCATTGAGGCCTTCTGTCAGTTGAAGTCGACGATCAAACAACTGCTCTCGAAGGTCAACGTCGTCCATGCTGCCCAAGACTGACCTCGGCTCGAAACATGACATGTGCTCTCTCTACACTGCCCTGCCCTCTCTATAGGTCTGGTCTCGGGATTCATGAAATGCGAAGGCAGGCTCGAGAGGAGTGAGTGATTGCAAGCCCGAGCAAGCGGGATGTATAGCTTCTTATAACCTCGCGAGAAGGAGGGCGGTGAGGCGCTGTAGTCTTGCCTTGATCTGGGCCAGAAGAATAAAACAGTGGCTACGTAGGCGGCAAGGTCAGCATGACTCGACAGCCAAACCGTCGAGGGAGGGAAAGCAGCGTACCGAGTGTGTACATATGCGGAGGCAGCAAATGTCTCGAAGCCTCCTGGTCAGTGAATATATTAGCCAGACTGGAGTACTCCGTACTTGGTCCAGGCGCGAGACGATACAAATGAAGGACGGAGAGGAAGGGAAGAGATTTGGGAGGAACGGATTGGTGGTGCCGGGCGAGGCGATGGAGGCTCAGATTTTGGGGCAACCACCAATCTGGCTTCGGGACGGACCACCAGATGGACCAGATGGGACCAGATGGGACCAGATGGAACCAGGGTCAGGGCCATCGAGCAAGTAACGTTAGTTAAGTGTTGCTCATATGTCATATGGAATACACCCCCATGTAGTCGACATGCTCAGGGTTTCCAAGAACAAACTCGGGGTCCGTGGTAAGACTGGCGTTCGGCAAAGCAAAGTTGACAAGCACATGACTTATGCGAGGGCCAAGAGGCGTCGTCGATGCAAGCGTGTGGCTGCCATGCGTGGAGATCAGCGACTTTTGACAGGCCAAAGGTGACAAGGACCACTGCCGCGGGGTGGAAGGGGGAGAGGTAGTTATTCGGAAATTTCTTTTTGGTTGGAACTTGGATGCGGCCGTGTTGCACCGGTGGGCCAGAGAAGAGGGGAGAAAAAAAAGACGGAAAGAAACGACGACGACGACACGTCAATTGACGATGCATCAGCAGCTCTTCATTCTCGTCCGAGTCTGTAACTACACGTCCGTCAGCACTGCGTCAAGGTGCATACTTACTTAAGTACGTACCGAGTCAATACTTTTGTACTGAGGCGCACCCGGGAGTCACGCATGTTTGCTGCTGCTGCTGCTAGCTTCCGTGTCGCACGTGTACACGCGCACACGAACACGACAAAGGTACGTTTATATTTTATGTATATGGTGTGTGTGTGTGTGTGTGCGTGTGCAGCATCTACAACAAGACTTGGCATTCATCGCTTCTACCGTCAAGCGGCGGAAGCAGCCTCGTCCAAACCCGTTGATGGTCTTTGAAATATCTCGGCCGGGTGCCAAGATGGAAATGCACAGAGTTACATAGGTCTGCACCTCGAGCAACCCTCGAGGTTTCAATCAGGGTTCCGTCGGTTCCTCCCGACGCCGCGTTGCGCTCACTCGTTCGATTGCAAATCCACACATTTACGGAGTACAAGTCAGTCCAACTCGGTTCTTGCATCCATGACCATGACCACCAGCAGGGCAGGTGCAAGTTCGTACAAGGACATGGATATACATGGACGGTAGGTGCCTACTACGTGCTCCGTACTTGGCGGCACGACTCGACACTCCCGAGTCACAAGTAGACGCTCCGTCCCAAGTACGAGACCATCCGTACATACAGTGCGTGTCCTCAATCTTCACATGTGCACCACCCAAGCGCTCCAGTCCTCACCAAAACCGTCATCGAAGCTCCAAGCTCCAAGCTTCCAGCCTCACCACCACCACCTACTTTTTTTGCCTTGGGCGTCGAGCAGCCGGCGTCATTGCACCATCTCCCATCCCGACGTCTCGTCACCGCTCTTGAATCTTCGCTCCGCTTGTGTGTGCTCCCCTGCCGTCAATCGACCGACGTCACAGTGGCGTCTTTGTCGAGTCCATAAATAGCTCTTCCAACTGCCAGTCAATTTCCGAGCACCGCCACCGACGTTTGATCTGCACGACGGCCGCAGAGAGATTGCATCCCTTTAGCAGTTTTTTTGACGTCTCTTCCTTCCTCTTCACATACGGCACAACCAACCAACCGACCATTCGCATACCCGTCTCACCACCATGCCCAAGGTCCAGCCCAACCTCTACGCCTTCCGCAACGTCGACTCTCTGGCGACGGCCCTCCGCGGTTACGTTGCACAGAGCCAAGACGCCGGCTTCTCACGTCACGACTCGTTCAAAGTCGCCGTGTCGGGCGGCTCCCTACCCAGAATTCTCGCACAGGCTCTCCTCTCCCCGTCAACTGGTCCCAAGGATGTCATCGACTTCGCCAAGTGGGAGATATTCTTCGCCGACGAGCGTGCTGTGCCTCTCGACCACGCCGACTCCAACTACGGCCTCCTCAAGTCCGAGCTTCTCGACAAGATTCCCGCCGACCAGCGACCTACCGTCCGTCCCATAGACACCACCTATCTCAGCGATACCCAGGAACTCGCCGACCAGTATGAAAAGACCCTCGTCGGCAGCTTTGCGAGCCGCGACTCTGTTCGCCTCCCCATCTTCGACCTCATCCTCCTGGGCTGCGGCCCCGATGGTCACACCTGCTCCCTGTTTCCTGGCCATCCTCTGCTCCGCGAAACGGATGCCTGGGTCGCCGCCATCGAAGACTCTCCCAAGCCCCCGCCCAAGAGGATCACTCTCACTCTACCTGTTGTTACCCACGCCGTTCGCGTAGCATTTGTCGCTACAGGCGGTGGAAAGAAGGACATCATGAAACAAATCTTCGACTCCCTCGAGTCCACCCTGCCCTGCTCACTGGTCAACGAGGCATCCGGCGACAGATGCAGCTGGTTTGTGGACGAGCCTGCTGTCGAGGGTGTCGCATTTCCCAGAAACGCCTTCCTGTAGTGCGGCATGTCTGTGGCGACACTACACATCAAGAGGCTTGGCTGCACGGGCCGAGGATTGGATGCGTTCAAGCATGAGCAAGGCGGTTGTAATACAAGGAGAAAAATGTAACGTGTGCCGCGTGACAAGGCGTTCCGGTCATTCCTATACGGCCAAGTGGCAATAAAATTACAGCGCCCTGGCTCTCCTTCAAGCTGCTCTGTTGGTGTTTATTTATACCTATATATCTGGGTCATCTCCCTGGCTGGCCCCAAGCGCATCAGAATACAAGCAGAAACGTTCTTGTCTGCCCAATATTACTCGTCTGCAGCATAGCCATGTTGGAGCAGCCTTGTTGATAAGCAATATAGTTTTCAGACGATTCGGCTGCCCATCAGCTCCTCGTCTTGCATTGCCCCTGTGTCACGGCTCATGATCGGAACAGGCACGGTACAAAAACAAAAACCATGCAGGTACCGCGTACGAGGTGAAGAGGCCTCGGTCTAGATTCAAATCACTCGCCATACAGCTCCAGCCCTCGGGGTATGCATGCCGCCGCCGTCGTCGTCGTCATCGCCCGCCCTGTTCACCCTCTCGATCCACGCATCCTCCCTGGCCAGCGCCTCTTGCTCAATCTCCGCCATGGCACGTAGCTCGGCCAGCATGTCGCACACGAGACTCGTCGCCCCGGCGAGCATTCTCCCCAAGCTAGAGGCATCGCTCGCCGGCAAATCGTCCATGTCGGCGAGGCGAGCCCTCCAGGTCTCCAAGCGTCTCGTCAGGGCGACGCACTCCCTGTTCCACGCGGCGCCCAGCTCCCCCACGAACAGGGAGTCGTGGCCGTGGAGGACAGCCGCGCTGCCCGCGTCGCGCCGGGCCTCCTCGGCGTCGCACACGCGGGCGGCCCAGCGCTCGAACCGCTTCACCACCCTCGCGTGGCGGCCGGCCGGCTCGCCGAGCGTCCACAGCCCCGTGAATATCTCGCCCAGCCACCGCGTCCTCTCCTCCACGCCGCACCTGCCGCTGCGCGCCCACCGTCGCAGGGCGAGAATGTTGTCGCTCTCCACGGCGAGGCGCTCCCGCTCCGACACGCTCCCGCTCTCCCGGGCGAGCTGCTCAAAGCGCGACCCCAGCCGGCCCCTGGCGCTGGCGTGCCACTGCGCCTGGACGGCGTGCGAGTCTCGGTGGAGGGCGCGGCCTGGCTGCCGCGGCGGGCGTACGTGGGCCTCGGTCTGCGGCTCCGTTGCGACTGAGGCCCGTTCGGGGCGCCGGCGCGAGGCTCGTCGCCGCCGTGCTCTTGGCACGAGCGTGAGTCGGGGCGCGCCGGGCACTCGCGCTGCCCGCGGACGTGGGCCGGTTCCTGGCCGCTGCTCGGCTGGCAATGCTCGGCGGCGGGTGGCGGGTCGTCTGCTTCTCGGCCGTTTCTGTTTCTGTTTGTGTATCCTGCGCAGGCGCCCCGTTTGCCCTTGTGGGCGGCGAGGCCGGGCGTGGGAGCGCCGTCGAGGCGGGCCTGGTGCTTCGTAAAGGTGCTCTGGCCGTCGTCGTGGTGGTGGTGCTTGTGGTGGCTGCGGACGGAGGGCGCGTCGATGGCCTCATCAGCGGCAGTCGGCTCGGGGAGCCGCTTCGCGATGCTTCTTCTGCTTCTGCGGCGTGCGGCATCGTTGGTCTCCGCAAGGAGCGGGTCCGTTGGAGAGAGGACATGGCCGCCGTTTCTTGTGGATGATGCGCAGCTTCATGTCAGGGGCAGCTGGGCTGGCATTGGGAGTCGGGACTGCGGTGAGAGGTTGGAAACGCAACGTCTCATTGTTGCCCAAGGAGCTGCTCGGTAGTGCACACAAGCTGGGACCCGGTGGCTACGAGTACCTACCCTATACTCGCCTCACGTGCGGCTGGCCGACGGCCCCCTGGTCTGATACACGGCACCGACAAGTTCCACGATATATTGGCAAACTTTGTCATGGGTATGGATGAAACGAGTCCATTCTGCTGATGACGAACAAAGCCGAAGGCGAGTTTTCGCTTGCAAGCCTACCCTTGGTGGTATCTCTCATGTTCCCCCGTTCTCTGTTTATCATGATGGCCAACACCCCCTTCCCTTTCCCAAAAAATCGCCCTCAATAAAGACCGGGCCTTTCGAACCTCAAAGTTGTCCAAAATGCCGCAGCTCCAACGTCGAGTAAAACCGTAACCTTGTTCCAACATATATCACCGTCTATACGGTCCCGCCGTTGACGGCTTCCCATTCTACGTACATTATGACATAGCCATGACAAAAAATTTCAAGGCCGTAAACTGGGCTGAAGCGCCCCCGTCAGCCCACGAGACTAAGACGAAAATGCGGCTGACGTGATAATACAAAGAAAAACGAAAAGAAAAAAAACAAACAGGGTTCTTGCTGGAGATCTGCAACCAAGGCCGTCGTTGCTGCGCGTCTCTAGCAAGGCGGCTCGATTCCAAGAGCGGATTCAGGCCGCGACGCTGACGCTGAGCCAACAGCCGTGTTTGCTCGAACCTGGTCTACAAACCTCCCGAGCGCCTTTTGGTGGCCGTTCAAACCCTGTAGACATGTCTCACAGATACGCAGGTGGCAAAAAGTGCATACCCAGCGGTCCTCTGTGTCAGCTTTGTCACACGTTTGACAGGTGAGCGGATGATTTCGGTTCGACCTGCGATTCATCGTTCGATGCTTCTGGAAACAGTTGTAATGTGTCCTGTTAAGAGGCCTCGAAGGAATGATGGCGCCTGGTGGCAGAGGCTTATCCGTCTGAATAGGAAAGTATGCTGCTCTGGGGTTCGGCTCTTGCACGACCTTCATTTCTCCATACAGAGTTCCATCACGTCCTCGGTACATCGGTCCGTGTGTATCTGAAGTGACGATCCTCGGATCAGATGAGTCGTTTGCCGTCGCAGGCCGTTGAGGTTCTCCAGCACTGTGCCCAGTCACATCATTCTGACCGGACGAGATGCAGCTCGACTCAGAAAGGGACGAGGCGCTGGTGCCACGGTTGCTGTCATTCACAGGCGGGGATTGTGAGGCGGCCGTGGGGGACCCTTCTTTGGACGGAGAGGGGCTGTTCCGTTTCTGTTCTAGAAGAGTTGTGGCGAGGCGGAGGTCCGGTGCAGCTTGAGGCAGCCTTTTTGTCGTAGATGTTGGGGCGATGGGGGGAATAGAAACAAAACTCGGCGGGACTGGCTGCGATCTCAATGGCGCGATCGGCTGTGAAGGCAGCCATTTGGGTGTAACAGTCAATACTCCTTCCTTTGGCGAGCCGGTTGTTGAGACAGGTGAGGCAGGCTTCAAGACGACAATGTCCGCTTGAGAAGAAGGAGGACCATCTCCCTTCCGGTATTCAGGCGTGGGCGGTCTCTTGCTATCTCCGCGAGTGGGCAAGTTCTTACGTTCCACGGGGGTACGGGGATTCTGAACTTTCCCCACCACGCGTTGCATCTTTGAAACGACACTCCCCATCTGCTCTTCTGTTACTTGGCTCTTGTCCCCAGACGCTGGCTTGATGTTGCGACCAGGCAGGCCGACAGCGGGAGTCCGCGGCGTCGGGTCCTGTTTGTCCTCTTCTGTGGGCTTGTATTCAGAGGCTACGTTGTTGGGATAGGCCAGAAGCACGGCAGTTTCAATGGACTGGATCGTCGAGGTTGAGGCAGTCGAACCGTGGCTATAGCTCAGTTTCAGGTCGGGAAGCTCTTTGTTCTTCTCGGCGGTCTGTGGCCGACGTTTCCAAATTTTAAGCCGAGGAGGCAACGTTTTATCAGGTGGCGGTGCGACGGGTAGCGGTTCTGGAGGAGGCGACCAAGTGGGACAGGATGCGTCGTCCTGTGTTAGAGACGGCGCAGGGCGGCTCTGGTCCTTGTGTTCAGAGCTTTGCTCACCTTCCACTGCAGACGTTGGTGTTTGTGAATAAGCGTGGCCGCCAGCTGATAGTCCGTCGTTGCCCAGCGGCGGCGGACTGCGATTGGAGTCATGAAGGCTGTTGACTTTGCTTGCTGTCGTGTAAGTGCTACCGGACATGGGGGCATCAGGTTCGCGAGAATAGGCGGACAATAGACTGCAGATGGAATCCGTGGGCGAAAGCTCAGGAGGGGCGACAGCACGAAGAGGCTGTGCCTGCAACGACACTGGTGGTTCCGGTGCTCTTGTAATAGCCGTAGCTGCTTTCCCGACGACGGGCTTGGAAGCAGAGGGAGACGACGTGGGTGAATTGATGCTGGGCGAGACGGACGGGGGCGCAGCGGGTTTTGATGAAGACGAGCCGACAGGTTTTCTGGGTATGCTTTTGCTGGTATCAGTCCCTCGAGACGATTTCCGCGGAGGCAGAGGGAACTGAAATTCAGACAGGTCTTTCGGTAACGGCAGCGGCGGGAGGTCAGCGACACGTTGGCTGTCGTCAACGGGGACAGACGGCAACGCCTTTGAGTATCGTGATCGTCCACCAACAGGTGGCGACGCGGCAGCAGTCCGGAGGCTCAACATATTTATGGGGTTTGTCGAATACTTGAGCGGCGCGAGGCTGCGGGTTTGGGCATCGGGGGTGCGGTGTATACCCAAAAGAATAGCCAGGCACATGCACCGGCTCGGGGTTGTGAGGCTGAGACGTCGGGACGTTGAAACGTTGTGATGCGATGACAGGCAACGTGAGGAGCTGAATTATTAAAGGCGCCAAGCACGCCAACGACTCAATGCGAAGAAGTCGTCCATGCAAAGAAGACGTGGAAACAAGGAGACAAGGGGCTTCTCTGGTGGCAACTGTCCGCATCCAGGCACCCTCTGCATCCGGGGGTTGAAGGCCGCGTTCAAAGGAAGAGTCTGGGATTATCGAGGACGGCTAGGATGAGCCGAGCAGGTGGAAGTGGAATTACGAATCAGACTCAACGTGTGGCGCCGACATGAGGGAACAGGCGAAGGACGTGTTTTAGATGTCCAAGGACCCTGGTCGGCTGCCCGGTACTTGTGTACCTTGGCACGGAGGAGTGCCGTGGAGTAGGGAGTACCTGGCTGGGTGTTGCTACTAGTACTCCGTAGTGCACCGTACTCCGTACGCTAGTACGATAAACGTCGCAGCTTGCCCATGTCAGGTCAGGTTCCCAGGAACCTAGGAAGGAACCTGGGTCCCGAGGCGAGGCAAGGGCTTACAGAGCAACTGCATGAGATGCCGCCAGGCCTCCAATCAAATCCCCCAGGACGAAGCAAGAGAATCCATTTTTACTTCATTCCACTTTTTTTGATTCGATGTTCCGCACTCCTTATTGACGTTCAATGTTCCAGAGCCCAAGGGGCTGGCGGCATCGACACCGGTATCCCGTTCGCGCGCCCTGTTGACCAGAAGCTTCTTTCTAAGCATTCATTGCGAGAGACACAAGACAGCCTGAGCCTGGCTGGCAGCTAGCTGGCCCTCAGTCGCGGACGTGACCAAGCACTTTGAGCCTTGCACTGGCATGCAGTGCGGCTCCTCAGCCACGTAATTGATCGGGCTACGGAGCACGGAGTACGGGGTGCGGAGCAGGACGAAGCGCACGGACCAGACACAAAGAGAGCGGCCAGTGACCACCTAGGCATGCATGTGCTGCGCACGTCATGCCTGGCATTGTGTTACCGAGTACTCTATACGGCGTCACCTTCTCGTATCCGTCAAGATTGTTGTACAGTCCCCGCACCTTGGCATGGAAATGAAAAAGGTCTTGTGCGCGTTGAATCCAGCCCGACTCAGAAGTGCCCGAGGAAGATTGACCCGACAAAGGAGCTGGTGCAAGACACGGGTGTCTGGCCCGTTTATGTCTGGTGCGAGCTACTGGGAACCTACTTTTAAGTAAGTATTTCGGCAAGTAGGTAGGTACTGGGGACTAACGAGGTGGGTGCTCCGTAGGGCCCATCCGTCATCCGGTCCGTTCTTCTGACTAAAATGAGCAGGAGCAACGGTGCCCCGCCTGCCTGCAGTTAGGTAGGTAGCTAGGCACCTAGATTCTTGGGTGTGGTACTTGGCCTGCTAAGTAGGCACCCCTCCCTCATTATCACCTCGACACGCGTGCAGACTCAAAGTCCCATGTGGATGCCAACAAGCTACGTACAGTGTCTCGAAGTTGGGCTCTCTATTGCTGCTCCTACTGCACTGTATTGCGTCCTGCATTGATATTTTCAGCCCTTCAATTTTGAACGTCATGGCCTTCACAATGACTAGATGTCACTGGTCGTCTCCCGCCGCCGCTCAACGCGCGTGAGTGCCCGCCATCAATACGCCAGCATTTGTACTCTCCTCCGCGTCACCAGTCAAGTTTCCCTTGGCAGCTGCGTGATGCACGTCGAGGATGTCTCTTCGACTTTTGCGTTGAACCGCAGTAAAATGGCACATTGGCTCTTGATCTCGTCAAGCCGCTCGGGAGCTCAGGGAAGCCCCTTTGCCATCAACTTAAGTGCTGTCCTTACTTGCTCGTCCAACGTCCAACGTCAAGGCGCCGCGAACCAGACAACCAACTCGACGGGCTTGGCTTCACGCCGACTCGGGCGCGCCCTTGAGCCTCTCCGTCAACTTTCTTTACTCGAGCATACTGGATAGCCAGCTCCATAGCGACGACGTCGACGTCAACTGCGGTGGTTGAGTGGGTGGGTGCGAGGAGCACATCGCACCGAGTGGCAGTGACTTTGACGGCATATTCTATACTCCGTACGGAGTATTCTTGCCAGTATTACGCAATGCGGTCCTGTCCCAGACTTCCAGGTCTCACTCCCCCAACCATGTGCGATTCTCCCGCCTCCCGTACGAACCCGTCCACTGTGGCATCGGGATAGTCAGACACATCCCTTGGTCGTGACGCCCTGGAATGGTCTGACCCCAAGCTAAAAGCGATCACGCTCAAGGTTAACATAATTCCTGGCCCACTCGCTCGTCGCATTTCTACACCTCGGCGGCAATTTTTCCGTCGAATTACACGGTACACGACTTTCTTCAAGTCAAGAGGCTAGCCGAGGCCGCAAATTCGCGTGGACCCTACCTAACGCACCTAACGCCTAGTTTGTACAATCTTGCGTCTCGACACGTTGTTGGCTGTCTCGGTCACACAAGGCATGCTTAGACATTGCTCGCGCCGTGCAGCAACCCGTGCATTAACCAGCGACGCATGTGACGCCTGTCGTCGCAGTCGCACGGCGGTTGTCTGTGTTTCCATAGACTCAGAATAGGGGCCCTGCTATTTGTGCGGCAGAAAATCGCTATTCGTGCGGCACTAAACCTGATTTGGCGGCACCAGACTCGATTTGGATAAGTGGCCGGGCGGCCACACCCCCCCATATATTTTCACATACACCCACATGGAAAAGGCCACAATCCAAAAATTCAAGCTGGATTCAATTAAATCTCAATAATGCGAGCCCGGGCGAGCGCCGGCAGCGCTCAAATCGCTCAAAAACGCGATTTCTGGTGTTTTTGATGAATGTGCACACATTCACGGGCCGTCAATTGTTCCGCTGCCTCTAAGGGCGCTGCCCGGGCTCCCAAGGGGTCATCCATCGAATCTGCAGCGACGCTGATACTGCCGCTTGCTCTGTGGCTTGTCTACTTATTGATTGAGTTTGTGTGTTATTTACAGCATTTATTGACCGCTGCCTCGACTGTATTGCAAGTCTTCTTTGTTGTTGCGTCCCAAATTGTTGTCCTTGGTGGCGGCATTTTAGGGATTGGGCGGCTAGAATCTTCATCGGGCGGCTCGTCAAATGGCTCCTCGGCTTCGGGGGCAAACGGGTCATTATGCGATTCTTCAAAAAGGCCACTAAAGCCAGTAAATTCGGGTATGTAGTTGTCATCCATTAAGGAGATAAAAGAGCGGCATTTTTGTGATGAAAAAAGAGGTCAAAATCGTTGAATTTGACGATGTTGTGTTGTTGCAAAAAGCGGCCCTATTGGCGGCTGCAGCGTAAATTGTTGTTGTGGGGCATTTTTGTGATAACACTTGCGTTGCCAGGTCAACGCATACAAATTTATATGGCGGGGCGTGGCAGCTTAGGGGTGTGACTAAATTAGGGTGCGACTGAATTAGGCTTAGCGCCGCGCGAATCCAAATTAGGCTTAGTGCCGCACGAATAGCGATTTTCTGCCGCACAAATAGCAGGGCCCCAGAATAGCAAGGGCGTTTTGCTTAGAAGACAGTGGCAAATATATTGCAATTAGCTGACCAGTCAAGTCAACCGGCGTGTAGAGCAAACCAGCCTGAATCGCCAATCCCAATGAAACATGGCTCGATTCAATTTTGACATGTTGCCGAATTATTGTACACTATTCTGGACGACCCTCCCTGTCCTTGTCAAAGCAATGCATGCTTTGCGCGCTTAATTGAGCCACCACCCAACTTGGCCAACTCTGCGCCATTGGCAGGGACTTTCCGACATTTGTTATCCATTATCAATTCCATCACTCGAGGCCCGGTCCTGTATTGCAAATCGTGCCGTCTGTCACGCTTCATGCGACGCCATTGTCGCGCTCCAGCGGCAGAGCGTACACGTTCAAGGGCTGTGCCTCTTGGAGCGGGCGGTATTTGTCGTCTCGACTCTCGACATCGGCCGCTGGGGTTTTTCTACGCAAACGTCCAATCTGTACAGCCACCTTCGTCACTGCAGCCTTGAACGAGTCGATCACTGGTGTCGGCGTGACGATTCCCCGACCCATGTGTTGTACTCCCAGACGGCGGCGGATATGAACAAGCAGCCCATCTACGTCTTTCTGTGGCAGGCCAGTGGTTACTCGGCGGGCCAAAATCGGCAATGGCAATCAACTGAATGCTCTTGATAGCGTGAGCTACATGGCTGGCTACTTTGTACGTTGCACTCTCGCCACCTCGTACATCCGAGACGAGCCTACTGCTCAGATACTCCCTTACAATGACCCATTTCCAGCCTCTTCATGGCAAGCTCAGTAACGCGTGTGATCGTCAAGAATGTCTCCTTTTTCCTTGCGCCGTCTTCAGCATCGGCTGCTTGGGGATGCAGTCTGGCCGCAACGTCGTCGAGCTCTGTGCCGCCGAGCCGTATCGGGCATTGGTGGAGGCGGCATGACTGGACGCGCGAGTGTCCGTATAGATGCCTGATATTGTACGCCGAGAGACTGTGGTGTCTGGCAAGGCTGTATCAACGTCGTTTTTCGCGGCGGGCTCGTCGGTAGGAATGCCGTTGCGTGATCTGAAGAGATGGTTGTTGAAGAGCTCACAAATAATGAGGTTTGCAGTGTGTCATTTGTCTTATCATTTATAGAAAAGAAGGCTCTGGGCGTCAAGACTCTGGACAGAAAGGCAATTCGTGCATGGCGTAGCACTGGTTGTACATGAAAGCTTCGTGTATGATATTTTACATCCATCAGACATATGGTCAAAACAGGACCAGTTTCCTTATTCGTCATGAAAGCAGCCATGCGCCTTTCCCTTGGGCGTCGCTATAGGCTCCATGCCAAATATGTCATCCGTTGTTAGGGGGGGGTTCCCATTTGCCGCATCGGCGGCTATCTCGCCGAATAAAAATGCATTCCTTTCCCGGCTGAGGTTACTCGAATGCTTCTTACTGTGCTGCGTAGCTGAGGACTTGCTCGTTGCCGGGGCGCGAAAGGATGCCGTCTCGTCTGGTTCCAACATCCAAGAGAAGGATGATTGGGCAAGCGTTGAGCGGGTTGGGACGGGAGCAGGCCTAACTTGGACAACATGGTTTCCCGGGGGGTCAGAGTGGGACGCTTCTCTGAATTGGTCGCCTCCGCCTGTCTCCGTTTTCCCCAGATCTGTAATGTCCTTTCCAGAATCATGCTTCTCTTCGTTTATTGCGAGTCTCAAAACGTCCGGCGCTGGTGGGCTGGATGGAGCTGCCGGCGTGATGGGGGGTGTTCCGCTTGCTGTTGTCGCCTTGGCCTCCGTGTTCTTCTCGGCTGCCTCGTAACTCCTTTCTACCAACGATGGGTGTTCGTTTCTTGGTGTTGAGAAGACGGGGACATCCATGGTGGAGTCTTCTAGATAAATCTGCACAAACTGAATCTTGGCAGCTGCGACCTCGATGAGTTCAAGGCTCTTGGCTTTATCTCCAAACTCCGACAGGGATACCGTCTTGAGGTTCGTGACTGTATCGTTCAGCAGGCTGGCCAGCTCTTTGTTGCGTCGTTCCATAGCTGCCAATGCCTTGGAAACGCCTTCGTCGCTAACAATATGTGTCGGGGACCTTTGTGCCTGCCGGGCTTCATTAAAGCTTTGCACGTTGCGTCGGATTTCCCCCATGGCATCACGGACTGCTTGACTGATGCCCAGTTTTTCGCTTCTTTCCAAAACACGGTTGGCACTTCTAGCTGCTCCTTGGAAGAAGGCCTCCATACTGGGTGGGTGCTGAGTCAGCCTGGAGGGTGATTTAGGTTGACGGCCGGTCCGCTCAGGGCCAGCATCTCTACTTGGCCGAATCGGTTTGACGACATTGTGGCTATTGGGAATCTTTCCAGAATACTTCATGATGAGACTTGATCCACCTGTAGGGTCTAAATGGTCTCGTAGATACATGGCGTCATCGACAAATGTATGCGGCCCATTGGGTTGTTCTGGAGGGGGATACTTGAGAAGAAGTTGTAGACAAACAGTATAATCGGCCTCCAATACTGTTTTTCTCACGTCAGCGACTGAATAGCCACGAGCAGAGGATGACTTACACTGCCAGCGAATACGGACCAGCATGGCAACACAGATTAGATCTATCAGCTTCAGTGAGGAATCCACTGCAAATATAGTATCCCATAACACAAGAAGCTGCTCTAATGGGAATTCGCGACTGAATAATAGTCGAATCCATCGACTGTGGGTGTGAGGGTTAGCTACGAAACTGTTGGAGCCATGCAGAAGTCGATTCCACTCACATCAAAAAGATCTGGGGCAAGACGTCTATATTTGTGAGATGAGCAGCGAGTTCCGGGTCGACTTTCTGCAGGCAAACTTGGTGGATGAACTTGCTTCGATCGACAATTGCAGATCGCTGCTCCTGCAAAATCACTGGTTGAGTGCCATGACTCGAGGGGGTGCTTCCATCCGTGACCTCATAGAATGACTGTGCCTGCTCCATGAGCTTTGAGAACATGATGTAGGCGTCATGCTCTACGAAGTCTGAATCCAAAACATGCAGCATTTGTTCACGGGCATGTGCATCATTACCAGCAGCCTTTGCGTCGATTGAATCGTGTTGGAGGGCATAAATTATCGGTGCAAGAAGCTCGTGCATGCCTTGGCGATATCCGCCTCTGTCGGGGTTGACCTTGCAGTAGACGAACAAAACGTCCAAAATCATGGCTTGAACGGTGCTCTTATGATAATTGACTTCATCCGGGAGACGCTGAACATCCTGTTGAATCTCTGTGCGGATTATCTCATCCTGCCGTAATGTGTTCCACGGTGACTAGGTCCAGGTAAGTAGGCATGCAAGCAATATCAGCAGGGAAAGCGAAGGACTCATTACTGACATCAGGATCATCGGCAAGCGGATCAACGGTGAGCTCCGTGAGAGCTTCAGGATGCCGAATAAACTTGAGAAAATGACGACTGCGCTCTGTATAATCTTTTCTGCCTTGTTCCAGGGCGTCCACCCAATCTGTCATTTGTCCTTTGGTCGACAACAGGAAGATCTGGCCCAGGACATGAATCAGCTGATCTGGTCGGCGATGCAAGTCGCCCAACGTGATGGTTCGGAGCATCTTTTACCTTCCAGCATACGGACCGACAGCCCGACAAGCAAGGGCTGGACGAGCCATTGTGTTGAACAGCTCGTTGTAAATCTTCCAGGCTCGTGCTATGAGTCTGCGTCGTCTGCCATCTCAATCTAATGACGTCTGTTAGCTCAGCCCGCTGCTTTGAGCGCCACGTCCGAGACGAGACTCTTGACTTCAGCAATCAGGACGCTGGCTGTCTTACCGAGTCTCTTGGATGGATCTCATAATGGCTGGACAGGGGAAGTTCCCGGTCACACCAGAACCAGATGACAGGCCGCCCGTCTCACGCAAAAGCCTTCTGGCCGGCGAAATTCGTGATGACCAGAGAGGCCGGACCCCGGAGCTGAAGCCTAGAGGGGGGATTGGCGTGATGGACTGGTGGTAAGTCGTTGATCGATGGACTTCCATGTTGGGAATTGGTGCCCCACCAGGCGACGCCATGCGGTGACCGTCTCTTCTCTCCACTTCCACCACGCCAGACGCCAGACTTCAGCCTTCAGATGTCATCATCGCTGCCGGCCGCGGCCTCCTTGACACTTCTCAACAAGCATGGTATTCCGCATCGACGTATAAACATGTCCGCGGATCTCTTTGCCGAGTTTTGTCAGTCTGCAAATTCGACGCAGCCTCCGTCGCAATCGAACAATCTCTTTGGCCACTCATCACAGCACCACCAGCACCACCACCAACCGCAACACCAGATACAGAATCAAGCCCACATACAAGACATTTCCCATGTGTCTAGCAGCGAGGATGATGCATTGCCGGCCCATCAATCACTTTCGCAATGGTCGTCGTTCCAGAGTACTACGCCAATCAGCATGCGTGCCTGGGACCAGCCCGCGAACGTTTCTCAGTCATCAATTGTCGTTCCGCAACGGGCAGATGACGACGATGGATGGGGAGACTTTGAAGTAGCACACCCAACGGAGGCATCCGCAACACCCAAAGTAAACACACAGCCCCCGGTTTCCAGTATCCACGGCTGGAGCTCTTCTTCTGCCTTCAAGTCTAGCCCACATGGCATACACAACAGTGCAGCACATGCCCAGGCTAACGACTCGGTCAGTAGCAGCGGTTTAGAGGATTTCGGCACATTCAGCAGTCAGGCAGATCGACATCCACAGCCTTCTTGGCCCCCAACAGAACCAAAGACCGGAGCACAGATGAAGGCAACACTTACTAGTCCAAATGTGTTATTTGATGCAGACGACTTCGAACTGCAAGATGGCGGGGAAGCGTGTGATGATTTCGACGAGTTGGGTGAATTCGAGGCCGTCGAGTCAACATTCAATGCAGCCCTGGCGCCAGCTTGCACGTCACAGCTTGCACCGTCCCTTGATCTCCTGGGGCTTGATGATGCTCCAGTGTCCCCTTCGCGAAAAGGAGCAACCCCGAAAGTCATCAAAGAAGAGTCACATCCGGCTGCTGCTGCATTAAGTCTTGGAGCCATGTCTTCTTCAAATCAACTCCGACCCTTGCAGTCACCAACATACCAAAATCAGCCCTCCACTGATGAAGACAATGTCAAGAAGTCGACTCAGATATCAACACGTAAAGCAAAACCTGGTTCCGTTTCGGCGGTTTCGGAGAACGTGTATTTACCAAAAGCGACGTCAAATGAAGACGACTGGGGAGCCTGGGATGATTCCCGGGGGACAAGGGGGACAGTCATGGCAGTCAAGAATCTGCTAATACTGCGTTGACAGATGAGTGGCTGCGGGATGCTGGTGGTGATTTTGAAACTACAAAGGTCATGGCAAATGACAGCAGTCCGCCGCCAACGAATGTCCCTCCTCCCTCGATTCTGCTTTCGGCATTCCCAGAGCTCTTCAATACTGGAAATTCTTTGTTCAAATCTATAGCCGGGCAAAGTTTATCCGTCAAACAACAGGTTCTCTCGACCCCCAAAGCCATCCAATTCCTTCAAGGATACGTTCTGCTGGCATCGACGGCTGCGCGTGTGATTGCTGGGCGGAAGCACCGGTGGCACCGAGACAAAATTTTGGCGAAGAGCATGTCTATTTCTGCAGCAGGGAGCACGGGCATGAAGCTCACCGGCGTAGATAAACAACAATCTGCACGGGAGGATCGTGAAGCTGCTGACGTGGTTGCTGCTTGGCGAGAGCACGTGGGGAGACTACGATCGGCAACGGCAACGGCCAACTCTGCTGCCAAGGCCAGTATCAGAGTGCCGGAGCTTACGGAAAACCCAAAAATCCATACGGCAAAGATGGCCCCGACAGCCCCCAAACCATGTGTTATCTGTGGACTCAAGAGAGAAGAGAGGGTTGCAAAGGTTGACTTGGACGTTGAAGACAGCTTTGGGGAATGGTGGGCAGAGCATTGGGGCCACAGGGCGTGCAAGAATTTCTGGGTAGAGCATGAGCAGCTATTGCGGCAGCGATGAATGAGTTGACAGCTCATGGGGAACAGCATGTAGGGCAGCAGCGTCCTGTCGTGATAATGTAAACAAGGAGTGGGCAATATCACATGGACTTTTTGAGATGTAAGCGCCGAACCATGAATCCTACTAGAAGTATAGGTCCAAGTCGACAAATAGGACGGACGTAGGTCACGCTGGTGAAAATAACGCAAAAGACTCTGGGGACTAGGCCGAAGAAACGGCTTGCTTGTTTCTGAAAAGCTTCGTTACATGTTGAAGCATGAAGACGAGGTCGTGTTGTAATACGCATGACAGGTTGTTAATAAATACCAAGTACCCACCTAACTACGCATACAGTCAGTCAATTGGTCACATGTGCAATACTTGACGGGCTTTTTTGCCCCCCGCCCCTTTAAGTCGCGACGACTTGCTATCGACCGGTGGTTGGCGGTACGTTGCCACCGGAACCGTTGACTCCAATACTCACATCTGGCACTGCAGCACTAAAGTACCTGGATCCCTGGGCCTGGTACCTGTACTACTTACTACCAAGTACGAAGTAGGTTAAGTTAGGGTACCTAGCTTACTTAAGTACTTACTTCGCAGCACCCAGTGTCGGCGAGACGTTCGTCTACCTCAATCTCCTGTACTACGTGAGGTAAGAATCCCCTTCCCACAGCGGTAGCGGTCGACGGGGCTCCCAACTTGCCGCCGCCGCCCCTGCTTACGCCTTGTCAGCACCCTCATGCTTCACCGCGAGTACTTCCCCTTCCTGCCGACCCCGGAGTCGGAGCCACGGGGTCCAGTCGACCAGCCCATGCTGGGGGCGCCCGCCCCCGAGGGCTGGTGGGACGACAGCTCCCGACTCCTCTTCGGCGCGGCAGAGCACATCGCCGCCATTCTACACGAGGCCTCCGAGTGTGGCGTGCATCTCATGACGCCCTTTGCCGGGTTCTGCGCATTCTCAGCCGGCTACCTCAACCTCTACGTGGCGAAATACCCCCGAATGAACCTGGGCCGCAGCCCGCGAGCAAGCGACTGTCTCAAAATGTGTCTCGACTACCTGGAAAAGTTTCGACTTGTCTGGAAAATCGCCGACGGATGGGTAAGCCGCCCGCAAGCATGACACGACCGTGGCCACCGTTGCGCTAACATTGAGAGGGCGGCACGCGCAAGATCAAAACGATACACCATGCATCCGTGCTCTACGAGCGAGCAACCGAGGACCGGACACGATACCAGGGGCGCACACGAGCAGACTTTGATACTCTACACCAGTCTGTCCACGAGTTCCGTGTCGTGGATAGATCCGACGCGCATACTCGGGAGATTCGGGGCGCGGAGCGGCCCTCGGCGCAGGCGACTTGGCCGGTTCAAGGGCACGAGCACGAGCACGAGCACGAGCACGAGCTCGACACTAATACCTTGTTGAACCAGCTTTTCGCGGAAGTCAGCAATAACCTCGACGAGCAGGGGGCCTGGTCTCAATGGTGGCCGGCGATTGATCAGGTGGATCTTTAATGAGCTGCGTAATTACATCCGGGGTTTTTTTTTTCGTTGAAGCTTCCAATGAATGAGTGACGACCTTTGATTTTTTTGATTTTTTTTTTAAAAAGGGCTGTAATATCTGGTTTTCTATACATGTCCTATTTTTATTTCCCGGTCTAGAAAAACAGTCAACAGATAATGCACCTCTTCATATGGCTCCCCTCCCGTCACCGCCAACAAATGCATACCTGTCGCGTCAACCATTCGCCGTTTCTCCTTCCAATCACGCCTTTGCAAAGACCTTTCTCGAGTTCATCAGGCGAACAGCAAGCATAAAGAGCATGCCGACAAAAGGCGCCACAACCACGCCAAGAGGACGTTTTTTGAAGCAGCTAAAAAGGCACGTAAATGGCGTCTGGATTCTGTACTAGATCTACTAGAAATTTGGGACGAGAAGGGTGTACATTATAGGCGAAGAGGTTAATAGCGTTATTAGGTTGAAAATTGGCCCGCCTTGGTGTCCGGCCCGCCTTGCTGTCGAGCACCACCTTTGGTGGTGAGGGCTTTTGCTAGCCGAACCACATAAAGTGGGGCGGGCACGATTAGTACTTGCGAGTCCACGGCAACTCGCACCTACCCGAAATTGTCAGAGAGAGAGAGAGAGAGAGACGTTCCTTTCGACAAAAATCATGCCAACCGCGACAGCCAGCATTGTCTGCCCACCTCATGCGCCGAAATAATTCCTGAACCAACAACCACAGCTCTGGCAATATTGGCCGCCCTTCTGTCAGCCTTTTCGAATATGCTGTACGCTTGAAATTTTTGAAATGAGCCAGGATTATTTTGCCGGCAAGGGCAAGGGGCCGCTGCGCCCAGAGCCCGATCCCGACGCGCCAAAGGACTCGGCTTCCCCATCGTCGACTCGACCTCATTACATGACAGTCGGTACCGGATCGACATCAGACCATGCCGCACGACTGCAGAACATGTTGGATGTCGACTCTGGCTATGGTGGGAGTGCTCCTGGCGAGGATCACCACACGACTATGACATCAGCGACACACGCAAGCCCCGACTCGGCTCTCCATGCTCGAGGTCAAGCGAGTGCCGGCCATCAGATATGGTACTATCGCCAACGCGCGGTACTATCCAGGTCAATCAACAAGGTGCTGGATTTACTACAGAGTCTTCGACAGGTGAACACCGAGTGGCCAGCCCATTACCCGACCATCCGGCCTGCAGACGCGACGGTCTCGGAGCGACCTGCAATCGGGCGCACGTACTCAGTTGCCGGAGACGCTGCTAGCTCTTCGTCAACAACCGCCCAGCCTCCATCGTTGATGCGATCTCGGACTTCCATCGACGATTTACCCCCCGAGTCCAGCCGTGCCGCCGAGACCCGACCAGCCCCAGAGCCGAGGCTGGTTTCTCCCCAAATCACGCAAGAATTATCGGTTTTGAAATTGGATCTGAAACTAGGGGCCTTGCATCAGGCTGAGCTTGTACACTCTCTAGAAAAAAACTCCATCGCGGCTCTTCTGGATGGCAGGATCAGCTCGAGCATCAAGCATCTGTTATCCCTCCGCGAGCGCATTGAAGATACCTCAAGCAAAGTTCTCATCACGGGTGATCTGAATGCTGGAAAGTCGACATTTTGCAATGCCCTTTTGCGACGCAAAGTGCTGCCCGAGGACCAGCAGCCGTGCACAGCCATCTTTTGCGAAGTCTTGGACGCCAGGGACAATGCGGGAATCGAGGAAGTACACGCCGTGCACAAGGAATGCACCTATAGCCGACATGACGAATCGACTTACGATGTTTATCCTTTGATCGCGTTGGAAAAGATTGTAACGGATAACGAAGCATATACTCAGTGCAAGGTATATGTAAAGGATATTCGGACAGCGGACGAGTCTCTACTCAACAATGGTGTAGTCGACATTGCACTTATCGATGCGCCAGGTCTCAACTCAGATACCACCCAGACTACTGCCATTTTTGCAAGACAAGAGGAAATCGACGTGGTCGTATTCGTCGTCTCCGCAGCAAATCACTTCACGCAATCCGCCAAGGAGTTCATATGGGCAGCTGCCGCTGAGAAGGCCTACTTGTTCATCGTCGTCAATGGATATGACACCATCAGAGACAAGGAGCGCTGCCAGAAGCTTATTCTGGATCAAGTCTCTGGGCTGAGCCCAGACACCCATAAAGAATCATCGGACCTTGTTCACTTCGTGTCGAGCAACGCTATTCCAGCCGCACCAGCGCCTCCCGGAGGCCCCGGGGGTGGCGGGAGCGGCAGTTCCAGCGGTGGAGGTGGTGGCGATGATCCGAGCGACGATGGAGCAAAGGGCAAGGGAAAGGGCAAGGACATGGACAAGATTCGAGACTTCGAGGCCCTAGAAGCATCCTTGCGTCGCTTCGTTCTCGAAAAGAGGGCGAGGTCTAAGCTTGCCCCTGCGAGAACATATCTGTTGAACATTCTCAATGATATACACACACTGGCTCACGTCAACGAAGAAGTTGCCCAGTCAGAAGTCGGCAGAGTCACCGCGGAACTCAAAGAAATCGAACCACAGCTCGCATCAAGTCAAAAGGCCAGGCTTGAAGTAAGCGAGCAAATAGATCGAAAAATCGAGGAGACTTGTCAAGTCGTCTACGATCATACTCGTTCCGAACTCAATACCGCCATCGCTCAGGCCGGGAGTACGAACTACGATGTGCCATACCCCGGCGTCTTTGGCGCCTTTCAGTACGCCGAAGATATCAAAGAAGCCATGCTCTCACACATCACAGACGCCGTCACGCGCTGTGAAGAATACGGCAGGAGCAAGAGCGTCCAGGGTGTCAATACTATCAAGCAACTGGGCCTGCTACATGTTGGAGACGAGTTCCAGAACCTGCAGTTCCGGCCCGACGCCATGTTCCGGAGAAAGCGTGATGCTCTCGCGCGACAGGTACATGTTCCAACTGAGCTTTGGGACTTTGTGGATTGGTCGACTCTGCTGCAACGCCAAGAGAAGTTTGCGGGCACCGGCATGGCCCTGACGGTGGCCGGTGCTGTCGTGCCTCGGATGCTTGGTATGGGTAACTGGATGGATCACGCCGTGTTGACGACTCGAGTTTTGAGCAATGAGAACCTTCGTCAATTGATCGTTCCAGGAATTGTCATTGCTGGTAAGTGAAGTGGGAAGAAGGCGCTCGCGCTTTGTGCCACATGGCTGACAGTGATACAGCGATCGCCGGAGCTGCCTACGTTTTACAGCAGATCCCCAATTCCCTACCCCCAAGACTTGCCACCAAGATTTCCTCGCAGCTGGCCGAGCTAGACTACATCCACGCGAACTCGTTTCGAATTTCCTCGTCTGTCCGCAAGATCCTGCGATTCCCGGCCGACAATCTGCGCGTCGGCCTCGACCAGAGCGTCAAGGATCTAGGCAACAGAAGGGATGAGGCTGACAAAGTCCGACATGAAAGTGAAGAAGCAGCCAAGTTTTTCCACGAACTAGTGGGCAGGAGTCAAGTCGAGAGGAGCAGGGTCGAGGACGTGGACCTGGATGCACCGCAAGAGCTACACTAAAAGGTTTGGTGGAATAGCAAATCGGACTATTGGCCATGTCTGCTGGCCTGCTGGCCTGCTGAAAGGGAGAACAAACCGTTGGACGTACGTAATGTGTGGCGCAACGATTTGAGGGAATGATGGACGGGGCCGTTTTTTTTTTCCCCAAAATTTAGACGGGATGGAGAAAGCTGTCGCCTATGCGTGGTGGTGTTTCTCACACGTTTTACGTTTGTCAAGTAGCGTAGCTGCATAATACGGTCCGGTGTACTGTATCGGTTTGAAATTTATACACCTCGAAATATACCCCGTTCTTTGTTCAAGGCTTCTTTTTTCTTCAGTTATTCGCTCCTTTCTCACATGCGCAATCGCAGCCCACCACGTTGATGGTGTCGTTGGCCTGGCTACCATGGCCTGAAGACATACGTAGGTGGCTGACTCTAGATGTCGTTGGAAGGCAGGCCGGTTGATTGCATCAGGCAATACAGGCACAGGTTTCGAACGGAGCCCGGCGTCCTGTCGGCAGGGGACAAGATGAAGCAGTTGGGTAGCACGGCACCGCGATCAACAGATATCCAGACTCCAACGGACCTATAGGGAGCCCTGGCTCACGGGAAATACGGCGTAGAGATGGCGGCAGTTGTGCTGCATCGACGTGCTTGTGCTGAACCTGCATACATGGAGCTGGCAGACTGTGGGTTGGGCTGGGCCGAGCCCGGGGAGGGGCAGACGGGTTGACGTGCGGCGTACAAAGTAGATGAAACAAGGCGGTTTCGTTTTCCCTTGATACGTGTCTGGAGATGAGGTTTGTAGCGGCAGATTCGAAGCGGCTGGGAGGAACTTGGAAGTAACAACAATAATAGGAATAGGTTGATGCTTACCCCAGAGACCCCTTGCCCCAGCATTTTAGCTGGGGGACCGAGGCGAGTGGGTACGTACCTACTTGGGTAAGTACCTAGGTACTTGCGTAGTGTAGCTACTTATAGCTAGGTACTCGAGGGCTTCAACCAGACATGAAACCGGGGATTGTTTGCTCGGGACAAGAATGAACGGTTTCCCTTGGGCAACGTGCGACGCTGGAGCTGCATCATGGCATGTCCTTGGCCTGTCTCGCCGCAAGCGCAGGCCGAGTGTGCAAGAAATGTCGAGTCGGGTCTGGCGTGGCAAGCCTGCCTTCCTGGCCTGCGTCACGCGTGTCACTTGCATGCGGGCAGTCTGGAGGAAATGGGAATAGCGACGGGGTCGTGTGTCGGGACGACATGTAGTTACCGTGTACTCCGTACTCGTGCCAGGAACGACATGTACACCCGACCATAGTAATTTGTTAGCACCAGACGGACCAAGTGGCGTGGCCACTCCCGCCCGCCGTAACATCCGTCAATGGCAACGCAATGGGAGACCGCAGTCAAACAGGCCCCTCCGCGGCCAGGCCAGGCCCGGCCATTGCGCAGGGGCTCGAGGGCCCCAGTGCCAGGTGCCCGGTGCCAGGTTGGCCTTGACTGCTCAGGGCGGAGCACTTGGGTCGCCTCTTGGAGCTCCTAAAGAGCACCCGCGCTTGAGGCACTAGGGCATGGGCCGTGGCTGCTTCCTCCAGCGGTGTCCCTCTCAGGACGACAGCGCGCCCCAGCTGCCACCAGACATCAGCTCGGCTCTGCTCCACTCTGCACCTCTGCACCTCTGCACCACCTCTGCGCTTCTGCGCGCTTCACCCTTCCCCAACCGAGACGTCGATCCAAACTTCCATCCGCTCCCAACTCTTCACTCTCATCCCATCCCATCCCATCCCATCCCATCCCATCCTTTTCTTTTCTTCCACCCGCATCCGCCATCCTCCTCCCCTCTCAACTCACACCACCCTCAACTATCCTCTCGACTTCACCCTCCGCTTCTCTCGATCCCGCCCCTCCGCTTCTCCCACTCTCCGCTTCCGCAGCCCTCGCAACCGACCCCGTCACAACCTGCCGATCTACCATCCTGCCAACATTGAACCCTTCAACCCCGCCACGTCCCCAGCAAGGAAAAAGCAGCTGTCTCTACCACAGTCGAGCCGCCCGTCACGCGCCCCGCGAATCTCCAGTCGTCAGGTTTGTTGCGCTCCCTTGTCACGTCCCATCTACCTGCCATCCCGAAACTCCAGGCTCGACGTCGCTTCTGTTCTCCTGCTCCCATGGGGTGATTTTGCGCCGTCCTTGGTCTGTCCACCTGGCCTCGCTGCAGCTGCGCGTCTGCTCGACTTGCCTAGCTTCGGATGCTGAAACTCCGACTACTACGCTCAGCTTTGGTCGGCTGTGGACGCTGAGATTCGGTCACGTCGCATTCTCATTTTGCAAGAAATGGAAAGAGCTAACCAAGCCACAACACCAGATCTCGCCAAGCCAGCCGATCCTTTGTCGAGCTCCCCGTCAGCCGTCACAGGCACGACTTGTCCATCTCAACAACCCCCCCGCCCTCTCCTTCCACCCTCCTCACCCCAACTTGTTCCACTGTCATCATCGAACCCTGCATTCATCATCATGTCTGCTCCCCAGGATGTTTTGTCTGCCAATGGCAACGATCTTGCCGACCACTTGGATCACCTCAAGATAGATGACAGACTTGGCCCCGACGGCGAGCCCGCCCCTAAGACGGACGAGGAATACGCCCAGGCGCAACTCACTCTGCGAGCCATCGTTTCTTCCAAAGAAGCCGGTGTCATCATTGGCAAGGGAGGCAAGAATGTTGCTGATCTCCGCGACGAGACTGGGGTCAAGGCCGGTGTCAGCAAAGTAGTTCAGGGTGTTCACGATCGTGTTCTCACCATTACCGGCGAATGCGATGCCATTTCCAGAGCCTATGCCATCGTGGCCAGAGCCCTGCTCGAAGGCGCTCCAGCCATGGGCATGGGGGGAATAGTCCAGAGCAACGGCACGCACCGTACGTTTTCCCCTTGTCAATATCCAGAGGCGCCAGCGTCAGACTAATAGTATGTTCAACAGCTGTTAAGCTCCTCATTTCGCACAATCAAATGGGCACCATTATTGGTAGGCAAGGGCTCAAGATCAAGCATATCCAAGACGTGTCCGGCGTCCGCATGGTGGCGCAGAAGGAAATGTTACCCCAGTCCACGGAGCGAATTGTCGAAGTCCAAGGCACGCCCGACGGTATTCAGCGGGCTGTGTGGGAGATTTGCAAATGTCTTGTCGACGACTGGCAACGCGGTACCGGCACGGTTCTGTACAACCCCGTTGTGCGCACTCAGGCCGGCTCTGGCAGCCTGGGAAGCAGCTACAACAACAACGGCGGCGGCCGAGGCGACTATGGTAGTCCCCGGGTTATGCGCACCGGCAACGGAGCCGACTTCAGCAATGGTGGTGTCCGACCATTCAGCCGCCGCTCTGATTCCGACGCAGCCAGTCGCGGTCCCCCTACACACGATGAGAATGGCGAGGAGATCCAGACCCAGAACATTAGCATCCCCGCAGATATGGTTGGCTGCATCATCGGGCGGGCCGGCAGCAAGATCAGTGAGATCCGTAAGACGTCGGGAGCCCGCATTTCTATTGCCAAGGTGAGCTACCCCACATCTGCCGTGCATGTAAATGTAGCATCTCCCTCGCAAGGTATTCGAAAGCTGACAATGTGAATGTTTTCTTTTTTTTTCTTTTGAAAAGGCACCACACGATGAGACGGGTGAACGCATGTTTACCATTATGGGCACCGCCAAGGCCAATGAGTCTGCCCTGTTCTTGTTGTACGAGAACCTTGAGGCAGAGAAGATGCGCCGAAGTCAGCTACAGGAGTCAGAGTAAAGTTCTGGCTTGTCCCTTCCCATGCTCTGTGAGCAACGCCCTGCCTTTTGTTTCTGTGTCACTTTGCGTGAATGAGGTACATATGAATCGGGTTTGGGAGGGCTTCACGCTACTGAAGCTCCAACCAGATCTGCCTCACCGCAAGCTTCCGATTCCCTGCAGGAATCAGGGATTGCCACGCATGCTGCTCGTGATCTCGGAATCGCCAGCAGTCAAGTACTAGGGGGGGAACGGGAAAAAAAAATAAAAACAGAAAACCCTTGATCAAAACAGTCGCAATTTTTTACAACTTTGTTAGCTGTGCTCTTTTCTTCATTCTCTCTCATCATATCCTCCTTATTTGTTTTATTTAACAAACGACACGGCCACCCGTGGAGCGACGTGGGCTCACGACACCGCTTCTTCATTTGAATTCGACGCCACACTCCTCATCTGCCTCGCTGTCCGCGAATAATTCTGTATCAACGCACACACCCGGTTTACCCATACCGCTTTGCTCCCCGTTCTTTTCTTTGAGGGATCTTCTGGTCTTGAGGTTCCACCTCGTCTGGCCCCGAAACACTCCCTCCACACCCTGGTAGCAACACGCGCCAGGCAAACGCCCTCGACAGAAAAACCGGTTTGAGACCACCTGAGACTCTTGTCACTGCATTCAAGTCGCACCCAAAGCTGTTCACGCGGGCTGGGGATAGTCTTCCTTGTTGATGCGCTCGTAAATGGTGGTCATTACTGGTCTCGGTCTCTGATGATGACGGTCGATCCTCCCGCCTCCAACATCCCTCGCTTCATACTTATGCCACGAAAATTTTTGTCCGATTGTTCAAGGCCGCCTGGAACTCTTGCTTGTCAGCCGCAGGGATGGACGAAGCATGTTGTTGTAGTGGTGGATTTTATAATATCGCTTGCCTCAAATACCCCCAACGACAAGCCTCTTCACACTGCTCGCCATCTTGACCCCACGACTCACCATATAGTCACGGTGATGTGGGAGCTTCTACACACCACGCAGCATGATTGATGATGATACGTATTTTGGGGGTGACGGGTCACCCGGACAAGAGTGTATGTAGTCATACCTTTCCAAACGCGAAGAGATGAAAAAATTACTAGTCACGATTTGTGCTTGCTCTCTGGTGAATGTATGTGGCTTTGTTTCTCCCGGAAGAAGCCGGTACTTGGCTCCATGTATGTCACGGCAACAGTTCATCAAGAGCAAGTACTATGTACATGAACTGCGTACTAGTTAGTCCTTTCGACCTTGGCCTGCGCCACGCCCCACGGGCCACGGCAGCACCTGCTTGTGCGGCAGGTCCAGCCCAGGGTCCTTCCTCCATATCACTTCGATAAAGCCAACATGGCATTTTGCCTTTTGCGGAAGGTGGGGTCTGGCTGCAGCCCAGCCAGACGTGAATGCTCAGACAGATACTCCGTAGATTATATCACATATGTCTTCGAGCACTTTCAGCAAATCTCCTCTTTGCGGTTTTTTTTTTTGAATGTTTTCGCGCCTTGCATTGTCTTGCACCTGCTACTTATATCACGGAAGCCATTTCGTTCCCTGTTGCTTCATTGATTCTCTTCATTGGTCCCGTTTTCCAGCGCGTCCTGCGTTGCGTTCCGAGTCCATCTTGGCAATGGCGCGAACGAAACGTGTCCCCGTCAGACGCGAATCGTCGTCCGAATTTTTCGACAAGCAGGCGGCATCTTGGGTAGACACGAACGGCGGAGCAGATAAGTCAAGAGCAGCTAACGGGCATGCCACAGTCGCCAACGGTCCTGGTCCTGGTCCTGCCTTGGACGCTGCGAAACCCGAGGCTGGTGTGGTGCAACTCTTCATCTCCGTCGCGGGCATCTATGCCTCTTTGTACGTGGCCGAAACACGCCCAGTAGCATTCAGATTGCGCCTCTGCTGACCAAACTCTCTCTTGACAGCCTGACATGGGCCTACTTGCAGGAAAAGCTGACGACAAGGCCTCACGGTTCGGCGGCCGCTCCGGAGCGATGGCACTTCCCGGTATTCCTCAACACCATCCAGTCTCTCTTCGCTGCGGCTGTCGGTTCTATATACCTCCTCGTCTCGACGCCAAAGGGCTCTCCCATACCCCCAATCATGCCATCCCGCGGCATCCTCGGGCCACTTGCGCTTGTCGCCGTAACCAGCAGTCTGGCCAGTCCCTTTGGATATGCCAGTCTCGCACACATCGACTACATCACCTTCTTGCTAGCCAAGAGCTGCAAGCTGCTGCCCGTCATGTTCCTTCACATCACCATCTTCCGCAAGCGATACCCAATTTACAAGTACCTCGTTGTGGCGGCCGTAACCGCAGGCGTTGCCGTCTTCACCCTGCACTCGGGGAAAAAGAGCAAAAAGTCTGCCAAGTCGCAAGAGGCCAACGTTGTCTGGGGTCTTCTCCTTCTGGGCATCAACTTGCTCTTCGACGGCCTTACCAACAGCACCCAGGACTACATCTTCCAGACTTTCCGTCCCTACACCGGCCCTCAGATGATGTGCGCCAACAACATGATGAGCACCCTCGTCACCGGCCTCTACCTCGTCACCAGCCCGTACCTCGTCGCCACGGGCGTCGGCGAATGGCTCGGCATGGACGCCGCTGGTAGCGCAGGCGAATTGACTGCCGCCCTGGACTTTATGCGCCGCCACCCAGCCGTCTGGAAGGACGTTCTCGGCTTCGCGGCTTGCGGTGCCATCGGCCAGGTCTTCATCTGTAGGTCCTCCCCCCTCCCCCCCCTCTTTGCCGTGCGCCGCCCGCGTACCGCACGCTCGCATCTTCCGGAACATTTTGTACTCACTGCGAAACTATAGTCTATACCCTGTCTACTTTCTCATCCGTCCTTCTTGTCACCGTAACCGTCACCCGCAAAATGTTCACCATGATCCTGTCGGTCGTCGCGTTCGGCCATCGTCTCACGCACATGCAGTGGCTGGGCGTTGGGCTCGTTTTTGGCGGAATCGGTGTAGAAGCGGCCATCGCCAGACAGGAGAAGATGGCCAAGGAGGCCGCGAAGAAGGCTGCCGCCGCCAAAAAGGATTTCTAGTGCAGCAAATCATACAAGTCTTTCAGTTCAGTCGCTTGTATTGCATTTCGACGAGTCGAATAGATGGGTTGAAGACCAGGGGGGGGGGAAGAAACGCTGTGCGCGGCGTGCATGTGCATCCGACAGCTTGCTTGCTTTGTTTTAATTTTTGATATTTGAGTTTTTGTCTTGTCTCATCTCTTTTTTCTTTTTTTTAAAAAAAGCTCACGGCGTGGCTCGGATACAAAGCAGAGAGAATTTACATACACGGCACGGAATTCATGAGCAGATGACTCATAGACCAGGACGACATGTTCAGTCGTGCCGCACAAGTGGGAGGATACAGCCAGGCTGCAGAGCGTAGACTGCGTCACAGGCATTTGAAATGGTCTTGAACATGTTGGGAAATATTGGACATTTCTTCATTATCTCTAGGCTACCGTCGCCGCCTCTTTTGACGCATCGGCGACGCTGTAAAACGAATCCCAAAACTTCAAACCTGACCGACACACAAAGGGTGTGCCAAGACTCTTACTCTCCCATCTCTTCTCGCTTCTGCCATCCCTAATCATGCCCGACATGGTGAGAATGCGGCTTCCATTGATGGGATACAGGCTTTGTATCCCACAACGAGTGATTGACAGGCAGCAGGCACCAACGTCCTGCCATCTCCCAGAATGTGGGAAGGAGGCAGGACAAGTCTTGTTCATTTTTTCCCCTAGTATTCTGTGTCCAAGGGAAGTACTCTTGCGCCGGCCCTGTGCCCGGTCTGTTATCATGAAATTAACATACGTGGGGTTATAGAATAGGCCCTTATGTGACCGAGGATTACCCCGATATTAGACATTTAAAACAACAGCACAAAATTTGGCTCTCTGAATTCCGCGCTTCATGTGAGAAGCTCGCCCTATGTGAGTGTCGTTCGTCCGGGGCATAAAAAGACGTGTTGTACACAAGAAACGAAACGCCTGCAAATGCTATGTGGGGGACATCTTTCCAGGGCTGTGAAACAATGTCCAAAAAACCCATATTATGTAGAGACCTAGACCAGTATTGCATACTGTGAACCAGCTTCAGTGAACATGCTGATATGCCTAGTAGTGGCGTTGAAAATACAACGACCAGATGATAATGGTAGAGAAAATGTTGCTGAGCAAACATATGAATATGTACCAATGTGCGTGGTATCCAAAGCCCCTTCGTCAAACAAATCAGCCAATACGAAATGCGTTTTGGCAGCTGGCAGTCGTGCCCACATGAAACCTCATCAGATACCTCATTGCAACAGCTCGTCAATGGAGCGAATAATCGGAGCTTCCCCCCTTGTGGGTGGGCTTCGAGGGTCGGCTGCTTGTGCCGGCCGGCTAAAACCCATCATGCGGCCAAAGAAAGAAAACGGGTCGGACGGGAAAGATGACTCTCTTGGCGAGAACAAGCCTTCTGTAGGCGTGGGGGGCGATTCAACGAATCGCATGCCAGCGACCTCATGCACGTCATGCAGTGGGTTCGTTGTCATGACCTCGGCTCTGGGTGAGAGCAATGCCGTCTCGTCGAGATGCGACCTGCTTACTGTGACCGTTCGTTCTAGGTGTGTGCCGTCAATCGGGTTCCTTGGGGAGAGCTTTTGGAACTTGCGCAAAGGGAAGCTCGAAAAGACCGCATGTGAGTCAAAAGATCGAAGGCCGAGTATCGTCGATGTCTGGCTTAAATTCTCGAATATGGGCTCTGGTCGGCCCAAGCCAGTCTTAGGTCGCCGTGGGAGATTATCTGGCTTTGCCAAGATGGCAGCGTCAAATCGAGGAGAGAACGCTTCCCCTGTCGGTACGGCGGGCAAGGGTTGTAAATGGGGTAGAGCTGGTTCAAATGGTCGGCTAGGTATTGACGGGCTCGGCTCAGGAACGGGATCCTCACAGTGCTCTTTCCAAGAGTAGCTCAATGGAGCCGATGCAGGACCTGGCGATATTGTCTGTGAACTAGGTGTGGAGTTGCCTCGGGGTCGACTCGGGCAATCAGAATCCATTGCCTCGGAGGATATATCTTCTCCTGGCAGAGGAGCTGTGTGGGGTTCCTTGGAAGTGATATCAATCGCATCGGCGGAAAGCGTCAGTCGATGCTTGGTCGGACTTCGTCCAGTCCGTGGCCTATGGGCTGACGAAGACGGTGACCTCTTCTTCTTGGCAACTTCTTTATGAAAATCTTGCAGTGAGTACATGAGTTTCATATTCGGACTAATCCAACGACTCTTGGCTTGCGCTGCGTAGTATGCATCATTGACACTCAAATCGGGGGACTGATATAACCCGTAGGCGATGATCAAACTTGCTGAACGGCTGGCCCCCTGTTGGCAATGAATCAGAACCTTTTTGCCGTTTTGGGCTCGGTTTTCAATCGTCTCGCAAAGGTGCATCAGATCTGGAGCTATGTCTGTATTGTGATCCCAAGGAATGTGAATATACTCCGGGACATGCAAGGGGTTTGCCTTCGGAGTTGTTGGAGTATCGATCGACGAGTCTTCTGTTAGTTGATATTCAAAAGCCGTCGTGAAGCTAGCCATTGTTGCCGCCGTATCGGGTATGGGACTCTCATTCTCCGGTGTTGATGCATGCTCCGAAATCCGCTCAGCAGCTTCAAAGGGGTTCCGAACTTCCCTGGCCACATTGATCACCACATCAAACCGGGAAGCTTCTTCAGCAGTAGGCTCCAGATACAGAAAAATACGGTCGCCATACATAGCTATGGGTCCATCGGGATATCCTGGTGACTTCTGGTCTTCATTATGCACAGCCTCGTGGAATGGCTTGTAATCGCTGAGACTTGCTAGCTGAGTCTTGATTGGGGAGTCTTCTTCGACTATAGCATCGTCAAGATCCATGAGGGACTTTTGCTTTGTGGGTCGCAGCATTTCTGATAGACCAGACTCATTCCGTTCCAGGACTTTAGGAAAGGTCATCCCCCCGGGGGGACCAAACGTGGAAGACTTCATGGCGGCGAATATATGAGGCGACGAAGTAGAATGCTTCAGAGCGCGACGCTGCAAGATTGGCGGTAATGCTGAAGATGCCGGCACCTCCAGCGACGTCTTCTTGGCTAAATCGGAAGCACCCGTCTTCAAGCTAAGTTGACTGGGTTTTCGTTTCGTGGCAGGGATCTTGGGCTTGATGAATGAGGGCGAGGACGGCTCTGTCGCAACATATTTGGAGGAAGTGGAAATAGTTAAGGGCGGTTGAATAGATAGTCCCTTCATATTCCTCGGCCTCCTAGGGGCCGGGGATGTCATGGGTCGGTCCAACGCACGGGATTCGGGGACGCAAAGCATGTTGTTCTGTGATGCGCCAGAGCGACAGCCGAACGTTGTGGATGGATAATCATTCAACGGTATCAAGTGGATGGGCGAGTCCGGTGACGATGACGGTGAAGGATCGGACAATGGGGATGAATCGGACGTAGATAATGTTGTCGTAGGGGAAGATTCGGTTGATTCTGACATTTGGGTAGACGTGCTGTCATGATGCCTGTGTGTTGGATCTGAGGGAGGCCCTCCTTGCCCGAGGCTGGATGGTTGCGACGGGTCAGTAAAGCACGATGGCTTGGACGGCGTGTCGACCATGTTGGTATCGACAAGTGTAACAGTCTCTCCCTCGGCTATCGTGTCGGCTTCTAGATCAAATACCGACATGAAAGATGGTATTTGATCTTCGTACAAACGTCTGGCCGCGGCGGACGGCATGGTTTTGGCCTTTGAAATAGGGTGCTGTCGCTGAACTGCCTCTGTGCTGTCAAGGCACTGACCAAGAAATTAAGACGGAGAGAGAGAGAGAGATTAGAAGATATGTGCCCGTCACTGCAGTCCGTCTTCTTTGTGCCACCAAGTTCCCTGATTTGAAGGGACAATTGGGAGTAATGTCGATAGGCAGACTTGGGTCGGGATGGGCTATTAGGAATGTGGGCGAGGGCGAATTAGAATGAATGAATTCATGTATCAAGGAGCGAATTCGCGAACGATGCAAATCGAACAGGTTTCGATCGACGATGGACAGCGCTGCTGAATCCAATGGACGGACGTTCGCGAGGTCGGCAGCCGTGGCTGGTCGGCTAAGGACCGTGGACTGGCTCGTGGGATCCTCCCGCAATGAAATGCCAAGGCGCGCGAGGAGCCGAAAGTCGTCGCGAGGGCCGTTGCGGAAGAAGGACGGAAATTAATCAAAGTCGATAGTAAGGAGCCCAGGGCAAGGCGGAGGGACGAAGAAAAAAAGAAAAGGAAAAAGTAAATAAAACAGAAAGGTACGTATGCCCTTGGCGTTGTCGCTGTCGTCGAGTGCAAAGCAGGCGGGAAGGGAGGGAAGAAGAAGGAATGAGACCCAGATTCGGGGTGAGACAGGCCAGCGCTTAGATGGGAAAGCACGCAGGCGGCCAGCGGCTGGACAACAGGCCAGGTTTCGTGGGGAGCCGTTTACAAGTAAACCATGGTCTATCGTGTCGCCGTTTTGTCGAGAGCTTCGGGCTTCGGGCGAGTCGACAGTGACCAAGGCGGCTGTTGGCTGTTGCTGAGAAAGGAAGAGAGAGAGGGTGAAGGCGGTGGAATGCGAAGCAGACAAGAATTGAGAAACCGGTTGACGGGGAAGCAGATCTGGTGGGAGACGACCGACCAGGTGGCGACGGCGACGGGGGCCGGGGCCAGGGCCAGGGCCAGCCAGGCGGCGGGGGGTGCAGGTGCAGGTGGGCGGGCACTGACTGGGTGAGTGGTGAGTCTGCTCACACTCGATGTGCGATGTGCGCAGGCGGCTGAGGGGGGGATGGGATTGGCGGATTGGCGGATTGGCGGATTGGTGGAGAACCGGGCACCCGACAGGCAGGAGCGACTGTGCCAAAGACAAAATACAAGAAGAATCCGCCTGGCACCTTCAGCACTCGAGGTGTTGCATTGTGTCGTCTCGTCCCGTCGCTGCCTGCTGCCGGCTGCTGTCAGCACTCTAGTTATACAATCGTGGATGGGGGATGCACGGCGGATACATTAAGTACACTCTCGGCTGCACCTCAGTGGGATGCCGCAGTTCTGAGCCAACGGGGGCCCGGTTCGCGAAACACGGTCAGTTCGAGGTGCAAGTACACAGAGACAGCAGAGTCAGGCCTGCGCTGCCGCTGTCACAAATACCGTTTGCTGCTGCTGCTGCTGCTGCTGCTGCTGCTGCGTTGGTTCCTGCTCCTGCTTCTGCCACTGCTCCTAAACACACTCCATGCCGACTAAGTTAAGTAGTTTCTCCTTGGACGTATACACAACATGTACAGCACGACCACTCGTCACGGGTCCGACCGGGCAAACAAGGTTGCAAACGGGCAAATACAAGCTCTGCACTGCGGGCGGGCGCGACTAAGGCCAGGGGCCGCCAACCTAGCGCCTGGGCAACGGAGAGGCGACAAACAACGGCCCAACTGGCGAGGACTAGGGCAGGGGCTGGGAGAAGATGAAATTGCTTGTATCGCCTCTTGTCTCGAGACGTTCCGGTGGTATTACGGAGTACTTCTGCACAATACGGCAATCAACTGACAATCTGCCCCGGTCAACACCCCAGACCATCCGGCCGGACAGACCGCCAGGCTCATCGTCTCAAGGCACTTGCCAAGTACTCGGAACTCGGTACGGGAGTTGCCCCCTACCTAGGTACCTAGGTGGTCACGGCGTACGTGCAGGGCGTGGTGGGCGTGGCTGGCAGAAGGCGGCAGAGCGGGCGGAAAGCGCAGCCACCCAGCGCGTCACCCAGTCAGCTTCGTGAGACGCATGGCCCAGTCGGCAAGAATGCTTCGAAAAGCAGCCACACGAACCCTTGCTCCGACTCTGCAAGCGTGCAGAGTCTGCATGCCACAAGGTGTTGGCTGGCTTGGGCTCCGCTCCATTATGAGTGGAGCAGGGAAGGCGGTGCGAATTTGAAGCCTCGCCAGGTTAGGTAGTTAATTACATCTAAATATAGCCACACGCAGCAAGCCTGGCGGCAAGGACTGGCCAATCACCTGTCGGAGAGCCAAATTTGGGTATGGAGTACGGAGTACGTACGGAGCACTACAAAGGGATTTCAGTCTGAGCCCCGCGGCGGATGGTGATGTGCAGAAAGACGCACCGTCACTTGCGGTGTTGGGTGGCGCCGCCGAGTTGAAGCAGCATTGATTGCTGCATCATATATTCGGTATTGCTGCCCGGTGCTCCACGAGAGAGAAAATCTTCTCTCCCACCCACGACGTATGTGGTCATGGGGCGCGTCGCAGGTGGACTGGCGAAGATGTCCCGGTAGACTGCTCTCGCGGGCCGTCGTCTGTTTGTTCGTTGGTAGTGCCGAGTAAAACCTCTGGCATGGACATGGACATGCATGCTACTAGTATTCCGTACTCGGTACATGCTCGCCGTAGATGCTCAAAGCTGAGATTGGTTTGATGCACCTCGGATCTGACCAGGTCTACTCCGTACGGAGGACACAGCGTCCGGAACTTTAATATATTGTGTGGTGTACAGAGTACGGAGTACGGAGTGCTCCATGAACAAAACGGCATCTCATTGGGTCGGCACCACGATGCTTCAGCATGCCCAGGTTCCCTCCTGGGTAACACTTTTTCTCGGGGACCAGATTTTCAGCAGCATCGGCGGTGCTGTCCTTGCTGGCTGGCCCCAAGCCCAAGGCCTGCCGACAAGGTTAGGAACAAGAGCCTCGGAAAGAAATTACGGCCCATGTCAACGGGTCTTTAACCCCCGGCCGACCGCAGTGGTGATGGCATCATCTCCAAGGGGGTGCGTCACTGGGCACCGGATTTGGCAACACGACGGCGTCAGTCAGCCGCTGGCCATCTCCCGTGATTCTATTTGTGTACTCGCATCGCAGGACCAAGTACGGAGCAGCATGTCCAGTACTACTTACTACTCCGTACGTATGCATGCATGTATGTGTTTGTACCGTCTAATTCTTATCTACGGTCCCAGGCCACCTACTCGCTGCAGCAGGAAACGCATGCATGCATCTGACAGCTCCATCCGGACGGTGGGAAACAGAAATAGTACATCCCAAGTTGAGGTTAATAAGCGCCCGTCGAGAAGAAGACAGACCACCCACCCACCCACCCACTCAGCGCTTGCAGAGGGGCCAGAGGGCCGAGAGGGAGAGTCTGAGAGACATCATGTCAGGTGCTCTCGAGTTGCTTCACTGCGAGCCTTGTCGCATCCGCCATTCACGGGGCAGAACGTGTCCAAGGTCGAGTCACGAGTGCCCTGGTGGTCAACTGGTCAACTGGTCCGTCTTAGTCAAGACAACGGCTCCGTTCATGTCATGTCCAGCGTCTTGACTCCTGAGTCCAGAGGGCCGACATGGGTGGCTCCCGCCATCCGCCGCCATCAGATCATGATGAGTGCAATCTTGAGCCCGGCTTTGCTACAACACATGGGGAAACCAGTCTTTGAGCATCAGATGCATTGCATTTTCGATTTCCTCGAGCGCAGTCACTGGGCATGATCCCAAGGCTGTGGATTTCCTCTGTCGAACCCGCCAGAGCATCCAAGTACTCCGTGCCATCCCGGACCCTGGACCCTGTACTTGCACTCCGTACTTATCCTGGGGACTCTTATATTACGGAGTACTACTAGCAGCACTACGTAGTGGTGCCTCGGGACCTTGGTACCTAAGTGCTTCAGTAGAAACGTTCTCGGTAGTAGGTACTTTACCTAAGGTAGGTGGTACCTTAAGTACCTACTTCTTTTAAGTACTTAAGTAGGCAGTTACTCCGAATCAAGCTCTCCGTACTTGAAAAGTACCGCGTACAATACGTACTCCGTAGTCGCGTGCGGACACTGGAGACTTCAAAAGGCGCAAAGGCCTCATCGAGACGAGACCCCCGCCAACGAGCGTCACCGGTGCACCACCCTGCTCTCGAAATGGCGACAATGCATCATCCCTTATCCTTATCCGCACCATAACATGTAGTTATGTACGGACTACCACACACCACCAACACCAGCCTGCTTGCGCGCGCAAATTGGCGCCCAAATCATTCCCATCATCCGTCTCCTTTTCGTTTGACGTCGTGTCCGTGACCTCGGCGGGAGTGCGGGACCCGTCTCATTACCAGCAAGTGCCACGGAAATGGCATCGCGTACTGACACATTGGCGTCACGCTCCAGACGTACGGACCGTTTCGTTCGGTAGTACGGAGTAGCCGTAGCAGCAGACGACTTGCGAGCGTTGCACCAAGCGCATGCGCGCCAATAGCCTAGCCTGTTGCTTTTACTCCTGCTCCTGCTCCTGCTCCTGCTCCTGCTCCTGCTCCTGCTCCTGCTCCTGCTCTTGCTCTTGCTCTTGCTCTTGCTCTTGCTTTCGCTTCGGTTTTGCTCCCTGTCGTCGACATTGGCAAACACATCCCCGCCGATCGCTACTGTTGAATATATTATGTACTTATACATCAAGTACATATCGAGCATCATCAGCCAGCGAGATCCGAATACTCCGCACCTGGCTCCCAACTCCATGGACATCCCGTCCAATATCGACTTACCAACACTGCTTATTTTGCATGTATATGCAACAAGCCGCGGGGATCTCACCCTCCCAAATAGCTCATCGTAACATGACTTGGACGAACCTTGCAGCGCGAGTTCCAGGCGTTCAGATGATGCGCACCGTGTTGATGAAAATGTCACGTGACGTGGGCTTCGGCCTCGCCAACTGAGTCTGACCAGTCAATCCGCCATTTGGTTAGAACTTAGGACCTCGTGTAAGCATCACGCGCCGAGACTTGCACAATAACTACCCGTCGGCGTATTTTCTCACTACCGCACATGGCTGATAGTGTCGTCGTCTTGAGCTTTGCCTTTGTGGGGATACGAAGCAGATGGTCATGGACATCGTACCACGACTCCACGAGCGACGCTTGGGCCCAACAAAGTTACTTGGGCAATGCTAACCTGTGAGTGACTCGCGCTTGCACCCCAACCTGATGTCATTTTTGGATCTGAGACAATCGACTCTGATCGAGCCAACTACTACTTTTACGTATGGTATGTATTGGGAGTTTTGTTGACATGTATTGTGCGCTGTCATCCGTCGCCGCGTACTCTGTGTTGACGGCAATGCCAAGACGCGCAACACTTTCCTCGTCCATGCCAATGCGAAACTTGCTACCCCGGGCTTGACTTCTGAATTTACGGCCTGTCGAAGGCAGCACCAAGAGCCTGTTTCTTGGAAGTGACTACATGCGTTCGTTGCCGTCACACTAGGTACGGTGTTTTATACATGTTCTTGTGTCGACCAGCAGACCGCTCGTTTGCTGACGATGGCACGTTTGGACAGCACATCCGGCACCGTTACAGTCCCCGGCAAGTTGCGTTTGAGCCCTCCTCGGCATGCGCTTACGGTTAACTTTGCAGTGTACCCGAAGCTGGCCTTTGCAATCTTCCGATAACCCGGTGCGCATACTCCGTGCTGGTGGCGCTCGCTCATGCAACTGCGACATCTTGCAGGACGGACGGCTTTGTTTTGAACAACGAAGCACATGTACAATACCAACGTGGTGTCGTGTTTCAGGTCCCAAATCAGCGATGAGCTTATCATTTTGGGCAACACAAGGACAAGGTCGACGACAACGTATATCGTCGAATGCGACGGACGCAATTCGAGTGCGAATATGTCCACTTTAATTTGATTACAGTGCCGAATCGCGCTTCTCAACTACCGAGTGCTCGTAAATATGCACCAGCAATGACAAAGACATCTCGGAATTTCCCAGCACAGGCTCAACGCTCTGCGCCGCATGCAAGGCACTTGTTTCAAACCCTGGCGGCTTAATTATGTACTCGTCATTTTGCGACTAAAACTCGTTGTATCAACCAACCTGCCGTACTGTGGAGATGAGGCTGACAGAGTGAGTAATTGGAGCCGCCTCCGATTGAGTTAATTACTCTTCCGAATTCGATGGGTTCCTCCTACGTGCAATTGATGATTTTGAGCGCGAAACGCTGCGCCGACTTAGTCGCCTTGGCGAGGTATCGCACTTGACAAATTCAAACTCACAGTGAGACACTCGGTGTCCTATAAGCATGCCGTGTTTAACCACCGGGGGGAATAGTCAAGCTTGGCATGCAGACACGTTCCTCATGTCTCGCGCTTACGTTAATGTGCAGTACGTAATACAAACGAGACGCAACTGAAACAGGCCTCGACGACAGGGCTACCCTATACGGGCCGCAATGGATGCGATACAAGCGAAGCAGCATAGAACCCGTGCTGCCAGGATACTGAGGTTTGCCAAGTCGCGGACCGAGGTGGAACAGAGTCAGCGGTCGTGGATTTATTTAAAGCACACCCGTTTTCGCTCGCGGGAGATGAGTTGGATCCAAAACCATACAATGCAGTCTTAATGCCGTCCCTCCACAGCTCGAGCGATTATGCCACGACTCACGAGGGTGTCATGCACGGTGGAAAAGGCAGAGAACATCATGCCGAGTCTGGCGGTCCAAACTGTGTGTAGGTCGATTCAAGCCTCCTGCTCCTCTTCTCCGTTCACACTCCAGGCAAGAAAGTACTCTCTGGGAGAAGGAGAAAGGAGGCATCACAGCAGATGATTTGGCCAAGAGTCTGAACCAAACTTGGCCTGGCCATGGCTCACTGCACTGTGGCCCAAGCTCAAACATTGCAGTGCTTGTGGTACTCCACCAAAGTACTCCGTACAGCAAATGAACCCATTCAAACAGGGAACGCATGCCAAGTTACCCCTGACTAGTATTTTCAGGGAGAACACGAGGAGGGGTTGCCGGACAAGCTCGGAGTGCGGCTTCGACCAGACCTGGCTGACGAGCACATGGCCATTCTTGAGGTGATCTTTCCGCTCACACATGCACACACTGGAAAACTAAGAACGAAAAAGCACAAGACGGTCGGCATAACAAAAAAAAAACACACAACAACAAAAAGAAACAAACAAACAAACAAACAAACCGGTAATTGCGTCAATGCAAAGCAACAACTGTCGTCGCGCAGCAAAGCAAATAATCTTGAACGGTCACTACGGAGAGAGTCGGAGTACTCCCGTACCAGAGAACAGAAACAGCGTCGTACGTACGGAGTAGCACTACTACTCTGTATCACCCTCAGATGTGCATGCGCTCCATTCATAGGAAGCTAGAGGACTACGCCACAAACGTGAACCATGAATTGGTGATAATCAGGCCGAGTCGGTCGAGCGCCGCGCCGCGCCGCGCCACATGAGAGGTTGCTCGCCTCCAAATGGCACATTCGTGAGTGGAGGATCTCCTAGCCCGCGAGTGTCGTGTTGGCTGCATATTGGGATCCGCTCGTCCGCATCGAGGCAATTTACTAGCAACTATGACAGCTCAAGTGTAAGGCGTAAACTGTTGAGGGAGTCAGGGTCAGAGCCGGGCCTCATGATGACTACTCTGTACAAAAGGCTGCGATCTGTGTGGTGGTATTGTTGAGATGTTAGGTCGTGACAGAGGGAGGGTGAAGGGCGGCTTGGGGGGGAGATGAAGAAGAAGAAGAAGTAGAGGAGGAAGAAGGAGGAAGAGGAGGAAGAAGCAACTAGTAGGTCTGTCTGTTCTCCCCTGCCACGTCCCGCGTTCTGCTAAACAAGTGTTGTGATGGCTTCTGCAGCTCGCCGGAACAATGAAATGGCCAAGGAAGCATGCTTAACTTGACATGCCAAGCACTCGGTTTGTCCTCTGGTGCGTCTGGGGGCAAACGGCCGCGGCATTACCTCAATGCTCCAATCAGCGGACCGCGTCTAGAGATCGCCGTGCCTGGGGCCAGCGCTCTGTTTCGCGTTTTTCCTCTCGAGGGGCAGCTGCATGTTGCTATTCCTAGTTGAGAAATCGTGTTCTTGGTCCAGGCCAGGGGCCCGGGTCCGGGACCGGGTGAGGCTATTACTTACTGATGCTGGTGGAGGGCATTGTGGGCGCAAAAAAAAAAAAGGAAAAAAAAACGGAAAAAAAAGGAAAAAAAATGAGAGAGGGAGGGGGGGCGCAAAATGGTCTGGTCAACTACTCCTTCGATGTCTGTTTCCATGTAGTACATACATACATACATACATACACCATATCATACACGCTGCACATGCGCACAATTGTACATAGACACGCGTAACACTAGGTCCATGGCCGACATGATTGGCAAGGGTCAACTGGCTGGTGTCAGAATACTTGATTGAACATGGCTATGGCTTGTAGCCCTCGCAGTCTGGTGTCTGGTTGCAACTTGGCGGTGCCTCTCCTCCTTGTTCGCCAACAAGTTGTCAAGCTCTCCAATCCCAGTTCTTCCCCCCTCTCGCTTCTTCTCATTCACTATAGGTCTCGTGTCTCGTGTCTCGTTGCGTTCAGTCTCTGCCTTTGCTCCCATCCGCGGGATAAGACGCCGTCGACGTGTCGAAACGCAGGTACATGCGCGTGCGCAATTGTCTTGCGGTCTTGCACCACCTCTCAAACATATTCGCCTTCAGACTCGGGACGCACTGCCCGTTCCCTCCCCGGTCGACCCTTTGTCGGGAGCATCGAAACAAAGGCTGCCAAGCAGCGCACGCCGTACACGCCGCCCGTGCCGTACATTACACATCCCATCTGGCCTGGCCGTCTTTGAACATACCAGCGGGAGGTGGTAGCAGCTCTCGTGTCTCACGGCCCAGGAAGACCGAGCTCGGTCGCATCGAATTGACCGAACGAAAGGGGAGCAGGACCCTGATTTTGATCCGGGGACGTTGTGAGAGGCGCATTCCCATTCCCCTCCGAGGTTCCGGCCGCGGCTGGCATTGGACGAATTTTTGGCCGTGGCAAAAGGCAAACGGCAAAAGGCGCCAGGCTGTCCATTTAAGACGGCACTTTGGGCAGACCACGCCGTACATGCTTTCTTTGACATTGCATCCCCTCGATGGCATAGCATGCAGCGCCGGCCGAGAGAGAGAACATGACCGAGTCGGCGGTTCTCGACCACTGCCATCACCAGTGCGCTTGACCGCCACCAGACCAACACCAGCGCCGACAAGCGAGCAACCGCGGGCGTAGGCTCGATTATTAATACCCTCGCGCCAGCGATTACGGCGGCTGCGCGTGGCCCCTTGGGCTTGGGCGGCCGCGGGCGCAGAGGGCCGGGCAGGGGCGGAGGCAGAGGCGGCGCAGGCACAGCCACAGGCTCAACCACAGGCACCACAGGCACCGCAGGCACACGCCCGCGCTCTCCAGGCGTCCACCATGCCTGCTGCCATGGCGCCCATGTCCACCACGACGCCTGGCATGCTTGGGGCCGGCACGGCCAAAACCAGGCCGTCCATGCCTCGCAGCAATCACCATGGAGCCGGTCCTGATCCTGAATTCGACCTTGTCCACGCCGACAATCGTCCTTCGCTGGCCCGACATCCGCACCGCCAATATCGTCCCTCGTCGACGTTGCCGTCTGCTCGGCCTGCAATTTTAAAGCGCGGACCCCCGGCGGCTGTTGCGGCGGCTGCGGCTGCGGCGGCGTCGGCGTCCTCCTCGTCCTCGTCCTCGCCCCCCTCTCAACCGCTCCGCCTGCACCACAACTCCCCTGGCCAGCTGCTCGCCCCCTCGCCAGCGTTGCCCAATCCCGTGCCCGAACAGCGACCGGCCCCATCCACATCCGTCCCAGACAACATCGCAAACACGGACGCTGTAGCAGACGCGGACAGAGACGCAGACTCAACACGTCGTCTCTCTTCGCCCTCTGCTGTACCGCCGTCGACCAACTCTCCACTGCGAGCGGCCGCGCGCTCTCGGCCATCATCGTACCACGCCTCGCCCCAGCCTGCGACTTCGTCGTCATCACCTCGTGCAGATTGCTACACCCCCGCCCAACGGGAGCGTCCCGCATCGTCTCCCGAGTCGGAACCCGACAACGCCCACCAAACCGCCCCGTCGTCGGTCTCTGGAACCCCTAGCTATCCGAGTCATCGTGGACCTGCTTCCCACAGCTCAAACGGCGTCTCAACTCCTGACGGCCCGCCGCCGTCCATCAATACACAACACCCTGACGGCGTTGAGGCTGCGGGCAGAACCACGGCCCTGTCGCAGCCTTGGCCTGAAACGACAAGGACCGACATCACGCGAGGTCGACGAGAGTTGCTGCTGCCCAAGCGGCTCTCCGGGTCCAGCTCATCAGATGACAGCCAGCGTCTGCCACCTCGAACCCCGCCGGTTTCCTTCAGAGAACGGAACAAGCGAGACAGCATACAGCCTGCCCCCGGCCGAGTGCCGCCAATACGGTCACTCCGCTCATCAGGTTCCCGCTCATCGGCTTCTCGAAAGAGCCCAACGCAGGATATGAATCCCTCACCTCGCCCCCACGACTTGGGCGAACTTTATGCATCTTCCCCCGAAGGTCAGACGACGCAGAACTTTGAAGACAGACATGTTCCAGAGGGTGTTTCCGTCAATAACCTTAACCTTGACCCTGGTCGACAAGATGATGGGGGAGATGTCTATTTGGCGATAGCTACAGACGACCAGGCGCGCCGTCTGCCAAGGGACGAGAATCTGGACGATACCCAATCCTCCGTTGTAGGTTGCCAGAAGATGCTTCCACAATGCATCCTACCCGTGTGCTAATTAGCTTGCAGTCCGGAATCAGGCGGTCCTCCCATCGCCGCCCTCTGTCGACTGTTGTTCCTTCGCATCATCTCACGTCGCCTCCAAGATCGAGGAGACGATTGTCTGATCAGTACGACAGACCTCGCCCAATGCATCTGGAGGACGACCAAGAGAGTGAAATCTCTCGCAACACCACGTTTCGCTCACTAGCCCGAGAGAAGGCTGCCTCTGTTCATCCCGGCGAGGAGATTCTTCGGACACGCCCTGGTGGTGTAGCCCCCCTTCGCCCATCACCTCTTTCAGCACGATCCGCAGTTGGTTATGATAGTAGCAGCCAGGAGGGAAGCACCTACGCACGCAGGCGTGCGTCAATAACGGATAGTCATTCGACGGTGGGCCGAACACCCGGTTCCAGACCATCTGGACTCACCCAGGGCCGGAATTGCGGCTCATCTCCTCTGGCCAGGACGATTGACCTTCAAAACAAGACCGGACCTGACGTCGTTCACGGACTCGAGGGGACGGAATCCACAGCTTCAACAACAGCGCCTTCGACTGTTTGGGATGAGCTAGATGATCTCAAGTCGCGAATCAACCGGCTCGAGTTGACGGGAAAGCTGCCGTCCACGTCTGGAGCGGCCGTCTCTAGAATGTCCGAGGAGCGACCAACTACTGCTACTACGACGGTAACGACCCTTTCCGGATCTCCCAAACGACAGGTCAATTGGCAGGCCGCTGAAGCGTCGAGCACCACGTCCTCTCAAAGGGAGGCACACCCCATTCTTCATGCAGCGTTACTCAGATCAAGGCCGTTTTTGAGTCTGGAAGTTTATCAAGCGCTGGAGTCAGCTGCCAACGACGCCATGACGTTGTCATCAATAATGGGTGCCCCAGGCCAACCAGGCCCGATATCTAGTGCTGCGAGTGTGATTGGGACAGGAAGCCCGGCAGTCACTGACCGACAACTACGAAGAAAAGCCGATTCCGTCTGTCGAAGTCTGACGGAACTGTGCGTGGCGCTTGGGGAAGGGATAGGCTCTGCAAACTTTGCAGGCCCAGCTAGTCCGCGCATTTTGGCTCAACACGACGGACCTGCAACGCCCACGATCCCAAAGTCCTACAGTGGCTTGCCCACTCCACGGCGACTAAGCGTGGCCGAACACGGGATACCGAAGTCCGTCAGCAGCCCGAGACCATTGTCTAGATTTGAAGAGCGGCGAAGCTCTATTCTGAATGGGACGGCCTTGCCTACGCCGCGCGCCACAGGCTCAGCGCCCATGACGCCCATGGAGGGCAGTGCTCAGCGAAGGTCGTCCCTCATGATATCGCGGACTCGGCGAGCTGGCACTGAAGAAGCGGAGTATGTTCGATCACCGACAGTGTTGCGATCTCGACGGGCGAGAACCGAAGAACCAGAGGAAGGCCGGCAAACGTCGTTCTTGAGAAATCGTCGGGGCACGGTCGGCGATGATGCAGACGAAGGAAGATTTCGACCACCCTCCAGAGCTGGTACAGACGTCAACATGCTCAGAGACGCTGGACGAGAATATGCATCAGACCTGCAATCCATGGCGCCCGACGACGGCTCCTCCTCGCAGATTGCTTCAGCACTCCCACGTCGCAGATACTTGTCGACAAACCTTCATTTCTCCCGTCTTGCAGGATCTCAGGGGACCAGCATTGCGCCGCCGAGAAGGTACAATGATCGACAGGTGGGAGACCAGGACGTCGGTGACCCTGCGAGAGATTCACGAGTCCCAAGACAAGGCCCGCCCCTGAGCAAAGGAATCATTCACAGCCGGGCTAGCAGTCTCAGCACTCGGAGAAACCGAGACAGTGTGTTTCCGACCAGCTCAGACGCCGCAACCGCGCCCTATAGATGACGCTCATGACAGCCACTAGTTGGAATTTACGCCCGTACATGTATTCATATGGGACTTTTGCAGAAGACTCCCCAACGGCATCGTCAACGAGGGACGTCTGCTGCGCACTTTTTTACTTTTCAGCATTGACGATCTGATGAAGGCAGACAGCCGGGCTTTTTGCTTTCCCTCGTTTTGTCCTCTTGTCGCGTCATTTTACCTGTAAGAGGTTTTTTTTTTTTTTTCGGTTTATCTTCTCCCCTTGTCCTTCTTTCTAGACTCTGTATCAATCATGGTACATGGCGCACAAAACAAGTCGTAAATCAAAATAGTTAGTTCGGCTAACGGTGGGATATGAGGACCACCCTGGACCGCATAACGAGACGACGAAGCCAAGCAATTGTCTGTCAGCGAGGTGGCTGAAACGGCCCATGGTTTGCATTTTTCTGCTGTATGGGTGGACGAATAGTTGTTTCATGTACGATAGTTTGTGGCTGCAATAGGATTTGTTGACATTCTCACGGAAAAACAGCATGGTAAAGAGATACTTGTTTGAAGTTGCGCGTCGTCGGTGAGAGCGCAACAAGACCACGGATGCGGCCGCGCGAGTCAATCTGCACAATTTTTACTAGCATTTGTGAATGAATTGGGTGGGACGTCCCGGAACGCCCAGTCGGCCTCACTCTCCAACCTGACACGCGAGCACCCTGGCCGGACAAGGCCTTGGTTGTTCTAGATGAAGCAGCGCCGGGTCCAAGGGCACGATTTCCCAACCGTCGACGTTTCCTGTTGTCAGTGTCAAGAAGCGGTTGCTGGAGACGACACTGTCCGGCAGTCGGGACTCGGCTGTTTCCTGCGCGCCCCACTTCGAACCTCGACTCGACCGCTCCCCTCCGGACTCGAGCTGGGCTCCGTCTATCCGTCACACAGAAGACGGGCGACATGGCCGACGACGACGACGCGCATCGCGACGTCCCGGACGGGGCACGACCTCGCGCCCCAGGGCACCCTCCCTCTGGACGCGGCGGCGGCAGGCGAGTGCCAGACCGGGAAGTCCAACTGTCCAAGGCGCTCTCCAAGCTGCTGAGACACCAGGCCGACAGCGCGGGCATCAAGCTCGATGAGGAAGGCTTCGCGCCGCTGGATCGCGTGGCACGTTCAACCCCCGCCCCTCTTGGTGTCAGCGCCGTGGCTAACGTGTTGCGTCGCGCGATGCGCACAGCTGGCATGGGGCCCTCTCCGGTCCCTCGCCCCGAGCCTCCAAGAGGTCAAGCACGTCGTCGAGAACAACGCCAAGAAGCGGTTCACGCTGAGGCGCGCCGACCCCGACCCTCTGGCGCCCGAGCCCTCGTCCGCGGCGGGATTCCTGGTGCGCGCCAACCAGGGGCACTCCGTCAAGGTCGACGAGGCGGCCTTGTTCCGGCCCATCCTGCTGGGCGGCGCGGACCTGCCTCGCAAGGTGGTGCACGGGACGTACTTTGCGTTCTGGGGCCCCATTGTCGAGTCGGGCGGGCTGAAGCCCATGGGGAGGGGGCACATCCAGTGCTCCGACAGGACGCCCGAGGAGGGGGCCGTGAGCGGGATGAGGCGGGATGCGGAGCTGTTGGTCGAGATTGACATCGAGGCCAGCCTGAGGGACGGCGTGACCTGGTGGAGGAGCGACAACGGGGTCATCTTGACGGACGGCGGGGAGGGAGGCGTCCTGGGGACCAAGTATTTCAAGATGGTGACGAGCAGGACCGTCGACGTGGGGGTGCTGTGGGAGGACGGCGTCAAGGTCGCCGATCTGCCGGCCGATTTGAAGCCGAGGACACCGAGGGGGAAGACCCGGGGCGGGAGAGGTGCGAGGCCATGAATCGTTATTTTCCATTACGGGCCGTCTACTGTCTTTTGAGACGCAATGTCCTGACCTAGCCCTTGGGACTCTAAACCTGAAAAAAAAAAAAAAAAAAAGAAAGAGCAAGGAGAAATACTATTGCAAATTGTCAACTGCCCGCTTGGGCTAGGCCGCACTCGACCACAAGCTCTCAAACGTATCCTGCCTCCTCTGCAATTCGGCCTGCAGCCAGTCCAGCACTCCCTCCGCCACCTTCAACCTCGCCTGGTCCTGGTCGGCGATGCCGGTAACAACGCCTAGCGCCGGGGGGATTCGCACGTCGTTCCTAAAGACGGGTCGTCCGCGGAACAAGCCACCTCCTGCCGGGTCGGGCTCGATCTTGTACCTTGGACTGTCGAGGGCCAAGCGGCTGGAGAGGCTTGAAACCTTTTCGAAGACAGACGAGCTGCTGGGAGGGCAGGCGCCGGCATCGTTTGTCTGCGGCAACATGCCATGTTCAGTCGCGAGTGTAGGTGCTTGGCGCGTCAAGTACGGCCGTTTGCTCACCGGCTGCAAGTTCAGAGGAGACGTCGTCTGCGGAATCTGCGGCCTTGGCAGTTGCAAGGGCGAGATATGTGACCGCTTCACGTTGACAAGGTTCCCGGGAGTTGTTGTCGTCGACGTGACCTGGTTGAGATGGCAGAGCGCATGTTTGGCAGCAAACTGTTTGGCATTCTGCGAGGACGGCAAGTAAACATTAGTTTGCTTCTTCTCGTCTTCCTCTCTTCTTCTTCTTCTTCTTCTTCTTCTTCTTCTCCTCAAAAAAAAAAAAAAGGAAAAAGAAAAAAAGAAATAAAACAAAAAGACGGAAAGAAAATGGCTTGGCCTGCCTTTTTGGACTGGAAAAACGGCGCTTGTTCTCCGGCGGAAAAGCCAAACCCTTCGCGTGGAAAAGATCCGTAGCAATGTACGGTGCAGACACAGCGCCAAAGGGGTTGGAAATGTCCGTCGATGGGAATCCTCGTAGGCTCATAGTCTGCCCAGGCAGGGTTGGGCAGACGGAGGGACTGTATCTTGTCTAATTTTGATGACGAAACAAGAGAGCAAAAGGAATCACGTCAGACTGGTCGCGAGTACGGCTTCGTAGGGCCGGGAAACACTCACGCATCAACTGGCTAATGTAATCGTGATCGCTCACGTCGGGCTCGACGTTGAACGGAACAAACTGTGACAAGGCTTGTAGTTGAGGCGGCGTCAACGCAACCGGATGGCCCGTCTGCATCTCGACAGCTATTTGCCGCTGGACCCATAGCAGAAGTCTATCCCAGGGCACGGGAATGGCAACTTTTGCATCCTCGCTTGTCATGGCAGGGCTCGACGTCTTGTCTTCAGTCTGAGACTGGGCAGCCTGAACAGAGAAGCTGCTCGCGGGCGTTTCTGGTTTATTTTCGGCACGTACATCCATCTAGCAGCCAGTGAGAGAAGTTGGACGTTCTGCAAGTGATGGAGCTACTTGCTGTGAGGATGACGGTGCAGTTTGGGAAAGGTAATGAAAGCAGTGGATTGGGTATTTTGGATGAGCATGGAGACGAAGAGATATTTGCTCTTTGTTTGCCCCAAGGTGCCTCACCCTCACGTTTGGTAGGTGGGGTTTGGGTTTCTTGGATCGCTTCCAAGTTCCCACCGCTTCGCATTCCCGTTTGCCCGCCAACATCCGGTTTGCAGCCGCGCGTTGAGCATTTTTTACTTCTTCGCACAATGTGAACATGGCCTCCAAAGTCGTGGTGGACAAAGGATTGTCTCCTGCAGGCTGCCAGCTCCTAGGTGTGTGTGTAGATAGACAAGCACAGTTGCAGAAAATGTATTCAATGCCAATTCTCCAGCTATGCAAACAAAATCACATCGTTCTCATGTTACATCCCCTCGAAAAACCCGCCGTCATCGTCTTCATCCGATTGAGTAGCGGACACGGCCTCGCGCATAAGCCGTCTTCGCTCCCTGCGATTGAGTTGGGGCTGGTCGCCCTTTTGCTTGCTTGCCTGGTCCTTGCCTCCGGGGCGGCTTTGCTGCTCACTAGGCTTTCTGGCCTCTTGTCTCACGTCTGTTTTCTTGGAACTTGAGCTAGTTGATGGATGATGCTTCCTTGAGGCAGGACCTGAGCCGACTGTACATCTTCTTTCCCGCAACCGTTTCAACGCCTCAACGCCCTCTTCCATGGTCTTCTCGACCACAGACCACATCGGCGGTCGTTCGTCACTGAGTGAAGCTTTGGCTGCTGGCGTCTGTTTCGCCTGACTGCCCTCTCCTGCCGCATCCTCCCCTTTGTCGTTATCATCGGATTTGGAACTGCCATACAGACTGATGTAGGGCTCCATATGCGGATGATATATTGTGTAGGCCTCGTCAACCTCGGCAATGTGTAGTTGCCGTTTCAGATCCTCAACATCGTGGGCGCCTGGGTTTTGTTCCATCTTGCGTTTGATCTGCATTGCCAAACGCGACGCCTTCTTTCTTTCTTGAATACGAAAAACATTAGCAAATTCCGCAGCAACAAGGGGAAAAAAAAAGGACATTCGCCCCAAGCGTACCAAAGAATCGAACCATGTGGTATTTCGAAATCATTGCACTCCGCTTCTTGAGGAAAGATTTGTCGGACACGGTGGATTTGTGCGACTCGAGCTCTCTCTGCAAGTCATGTTGGACATTGGCAGGCAGGTCCCTTTTGCGACGCAGCAGTCGTTCGATATTTCGAGCACGCTTTCTTGAATACTCTAGACTGCCCTCCTTGGCCTTGTGCTTGCCTGTGCCGTATTGCTTCCGACGCTTTGGATTGAAGCCGTTTGCTGGCGCTGGTCTCGCTCGGGCCTCGGCGTCGTTGTCCACGTCGGAAAACGATCGCTTCATGTCTGAGATGGGGAACAGAGCACCGCGGTAGCGTAGTTATGACGGATTCGCGTCAGTTTTTCAGTTTTTATCGGGAAAGTCCGGGGCAAAGCTTCAAGTCGCACGAAACCGTGATTGCATGTCTGCGGCTTTGGAAGCAAGAGGCGGCCGACTTTTTGGTGGATCGCTCCTTCCCCGAGCTGTTCGGCTTGTCGGCCAATCAGCGTGCCGCAGTCCTTCCCCCCAGCGAGGTCGCGAGGTCACAATCACAGCATCACGCAGTGGCATCCGTCATCAACACGCGACAGCTTCATTTCTTGATAGACACGCAGCCGGGTCCTTGTGCGGAGCCATGCAGCTCGTCGGCGAGTTTCCAAGGTCAATGGCAGCGTCAGGCAGCGGCTAAGGACAGTCAGTTCCTTGCATCCGGAGCCATCTCTTTACATCCACCAAGCTCTCATCACCAGTTACCGAGTCGCAAGGGTAGCCAGGGACAGTACACACCGGAGCAGCTTGGAACTCACAGGTTGTCTAATATACGCATATAAAGGGAACAACAGGGGACTCTCGGCGGTATTTGATCACTCGAAATGGATCGGCCGGAGCCTGGACTGGTGCGATGGTCTCCAAATTCCTCCTTCGACAGCTTTGTTCATATCAACTTGCAACATCGCGTCGTGCAACTGTACGAACCCACCGGGCATGCCAAAAGGCAACAGTTTGACTTTTCCAGGCTCAGTCGACACGATGATTTCCCTCCTCTTACGACCTACGACTGGTCTCCAGCCGATCCTAGCCTGCTGGCCGTGGGCACCAGTTCCGGCATCATTAACCTGTTGAAGATTGACGACAACTCCAATGCATATGCTGAAATCGGTTTGAAAATGGCACGAACATGCCAAGCGGTTGCTTTCAACACCACTGGTCTCCTTGCTGTAGGTCTTGATCGTGTCCGAATGGATCAAAGCCTCCATGTCTGGGATGTCGGTCGTCTTTCGGCCCAGGAGCTGTCCAAGATGGGCTTCCCACATGCAGCGTCCAGCTTCGTTGATTCTTACACGAGACTCGAGCCAAGCGTTTCTGTGTCGAGCATCAAGTTTTTTGAAGATAGCCCACTCACGTTGGTGGCGGGTATCAAAGGTCAAGGCGTGAGGATATGTGATCTTCGAGGTATACCACAAGCACAAATCACCTTCACCATCGGACGACGAATGTTTCAATGCTGACGCGATTCAGACCCAAGCGGGAACATCACTTTTCAAACGAAATGCAACAACAACTTGGCTATCGACTATGCTGACCCAAACTTCTTCGCTTCATCCGCTCTAGATCACCCTGGAGTCATGATTTGGGATCGCAGAGCTACATCCCGACCAGTTGCTTCGCATTCCTACATACAAGCCGTAGAAGAGGACGAGCTCCCGTGGGGAGGAGCTTTGCGGCTTGACAAGGTGATCGAGACTGACTCCGACCCCTTTTTGGCCGAAGGCAAACACTCTCTCGTGCGGTCACTCCGGTACTGCCGCGACCGTCGTGGATTGCTGGCAGCGCTGTCGCCCACAGGTCAGCTCAAGGTTATGGAAACGAACAGGGAAATTGTGTCTGCTGGAGTGGCGCCACATGAGGGACCCGAGCTGCTTCGAGTCCAGACATCTCACGAGATGGATGTCTCATACAGGGATAACTCGAGACGAAACGACCGCATCGTCTCCTTTGATTGGGTGACGTTGGATTCGTCTACTTTGAGGCCTAGGTTGTTGGTCCTGAGAGTAAATGGTGCCTTTGATGTTCTAGAGCAGCCGTCTCGAACATCGGATCATGTCTATAAGCTGGTCCCCTGGCAAGCCCCCCATCGGGGCTTAGAGGGTAAGCAGACGGGATCATTCATCAGTGGTGAGGGAATGCAGCTGACTTGTTGCAGAAAACTCGCCATATCTCGACCTCATGCAGTTTGAGCCAACCCAAGCATCGGAGATTCTAGGACCCTTGATCACCGAGCAAATCCTGTCAGATGTTCCCATATTTGGGCCAGAGAAGGCCAGCGTCGCGGACCGCATCAGGGATGCTTTGAAAGACCGCGCCTCCGTATCTGCTGCAGTAGAACATGTGGATGAAATTTCTCGGCCGTTACCGGACTCATTCTTCAACGCAACCTCGATTACTCAGAAGTTGAAGAGCATTCGAGCATATGTCCGCGATGAACAGGCAGACCAGCAAGCAGAGGACGAACAGCAGCAAAAAGGAAACGGCCCCAAGCACCTAGACAACAGACCCAACGAAATTTCTCTTGCCTCGAACAGCTTAGTGTCATGTCGTGAGATTCACGAAGCACTGCTAGGCACGCTGGCCATGGTAAAGGGCCTCCCTAGGGAAGCCCAGTGTGTCGTGGACCACTCCATGCTCCTCCGGGCCAAGGAAAACTATCTCTTTGATGCAGCAAAGAATCGCGCCGTGTTATCCGACGACTCGTGGCGAAGATTTGTCTGGGACTGGGTAGCAGGCATGTGGCGCTCCCCCGTTCCGTAACCGGTAGCTGGATAGTTTTGACTGACAGCTCATGACAGACGCCGAAATGGCTGCGGACGACGGAGGTATGCTCCTAGGAAGCATGGACCTAAGCTATCTGGGCGTTCATTCCATATGGACAAACGATCTTGGTACGCCTCCTCAAACCACATGTCACAACCCCGGCGAAATGCTCACAACTCACATAGGCTCAAACCCCACGACCCGCCTCGCTCCAGGCGCAGCCCTCCCCGAAGCTCCTCAGTGGGAACGAGTCATCGGCCAGTTCTGCAAAAAGCGCCGCCTCCCCAAGTTTGACGCCGTGCCCACCAAGAAGCCCTTCCACCGCCAACTGTGCCTCGAAATCTGCAGCTGGGGCGACCCCCAGCGACACGACCCCAATGGCGTCGACCGCGAAGCAGATCCCGAGTATCCCACGGCCATCCACACCATGGTCGCCTCCCGCGCTCTCTTCCGCGGCGACACGGAGCAGGCCATCACCATCCTCAAGAAAGCCAGCGCTCTCCACCCCGAACTCCTATTCGTCTCCTTGTCCCTCCAGCTGCTTGGTCGAGGGGGCAAAAAGCTCGCCCAGGAACACCTCGAGCTCGACGACGCCGTGGCCTCCAAAACAGACCCCTACCTCCGCGCCATCTCGTCCCTCATCGCCACAGGAGACTGGAGCACCGTTGCGAACCAGCGCTCCCTTCCGCTCACGGACCGCGCCGTGGTCGCCGTGCGGAACTTTGACGATGGCCAACTCACCAAATGGCTCGACGAGAACGTCTCGCTCGCCATGGAAGAAGGCGACATAGAAGGCATCGCGCTCACAGGCATAACAGACAAGCTAGTGGACATATTTGCCCGCTATGTCCAGAAATTCCACGACGTCCAGACCGCCACCCTCGTGCTGTCCATCGCATACCCCCGCTACATGGACGACGTCCGCTGCCGGGCATGGCGCAACGCCTACAGAGCCCACCTCCAGCGACACCGGCTGTTCTTCCAACGGACCAAATTCGAAGTCGAGTCCACCAAGCGGTCTAAACGCGACGGCGTGCCGACTCTGAAGCCGCCGTCGCGCCAAATCGCCCTGCGCTGTGTCTACTGCGATGCGGAAACGTCCCTTTCGAGCCGGGGCGTCGCGCCGCCTATGTCCAACCCGACGCTGGAGACGCGAAACCCTCTGCTGGCAACGAGCATCAATTCCGGCATAAGCTGCCCCAACTGTGGGAGGCATCTGCCGCGCTGCGTCGTCTGTCTGGAAGTCGTGGGCGTCCCGCGGTCGGACAAGCCCGAGGTGAAGGAGCCCACGCGCACGGCAGGGCGGTTCCCCACGTTTTGCCTGCGCTGCGAACATGTCCTCCATTTGGATCACGCGAGGCAGTGGTTCGCGAGACATGTGGAATGTCCCGTACCAGAGTGCCGATGCACATGTAATTTCAGGGCTAACCCGGAACTGAGCTATCATTGACCCCCGGGGGACGGGATGTGATAACCTAGCAAGCGTGTCATGCAACTCGGAGCAAATATTTGATGATGACTGGTCTTTGATACCATCACTACATAACTATATTGTGTTGCACACACATGGATGTATGCATGGTTTTTTTTGGTGGAACAATGCCGAATCTTGGTCTCGAGCAAGCAACATGTAGCATACGACATGGTGAACGCGTTACTGTCTCGTGCCTTTTCTGTACGCCTATACGTGGCCTTTGCTCCTTCTGCCCCGTCTCACTCAACATTCGACAAGTATTTAACGCCGTTCCCATGGTAGTGATATACAGTGTGACCATTGTCCCGCAGAAACATCTCGGATGGGCCAACCCGAATCGCGCCTCCTTGCCGTTCATGATACATATCCGCATATCAATTCCTCCCACGAGCACCATGCTGCATCCTCACCCAAGTGCGCTCGTTTTCTCTCGCTTCGGTCCCGGTATAAATGCTGGCCCTCCAGCTCTTCTATGCTCACCCCTCATGATGATTCGTGTCCCAGTAAACTTGCTTCTCTACGCTTGGAAAACCATGCCGTCCCAAGATGGTCTAGTTCCTTGAAGTTTCAAAACCTCTATTTCTCGTATCATGCACCGGCCTTGCACCACGGGTGGTTTATCACCTGGTGGATGTCGTAGCGCTCTTTCACATCGCGGTTGAGCATGCGGCGAACAAGATCGATACTCTCCTCGCTCATGGTGAATGGAACTCTTAAATCCCTGTCCATAATCTCATCGATGCTGTAGAACGGATTCTCCTTGTATATTATCGTGTATAGGAGAATACCCAGTGCCCAAACGTCTTGCTCTTTGCCGCCATAAGGTTTGCCTGCCAAAACCTCCGGAGCCGCATAATCTACGAACCAAGTCAGCAAAGCAAAAAGAAGGGACGGAGTGCATCTCATGACTCAAAGCAAACTCACCAATAGTGCCGACAAAGACGTCAAAGGGCCCGCTCTTGATGTATGCCGCGCTTCCAAAGTCGATCAGCTTGATGTTGCCCTCTCCATCTAGAATGACATTCTCATCTTTGATATCACGATGTACAACTAGCGCATTTGCGTGCAGGAAGTGGACTGCCTTGGCCACCTGAAAGAATATGCTTCGACATTCTGGCTCTTGCATGTTCGCCCGAAGTTCAATGTAATCGAACAAATCCATGCCAGGAAGTCCGTGAGGGGCCATTTCGATATAATAATTGATATCGTCTTCAAAAAATCCCTCCATTTCTACAATGTTGGGGTGCCTGAATTCAGGTTTTCGAAGATAGTCCAGCACATGGATTTCCAAGGGCACGGTTCCCAGTTTTCGGTCTCTTGTCCACGTATCAACCAAGATGCGCCGTTTCGTGACATACTTCAAAACGACTTTCTTGCCTGACGTCTTGTGGCGAGCCAACTTGACCTGGCCGTAGGCGCCTTGACCCATATCCTCAAGGATAGTATAGTCGCCAATGATGGTTTTTCGAGCAGGCTCGACAGCCCTGGCCGGCGACGAGCTTCCACTAGTACTGACTGCGGCTGATTTCGGCTGTCCTATAAGCCTCGCTGCTGCATTCAGAGCCACGTCCTTGAGTTGCTTAGATAGCGTAGATGCCCCGACCTCTTCCTTCTTCGGTGACGCATCATCGTCTGAAGCAATTTCCATAGGAGTATGTACCGGGGGTGTTTGTCCTGGGGATGGTTGGTGAAGTGGTGTGGTAGTCCCTGATGTCGCAGGTGAGCTAACGCTCAGGCGAGCATGTGCATGGAGGTGCCGTGAATATGTGATCCACAAGGCAAATACCATCTCTTTGTGCGGGATTGGAAAAGAATCGTCGGCACTGTTTGCATCGTCCTCGCTTCCTTCATGGTCCGTCTCCCCGACCATGTTGGTCTGCTTTTCACTCTCGACAACGCGCATCTGAACGTCAATTTTCAAGTCAGACCCGTCACGATGTCTGGCAGGCAGGCCATCTGGTTGGAGGAATCGTGCTGCGGCGTCGGGACGGTGCTCCTTGAGGGCCAGAAAGGCTGAGGCCCTTCTAAACCGGGCCTCAGGGACAACCATTCCATCCAGCATTTGTAGATCGTCCTCTTGCGTTAATACATCAACAATCTTGTTAAAATCGGGAATAAGAGAGTCAATAGGCAGTCCATCAGGCTTCTCATGGCCAAATAAGGCACCGCAAAAGACAGAATTGGAGCTCCGGATCTTGAGTTGAACAGGGTCAACAACAATGATGCCGGCCATGTGAGGGAAGGTTGACACACGCAGCTCGAGTTTTCCTCGTACTTGCTCTACACTGCAGGGGATGTTAATCTGATGGGCGTTGGGACAAGTGAAGAACTTCCTCCTCGCAATTTGAGCAAAGTCAATCTCACCAATTGTGGGATCAATGCCTTGCCGGGGAATTCGCGGTATCAGCCTTGCCACATCAAAGCCAGATCCCGTAGCCTGAGATCCCCAGATGGTTGCGGATGCCCCAGACATGCTCTTCACGGAACCCTCCTCGTCTATTGTCACGTATGCAACATCCTCATGGATCTCCTCCAAAACCCATATCAAGCCAACCTTTTTTTCCTTCACCCATAAGCTTGCAGAGCCAGTCGCCCCGTTCCTCTTCTGTATGGGAACAACGTCGCCGCACAGAAGAACGCCTCGTGAAAGATTGCTGCGATGCTGTCCAGCGCCTCTAGTCGTCGTCGAAGTTGGGTCGCCACTATGCACAGTCTGTGCTCGTCTTGGCCCGTATTTGGATGGCTGCGAGCGCGAGTTTGGTTTGTTCAGAAGCTGCGCCGTGATTCCATCTGAGCGTCCGCCGAGCAACGTTGAGGCGGCGGAAGCGGCAGGGCTCTCGCGCACTGCCCCTTCTTTGGCATCATCCGCAGAAGCTTCGCTGGTCCGCACGAGTTTTCGTTCAAGCCAGGCCCGTCGTTCTTCTTGGACCACCTCCAAGATGCCCATTTTGCGCACTTCTGCCTTGGTAACACCAAACACGAGGCAGGCCAAATCGTTGGCTGCAATAATGGTCCACGGCGGTTTGGCCTCGGTGGTAAAGATGGCTTGAGCGGCAGGCACCCAGCGGTTTGTATGACCATGGGGAGTGGGACCAATAGCACTTGGGAAAGCTTTCGCAGGCGGCCCGGGGAAGGCTGTTGTTGACGAGGTAATTGGCTCTTCAGCCATCATCTGTCCTGCCAAGAATGGCTGTGTCATCGTATCTAGAAGCTTATCTTGCAGGGCAATGCCAAGGGTATCGGTCATGGTGCGCTTCAGACTCGCAGGCCTGCAGACGGGCTTCGCCTTGGGGTCCAATTCTTCGTCACCCATGTGCCCGTCGGCCCGAATCAAAGTCGAGGATTCGTGTTCCAGCTCTGGGACTGCAGGAAGACTCTCTATACCAGCCCCATCAGACGTTGGGAATCGAAAGAGGGGCGACTTCAAGCCCTGTGCCTGTGCGGTGATTGGAGATGCAGTATCAGATGCCGCGGTGCTCGTTCGAGAAAGCTGTGGCGTGAACTGCTTTTCAAAAAAGTTTTCACCCGTCACATCAGCCGGCCCAGTCAGTGGTGCAGCTGGAACTGCAGCAGGATCCAGGCTCGGCAGGTTCCCAGCTCCAATAAGCTGTGCCCGTGCAAGCAGCTCCAGCATGTTTTGGGTATCAACATCGCCTGTGACACGAGCGTGGGCGCTGGCGAGTCCCGCTTGTGTCGAGCTCATGGGCCAGGCTATTCGATCTTTCATTAAGTCCATGGAACGTTTCAATATAGTCTGGCGGTTATGTATAAATTCCTCTGATTGATGAGCAAAGGAAAACGAGTGTAATGATTCGGAAGGAAATCGTGACAAGTCCTCAGAGAAACTAGGCGAGGCCGGTCCTGCAGTGTGCTGCATACCGGCGGTGTTGGCCAGCATGGCACTCATAGAGGTAGAGCGAGACAGTGCAACGACGGACGGGCTTCGAGATGAGGAACTGGAGTTGGGCATCGTTGGAGCTCGAGAGGGCGGGTGCTGCTGACGGATGCGCCGCAGTCCAGTGATTCCCGGACCGTGTTCATGGTCGTTGATATGTGAAGGCCTACATTCGCAGAACGACGATGAGAGTCGGCATTAGTCAAACGGATTCACGACATAAACCCGAAGCCATAAACAGACATGTCGAACCTTGTCAGTGCATCATATTCCACGGCAGAGGCCGAGATGCCCCCAAACGACATGCGATTTCGACTCCGGTCGACCGTCGCGTCGGCCGAGGGGGCGAGATTTCCAGTGCTTCGGTTCTTTGGCAATGACAGCGGCAGCACTAGCTTGCCTCGTCCGCGATCCCGCTCCTCGAAGCTATCATCGTTGACTGCAATGGAGGAGGAGACTCAATCAGCAACGATCAAAGACGTGGTTGGTCAAGCAGAAGTACAGGTGGGTAACACGTACGCTGTTGTTGTTGTTGTTGTTGTTTTTGCTGCTGTTGCTGCTGTTGCTGCTGCCCGCCATGCATCTGCAGCATCCTAGACGGCGAGGCGAACTCGCCGAACAAAGCCTGACAGAGGTATCCGCGGACAGTGGCGGACGGTTGGTTGCTGTTTTCCGATGACTTGAGAAGCTTGGGAAGTTATCGTTGAATGTCGAAAGCCCAGGCCCAGCCTTTGGTCAGCTCAGCTCGAGGGGTCCAGTCAGGCGTTCAATCGAAGGGTCCACGATGAAGGCGGGAACATTGAAGGCCGTTGTTGGAAGGGCTGGTAGCCTGGAGCCTGGAGCCTGGAGCCGGGGCCGGGAGCCGGGAGGAAGGCGTCAGCCAGCGTGGAACCACAGCAATTTCCTCAAATAAGAAGGAACAACTACTAGTCAGTCGACCGGACCAGTCGACGAGTGGGAGCTATCCGAGTCTTGCGGGGCGGAGCGAGGTCAGCAGTTGCAGAATTAGAAAACTGGCACCAGAGGCGGATGGCGCACGCAGCTCAAGACGCTGACAGGCCAAAAGGCAATAATATTTGACAGAAGGCAGTTGGCAAGTCGAGGCGGGTAAAAAAAAAAAACCAAGTGGTGGGAGGTTCCGAGACGTGCGGCGTGGGACCAAGGAGGTACCCAGATACCTACCAAGTAGGCAGTCGGGTACGTTTTGTGTTGAGTGCATGTACTCCATACTTCCTTGGCGGTGCGGTGTACGGAGTAAGTACATAGCACCACACCAAAGCAGGCCAGACAATGACAATGAACCTTGAAGATTGATTGATCCACCACACCAGACCCAGACACGATTGACGACATCCAGAGCACTTGAGTCAAGACGAGGAGCATGTGGATGCAAACGCACGGCCGGCCCAAGACTGCATCATCCTGGTTTGCCAATCAATTCCCGAAACCTTTTTTTTCCTCGAGCAGCCTCAAATTCCGATTCTGGCCGGCATGTGAGTGCCTCCCAGCTGGTGCCCCGCGCACCGGGAGATGGATGGACGCATGTTGACTCTCGAGTCTCGACTTATTGAGCCTCAAACACATACGTATCGCGGAAATAAACCTGCCGCGGTACACCGGTACACCCGTCAGTGGTCGGTCACAAACCTCAACGCCCGCGCGACCACTTGATTATTTCCGGCATTTCCCAGGTCGTCAAATGATGCGCCGACGATTGCAGACTGCACATGTCACTGTATTTTGTGAGACGAGTCTGGGGAGAGGTATCACGTCGGGGTGAGTTTGAGCGCCGTTTCGTTGATCTTTCAATGCCTGGGAAAGGGGGGGAAACCAGGAGGGAAAAAAAAGACCTAGGTACTGGTTGGCCACACATGCGAGGATAATGTTCGACATAAGTAGCTTCTGGAGAGGTCATTTTGATGAATTGCATCAATCTTGGTGTAGATACCTGGCAGGCACGCCGGCACGTGCTTGGCGGGAGCCATTTACGTTTTGGCCGCGACATCTGTGAAAACAGGGCAAGGCAAAAACTGCATTGCTTTCCGCCGCCAAAAGCAGCCTCATGACATGATGAGTGCCCAGGGGGCGCGGTGCCAGCCACAACACGACGCGATCGACACGTCGCCCGAGCCTACCTCGAGATCAGGGACCATTGTCACCTCGTCACCTAAGACCTCGGCCGGGTGCGGATATCAACAACAGAGTGTTTATTGACAATGCCCGCACGACGCACTCCGTAGCCGTCGGCAGTGCGCAGTACGTACTGTACTACGTACTCCGTACGTGCGGATGCATGTGCGGGGTATGGAGAAGCCCGGCCGCTCTTCAAGGATGTGAAGGCAGCACGAGGGCACAGTGCACACTGATAATGCGCACTCAGTGAGGGAGCATTGCATTACAGCCGGCCGGCAGACAAAAGACTGCACGACAACTTGCAAGTTGGTGGTTGTGTTTGAAAAACTCCAAAACTCCGTCCAACGTCATACCCATACCCGCCCGCCCTGGGTCGTCGTCGTGGGCATCTAACAGTGACTGATAGCACTACCAGATGTCTACTAAACTAGCGCATACGGGAAGCAAGGACTCAATTGCAACTACACACTTAATGTACTTAAGTAGTGCTAAGAACTGCGGCAGTGACAACCAACCGCGGAACCTGCCTAGGCGATGGCGATACAGTGGCGACATAGGCACATGGAGTCACGGACACATGGACAGTGAATTGCTGGACACATGGACTTCTCTAATGGCACACGGAGACCAGGCCGACGATTGGGAAAAAGGGGGAGGGAGAAGCCTCCTCGTCTCGTGTTGATCCAGGCTTTCCCGGGCAAAGGAGGCGAGCAAAAGGAGGTGTCCGTGGCGCAGACGGGGATTTTTTCCTGGCACATGGTTCCTGGCGGCGTTGATTTTTGCATTGTGCCTGCGCTTGCCCACTTGCCGTCTTTGGGCAGGCAGAAGAGGACTGATTCCATCATGACCGACGCCAACAGGTAAACGGGGCCTGGGAAGAGTTGGTCAAAAGGAACATTGAAGAACCCCATCCATGCATGTCTTTGGCGGCATGCCATTCGACGCTTGAGCGCACACTAGCACATAGCACATGCGAGCATGCGGACCACGCGAAGACAAGGTGTCTGCCTCCTTACCAGGTACTTACCTAGATACCTACCTAAGTAGGTACCTACCTACTTAGTAGGTAGTTAGGTACTGAAGTAAGGTACTTGGGTACTTAAAGTAAGTAGGCGCTAGGTCGGTACTGAGCAGCTTGGGGGCACGACTTATCTCGTACTTACGCATCAATTCATCATTGACGATTGATGATGGCAAAAAGGGCCCAGGTGTCCCGCCGCCTCGTTTTCAACGGCTCCATACTTTTGCTACCGTGCGGGGGCAAATGATTCACTGATGAGGAACTACCGCCTACTAAGTACTTAGAGTACTTACCCAGGTACCTGGGCACTTGAGGCGTTTAGGTACTTCGTAATTAGAGCCTTGGTGACGCCGACGCGGCTGCACACGGCTGACGGCCACCCCAGGGTGGTCAGGCTCCCAGGCTCATGACCCAGACCTCTCTTCGTCGACGGCTCTTTGATTTACAGCCTCTGGCCCTCCGGCTCCTAATCATCCCCCCTCCTTCTTGGAACTCGACACTTCCTATCTCTCGTACGACCATGGTGATGGCCTCGGACGAACATGTGCTTCGTCTCAACTGATACTCGGCAGAGCGAGTGCATTTGACTGGCTCGTGGCGCCGAGTGTGAGCACACCGGCAGGCCCTGCTGACCCTGAGCGCTCGCCGCTGACCCTGAGCACCGACCCAGACAGGCGGGGCACTTTGTGCCGACCCCGCCGCCATCTGCTGGTCCGCTGATCCCTCGACTGCGCACCGGAGGCTGCTTCGTCGCAACGCCGCAACACCCACCACCTTCGACTTTCCCACTTGCGATAACGGCAACTGATCCTTCATTCTCTCTCTGTGCTCGCGTGCTCGCCCTCGCCCTCGCCCTCGCTGGATCGAGCATCGCCGCGAGTCGGTGGCTGGCCGTCGAAATACGCCCCCTGTCTCTTCCTTTTGCTTTTCAAAAATTCGGTTATGAATTCACGTCCGCCCCACGCTCTTCCGATACTCGACCTCATTTATTAGTCCCGAGTTCCAACATCCACCTTGTCAATCGGAACCCCACGTACTGTTGACGACATCTCGCCGTGAAATAAGCCAACGCCCGAACAGCACTATCAAACGACTCGGAATACACAGGAGGGGCAGGAGGATACAGAGTATTGGCCGCCACTATTATACTTGCACTGTTTATTCCCACCCTTTTTTTTTCGTCATAACAAAACCCGCATACTATACACCTGGCAGCAGCAACCAAAAAATGACCGCAGTCATTGACAGAGACGTCGTGACTTCGGTCTCCACGTCAAACAGCGGCGACGCTACGCCCACATCATCCGGCACGTCCATCAAAGGGAAAGGCCGCCAGCGGCTGCTTCGCGGCCTTCAACGAATATCCTCCTCGCCCTCGTTGAATGGTCTTCGTCGTTCGAGGTCAGCGAGCAGCCCGTACAGCACCAGGGCCTCACTCTCTTGTGTGAGCCTCGCTGCCGTCGCGCCTCCCCAGACTCCGTCCACTGCCAGATCGTCCACTCCTCAACCGTCACCACTGGGCCTGCCGAGCGCCCCGGTTTCCCTCTCACAGGCCTCGACCCACGAGTTTCCCTTATACGACAACACCCAAGGCCAGCTGTCTGTCCGTAAGGTTGACAACATTGACCCGAATAGGCCGCCGCCGACTGCGACCGTTCCTGCCGGCGTTGCCTTTGCCAAACACGAAGCGTCCGCCAAAGCACAGGCGGTGGTAAAAGCACACCCTAAGCCTGCGTTCCCGTTTTGGGAAAAGATGCCGCACGAGCTCCGGGTCCAGATATTCTCGTTTCTAGGACCCAAAGAGCTTGTCCGATCCTCTCGAGTGAGCAAGTCTTTTTACAGGTTTTGCTTTGACGGGCAGCTTTGGACGTCGCTGGATGCTTCCGAATTCTATCAGGACATTCCGGCCGAGTCGCTGTCCAGAATCATCGTGGCTGCTGGTCCATTCATCAAGGATTTGAACCTTCGAGGCTGCGTGCAAGTCGAGCACTATAAGCGGACAGAAGTCATCGTCAAAGCTTGCAGGAACCTGATGAATGCTACTCTGGAAGGCTGCCGAAACTTTCAAAAGAGCACTCTGCACACCCTGTTGAGGGCCAACGACAAGCTAATCCATCTCAACTTGACAGGCCTGTCGGCCGTGTCAAACACGTCTTGCAAAATCATCGCCGAATCATGCCCACAGCTAGAAACATTGAACGTGTCGTGGTGCGACAAGGTGGAGGCCAAGGGAATCAAAGCTATTGTCGAATCATGCCCCAAACTGAGAGACCTAAGGGCTGGCGAAGTCCGTGGCTTCGATGATATTTCGACTGCCGAGACTATTTACAACACCAACAATCTGGAGCGTCTTGTTCTTTGCGGATGTGTCGAGCTGACCGATGACGCCCTCAAGGTCATGATGCAGGGCACCAGCCCGGAAATCGACATTCTCACCGACAGACCCATTGTTCCTCCACGGAAACTAAGACATCTCGACCTGAGTCGATGCAACCGCCTGTCCAGCGCCGGCGTCAAAGCCATTGGATACGCCGTGCCCGAACTACAAGGCCTCCGACTTTCTGGGTGCAAAACGCTCACTGATGCGGCGCTCGAGCCCATCCTAGCATCCACGCCTCGGCTTACACATCTTGAGTTGGAGGATCTCGAAGACCTCACGAACGCTCTCATGTCTGAACACCTTGCCAGGGCCCCCTGTGCAGACACCTTGGAGCATCTTTCAATTAGCTACTGTGAAAACATTGGCGATGTCGGCATGTTACCCGTACTCCAAAAATGCCTACGCCTGAGGAGCATTGACATGGACAACACACGGATCAGCGATCTCTCCTTGGCAGAAGCCGCAGCCATGGTCAATAAGCGCTCACAGAGATGGCCTCGGGCCAATGACCGGCCGGAGGTTACCCTACAGCTGGTCGTGTACGACTGTCAAAACGTAACGTGGACCGGCATCCGAGAAGTTCTGTTTCGAAACGCCCATGTCAAACCAGCTGCGGGAGAGCCGGGGAAAGTGACATATCCCACAGAGGTTATTGGCCTGAAGTGCTTCTACGGCTTTCAGATGACGGTCGACGAGCATCAGAAGCGTGTGCTGCGAGGAGACTTCTCGTCTGCCGGCAGGCTGGAGAGGAAATGGGCAGACTACATGCAAGCAAACGAGGAGGTCGGAATGGGAGGCGCAGGACAACGACGACGGAGACGACGCGCCAGAGAGGCCCATGCTCAACACCTGAATGAAGAAGACGGCGGCCTTGTGGGCCGCCGACGAGCACGAACAATGGGAGCTTGTTCGATGATGTAACAAACTCACGGACATGACCGCCGGAAGGAACCTGTGCCTCTTGTTGTTACACACACTGGCGCACTGGTTTCTGAATTTTTCAAGGACAAGAGCAACAATAACAATCACGTGGGACTGTCTCATTTTATTTTCTTTCCACACACGTGTGCACGAAATGGCTATGGGAATCCTGTTGAATGGTTCATTGGGGTACGGAGGCTGCCAGAATGCGCTTTGTTCAAAGGGGTCGGCTTTGGGCGTTCTGGGTCTGGTGCGGTAGATCCTTTTGGACAAGATGGTAGTATTGTCATCATCATCATCATCATCATCATCATCATCATCATCATCATCATCATCGGGGGTTATTTGTCACATGTCACATTTTTCTGGACAGCTTATAACTGAGGACCACCTCGCTGCCCTCAGAAACTGTCAAAGCCTTGCTTGCCAAATGAGTTCTTCTGTTCCTAGTGCGTTGAACTTGTTTCCTGGCGCACGCCACAAGGAAAACAATATTTGTCCCGACGACACTGACGTGGCTTGGAGTCGTGCATGGCCTGCGTTACATAGAACAAGTACAATCTTGGAATGGAACAGCTTTTACCTGGCACTATGTACTGACAATTGTTCTCCTCTTGTAGCAGATGCGTGGAAGGGGAAGGGTCCTTGTGCCCTGTCCAGTACGGAAGCAGCATGAAAACAAAACAAAACAAAACAAAACAAAAAGAAGAGGCACTGTTCGCTCTGAAATCTGAAACCATGGGCCATGTCTTCATGCGGGACGTCGCAAATTGCAGCCCCTAGCCGTCATATATCCCATTACGCCACATTTCTTCACAATGCACAAGCCATGGGGGACGAGAGGGAGACTAGGAGGTTGTAACCACTACAGTCTTCGGACTTGTACCCCGTATGCATGAGTACGGAGTACTGCGTTAGAGTGGGAGAGAAAAATGGTGGGGGGGGAGGGTTAAGGCTGGCTGGGCCGCAACCGTCACAATCGTCAATGGGAGAGAAAACCGACGACGACGACGACGACGATGACGGCAGTCGTCGACGGCACTTCTCCACAACCGGGGAAGAATACTACTACGTACGTACGGCGTTTTCAGCGCCATGTGCGAGGGTAGTCGAACGCCCTCTAATTTTAGACGTATTTTGCATGTTAGACGTATTTTGCATGCATGGCATGGCATTGCGTCGCGTCGCGTCGGGATGCGTCGCACAGCAGCAAAATATTTGCCAGTGCCAGCACGAGCAGTTGCACGCAAATTAAGACGATGCATCGAGGGGTCATACAATGCGACGACGCACTGCGTACGTACGTGACTACGGAGCACATGTAAAACGGCGGGACTGGGTTCAAGGGTTTTGCTACTGAAGAAATGAAGAATGTGCCACGGAATACTCCGTAATTCCTTTAAACTCATTTTCCATGGAGAAACAAGACTTGCCAAGCCAAGATAGGGGAGGTTCGAGCGGAGGGGGTCGGGGGTCCCAGGTTTGAGTGGGTCAGGCTCCGTCGTCCCCGCCGCCCTTTTTCCCTCCTTCACTGTCTTCTGTCTCTGTCTAACCTCGGCCACGTAACTCCGTATGCCGGACTCATTGCACACGCACACACACGCGCAGATGCGTGCCTGGGTACGGAGTACGGAGTAGTTGGATGCATGGAATCGCAGTCGACAACGTTCCGGAGGGCCAAGTGGACTGATAAGTTTCCCCCAGTCCAAGCGCCCGGTGAAGAAGACCACTTTCAACCACCCAACAAAAACCTGACCGTTTTCTGCCTGCCAGCCAGCCAGCCAACCACCCGCCCTTGGAAGCCGTCTCGACGAAGATTCCTTTTGGCTATTCTTCACCGGCTTGTGGCCAACGTGGCTCAGGGGGGGCTGGCCGGCGAGCCATCACGACACCGAGCTGGGAGAGACGTACGAAGTAACGAGTAGCGAGATTGATTGACGCTCGCTGGTCTCTCCCCCTCCAACTGTCCGTCCGCCCTTTTCTCACGCTGCCCGTTCGCCGGAGCAGCTGGCTCTTTTAATCCCACACCGTACTCCCGTAAAGCCCAACCATCTCCCATCCCGGAGAGCAGGAGGGGGCAAAGTTGGCGACCGAGTAGCTGACGATGCCGTTGGAAAAGATATACGTCGTCAGACATGGGGTAAGTGGCGCTACCGATGGCCGGGACAATAGGAAGTACTATTCGTCAGGCTTGCCTCCCTTCTATTTGGCATTTGCGTTTTCTTTCTTGCAGGAAACTTTGTATTGACAAGTGGGCTCTCTGCTATTGTTGTCGCCATGTATTAGTTCCGCGCCAGTTGGTCGGTTGATCCCAAGACGGGCGCCTACATGGGCATTCCGTCACCGACGGGTATCCAGGGCGATCCCGCCCTCACTTCGCACGGGATTGACCAGGCCAAGGAGCTGGCGAGGCATCTCGAAACCCTGGACCCGGCGGTAGAGAAGGTCTATTCGAGCCCGTTTTACAGGTGTCTGCAGACAATGGTGCCGTTTATGGACCTTCAGCGGGAGAAACTTGGCGCACGGAATCGTCAGTCTGTACCACCTTCTGCTGCTGCTGCGGCTGCTGCGGACGATGACGAGACGCCCAAATCCTTGCTCACCGGCACGGTGGTGACCAAGACGCTGCCTGAGCACGGCATTCGTGAGTGGTTCGGATCAGCGCCGTTTGATCACCCGGAGCCAGCCGCCCCTCGAGTCCTCAAAGCCATGTTCCCGTGGTACGATGAGAGCTACATGTCCACCGCGAGGCCGTCTGCCAAGGGCGAGACCCTGGAGCAGCTGCACCAGAGGATCACCAAGGCCTTGAGGGGCATCATCCGACAGTGTGATGCCGACGGCACGCGGGCCATTGTCCTGTGCAGCCACGCAGCAGTGATCATCCTCATCGGTCGCATCCTTACCGGCCTGATCCCGGACAGCGTAGACCTTGATGACTTCCAGGCCTACACGTGTGGTTTGAGCGTCTACAGCCGCAGCAGTGGTGGCGTCGCTGAAGGAAACAATATCCCTGACATCCGCGATGGCCGCCGTTCTGCCTCACCATCGGCACGAGGTACGTAACTTACATGGACTGGCCCGGTTTCAGGGAAGCTTGTATGGGGTGCTCCGTAGGGCTACTCCGGACTAGTCGTACTATTTGGCAAGCCCCAACGCCTCATCCCTTGACCTTGACCCGTTCCCCGTTCCCAAATCCCAACCTTTCTGCCGGAGTTGGTGGTACTGGCAACGGTGCTGTGGGATTCGTGCCATGTGCGGTGCGCGTCGAGGCGGACTTGTATCAGTTTTTTTTCCCTTTTTGTTTATTTTTATTTCTTTGGCTGACATCGTTGCAGATATATTGCAGGCGGATCGGATCGGAGGTTGGGATTGCGAGTTGAACAGCGACTGCAGCTTCTTGAGTGGAGGCGCGGAACGAGGATGGTACGTTGGTTTTGCCTCTGGTACTACTCCGTACTCGCAATACATGTGTGCATGCGTCTAACGCGCATCTTCTTCTCCCCCCGTCCTGTCCTCATTTCAACGTTTTCTTTCCGCCTCTTGTTTGCTGCACCTGTTTAGTTGGACGCGTCCGAGGCCTTCCTCTACGTTTGTTATCATCTTCTTGGACCCCTCCGCATCTGTGCTGAAAACGCGCCTAGGAAATTCACCGGAGATGAATCATTTCCCGGCACCGGATCGCTGTCCCAAACCGAGCTTGACCCCAAACTATAGACCCGACGTATCGGACAGTACGTAAGGAGGCGAGCATGATGCGCTCATGGTGAGACCTCCCTGCTGGAGCGACAACACTGCACTGCAGGAGGAAGCTGCACGCCTTGCACGCCTTGCCTCGAGAGACTGTCACTGTCACGGTCGACTCACTCCGTCGTCGAGTGGCCAAATGGTTCGTCCGAGTAACACCATCGAAGACGGACAAATCCCCCTCCATGACTCGCCTGGGGGTGGGCAGAACCCCAACATAGCATAGCTATAGTCTTCAGACAATGTCTGGCTCGTGCACTGACAAAAGCCTCTTGAAGCTCCACGCTCGACCAACATCAATTGTGCAGGGATGAAGTGGTGCCCACAGAAAACGATGTCATGCCATCCAAGGGCAGGATCTGGAGCAGGCTTGTGCCAGTTGTTGTTCAGATCAGTTTCTAAATGCGGCATGTTGTTGGCCAAGATGATGGCCCAACTTGTCCACGTGCCCCCGGCTCGCTCGTACGACAACATGTGTTGACCGGTGGACAGTGAATGCTTGCGCAGGGCATAGAAACCTACCACACAATACTCTGTACATACCAGTGCTCCATACCCGTCTGTGTCACCGTCAAACCATCGTCAACGGAGACTTTTCGTTTTTGCCCTCTTCCCCCTTGCCACTATTTTCGCGCCCAACGCCTGATATACCGTGAATGGACGAAGCGTGCAACGCCACCGCCAGCCCTGCTGGGTACTCTGTCTGTACTGTGACCGTTGTTGAAGGTGAGAGGGCCGCTTCCTGGTCTTTGCTTTGGCCGCGTGATCCTCGTGCTTACGTAAATCTCTCATCAGTCGATATCAAGGGCTCGATCGTGGTCCGGCGGTGACATGAGCGTAATAGCGCATGACGTTTTGCGAAATGCGTAGGCAGTACGGAGTGCTCCGTAAGCAGCAGTACTTACTACTACTAGTACTTACTGCCTGCCATCCGATCGATGCCCAGGTTCCTGGTGGTTAATTTATCTGATACTGCAGGGGATTTGGGCGGGAGATGACAGCCCTCTTGCATTGCAGACTTGAATTTCGGGTAGCCGGGATGCCGCCGCAACGGGCAGTAAACGCAGATGCACGTGGATCGTCATTGGCTGCTGTGGTCGACCCCTTGTCGAACACGTACTGCTCAATCATTTCGTGGTGGCTTCCGCGGCTGCGGCATCAATCTTTATGATTTGACGACACCGCGAGCAGAGCCCAAGATCCGACGTCCGACGCCCCGTGGCTGCAGCTGTAGCACTAGCGAGTGATGAGCTGGCTGCTTCGACGTTTGCGAGGCACAGGGGCAACGGCCGAATAATACAAACGTGTCTCAGCTAGACGCTGGCGGTGGCGATGAAGAAGGAGAAGGACCCTGACAGGTTGGCAGACAGGCAAGGCAGCAAGCACAGGGTCCGTTGTTGTGGGGGAGTCCCCGGGAGATCATGCCGGCCAGATTTTGCCTTGCTCCCCTTGCCTGGATGTTTCATACGAGGTTAACGTAGGTGAGCGTACCTTGCATCATCGGCCTTGACGTAGGGCCGAATATCACAGATGGCAGCTGTTCGCTGTTCCCTTTGGCACATGTCTGCCTACCCCTGTTTGCGCAAAGTGCCTTTTGCGTTCCTGGCGCAACTATATCTCTCAGGTAGCCAGTCGCGGCAGCCGAATCTCCATGGTCAAGTTCAGAGGGGTGGGTGATGCTGCAAAAGGGCCTGGAAATGCACAATAGCCGTCCATGCCCACCGAGAGCCGTTCAGCAGTACGCCGGGCCAGGGCTCAGAGGTTCATTCAGTCGGAGCTAAGACGACTGGCCCAAAGGTGGACGCCACCACTCGGATGAGAATCTGCACGCTCATTCGCTTCTGTCTCTCTGCACCCAGATGGCCAGGTTTCGCCGCTGGGAAGATTCATCGACATCTTCGCGGCGAGATAGCCAGTCCCCGTATCCTGATTGAGACATGCAGAGGATGCGGCCGAGAGCAGATATAGTTTCTGACGACGAAAGAGGCTTGGAGGAGTCGGCCAGCCCAGCTTGTCGACTCGATCCAATCGTGGCAGACGGTACCTGCGTACTCGGTGAATAGCGAACTTTGCCGCAAACACGGGGGCCGTTACGTCAGTCATTTGTTTTGCCCAGGTATAAAAAGAGTCTGCAAGATGCTGTCAGACCGAACACTAGTAGCAGCAGCAGCGCACGCGTGGGCCATGTTTAATTTGAAGGTCTTGGCTGATGTACGTAGCTGTGAGACGGACAAGCCCTTAGCGCCGAAAGAAAGCACGACGGCCGGTCGCTGGTTGCTATAATAATCGTTGCCATTATCACCATCTTTGAGATCAGGTCGTAGTCCGTTTCTTGGTGTGCAATGTAGAGAAGCACTCCTTCAACGGAACGTCAGGTGCAAGCAGAAGACATATTCACCTGCACGTAGGTAGGCGTCTTGGTAGCATGATGATGGCTGTGTGCCAGAGGACCGGCCGTGTTTCTAGTAGTAAGCGCTCGTATGTCACGCCTGCAGCCTTCACGATGTACATGAAGAGGGACGGTGTCGTTGGCGATGAAAATACTTGTTTGGCTATAGAAGCAGCAGCAGCATCAAGAGGCAGGCAAGACGCGGGCGGACTTGAGATTGTCGACATGAGCACTGGCACGGAGCGGCGCCGTTTCGAGCCGCGCGTTGATTATCTGGGCGATGAAGTAGGTCAGGAACACGCGACGTCTGTTTGTCAGGCCCAAGGCGCACAAGACTCAAGAGTACGCATACGGAAGATTCAATCAAGCCTGGGACTTCTGAAGCCGTTCAGACTTCAGATCGCGTCACCGGTCAGGTGGAGCCAAGGGAGCCTGCCATCCGGCCGCGCTTGTTCCAGATTCGGCTTGGCGGCCCTTGCCCGAGCAGGGGTCTCATGGCAAGTTGCCGGGGCTGACTGGGGCTGACTGGGGCTAGCCAGGGCTTGGCAGCGGCTTGGCAGTTGGAATGGCAAATGGCAGCCGAAGTGGAGGCTCAAAAAAGGAAAGAGCACCAGCCGCTATGTGTCCCTTGCGCGACCTCGAGCTCTCGCGACCTCACTTGCCTCACTTCTCCCTTGAACACCACCCCTCCTCCTCCTCGTCTGTCGAGAGAAAAAAAGCAACAGCGTCAAGACTCTGCTTGCTAGTCGACTGCTAGTCCGTTTGTCTACGAAGCCAGGCGCACTCGGTGCCCCGACCGACCAGCACAGTCCACTTGAGCACTGAGCCATATGTCATAGCACGGACAAGCTGGCCCTTGGAGCAAACTGGACTGGACGTCGGCAGCCCGCCTTTGTTTGGCTGACGTTTGGTCTATTTTCGCTTCTCCCCCACTGCGCGACTGAGACGAGTCGACTTGTTCTGGACGCCTGGCTTTTTCTCCCCGACATGGGATCAAACGCCGGCACCGGTCCGGAGCAACAAGAAACAAGAGCAGATTCAGAAGCGGAATCAGAATCAGGGCCAGAAGCAGGAGCCGAGCCACCGGTCAGCGTGGCCTCTGACTCGGCACGCTGCCAAAATTCCCATCTCCGAGCACAAGTCTGTCGTGTTGCGTAGAATTCGGCATGCTCTCTCTGCACCGGACGCACAGCAGGCCAGCCGCGACACCTGATGAAGACGCAAAAGAAAGCCTTGGGATTATAGCATGGAGAATGCGCAGAGTGTCGTGCGAACTAACTAAAAACAAGCATCTCTTTGGTGAGCGAGCCACACCGCCAACACCACCAACCAGCGCACTGGGACCCCCGACCTCGTGGTTACAGGCTGGATCCCGTTGTTGTTGTTGTTGCTGATGTTGTTCCCTTCTATGCACAACAAGTCCTGGGTCATTCTCCCAAGCCATGCACACTTATCAATGTGGCGTCGATGGCAGCATATTGACCCTCACAAAGGGGGCACGAATACACTGGAACACAACAATCAACTTCCCCTTTACCCCGTCTGCAAGATACAGTGCACGCAGCTTCATGTCATCTTGCGTTTGGACTCGTATCTGGCAGCAAGTTTGATATCGGGGTTGCTGAGGCTCCGCAATCTTCGTTACTCGCTCCCGCAGCAATGCAGTGCAGGCCCAGCATTACTGGGCGGCCTAGGCAGACACGTTGCGGTTATTTTGGCTTGTTTGCCAACAAGTCACACGCCTTCGAGGAGCCGTGGAGCGTTTTATCGTGCCGCAAACGGCCAGAGAAGTCACACATCCAGTCAAGAGATGTCCCGATGGAACGGCAACCCTGGTTAAGATGGCCCTAGCCGAGGTTGCTCGGTGAAGTAACGTGTCCGAGGAGGAATCGGCGAACCAACAACAGTTCTTTGTGCCATTTACTCGTGCACACCAGACAGACACTCTGCCATGGACTGGGACTCCGGCACGATGGACGGACGGGCGGGCAAATATGGGCAGATCATGTTCTTTTGTCGTATTTGGCCGTGTACGGATGTGGTTGTCTGTCGTCTGTCACGTTGTCGCGCTCTCGCTCTGGTTCCGCGCGTACCGAAGCTTGCAAGGCCCAAGTCTATCTCTATTAGTTGCTGTTTGAGGGTTGTGTGGACTGGACCATTGCGGGTGTGTGGCCCAGATGGCTCGGCTCTCCACACAACCACATCTCACATCTCACGGAGACAATGCCAAATGCCTAGCGTTGGCAAAGTCTCCTCTCCTCCGTATCGAGGGAGGGGTTTGCGCCAAGGCAAGGGTTTCGGCAACATGTCTAGTCTGGTGCAGGCCACCACTAGGGAGTAACTAGCAAGCGTACCGGCTTGGGCATGACGGTCCCCTTGCGTGCGGAGGACGAAGAGTAGAGTACAGTAATAGCCCGAGGCATCATCAGCTCGCTGTGCATTGTTGGAGACAGGTCTCTGGCAGAGTCAGCACAGACATTCAAGGTCCTCTGGGACGGCTGCTTTTGTTGTTGTTGACGCTGCTGGTGCTGGAGTTGGTGTTGGTGTTGGTGTGGTTGTGGTTGTGGTTTTGGGTTGCCGCTGTCATCATCGTCCTTGCCCGTGGGCGCCGCATGGGGTTCGATGTGAATGCGGCTTCGGCTTGGCACCAGGCAGTTCGGTTCATGTTGGGCACTCAGCCATGGCCAATTGATAATGTATTGTACGAGCAACAGATCCCAGGGTGCGGCCGGAGTATGTCTATTGTCCTGTTGCCACCCCTGCCAACTGCACCCCGCCACTAGCCTCATCTCGTTATGTCCACGGTCCACCACTGGCGCTGTGAATAGTACACGCTACATGCATGATAATTCATGAGGCGTCTGCGCATCTGCGGTGCACAGGCGGGCCAGACAGAGCAAGGCAAGGCAAGGCAAGGCAAGGCAAGGCCAGGCAAGGCCAGGCCAGGCAATGGCTCTGCTGATACGGCGTATGTACTGCTGCTAGCACGTACGTTCGTTCGTTCGTACAGAGTACATGTATTTATACACAGATATATACACGCACATGCATTGCATGCTTGCGTGCATACGTGTGTACGTTCGGAGCACCGGGGCTTCGACAGTATCAGGCGTCAGGCGTCGCGGTTTTTCTTTGTTTCTCCGCTGCCGCAGGTACCGTTTATGTCGATTCTGCACGACGATCCACCCTGCTTTTTGCTGGCTTCGCTAGTTGCACGCCATGTTGGTAATGTAATAATGACGGCCCTCCGTAGCCGCAGCAGGTCATCTCCTCTTCCTCCAACGTCGACCGGGGGCAGGCAGCAGGCAGCATGTACAGTGTACCGAGTGGCAGTCCGTACTTTGTACTTTGCACTTGTCAGCGGCACTCGGCACCTAGGAGCGTTTGGTGCCGGCAGTACGGAGTACGTACACCTCGATTTTGATTTCGACTCCATCCATCCATACACACACACACACACATACAGACACGGACGGACAGACACTGACACTGACACTGACACTGACACAGACTCCCCCCCATCTCTTCCCTTCTCACAGCTCGAGACAATCATTTGTCCTTGTCGGTACCCTCTTTTTCGGCCTTGATCTGGGTATGGGCAGCTCAGGTACGGCGGGCGGCGGACGGGGGAGGCGGACGGGGGACTCGTGGCCCATGGCCCGTGGCCCGTGGCAGAAGAAGAAACACGGTGCATTAGCAGCAAAGTCATCAGACGCCTTTCCCATCGCCGGGGTCTCTCGAGTCTCGACACCTCTCACGGACTCACGGATGGTCCATGGAGTACAAGAACGCGGCACCCCTCTAGGCTCTAGCCCTCGTGCTGGCGGCTGGCTGGTTATTTACTTGTTTGAGCGGCCGTTCCTTTTCTGTCCCTCGTGTTCATCGGCTTTTATAACTTTGAGATTCGTCCCTACCCACGCAACCCACTTCCTCCCTCGTTTGTTGACCTGTTCAACCCGTCCCGGCCTAGGTGGTGTCTTGAAAGGACTGTCTACATCTGCATCTACTCCGCAGCCGTCATCGTCGTCGTGGTCGTCGTCAGATACAAGACATCATACGTGGTGAAGCTTCGCGCATACCTCTCAATCCGCCATACATACAAACAAACGCCCTGACTGCGCGAGTCCGACTGTTGCCCAAATGTATACGACAATCCAGGCACCGCTCGAGCACCATGTTTCGGCGCTCTCTCGCACCTCGACCAAGATGGGCATCAAAGCAATTACTCATGTCGACAGCTATACCCCACGAAAGCTCTCTGACGACCTCCCTTCAATATTGCTCCCTAAGCCCATGGTCCATCCTCAAACCCCACCAGAGTCTACGTCAAGTAGCCCACGACTAAAACTGGAGGGTAAGTTTGACGTCGTCGTCGTCGTTGCGACACGACCGTCATATAGATGCCCAAGTAGTCTCTCCCATGGTATACTGATTCGCATGACCAGGTCCCTTTCCGAGCATCTCTAGAGACTGCTCTCCTCTTCGCACCATTTCTTCCCTGGGCAGCCCGAGAAACAACTCCCTCGTCCGGCTTCCCAGCCTAGAGGAATTCGACCTCGGAGTCGAGGCTCTTGCAAGGTCATACGGCCCTGCTCGTCCGTACACGCCCCCGTCACCACTTCGCGGCCTCGGACGAAGCTCAATCCTCCCTCAGCCATTGCCGTCGTTGCAATCATACGTTTCCCAGGACCATCACGTCCCCTACCAGATGAACGACGCCTACACTCATGCTGTCTCCAGCTTAGACGGCTACCCCAGCCCTCCCCCAGACGGCGAGAATCGACACATCAACCAAAAGTACACCACCGAAGAAGGCGATTTCATCATTTACGCCTGGCACGACAAGAAACTAAAGTGGCAGCGTATCAAGCAGGATTTCGCCGCCATGTTTGGTCGAACCCCCGAGAGAACGGTCCAGGGCCTTCAGGCCTGGTATTACCGCATGAACCAGAGGATTCCACTTTGGGACCAGGATGGTTGGCTGATCTTTGAAAACGAGGACGACTTGGAGCCTAAGCACATCAGCATCAAGTGCCGCGAAAGAGACAGCCAGGACAAGCCCATGGAGCCTCTTGGCCTCGCTCAACGTTATCCCGAACGCGCCATCCACTACTCCTGGGTTGATCCCGAATTGAAGCGAAAGTGCCAAGACTGGGGTGAGTCCATTTTCGCTCCGACACGCACAGACTGCACCTCGCAGGATATAATGATGCATGACGTACTGATATTTGCCTCCCACAGCCGCAAAGCGAGCAATGCAGTACCGTGACAGGCGAGAACGAAGAAAGAGAAAGGAGCAGAGGCGTCTCAAACTCTAAATTGCCGCCCCCTCCCCCCTTCTCTCTCAGTATTGAACGAAGAAAAAGTGACAATTACATTCAAATGCGACATGGCAACGACATTCATTCATAACGACGTGGGCAGCCTCCATGTACATTATTCCCCAACGTTATCGACATTCTCTTTCTCTCTCTTTCTCTCTCCTTGTCCCTGTTTCTTTGCCTCGCGTATAATACTCTCCTATGTCCTGCAGTCGTCAGCAACCAGAAAAAAAAATAGTCTCATTGTTTCTCTGTTTTTCATTTTTCATTTTCCCCTTCATTTCCCTATTCTTCATGTCCGTTTTTCCACCTTACACCGAGTCACTGGGGCAATGCATATACCACAAGGGGTTTCCTCGAGCATTAGAGGTTGATGACGCATGGCGGATCAGGGCGTTGGTCCTCAGCCTGGCTTAATGCTTTGTATGACTATAGCCGCGGCATACGAGCCCAAAAGAGAAGTTTGAAGTTTTCATTACATCATAATGAAGACGGCATGATTGTTATGTCTACGAGAGACATGGTATGACGCCTGTGTACGTATAATGGCAGATAATCGAGTGTTTTTTTTTTTTTTATTTTTTCCATTCCTTCCCTTGCCTTCTTGCCACCTATATTTTTTTCATATTTTCTATTTATTCAAAATCGGCAGTCCTGTACGATATACCTAAAATTGATTAAAATCTTATTACACATCTCAGCTGCTCCCCACGAATGTGACACTCGGCTGTGCAACGGGCTCTGCTCTTTGTTCGATAAGCATCGTCATTCGCTCCGTGTCAAAAAGGAAAAGGGCATGAGCTCGCTCTCAACGACGACATGACCGGATTGTATAATGGCCTGTGTCCAATAATTATTGTATGAGGTTCTGTCGACAAGCCCAGACCCTCCCCCGTGCCTTCTTTCATCGGAGCAACCACACGCAACCGCGCCCCAGATGATCTCTCATGTCCTGTATTTTGCGGCATCGCTCTGGCCGCTAAGCCCCTCGCCCTCGCCCTCGCCCTCCCCGGGGTCGTCCCCGTTTCACTCGCGCGTGGCCCAGGCCGCGGGTAAGCAGGATCTACCTACCCTCCCTCCCTTCCCTTCCCTTCCGTTCCCGGCACGACAAAGAGGGTGCATGAACGCTTCCCACCAAGGTCCGTCCCTTGATCACAGCTCTCTCTCTTCCTTCCAGGTGTTGTGCCCACCCAGTTGGTCTGCCCTCTTGCTCCGTATCCACATGTCCATGTATCTATTCCACGCATGGTACGCATCGTGGGTTCGTGCCGCCGAGGTGGGTTCGTCCACGGAGCAACCCATGGACCCTATGGGGAACCCTTGTTTTGGCCCATGGGCCGCCCACCCGTTTCCGTTTCCGGTGGTTCTTTTGGCAGCGCGGTGGTTAACATGGGAACCCTTTGTGCATTGCGCCGGCCGAACCCCGCGCTGCGCGTTTGTTGACGGGTCATGCACTCGCGGGACGGGTAGGCATGTATGTTTGCGTAGGGGCATATTTCGGGAGCCGTTGCTATCAATAGCGTCTGTGGTCGGGCATCATGCGAGATGCGATTTGTGATGCATGGCAGGGCGTGAGAGTAGGGGCGAGGAGGTGTTCGAGACTGGCCGCTAACGGAATGCGGAGTTTCGCTTCATGAACTCTTTGATGCGTGCCATACGGGCCTCGTCGTCGTCATCGACGCCGTCCTCGAGTGCCATTTCATCCTGTTCCTCGTAGTACTCGTTGTCGTACTCCTCGTCAGAGTTGTTTCCGTGGCGGTAAAGGTAGGCGTCACGACCGTACTCGTCGCCAGAGTCTACTTCGTCCTCGGGGTAGTCTGCCGTGTAGTAGTTTTCCGCTTTTGCAAGTCAGCATATTGCTCCCCAGGCATTTGTGCCATCTGGCTGATCTGAGTCTCAGGTGTTTGTTCCTACCATTCTCGTCTTCGTCGTCTTCGTCGAGCTCGTCATCCTCGTCGATCGCTGACCCGAAGAAGAGAAGACTCTCCTCCTCGTCTCCGAGAACAAGAATGCCGACGTCTGCTGGGCCCGCGTCCAAAGCTACAGATTTAGCCGGGATGCGGACGTACTCTTCAATTACCCAGTCGTCGTCGTCTCCCTCTTCATCACTGTGGTCACTCATTGTGATATCGATGGCAGTCCCGGAGCTCTGGGGAGGAGAAGGCTCCGGGTGTCGTTCGTGAAAGCGCTTAGCCGGGCTCTTGGGTTTGAACCTCGACGGCTTACTATCCTGCTCCATGCTGTGAAGATTGGCACCCAACTCGTGGAGCACCCATGCATTCATGTCGTTTGCTATCTTATCCATATCCTGATTGTGACGGTCTATCAATGAAACAGGCAGAGGAGCCCAGCTCGGAGTTGCATTTTGCGAAGTTGTGCCGCACGATTTGTTTGCTACTCCTGGCCGCTTTAGCCGCGTCTGTTCTATGCTGCCCTCTCGGTTCCGTTCCGCTCTGTGCAATCCGTTCTCGAGCTGTGTCGGCTGGCCGGCTGCTAGGTTTTCGGGTAGTTTTGGAGCCTTCTTCCTTCCGGAAGACTCCACAAACACAGCTGGACCGAATCTGTTCTTCTTGGAGACTCCGGAACCAGGTGCTTGGGTCGCCCCCTTTGCCGACATGGATTTTGACACACGGAACCTGCGAGGTCCAGGGAGGCAGGATGCTACGCCACCGTGTTGCGCTGGCTTTATCGGTGTATTGGCCTCATTTTTTCTTTTATTGCGACCTGGCGTGGTGTCTGGGGGGGACACATGAATGACGGGCTGGGTAGATTTGCTCTCTCGTCGAGGTTGTTGAGCGGCTACTTCGCGACGCTGGTATGCCCAATTGCTTCCGGTTCGATGACGCTTGGAGTCTTGATCGAATTCTGCAAAAACTGGTGAGCAAAGAAAAGGGAGTCAGGGGTTATCTTTTTCAAAGACCAACGAAGAAATGTGACTGGCGTCTCGTCGACCCTCTTGCGCTTCACACGGATAAGCTGTGGCGGGATTGACATGGTGGATGGGGAAGCGGCGTGTGACCAAGTCGAGACTCAGCAGGCGCAGAGGTGCGACGGAGTGAGTGCCTGGAGCCTGAAGTCTGGGGCCTCGATAACGCAAGGGGTTCCGGGTGTGAACAAGATGCTATGATATTCTTGGTCATGGAGTTGACACAATTTGCACTCACCTATGCCTTCTGCGTACATACCTAAGCTAGGGCCGATGTGGGGCCGAACCTCGACTTCGACTTTCGATGTTGACTTGAAGAGGGTCCCGTACTCTAGGTACTGTCAACGAACTTAACTTTAAGTACCTAGGTACCTAGGTACCTAGGTACTCCGTACTTACCTAAGTGCTGAGTACCTAAGTACTTAAGAAGTAAGAGGTACTTAGGCATCGGGTGCCGCGCCACGTCACATCGATTGAGCCCGTCCGAGCAAGTAGTACTGGACCTCAGAGCCACGAGCTTGTACTCCGAACTCGTGGACGTACTTGAGTAGTCGCATGGCCTCTTGACACCCAAATGGGCCAAAGCCGCGAGTTCCATCATCCAATTGAGCAGCGCGCCCAGGCATCCAACATCCATGGCTGCCAGCCCAACGCGGGGAAAGCCCCGGGTCGATGAATCAAGCTGGCTGGGAGCTGTCGAGTTGGTGGCCAGAGGAGCTTGAGATTGCTTCAACGTTCCGTGCCGCCACTCCGGGCGCGGGGACGGCAGAATTGACTCCCCCATCTTCCAAACCTACCGTTGGCCTCGCTGATGCCGCCAGACCCGACCAACGCCCGACTCTTTGTTCGACCTGGTCGGAAACTTGGCACTTGCAACTACAAACACTCTTGTCGACTTGAGCTCTCGCTGCCAAACACGACGTCACGCCCCCCGACACTGGACAGTAGATGGGTGCTGCTTCCTTCGCCACCGAGCAGACAGCCGTCATCAAGGCAGTCGCTGTCAAACACAATGTCCACAGACAGAGTGCCGGTAACCGTCAGCTATCGAAAACGAGGCCTCGCGCCTCCAGTATTCGTAGCTGGCTCGTTCGCTGATCCGCATTGGGAACTGCAGGAAATGCACGGCGTCATTGACGAATCCGGAGAGCATCACTTTACTATTCAAGTCCCTGTTGAGCCCGGAAAGGAGTATTACTACAAGTTCAAAGCCGCCAACCAGGACGACTGGGTGTTGGATGAGCATGCCACCGTCGGTTCGTTACTCTTCGTGCGCCGTGTGATGCAATGTGCGCCAGTAGATGCGTCTCGCTAACAAATTCAAAAGTCAAAGACGACCTGGGGAAGCCCTGCAATCTGCTCAAAGTCCCCATGACTAGCGACGCCGCACGCCGGGCTCATACGCCGCTCGTCGAAGCTACCGAGCGGCTGGACGACGGCTCCCCCGCGGCACCAGGCCAGGAGACCATCGTAGCCTCGGGCCCCAAGTCGCTGCTGCCCAATGCGTTCCAGGACAAGGCACGACCGGCGGGTCATCGATCCGGGACTCCCATCAAGGAAGTTGCAGAGGTTGCTGCAGAGGTTGCTGATACGGCGGCAAAGCTCGACGAGGTGAGTTCATTCTTGACAGATTCTGGCCAACTCTCTTGTCCCGACATTCACACTGATGGGCCAGTAGCTGCAAACCACAACATCGTCACCGATGCCCGCCCGGGTACGCGTGAATAAGAACGAGGCCGTGGAGGAAGAAATGGCAACACCCTTGTTTGCTCATGAGGCCTTCGGAGCGTACGACTTTGTCCATGACGGTCTCGACCACGACGACTTTGGCAAGAACCCCAAGTCGCCCAGTTCCATGGTGTCAGATAGTGGCTGCAGTCTTGGGGATGTGGATATCGACGATCCCACATTGGAGGAGTTTCCCTCTGACAAATCATCCGTGATTGATACTTTGCGAAAGATTCAATCGAGCACAGACGAGGGCCGATCTAGCTTTGAAGATGGACAGCACTCCACCCCCGCAACGTCGAGAAGGACGAGCCTGGACTCTTTGGACGGAAATGGTGGACAGCTGAGCCCAACATCAGCGAGAAAGCAAGACAACAGGGCCTCAAGAAGTAGTTTTGGCCGCCCGCGATCCGCAGTCTCATTGGAATGCATTGACGAGGAACCGAAAGCCTCTGGGGACGTAAGCCCCGGGACGAAATACGACTCGGAGACACAGGCTACTGGAACGCAGGGCGACGGGAGCACAACCGACGAGGATAGTGGGCTGGTGATGAAACCTGCCAAAGCGTGACGCTGCTACCTGACAAAGAGCATCACGAATGGCGCCTTGAACGTGGTATTTATTTTCCTTCTTCTCTCTTCTTTTCATTTATTATCTGCATCGCACTGTATTGCTTAGTCGTGTGGCGTGCCCCGTCATTAAACAGACCACGGCGGCGCACGACGCTTCGTATCAGTGCTCAGTGTTCAGTTCTCATCTATCTGTGACGTTGCTGGGTACAACTTACCGCCATGTCCTAGAACACGTGATGTGGTGTTTGGACTTGGGTTGTCCTAGCGCGCACGAATTACTCGGAAACTCTTATAGCCAAGTGTTCCATGGCTCTGTGAAATGTCTTCTTTAACCCAATCTTATAACTTGTATCAAACCTTCAAAACTCGGGCATCAAAAGCGCACAGTCGTGAGAGTCTGATTCAACAGGAGGGCACATTTGCCTCGGTTGATCGAAAGCCAGACGTTATCGTGACATACGCGTAGGCCGCCGTGCCTTCACCTTGACGGGCATGAACCGACTTCCACCGTGTCGGGGGTTCATACCTAGCGGCAGAAGTTTGCTGCTCTAGCCTCGTCATAACATATTCAACTACATCTGTACAGCACACGGGCGGGAAGACGTGGTGCCAGACAGAGTGCCGAAAGCGTTTGCAGGGGCGATGCTGTCAACGTTGGAAATTGTAAGCGAGAAGTCACGTGTGGATAAGAGTGTTACAGGGTCCGGCGGGTGTATAGGTCGCTCCCCCAGCAATGGGTGGATTACAACTCATTGAACGTACCCTGCATTATCAACAAGGGACCACGGCTGTCATCAATGCTGCGCTGATTAGGAGCTCACACAATAAGCTTCGAAACGCGCCAATTGTCATGGGCATGTAATGGGTTGCACGGGCCGTTCGGGGCACAAGAACAAAGTACTCGAGTACATAGTTACATAACTCGGCACGTACCTAGAGAACGGCTTGTCCACCTACCGCTATTACATTGAGCAGCACGGCCACCCTTGTCCCGAATCTGACGTTGGTGAAGGAGTGCATGCTTGTAAGATGCCGCAGAGCGGAAGGACCGACATGCACCTTCTGGCCCGTCAATGTACACTGTATCGCAAACGTCAGGTGAGAAGAAGATCTAGCCCGGCACTCAATCTTGAAGTCTATCGGTCCTGGGTCACGGGGTACTCCGCACGGCGAGCGGAGGACCCTGGGGTGTGGTGTGCGGAGCAGGAGCAGGACGAGTTTGCTGCTCGACTCACACCTCTGCGGGGTGCAGTCTACACACCCCTTTTTGCATTGTCTCGTGCAAAACGCTCGTGCTTACAAACTGGATTTGCTGGATGCTTGGCTCAAGCATTTCGCACAATAGTTACCGTCTCCTCACACAGCAAGGCCGCTAGCCATATGGCGCATTTTTAATTTCACTGTGACAGGAGTAATATTGGATGATGACGCTGCTGGGTCGCCACTATCCGGATTCTTTGACCTGTGCTGTGCTGTGCTGCTTTGACAGCATGACGGAGCGAAATATTGTCACTTCAAAAATGGGTGCGGCCACAAACACATTATTTTGTGCGGTATGCCACCTTGTATCCTATGCGACAAATATGCATGTCGAAAATATATACAATACAAATACAGGTTTGGTACATACAGTCTCTGCATGATGAGCATCAACCTGACAAATCGCCTAGGGAGAAAAAAAAAGAGAAAAATTCAACTTCCTGATTCCAAACGCATCTGCAAGACGGTCAGCGAGCCTCCAATTCGTTTGAATTCACTCCAACACCATGTCTGTCCATAAAAAAGCCTCCTGCCGCCGTCCAGCACCGGCCAGCAAGTCCAATTCCAATCACACTCGGTGAGCTCGAGCAAGAAGAGTTGCTTGCTTCCATCTACATACGTTTAGATGCCTCAACCGAGCCCTCGACAAGCCCTCGAGACCGCCACCGTGTCAATCCGACCAGCTCATGGACAGCCACCAACACAGAGCTCGCCGCACGAGCTGGGCCACGCCGACGCCAGGGGGTTCTTTCTGACGTACAGGAAGTGGCGTCGTGACAAGATATCAGGGTGAATCGGTACTGTTCCCCGGCGAGGAAACGGAGTTCCCGTCCAGGGTTGCGTGGAATCGGTCCCCAAGGTAATTTAGAATCCGGTCAACGGGGCGCTTTAACCGACGGCGACGACCCCTTCCACGGCGTTTTTCTCGCTCCACACTTCAACACGCTCGTCAAAAGCCTACGATATTGCAGGCCCCTGGATTCGAAGCTTCCGCGCGGTGGCCTGCTTGTTTGTAGCAGAGGCCGCCACTGAGCTGTGGCTGTGGGACTCGGTCGTGTGTTTCGAAAGAAAACAGGATGGCTGCTGCCCCGTGCCTTTGTTGATTTCATGGCCCGGTGAGATTACAGGAGAGACGATGACCCGCGGACTTGTGAAGCTGGAGGAAAGGGCGCGGATTGCTGGACATGATGCACAGCCCAGAAGTGTACGGACGGTTTTCTATATAACGATGCTCATCATGTAGCACTTTGCCTACCGGTTGCGAGGGCCTGTGAGTACCATTCTTTTCATCGTTTATCATCATTATCTTCTTGTTCTTCCTCTTAACCTCCTTTGGCAGCTTCAGTTGCCAGTCAAGTCGTCACGTATAACCGCCAATATGCGCCCCCTACTTACATCCGCTCTGGCCACGACGGCCTCAGCAACAGGCCTCATCTTCCCGCTGTACATTTATCCAGCGGCAACGTGGGACGACGGCGCGGCAAACTGGGCGCCTGCCCTCAACGCCGCGGCCTCCAACCCGTCGCTGTCCTGGCTGGCCGTCGTCAACCCTCACAACGGGCCCGGAGACACTCTCCAGCCCGGCAACAACGACATCAACTACATACAGGGCATGACCAAGCTGAATTCCCACCCCAACGTGCGGCCCATTGGCTATGTGCGCACCAACTACGCCCAGTTCTCGCCGGTCCAGGTCAAGCAGCACGTTGCCGCGTGGAAGGGCTGGGACGCCTACTCGGCGTCCAACATCTCCGTCCAGGGCATCTTCTTCGACGAGTCTGCCCCCAACGCTGCCTACATGAGGGACATTGTGGGATACACACGTGGAGTCTTCGGGAGGCCCGTCACCGTGACGTGCAACTTTGGCAAGGCTGTTGCCGACGAGTTTTACGACATTTGCGACGTGGTCGTGGCCTTTGAGAGCTGCCTGAACTGCTCGGGCTTGCCGCAGTACAAGGACGCGGAGACGATCAGGGCCAACATCCCCGCGAGTAGACTGGGCAAGGCGGCCGTGATATTGAACTACTTTGAAGGAAGGGCCTTTGATGGCAGTCTTGCCGATGCAGCACTGGTGCACAGATATCTCCAGACGGCCAGGGACACAGGGCTTGCGTGGGCGTACTTTTGCTCAAAGGACTACAATGACATGTTGGCCTGGCCAGCTACCATTTGGGAGAATGTCGTGGGCTTGTCTTGATTGCCGGACCATGTGGTTGTCGAGTCTGCGCAGAGAGTTGCTGCGCCGTGTGTAGAGTCTAGAGTCTAGACCATGCGGATGGCTGTGGGCGTCATCCTGTATTACTTGTAGCAGGGCTGGGGAATTTCAACCCAACGAGTTTGATACGGCAAAACAATCAGGATCGGGGGACTTGCAAAAGCTGTCTGTTCGAGACTAGGATTCGTGACTGGCATCATGCTCCCCGTGCACTGTACTTGTAGTGAGTGGCCGACCTGGTCGGCATCCCGCCCATCTTTGCCGGGTTTTCTTCCTGTTCTCCGCCAACTTGTTTATTCTCACGGCCCGCCAATGCATCAAGCACTCAGCAGATGGTTGATGGTTGGATGACAATGAATCCTAGGTAAGTGTCTCTGGCTCTCGCCGGCCATGGTAACCCCAACCCTAACCAGCCATGGTGTTGCGGGGTACCCAAGGGCGTGCAAATACAACAAGCTCGGACGCACCAATCAGCGCCTCGCTGCCTGCAGACAGTTGCAGTCAATTCCCCTGGGCTGCATGTGTCAACCAGCCTTGGCTGGACCTTCTAGAAAACGATGGGCCCACCAAAAAAAAAAAAAAAAAAAAAAGGCCCAACTCATATCTCCAAGTCCAGACATCAGCGTCGCGGCAGCCTTTTCCGCCGCCGGTGCTCTCTGGCAACAACCACACGCAATGGCGCCCGGCTTGGTCTGCTCATTGTGCACCTCGACCCTCGGCCGTCGGACAGCACCTCCCGCCCTCTTTCAGCCGCGCCCAGCGCAGCGTTTCGTTTCGCGGCTGGTCAAGGCGAGGCCATCCCGCATGGTTCTCTCCGACAGAGTCCATCGACCCCCTGCCTCCGCCGATAAGCACAAGTCGAGACGCCCTCCAGTCGATGGCCCCTTCGCTGGCATGAACAGGCGAGTCGCAAATGTCGACCGATACCGAGCGCCCAGGGAGGTGCGAGGGTCGTCAGGAAGAGGCGACAGCGATACTGCTTCCCGACGCCATGAGCGACGAGCACCCGACCATCGCAAGGCGCTGAAGATGCAGCGTGCCTTGGCTACTGTTCCTTACGGACACAGGACCACCCTCAAGGACAAGATGTCTCATTACGACACGTTCGATCAGTTCGACCTGCTACCTGCTGTAAAGTCAGCGGTGACAGAGGAGTTGTTCAAGAACCTGGTGGACATTAGACCAACGCCCGTGCAACGCCTGGCCATTCCCGCATTACTAGGACAGGCAGGCCCCGGAGAGAAGAAGACGCCCAGCAACGCGATGGAGTCATTCCTGCTGGCCGCGGAGACGGGTTCAGGAAAGACGCTGGCCTATCTGCTACCCGCCATCGACGCCCTCAAACTCGCCGAAGCCCATGACCCAGACATCAAAGCGTACAAGGAGCGGCTCGAGGAAGAAATGACCCGGCAACAGGCTGCAGGCTTCAAGGGAAAGCCATTTGACGAGCCACATCCCACAATGGCGCGGCCCAAAGTCATTGTCTTGGTCCCCACCGCCGAGCTTGCCCAGCAAGTGATGAGAGTGTCCAAGTCCCTGTCGCACGTTGCCAAATTCAAGACGGAAATGCTGTCCTCGGATCTCAAAGCACAACGGATCCAGCGCAACCTCTACGGGCCCAAGGGTGTCGATGTCATTGTTGCCACCCCTCATCTGCTGGCATCCATTGCCGACTCGGACCCAAACATATTATCTCGAGTATCTCACCTCATTGTTGACGAAGCCGACTCCCTGTTCGACAGAAGCTTTGCGCCGGTCACCACGAGCATCATTGCGCGGGCCATGCCGTCCATGAAGAGGCTCGTGTGCTGCTCCGCCACCATCCCAAGGAAACTGAACCATTACCTGGCGACGAATTACCCCAACATGACGCGCATCACCACGCCCCACCTGCATGCGATCCCCCGACGAGTCCAACTCGGCGTCATTGACGTCTCGAAGGATCCCTACCGGAACAACAAGGACCTTGCCTGTGCGGATGCAATCTACACCATCGGCAGAGAGGCGTCGGCGCACGAATTCCCCGTCAAGGGCGAGGTGGATGTGCGTCGCGTGCTGGTGTTTGTGAATGAACGAGAGAAGACAGAGGCGCTCGCAGAGTACCTGCGATCCAAGGGAATAGACGCCGAGGCACTTCACAGAGATACGCCGGAGAAACGGCACGGCCAAGTCCTAAGCACCTTCACTTCGCCCGAGCCACTTCGAATTGCCACGCCCACGCCCGCGGCAGCCACGGGACGGCGTCGCTCCCTGTCCAACGTCAAGGCTTTGGTGGTCACGGACTTGGCATCCAGAGGAATCGACACGGTGGCTGTGCGGCACGTCATTCTGCACGATGTCCCGCACACCACTATTGATTTCATCCATCGGCTGGGTCGAGCCGGACGGATGGGTCGTCGTGGAAGGGGCATCGTTCTCGTTGGCAACGATGACCGCAAAGATGTCGTTTCCGAGGTCAAGAATAGCATGTTCATGGGCCAGGCGCTCATTTGAGAGGGGAGATGGTGTTATTGTAAGATTTGGCGTGTAACAATGTATTCACGCACGATGGGCAGGTCTGGGAAGGGTGGGATGCACGTGGACGCGGGCGAGGGACCGGCCGGAACATGTGATCCCCTGGAATCAGCAGTACTGTTGGAAAAAATACCCTGATGTATTGTGTAAGATACGGAATAAATCTACATTCATGAAGAAGGATGCAAGGTGCGATTGCTACTACTATTCCGCGTGCTCTGTCCTGGAGCGAGCTCTGATTGTGCCGGCCCAGGCCAAGTCGGGCCAGTCAATCTGTGCTACTGTAAGTACCTAGGTACTTAGGTGAGTGCCAAGTAACTTAGGTACTTGAGTACGAAGTAGGTTAGGTACCTCCTGGGTAGGTACTTACTTAACAAGTACCCAAGGCACCCTGGTTGGCACTGAAGTGCTTGGGTAGGTACTTAAGGTGGTGGTGCTAGGTTCCTTCCTACCCCAAGTACGCACCTACTCAAGTAAGTACCTAAGTTAGTAGGTACGCCCACAGGTACGGAGTACCAAAGTGCTCGCCCGGCCCGCGTCGCGTCGCGTCTCAGTCCAAGCACTGCTCCCGTCCTCGCCCTCAAAAATATCCTCCTCGATACGCGCAACAAATCTCCACGCAGTCACAACACCTCGGCTGCATTGCACAAAATCTCCTTTCCGCCCTCTTCTCCCGCGTCTCTGCTCCGCTGGCATCGACTTTCAGCTGCAGTGCCTCGCTAGACTATGCCACGACCAAAGCGGGCGCGTCGAGCGCCGCCAACCAAGGACCCAAATTCAGCCCAAGCTGCTGCCGTGACAGATGGTCATGATGAACAGCGCGGCCGCACGAGAGCCCGCACGAGGCCGACGCGATCCGCGGGAGCTCGGCTGAGCCTTGACGAGGAAGATGCTACTCGTGCAGCCAATCGAACAAGGGATGCGGCTCTGCCCTTGGACAGTCTTGCGAACGAGGGCCTCGCGTCCACAACTGGGCCCGACGACACAAGAAGCTCGGTCGAAGTTGGACGCCGCGCCATGGCCACACCGGCCACGAGGAGGGACACCACCGGCTTGGATCTGGCCGACGACGACGTGTTTGGCGACTTGGACGACAGCTTTGCGGACGGGGATTTTCCTGAAGCTCCGCGCTCGGCGGCCAGCTCCTCGGCAGGGCTTGGCCACTTCAAGACACGACCCAGATCTCGCCAGTCGAGCATCATCGGACGCAACGACCCTCCCATTAGGCCTAGCAGCAGAGGCACCAACACCTCCGGTGTCAGCTCCTCCTTCAACATCGGCGTCTTCCGAAGACGCGCCAGAGAGCCGAGTATCCTGGCTACCTCTCGACGGGCCCGGTCGCAGACGGGCAGCGCCGCGGGCAGTGCGGCGAGCAGCAGAGCGGGAAGCGTAGTACGGGACCTTGAGCTTGAAAGCGAGGGCGAGTTCGCGCCGGAAGCCGAGTCAACACCGCTGAACCAGAGGCGTCGATCGAGACGCAGCCAGGAGCATGAGGCACGCAGGCCATCGCCATCGCCCTCGCCCTCGCCCTCGGGGCGTAGGCGATCCCTCAGAAAGCGAAAGAGCGACGGAGACGCACAATCGGAAAACCCTCGACCAGACAAAGTCGCCAGGGTCGAAGCCAGCGGCGGCATAGACATCGGCAGCGACTCTGAGCTCTCTGAGCTGGCGTCGCCGTCGCCGCCCGCAGCTCATTCCGCCAGGGCCATGACGCCTGACAATATGGATGAGATCAATGCCCCCCCGGCCAGCAGCGACTCTGAAGCAGACGACAATGTCTGGCCGGACATCCACACGCTCGCCAAGAAACGCCGCCGCCCATCTGTTAACACGCCACTCAGGAACGACAGGGACGACTTGTCTGACGCCTCTTCGCCGCCGTCCCTGACGCACTCGCCCAACTATGTCGCCCGGGCCCGGGGCTCCAAACACCAGCGGTCTCCGCCCCTCACCACCGCCGATCTCACGAGCCTTCTCCCTAAGCGGCGGTACAAGCGCAACAGGGAGGATTCCGATGATGACACGGAGGACGAGGGCGGAGAGGGTGGCCAGGATGCCAGACCAAGACGCAGAAAGGGCAGTCGCCCACCGAGCAGAGGCAGTTCCCGGCAGGGGCAGAATGTTCTCAAACCAAAGTATACGCCCGTCTCTGTACGGCGCTCCGCGAGGACAGCCTCAAAGACGCTTCGCCCCGACGAGGACAAGGAGAATGAAAGCGAAGACGAGCAGGAGAATAGCCAGTTCCAGCCCCTGCCGGACGATACGTTTGACACGGGAGCGTCGGTGGCGGACCATGTCCAGAACGCGGACGAGCTGAAGAGAGCGAGCAGGAAGTTTCAAGAGGTAGATCAGTGGGAGCTGTCGTTTGAGGAGGTCACCGAGGAGTCGTCGCCGCCGGGGGCGCGGTGAAGATTGTCTCAAAGGGAGACTTGATGAGTTACGGCGTCACGGCGGTCAGAATTCAGATGAGAGGGTGCATATGCTGCTTGGAGTATGGGCGCAGGATGGGAAAGAGGCCGGTGACTACTGACACGGGTATTGTGATTTGTGTGGCATGTGCTAATTTTTACGGAATACCAAGCCGGCATCAATTATTCCTCGGGCGTGCGTAGGGATGCCGTTTTCGTACTTTTACCCCGGTGACCGGGTTCTCATAGCCAACGTGGTGATTTGGTTCATCTATGCGCGTGTCGACGAGGCCGGCGGGAGCCAACGACGGGAGCAGCAACGTCCTTGCTGACTCGGTGGCTGCACAGCCCATCTGTAGACCGACCTCGGTGCTCGCTTTTGTGATGGCCTTGCCTATGGGCCGCGAGTGGCAGTCGGCAATTTTCTACCTCGGGACGCCGTGCTGTCTTGACATGTAATTCACGAAAAAAGCCGCCCCCCGCCCCATCTACATCTACAAAGTCCGGCTCCGTCTACGTCTGCTTCAGACAAAGCGCCTCGGTCTTGTGTTGCACGACGTCCAGTAGAGGATCTAGCTCGTTGGGGTCCCGCAGGACAATGGTAATCTCATCCGGTAGACGGCCCGACATGGCGAGCTTCTAGTCAAAGTTAGCTAGCTAGCACCCATGCGCGTGGGGCAAAAGACACATGCGGCGGGATGGTTGAGGGAGAGGGCCATACCCGCTTCACGTGGTCAAACTTGGCCTCCTTGGCAGTGTACTCTCGTATGACCTCGTCCGTCTCGAAGTCGACGTACACCCTCGTGTCGCGCAGCCTGACCACCACGTTGTCTAGCCTCATGAACAGGCGGCATAGGAGCAACATGCGCTGCTGGTGGACCCGTACTTTGGCGCTGTATATTGAAATTCCGTTGTCGTCCAGCTCGCTTTCGTACAGGACCACCTCGTCGAAGAAGAGGATGGGGTCCCGCCTCTTGAGCAGTTCAATGGGAATCCTCTTGTCTGTCGCCTGGAAGCGCGGGACGGTCGGGGCGCCGGCGGCTCGAGAGGACGGCGCTCCGTCATGTGGCTGCTGGTCTGCCACGCCCACGGTGCCGGCGTATGTTGTGGAATAACTCCAGTCGTAGGGCTTCACGACGCCTTTGATGCTTTGTGTGGTTCCCTCGCGCGTGCTTTCCCAGTCCCTCGCGTAGGCGACTTTGAGCATGTGCTTGTCCGTCTTGTCCACGGCGTCCAAGGCGTCCGGGGTGTTGAACTCGCAGTACCATTTCGAGGGTCGGTGCAGGATGGACACGACGTTGTCGCCGAATATCATCTCCGGCATGGGGATGCCGATCTCGTCGGTGAGGTGGTCGATGGCGCCGGCCTTGGAGATGGGCAGCTTGCGGGCTGAGATGGTGAAGTTTCCCTGGGAGTGGCTCTTGGTGGCGGCTTGGAGGGCATCACGCGTGGGAAACGGCTCGTCGAGGTTGTCGACGTGATTGATGGGGAAAGGGTAGCGGGATGAGCCCGGGGGGGCGGGGGGCAGGCGACTGGACTGCATGGTTGGACACGCTCGCCACGGGTTCCCTTCGGGGCGTGATGAGTGGTGATGCTGACTGACGGTGTCGAGAAGCTTGGGCGGCCGTGACGTCGGCAGGTTGGAGGGGGGGGGGGGGGGGTCGCGGGGTCCTGCCGGCGAGGTGGGTCGTTCCTGCCGGCTTCTCAACTTGCTCGGTACTTGGTACCCCGAGTCCCGGGCGCAATCAACACTTGCAGCATCCTTGATTGGGAAGTTTTTGGTTTGCGGCCGGCTCGAGCCCTCAATTACTTGCTGCCGCTGCCTCCTCATCCTCCTCATCCACCTGCTCCTCCTCCTCCTCTTCTTTCACTTTTTTTTATAAAAAAATTGCTTCACTGTTTCTTTTCACCCCCCCACTCCCCCAAGATTATGCACTAGGTTTTGTGGCCCGCGTCGGCAGCGGCCGAGTGCCCACTTGGACTTGACCGGCAGGCATGGCGGCTGCTCATCTGGCAATGGTTGTGCTCAAGCTTATTTGGCTTTAAATTGTGTGTGAGATACTTTTGTCGACTCCAAGTTTGTCATGTAAATTAACGCAGCAAGGTTAGTCCTGACTCCGAGCCAACTGTACGGGACCGTGTAGTTCAGACTCAACTTTGGAGCCCATCAAAGGTTGTCATTAGTTAGAAGCCCCCTTGGACAGAGACACATGTTGGACGCAATTGTACGCGACATTTTTTCCAATTCCCGCCTTCTCAGCGTCTCTGACGTTGCCGTTGCCGCTTCATAATGACCTCCTCTGTGCCCATCATGGTTACAATCCTCATCCTCTCGTGACTAGATCGTAAACAGGGTCACACATTCTGGCGTATCCGCCAGTTCCTACCATGAAGTGAGTTTTGCTCCATCCAACGAGGCTTGGGCTAATCGTTCAGATACCAAAAGGAAAGGTCCGTTTAGCTTTGCACCGGCTTCCGACGGACCCTACTTCAATGTTTCCATGCGGGCCATTTCAGCCTCTACACGGCTGCGCCGTTGTATGTGATGCATCCTATATATAGACCCGGGCGGCCGTCTTTCGCTCACAATTTTCTTTCCAGGCGAGGTCTCGTCGCTCTTCTGCTGCCGTCATTTCACAAAAGTATCCTCGGAGTACTGCAACTGTTGCCCCTGGGACTACGTGACGGACTCCAGGACAGGCCTTCGCCGTCACCGGATCCGTCCTACGCAGTCTGTCGAAACGTCAATTCACAACAGAAACTTTGGTATCGTCTCGGGCTCGACATCTCTACTATCATCATGCCGGATCCCTCACCAGGCTCAGGGGCCCAGGGGGCCGACCCAAATCTCCCTCCTCACCCGTCTAGGGCACAACCACGTCGTCGTCGTCGTCGTCGTCAGCAGAGGCTTCGCCCCGTCCCCAACTTTCGCCCGACACCTCCCGGAGAGGAAGTTGTCTTCAAGTTCGTACAACGGTGCCATGACGCGTCCTACTACATAGAAATTATCAATGGGACTTCGTACTTTACCGAGATTCCTGGCACCAGATTCGCTGTCCTCAACGCACAGAATGGGCATGACGAGCAGAATGGACATGAGAATAGCGAACAGAATGGTCATTGGAACATTGGACAGAATGGATATTGGAATAGCGAACCGAACGGATATTGGAACATCGAACAGAATGGATATGGCCATCGCGAACCGAATGGATATTGGAACATCGAACAGAATGGGTATGGATATGGGCATAGCGAGCAGAACGGATATGGGCATGTCGGGCAGAACGGATATGGGCATGTCGAGCAGAACGGATATGGGCATGTCAAGCAGAATGGATATGGGCATGTTGGGCAGAATGGATATGGGCACGTCGAGCAGAATGGACATGGGCAGAATCAACAAAGGGGCAAGAATGAGAAACTCTGAATGGTCAGTAAGCATGAAAATCTCACTCTGATCATTGGGAACATCACCTACTCATGGCATAACGAGCATTGTTCGCGAAGGAGTATTCCGGTGACCGTCCTCAGCTGTGACAAGACAGCTCATGATAGGTTTTTGGCAGCACAAGTCGGTTCTTGTCTTTCCACCACCTTTTTTACTGCCTTGTGACAACCTGCCGTCCTTCGAGGTCAGGGACGCGCGCGTAGTAGGTAGTTGTTGCAGGCCGTGTTACCCCATCCGGATATGGAGTCGGACGCCTCCGGAGTCGTTGTCGTTGCTGTGGCAACCACCAACAAGGACTGTTTGGCCCAGGTCCATCCCGCAACGGCCCTCTCTTGTGTCCCACAGCCATTATTAAGACGACAGACGGAGTGATTTCTTCATTAAGAAAAAAAAATTAAAAAAAATTCCCACGTCTTCCTCGCTGCGCTCCCCCGTCTTTCGTGAACATCCAAGAGTTCATTGTCCACATACCGCCGTTCTGTAGGATTCCAATGACTACACGTACCCTGGAGACGCGCTTCGAGCGCATGGCTCTCCAAGACGAGAATGATCACGGCGATGGCACGAGGCTCTACGCAAAAGCCAAGGTAGGCGGTCGACAGACGTCGATTCCCCGACGACGGAAAAGGGAGCCAGCCGTGGCCGTGGCCGCGGACGCTGACGCTGACGCTGACGTGCATTTCTAGACGGCGGTCGCTGCATCATCGACGGCACAGCTCTCCCACGCAAGCAGTCGCACGAACCTCTTCAAGGTGGCGCTCCAGTCGCAGAGCCACAACGCCGTGGCCGCCGTCACGCTGCCCTCGCAAGCTGCTCAGCGGAAGGTCAACAACGCGGCCTCGCCTGCCCGCAAGCCCCTGCCGTCCACGGGGTCGGCGCGCTCGTCGGACGAAGGGAGCGACGCCGCGCTCGGCAAGGCCTCGCTCTCGCTGGTCGAGCAGCCCGGCCTGCCCAGGCAGTTCCACCTGGGCATGTTCGAGATCGGCCGGCCCCTCGGCAAGGGCAAGTTCGGGCGAGTCTACCTCGCCAGGGAGCGCACCGCGGGCTTCATCTGCGCCCTCAAGGTGCTGCACAAGAGCGAGATCCAGGGCGGCGGCGTCGAGCGCCAGGTCCGCCGCGAGATTGAGATCCAGAGCAACCTGCGCCACCCCAACATCCTCCAAATGTTCGGCCACTTCCACGACAGCAAGCGCATCTTCCTGATTCTCGAGTTCGCCGGCAAGGGCGAGCTGTACAAGCACCTGCGGCGGGAGAATCGTTTCCCGGAGTGGAAGTCGGCCCAGTACATTGCGCAGATGGCGTCGGCGCTGAGGTACCTGCACCGCAAGCATGTTATACACAGGGATATCAAGCCTGAGAACATCCTGATGGGCATTCATGGGGAGATCAAGATTTCCGACTTTGGCTGGAGCGTGCACGCCCCCAACAATCGGAGGAAGACCATGTGCGGAACCCTGGACTATCTGCCGCCCGAGATGATCAAGCCCGGGTCGTCGGACAATTATTACAATGAAAAGGTGGACTTGTGGAGTTTGGGTGTCTTGACGTATGAGTTCCTTGTTGGGGAGGCTCCGTTTGAGGATACGCCCGTCATGACTCAGAGGAGGATTCAAAGAGCTGACATGTCGATTCCGTCCTTTGTGAGTCCCGAGGCCAGCGACCTCATCAAGAGGGTATGTATTCCATTTGTTGGTTTTGCTTACGGCCTGCTGGGGCACGCAACTTCAGCTGACTGGTGTGGCAGCTTCTTGTTCTTGACCCCGAGAAACGAATCTCCCTTGAGCAGGTCCAGGTCCATCCTTGGATTGTGAAACACTGTGTCAAAGGAGAGCGAGCTACCAACCGTGACAAGGGGCGATGAGGGAACGCGGGCATTATACCCGACTTATTTGGCCATTTGGCGGAGTTCCGATGGCCATGAACAGAGGATGGAGTTTGTGTGCGACCGTTGTCAAGTGTTTTGGATTCATCGGCATGTTGAGGCGTACAAGGTTGTCTTTTCTCTTCTATTTTTCTTCGTTTTTGATACCTTCCCCTCCCCATTTGTTGGCAAGATGAAGATGGGACCAAACGGGCATGAAGCAAATCATTGGGATAACACGCGTGGTTCGGGATATCGCTATGGCATTAAAATAATACAGTCATGTCTAACGTGACGTCCCTTTGTGGAGAGCTTTTGTGTGATTGCTACAGGTTCCATCGTTCAAGAAAGCACCGCCATCATCACCTATATACCTCGTCAAATGGTCTCGTGTCGGAGAAGCATGACTCCCAAACTTGGTTGACGACGTTGGTTGCCTGCACATCATCTTTGCACCGCGGTCGGGCCATGACGGAGTGTATTGCTCGTCTTCTGACGCAGTTTTGGAATTGTTGCGTGACGGACCATTGACCTCTGGTAAAGGCTTCTCTCGTCCATCGACACTCGCCGCTCAACATTGAAGCTCGGATCTGAGAATGAGAAGAGTGTCAGTGCGGAGTGACCATGCCTCGGCCTCGGTCACAGGGAGCCTTGGGGAGTTGTTAAAGCAGGCTTCGTAGACTGACCTCGGTGCATGCAGCATGCTTCAAGTCTTTGTCTCCTACCCAGTCCATCTTCCACCGCAGGTGATCCCACGCGTGGACCATTTCATGTGCCACAGTGTCTTCCATGTGCTTACGGTCTCGCATCTCATTTGCACATATCAAGATGCCATGGTTGGGATCGAAGCCGCCGGCTTGGCGGTTTACCGTTCCATCCTCCTCCAAGATGGAGGGGCACCGGCGGCAATGGACGTTGGAGCGGTCCAGCTTGCCATCGAGGTCGTGGATCTTCTCGGAAAGAAATCTGACTACGGGGGAATACGTGAAGAGCCAGTCCTTGTGCTCTTCACAGCGTTTACAGTCCCGCTCCTCGTGGACCTTGTACCGCCATTCTCTGTAGTGAAACCTGCCCTCAGGGGTCATCTGGTTCGACAGGATCTTGAAGTAGTTCATCCACCATTTCGTCTCCGGATCGAAGCCGGTGCGCGCAGGATCGTTGACCAGCTGCTTCGGACGGCTTCGCAGAATTGCACCGCTTGAGCCGTCAGGAGTAGCAACGACACTGGGCGAAGCTGCTTCGGACGACGACGTCGACGGCGGTGTGGCGCTGGAAGACGCCATTGCGGTTACGATCCAAGGCAGCCCGAGGCAAGGCTAGTTCCTTGCTTTTGGTTTGCTTCTGTCTTCGGGCAAGGCGGAGGCAACCGCCTCGTTTTCGTTCTGCTGATGATGATGGGGGTGGGTGAAGCCGGCCGCTAACTGGGTATCGGGCAAGAAATAGAGTGGATGTGTCGCCCCGTACCATGTACTTGGCAGAACCGTCCAAAGCAAAAAGGCAACGGGGCCGGCCGGAAGGATAATATTTCGTTCGTTTCGATGGAGTCGATGATTTTTGCGCGGAACTGCGGTTTGGGATGGGTAAAATCCCACCGCAGCAGTGCAGGTAGCTCCAGGGCTCCAGTGTGGAACATGGATCACGGCCTTGGAGTCCGAGGACTGGTTCGAGAGCGGAAGGCCGTGGATCGGCCGTGTCCACAACCAGAGGCAGCCAGGAACCTTGGCCAAACCACGCGTCTAACCTCAGCCGGCCACAGACCAGCCAACCAGCCAGCCAAAGTCAAAAAAAAAGGGCGGTGGGAGTTTCTGCCGCGCCGCCGATCTATGCAGCCTGGTCAGAGATGTGTTTTGGGCAGGTGGGCGGTGAGCTGACCCACAAAGGTGGGCTCCCCATGCTCCTCAGATGTTAGTGCTAAAGCGCGAAAGAGTGGTCATGGTCCTGCTTGCGACTCGCAAAGTTGCAGAAAATACTACTTCGCATCGAGTTATTTAGGTACTTGCGACTACTAGTCCAAAAGGTACCCGTGTACTCCTTGCTTGGCCGAATGCCAAGGTGGTCCGTGACTATCTGGGAACGTACCCAAGTACCTAGGGAAGTTCTTAGGTGCTTAAGTACCTGCTAAGTAAGTAGTAAGCAGGTACTCCGGTGTGTACTCCGTCCGACCCTGGGCAGGTTCTCCGTACACGGGCACGTCGGTACGGAGTACATCGGTGCCCAGCAGTACTCCGTGCATCGGTACGTGCCTCTCCCAGGTACCTCCCCAGGACATTTTGCGTGCAGCGAAACATTAGCGCACACCTTTTTGCCTGAAGTCTGCACAAGTACGGCTGGCGTGACTCGAGGAGCCTATTACGACTGTCACAGTCCGAAAGCGGGTCCGACGTCGGCCGGGATCCTGTGTCAAACCCAATGAGATGGTCCAGAACCCTTCAAATGATGAATGCCAATGTTGACAGGAGATGCAGCACCGCGCCAAAGCACGCCTTGAAGATGACGGGCGAGGCATTTACGGAGTCTCAGGGTGAGTTTTGCCAACATGTGAGAAAGCCTGTGACGTATGGAGAGCGCCTTCAGGACCTTGTACCGTGTACAACTCTGCAGAGTTTGACCAGCAGTCCAGCAACGCAATGCAATGGTTCCATGTCTCCTCTTGTGCTTGGTCTTCGTCTCGCTTCTCGTTTCTCACCTGAATTTTTCTCTTTGTATTTTCCATTCTCTCTCAAAAGCATCCTGTTCCTGTCCCTCAAAAGTGTCTGTTCAAAGTCTTTCATGGATCTGGTGTTCTTCACGAACTTGCTGACCCCTGAGAATCAAAAGCCGCCGAGATGAAGCGGTCGCGACATCAACAGACGATTGTCATCAAACTAGGTATGTGTGTTGGACAAATTGGCTCCCCTATTTACATTTTTGCCTTTTTTTTTTTTTCCTCTTCTCCGGTTTACAATTATTCAGCAGCCAATGCCTCACCGTTTGCTGTCCTGCCTTGTTGTGTTCCTTCGTGTTGTGGACGCTCCGTCTAACCCGGTCCCTTTGTTCAGGAACGAGCTCCATCGTGGATGAGAAGACTCATGAACCGCTTCTGCCAATTCTTACCTTGATTGTGGACACTGCATTCAAGCTGAGAAAGAATGGCCACAGAGTTGTCATCGTCTCCTCTGGAGCCATAGGCGTTGGCCTCCAGAGAATGGAGGTCGACAAGCGCCCCAAGCATCTCGCCCAACTACAGGTAAGCTCAAACAAATCAAATTGATGGCCCAGTGAACCGTAACAAGTCCTCCCCCAACTAACGTCACTCGTTTCCATGACAGGCTTTGGCAGCCATTGGACAATGCCGTCTAATGAGCCTATGGGACAGCCTATTTGGCCATTTGTCGCAGCCAATCGCCCAGATTCTGCTGACCAGAAATGACATCGCAGATGTGAGCTTCCCTCTTGGGCCTCGCTTTGCTTCTCATCTCGCCTTTTGGACCCCAGCTAACACCAGGGGGTCATTAGCGTACACGATATCTGAATGCTCAGAATACTGTCAACACACTTTTGGACATGGGAGTCATTCCCATTGTGAACGAGAACGATACCCTTGCTGTTTCTGAAATTAAATTTGGCGACAACGATACCCTTTCAGCCATCACGGCGGCCATGATCCACGCAGACCTATTGTTCCTCATGACAGATGTTGACTGTCTGTACGACAAGAACCCACGCACACATGCCGACGCCAAACCCATTGAGATTGTAGAGGACTTCTCGGTTCTCGAAGCGGATGGTAAATCCTCTCCTCTTGCCCGCATACCGTCACCAGGTCAAATCGGGAAATGCAGACTAACCGGCAGCCAAAACAGTATCAAGTGCTGGTTCCTCATTGGGAACGGGTGGCATGAGCACCAAAATCATTGCTGCCAGGCTCGGAACTCTGGCTGGTGTAACCACGATAATTACCCGGTCTTCAAATCCGGGGAACATCCTTGGCATCGTGCGTTACTTGCACGCACAAAAGGTCGGTAGCAGCTCATCTGCATCCGACTCTGATGATCAGCCGAGTCAGCATGTTGAGCCGCCATTGTCTCACACCACCACTTCTTTGAACCTCATGGATCCGTCCTGCAGCGTGGACGACGATGCTCCCCCTCCGCGACACACGCGATTCCTGCCCTCGAGCGACCCGATCTCAGATCGCTATTTCTGGCTGCTGCATACTCCACACCCCCATGGCACCCTGTTCATTGACGAGGGCTGCCACAGGGCCTTGATGGACAAGGCCGGCTTGCTGCCCGTGGGCATTGTCGACGTAGCGGGGAACTTTGCACAGCACGAGGTGGTACGCCTTGCCGTCGTCACCCGCAGGTCTACTCCAGGACCCGATGGACACATGTGGGATGGGGAGCCCTTGGAGGTTGGCCGCGCCTTGGTGAACTATGCCTCCGCGGAGATCACGAGGATTATGGGACACCAGAGCACTGACATTCAGAGCATCCTCGGCTACGCAGACAGCGAGTATGTTGCTCAGCGGTCTCACATCGGCTTCTACAGAAAGGATAGCCGTCCTGTGACTCCCATCAGCGATCTTTTCTGATGACGTCCACGGCATTGTTGTTCCCCCGCATGGCACTTTTTACATTTATAGCGTGATTTCATTCGTTATTTTGCGGACAAGGATAATACATTCAGCATAAAAACTACAATCACACAAACACTTGGCAGCGTCAAGATATTAGCATCAGTAGCTTTTGCTCCTTTCCGTCTTCCCCGTGAACAACTCAACGACTGCGCCGTCTTTGGGCACGAACTCGTCCGCCGTCCGTCTACTCTGGTTCCATGTAAAAGAAGAAAAAAATCTGTCCCTTTTGAAACGCCTAGGCTATGTAACAAAGCCAACTGACCATGAAGTAACGCCAACCATTCTCCCACTGTCCGCCCCGTGCATCCACCCTTGTTCTCCCCCTCCTCAATTCGCAGCAAACAAGTTGTCCTCATCACGCAGATACTCCCCGCAATCCGCCTGTCTGAAACATGTGATTCCCGTCGGGTCCAGCCGCCGAGCCTCGGCGGTACTTCTCGCCGTGATGCCAAAACCCAGCGGCGTGTCGTTCATGTTGTACACCACCACGCCCTGGTGCTCGGGGCAGTCGTCGGACCATCTGCCAACGTGGGCCTTGACAATGTTGCCGCCGTAGAGGAAGGGCATCTCGCCGTTGGGTCGGACCCAGACTTTCCACCGGGCATGCTCGGCGAGGATCTCGAGGGCGGTGATGTGAAGGCGGAATTTGCCGGTCTTTGTGAATTTTCCTGCACCCCGGGAATAAAGAGAAAACATGTCATTAGTTTCGTTTATTTTACTTTTATGTGAAGTTGTTTGTTTATTCATTTCCGTGCCTCGTCGTCGTGAGAAACGTACCTATGCAGGTCCCCAGGGAGAGAAGCTTGTCGCGAGCTATCGACGTGGCGAGGTTCGCGATGGACAGGCGGACGTAGTAGACTCGGTCCTTGTTCAGGCGGAAACAGAAGCGGTCTCCGTCCGGGAGGGGCGCGATGAGGTTCTTGAGCGAGTTGCCGGTGTAGTTGGCCAGCTTGGTGAAGAGGACCTTAGTCTCTTGCTCTGTGAGCGGGCGCATTTTGGCCGGCGCACGAGCGTGAACTCGAACGAGGTGGTGGATATTATCTGTGTATGGCGCGCCTGATGCTCGTGGGCATGGACAATTAGGACCTCCTGCCGTCCGGATGAAGTCGTCTGGGGGCTGGCTGGTGTCAAAAGGCCATCCGATCGTAGGAGGGAAAAAAAATATGGCAGCCACCAATAGTACTACGTAGTACATCCAAACTTATCGCGAGTGGGGCCTCCAGAAATAGCCCGCTGGACGAGTGGCTGTTAGGGAGGGATATGATTGGCTGAATGATGGCGGCGTCGAAGCCTGTTTGATGCTTTCGAGATAGGATAGTAACCGAGATTGAAAATTGCTCTCAAAATTGCCCAAGAAAAAAAATCATGTTTGAGCTTGGGTTCTATTTGAAAAGAGCAAAAAAAAAACATTTGTCGTTGTGAGTAATTGGGTTGGCTTTCGAGCCTCGATTGCCGGGTTCCGCACATCGTGATGGATGCTTTCTTCGACCTCGTCTGCCACGAACGAAGCAACCGATGGTGGGAGTTCCTCGACAAGACTTGACTTGATGAGAGGGACGGCCGTCACCGAGAAATAGCACGATACGGTGTGTATACGAGCGGTGGACCGGGAATGCCAGCTGCAATGTTGGACGCGTTGCCGCTGTGGTTGGTGGTCACTGGTCA